TGCCTGGCGAGGTTTGACCCCAGGCCTAGGGTGCTGTGTGAACGTCTTAGTTCGCCGACGGCCATGGATCAAAATGCAGAGGAGGGTGGCCCTCTGGTCAAAGCCCCTGTCAATCCGCTTGAGACGGAAACGTTTGAGCGTGCAGGTGCATGAGCCGCTCCAGCTGGGGCTCGGGCTCAGAGCGCAAGAGGCGTGAAAAACGGCCATTCAGGTCCGACGACCGAGGAAACGCCAACACCTTCGCGGGCCGTGCGTGGAGAACGATCGACCAGTAGCACATGGATAGCTCGTTGGCCAGGCTGTAACGGGTAGTTCGAAGCCGCATGAATAATAGTGGGTGAAGGAGGGTACCATGCCATGGTCGCCGGGTCAGCTTCGGGGCGCGCGCTGCTAAATTTTTCGCAGACAGCTCCAGATGTCAGAGTGAGCGTGCACCACTACAAGCCACCCATGACCACTGAATTGAGTGCGAGCGCAAGCAGAATGTCCAGCTTCGCATTTCGCATTGATGAGGTCGCCATGCGCGAATCATACTGAGGTTGCTGATGCTACAACACCAGAGATCGCTAAACACTGCGGAAGCCGGGGCCCTCAATATCTGTCGGTCAAAAATAGCCCTCCGTGCGTCACCTGTCACCAGACCGCAGACAAAAAGGGTCTACACTTTCCATCGCGCTGACTATGGTGCCCGCGTTGGCTTCATTTTCTATCGATACTACGCTGGCCCATCCATCATACCGCTACTTTCGCATTGAGTTGCGCCGAGTAGGTAGTGGCGGCGGACCTCGCTCTATTCTTGTATTTCCGCTATCGACGGAAGAGCACCAGGCGGCGATGATTAAGCAGGTTATGGCTTCCGCTCCCACTCGTGGGCATCGCCTACGTGGAACGCCATCGCAATACTGGGTAAACCCAAGTCTCCCCCGCGTCTTCTGGTAATATCTGATGCAGCGGAGAATGCTTGCTTGCGGGAGCCAGCAGCCTATACAGTAATTACGCAACCCTGCTTGTGGGCGCCTGATCACAACATGCTACGTCGCACGCATCGCAGCTGCTGTAATGATGTCTGTAAAATATCCTCGCCGACACCCTCAGTATAGAGCTGGTACCTATGACGTTCTCTCCACGCTCATTGCCGTGGTGGAGCAGAAAAGTAGCTGCCACAAGATACGAGTTCTAAGAAAGGAACCAGTGATAACACTGCTGCACCAACCAACACCTACTCTGCAACCACCGAGGCTAAAAATTTGCTAGGTGACATAGCGGACTGCGCGAAAGCAGGTTCATGCGACAAAACGTGTATTCAGAGGCTAGTCTGAGTAAAGCCACATGACTACGGCGAGCTGGTGTTTGGTTGTCATAGATTCAGATGAGCTATTCTTAGGATCGAGGTCTTTTTACCCTGGGAACTTGCAACCGACACTGCGTCTAGGGCTACCCATGCAGCCATGTTTTCTCTGGGGTTCTGCGACTAGGGTGAACAAGACACCTCTCCTCCACTCACATCTGTCCATCATACCTTCGGTCTTTTCCGAAGACTGCCAGCCTTTTCAACGTACACTAAGACAATGCCCATTAACCAATTGAGTGACCACAAAAAAAAACATCCGACCTTTTTTACACATATTTTTGTGATGTCCGAAGAGGCTTCATCTTGCGCCACCACACAGTCAGGCACACGATAGCAAGACACATCAGCCGAGATACGTGTTTAACAATGCGACTTTGTGCGCACAATGCATATTCTCCAACCATCTGCAAGCCACACTTTCTACCTGCACCACCATGCAAAGCATTCTTCTCCACCCGTCGGCAGAGAGCTATAAAAAGCGTAGCAACCTGCCCTACCATTGGCGCGGAAGCGACTCTACCGGCAAGTGTGGCAGGCGACACAAGGAAACACACATTCTCTCCGCTCATCACGGGCCATTGTGTGCACTGTGGTAATTGCTCCGACCATTGGGATCTTTCTCTACGCCTGGCCGAACGCACCACATCACAAAACATCGTCTACACTACATACATCATAGCGATGATCCTATATCCCAACCTTAATCCTTCATATTGCCAATATATCGTCGCACTAAAGCGACTATGCGTGCGCCTAAACCATATCTAGGTACAGTTATCATTCACCCTAATAAGCCTAAAGCATGATCAAGTCATAACTAGATGTATAGCCACTGACGCATCATGACAACACTTAAGTTTCATCGCATCGTGCCAGTATTGTGCAATGGCACTCCGTAACATGAAACATTCGGAGCGGCGGTAATATTGCGGAATCTGGCAAGTACTCGACCTCGGGCGGATGTCCTTTCAATAAATAGATTAATCCCCACACGATCGGCACTAGGTATACTGAGTCGTGAAGCATGGGAAAAAAAAAGGTCAATTCTCCATCAACTCATCACCTCGGTCGGAGCTGAGATCTTCGGCATTGTTCCAGGTTACGGCAACGTTACATGCTGCCGGTATGCCGTTTGTTGATGACTTTGGTTTCATCGGCGGTACCGGGCGCTTGGAGCGGGTACGAGATGTGCTGGTATGGATGGGTTGGAACCGTTGTGTCATGATTATTGAGTAAAAGCAGGATTTCTTCCAAGACTGTAGCGTGCCCCCCCAAAAGGCAACATGGAAGTATTCGCTGTGAATTTAGGCATGATTCTTGCAGAATACAACAAGCGTATACCCTCAGAGTACACTGTTAAGAATGAGTTGCTGGAGATGAGAATCTCGTTGTCATTTCGCCTAGTTATGTAGGAGGTCATTCCTACCTCCTCCAAAAAACTTGTCTTAACTTCAAATGGTGCGTAGTCCTCGACGCGTTGTAACTTCATTCTTCGCACCCACCGATGGTTGAACTGCGTTCTCCATCTTTCCACTCGCCAAAGAAGAGGCTGCTGTAAAATAATGTCCGTATGCTTTCATTCGTAAAATCCCTCCAAGAAAACAAGAAGAAAGCGTACAGAGTATTTACATGAGCGGTACGGTATGAGACTACAGTACTGAGTTGCTACATTAAATGGTGTCGACTTGCATTACATGCTATTATCTGGGCAGATCCTCGAGCGGTATCTCCGTCCATGCCGTGTGATGTAGTCGAGTTTTGAAAAAGAGCTTCTCGAAACTAAACCTCAGAGGCTTCAAGCACTTCAAGAAAAGAGGGCCAATCTCATACAAAAACAAGAGAAGCGCAACAAACAGCGTAAATGCCTGGTCCAACTCCGTGATCTTAACAGGCGTCCACGGCACAAAGAGGTGTCTCAGTGCTGTTCCCGTTTCGAAGAATAAGATCACTCCGAGCATACTTCCACACCGCCCTAACGATACTACAAAGACTAGTGCGCATAACGACCCAGAAATGATTTTGAAAGGGCGACCAAGGCGGGGCAGCAAGGGCGCCAGAACGGTGTTGAGGAAAGGACCGCAAGCAGTCACGATCAGGATGAATAGGATTGACGGCGCGCGCGAACTCCAACTCGCATGGAGAGCTTGACGAGGTCGTAGTGGGCCAATCCACACTACAACCAAAGGAAGGATTAGACCCAAGATTATGATCAAGTTGCGCCTCCGGATTGATTTCGCTGTCTCGCGACAAGTAGATTTATTGGTTTTCCATGCGCAGACCAACAGCTGCGCGCATGCATGCAATATGCCAAGGTTCAGCACTGCAACTACTGCGCCTGACTGGATGCAGGATGAAAATAGTTGGTGACAGGCTTCTATGTGAGCAGCGAGCTGGGTTCGGAGATGGTTTTTTTGCTCGTCTATAGGCAGTCGGTCGATGTGCCATTCAATTTCTGCAGACCCGACTGTATTCGTTCGCCAGTGTTTGAGCCAAGCCGGAACCACCATCAAGTTATCCTCGCTGTCAATACGGATCTTCCAAGTTGCGTTGAGATCTGGCCTATCCTGAGTGTCCTCAGTATCATAGTCCCCTGGCAGCATTTGACGACGGAACCTCTCCCAGCCCAAGTCAACCTCATTGGTCCTCCGTTGCCAGGATGAATGTCGAAAAGCATCCATGGCTGCCTAATTCGTGTAAAGGGCATAAACAATGAAGTGGAGGTTCTGAGAATAATCACCAAGCAGGACCGTGACCCATGAGGCTACCATGGTGATGCACCAGGTCATCCATGCGCCTGGCCCATAGAAGCCGCTGATATCGAGATCCTGGAAATCTGTCAGGCAATATTCAACCCCGATTCCGCTGTCGTAAGTGGAAATGTTGGCCATCGTCAGAGATGCAGTCGTAAGGTGCTCAGTGGCAGTCGCGAGAAGATGGTGACAACAGGATGTTTGTAGGTGCCCGAGATAGGTGGCGCGGCTTACTGCCTCAATACCAGCCCAATCTCGGGTGTGACGAGGGGCTGAGCAGCTCTGCATCAAACCAATACTAGGCAGCAATCAAGCGCCACCGTACTGAACCTGGGAAAAAGACGACAAAGTTAATCAGCCTTCAAGAACAGAATACTGTATGCTTACCTTTGTCCTGCGCTGTGTCCCAGAAGATGCAAGACCTGGTAATCTAGGGGTATCATTACTCCAGTCTGATCGTCAGAGTCGTGACATGGTGAAGAGAGACAAGAATGAATTTGACAGAAGAACAAACGCTAGAATACTATTCATCATACCTACTCGATAAAAGAGTAATGTACGAGGAATGAGGACTGCAACTAAACTAAGCTAAGCTACCAACTATACTATAGATTGATTGGAGAAAATAACGCCTTGAAATGTTCGTACGTATCATCGCCTCTTTCGTCGTTGAGTGAAGAATTCAAAGCCGCGCTCGCTAGAGAAGAAACGCATGTTCTATGTATGAATGCCACCCTTCCATTGCCGAAAATGCTATCACTATCGCTATCCCGGTTTTCCTCCTCTTATCTGGTATTTCCACCTCTTCCTCTAAGATCCAGAACATGCCATGTCCTTATTCAACGCCCGCAGTAGCCACATGTAAAATGATGATGAGAATTTGATACGTCCCCACTCGTTCAAATGGAGTACAATTCCCGGAAGCGCGCTTGCTGATCTGCAGGAAGGCCTCCGAGGAAGGCGTCGAAGTTGCCGATCATAGTTTTGTATTTTTGGATGACCTGATTCGAAGAGTTAGCTGAATGCGCGTATTGTAGTCAGATATGTGCAAAATCTTACCTTTTGGAACGTCTCATTGACCTGTGCTCCTGCAGTAGGACCTCGCACAATATTACGATCGGCCATTGACATATCGCTGAAGAACTCGAGAAGCGATTGCTCCATAGCGCCGGGGTTGGCCAACACAATCAACATGAAGCCGGTGAGGGCATGGCATTTCTCGTCCGTCCACTGGACCTTCCTGATAGCACGGAGGAAAGGAGGAGCGATTTGAGCAAGATGTGGGGCGAGTAAGGGCGCGCATCCGAGACCTAGGCGACCAAGAGCGATGGCTGCGTTCTCGTTCAAAGACTCTGGAACTCGCTCGTCAAACAAGATGTTGCCCAGTTTTTGTAATAACTCCTCAACGTAGGGCTGCATGCCTTCTCCTTCACACATGGCAATCTCGCCGACAGACCAGCAGGCATTGTTAATGACAGAGTATCCAGTGGCCAGGCTAGTGGAATCTATCTGAGAAACTTCTAGCTGTGTAATGAGAGTCCTGAGAATGGGTTGTAGATGGGGCTGAAGTTGTTGGAAGACGTAGATGGCGCAGTCTCCAAGGAGCGCGTAGGCTGACTGTCGCACGTCGTTGTTCTGGTCTCGCATACAGACGACTAGTAGCTCGAAGAAGTTTGGTGCTTGTGTAACCAGTGTTGCGCTGTCCTGGGAGCTCAGGGCTTGGATGATAGCGCTGAGTAAGTCCAAGCTCGTCACCAAAAAGTCCTTGTCTGGAGGCTCGAAACCTTGGATTTCAGACGCCATAACACCTTCCTCGAGGTTGCGGTGAATGATCTTCATGCATCTCGCAAATATGCCAGCTGCATAGGGCGCGAACTTGGGTCCTAGAGCTGTAGCCACGTATGAGAGGCACTCCAACAGCGGGAACATCTCCCTTGATTGGTCTGACACTTTGCTCCATCGTTGGATGAGCGCGGGCATGAGTGTTTGAACGAGTTCATCCTTTGCCAGCGTAGGTCCCACATGCTCAGCCAGCGTTTGAACACAGTCGTAAAGAATGAACATATTCCGGTCCTTGTACAGTTGGAAGCACTGCACAAATTGCCGAACAATGACGGCACAATACTCTTCAAGCTCTGTGTTGGCCTTCTCCTCGAGATTTGCAAAGGCTGATGCTGCAGCTTCCTGAACGCGTTTGTTTTTGTCAAGCATTTTCATCAAGATGCCCTCCATGACTGGCTCAAAGAATTGTTTCTTGCCAGCCGCGTCGAGATGAGCCGCCCATCCGGAGTAACGCCCAAGTGTCCAGCATGTGATCTGGCGAACAACAGGCTTTGGGTCATTCAATAGGGTTATAAGGAACGGGGTAAGCATGGGGAGATGCGGCTCAACGACTGACATGCAGCCATCCGCAATTGCGCCAAGAGCCAAAACTGCAGATTCTCGGTTGGGCCACTCTGCATGGTTGAGGTTGTCTGTCAAGTACGGGAGAGTCGCCTGGAACACAGCTTCGTGGAAGACTGATGCGAGGACATCAAGGGCTGCGGCGGAGCACTTTCGCAGATTCCACTGCTCCTCAGGGTCGCCAAATTCATCGTCGTCGTCAAAGTCGTCAATCTCGCCCTCGCTGAGATCATCATCATCCGCTGAGGCTCCGGCTGATCCGTTGGCGGCTGGGACCGTCTCGCCGTTTGCGTTGGTGGTAAGTCTTCCAGTCTTACTTGACGCGAAAGTAGGTTTGATGTCTTGCTCCCGATCATCGACCTCATAATCTTCCTCTTCGCCTTCTAGACGCAGTATCTCATCCTCGCTGTACACCATGCTCGATAGCAAGACAGGTATTATCTTGGCCAGATACGGTCCGAGGTGATCCCGCATATTCTCGTCTTCACTGGCGCATAACCAGAACTCGGCCGCATCCAAAGCAAGATCCGCGTTGTTCTCCGTACGCTGCTGTGACACCATAAAATCAACAAGACCGCTCATATGTGGTATTATCATCTGAGGGGCGATATCGGCGATGTGGACAAAGGTTCGGCAGACGTGTTTCCGCACGTCTTCACTAGGGTCGGCAGCCAATTTGAAGAGTTGGTTCAGTAACATGTCGATATTCGCAACCACAGCCTGAGGCTTCTCTGGAACGAATACGTTGATAGCAGCCAACGCGTCGGCACGGACTCGAGGCTGAGGGCTTGTTGTGAGTTCGAGCAGCTTTGGGAATACGAAGTTGAGGGGCTTTTGTCCTTGATATTCTCTGTCCAGCGCCTTCCTGTTGTCCTCACAGATTTTTAGCAGAGCACCCATAGCGCCCTCTTGCGCCTGTGTCGAGACATTGCCGTCGACGTTGCTGACCATGCCGACCAATTCTGAGAGAATCTGGGGCCATCCCATGATAGTGCCCTGACGCACAATCTCCGTTATGACGTTTCCTGCATAGCCCCGTATTTGTGAAGCAGAATCCTGCAATCCCACAAGTATGACTGATCGTATGTAGTCTTTGGTCGAGTCGGGCATGGATTTGTATGTCGTCTTTACGTCGTTCTTGAGCATAACGGCAGCCGCAGCTCGCGTCTGGAAGTATTGGGCAGCGTCCATGTTGACGACCGGTGGGGGTTGGCTGCTGGAGAAAATGTATGCGAGGTACTTGTCGATATCAGGTGAACTTTGGGCGGATTTGAGCATCTGTGTAGTCGCCGCGGTCAGCACAATGTGGTAATGCAGTGTGTAGCAAGAGCCAACTAACCTCGCCGGCGTTCTTGCGCGCATTCTCATCATGTCCGCTCAGCGAGTCCCTTAGACACTGCGCCAGCTGTCGCAAGGGCTCGTCCTGGGGTTGCCACGCCATATTGGAGTGTGGTTTGCTTCGCAGTGCGGGGAAGGTGTAAATGGGAGTCGACTAGCAACCCTAGAAATGGATTTGATGGGAAAAGCAGGGCTGCGCTGCGGAGGTGAAGCAGGCAGAAAAAAGAGTAGACCCTGGCGACTTAAGCTTGTTCTGCTGGTACGCTTCATAGTTAGCTCTGATGGGGAAAGCCATGCACGAATTAACAGTGAGGGGCAGCGCTCACCAGCCTTTCGCGTGCGAAGCAGACAGCAGGGCGGATTACAAGGCGACGAACATGTCTTTCTTGCGTCTGACGAGTATATTTCTCTTCTGTAATATTTTGCGTGTGGTGCAACAAGTTTGCTCGTAACTGACGCGAGGGCCGGGTCGTTGCAGTGGCTTCTGCGTGCGACCCAATTATGCGCGGCGGGCGGTGAGCAGCTAGGAAGAAACAGCTGCCGTGCGACTGAGTCGAGGATAGAACCGCACTCAACCTTTACCAAGGCGAAGACGAGGGCGGCTTAAGGCGGGCAACGTCGAAATATCTGCGAGTGCGCGTCTACTGGGGCGACCTGCCTGTTTGCGACGTCCCCTGGCTCGCTAGAAAAAGGCGACGAGGTGACTGCGAGGCTCGTGCAAAAAAATGTCCCAGCTCTTCCCCCACGAACAAACAAAGTCGTCATCATCATCGCGCCTCATCAATCGTGCGGTACATATATGGTTGAGACAGCATAGTAGTCGGAAATAGCACCTGTCATAAGCCGTTTGTGGCACAGCTTCGTGCTTCTCGCACACGTCGTACTGCAGCACCTGCATCGTGCTCCTACTTCAAACGACGCCGTCCGGTATCGCTTCACTTGCGGATTGACGCCTGGGTATTCTCATTCTCAAGTCATGTGAGGCGCTTAGAGAGCAAGCACGTGCATCGCAGTTGCTCTTTCCTGTTCGTTCCACTAGCTTCTCCTCCACCGCTTCCCAGCTGCACCGGAGAACATCTCGAGGAGGCAATCGTAACGCGAAACACAAGAAACATCAAAAGAATCAGTGCCCGGGCTTGCCGTCAACATTACCTAAACGAATATGAAGCTTACAAGGTACATACCTCAGCTGATTAGATCATACTATGACAGTCTTCCTCGCGAGAAAGGGGACAATACTCATGCAGGAATTGAGAGTAAAAGCAGCTTCTGTCCAGCGAAATACTGATTCTCTCCTGCCTCTGCCAGACGAAGAGTTTCTTGCAACATAAAGAGATCGTGCACTACAACATCGTTCATTAATCCTGAAGCTGAAAGTATACGGCAGTCATAGTGCTACAAGTATTGCGAGAAGGAAATTTCCAACCCCAAAGCCTTGCTCTTGTGTTTTTGCAAACCCCACAATCATTCCGGAGACGACAAAGGCAACAGCTACCCCGATAGCCAGTAGGAGACCAAGCACGGCGTGATTTGGTCCTTCAATGATGTGCACACCCCATCCAAATGCAAGATCTTCATTCATATGCGCATTGCCCCCCACCTGCTGTGCCTCGGCGATTAGACTCCTGTCGAGCTTCTTGGGTAGACGTTGGAGCCAAGTATTCTCCATGTGCTCTCCCCATATATTCCATCTCGCTCGATGCAGGTAATGAAGAAAGACGTTGGCCGGCATCCTGATCTGAGGGCAAAGGTAATGGTAGCGCTTGTTGTCTAGTTCTTCTTGTGGTGGAAACTCGTTGGGCTTTTTGTGGATGCCAGCTCCATACTGGTTACGCTGACTGACAGAAAACTAACGAAAGCTTCAGCAAAAATCTCTTACATCAGGGAAGTGTGTGGGCCCTCACCATAACAAAATTCACGTCGCTGGGCCGCAAGAAAAGTCGCCGTAGACTGATACCACGACTGATGTTGTACTTGTCCCATATCATCTCAAAGAGCTCGCTGTCCGAACTTATGCGTGAAATATCGACCTCATGATGATCAATAGCATGATTTCCTATGCTCACGCATACTTCAAAATATTTCAATGGAGAGATGATGTTCACCACATGATGTGACCCGGAGGGCATTGGACTCACAATGTTCGGGGAGTTGCCAACTCTTGAACCAGCATGTGGTGTATTAATCAGCACCTGAGGCAAGCTAGCTGGAGAGGTTTGTTGTACCAGGACGTGCCTAGGACCTCCAGGACCGGAATCTCCGGTCGCTTGAGTGGTCGATATACCACTTGCAGGTGCTGGTTGAACAAGATGGTCTCCTAGACAGGACAATTGCTGTTTTAGTTGATCAAAGGCAGTGGTATCTTCGATAGGGAAGTCACCCCAGAGTATAGTGTTACATGACTTGGATGATTAGCAAGGGCAACGAGTCAAGAGAGAAGACCACGAGAACTTACACAACGCCAACGCAGTCTCCTGTATCCCTGAGGAACGTGAGGAATGAAAAGCTCCACAATGTCGTAGAAGTAAAAAGAGATACCCCAGAAGTTCAAGACACTGAAGACCAAGTCCCTAAGACTGCCGCTCCGTTGACGAGATCGATTTCTTCGTACCTGTTCCTGTGTCGCATCCTGCTGCTGGTGAGTTCCAATTGCCGCAGTTGCGTTGTCTCCCGAGTCGGTTTGCTGATGGCTCTCCGTAGGAGCGAGTAGATCTCTTGGGATCTCTTTAGTCGTCTCCTCACCATCGATCTGTTTTGGAGTATCCGTAGTTGATTTGTCCGCAGCTTTTCGATCAGCTCCGTCAACCTTTAACCACGCCTGCATCGCCAGGACATGTCCTCGGAAGGCCTCGGAATTTATAAGAAACCCCTTCACTTTATCAATATTAGGGAATGGCAGGTCATCGTTGAGCTCTCCATCAGATTCGCCTTCCGACGATTCATCGTCATCTGCCTTCAAACTTGATTGACTTGGTTCTTCGACAATGCCATTTCCCTGAATGGTTGAGAGCCAGGTTTCTAGGTCCTGCTTTTTTACTTTGCTTTTCGGTGAATGCGGCAGTTCGGTGGATCCGGTTATGCTCCAAATGATCTCATCGGTTATGCGGCCTGCCAATTCACGTACGAATTTAGCAGCCTGTATTGCAAGGCTGCTGTTTGAAGCTTCTTTAAGAAGATCTCGACCGTAGTCCCGGAGAAAGCCTCGAATATGCGAACGTGCCTTCTTTCGTTCCACACTAGAAATAGTCAGGGTGTAGATAGCTTTCAACTCTTCTTCGCTCAAGAGCGCTCGAGAGACTTCGCGAATTCCAACGGTCTGGACTGGGTTTAGGTTGGCAGTTGATGCGGAGGAGATGGACGATTCCCCACCTGAAAAGATGCTGCCAATCTCGCTTTCATAATCGGAATCCGAGTCTAGTGTTGTTAACATTATGGTGTCGGTAGAGGTGTCGTGTATGTACTGAGGAATAACAGCATACGCCTTAGCACCAGTCGTGGAATTACCATCGCTTGTCCGACCAGGGTAGGTAGTGTCGCTGTCTAAACTTTGTATTTCCTTTCGAAGCCGAACAAGGGCGTTTTCGCCTTCTCCGTATATGAGCGCCATATGCACACCAAAGACACCTAGTAGACAGTATGCCTGGTCTTCAATACGCGACGTCCGGCGGAATTTCGCCCACCCCATTCGCTCATGAACGCTAAACTGAGACAAAGGTGCTCCTTGCAAAGCGGAAACAGGAACACCAGTAATAGCATGAATCTCCTGTACCAGCGAATATTTATCTCCAAGATATTGACCCTCCACGGAGAAGAACTTCACTGAAAGTGGTGCAATGAGTTCTTGAAGCGTCCATCCTCGTGTGAACCATCGACTTCGCCGTAAATCAGCGTTGGTCGAAACGTCGGAAAGATACACATAGCATACAACAGCGTTGCGGTACCAAGAAAACATCGAGTTGATAGCCTCGGAGAGCTCTGCGCTGCTCGACCTGTCAATACAGCAAGCATCTACCCAGAAGTAGCTCAGGCCATCCGTAGCAGCTTGGTCCGCACAGAACACAAGTTTTCTGTAGCCTGCCTTATCTTTCACTCTGCCCTCCATGAAGTCTTTGAAAGTGACCTCTTCATGGCTGGGGTTCCATGTATGGGACAAGATGGCATAGTCCGGAATATATCCGGGTATGAACTCATGAAGGCTGAAATGGCCATCATCGTGGCGACTCAGAAGGCGCATAGCGAGGAAACCGGATCAAAAGGACAAATTGAGGTAATAAGTCTGAAGAAGCCGAACTGAAATGAGGAAAGACAGCAGGCGATGAATATGCATGGAGTTGGAAGACCAAGTAAGCGCTCAAGGCTGAGGCTGAAGCTGAAGACCGCTTGGCATACCCGTCAGACGCCATGGAACTGCTGCGTGTGATTGGGTGTACAACTCGTCTTGTTCCTTATGCGACTGTGAACATTTATCGGGGCACGTATGGTAGTCGCGGATACTTACCAACGCAGTGTGGTATCTGTAGGCGAGAAGGGGGACAACAAGTCCTCCAACGGATGATGAATATCTCAGTAGTTCAACCCCGCACGCAATGTGAGTGAACAAGCGGTCATGTTTCTAGGCTCCATCGCACGAGCTGAGGTTGAAAGAACATTTGATTCTTTCAAGTTTGCACTGATTAGACAAAGATGCATATTGTAAGGGCCTACTTAAATCAGGCACGGACACTAGTTGATGAAGCGCCTTTGAAGGCGGCTCTACCATGTTGATGTTTCAGGACTGTGCGACGTGCGGTAACGAATGGACTGAATGCTTCAGAAAGGCATTTCCCCGCCCTCGAGCAAAAGCAATGGCGGTTAAGGGCTAATTTTGGGCCATGCCTCTTCTAGCATGTCTTGAGTAGCGATATATCTGCTTTTGATGAACAGATCAAACTCAAATCACCGTGGGCTCAGTATGGAGTAGGTTATGTGTTGGCATGGAAGACTTGTAGCTGCAGCGGGTTCTAGAAGTAATGCACGCGTGCTGTCGTGGCCATGCAAGTCGATGCTGGTATCTCGGTCTGGATTGTCGTGCGACGGCAATTACGGTTGAGCCTGTGGCTTCGAGCGGCTGTTGCAAGCAGCGCAATGCTAACGAGACGCGATTGACGCCTGAGGAAGGGTTGGTTTTCCAATGTCTGGTGTTTCGAAGCCAAGCTGTAACGGATAGATCGGCAGAATCCAGGCCCGGGATCTCATGGTGTCGTGTGCAGGCGGAGGTGGCAAAGCCGCCGCGCGATTCCAAGCCAAGCTGCGTCAGGCACTTGACGTCTCACGCCGATCTCACAACCACGCCAATCCATCATCATACACACTTCGACGCCTTTCTCTCGCCCTCTCCGACGACACCGCACTGCTACAGACGACAATCAGCAGCTTCACCACGTCCCATCGCGTCGCTATTCTGTCGCTAGCTCTGCTACCCGTCGCGGCACAGGCACGAGTGGTAATAGGCCCCCACTGATCGATCCAGCGACTCCACTGGCCGACTTCGTCCCGGCACGAGCGCTGCTGCGCCTATCGCAACGCCATCCATCAAGTCGCAAACGTCCTACTGCCCCCCCCAGTGACGGCCGCCTTCACATAGCACTTCACAATGCTACCTCAAGAACCGCTACAGGCGGGCTCGCCGCCAACGACTCTCACCAGGGCCTACTATCCCAGTCATAATGCGCCCGTCGCGCACCCTACAATCTTCACAGGATTTCACCAAGCCTCACACCATGATGACGTACGGATATCAAAATACAACAACAATCTCGGCTCGACGGCCAAGGGCATCATGATAGGCATATTCTCCGTGCTGGGCGCGGCGGGTGTATGTCTTATCATCGCTGCCATTGTTTACTATTTCCGATACACCAATCAAGGACGCATCTTCCTCGACCGGATAACGCGGCCTGGTGAATACGACGATGAACAGCAGTTTGCCAAGGAGGAGGCCGAGGCGCTAGAGGATATGGACGACCTGCAAAGAACAGAGTACATGAGAGCGAAAGGTATGGCGTTCAGTGGCTTGTTATGCAACGACGACACTGACTAACCCCCACAGCTTTTGTGCAAGCAAACCCACCCGAATCCGTCCAAACCGACATATCACTCTCGCAGTTCCTGGCTATACAAGAGAAGGGCGTATCTGCCTGGGAATTTGAGCCCGAGCTTGAGATCGCTAACTGCTTCGTCGAAGGTCGCACTGAAATAGAGTTCTTCGACTCGGAGTGCAGCGTCCAGAGTAACCTCCCGATACCGAAACAGAACGAAGTCTACTACTGGGAAGCCAAGGTTTACGAGAAGCCCGAAAACACTAGCATTGCCATAGGCGTCACAACGAAGCCCTACCCGTTGTTCAGATTACCCGGTATGTATATCGCCACGCCTCACGCTTGTTTCACCTGCTGACATATTCCAGGATACCACAAAGCCTCAATATCGTACATGTCCAACGGAAACCGCCGGTACAACCAGCCCTTCCAGCCCTCCGCTTACGGTCCCGCATACGTCCAAGGAGATGTCATTGGCGTTGGATACCGACCCCGAACCGGAACCCTCTTCTTCACACGAAACGGCAAAAAGCTCGACGATGTCGCCCACGGTCTCAAGACGCAGAACTTCTTCCCCACTGTAGGCGCAAACGGGCCTTGTCAAGTGCATGTCAACTTTGGCCAAATGGGCTTCGTATTCATCGAAGCCAACGTCAAGAAGTGGGGTCTAGCCCCCCAAACCGGTAGCCTAGCTCCCCCACCACCGTACGGCAGCGAACAAGGTTCGATACTCCTCGACTCTGGCCGCGAAGGCATAAGAGAGGGCATGGGCGGAAGTTACATCCAAGCGGGGTACGGACACGGACGATCCAGCAGCCAGCAAATGCGTCTTGGACGGCAAGTTCCGACGAGTCCAGGACCGCAGCGCAGCCCAACCGACATCTCCTTGGCGGCACTTAGTCTTGTGGATTCGAACGAAGACACTGGCGGCGAGGGACCCAGCGATGATCACACAACAACCATTCCTGTGAACCAGGGTCAGGGTCTTGGGCTCCTACAACCTGGCGAACTTCCCCCCGAATACAGTAGCCCCGTCGGGTCACCTAGTCTGCGAAACACAGCCGATCACCAAGAAGGTTACAACTGGGACGAGCGAGCACCGCTCCTGCAACGGTCTGGCTCAACTAGTCCACAAGTCCCTAGTTACGATGCGGCCATGGCTGATACACCGGAAATCAGACGACCTACCATTCGAGTACGCAGTGCGACTGAAGCTGGCGTCCGACCACGACCGAGAGGACTGAGATGATTGGATCGCAGTCATTGTTTCCCTTTGTATCGTTATTCCGTGATCTCAGATGGGATCTCTTTCAACTATACCCCATCGTTATTCTTTTCTTTACTTGTCAGGCTTGGGTCCAGAGAAATGTGACGACCCTACACAGAGAAGCTATCAGATATTTTTGAGCCGCCCGACCTGTTGAGGGGTCCGAGCCAAATGGCGTTTCGGAAGCGAGCATTATCACATTTCCTCTTGTTTTTACTGCTGAGGGAGTTCACGAACGAGAGCAAACGAACAAGTTGTTGCTGGCGTTTCTTATAGATGGGCTTCAATTTGGGTTGAGGTACGTGAGCGACATACGTTTTGAGCGAAGTTCCAAATTGAGCAGGCTTTTGGATCGCCTGAACTAGTTTGTAGTAGTAGTACGATGGAGGAACTCCTATCAATACATATACATCTCCATGCTTATACTGTTGAAGTCGGATATCTGTGCTACGTGAAGGATATGTGTGATCCTTGCACTGAGAAAGTATATGAGCAAGAGATGGGGTGCCATGCAGGAGTAGTTTTAGTCTGGTAAAGCCCGATAGACAGAAAGAAGAGGCAAATTAGATTATAGAACATATCTAAAATACGGGTTTTCCTTGTCTGTCAGGTCCATAAAAGCGAGTTTATCCCTCTCTTCCTCGTCGATGGGATGAGCTTCCCTTCTCTTGTTCTCCCTTGCAAGCACAGCGTAGAGCGCTACAGCAGAGGCAATCGTGATACAATAACAGATAATCAACCCCGTCCACAACCTAGGGTAATGTTTCCCTTTCTCCTGACTTCTTATAAGCAATGGCCCGACGATATTTCCTACACAGTACGCCACGAAAACTGTACCAGCCATCGCACTCTTCTTCGTTGCTCCGCTCACATTCGCCATGGCTACAACAATCGTCTGACTAACCACCGCACCAAATGTGCCGATGATGCTGTAACCGGCAACGGGCGTAGCCGCGTGATACGTCCACTCGCTCTTCCAGATCATGGCGCAACCTGCTATGACAGGGAAACAGTGTATGATGAGAAGGATGAGACGAATGTTGGGGATGCGAGAGGAGAGGTAGCCGCACAGGAGTATAGTAACAAGACAGATGAGTCCAAGCGGAAACTGCCAGAGTATGCTTGCAAGAGGCGACCAACCGAATGTATTCACAATCAGTGGGCCGAAACCAGATACCGCGCCGTTGACGGTATAAGCGGATGCCATGAGCAGAAAGATGAGATAGAACTTGATATCAGTGACTGCTTCCACAAGCTGATACGTTTTGATTTTCTGACAGCGAACGCCTGTGGCTCCCTTTCGGAGCCGTTCAACAGCGACGACGCGTTCGTGGGGGGTGAGAAACCAGGCTTCTGCGCAGGAATTCGGGATAAAGAAACACCAGATGCCGAAGAGGAAGGTTAGGCAACCGGCGAGGAGGTAGATGTACTGCCAACGACGTAAGGAGCCAGATGTTATCTGCGCGAATCCGTAGTTTAGTGCGCCCCCGATGATGGTGAAGAGGCCTGTGGAACTGAACCACCAACTTTGCCGGATGGATTGTTCGCGCTGGGTGTAGTAAGACGAGATTATGGTCATGAAACCTGTGGGTATGATGCTTTCTACAAAGCCGAGGAAGAATCTCTGCGCGAATAAACCGTGGTAGGTTGTCACGGCTGCGGTTAACATGCAGATAAGTGACCAGAGGAGTACAACGGCGCCTAGGATTCGACCCAAGTTAAAACGCTGCAGAGCGAAGGTCAGGGGATAAAGACCGGCGAGCATGCCAAAGTAGAAGAGTGATGTCGCCCAGGAAAGGCGTGTGGTGGAGACTGTTGGGGGTTTCGTGGACGCGTTTGTAACGACACTCAGCGAGAGGTCGGCCGTCATGCCGAAGAGGGCGGCGGAACCGAGGATGGCTTTATCATAGTACACTAGACCGTAGCCTAGAGATTTGTTTGTCAGGAGGTGGTTTGGTGGATGGGTTGTGTGGTTGGGACGGATAAGGCTGGCAGTTGGTGGTGGTTTTACTTACCCACGATCATGGCGGGGATGAGGAACCAATCGATCTTTCGAAGGACTTTTGCTTCAGTTTCTGGATCGATTTCTTGAGCATGCTCGCCGACAAGGTTGATTGCTATGTCTTTGTCGGTTGACATTGGAGTCGCGCCTGATTCGGGGTCATGATGAGGAGTGGGAGGCGAGGCTGTCGTTTTCTCATTTTGCTGCGTAGCCGACATTGTTGGATATGGGCCAATGATCCAGATTTCACAAAAGGACTCTAGATGAAGGCGTGAAAGGAACAGAAGAAAAGTTCTACGATGTCACATCTTCATTATACAGGCACGGCTTGGATATCCACGGGATGCCGTGTCAAAGCTAGCGTCATACCAAACCAGCATACCGAGCCTCTGCAAACTGTAAGCGAGGCCGTAGGCCAGTCCATGTTTCTGGGCATAGTATTCGCACACCTTTCTGCATACATTTGCGATTGGCTAATTAAGCTCAACACGCCGTGGGGGACGGAAGTTAAGATGAACTGGATAGGAACGCTAGTACGGGATAGGTCTAGCGCGCCAATGCCATAATCGTGAAAAACTTTCCCTTCCAAGCTCTGCGCCTTCTCCCGCTTACTCTGCCCAACCACATCCTGTGCCACCATCACCATACGTGTGTGAAGTTTGCGTATTGATTTCGTACGCATCCTAAATACCGCACATACGCCAGCATTGCTTTCTTCATCAAATCGTGATGAGAAGCGCGTCGTTGACGCAAACCTTCGGAAGCAAATGGCTCCCTGTTGTAGAACGGTCTCTTGCCTCGCTCAATCCGCTGTTCCATCAGCAGATTTCGAGCTGGATGCATACATCTCCTTTTAGGAAGTGTGTGTATGAGACAAGAATAAATGCGACGATCTTTGAGTACGGAACCGCCTGAAACCATGTGTCGGACCTCTGTAATTTATCTGTCGGGACATATCCCGTGTTATTGTGACTTTGCTTGAGGAGGTGTGTAACATGCATTGTAGGATGAGAAGGTGTCTTTTCGTTGGCTTGCTGTACATTGTATTGCGGAGTCGCTCGATATATAGTACTATACTAAGCGGAATTCCCGTAATTCGCTGCCTGCGAAGAATTCTTCTGTCATCTTCTCCCTATCATCGAGCTCTAGATAATCTATTTTTCCATACAGGGCAGGTCCGTAAAGCTTCCGACAAGCTCCAACAAAAGTGTATTCCTCATAATCAGATGTAGTGACAGGACGAAGTAGCCATGTGTGTTGTGTTCCTTTCATCATCGCTAGTACGTCTCCCATTTTCGGTCTCTCATCCTCTCTTGCTAGTCCTGCTATCAAACCTCGCAAAGTTATTAACTATGGAGTCTCTGCAATTGTCCTCGACAACGTGACTAGTATGTCCCTCACGGACGTCTCGCACTGGTTACTTGTGCATAGAGATCCCGATAGGCAGTCATCGTAGACTTTTCGGATGTTCCTTACTGGATTCGGACCAACTTCTAGGAAATAATCGAAGGCCTCGCAAGCTTCCGCGAAGACATCCGGCTTGTTCAGTTGTTGTTCTCTGCAGGCGTCCTCTAGAAACCCATCGAAACGACTGATGATGTTAAAGCATGTAACTTCACATCCAGTATCATAAGCCCGCTCCAATAAAAGTATCACTTCGCCTAGATGAACCCCTCGTGTAATGCACACCCGATCGTCCTCAGAAATTTTGACATCAGAATTAACTGATAACTCTTGCTCTTGTTGCATAGCTCTAGGTTCGAAGTAAAGGATGGTATCAGATCTGAAATCCGGAACCCAAGTTGGTACTCCCGTAAGCTTATGTGTTTTGCGAGAGGGAATAGAAAGTTCGCCTGTATGTTTAAGAATCGTAACAGTGTAGCTATGGAAGACCTCGACGAAGGGGAGGGCATAGTTTGGTATGAGCGATTTGGGGTATCCCGCAATGCCACTAGTGGAAAGAATGCCGTAGAGATAGTCGTGAGGCACGGTAGCTTTGAAGTTAGGCTGCATCTGCGATAGCATGTTTCTTGAGACAAATGCGCATATTCGGGTTTTGAGGATCTCTGCCACATCTTCATGAAAGCTCCCACGCGACCTAAGTAACTCGATTGCCCAGTTTTGAAAAATGTTTGCCCCGGATAAGTGCGTGATATCTTTGTTCTTCCGAAGAGCTTGATCATCACTATCACCGTTTCCTTCCTCTTTTCCTGACGAGCTATGAGGTTTGTCTGTCTCCGCTGTGGGTCGGCGTTTGTAAATGGCGTGATGCGTCTGCCGAAGGGCTAAACGGATTAAGTCATGACACAGTAGCCGCAACACGGTCCACGGGCTTGTAGCAACCCAAGGTTCGCTGGAGTAAAACTGGTGTATTCTGGCATATATAACTTGGATATGCCGATAGTAGCACCAGTGCGAACCGGCTAGTAATACTGGCCACTGGGCCTTTACCATCTCTTGCACAACCCAGATTCTATCGAACCATGGCTGATGAGAAAGACATTCCAAAGTGAGCTCGATGTCGGAAAGTCGTTCGTTGCTCAAGGACTCCATTATAGCATCGATACGCTTGAAAAAATTCAAAAGCTCCTTGGGACGGACGGTATCGAATAGGTCCATGATTTCTCGGATCTTTCCATCGTCTGCTCCATTTTCACCTAACCAGGCGACAACAGTTACTGCTGATCCGTAGATCGTTCCCATGCGAGGTGCCTGCATCGATTTCTCGTCCACGTTCTCTTGATCGATACACAGTGCGTCTATCCAGAACATGATGTTTGGGTTACCGAATATCTCGGGTGCATGAGAGGAATCTCCAAGGAGAGCTCTCAATTGTCGCAATCCAGCAATGAGGTTGACAGTCTTTTGCATGGGAGTTTCATCGAGCTACTGCTCTTCTGTGACGTTTGCGTCATCCCAGACGTAAGAGTGCAACATAAGTCGGTGGCTCAATTGGGTTTAATTGCTGGAATGTACGTGCTACAGAGGATGAGACCTCCGGAAACCATGCGTCTACTGGGCCGAATTCGGCTGTAGGTAGCAGTAAGTATACCAGATCGTATTGAATAGGATCAGTCCAGGCACCGGGACGAATCCTCACGAAACGTACTTCGTCCCTTACGAGTGGTCGGTAGATTTTAGCCATTTTCGAGGCTATAAAGATTATAGGATCTGTTGCTATATGAGGTAATCGATCGTGAGACAGCTACGAATGAGTGTCGCCTATAGCCATGAGGCTATGACTGGACTCTGAGGGCGATTGTCTGTTGGCTCCGGGGGCTGTGCCATGCGTGCGTATGATAGGATGATGCTGCAGGTTACAGAAAGCGCGTCGTCGACCAATGATATGCCCCCGTTACTGAGTACCTCAAATTAAGAACTTGGAAAGCATCCAGTGATACTTTCGTGGCTCTAGCGCAGGCGTCCGAACGTAAAATGGAGTAAAAGCCGGAACTTAGAATTTCACCTAATCAGCTGTCCACACAACGCCTGCTCATTGTACCTGCACGCTCTTTGTGACCGTAATGCCCGTTTTCCTCGGCCTTCCATCACGCGGTAAAATGCTTTCAAAACTGCTCTTCGCCCAAGCGAAAGCCCATTTGTCAACACGCTCCTTCGGACGTGACGTGACCCTGACCACTCCTCTCGATCCATATTCTATCAAGGCAAAGCCATCATCGGTCACTGGACGCAACTGTCTCTGATAACCCTCCGCGCTGGCCGATTTTGACTTTCCAGTCAAGCCTTGGGCAGTGTCGCGGAACCAGCTGAACAGTGGTTTGAGAGCTGGCAGTGACGCAGCGATGATACCCATGTCAAGCTCGATGAAGTTCCAGATAGAATATGAGTCGTAGATATATGGCTCTGGAACGCCGAACTGACTGGAGGAAAGCTGTCTAATGATCCCAGCGACGGCTGCAAATATACCAAGAGAGAGAACGGCGACGAGGGAGAGACGCGTACGGAGCGGCATTTGAAGCTTCCACTGTGTTTGTTAGTGTGATGGCTACTGGGAGAATAAGTGCTTGTAAGGGTCGGACGCACGATCAAAGGTATGGGAGCAAGGGCGAGGAGGAAGTCGGTAGAGATGTTCACAACTACAAAGATGTTAACATTATGTAGAACTTCAAGCACTTATGTTTAGAAGTGGAAGACTTACTGCCATTGAAAAGTCCGATAGCATCGAAAGTGTCACCACTAAAGCATTTCGCGGTGCCTGTCCCAGTAGGCGGGGGTTGCAAGTCAATATCCCACGCAGCTGCGATCGGATTACACTGGAAGATCTGAATTTCATAGGTCAGCGACTTGCCTTCCCCCAGTTGATCAACGGAGGTATCATGACATACCAATGTTCCTAGACTTGCCGATACAAAAGGAACCAGAAAGCAGATTACACCCCAGAGAAACCAGACTTGTGCACTCCTTGTGACCAGACGCAACAGGAAGAGACAAACCGAGACCTTTACCAGAACGATTCCGACACTGACGGTAGTCATATGTACCAGGCGAAACTTCAGGAGCTGCACATATCGCGGTTTGTCGGAAGTGATTACAGCGACGTGCTTCCCGACACCTAAGTGGATCTCAGTCACGTACGCTGCAAAGCACACTGTTGCAAATACCTAACGCTAGAGTATAAGTTAAACCTTCTCAGCAGCGCTTAGCATCAGGATGCTTACCAAACACACGACCATCGTCCAATCGTCCCATCGAAACGACTTGACAATAACAGCTCGTACATAACACCTTCCTAAAATGACTAAAGCCGCTATTGTGTATATAGGAGCAACCTGTGCTAGGAGAGTTGGTCCATTGCTGTACGCAATGAACTGCGGGGTCATTTCTGGTAGAGATGGCTCAGCCATGATGCCAAATTAAATGTGAAGATGGGCGAACCCTAGGAGGTGAGAAAACCGTATACTAGCATCTTGCCTCAATCTTACTTTTTGTACTTGTACTACTCTCTCTCAGAGGCGGCTGACGCAATACGGACTGCACTAACAGCCTATCGAGAAAAGACGGGACATGGCTTCAACAAAGTTTCGCTTGTGATCCTCTGAGGAGGTGGTGGCTGGAACCGTAGGATCGACGACTTGCAGTTTCAAAGTGTGCGGATGACAGGAGTAAATGCATCTTACAAGGGATACGTTGTGACAAGGTTACCATGACCATAGCCAAAGCTATGAAGCTTCTTGCTCAAGTATCTCATCCGAGTTGAGTATGTCAAGGAGCAGTTATTTCCAAGAAGCCGTAATGTTATGGCATGACCTCCACGCATTCTTATGTACGAGGCGTGCTCGGCTTAGCTTCAGGAGTAGTACCATCGTATTTGAGTTCGTTCAGCGATGAATACATGTCTACAAGTCAAGCCTGACAAGACCCAATCGTAAGACACTGCAATGCATTATGAGGCGACCAGCCGGTGGGATGGTATCTGCGATTTGGTCAGCGCGACGATGGAATGATTACAGCATTCTTAAGGCCTACCAGAATGTGGGGCCTTGCTGATATGTGGAGCAAATACCAATATTCGAGGCTCGAATTCGGGTACGCAGCACCGCAGCTAAAAGGCAGACTTGACTCGTCGCTATGACTGATTCGATACGAAATCAACAGTAGGATTGAGGTCCTGTCGCAAGAGGATTGACATCCAGGACGAGGCTTTCTCTGTGTTGAACCATTGGGGGAAAGATGCGCAGCTAGGCACAATGTGGAGACGAAATCGGCACCGGAAGAATGGATCCCGGGGACACCGTGCATACCGCCAAGTATTGTGCCTTGGCAAGATGCGGGAGCCGTCTTACGGCTTTGAAGCTCGAACGTAGTTAATCTTTTGCGGAATCCAGTTCGCCATGATGCGCGTAATTGCGTCTCGACTTCCAGGGCTGGCTAGGTGCTCCGAACCATCATCAATTCCTTCCAATACCGCTCTACCAGCGTTCGTTGTTGCCGACCCTGCTTCTCTTAGAATACATTCGCCAGTTAACCTAGGCATAGCATCATAAGACCCCCCGTGAATGGATAGAATGAATCTCCTCCACAAGTTACGAGCAAATGTACTATACTACATATCTGTAGCCGGATATGCAAGGCGCCCCGCTGCGGCTGACGGCACGCTGCTCGGATGCTTGCTGCTCGCCTGATACATGTCCTCGGATACGGCATCAAGAGGCCGGGTAAGTACTGGAACTAGGGTATGCTCCTGTTGGGATGAGATTTACGAGTCAGAACATGGTTTCTCTGCCGGTGATCCAATCAATGTACCCATGCGCAGGATCAAATTGCCACGCGAGAACTATCCGCCTTGAACACGTAGTGTTGACTATTCCGTACTCCGACGGCGATATCAACCCGCCTCCTCGGATAGGCAGTGCTTTTGATTTGACTGGGAAGATTGCCAACGACCGACTGCTCTTCCTGTTGTCTGGTCTATGAACCTTTCCTATTCCTTCTTCAAGCCCCACACCTAACTTGTGAATTGAGGAGCTTTCATGTGCGACGCCTCGCCACCACGAGCGCTCCGTCCTAGGAACATCCTTCACCTATCCCACTATAGAATAATCGATAGAAGGTAGACTCTTCTGGCTGCTTTGCGTCTGTGCGGGAAAAGGTGCTGGGATTTATGAACGAATAGTACGATAAACTGATGTAGAGTATAAGACGTTGCCTCCCCTATAGTCAAGTAATCGCCACATACAATCGTACCTTACCATCATGAAGCTCTCCAACATCTTAGTGGTGGCACTAGCCACTACAGCCAGCGCAAAGAGCAAGCCCCAGGAAGTGGATTCCCTGGCTGCCCAAGGTCTGCACAAATTGGAGGCCTACTATTCCAAGAACGCATTGCCGAGCCCTAAAAAATGTACTTTAGACAATGTAGCTGTGCGACGGGAATGGTGAGTGAACTCATACCATCTTCACGGTACTTTAGCTCACTCATCTCAGGTCAACCTTGAGTAGATCGGAGAGGCGCAGTTACATCGACGCAGTCAAATGTCTAGCGAAGCTACCAGCGAAGACTCCTGCTGCCATCGCTGCAGGTGCAAAGAGTCGATACGATGATTTGGTCGTGACCCATATCCAGCAAGCATTCACGATCCATGGAACAGCCAATTTCTTGACATGGCATCGCTATTACACGTGGGCGTTTGAACAGATGCTGAGAAAAGAATGCGGCTATAAAGGCTACCAGCCTTATTACAACTGGTACGTAACTGCCACATGTGAACTGCATGTGAGACGAATGCTGACCTCCTACTCCAATGTTTAGGGGCTACTGGGCAGATAACCCAAAAGCCTCACCCTTCTTTGACGGTAGCGACACAAGCATGTCAGGAGACGGCTTCTATATCGCGGGAAGATCCTCAGTCTGTTTCCCATCAACCGAAATGTGCTACATCCAGCTACAACCCGGAAGTGGAGGCGGTTGTGTTATATCAGGACCATTCAAAGAGTACACACTACCCTTCCCACTCTCCTTCACCGTACTCCGACTAGTTGCTAACCTGTTTTCTCTTCAGCTGGAAAATCAACATGGGCCCTCTAGCAGCAGTCTCACAGCCCCCTCCAAAAGCTAACCCCCAATCCGACGGCTTAGGCTACAACCCCCGCTGCCTAAGCCGTGACATCAGCTTGCAATCCGCTAACGAGACACGCGATGACGTCGTCGCCGCTCTGATTAGAGGCCACAAAGATATCGAGAGTTTCCAAACCGTGTTTGGAGGAGAGTTCGCAAAAGGGAAGATGGGCGCTCATGTAGGTGGGCACAACACTATAGGTGGAGATGCTGGATCAGATTTCATCAATTCGCCTGCTGATCCAGCATTCTTCCCGCATCATGCTATGGTTGATCGCGTGTACTGGACTTGGCAGAATCTTGATCTTGTGAAGAGGAAGGACGCGATTGCTGGTGGCATATCGGGGGTTGGAGACGGAGGGGCCAGGGGGACGTTGGATGATGTGTTGACGTTGGGTGACTATGTTGGAGTGAAAAATATCACTATTAGAGACGCGATGAGTACTATAGGAGGGCCGTTTTGCTACGTATATGCGTAGATGCGGTTGTTTCTACCTAAGTATTGATAATAGAACTCATAACTGTAGCCAGGTACGTTAACTGAGACTCGACGATGTATTACATTCACCGCTCAGCAACTCAAGAGAGTACTTTGACTATACCCACCAAAGCAACCCTCTCTCCCGACTCAACAATTTCCAATACCACAATATCACCACCTCACCCCCATCCACCATCCCATGGTATCATCACCTCACCCGCCCTCACCATTCCCGGATCCACATCCGTAAGCCCATTAAACTCCACGCTAACCTCTACTCCATGCATTTTCCTAAATTTTGTCCTCGCATCTTGCGTTACCGGATCTAGGAACAATTCATCCGGGAACATTGAAAGCAACCTCTCTACTTGTCTCTTCCCCGGTCTCAAAATACACACAATCTTGATTTCTGTATTAGATGGAGATGAAGTGGATTCGATCGTTGTGGGGGGTGATTTGCTGGAAGCCGGGGCCATTTCCGGAATTGTGGAGGGTGTAGATTTGGATGATCGAGAGTTTAGTACGTCGTTCAATTGTAGACAAAGTGATTCAATGACTTTGAAGCGGGCGGATCGAACGAATGAGGAGTATAGTCGGTGTGGATCTGTAGCTAGATTGGCAGGCGCAGGTATATGGTGAATAGGAACATTAGCCTGCTGGTTCTGTTGAAGATGTTGCGCCAGCGGACTAGGGTTTGGCGGGTGATTGTGCTGGCCATGCGCATGTGGTACAGGCGGACCTTGGTGATGATGTGTATGAGCACCCAGACCTAACGCTCCTTGCATGAATTGAGGGAACGGCATTGCTGGAGCCGGTGGAGGTGGAGGAGGGATCTGGTTCGCGTTACCAGCGGGATGAGCATGGCCGCCTCCACCACCAACGATTTGCGCGTTTGTAAAGACTTGGTTTACGGCGTTTTGAACCTGTTGCTGTAGAGCGTGTATCTGCTGTCCCATGGCATTCTGAACGGCTTGTACACCACCCCCCACTCCTCCTTGGGTCCCTCCTATAGGACCGACAAGTCCGCCGTGCGGCCCTGTCAGTACGTTTGATATGAAGTGGGGACACACTGCCAATCTGAGGAATACCCAGAGATTTCTCAATTTTGGCAGATCCCCTCTTAGACTCCTTTCTTCTCTCTTGCTCCCTAGATATGCTGTCCACAGTCCCAGATCTTTGTCCTTTATTCGAAAGTATACGCTCTGTATATTGACGGAGGCAGGCGATGTGACAACACGGAAGATGTTGCAGTCGCTAGGGTGCGTGAACAAGAATTTGTTTTGCGAGTACAGAATGTCCACAGCTTCGTTGTAGACCTGTTTGTTCGTCCGAAGAATATTTACGTTGACGTTACGAGGTTTGTTGGAATAGGATTCGGGCGCTGTCGCAGGCCATAAGAACGGGATATTAGAAACTAGTGCATACACATAGACGCGGTCGCGGAGTTCTCTCGGTAGAGACAAGAGGAGGGAAAAGGACGGATCGGGTTGAATTTCGTCAGTTTGCGCTTGTGAGGCTGTAGGCGTTGGGAGGACGGCGCTATGCGATGGGTTGCGGAGGCGCACTGGGCGACTTGGTGATTTTGGTGGCGCGTCAATCATGGTGGTATCGGAAGAACTGCTGCTGTTGGAAGATGAACGCGACCGCGATGGTGTCGAAGTGCGCGAGGCCATCCTTTCTGGCTTCGGATGGAAGCGATTGCTGATAAACAGCGTGGTGGGGCTGCGAAGCGATATAACGGTACGGCAAACGATGGGCGTGGTGGTAATAGTACCGTGTTGCACACGATTGGCGAAAGTAGGGACGGATGTTTCAGGTCCTTATCATGGGCGAAACGATTGAGAAGGCGAACGTCAAGAACTTATACACGCTTCGCCAGAACAAAAGCGAGGGGAAGTGTTGAACGGCTGCAACATGTGCCTCACTCATCCACTGCTGTGATCCCATCATCATCCAGCCGCTGAGAATATGGCCGCGGCTAGGCCGATGCCGATCAATATTCGCACTACCCAATTAGTTGCAGCAAAACTCAACATGGCTATTCCTGGTACCGCAAATGCGCTTTTGATATTTTCAGTTTGTCTTTGCTTTATGCTTCTCTTTTTCTGATTGGATACCAAAGTTGCTGTTGGTTCCTCGAGGTGACCATGAGCTGTTCAGTGAGCTACCCCACGGCGCTGAGCGGGGAACCGGCCTTCGGTCTTATTACAATTGGCATGTAGCCCTGTCGTACAACCTCCAGATTCGCCTATAAATTTGACACCGAAACGCGAGTGCTCTGTTACAAGCAGCGTTGGTCTTCGTCGTGGAGAGGGGACCTCGGCACGTCACTTCTGTCAAGCAGGCGTGTTGCGACGCGCTGCTAATGAACTTTATCACGTCTCGAAATGTCATAGAGTTCGATGCGCAAAATGAATAAAAAACAGCATACCAAGAGAGACTGCAAGCTTCTGGTTCCATTCGCGATGGCGAATCTTGGAGATGGGGGTACACTTTGAAGCACTAGGAAGGCAGGTCAGGCGAAATTGCGGACACAGTATCTGAAGCCATCCACTTCTTATCACTGCCCATCAAGCTGAAGCGCTGCACTGCCATCGAACATCGACCTTCCGTCATATCAGACCATGCAGTGCAAAAACAAAAAAAACTAGGTATCTGCTTGTCACTCGAAAGCACCTGAATTGAAATTTCTCCTCACGAAAGAGGCCTGAGGCGTCCGATAGACGGACCGTACCGCTGGAGCTGTGTGATTGGGATGTACAGCCCAATAAGACAAGCACGCATCTGCCATCCAATTCGACGATTGGACGAATAGTTCGCTGGCGTTTGCATTGCAATGCGTTCGATCGGCATTCAACGAGATAGACGCTGTGCGATATGCCTCTTGCAGCGCCGATAGGCGGTACTGGTACCTCTCTGCCAGTGTTTCCATTGAAAGCCTCGTTTCTTTCCACTCGGTATAGATCTTTTTATGTACGAGCCTCGTTATTGGAACTTCTTCGTGTTTCCCGACGTCTCTTGGGCGCAACTAGAGTGTTAACAGGGCGAGTAGAGCGCTTGTTAGGCGAACGATGATCGAAAGCATGTTCCAATCAAGATAGGTGACTCTATACTCGGTGACTCTTCGACGGCTTATGTCTGATCTAGAATTTGTTCGCATATGTGGATGGTCTCTCCGGTCGGTGGTTAGAAGTATTTAGATGCAACGTTGTACTAGTGTTGAATCCAGTATCTAAAGAGAGCAAGATAAAAGAGGCAAACTTATTGTATTACGTGCTTGTTAGCGATAGCTATGTGCATAAGTTAATGCTTAGAGAGTATATTAGAGATGTATGTTCTAGTCCGAACAATAATGTTATAATAATTTATCAATAGTACTTTACTAACGAACTCTAAAAATGTAGTCAGTCTTGTAGGACTTATAAACTTAGCTTATGTTGCAACCACTTCGTTGTGGGGAGTTATAAGTATCTGGAGAGGTGTAGGTGTTGGAAGATGAACAGGTATGGGGATGGACAGAGGGGATGGATGCGAGGAAGGCTAGGGGAAGGGTTTATGGGATCTATGGTTGGAGGTAGGGGTGGGTAAGGAGGATTAGTTAGATGTGAGGTTTGAGATGGTCCTGGTATGAACGGATTACTTGTCTATTAATCTATGTTAAGGTAAGTTTGACGTATGGATATTTGTCTTACACTTTGGACTTAAGCGTGTAAGGAAGTCGCGCACTATCTATGTTCTTGTGCAACTTCACCCTCCTTTGTTTGGATTCTTTACACTGGATCTTTGGAATTTCAACCTTACTTATGCTCACTGGCACGACTAAATTATATACTATCCGGCGAGCGAAGAAGGCGGCGTCGCTTTGCTAGCTAGACGCTCACTACGACGAGTCTGCTGGTGCTGATCGTTCATTGTACCCGCAACGTCGCGTGAAGCGGCAACGCGGCTGGGTGGGTCATCGCACTGGAACTGCTTGCTGGAAGTCACGGGCTGCACATCAAAGCTTGCTGTCCTCGGCGCACGCTGAAGAGTAGGCGATTTGATCGCCGAAACATAGGGGCCTTTACACAAAGTAGAGGACTGGCGGCGATACTTGGCGTTGATGAGGGCATCGATATCAGATTCATCTATGAAAGCCTCGTCATCGCCGATAGGGAAGGCTTCGAGGTCTAGGTTATTCCAGGTTGGGTCGTAATTGGCGGGGAAGAGGTTGCTAAGGCTATGTTTCCGGGAATCGAAAGGCTGAGCGGGTGCGTAGCCGGGCATAGGATCGTTCGGTTGGTGGTAGAGAATGGACTGTGGGATGATGTCTTCTGGTTCACAGTAGTCGATACGCTGCTTCTTACGAAGACTCAGGCGACGGGGTTGCCGATGCTCGATACCGGTGCCGGTCTCTTCAAGCACGTCTGAGTCTTCGGATTCGTCGGCAGTGGCTCGACGCCTCGTAGATGAGCTTCTGGAAGCCGAGTGCTCGTCGCTGGATGAGCCGCTATCAGAAAATTGGCGCTTTTTGGAGCGCTTCCGTCTAATAGCCTGAGTCTCATCGCCAGAGTCCGCAGAAGCAACTGTTCGACGTGCCTTAGTGCGCTTGTTAGCAGTTCCCTCTGCATCTTCGGCGATGAACTGATCCCGTAGAGCTTCACATTCTTTGATGCGCTGCTTAATCTCAGGGTGAAAAAAATCATAGTAGGCAGAGTAGTCAAAGTCCTTCTTAGACCCACTCCTCTTGAAGTCCGCAAAAGCATCCATCTTCTCAATCTTCTTGTCGACAAGCTTAACCTCCATATCACCGCGGTGGACCGGAAACGAACCGGGGCGAATCTTTCGCTGGAGGATGAACTGCTTCATCTGCGACTTTGCACGATGCTTCATATTCATTCCGTAAAGTTTGTAAATAAGCGTACGCTCGTGTGGCTTAGGCTCGCCGCGCTCGTAGTCCTCATGGACAGGGTAGTTAGAGAACTCGTGGGTATCAGCTAATCGGCCTTTGCTAGCAGCTTCAATGAACTTGCTAGTTAATGCCGCTTCGTAATGATGCTTTGGGCCAAAAGCGGCGCCGAAGCGGCCACTTGGCTCCTTTTCCATGGCTACACGCTGATCAACCTTGACGTCAGCAACCTGGCAGATATATGCAAAGTCTAGGAAACGCTCCATACAGTATAAATGAGCGTAGCCAACACAGTCGTATGGGTCGGCTACGCCAGTGCCGTATGTTCGGTGCTTTTCGTCAAACGCGACGCGGTAGTTGCCAACTTCGGCGGTGCCTTTGCCGGTGTACACACGCATCGGGCACTTTTCGAAGCGACAATGGCTGTGAGATGCAGAAGCATAACGACGGGCGACGTCTGAAGCTACAGGCTGGATCCAGATGCGGAGATTACCGAAGGGGTATTGCGTGATATACTCGTGTATCTGGCGAGCAGACATGGTGCGCTTCTTGAACTCATGCATGCCATTGTTCTGACTGTACTCAAACTTGTACTTGGCCGTTTCCCAGTCGCCATGTGGAAGATCCTTAAATTTGTACTTGCGACCTTCTTCGGCGTGTTGGTTGATACGAGCAGTGCGAGTGGTCTCGCCCCTGGTCGTGTTGTTGACACGAACCCAGGGCTTGTCGTCGCACTTCTTTGGCTTCTCACCAGCCTGGACTACAGCTACCTTTACTGGTTTGCTGACGGAGCTGGTATTAGAAACATCGGAGTGGTGGCGAGAATCTTGTGATGACCGAGTGCGTTTGGCGGGCTGCCCGCGAGGTCGCTTGACAACGGGCACATCGTTACAAGACCCGGAGTCAGATCGATCATGTTTTCGATAGGGTAGCTGCCGAGTGGCGACAGACTGGGAGGTGCGACTCGATCGGCGAGAGCTTGAGTAGATGTTATCGAGCGGTTGTATTCTAGTCTGAAGCTCGGTTGGCATCGCAACGTATCCAGTATACTGTTGCGGATACGACTGTTGCGTCGATTGGAAATACGGCTGAACCGGGTATATTGAGCCATAAGGGTCGGGGTACATTTGTGGGTGCTGGCTAACGACTGGATACTGCGACATATCTGGCATAAAGAAGTTGCCACCAGGAAGCGCAGAGAATCCAGGTGTGGCGTCTAAAAGCTGAGACGGTACTTGGAAGTTAGGATCCCAAAGATGAATATCTTGCGCATAGTCGAGACCAGAGTCTAGGGGTTCGTTACCGAACGACTCTACAGGAACAACGCCAGACAAATCCTGCCCGGCCTCATTCTGGTTGATGTTCTGGTCTGATTGGTTATTCTGGTCAGCGTTCACAGGCGAAAACGTCAAACTAAGGTCAACTTGGTTGTCGGGAGTGAATTCGCTGAACTGAAATGAACTAGCATCAAGTCGGTCCATAGGCATTCCATCCATGGCTATGTCCATGCCATTGGTTCCCGTCCGTGCGAATGCATCTGGACCGAAGATGTCATCCTGAAATCCATCATTAAGATTGAACTGCTTCAGATCGAACTTGCCGAGGAGGCAATGGTCAATTGTACCAGACAGACCAAGCACGCTTCCAGAGCCGCTTTTCTTTAGAGATTCAGCTTGGCTATGGGTGCATGTTACATTCGCACCAGCTCTTTCCAGATAAGCATCTGCTATCGACTTATTGGAGATCGAGTGATCTCGAGGACTGTCAGGGGTGGCAAATGCTGATTGATGATCGTATTGGGTGAATGAGTCTGGTAGTTGATCCTTCGATATGATCCTTGGAGAAATTGGTGATTGTGAAACAATAGTTGGATACATGTCGGAATATTCTCTGATAGGTTCAAAGCCCACGGGACGCACAGATAGCACGGCGCATATCGTACATATATATGAGCTCATAACACTCTTTCATCAAGTCTTGTAGAGTAACAGGTTTACATTAGACAAAGGAATGTAGAGAAAATATGGAGGTACACATCATTGTGCTGAGCCTATAAAGCGGTCATCAAAGGGTGGCCAGCCAGTGAAATACCAGCATTGTTCGAATCCTTCCATCACTGTCGAGTATAGCTATCACTCAGCATCGTGGCAATGGTTTGCTTCATGCAAGTATTGTGTCGAAAGAACCGTTAAGTCATGTATCTGTTCTTTGTTAGTTTATCAGTTCTCAAACGTCGGTGGAGAGAAGCAGATAGCCAAAGAAGGTGATCAGATAATATAAAGCAAATTTTTCGACACAATTTTTACGAACAGGTCTGTGAATTTTGTCTTTTTTTCATCATGAAAGGAGGGGGGAAGAAGAGAGGTATACATACCAAGTGGCTGTATTAGAGTGCTGCGCTGCACTTGGGGCGAGACTGCATAGCCTGCATGTTGAGAAATAGCAAAGCGAACAGCTAAGAACCTTTATCAAAGGCACTGGCGGAGTACGCGCTGCGCTTTTAGCTGCTGGTGGAAAAGTCAAGACGCGCAGCTCGAAGACAAAGAACGAAACTTTTGCCAGGGCGCTAGGATCGGAGTATCTAAGTCGCCGAAAGGCCGGACCATCTCCAACCACACGGGCCTTCCCGACCTGACACTTGTGGCTTCTACGACCGTTTGCCTTACGAGTAATCTTCGCCTTAGGAATCCGCATGTCTGGTTCTTTCCCGTTGTTGGGGCGATCAAACACGCGCGCCGCACCTGCACGTGTATTGTTTGGGGATGTTCCCATCTGCATTAGCCCCACGCGAAACACGCCTCACGTTCCATGGTCAAACACGGACTGTTTAGTCAAACATAATCACTCTCGAAGAGTGTTAATCTACCGCATCTAGAGGACAGATTGAGATGCTGTCAAGAGAAGACGTTCGTGGTTCGTCGATTCTAGAACATCAAAATATGCCCTTTGCGGCATATCTAAGCGGTTGAAAGGTGGCAAGGCGAGATGAACGCTAAAACACATGTTTCCGGTAGAAACAGCCCAACAAGGTGTGAATAGCGTGCTGCTTCCTAAACTGCTCGAGATTGCAGTTTCAATGTTGGCGAGGCTTGACTTCTCATTGGCAGATTCAAACTCCGATCTCATACAGCCTCAAACTTCCCCACGCTTTCTATTCATACCTTAGCCTTCGACACTATCATTTCCAGTGTATCTACTCTCCTGATTCTTAACAGCCAGTCCTAGGCATCGCGTTTCAAAGATCGGCACTTCCGCTTGAGGTATCTCGATGACAGGGGCATCCACGCATCAAACATTCGACGAAGTTCTGAGAACACTGTGGTGGGACATGGGGGAAATGACCCGCCTGGGTTACATCGGTAGATGCCAAACGTCTGGGATACTTCTCCTACGATATCCAGGTAAATCGCAAACCATTCAGGTTGCCGCAACCATCCATAGCCAATCGCTGCTCACTCGCAAGATAACAAAGTTCTTGATCCATACTATACACCCGATCCCTCACCATCATGCAACGTGTGCATTCGGGATGTTTCCTACCGGGACTATCATGTACAAAGCCATGCGTTCATAATGCCACGGCTACCTCTACCTGCACTTTGGACCCTTTCCCGTCGTGCTGCTTCTCTCGATTGTCGATTCTCCGCCAGTGTGTGGTTGGTCATTTCTCCCCTCTCGGACCTTACTCCTCTACTTCAATGTTTATTCTCTTCTAGATGATGGCAAGCTCAAAGCTTCAGGAGCTGGTGCTCCTTGGTTCGATTACATTCTACCTCATAATTACCCTTCTTATTCTCAGCTACGTCACGGTCGGTTTGCGGTTATGGGTGCGGTATCGCATCACGAGATCTCCAGGTTGGGATGACGCCGCCATGGCGGCCACGCTTATGCTGTTTACTTGCTATTGCGCATTCATACTCGCAATCACCTTTCGGAGTATGGATCGAAAACTCTTCAGCGAAGAGGCTATCCACGTAACTTTAATTGTACGCACCTGCTGATCTCATACTTCGACCACAATGCTGACAACCTAACAGTTTATTCAATTATCCGAAGTCTTCTACATCCTCACAACAACCTTCCTCAAGGTCTCCCTCGGTCTCTTCTTCCTGAGAGTCCTCACCAAGAAATGGCAAAAGCTCGTATTCCACGTCATACTCGCGATCAGTGCGACATACGGATTCTACTACGTCTTCATCGCGCTGTTCCAATGTGGCGACCCAACACGCCTTGCCGATAGTCTGTTATTACCGTCTTCACCCAACTGTCTTCCATCCGCTCTACTTCTTACCTCGGGCTACCTCTACGGCGTTATCAACGTCATTGCTGATTGGACGTTTGTACTGATACCAATCACTGTCCTACTGGACAGCGACCTCGACCGAAGGAGTAAGATTAGCGTCAGTATCGTCATGGCGCTAGGTGCAGTGGGAAGTGTGAGCTCGATCTTCAGAATGGTTTACCTGAAAGGACTGGGTCTACACGCGGGCGGTCTAAGTAGTAAGTCTATTCACACCTACAAGAGCTCAGCAGTTGCATGTCCTGACAGTTCATCCAGCCGAAGCAGTAAAAGCAACAATATGGGCAACGGCTGAACCAGGTACTGGCATAGTCGCAGCTTCAATCGCCATCCTTCGCCCGCTCTTCCGTCAGATCGCTTCAGACGTTCGATCAAAAGCGTCTCATTACTCGCACTCACGGAAAGGGTCACAACAATCCGATGACTCTATTGCGCTGACGAGTCAAGACTCTGTTGCCCAGGCCATGAAGAACAAGAAACATAGCCTTTATCGAGTGAGTGATGATCTCGATCCATGGAGTCCGACAATCGTTGCGACGGCGGATGTGCAGAGGATGATTGTGGTGAAAGGGAGAATGAGCCCTGTTCCTCCGTCAACAACGAGAGCGAGGCAGGATGGTATGATGTGATGCATGTACATGTGCTTGTATTTAAGTGTGTGTATATACGATATGAGTGTATGATGCGATCAAAGTGGAAATGGAGGGCCCAGGAGGACTTCAACTTATCACCAACGTTAAAAGTCTCATCATGATGGTGTATCGAAGACCTGAAAATGCAGTACAAATACTTATTCTACTCCGTAATCCCCAATCCACGTTATGATCTGCGATGCGGTGTCGTGTTGCACTTCGTCGTAGCTTTGCTGTCATGCTCTGGTGGTGTTCCTGTCGCCATCCCACGGTATGCAGTAGAAAGTCCCGACTTGTAATATGCCATGACTCTCAAGTTGACAAGTAATCCTGAGCATCGCACGAGTGCTACCGCGATCTACGATTTACCTCGGTGGAGTGATGATTTGGTGGAGCTAGGCTTAACGGATGACGTCCCGAAAAGGCCAAACGCGGGAGGACGGCCCCAGGCACAGCGGAACATGGCGAGTTTGGAGCTTGGAATTGGTTATCCCAAGGTCACCAACCATGACATAACTACCTCCTTATCCGCGCCATGCGTCCTTCGCAGCAAGAGACGACATGTGGAAACCGAACCTCCACCTTCAGAGAGGCGCAATAAGGCCTCGGGTTGCTTGCATCTGCGCGCACGCCTCCAAGCTCCCCTCGACGACGACGCACCTTCCCCGCCAGCGGCGCTGCTTCCACGAATACTTCATAACACACATACCTTCGACATCGCTGCATCCCGACTCGCGAGTTAGGCAACCTGCGCTGCATCATAAGCTTCCGCGCGACAAAAGCACGCCGTACAATGCTGATAAGTCGGGTCGGTCGCCGGCTGCCGTCGTGGGCACGTCGCGCGAGATGACCGTCGTACGCATACCATTGAAGAGCGCCAAACACCATTTTGGAGTCTCACTGTCGCGAGGAACGCGGCCATATAACGAAGATGCTTTCCAGGCGGGTACCATCGATCTCCCCGCATTCGCACGGCGGCGACCCATGTCTCTGAGTAGAAAGGGACAGGGCGCGGACAACAACGAGGTCACACCAGATGTAGGTGCCAGTGGAGATCCTCAGGTCTTTTATTTTGGCGTCTTTGATGGACATGGTGGCGCCGAGTGTTCTGGCTTCTTGAGGGAGCAGCTGCACGACTACCTGGAAAAGGCGACCAAGCAATTCGAGCTCAAGAGCAGTCTCGCGCGGGAAAGAACAGAGATGCAGTCTGGTTCTCCAAAAGCCAAGGGTGAGGCAGCTTCTGGCGACCGAAGGCAGAGGGACAAGGAGAGTCTAGACGCTATCGAGACACATACGCCACCTGGCACAAAGGCCATGAAGCCGCCACAACCTGGAAGTAAAGACCAGCTGCCGACCGCCGGCTCCAAGTCTATGAATGGGCCAATCGAGGGCGTTCCACCAGTGCGGCAGTCGGACAGCGTGCGGAAAGCCGAGGAGCTGGAGCAGCAGTTGGTCAAACAATGGAAGGAACTTGTGGGCGGATACTTCAGACGCTTCAAGCCCGAGTACTTTTCCACGTCCGCAGGCGGACGCGGCCATGCAGCTGAAAAAGAAGTCATTGAAAAGCGTCACACGAGCACTCCAGCAATAGCCGACGACGTCAAAGAAGGCATTGGGATCGAGACTGTGCTAGAATATGCTTTCCTCAAAGCCGACTATGATTTTGTAGCAGCCCAGGTTGGCAAGAAGGAAGAAGATCCTGTTCGTGCGGATAAGGCTCTCAACGACGATGATATCCTAGGCCAACCCTCACGCACAACTACCAAAAACATTGGTGGCACGAACCGCTTCAAAGGAGGCAGCACATGTAGTGTAGCTCTCATTTCTACACCCACACCATCACCCTTCTGGCACCCTTCCTCCCCATCATCCCTCATTACCGCCCATGTTGGAGATACCAGAATCCTACTCTGCAACACTGCGACAGGTCAGGCTGTCCCCCTAACATCCAACCACCACCCTTCGCTCCCCGAAGAAGCCACCCGTCTCCGCCGTTTCGCTGCCTCATTCGTAACCGACTCCTTCGGCGAAGAACGCATGTCCGGCCTCGCAAACACGCGTTCCTTTGGCGACATGGCACACAAACGCGTCGGCGTATCCGCCGAGCCTGAGATCCGTAGGATAGAACTCTCGCCCGCGGAATACTCGTTCCTTGTCTTGTGTTCAGATGGCGTGTCTGGCCATCTTTCTGACCAGGAGATTGTGGATATTGTCAAGGAGGCCAAGACGCCGGAACAAGCTGCGAGGGATGTGGTTAGTTTTGCTACTGAGACTTCGACTGGCAGCGAAGGCGCAGACAACGCGACCGGTCTTGTTGTTCGATTAGGGGGATGGGAAAGGAGGGGCGAGGGTGGATTGGGCAGCTTAGGCACGAAGGAGATGAGGGATTGGAGGAAGCAGGAGGCGGAGAACCCAAGGGCTTCGGGTAGGATGTAGGTGTTTCCTTTTTGCGATATGACTTTGCATTACTGGTGTTGATTGAGTCCGTAGCGGTCGGACTGCATTGCATTGTACATAGTAACTACTACTATATCGATTTCTCTATGCCTTCCAGAATCCATGTCTCCGCCCAGACTGATCTAAACTTGAGTTGATCCTTCTTCCAAACTTGACCTAATAGCTCGCATGCCTGCCTGGGTAATGTCATGTTTGATCTAGGGCTCAACTGCAGGTTTTCGTCATGGCTACCATTTCCTCAAACACATCCGGTCATGTAGGCTGCCGCGATGACAATGTTCATGTACTAGAGGATGCACCGATGCTCATTCGTCATGATGATGCGCGCGTATTGTCCAATAGCCTAGAGGTGATTGACAGACTGCAGGTGATGGCTTGGCTACAAGACGAGTCGACAACATAGCCAAATCGACGACTTGAGGGTAATGCACAACGAGGGTGGGTGTCATAACTCTATGCAATGTCAGTGCAGGATGGTAGGACCCTCGTTCCAGTGTCATGGCTTCCACAGGGCTGCATGCGGGAGGGCGAGCTTGAATCTGGGGGGGAAGGCACGATGCGCAAGCGAGCCAATGCGCCGTTGCCAGGCGGGCGCTCTTTCCTCCAAGTTGCCGGCGAACTCGTCGATGGTGCCTGAAGCAGCTGGAAGAATAAATTTCTGCCCAGTCTCACCTCCAAAGACACAACGACGTCTCAATATCAAACATTGTGTCTGTTTGCTGTCTTGCTTACTGCTCTTTGACCGGCCTCTCTTACACCCGTCACCAAAGTCCGCTCTGTTAGTGGGGCAGACCCTTTAGGAGGAAAACAACACGTGAACTAGGCCTGTCTACGCTCGACCTTCTTTCGCTTCAAATTCCCTCCCTACGACGACCGCCCACCGCAACTTGTACACTCTCTCTCTACCTTCCTGCCGCAACACCTTCTGCTTCTCCCGCCACCGCGGCTCTTTAATTCTTCCCACCGCTAGATACCCCGCCTTGAGTCTTTGAAGCACCCTTCAGCAATTATGGATATCAACCAGGTGTTGGAGGGGACCTATGCTGCTGGTATGCTGCCTTCACTGCGACCCGCACTTTTCTAGAAGCCCGACTGACTCTTCCTGCAGACGCTAGCATCCGTAACAGCGCCGAGCAGCAGCTCATCCAGGCAGCCGACTCTAACTTTGTAAGTCCCCCCCCCCGCAGTCAGAAGGCTGCATGTGCTTCCCGAGACATACCCAAAACACATCCGCTAACGCCTCTCTTACCAGCCTCAATACCTCACCGTCCTCGGCGGCGAACTCGCAAATGAAGAAGCCGCTCCCCAGATCCGACAGGCCGCCGCCCTGGCCCTGAAGAACGCTTTCACCGCTCGCGAGTATGCCCGGTTACGTCAGGTCCAGGAACGATGGCTCAACCTCGATACCCAGATCAAGCAGCAAGTCAAGGACATGGCTCTGCGTACTCTGGCCACACCAAACAAGAATGTAGGCTCTGCTGCCGCACAGTTCATTGCCTCCGTCGCCGCGATCGAGATACCCCGCAATCAATGGCCGGAGCTGATGACCACGCTCGTTGAGAGTGTCGGTCAGGGCACCGACGCCCAAAAGCAATCTTCGCTTACCACAATTGGTTTTGTTTGTGACACAGACGACGTAGAGCTGAGGGATGCACTAGCACATCACTCCAACGCTATTCTGACGGCTGTTGTTCAAGGTGCCCGCAAGGAGGAGGCCAACAACGACGTCCGTGTCGCAGCCATCAACGCCCTCAGCGACTCGATCGAGTTTGTGCGCTCCAACTTTGACAATGAAGGCGAGCGCAACTACATTATGCAAGTCATCTGCGAGGCCACACAAGCGGATGACAGCCGCATTCAGCAGGGTTCGTATGGATGTCTCAACCGCATCATGGGTCTCTACTACGACAAGATGCGCTTTTACATGGAGAAGGCGCTATTCGGCCTCACCATTCAAGGCATGAAGAGCGAGGAAGAAGATGTTGCCAAGCTTGCTGTTGAGTTCTGGTGCACCGTTTGCGAGGAGGAAATCGCCATCGAGGATGACAACACACAGGCTCAAGCCGAGGGCTCCACCGAGCTCAGGGAGTACTTCAACTTTGCACGAGTTGCCACACAGGAGGTCGTTCCGGTGCTGCTCGAGCTTCTTGCCAAGCAAGATGAGGATGCCGACGACAACGAATACAACACCTCCCGCGCAGCATACCAATGCCTACAGCTCTGGGCACAATGCGTCGGCAGCGGTGTTATGCCGCCAGTCCTTGCCTTCATCGAGAAGTACATTCGCTCGGAAGACTGGCACTACCGGGATGCGTCCGTTTCCGCCTTCGGTGCCATCATGGAGGGTCCCGAGGAGTCGGTGCTAGACCCGATTGTCAAGCAAGCTCTGCCCACCTTAATCGGAATGATGGACGACCAGAACATCCACGTTAAGGACTCCGCCGCTTACGCTTTGGGCCGCATCTGCGAGGCTGTTCCTAGCGCGCTCGACGCACAGCAGCATCTGCCTCCTCTAATAGGAGCTCTATTCAACGGTCTAGCCAGCAACCCCAAGATGGCTGCATCCTGCTGCTGGTCGTTGATGAACTTGGCCGACAGGTTCGCAGGAGAGCCCGGATGCCAAACTAACCCATTGTCGCCTCACTTCGCCCAGAGCGTGCAGAGCCTTTTGCAGGTCACCGAGCGTGCTGATGCTGATAACACCCTCCGCACAGCAGCATACGAAGTCCTCAACTCCTTTGTCAACAACGCCGCCGGCGACAGTGTTCCTCTGGTCAACGAACTCTCCAACGTCATTCTGGAGCGTCTGGAGAAGTCTATGGCACTCCAATCTCAGGTCGTTAATGTTGAGGACAAGCTAACTCTCGAAGAGATGCAGACCAGCTTGGCCAGTGTCATCATGGCCATCATCCAGCGAATGGAGAGTGACATTAGGCCCCAGTCCGACCGCATTATGCAGGCGCTACTCAGTCTTCTATCATCTCTACCCCCGAAGTCTAGTGTCCCTGACACCGTGTTCGCCGCCATTGGTTCGATCGCGACTGCTCTGGAGGAGGATTTCCAGAAGTACATGGAGGCTTTCTCTCCGTTCCTGTACAACGCCCTCAACAACCAGGAAGAGCCCGCTCTCTGCTCCATGGCCATAGGACTGGTATCTGATATCACCCGATCCCTGGGCGAGAACGTTCAACCCTTCTGTGATGCATTCATGAACTCTCTTCTCCACAACCTCCGCAGCCCTCAACTCGGTAACCAGCTTAAGCCAGCTATTCTTCAGTGCTTCGGTGATATCGCACATGCTATCCACGGTGCGTTCGAGACATATCTGGCTGTTGTTGCCCAAGTGCTCCAACAAGCTGGCCAAGTCACATTGACCACCGAGGGTAACTACGAAATGATTGACTACATTACTTCTCTTCGGGAGGGTATCATGGACGCATGGGATGGATGCATTGTTGCCATGAAGAGCAGCAACAAGAGTAAGTGTGATAACTTTTCATGTCGACGACATGCTAATGACTGCAGCTCAACTCATCGTTCCTTACTTGGACTCAATCTTCGAACTTCTCCGTACCATCCAAGCGGATAGCAACCGTACTGAAGCTCTTCTACGATCTTCGTGTGGTGTTATCGGGTGAGTACAGACGTCTAGCCTTTGATATATCCCACTAACACAATCCAGCGACCTTGCCGATGCTTTCCCAGCTGGTGACTTCAGGGAGTACTTCCGCCATGATTTCCTCACCGCGATGGCGAGGGAGACACGCGCAAACGCAGACTTCAGCGGCCGAACACGAGACACTGCTCGATGGGCACGTGAACAGATCAAGCGTCAAGTCGGTACGTCGCTCGGCAACAACCCCTACCTCCGTCCTGCTCCTCTCTAGTAGAGTCGACATCCCCATTATATATATTTTAGCCCACTGACGTCCCTTCCTCAGGCGGCAACCAAGGCGTAATGGCCTGAGTGTCTTGATACCCCTTCCTTCCCAGCACTGCTTGACCTATGTTTTGGTCATTATGTTGGATGACTTCCCGTGTGGAGGTACTGTCTAGCATGTGGCTAAACTGTAGGTCTTAGCTCCCTTTCGCGTATCCCAGCACCTCGAAGCACAACTCGGAGCCTATCCGTTCGAAGAATGTCGTCGCGCACGGAACGTCGCTTCCATGGAATCATCGGTCTGCATCCCTCGCAGTCGCCCGAGTATTCTTCACAAAGCAACATCGTCAGTTTTGTCACGCATTGTTGGAGAAGACGAAATCGGCTTGCCGCAACACGATGATGTCACAGGTTCCAGGTATTGGGAACGGCTTGATGGTATGGAGAGCTACCGTCCAGTCATGGATACGATTTCACGCGTCTGTGGTCACCTGGCACTTCCTAAAGCTGTAACACACAAGAGACATCCAGCCCACAGTATCCCGACACCGCGGCACCCCATCCAATCCGACCCTATCACCCATGCGCATCCCCCCAAATGACCGTCGAACCCGAATCGCATAGCACCCTCTCCAACCCAATCATGTAGCACCAAAAAGTCTTGTAAGGCAGAGCGTATAGCTACTAGCCAGGAGAATAGATCCTTTTCCATCCTTTTTTTTTTGTACACCCACTTTCGGTGGTTCCTTTTCTTCACCATTGGGAATAGGCGTTTATACCATTTTGACCTTCAAGTGGTTTTAAGTGGTTTTGTGGATATATGCTGGGTTTATAGTTGTAATGATTATTGCTGTATAGACTTGATATCTGAGGCTTGGTGAGGTTGGTCGTGATGGTCATGTTAGGCGTATCGTGATACTGTATTACTCCTCAGGATCTGCGCTCAAACCAAGTGCAATCGGGTCAAGACAGAGTCTGCAGGACCTGCACTTTCATCACTTTCTTTTGAGTGGGTAGCAAAGAAGCCACTTGCACCCATGACTCTCTTTCCCCATTGTCGCTCTACAATACAAGTCACTACTAACACTTTTCACTCAACCACCACTACCAAGATCTTCCACTCCAACTAACGAAGCGACCAATCAGCAAATCAAGGTAAACCAACGATTTCTCTGATCAAGCCGGCGCCGCCGAAAAACCACTGCGAAGATTTTACAACGCTTTTGCAGTCTTGGCTCAAGCAGCGGGAAGGTGTGTTTGTCTACGCCTTCATATGCCCCTTGTGCGTTGAAGATCAGATCCGCAGCCAATACACGCGGTACTCGGAAGAGCATCGCAGGAACAAGATGAATGGAGGAAAGCTGACAGATGATGTAGGAACGAATGTGCAGATTTGGACATACGACGCCGTCCTGGAGGCTGTGGAGAGGGGAGGTAGGGTTTGTTGAGGGATTTATAGGAGCTTTTCGGATCAAGTTTCTACAAGGGTTCAAGTTGTTAGGATGGGGGCGGAGGAAAGATGGAGACTATAGGGTCTGGATGCTGAGAGGTGGAGCAGTAGATGAAGATGGTGGAGAAGGAATGGAGATGGAAATGCAGACGGTTGTGCGTGACCAAGGTGCAGGTGACGAGGGCGTAGTAGAGGGAACGGACCGAGATGCGATCGGAGTCGAAGGTGTAGAATTAGAGGACCTAGCGGATCGGCTTATGAATGCAAAAAATTGCAGTTGACCAGGATGATATTGTAGTTGCTCTTATGGATGGACTTTCAAAACTTTAGATGGTCACTGCTAGGTCATGGGTATGGAGAGTGGGTTACTACACCACTACGCAAGAATGGCCTTACTTGTTCAACTTCGTACAACAACAATCCGACACTCATGACCTACTGGTGCATGCTGATAGCTTACTAGAGCAGACCTTGCATACTGGTCGCCTTTATCGAGAGGTTGACTCTCTTCTTCCTTGCTTTCGCGAGGAATACAAGAGCAAATCTTTGAACCACTAACGGCATGATGTCATGCAAGTACGTCGACATGACACGACGCTCAGGCGTGTGAGCAATAAGGGTGTTTGAGTGGAACCCAGGGAAGCATGATGTGGTAGATGATGACCAAGTTCTCACTTCCTGAGTCGCATCATATGTTTGGTAGCGGTATTGGCTGGAACGTCATGTACCGAATCTGACTGTGAACAGATGTACGTCTTACACTACCTCATATCAAGAAAGGTAGCTGGTCACGACCTAGTAGTCGTACTTGGAAGGGACGGGCGGCGATTCGATGATCCTAGTTAGCCACAAGGGAATGATGCAATCGAATCCTATCACGACGTCAGGCAACAAAACAGGTCAGCAGCGGAGAAGGGTCAAACCACAGCCGAATCACCCCAAAATGTATCCTGAACTCTCCACATCAACGCCAGGGTAAGGGAGCGGTCCAAGAGTATCTAAAACACATGATTATTGACAGACAAGTCATCCAGAAAAAGGAAGAGACGAGCTGGTCCTATGTGCTATTAGCAGCCATGAGTCCTCCATTTCCTGGTCAATGCCATAGTCGCAATGCCGTTGATGTGCGACGGTCTGTGAGGAACCTATGAGACCAGCGTAAGATCTGAACAAGGCCGTGTTCCTTCACAGACATACCGAAGCAAGCAATAACCCATCAATCTCTCGCCCGTCGTTTGCCTAAACAATCTTGCACGTCATCCAACCAGACATTATCCTTCAAGTGTCCACCAAGACCTCCATCCGTAGTATCTCTGAACCTTTGTTGGTCCTTCATGTGTTCGTGACAGCGCAGCCTCGACCATTGAAAGCACTGCACGGTGCACGCTTTCGCCCGCACGGCACAAGGACCAATACCCAAAAAAGAACAAGAAAGGAAAGAAAGCCGTATCATACCGTCAACGCCATGCATACGTACCAGAGGTGTAAGATTGTGCCGCGGTAGGAATCGTAAGATTGGCCGAGAGAACAAGCCGTAAAGAAACTGTATGAACCGATGGGGTTTGCTGTACACATGAGTAATTGGGTATGCTCGGCAATAGTGGTTACCGAACATCCCGCGACAGTTGTGACGTACCGATCGCTTAGAACCTGCTCGCAGCAGCATCCCACAGGGAGTTGTAGATCTTATCAACAACATACGAGGCGCGGATGGTGCGGCTGTTGAACGTGCGACCGTTAAGACCTTGGAGAGCCTTCTCACCCCCGGAGACTGAATCAAACTTGACGAAGACGTCTCCCTCGCTGTTGGCGTCAACTGCAATGTGAACGACCTTGCCGTACTTCTTGTCGCACTCAGCCTTGATCTCGACCTCAAGGTCCTTGACCCAGTTATCGCCCCAGTTGCGCTGTTCCCTGATAAAGTGTTAGCTAATATACGCAAGAGGAAGGAACAACTTACTCGTCAGCATCGAAGACGTTCTCAATCTTGACGCACTTGGAAGCCATGGGAGTGGCAGGAGTGGGTGCAGTAGGTTTGCGAGTGGTAGGTGTAGGCATAGCAGACTGACTGCCCTGCTTGGAGTCGGGGGCGTCGCGGCGAGCTAGAGCGTCCATGAGCCTGCTGCGGTCGTAAGTCTTGTAGTTGACTCCAGCGACGTCGGTGTCGTCAAGAGCAGAGGCACCGCTAACGCCACGGTCGTCCTTGCTGTGGGTGCGGTCGAAGACACCACCAGAGCCACCAGCGTAGGCGCCACGGCCACCAGCACCACTGAAAGCGGAACCTTGGTAGGACTGCGCTTGTTGTGTGAAAGTCCGGAGGAGGTTGGCGGTCGATTCTGGTGTGAACTTATCGTTACCGAGACCAACGCGGATCTGGCGGCCAGCAAGCTCAAAACCGTTCATCTCTGCGAGAGCATTTTTAGCGTGCGAAGGATCAACGAACCTAAGATGTGTTAGCCATCATATCGTGCAAAGCGGGCGTAGAAATGACTTACTGAACGAAACCATATCCCTTGGAACGGCCAGGGTTCATCTCATCGCGCTGGAGAATGACCTGCTCAAGCTCACCAAAGGGCTCGAAGATCTCCTGGAGATCCTTTTCAGTGACACTGAAGTGAATGTTGCCAACGTAAAGACGGTGGAACGGAGCGCCGTTAGCACCAGGGGCAGCGCCACCCTCGGAAGGACGAGCAGCACGGTTCTTCTCTGCTTCAGTAAGCTGGGCGATGATGGGAACACCCTTGAGTTTCTGGCCAGTCAGCTCCAATGCTTGAGGAACAGACGCTTCATCCTTAAACTCAACATAGCCGACACTAGAGGGAATGTTAGCATACTGGTCTGCGTGGGAGTGAAGTAAGTGCTTACCCCTTGGAGCGGCCGGTAACTCGGTCCTTGACGATCTGAGCTTCGACGACAGGGCCAACGCGCTCGAAGAAAGTGCGCAAATGGCGAGTCTCAGCGCGCTGAGAGATCTGCTGGACGAAGATGGTGCGCTTGTCGCGGTCGTCTTCGGTAACCTCGGGCTCAGGCGGGGTGGCGTTGCGACGGCTGTTGCGGCGCTCTTCACCACCGTTGCGGCGGCGGTCGCGGGACCTGTCGCGGTACCTATCGTTGCCTCGATCGCGAGGGGAGCGGGAACGCGGACGACCTCCACCACTATAGAAGTCGCCTCCACGGTCACGGCCTCCACGACCTCCACGGCGGTCGCGCGAGCTGCTGCGGCGGGGCCTATCACGGTCTTCATCTGTGTCAGCACCTTTGCTTGAACGAGGACGGCTTCCGTCTCTCCGGCGGTGGTCTCTGTCGCGGCTTCGACGCCGGTCTCCATTAGACTCACGATGACGGTCCCCACGGTCTCGGCTTCTATCGCGACGGTCACGGCGGTCGGAATGGCGATCGTCACGGCGGCTCTCGGTGTCGCGCACCTCGCTGCTGGCGGTGCGCTCGGCATCCTTCATCTCGACCTCGCGGGCCGTCTCCTCGAGGAGGGCTTCGACTGCGGCCTGGGTAGACATGTCGGTGGCGGTTTCCTAGCTCTCGATAAGTGTAGCTGGTAGGAAGTGATGCGCGATGTCACTGCAAAGGGCGATGTGTTGTTGTTGATGGCGAGCACGGGCTCAAGTATTGATTTCAATTGCGATATCGAACGGACGTAGTAGATGTCACTGCGGACGATTTCCGTATGACCTCTTGAATGAACTGCCTTCGACAAATGTGTGCTTGATTGAAGCTTTGTTGATGCCGCTCAATTGTTAGTAGGTGGGTGAGGTGGAGAGCGGACAAAAGGCCTAGGCGTTGTTACTTGAAAAGCTGAGTCTTGGCAAGGGTCCGGCGTGACTAAGCGGGAAGCTGCAGGCAGCGATCCACGTGCGCGGCCAAGTACACGAAGAGGAGCAGTGACTGAGGAATCATAAAGTTGTTGGCATTACTATTATATGGGGTAGTGTGTCGTGAAGATATCTACAAACATCAAAGCTGTGTAGACCCAAAATGGCCTTGCAGACCCGCTGAACGCCTTCTTCCAATGTTGATCTTGACAACGTGGTGACAGGTGGGTGTCTAATAACAAAAGTCTATTGGTACGTCGCCACTTTAGGTGGACTTGATGACCTTGGAAGGTCCCATCTCAAGCTCGGTACCGAAGATGCGGTCCCAGAAACGGCTAGTGACACCGAAACCGTTCTGGTAGTCTGCGAAGTGATGCGCAAGGTGGTACTTCTTCAGTTGCTGGTAGTAAGGAGGAAGCCTTGGATTGTTAGCGGGGTTCTTCAAAGTGATACATGCATATACGTACTTCTGGTGGTGAAGGAAGTAGTGTGTCATATCGTAGCAGGTGTATCCGAAGATACCACCACAGTAGGCAGCCAAAGCGGCATACCAGTTCCAAAAGATGACAGCATGTGCGAATTTCCAGAAAGGTGCTGCAAGGACAACGAAGAGTGTAGGTGGCATGACGAGCCTGTACTTGTCCATGGGAAGGTAATGGTGAATCCCGTGAAGAAGAAAGTGGAGGGTAATGGCGACGCGGTTATCAGGAAGGTGACTACTTTTTGTTAGAACCCGTCTGATACGTGCCGAGACGCTGGACTTACTCATCCAAATGGAACAAACACCTGTGTAGGACGTATTCAATGATAGTCCAGAAACCCAGTCCGAAAGCCCAGTATCCAGCCAGTTCCATGGCAGACGATAATCCACCGAACGCTACCGCTGTCCCAACCGCAACACAAGGCCACCACAGCGTTGGTACAATCCACCATGGTGTCTTGCTAAGCGGCTCCAAGAAGTTACCAAACAATGGCGCAGAGTCACCTCCCTTGTAGTGGCGCGGCCGGTGCACTTGCTCCAGGTAAAAGTCTTTGCTGAATCCACCGAAGAAGACCTGCATCAAAAGCGGCTTGTTGAGATCCAGGAACTTGTGCTGCCTGTAGTCCAGAGTCGGGTCGGTTTCTTTGGACAAATCTTCCGCAGACGACATGCCGGTTGCGGCGTACAGCGGCTTGCCGTCTTGTGACATGCCCTTGAGCTCTAGTGTGCCCACCTCTGTAGGTGGCAGAGGCACGATATCTGCAGGGTTCGAGCTCTTCACTGCGCCATTCAGAACGGGCTCAGTAGCCATGAAGCCCACAAGGCTCTCTTCAAGGATCTCGTAGGCCGAGTCGGAATGTGTGTGCGAGATCTCGTCCTTTAGGATTGCCTCTACGTCCTTGCCCGCGTACTCGAGGATGAACTCGGGGCCACCGGGATGGCCTTCAAGGAAGTCGGTGACATCGTAAACCTTGGTACCAATGGTAACGTAGCAGGACTTCTCATTGTTGTGCTTGCGCACCTCGGCGGTCGGAATCGTCGGAAGGGTGCGACCGGGCATCGTGGTGGTTGTGGACATGGAGTGTATGTTCGCGGCGGTAGGTTCTTCGCGGTATGTAAAATGGAGACAAGTGAGGTTTGGGTAATTATATGTAGCGGTGTGTATTCAAAGGCAGGTATCGGCGGTGTGGTGGATAGCTGCGGTTGCGTGGCGACACGATCCGGAACCCAGGGAAAGAAGCTGGGATGTAATGGAACACCAGTGCGAGGTAAGGAAGGAGCGTATAGGGTGGGAGGATGTGCAGAGTATAAGCAATACAATCTGCAGGTGTGTGCAGAGGGCAATGTAGCAGTTTGTAACAGTCCAGTAATTGTCAGGAGAGCCAAGACTGGATCGCTCGCCTCGCAGATCTCACCACCCGCAGCTAATGGTGGCGAGACCGGCATTTTTGCCCTTCCACCTCCGAGACCGAGATGCAACAACGAAATCTCAGTCTGCGGAAAGGAGATGCAATTTCCCATCGCCTGGCAATTGCCGTAGTACTTTCTCATTGGCCACGGCCCTTTCTAGCGCTCTTTCATGTGCCCATAGTCGGATCACCCTTTGGTTTTGTCCGACTAACTGCGGCCGTGACATGTCAACGTCCCAGGATCACATGCAATTTTGTATTCGTCCATGTGCTTCACGGCTACCATGACTAGGACACATTTCATCTGCATGTACTAAAATCTTCAAACTGCCCTGGGATAGAGTATCGGAGGACATCTTCGTCGCCGCAAAGATGGCTGACAACGCCGCCTATCTCAGCAACACCAAACAACCTGGCTAATCGATGTTGGGTATTTTATTAGGATATCTCAATGAGTCTACCATCAAACAAGCCACCACCACATCGGCCCGCCGTTTTGAATGCACTCGGGTGGACGCCAATGACAGGCTGTGAGGCTGTCCGTCAGCCTTGCTGAACCCTTGTCTGCCAGGGGCAGGAACACGACATTGCGTCACTGACCGTTACCAAGTCGCGACTCCTTCACAGCTACCAACAGCAGCCAATGCTTCGGCGTGTGCCTTGATTATGGTGCAGGGCCCTGGCCCTTGACCTCACCACCATTTCCAGTCTTACCTTCGAAACTCTTACAACCTCAAGCACATCTACATACCTTTACGACGACGCTCAGCAGGTCTATATCCTCGCATCCTATACCTAGCAATAATTCCTTACTACGAGCACTTGTCCTATGATTGCGCATTCGCCCTGCGCAGTCACAGCCCATCATGTCTACTTTCAGGTTCAGCAGGGATCATACCCGGCCTGTAAACCACTTGTCTATCGCTCAACTATGCACTGTACTGTGCCTGGGCGCGCTACCTATGGCCAACGCTTTTCACCACATGGCACAGAAGGCACCTTGGAAAGCCAATCGAAGGAAGCTGGACATTACCCCCCTGCTGGTGACCAATCGCTGTCCTGAGACCATCTGGCCTGGCATCTCGACGCAGTCTGGCACAGGGCCTGGCGAGAACGGCTTCAAGCTTGAACCTGGGGAGACAAAGAATCAGACTGTATCAGAGGACTGGCAGGGTCGTGTGTGGGGTAGAACAAATTGTACCTTCAACAGCGACGGCAGTGCTGCCGAATCGGGTCGTGGGAAGGCTTGCACATCTGGCGACTGCAATGGCGCCTTGAATTGTCAAGTTGGGGTATGTTACTACTTTCTATGCTGATATACCGCTGACTTGGATGTAGGGAGACGTACCTGTTTCGCTTGCCGAGTTCACGTTAGACGCCGGAGATGGACACACATACTACGACATCTCGCTTGTCGATGGCTACAATGTACCCATGGCAATCGTACTGCAGCCACTCGAGAATATCACACTCGACGACATCCCCCCGAACCTCACGAACCCGTCATGCCAGGGCACAGACGGGCTCCTAGCTCCGCGGGGCTACAATCCCTATCCCGAATACCCCGACTTCCTACGCACGAACACCTCGTACCCACTATCCTTTGACCAGAAGGTGGACGAGAATAAGATCTCCAAGTGGTGTCCATGGGATTTGCAACAGAACCCTCCAGAGAAACCTGGCGATGGCGTATACCCGTATCCTGACGACAACATTCAGAGGCCACAGTTCAATCCTTGCTTCTCCGCATGCGCAAAGAACAATCGACCCGAAGATTGCTGTACAGGGGAATACAACTCCGCTAGTATGTGTAAGCCGAGCGAGTATTCCAAAAACGTAAAGGCAGTCTGCCCAGATGCGTACAGCTTTGGTACGTGATCGACCCAGCATGTAATGAATGGAGCCAGACTAATAACCACAACAGCGTTTGACGATCAAACCTCCACCTTCATCATCCCCTCTGGTGCCGGGTTTGAAGTGGTCTTCTGTCCCGGTGCGCGTTCGACGACGATCCTTTCAACGAGCCGAGACGAAATGCTTCAGTTGGCGCAGCAAGGGAGAGTCGACAAACAAGCTACGATGATGATGAAGTCTAGGAATGATATGGTAAGGAGAAGCGCTGCATCGAGAACCACACGGCTAGACGGTACTACGTTCGCGTTGGTTCTGGTTGTGATGGCTGTGGCTTCGGCTTCACATTTATAGTAGCAGGATAGTAGTTGCGCTTTGTCATTCATGGGATTCGGGTATCTCATTATTGCTGTTGTCTGATGGTTGGATAGTCGTACATGGGCTAGTGGTGGAAGCCTTGCAGGAGTTTCAGTTTTATACCCCTTCGTCTTTGTTCCAATTAACTCTTGAGCGTCTAGTTCAATGATTTCCTCCCAACCGTTTCTCTCAACGTAAAAGAGTCGTATGCAGTGAGGATTACGTTGTGGGCAAGCTAACGGTGTGACAAAGTCTATATCATCAGACTTTAGACCTACACGTTTCAGATAGCCGGAAGTTGCTCAATTTTCTATTGGTAGATCAACCATTGTGAGGTGCTACACGTCGGTAAAAGCCTACATACTCAGGAACCTGAAGTCAGTTTGGGCTGGGATACCCCACGTTGCGTGGGGCTGGACCACCCGGAACACTGCCGTCGCGCCTACAGTGTCTTACCCAACTTCTCCATACGACACGGAAGAACGAACACCGATCGCATCTTGCAATTCACCGTCTGTACCTGCACCTCGTGGCCTTCTGACGGCTGAACTGCGGCTCAGGGCCATATCTTCCGACGTCAGATCCACAATAGGCGGTCCACTAGCCGTCTTGGGCGCGGAGCAGCCTCTCCGCATACCCCTTATGGATCACATCATGGTGCTACGAACCGCTCGATGGAGCTCAACGCGGCACCACATGCTCCGGCCAAGTCAATTGTCTGATTTAGTATGGTAGAGGATGCTCAGTCGTCATTCAAGAAGAAAGGGCATCCCTGGTGGTGCTGCTTACCCCGCTCATTGGTAGTCTCAGGCAGCGACTTTTGAAGGCTGGCAGAAGATTCGGTCGGTCACTACCATCTCGAACTTCATTCACCATGGCGAAAGCACAAGCTCTGAGTGTCCACGTGTTGTCAAAGAGTTGGACCTTCAAGCAGGCTGATGATACTGGTGATGATGGCTGGATGTCGGTCAAAAAGGTTCCGACTAATGTTCACTTGGACTTGATGGACCATGACAAGTATGTTCTGATATTCCAAGGATCGCAAACGTTTGACAGAAACTGATAGATGAGTTAGAATTCCGGATCCCTTTCTGGGCTTCAACGAGCTTGAAGCAGAGTGGGTGGCAGACAAGGTTTGGACATACAAAGTCGAGCTGCCCAAGGTACAGGAAGCAAAGGAGGGCATTGCACACGTACTAGCATTTGACGGCTTGGACACCTTCGCTACCGTCAAGCTTAACGGAGAGACTATCCTCAAGAGCGACAACATGTTTATCCCGCATCGCCTTGACGTGACCAAGAGGCTCAACTCTGAGGGCACGAACACTTTGGAGATCGACTTTGCATCTGCCCGGCTCGAGGCCATTAAGATTCAGGAAAAGTACCCAGATCATAAATGGGTTGGATTCAACGGCGACATGTCAAGGCTTGCTGTGAGGAAAGCTCAATACCACTGGGGCTGGGACTGGGGACCAATTTTGAACACGTGCGGTCCGTGGCGCGAAGTACGGCTGGAAACTTATCAGGCAAGAGCCAAAGACTTGAGGGTCGACTACAACCTTGACGATAGCCTGAAATCGGTCCAAGGAACTATCTCTGCCGCAATCGAGGGAGCTTCTGCAGACAGCGTTAGCTTTGATGTTTTCGATGGAGATCAACGAGTCTTCAGAGAGACTGCAAAAATCAGTGACGGCGTGGTCAAAGTGGATTTTCATGTCAACAGTCCGAAGCTATGGTACCCTCATGGTTATGGCGAGCAGCCCTTGTACACCATCACTGCAACGGTTCTCGCGAATGGAGCGGAAGTACATCAAACATCACGCCGAACAGGATTCCGGAAAGGCGAGCTCATCCAGGAACCAGATGCTATTGGTAAGAGCTTCTACTTCCGCGTCAATGGCGTTGATGTGTTCTGTGGCGGCTCGGACTGGATCCCCGCCGACTCTTTCACTCCACGTGTAACCGAAGAGAAATACCGTAAATGGCTCGAGATGATGGTTGATGGCTATCAAATAATGATCAGAATATGGGGTGGCGGCATCTGGGAAGAAGACATCTTCTACGACATCTGCGATGAACTTGGTGTCCTGGTGTGGCAAGATTTCATGTTTGGATGCGGCAATTATCCCGCCTTTCCGGACATCTTGCGATCAATCAAGGAAGAGTGCACCGCCAACGTCACCAGGCTGCGACATCACCCTTCCATCATCATCTATGCGGGAAACAATGAGGACTACCAGGTGCAGGAGTCGTATGGCCTGACTTACGATTACGAGGACAAGAACCCGGAGAACTGGCTCAAGACTGACTTTCCCGCTCGATATATTTATGAAAAGGTAGGTGCGCGTCGTATGCAAGGAAATACAATTAAGCTCACAATAAGCTTTACAGTTACTGCCCGACGTTGTTGCGGCGGAAAGCCCACATGTGCCATACCATCCTGGGTCACCATGGGGCGACGGCCTTAAGACATCAAACCCCACAGTGGGTGACATGCATCAATGGAACGGTAATAATCTCCACATTGCTTCACATATAGTATACTTACGATGCATGCAGTATGGCATGGCACACAGGAAAAATACCAGATTTTCGACACCCTCGGCGGCCGCTTCAATAGCGAATTTGGCATGGAAGCATTTCCTCATATCGACACCATCAAGTACTATTGCACCGACCCCTCGCAATTATACCCGCAAAGCCACATGCTTGATTTCCACAACAAGGCGGACGGACATGAGCGGAGGATAGCCACGTATTTGGTGGAAAACTTCCGCACCAAGACTGATCTAGAGGTATGTGCCGTCCGACGGTTACCCGGTTCATGGTCGGGAACTATGACCAAGTGGGCCGCAATATAGCCGGTAAAGGCACTAACAGCGAATAGTCGTTCATCCACCTTACACAGCTGTCCCAAGCCGAAGCACTAATGTTCGGCTACAGGGGCTGGAGGCGCCAGTGGGGTCAAAACAGGCATTGTGGTGGTGCACTCGTCTGGCAACTCAACGATTGCTGGCCAGTAACTTCATGGTCCATTGTCGATTACTTCCAACGCAAGAAACCGGCTTACTATGCTATGCGCAGAGTCCTTGCGCCCATCGCTGTCGCAGTCAAACGGGCGCACTTTGATTGGAGTGTAGTGCATGCCAGAGTGCCCAAGACCAGCGACTACGAAGTCTGGGTTGCGAGTCAGAAGCTGGAAGAAGTGGTAGCAACCGTTGAATTACGGTATATTAGCGTTGAGAGCGGCAAGGAGATTAAGGAGAAGATCACCCAGAAGGACATCAGACTCATACCGAACGGAACGACCGACGTCCTCTCAGGTACGATCGACAACCGGAACGAGGAGCCGCACGTCCTAGCCGTACGCATATGGGTTGATGGCGAAATCGTGTCCCGCGACGTCGATTGGCCACAGCCTCTCAAGTATCTGGACTTCAAGGACCGTGGCTTGGAAGTCACACCAAAGGGCGAGACTATTGTGGTCAAGGCTCAGAAACCGACAAAAGGTCTTGTCTTTGAAGAGCGCTCAGGTGTTCTTGTACACGACAGTGCTATCGATGTAGTCCCTGGCGATGAGCAGATCATCAAGGTAAGGGGCTTGGGTAAGCAGGATGAGCCGTTGAGGTGGACATACTTGGGCAAAGATTAGGTGTCAGCTCGAAGGATTCAGAATGTGGAGTTGCTTGTATGGATTGGAAGCAGGATGACCACGTTGTGGGACCATGACATGTGATTGCAAGTACATGTAGTTAGAGGTATCTCCAGCGCACGCTGACGCGCAAGTACAACAAGTCCTTGATCATCAACAGCGTCGACTAGCTCATCGGCACGAGTTCGTATGGTGTGACATAAACTTTGCGACACGGTCATTATAGGCAAGGACCAGAAGAATGGGATTGCGCTGCGTAATAGCCAGGCATTGTCGAGTAGAGTTTGGACCGAGGGGTATATGTGAGGCTGCTATAGGTCCATCGTCATGTATCCGCCAAGCCTCTGATATGAAAGTGTCTATCGAACATGCTGAGTTTCCAGGGCTAATTAAATGGCGTTGCCCGGCGCTTCACGGTATTGGCTGGAACTGTCCTGCATGGGGTAGAGGGGTGCAGGCAGATGCAACCTAGCCGCATGCCATCACGCAAAGCCGGTTCGCAGCCAGCACGCAGCAGCGTTCGGTGGGTTTTTGTGCTTCTCGGCACAGGCTGGGTCGTGACCCGGAAGCTGGTATAGGCTTTTTGAATGGTGACATGTCGGCAGAAGGCGCTGGTAGCGAATATGCCGCATGCTCACCCTTCGTTTTCGCCTGTAACGCGGCTTGCCTGCAATGACATCCTTCATAGGTCGGGAGCCACTCACCCGAAAGCATGTGTTCGACATTAGGGTCTGCGATTTAGGTTCGCAGCGCACCACCTTCCCCAGAGTCGCACACCCACATGTCACGTCTCTAACGTAGGCACGCCATCCATGGCCGTCGGCGCCCATGCGATCGAGGACGCGCGCTGCTTGATCGTGGCGGGAAGGATGATCCGCTCTCGCTGAAACGACGTGCAGTAGTGCTGCCGCAGGCATAGCAGCGAAAAAAAGGTTGCTTCATGTCAGTCGACCAGCATAGCGCTCTAAAACGGCAACGCCGTGCGCGATCTCTTCTGGAACCCTTTTCGAAGCCGCCGGCAGCGGCACGCTCCATCTTTACTCCAATTTCGCTTGGCCCCCTCCCCTCGCGAAAGACGCAATCCTTTCCCGTCCGCCCGTCTCAACGGCCGCGCATGCCCTTCTTTTTTTCTCCTCTCTCTCTCTCGCTCCACCAGTCAGCCCTGTTGCATGCAAACAGGGGTGCTGTGGGCTATAATGCGGGGATTATACCCTCTCGAATGTCCACTCTGGAATGCCCTTTTGTCGCTCCGGCCCTGCGACTTGCTACTAGCTTCCGCGCCGAGTATACCACAAGCTTCTGCAGGATTATGACGGCACATGCCTGGGAACCAGACGCACCTACGTTACGTTTTGCCTCCGTGCATCTTATTTGATTCAGGCTGCAGATGGTATGCGTTGCTCAAACTGCACTACCGAGCGTCTCTGATATATCGATCCCGGTTCGTCGACCTCTAGTTCCGATTCTTGTTATATTGGTCCAGGGACGTACCACTGGTACTTTGTACCATCATTCTGGTTATCACCTTCTTGCCACGACATATTTGACCGACTCTCCTCCTTGACCTGGCACCTGGATGCAGGGTCGTCTGACACTTCTGGTCTGAAATTCCTATCCTTTCTCGAGTTGTGGCTTTGAAGCACGTTGCCGACATACCACCGGGGTCACCGCAACATGTTTCATACCTTCCAGTCGTCCGTGGGGATGCGGTCACCCGGAGCAGACAGCGACAGTGCGGGGAAACCATCACGACCACCAGGCTCAAGACGAATATCGACCAGCAACGCGTGTGTCGAATGCAGGCGACGCAAGATTCGATGTGACGGTTCACAACCCTGTGGGCAGTGCCAATGGTACCAACACCCTGAGGCATGCGGCTATTCGAAGCCTGCGCAACGAGTTGTGCCTAGCAGAAAGTGAGCATTCTAGAACGCCGTCAGAACGGATCGGGCTAATTAGTTTGGTAGACTAGTCGACAAGCTTTCCAATAACATCGAACAGTATAAGACCATTTTGACAAAGTTGTATGGGGTGAAGAACCTGGAATCGCTAGCTAGTCTTCCACGCGAGGAACTGCTAGAACTAGCTCTTTCCTCTACTGCGATTCACTCGACGACATCACCATCGGCAGCAGACTCGCAAGCGTTGTCAGATGTCCAAGCTGGATCTGATGGAGCCGAAAGCTTGGAAGCACTCGAGCAGGCTCCACCCGAAGATCCTTACTGGGATGAGGCACGGAAGCACCAGCTCCGTGTCCAAGGCATCTCCGACGATGTGAACGGACTATCAATGTCTGTCGACCGCCTATCCTCCTATGTTGGCATCTCTTCCATCACAGCGGCGCTAAAGGTTATCGTACGATGCGCACCTCAGGCGCGTTCGCTCATCGCACACAATAGTCAAGAGACTGCGCTACCAAGCCGCGCAGGGTCTCCGCCACCGGAGCTAGCAGACAGCAGACCCGATGCCTTACCGCCTCCTGAGCATGGCCAACAGCTGATTGAGAGCTACTTCGATCGCGTACATCCTTTCTGCCCCATGATTGATGAGCGCAAGTTTTGGTCCACGTTCTTGTACGGCAACCGTAAGGACTCGGCATGGCTGGCACTACTGAACATGGTCTTCGCATTGGGATCGCTTGCCTCTCTAGCTGCAGACAACGAAGCACACTATGTCTACTTCAATCGATCTCGGCAGCACTTGTCTCTCGAATCATTCGGAAGCGGTAATCTAGAAGTCCTCCAGGCCTTGGCTATTATGAGTGGATACTACATGCACTATCTCAACCGCCCAAACGAAGCACACTCCCTAATGGGTGGTACACTTCGTATGGCTACCGCGCTAGGTTTGCATCGCGAGTACTCGGAACGTAGTGATGCAAGTAGGCAATTCATGGCACCGGGTGAGGAAGACTCCATCTCCCCGGAGATGAGGCGACGTATTTGGTGGAGTTTGTTTTGCCTGGATTCTTGGGCATCTACTACGACGGGACGACCTTCGCTGGGTAGGATGGGGCCTTCCATCACTGTTTTGAGACCTGGCACGGCTGTGAACACTGTAAGACTCCTTGAAGACTGCTGCAGTCAATGCTTGCTGATATTACCAACAGTCCCAGGCCATACCGCCACCCAATAGCCCTCAGTACATTGAACAGCTTAAGATCCTTCCTCTGGTCCACGCCTCAGCATTCTGTCAGATCGCTACCAGGATACAGGACCGACTCGTTGAGTCTCCACTCCTTTCCCCCGCAGAAACGGCTAGCTACGATGCACAGATTCTGAAGTGGCACGAAGAGCTTCCATCGATCCTCTCAAACCCTGACGAGCCGAGTCCAGAGTTCCTTCGGCGAACCAGACTGGTTATGAAGTGGCGTTTTCAGAACATCCGTATCATCCTCCATCGACCAATCCTCCTCACCGCAGCACTTCGACGCTCTCCTTGGGTCGCACTCAGCGCGGACGAAAAGCTCGCAGTGGGCAAATGTCGACTCATCGCCTGCAAGACGATCGAAGAGATTAGTCAAGAATGTATGCCCGATCTCATTTCAGGTTGGAACGCAGTATGGTTCTGCTTCCAAGCATGCATGGTACCCCTCGTCTCCTTGTTCAGCGACACAAGCATACCAGAAGAGGTCGAGAAGTGGAAGGCCAGTATCGAAACAGCACTGGCGTTCTTCGAAACAGTCAAAGACTGGAGTATCGCAGCAAAGCGAAGCGGCGATGCAGTCACCCGCCTCTACGCCGCCTACAAAACAAACGTATCAACGCTATCCCGTCAGTCTCAGGCCGCTATGCCACACATATCCCATCCCCAACAATACCAACAACAACAAACACACCCGCAAACCCACACACACTTCGCCGTTCCTGGTACCTCCGCCGCGCCAACTATGCTCAATACCCATGCCGTCTACACTCAACAGCAACATCCCGCCGCATTCGGCCACTATAACCCAGCGACACCTACCTGGGCCAATGCCGGCAACGATCCGACGATTTTAAACAACTTCTGGGACGATATGATGTGGGATACAAATCTACCCGATATGCTAGAGAATCCTTTTGGACTCACAGGGGAGTATGAGTATGCGGGTGCGGCGCAGGATTCTGGAGCGCAGGGGCGTGTTGGATGCATGGGAACTAAAGAAGACATTAAGGAGTGTTACGGTAACGCTCTTGTCGATCTGTCAGTATCCAATGTCCGAGTTTGGATCTGATTAGCCTTCTCTCGATATATAGCACATGCAGCATGCGCGGTGTTCGAGGCTGTACCCTCCTAGCGTTGGAACGCAGGTCCGCGTTTGCGCAGCACATATGCGCTGTTAGTCTTGACGAAGACGCACCAAGGCGAATTTGTGCGACCGACGATACCGGAGCCGACCAGACGACGCATAGCCACAGGGCTATCATGTCGCGACTCGATGGCATATATAAAAGCTGCCAAAAAGAAACAGCAATCTACAACAGCCGGCAGTGAAACCGAACACGTGGAATATCCTGCACATGGACTGCCCTTTACCCCCCCTGGTTTCATATACACACACACATGGAAATCCAGGATTCAGGCTACTGTTCGGAGCAAAGGATGATTGGCACGGGTTATAGATGGATCAGCGGCTTCTGGAATTGTTCTCCCGAAACCGGTTCACTTGTTTCTCTTGTCAATCGACCACATCCTTACATGGTTATATGAATGGAAAGCAAGGCTGGCCGGCATCGCGAGAGCATCGAGGCGGATCCGCATGTGGGTATCACTTTTTTCCTTTCTGCACTTTCGCTGCGTTTGCCTGCATCAATCTCGCATATTTCACCCCTCTTCTATGTTACATCACAGCCTAAGCCCTGTACTTGCTATGTCCTTTTACCCCCAACTCTGCATCGCTCCTATTTCACCCTTTCACCGGTCTGCAGATACATGTACCGCATACGTGGTTAGATTTTCTTCATTCACTCGCTATTATAGACAGGGGGTGAGCATTATTATACCCCGGATTCTGGTGGTGGCTAAATAGGCGCAACGCTGATCGCATGCCAGGTCATGCATGCAGGGTGAAACGTAGTTAGACATAGACATGAACGCATACATCATTTCCGTTCGCTTAAGACTAGAATAGGTTTATTGTGATGAATGTCAGAGAGGGCTTAACAGTGAACATATACCCCTCTTAGCTGTTGCGTGGTTGCATGATCACTCATGTACTCCACATCTTGCTGCGCGACAATGTGTTTAGCCTAAGGAGTTGTGCATGCGAACGTGGACTTCACAACGACACGTCGGACTCACAGTCGCGCAGTGGCGGAGTACGAGTACCTGGATAGTTTTGCGACCATTTCTGTTGTTATGTACTGAACAGCCCAAAGAAACGACGGGTGCATGTACATTACCGTTACACGATACCATCAGTCTGGACTACACCAACACGACGGTCCTAACACTTCTCCCTGCGCGATCCGACATCAAGTACCAAGTCCACAGCGGGGGATAAGTCTATCTTGGTTGCTTGTCCTACAAGAAAAATGCTTAACCGACATGTATGCTTATCGGTGAGTGTGCGCGGGTTCTGTTCTCTTGATGACACGATACATGCAGGGTTAACAATCCATGTTGGAAGGAATCGAGAGAAACGTGACGCACGTGGTACTAGGGGTTGCGAAACAGGACAGGCGAGGCGAGGCGGGGATGGGGATGGGGATGGGGATGGCCGATGACGGAATGCTGCGACGCGGCGCGGGTCTTATCGATTAGGCATCTTGGATTGCAAGTGCTCCACATGCGCGAGTGCGGGGACCTGAGGGAGGCTTTGTACCATGGTTGCGGAAATGGAGTGGCATGTGACAAATGAACCATAGATGCTGAGTTTGGATCGAGTCCACCTAGGTTTGTCCGTATGTATGTTTTGACAAGGACAAATTTGTGCAAAAGTAATCGTGAAGATGAATAAAGTTGCACCTAACCTTCCAGCCGCCGCGCACGCCTTCCCCACGTGCATCTCGCAAGCTTGGCCGACAAGCCGTCGATCGCAACCATGGAGCTTGGCTATCTATCCTTCGGACCTACTCCATCGCCGCCACCTTGGTCATCCAGGTGAAGGGAGTGCGATAATCGCATCCTCAGTACCTCTTCTTCCACATCAACGCGCGGATTGGTAAATTATCGCAACAATGTCAGAGCCAGATCTCCACCGCGCTATATCCATGAAACCCCACCCCTTCCATACACATCCCGACCGCATCGAACGCACATCAAGTCCCCACCACCACGTCCACCTCAATGCCAGTGGCAGCAGCAGCACGCAACCCACACACGGTCATGCAGACTCGACAATCCGCAAAAATGATGCTAGCAGTACCGCCGTTGAAACCACGGCTCCTACCACTGACCGCGACCCTGTAGCTCGCCACGTCCCCGTACGCCACAGCAGCTACCACGAAGACATCGAATCACAATCCCCGCCCTCCTATACTCCTGACAACGATCCATACTCGCTGTCGTCAGCTATAAAACCAGAATCCGAGCTCGCCCTGATCCGTGCCAACACGTCGCGTAAACGCGATGGCTGTGGCCCCATCACCCTCAATACAAAAGCCCGCAGTGCAAAGAAGCTGGAAGAGTTCTACTCGGCGCAAAACGAAAACATCGAGAGGTTACTCAAACCTGTAGCCGAACACCGTGCCGCCGCAAAAGATGAAGACACGGCCAACCATCTCAAGTACAAAATCGCCGTCATCGGTTCCTTCGCCGCGAACATCATACTAGCCGTGTTGCAACTCTACGCTGCAGTCTCATCGGGTTCGCTGTCGCTGTTCACGACCATGGCGGATTCGCTCTTCGACCCCCTCTCCAACCTCACGTTAATCATGTGCAACCGCGCTGTCGCACGCGTCGATGCAAGGAAATTCCCCTCAGGGAAAGCAAGGATTGAGACCGCTGGCAACCTTTGTTTCTGCGCGCTTATGATTACCGTTTCGGTGGTTATCATTGTGGAATCTATTCGTACGGTCGCTGAACATTCTGGACCTGAAACCAACGACTTCTTTCTACCCAGCGTAATCGCTGTCAGCATTGCTTTTGCGACAAAATTCTCCTTATTCTTGTACTGCTGGGCTCTTCGGAACAAGTACTCCCAAGTCCGAATTCTATGGGAAGACCACCGTAACGACCTTTTCATTAATGGCTTCGGTGTCTTGACGTCTGTCGGTGGATCAAAGCTGAAATGGTGGTTGGATCCCATGGGCGCGATGATACTATCCGTCCTGATCATCTTCCTTTGGTCGAGAACAGCATACTCGGAGTTCCAACTTCTGATCGGCGTCACGGCTGATACAGCCATGTTGCAGCACATCACCTACATCTGTAAGTCTTTTCCGTCCTTTTATGCCCCACCAATCCATCCAGGAGGCGCCAGCCTTGCCATTCTCCTAGCACTCGCTAACGCTCATACCATAGCGATGACACATTCCCCCACCATCCTCCAAATAGACACCGTACGCGCCTACCACTCTGGTCCCCGCCTCATCGTCGAAGTAGACATCGTCATGGATCCTGAAGCTACGTTGCGTGCTACACATGATGTGGCTGAGGAACTTCAGATTAAGTTGGAGAGTCTGCCCGATGTGGAGAGAGCGTATGTTCATGTGGACTATGAGACGGATCATCGGCCGGAGCACTTTTTGAAGAAGGAGCTGTGAGGAGTGGAAGAGAGAGTTAGGACGGGGGAGGGGATGGATGAACGTGTGTGGGGGGGAAGAGAGAAGAACATCTGATTGGGTGAAGGAGGCGAAGAGAGGGGAAGCCAGAAATCCTGCTGAGCTTATTGAATCGACTATGCCTCTTTGCAGATACCACTTGGCACCCTTTCTTGTTTCATCTCCAATGCTACTATAATGGCACGCTTACAACCCGCCAGAATTACTCCGGGGTGTACATTCACGGTCGGGTACGTAAGTGACAAACTCAGAATTGCCTCCTACTACAATCCTGCCTAAGAGCCACTCTATCACATCCACAGTCGTCATTTAATTTCAGAGATCGGATACTAAAGTGCTGTGACTATATCTCCTAGACGACGAGATGACTGGTGGAAGCTGTAACTACTTGACAAAGTCTTGGTTGCCGGATTAATGGTGAAGTGAAGACTGTCCAGGCGTCGTTACGCGCAGCTTGCCCTTCACCAGATGCGCAGTGTCTGCACAACCAAATCACTGTCTGTTGGTCTTCATCGGTGAATCTTTTCGCAATTGTCCGTTTCTGAGCCATTGTATTCCTCGCTTGAACTCATTGTTTGACCCGCCCGACTTCACCTACGTCACATTCACAATTAACTCCGGTGGTCACCCAACATACCACGAGCAACTGACACATCCCAAAACAGTACCTGCCGCATACCACAGATAAATCGGACCGCTTTCGCCATTCGCACGCGATGCCGCCGTCAATCGTGCAACAGTTTGGCAACATGCTCTCCTCTCGCTGCTCGCTCGGAAAAGATGCGACGCAGTCACGCCGGCAGAAGGCCATACACGAGGAAGTCACTTATCCACGCGTCAGACTGGCACCAGATAGCAATTCATGTCTCAACCCGTCAATGTCTTACGAACATGTGCTGGTATGCGGTCACGTCATCGCAACACCGAGGCCCGATGAGCCATGTGCCCCTAACTGTCACCATGTCGCCAACAAGAGATCGCTGGAGAGGAAGGAGAAAGAGGCGCTCAAGATAACCAAGGCGTTAGATTTCTACTGTGATGCCTGTGTAGAGGCAGAGAACGAAGGTCTCATCCCCAAGGACATTACATCAACGGCGGCTGGCAAGTGAACACACAGTGGCGTCTGGTAACATTACTGAAATTACATAGAGCACATGCGCCTTGGAATGCGTCAAATCGAAGCGGAAAAACGCGGGAAGCAGAAGAACTTCCGCCAATGCTACATTGGCCTTAAGGTCACCTCAGTGCCCTGCCGTAGCGATGGTACAGTGAGCAGCCGATACACGCCAAGGACAAATCACCACCCTTTCGATACTGCAATCCCTCAGGCCGGCGAAAACTTCTTCGAAGATATGCTCGTCAACCCGTCGGAGGAGCTCAATCCGACCGGCGAATGTGGCGCGAGCGCATTCACGTTCACAGACCACACAGAGGTTGATAGCAGCCGTGTGAACCTCGGGGAAGGCGGAGCCAACTTCCTTCGGTTTGCGCAACTTATCGCACAAAAAAGAGGAAAAGCAGCTAGTAAGGCTCCATCTCGTCCCTCTCAGAGCAACACCCCTCTATCCCTCGGACAAAACCAAGATACAGCCTTACCTGTTTTTCCCCATCGGTCACGAAAGCGGCGTATCGTTATCGATGATGATGAAGACTACATGGACGCACTGGAAGATGAAGAAGATGTTCTTGGAAGACCGGCGAAACGACACAGGAAATCTACGATGACTACGCCCACGGCATCGGCTGCGAAGGAGAAGACAGGGCAACCTATGAAATCCACATACAGTACGCCTGTGGCACCGGCTGCAAAACCGAAGACTGGAAGGCCGACGAGGAAACGCTCCTAGATGAGAGTGTGGAGATCGATGTGTGTTGAAGGAGAAAGATCATCGGAGTGAGGACAGGATAGTGCTACGTGGTATCTGGGTGCAGCTGGTATTGGCGGTGATTGCGCCATGCAAAGCGGGTGTAGCGAGTTTTCACTCTGGCAGGTATTGAACAACATATGTATCATGATGCGTTCGACGCGAAAATTGATGGAGAGTTGTAGAAGAACGTTCGGGTGCAGTCTTGCTTCCACTCCACGTAATCTGCTGACTAACACACAAACTGCCTTCTACGAAAAAGCTTCTTCTTAACAAGTTGTACTGATCATCCCGGATGGAAGCATACATGACCGCCAATCCCCTCACTGAATCGACGTGAATTCCAGCAGGTACCTTCAGGGTGGGCTTTCACAACCCGCCCATGGCATACATTGACGCTACAGCCCAGAATCCAGCTCCGATACTAATGAGTAGTGCGATAGCTATGTACACGCATCTATCCCGCATTTGTTTCTAAGCAATTAGTTGCCCATCTGAGTCTTGTGCGAAGAAACCTAGTTCCGAATCGGGCGCGGTGCCCTCTTGTTGAACTTGTCGGATGAATAGGTCTGCGATTAAGTAGTCGCTTGCTGACATGGGAATGGATATGGAATCCGTATGTTTTAGGGAGCGTGAGATTGTGGTTGAAGATGTGATCGTGGAGAGCCGCGCATCTAGAGAGAGCATAAGAAAGGTAGTTGTAAGACTAGTGATTACGGTTTAAAAGCGAGAGCGAATTGGACTGGTAAGTGCTCTTTAATCTATGTACTTGATACTTTACCTCCTATCCCCAATGGCTGCTCATTTACTAATGGTACCCATTGCCCAAGGCCAGATACTCGGATGTTGTCCACATGTTTTCCAGACGCAGAGGCGATGGCCCTCCTGACAATATGTAGCGCTCGAGATCTTTCGGTGGCACATGTGGAATGTTTTCCAAAAACAGCGGCTCGCGAATATGTTGGCCATACTTCTTGACAGTCGCTGCAGCCTCTATCTCACTACCCACAACCCAAGCTCTGTCGTACCGAGGTATGGTCTCATCTGCAACAAGAATAAGACCAGATACGTCCACAGATCTAAGGCGTCTCCGGTGTGGAAATTCGAAGATTTGTATTGAATCCTCGATGAACGCCACGTTCACCAGGCGTAGTTTCACTGACAACTGAAGCATCTCCCGGACCGATGCTTTGTTCAGTTCGATGTTGATAAGGCTTAGTGTTTCGAGCGTAGAAACCCAGTTTGGATCAGCAAGACGACGCAATTTCGGTACACGCTGACCCCATAATTTCATCATATCAAGCGCGCCGTACTCTGCCAGCGACTTACCTGAGAAGGTCAGATGCCGTAAACGTCGAGAAACCAACGTACTGAGCATGGCGGCGGTGTCGCAGATTGCATCGAGAGTGGAAGGGTGGTTGGCGTGCACGCCTGACATACTGCCATCGTATTTATATTCGAGCGTAGTGATGTTCTTACACTGCAGCTCGCGAGTGCAAAGAGAAGTCGAGCCTGGTGCATTGAGGCTAAGCGAGATTGTCGTAAATCGCTCGCCCTGACAATGATCGAGGTACCTCGCCAACGAATAGAAGATGTCCATAGAATGCCTGACCTGAGCTTTCGCACATTCGTACCACAATTGGTAGCTTCCAGTGCGTTGGCCTGGCAAGGAATTCATGTCCCACGGTTGTATTCGGTCAGCCTGTAATCTTGGAGGCCAGTCGATAAATCTGCTTTCTGAAGCTAGCAAAGAGGGTATTATGAGTCGTCTGGTTATAGTCGGGGAATACATGCTGCGGCTTGGATGACAACAGAGTTCCTCCAAGTTGGTGAACTTCTTTAACCAACTGAAATCGTGGTCTCCCCACTACGAAGACTAAAGACACGGATTCGTCTCTCGATCGTGTGCGCATGGGCGATAAAACTCGGGGTCGTGATAGCTTAGGCCCGCAAACTTCCGCTCCGCAACTTCTAGTACTTGAGGCGCTGCATCTCTGTACACCAAAGCCTTCACGAGATTTGCTCGGACTGGATAGATGGCTTTCAGTACAGCGATGCTCTTTGGGTTGGGAGCAAAGCACACAGTGCGATAGATGTACTTTTGAAACTCCGGTGTGTTGCAGGCTCGACAAGTCAATAGGAAGGTGAGGATATCGCGGTAGCTTGACGTGTTGTTGCGGATTACGTGTTCTAGAACAATATCGAGGAGCTCGTTCGGAATGGGAAAGCGGCTGCGCACTGGTGTTGACGACGAGCAATTGTCGTCATGAAGTCGCACAAGCCGTGGCTGGCCAGTGATGCTAGCATGCTCAGCAACCACGCTGGTTGCTTCTGAAAAGATTCTGTCCATTATGGATGTGATGTAAGTGAGTATGGAGGTACTAGCCGAATTCGAGCAAAATATATATGGATAGCTGTTTTTGCGAGGCGCGTGTGGACTCCCACCAGGTGAACGAATTGCGTCGCGTGCCGCTCAGCTGTTGCCCAGGTGGTGCAGGCCTTGTGAGCGCCGAAAAGCCGTGTAGAGAAAAGGTCGTAGTGAAGTATAGAAATGTATGACCTCTTCTCCCCGACCGATTCCGTTTATGGCGAAGCGAAGGATTCGATATGTTTAATCTGATGTCTGCATACTCCCCGCGCGGAGCGACTGAGGTGCAGCCGGCATGTGGGGCATCTCACAACAGGATAAAGTACGTCCGTCACTTATAAATACAGCCACGTCTGTTGGAAGGTGCTTATGTAGTAAGCGTTAAATCCCGCAGCAGAAACGCACTTGCTTCGTTGCTGAGATATTACTGGGCTTGTCGCAACAGGACCTGCCGTGCACGAAGCTCTGTCTTGTATTCGACTTGTCAGCGGAAGGCACCATGATACCTCAGTTCGAGCTTCGAGCTGCAACATCTTCAGATCTTTCTTCCATAGCGACAGTATGGACAGCGGCATTCTTTGACGATGAGATCATTGGCGAGATCATGCATCCGCACCGCAAAGACTATCCCGATCACGTATATTGGTTCCTGCTGCGCGGTATTCGAGAACGATATTGGGACTGGCGGCATCAATTCCTCGTCGTGACAGACGATGAAAAGGTTGTCGGAGCCGCGGATTGGAGGAGACTCGGGAAAGGTGGTGAGGCCAAGGAGCTGGGGAAAGCAGATCCACGTATGTTCATCGCAAAACTTCTCGAAGCGGATGAGGGCGTGATTTGGCTTACATTTACCTTTCCGCAGGTAATCTCATCGCGCCATTCTTGAAGACATACCATTTCACATCTCTAGCACTGTTTCCCAATCGAGCCGCCGATCCTACGCGCACCTCGTTCCTCGACACTGCCGTCGCAAACTCGGAGAAGTATTGGACTGGGCGTCGCGCTGAATGCTGGGATTTGCATGTCTGTGGTGTACATCCAGACTATCAAGGTAGAGGTGTTGGAAAGCTGCTGGCACAATGGGGTGTTCTAGAAGCACAGAAAGAAGGCGAAGATGTTGTGGCTAGTGTGCTGTGCGGGGAGAAGAATAGAGGCTTCTACAAAAAGGCTGGGATGTGTGTGCAGGTCAACGAAACGAAAGGTAAAGGAGGAGGAATTGCCTTGTTCACCCGATAGCTCGCACGGCTCTCAAAGCGGCGTCGTATATTGGCCAATGAATGTTCAAGAAGTTCGTGGCGTTGGCATCAATGACGCACTACGCTGGCCATACCTATACAACCAAACATCACCATAATCATACTCATCCCAGAATCATCTTGACAAATCTATTTCTTAGTGCTAGTGAGTAGGTCAGATACCCGTCGACAGTATGTAAGACGATTACTGCTGAGATTTTGCTCGTTCTTGTACACACGTTAAGCCAGGGGAAGGATAAAGAAAGCAAATCCAAGCCCATGCAACCTTATCTCAGGCTTTAAGAGATATGGTATGCTATCGCAAATCATATCTGCCAGTGTCAGAAGTGAAGTATCTTCCGCAGCCTCGGCGAACACATGCGTTTCTTTTCGCGGATTACAACCCTTTGCTGTAGAGATGATCTGGTTCAAAAGACTAAGATGCATTTTCACGATGATCTCAAAGGCCCAATAATGCGTCAGGCTATTTGCTATCATCGTATTAGGGAACCAAAGAGCTTTCTCACTTGATAGTAACCAGGTCTCAGGATCGGGTCTCAACCATATCCTTGGACGCGATGCTTGAGAATGCAACGTTAGATACCATTCCTGAAAACTTGCGAGAAGGGCACGAAAGTCGCTCCATAGCCGTGTCACCGTATCGAGGTTGGAGGTATCGCATAGGCGATCTATGTTGTAGTATGTCTCTAATAGCGCTGGGAGCTCGTATGCCTTGTTCAAGAGTAGCTGAATTGGAGCGATTGGTTGACCCTCAAATGGTCTCGTGACTCACTCCTCCCGCGCAAGGAATGTTACCCGCCGATTGAGTATCAAGCTCATTGGCTAGAGAAAGTCCCAAAGTAATTAGAATTTTGACTGTTGTAAAAGGAAACTGGTAGCGATTTGGGAGTAGAGGTCTGAAACCAACAAATATTGTGTGCATTATACCACTGCTATAGACGCCGGGCCCCAGACCTTCTAACATATTTCCTACAGCTTCTACATGCGTTATCCAAGCAGACTTCAACCTTGGAATAACGACCTTAGCATTTTTGCTTTAGTCTAAATGTTGGCAAAGGTCATGCGCTAAATTCATGACGTACATCAGTCACTAGCGGTTGGTCACTTCGTCTGGTCCTGACAAGGGTCGGAAGGACTTCTACCCATGCTCCACAAATCTGGTTGTGTGACAGAGTGTTTACTCCGAGAGTGCTGATGACGGCGGGTGCATAGTGCTGCACGATGGATTGAACGTCTTCGTCGAGCCTGCAATGTAACTTCGTTGCCTCGAAGCTATCCAACCCAACAAGTGGCTCTAGGAGCGGTATTCAGAAACGGAGCGTATCGAGTCAGCTGTCAAAAAGGCCAGGATTATACGTACCAGTGTACGATGCCGGCTTGGCGCATGCGATTTCGCTTTCTTGTGCTGACTTTACCTGAGTCCTGGCTCCAATAGCCGTACCAGATACAAAAAACAAACTCTTGTTTGTATCCACTACAATAAATCTGTCTGAATCTGCACTGATGACATTCCGGCTGCGCGCCGTCGCACTTCGAAATTCTGTCCGCAGACTAACTTCCATATTTGCTTTCTCAACGTAGCTAGCACTTACTGCGAGTTTTTTAGATCTAAAATTCTGACGTACGTTCTTTTGTTTTGTTTTCATCTTGGGAATTGGATGCTGTCGGTAGGTATAGCCAGACTCCATTTACAGTAACCATTCAAAGAATGTTGTTTCGCCAAGTTGCCTGAGCTAAAGCAGCGTCTGGCTAGCTCGTCAGGGATCTAGATCCGCAGTCTCCCGAAATTCTGATATGATTCGTTGACAATGTATGACTTAGCAAACTCGACTTTCCAGGAATGACTAGCTTCATGATAGCCAATAGTGGAAGATGTGAATCGCTACTCAGAACATATCTTGGCGAGTATGCTTCCCTAAAGGGGTTACCCACGCCCACCCGTATTGGGTAGATGATAGTTAACATGGGTAGCAGCTGAGGACTACACTAACATAGCGTAAGCTTGGCCATACGCGTTACGCTACATCTAGCTACTGCCTACGAGACACATCCTCCCAAACATCTGCGATAATGAGATTGAGACAAGAAAATAGCATCTTGTGAACAGGGCTTACGCGCTTTCGCTCTAGTAGAAATTCAAGGCGTCGCACAGTCTGTCTTTGGCCCACAGCTTAGCAATCCCAACCTTCCCCCTCCTACAATATTCGATGGAAGAGAATGTGCGACGTGAGAAAATGCGACCAAAGTGCTGCCGATGAAAGGAGCTGACGAAAATCGTTTGACAGTACACCGTCTGAATAGGTTTGTCTCTTCGTAAATGTTTTAATCCCTGATATTTGATCTCGACTGATGTTTACCAACACTAACCTATTACCAATTGATGGCTATACATTGCAAGCAGCCGATAGTCATTGATCAAGGCCACAACGCAGTATCTATTTTTTTTTGGCATCCTAAAGATCACAGTACAAGTCATGTAGCACGAAAGTTTAGTACAATTAATTCACTGGGTATGGAGACACCAACTTGAAACTCCTCCCACTCACTAAGAAACCAGTTTACCCTAGCCTTGACCATGAGGAGGGAATGAATAATCACGTATCCGCCATACCACACCATCCACCGCCCACTTCGCACTCTAGACTATCTCACATGCCCCAACATCTTCTCCAGTCTCTCCACATACCACTCACCAACCCCCCATCTCGTCTTGAACAACCCAACGATCCGACTGAACGCTTCTAGCTCGCCCTCCATATCAACTCTGTCCTTGTCGCTAAAAAACTCTCCCGTCTCTACTACCGCCAGCCCCGCCCTAATCACACAGCATAATCCTGCAAAAGGCAATCTTTCTACCCCTTCTTCCCCATTGATCTTGCTTGTAGCAACAAGTACCATATCCCAGGCCATGCGTCTCGCATACCTGAGCGCCAAATACACCTTTTCATACTCCGGGTCCGGACTTTCTGTTAGCATAGGTAGAAAGGAGTTGAGGTAGCGTATTCGAGATTCTTGGAGCAATATGTTTGTGCAGAAGGCCAGAGCGATGGCGTCGCAGTGAAGCCAAGTGTGTGGTTCGGGTTTAGATACCAGGGTTTGGATACAGGTTGTTAGGGTTGAGGTGGCTGTGTCGTAGGTCGAGGTGGATTGTGATGGTGGAGGTTGTAGAGAAGGGGATGGAGAGCTGATCGCGAGAGAGGAGATATATGATAGAGCGGGACTGGTGGCTAGAGAGACTGTAGATCGTATATGTAGTTTTCGAGACGAGATCGCTGATGCTGCTCCGAGTGGCGGATGCGGTGGGATTTCAGGAGCTAGGTTGTCGGAGATAGATTGACTGATCGTATGTGTAGACGGGAGTAGTAAAGGAACATGTATAGGCGATGTCAGGGTTATGATACGGTCCAGCATGAGTAGACTGGGCTTCATCCATTCCAGTGTTGAAGTTAGGCTTGAGCTCTTTGTGGCTGAGTGTTCTAGGAGTTGAAGTATGGCAACACTTGTTGACATGGTTTGGAATGCCTGGTTTGACATGCCGTGGCTAGTTTCGTAAATGGTGAGGAGCATGGATAATTGGAGCACTGATGTGTTGAGGTCGGTGCTGTACTGGAAGAGGACAAGTGATTGTTTCAGTGCGCGGTAAAGTTGGCAGTGCGTCGTATGTTCGATGTTTGCACATGGCCGCCGCTGTATCAGCCATATACATAGCAGTAGATACGGACAATCTAGTTTGTCATGTCCTAAGCGTTGGTGAGGAAGGCTGTTCAGCGATCTTTGGAGGAAGTCTCCCGGTAGAATTGGACACCATTGTTGAATAGATGGGCCGAACTCTTCCAGAGCGAGGGTCATGTCCACGTCTGCTAGCTCTAGAATGTCGTACACCATTTCGGCCAGTCTGGCCTTACTCTCTGTCGTAGCGTTAGAGTCAACAACTGCCGTTACCGCATGCAGCAACTCATTCGTCCCCCGCGTCGAGAGATCGAAATGTGTACATCCTTCGTGACATATGACCAATGGCTCCGGCTCCACTTCTTCAGGGCGCGGAGGCTCTTTGAACGGCGTATAATCACACATCTTCCCCTTACTAGCAGCCTGTCAGTCCGCGCGTCTTTAATTCAGGTGTGCAAGTTACCAAGGAACCAGGCCAAACTTACACAGCACACCTCTGACACTGCGGCAGCGTCCTATCACATCCCTGCTTCCTCGCTCGACAATATGCACATACATTCGCCGCCCTAGCCGTTACGGGTATCAAGCCAGCTATTGCACTCATCCTGGGTAACTTCGTCACTGTAGTCCGTTAGCGAACAGCGGCCGACGCCTCAGCAGTGGCCGATGCAGCGATTTATAAGATGTGGTGATCCGGCGCCGTGGTTGTTGCTGACATGCAGGTGAGCAGGGTTTAGCGAAGACCGGCATCTCTACACAATCGACGGCATCTCAAGGCACGGCATCTTGAAGACCGGCATCATGGGTGTGTGAAACCGGTTTTACGACGCTGCCGGTCATGTTGGCATAATTCGATATCTCGTTGTTGGGTATCTAAGTTCCATTTGCCGTCCTCTCCGCTACCCTAGCCGCAAACCATTCCGTCTCTAGGCTCTTCAATAACCTCCTTCTCCCCTTTCTCCTTGCCATCACCACCATCCAAAATCCTCGCCTCGACCCTACCCTCAGGCTCAAGACCCACCGCTTTAACATCGTCATCTTCTTTCTTAGCTAGCTTCTCCGCCTCTTGTTCTAGTCTCTTCTTCTCCTTCTTACTGACCGTCATACTGCCCTTCTCCAACGCTTCTTTAGGCAGCGGCCTAACATACGGCTGGCAGACCCAGTATGGCCTCTTGACGCGAGCTACTGTTGCTAAGGAGGATTCGTAAGGGTCCAGGTTCTCATCGATTGGGGCCGTAGGCTGTGATTCAGTCGGTATATCGTTGGCGTGCTCCTCTTCGTACTTCATGATGCCCTCCTTAACAGCCTTCTCTACAAGACTCAGCACGTTTTCAAACGCATCGATATCACCCGTTCTTGATCTCGCAAGCGCATCCCGCACATTATGATGTTGCGAGACAAGAGGACGGAGAAGGTGAAAAAGATGTGCTTGCATAGCCGTGAGATTGGGATTTGAAGCTTCCTTCTTCTTTTCCGATTTGGACATTGGTTTTCTCTTCTTTTGTGGTGGGCCGTCTTGCTCGTCTCCTGCCCTTTTACCGTTCTCCGCTGCGTTGTTGGTATTTTCTTGTGGTAGTTCTTCGTCAGCGTCTCCAGGCATCCAGAGGGGTTTCCGTTGTGGTGGCTCTTGACCAAGTGCATATTTATGGATGATATCCATGTACCGTCTCATCACAGCGTCCATCCTATATCCACCTTTCCCGTCGCGCCCGCGCCAGTATTCTCGTCCTTCCTGGCCGGGTGGTGGTGGTGCCGCGAAGATCGTGGGGTCGTAGAGATTTCCCTCTGCGCTCATGACGCCATCGGCACCGGTCACTTCTAGACATGTGGCGATGTCTTCATGCTGGAGGATATTGCCATTGGCGAATATGACAGTGTCCTTGGGAAGGTTCTCCCGTAAATATCGAATCATCTTCCAATCTGCCAGTCCTGTGTTGTGGCCCTTTTGTTCTCTACGTCGACCGTGTACCGTGATGATACTTGCGCCCGCATCCAGAAGTGTCTTCGCATACGCTAGCGTCTTCTCTGGTGTCTCGAGTACCCTCATCTTTGCCGTGACTGGGACGTCCAACTCGTCGTGTAACTTGCGTATCATCCTCGATATCAGATCCCAGTCTTCTTGCAAGAACGCACCGTATTTCCCCCTCTTCGCAATGCCTTGTGGACATCCCAGGTTCAAATCCACCGCATCGCAAAAAGGCGCAACGTGTTTTGCCGCCCGCAGGAAGTCTTCGGGATCGTTTGAACAGAACTGCACCGTGAGGGGTCTGTCGAACGCCGGGTTGCCATCTAGGTGCTTATCCGAGTTTGGTAATTGTGAGAGGTGGTAGTCGTCGGTAGGTGAGGGAATGGTCGATTTGAGAGGCTGGAAATGAGCATCGCGGTAATTGCTCTTCTCGCCAAACATCTTCGAATGGAACATCGGTGTATACGCTAGGAGATCCTGCTTCTGAGACTCCGGGAGGAAGGAGCGTGACAGTAATCGCCATGCCTGTAGAAGCAATTCCGTTAGCCATCGTCTCTGTGTGAAGTAGTACTGGGTTGAAGAGACATACGAACTCTGACTGTTCGACCATAGGCGCAAGCACCAGTTTTGGACTGCCGATGCTCTCATAAAACGCGCGCCCGTGGAGTTTTCTTCTCCTGCCATTTTCTTGGGCAGCCCCATTCACACTCCCGTTGCTTTGTATTACCCCCGCCATCTCCCCATTTGTTTGTGAAGTCGTCTCGGTCGTGGTCATCGTGTTTGCGAAATATCGTCTCGACAGTCGGCTCGCTATTCTGGGGGCGACGGCGCCCCCAAAGGCTTGAAAGAGGGAAGGACGTATGGCGAAGGCTGTGTCGAGTGCAGTGAGACCGAACGGAGTGACTCCGATGCTGTGAAGCCGTGTCAAACGTATGAGGTCGGGTGCGATTCGTGACTCGCGCTGTGAATTTGTCGTGTAATCGCAGTGGGAAAAAACGCCATCCACACTCCACCAAGCAGCAAAATTCAGCCAATCGGAGTGTAGCATATCTCCGTATCACACCATCGAGTGTTCGTCAAAACATCAGTCGTGGTACAGGAGAAGTTTTCTTATTTGATCAAAGACTCCCATCTTCTTTCCTCGAGGGGGTTTCCCTACTTGTTGTTTTATTCGGACTTGAGGTTTGAGCTTGGAGTCAGCTTGCTCGCCAATACGTCCTACATAGCCCCATCTACAGGCACCCAACTTGTTCGAAATCACCGACGACCTATCCAAAATTGCCCAACGTCTTAAGCTTTGAACACTACAGGCATTGCTTACCAGTGGCATGGTACCTAGGTACATGGCCACAAGCACCATTGGCTTACCTCGAACACTTATCGTTAGCTTCGACCATACCATCCCCGACATCACGCCATCAGGGTACCACAGCACGACACCTGAGTCAAGCTCACTACCGATATATCAAACAGTCTACACATCCCCAAACGCTCTCATGAACACACAATCAGAATATACCAATATAGATTCATCGCAATATACAGCTACATCACCTACCCGTAACAAAAAACGCCAGTTGGTCCCGAGCAAAAAGCCTCCATCCATCTCACATCCTCATTGACTATCATTAGTCTGGATATCTCATTGGCCGTAATAACGTCTCCACAGAGGGAGAGAAAGAGAGGGAACTGCTCTCTATGGTGTAGGAGGCGAAGGAAAACGCTGAATCGCAAGAGAAAGACACAAACACCACCCCCGTCGTGGGAAGGACTCCATGGTTGAAAAGCAAGAGACGCCGATATTATGCAGTTTGGGTTATGCCAGATAATGCTTCATGGAAGAAGCTAAAGGAAAAGGTGGAGTGGACCAGTGCACGAAGGCGATGCTGGCCAATCTCCGGATATCATCAAAAGAAGGTACACCAGGATCAGAAGACTGTGCATCCGTCCAGGAGTCATGAAGATATGTAGGCGATACGAAAGACGCCGATGTTGTTTAGAAGGTACTCCAGTTCCACGTGCCCTGGAAGCTTTGCGCAATGCTACCCACGCGGGTATTCTCAGGGCGCTTCGCGGTAACAGGAGCCTCGATGGCTTTCGCCGCTGGACTGGGTGCATTGCTGCTGTCTGAGCTCTGGCTGTTGGTGCGGCTGGAGCGGAGGTGCTCCCACTCGCGGAACGAGCTGTGGCAACGATCGCAGGCACGGTGCCAATGACCTTCTGGATGGAACCGCGCGAGCTCATCGAGACGGACATTGTTGCGCGAGTGTTGCCAGCAAAAGATGCCGCCGCACTTGCGGCAATGGTGGCGACGCTGGAAGAAGCCGAAGGGCTCCTGGCAGGACGATGCGGAGCAAACCGAAGTGGAACCGTCAGCCTAGGAATTGGTTAGCACACTTGGTCTGGACTGGGACTTTGCATGTGGACAAGTGTCGCTAGCACGAACTTCAGCCCTGCATGGGGAAAAGAGTCTAGCGTGGGGGACTGTCTGGACAGAGAAAGCGGTGCCGGCCTTGACGATGGAAATTGTCCGAAGACGAATCCGACATGCACAACATGATGGTCAGTGGCCGTCAATGGACCGCCAATGTTGCCCCTCGGCAGAGGCTGGCAGTGTCTTGTTGAGCTGTGGCACACCAAGCGCTCGGCATGTCGGCTCTGCAGACAGCGGGAGGCCAGACCATGCACGCTAACAGGACCCACTCGGACCATGTACGTAAGATCTGACCCTCGAGCCCCAACTGAGCACGCGACAGGGAAGGCCGTGCGGGCTAGCAGCGGCATAGCGAACAAGTAGGAAAAGCGCGAATACATACCTGCCAGTGGTTGCGTGTGATTGGCCCAGCTACGGGCGACAGTGGTTCGACGTTGTAGAGGCTCTGCATGTCTTCATTGCCAATCTGCGAGACGGGAGTCGCGTTGCCCTCGTTGGCGACCCACCCATGTGCTCCAGCTGACCATGCCTGGTTGGGAGAGCTGACGCCAGAGTCGACCTTGGGCGGCGACCTGCTGCTGGGCTTTTCAGTCTTGCGCAGCGCTGCGGGTATGCCGATGGCGGTTCTGGGCTGATAGATGCCCTGATGGCGGGCGAGGGGCAGATGTGTGGTGTGCGGGGACGTGGGCGAAACATTGGCGGGGGTGTTGACGCCAGAGTTCGTGGGCGAGTACTGCGAGTGCGTCGACTTGCGGTATGCGTGGTGCTGGTAGGGAGCATGTGCGTGGGTGTTGTGCGGAATCGCAGTCGCGTTGGAGAAGGTTGTGGCCATGTTGAGTGGCCGTAACTAAAGGTAGAGGGTGTAGTCGGGGCAAGTCGAGGAGAAAGCGTATAATACGTTTTCCGAGTCGATATGGGCAGGCGGTGAAAGTGCGCTGTTGGTATTGGTGCGTTGGTGCGTGGTGCGATAGTCGAGGAATGGATGTGTGGAATACAGCGTTGGCGGACCGGGACGCTATCAGTGGTTATGCAGCCGTGCAACAGGAGTAGTCGTCGCTGACAGGCCAACAGGACGCGTGCGGCTCCTTGTAGGTTGTGTTGGTTTGGTGGTTGGACGTCAATTGGTAGCTGACGTGCAGGCGATAAGAGAACAGTCGGGGCGGTGATACAACAGACGCTGGGGCCACAAAGTCGACCGTGATTCAGCAGGACATAGTCGTATTGATAGTCGGGTAAAGGTGGAAGGTGGAAGGTGATGTGTACAAGCAGATATGTGAGGCGAGATAAGAAACAGCGGTGTCGCGTGAGTGCGGAGGAGACCTGGGGTGAGGCTCTGGGGACAGGATGAATTAACTTGTAGCCAGCCAGCGCTGCTGCTAATAATCACCTACAGCGAACTGACGGATGGGCGGCGATGGCCCGATGGGGGATGCCTGCACCTCTTGGCAACCGAGCGACGACCAGGGTTATCATCGGGCTACGACCGGCCACGTTGGACATTGCATTTTGTAATGGCCAGCACCCGCCCTCCTCCGACTTGACTTTTCTCCCCCTACAACACTCCAAAAAAGACAGTACTCGCAATGCGCAAACAACCAAGCACATGGTACGCGAACGCCTCCATTTCCCGCTCCCCAAAAGGAATGCTCCTTCGTTTGTTGTGCGAGTTAACCTCTCTCTCGGCGGCCAGCCGTTGGGATCCACTCTGTCCCGTTTGGGCGTGTCTTATCTCTAGCCAATCACATGCCAACCGAATGAAAAGCAACGCCTCAACTTTCTCCGAGGACGGAACTGCTGCGTCAAGCGTGAACTCTGCCGTCGGGATATGATGTAGTTTCAACCTCGTATCTTGATTGCAACACTCTGGTCGATGCTTTGACAGGCCATGATAGACGTTGATAGGCACGACTGCATCATCATCACATCAAAACCACAGGAAAGTATGCCGCCAGAGGCGCCGCCAGAGGCGCTGTCCTCCCGCTCAAGTGCGGCCAGCCTGCAACAACTGGCGGGGCATATTGCCACACTATTCAATGCACCTCATCCACTTTGGAAGCCACATCAAACTCCTGTAGCAACGACGCGCGCGCGCAATTATCCAATACATTATGCTCCACTCAATCTCACCTTGAGGCTATTCGGCCAGACCTCACCATCGTGCAAAAGGTGGGGCTCGTAATGAAATCGTACCCGCTTATGGGTAGGGTAGGGTAGGCGTCGCATCGCTCGCTTCACTAACATTGCGCCGTCGGCCACTGGTCCACAACCTCACGATACCGCCAGAACTTCGGATTATGTTGTTCGAGTTTGAGCCAGAGTTCCACGGTACTCACCTTCCAGGGCTGCGCAATGGCCCACCAGCGTCAAGAGCTAACATGACTGCCACTGTGATCTGCCCGTGGATTTTACCGTGTAGATCAATGCAAGACATCGCAACATTAGCCCACAACATCCACAGCATCCATCCTTAACATCAAAGCCAGACGCTCTCACAGCTCCGGCGAATCTGCTCTTCCGTCTTCCGACGTTCACGGGCAGCGCATACCTTGGCAGTCGCCTCGCCGAGACACGTTCATGGAAGTTTGTTTTTTGGACCGAGGCTCGAGCCGCCACGCCAGCGCTGCCCTAGCCAAACGTCAACAATGACACGGCTTGCGACGCGGGGAAGCGTTGCTTCAACTCTCGACTGTGGATACAAAACAAGACGACGCCTGCGTCTTTAGCTGCTTCTTTAGTATGTCTGACCGCTCCACCTAAAAGACCCTTTGAGAAAGACCCTTTGAGGGTCCACGCGCGACATCAAGGCTATCCCTGAATACTCAAATCTACGTGGCAAAATGTCTTCAACTCTGTCAACAGCGCCCGTTGCGCCGAGAGCTACTCCGCTGCCTCCGCTCCCATCTGAGGATCCGCTCACGTCCCAACAATGGAAGACGCTTCTTGCTATCACGGATGCCGTCATCCCAGCAATCAAGCCCATATCCACGGCGAAGACACAAACTGAAATCGCTGCAAGCGACACCGATTACTCGAGCGCTGTTAGCAAGCTGACGGCTTTAACGCCGGAGAATGACCCTGATGCGGAGACAGCGGTGAAGGACTATCTGGATGACTATGCGAGTCAGGATCCAGCGTTTCGAGCCGAGTTACAGCGCGTCTTCGCCATGTACATGCCGCAAAATCAAAGAAGGGAGCTGTGTATGGTGCTGAATGTCCTCAATACCAGGGCGGGCTCGCTAGCCCTGACTGGCTATCTCACACCGATTAGCGAACAGCCGGCTCATATAAGGGAGTCAATCATCCAAGGCTGGGCTACCGCGCGGTTAGGAGCGCTTCGCCAACTGCGCCGCTCGTTGGTCATCATCACCAAGCAGGCCTGGATAAAGACGTCGCCTTCGCTGAGACGCGTCATAGGCGCCCCACGCGTGCCCGTGGGCATGAGGCCGGGGAAAGGATTTGACTATGAATTCATACAGATACCTCCAGGCGACAAGCCCGAGGTTATCGAGACGGATGTAGTGGTCGTGGGTAGCGGCTGTGGAGGCGGTGTGACGGCAAAGAACCTCGCAGAAGCCGGACATCGTGTGTTGATCGTAGAGAAGGCATATCACTGGACTCCAGATCACTTCCCCATGGCCGAAGTGGATGGGTGGCACCATCTCTTCATGAGCGGATCATTCTTGACATCTGATGATAGTTCTGTCAGTGTTGTAGCAGGGCAGGCCATGGGCGGTGGGGGGACCGTCAATTGGTCTGCTTCTCTCCAAACGCAAGGCTATGTCCGTCGCGAATGGGCAGCACGAGGCCTGCCGTTCTTCACATCAGCAGAGTTCCAAGACTCGTTAGATCGTGTCTGTGATCGAATGGGTGTATCAGACAAGCACATCAAGCAGAACCGCAACAACGAGATACTGCTAGAAGGTGCTAGGAAGCTCGGCTGGAATGCTAAACCCGTGCCACAAAATACTGGCGGACAGCAGCATTACTGCGGTTATTGCAACTTTGGTTGCGGTTCCTGCGAGAAGCAAGGTCCTGTAGTATCCTTCCTACCTGACGCAGCACGCGCAGGAGCAAAGTTCATCGAAGGCTTTCACGCAGAGAAAGTCGTCTTCTCCAACAAGAATGGCCAACGGATAGCAACCGGTGTAGTCGGCACATGGACATCCCGCGACGCTCATGGCGGCGTCTCCGGCGCCCCTCTGACAACTCGCCGTGTCCTCATCAAAGCAAAGCGCGTCATTGTATCAGCAGGCACCATGCAATCCCCACTCCTCCTCATGCGCTCCGGACTCAAGAACCCGCAGATAGGTCGCAACCTGTACCTCCACCCCGTCACCTTCCTCGGCGCCTACCACAAAGAAGAGATCAAACCCTGGGAAGGCGGTATCCTTACCTCAGTGGTGGGTGAATTTGAAAACTTAGACGGCAAGGGACACGGCGTGAAACTCGAGGCTACAAACATGGTCCCTTCGGCTTGTCTTATGTGGGTAGACTGGAAAAGCGCTATGCAATACAAGATCGACGCTGCCAAATTGAAGCATATGGTTGGGTACATTTCCATCGCGAGAGACCGCGACACAGGGAGAGTGTATCCAGATCCTGTCGATGGACGCGTCCGTTTCTCATACCAAACTTCCAACTTCGACAAACAACACGTCTTAGAAGGTGTTATTGCTCTTGCGAAGATCCAGTACGTTGAAGGCGCCGAGGAAATCTTCACCGTCATACCTAATATGCGACCTTTTGTTCGCGACCCTTCTATACCTTCTGGTGACGGTATCAATGATCCGGAATTCCAGACCTGGATTCAGGATATCAGGAATAAAGGTCTGCCGTCTCCTGAGAGTGTATATGTCTCCGCTCACCAAATGGGTACTTGCCGGATGAGTGCGAAAGAGAAAGATGGTGTTGTTGATCCGCGCGGCGCTGTTTGGGGCACGGAGGGTCTGTATGTGGCAGACGCGAGCGTGTTTCCCAGTGCTAGTGGAGTCAATCCTATGGTAACCAACATGGCCATTAGTGATTGGATCAGTCGGGGGATTAGGGATGGAATGGAAGACAGGGCGAGGTTGTAGATGGGATGTAATTATAGGTGTAATACTGATAGAGTAGCCTGAAGGTCCTCGCATGTAAGTATCGTCTTGAAAGTCTTGTAATAGTATGGCCTCAAGGCCCTCGCATAGAATTCTGTCTTCGCGCAATTTCCTGGTTTTCCCCATTCCTTGTTCTTGTTATCTGGAGTGGACTTTTTCAAGATTGTGGAGGAAGTTATAGGTAAGGTGCCGCAAACGGAATGCTAGAACGGAAGTAATACATGGTGAAATAGGCAACGAGTACAAAGGCCACCTACGACTTGATCGAAAAATTCAGCATGTGAACGTTGACTAAGTTTCCCACTCACAAATATATCTACCTGGTAATGCCGAAAGTGGATGTGCAGCATCCTATGGCGACCTTTGTGAAGTCCTTCCATGATTGGTTGTCCAAACTGAAACCTGAGAAGACGCTCAATCAGACATTCCCTGACATCGAGGTATCTACAGTAAGAGATGTCTTGGAGGAGGCCTGGAGAAAGCGTTGAGGAAGAGACTTGGTAGCGAGAGGTATGGGAATTGTCAGTGTAGGATCGAAACCATTTTACGCTATCAGCTCCCCTTCTTCCTTTCTTCCCTCTTCTTCTCGAGTTAACGAGCTCAACTGCTGACTTCTTGTGTTGATTGTCGACGTCATCACATATGGAACTCCCCTTATTACTTCCCTCCGTCCCTCACTATGCAATGCCGGCTACTATGGGTGCGGACCATGGATGATTCGAGGCTTCATGTTGCGGGTGGTTTTGCCTCTATGCTGCATCGTTTGGAAATACAGTCACTTGTGCGGCTGTGTTTGGCCTCTGCTACCATCTCCGTGTCGGATTTGATTGCGCGCGCTCCGTCGAGTAGTAACTCGAGCGATGTCAGTACATGGTTTTGCGTAAGAGGGAAATGCGCACCTCGATGAATAGCCAAGCACCATGCTGCATGGATTGTTGCGAAAATGATCATGGCGAGAAGTTGAAGCAGAGCGAGGACATCTGATTTGGTCCACATGGCTGGAGTGTTGGTTGCTTTTGCTGTGTGGCGTGCTTAGGGGCTAAGGGGCGGAGATGATAGGCTCTGAATCTTTGATGTATGCTCTGCAGCATCGCATTGCATCACAGGCTTCTATTGTCCTATCTATAAGCATGACAGTCTGTATTCAACTCATCAAGGCTATGTGCAGGGAGATCGCGAGTCTTGGAAGATCTGATCTTGTACGTCTCAATGCGGGTACGGAACGACCAGCTTCATCATCACTCGATGGTACTAGTCTCTATCGTGTTGCGGAACTGGAGAGGGCTGTTAGCGAGATGGCGCTAAGAGAGTACACGAAAAAACGCTAGTATCTTTCGAGGTGCGGAAGCATGGCTCGAGCGGTAAGGGTGGGGAAGTCTAATCCACTTCGGGGTGCGGAAACTATGTTGGCGATGCGTCCTTCAGCCTTGTCACTTGATATCTACTGGTCACCAAAATACGCTCAGCCTTCATCACTTGTTCTTAAACACCCAAACCTCTCATTGTTGGAACATCATGTCAAATTCCCGCGCTTCACAAGCTTCCCAAAACCTTTTACCAACTGACTTCATCCTCAGCCGCGGGATACATCACTGGGATTTCGCGAATCTTCCCTTGGTTCTGCCTTGCTTCTCTTGCGAACGAGGCCTGGAGATCTCCTTGGCAGCTACAAATCAGCCTTGTGTGCCGACGCCATGGATCACCAACAGGCTGTCGCACAGCCCGAACAGCAAGAGGAAGAAGCGACTGAATGGGCTTATCAACGATCAAACACAATACCCATCGCGTCCGCCCAAACAGATATACCACAGACTATGTCGCTACTAGACGGTCGCGACACTCTAGGTAGCTTTCCAATGGGTGCCGACCTGCACCACACTTCCCATTCAACTTCGTTGGCGACCTTGCAGCCTTATCAACAATCAGCAGGATTTGCTGGAGATAGCCATGTACAGGAATCAGACCTGCCCGAAGCAGTACAACGCGAGCTGGCTGAGGCGGACTTCCGGCATACCGCAACACGATGGGAAATTTTGGAGAAGGCAAATGCACTTTCTGCAATGCCTCATCCACAAGCAATAACTGCATCTCACTCGGATTTTGCAACGAATGAGATAGTCACTGGTTATAGTGGGTTCTATGGTCGTATTAGTCTGCCCGTGGACTCACGGCAGGTCCCCAATCACTATCCTACCCTGAACAATAGCAGCAGCGTGTATGGATTAGGCCCAAACGTATGGCATAGTCAGCACATCCCACAGACTGCTATCTACCCGCACATCTTAGAGGATCGGGCTCAGTGTCACCGCCACCCAAACATCACCTTTCCCAATGCTCAAAACTATGACCTTAGTCTTCCTTATCACGCGACATATGGCCAGCAACCTGCTATCGGTTTGATGCCACTCACAACATCGCATCATAATACGATGATCCCTGTTCTGAGTACAAACGACCAGGAAACCTATGGATCTTTCCTCGATGCACCTACTGAACCTGGTCATACGCAACAACTTCTCCCAGCGCAAGGTGTTAGATCAGTCCCTGTCAATTCAAGCGAGTTGCCAATGTACACGGTCATCAATCCCGTCTACGATACGACAGCTCCCTCTGCAGGTCCATCATGGAACAGAGATACCAATATACCTGCTGACCGTTCCTTGAGCACGATAATGTCAAAGTTTCCATCATTTCCGGCGGTCGATCAGTCAGCCACGACATATTGCGATGCACCAAGCACTACAATCTCGCCAATTCCTTCTCAAACAATGATAGTCCCCGCGAAGAATTGTGAAAGACAAGTTACGCTCATCAAAAGAAAATCATGCGTTTCGGACAGCGCTAGCGATAGCCGGACAGGGCCTAGCTACGCACTCGACAACATTTACTTCCATACGAACCCAGAGGCTGATCGGCAACGCAAGAAAGCTCAACCAAAGCGTCGTAAGGTTATAAAGAAGGCATCTTGGTCTTGCTTCGGATGTCGCCTCAGCAAACGAAGGGTGTGTAACCTCTTTCTCAGCATAAGGTTGAACGTGTCGCTAACCCAATGTACAGTGCGAATTTTCGATCAACGGTCTCTGCCTCCGATGTAAGGATATCTTGAACGAGTATTCGTATCGCACAGCGATCCCGAAGTTTACATGTGACGTCCGGACGAAGTTTTCCGATATGTCGATCTTTACCGATATACCCCCAACGATGTTGTCTAACATGGAAAATATCACAAATATACTAAAAAGCCTTCCTCGCCCGCTAAAGATTGACTGGGACGATGGCTTTTCTGCTCAAACGCTTGGAGGCCCTGCAAAGTCACATCTAGAGGCCGTCACGATGACTGTCTTCAGAATTCTTAAGCGTCTTCGCGATTTCCTAGACGTCATGGAGCCGCTACATATCAGACGGATTTTTGTGTATTATATGGAGGAATATACAATAATGTTCTGGAGTTATTTCTTCAGCATCGTTAGGTGGAAAAGCGCAATCCTCTTCCTATGGCCAGATCTGGAAGACGTGCTAGACCTCCATGAGAAATTTGTTCGTTCTTACCACCGAGTGATTCTCGCTGCGCTCGATCGGATGCTTCCCAATGGAAACCATTTTCATGCAGCCCTATGGCTAAATGTTTTGTACGAAGGGAACTTTGCCATGGAAAACACCCCCAGGATAGACATTCCTGCGAAAGATCACCTCCAATCCTGTCTCACGCACCATCTTTTGCATGTATATCGCAGAATATCCATGACGGATCTGACTTTTAAGAAGTTGCCGCAGCTCGGATTGCAGTACTGGATGATACTAAACATGTTTCACCACACATTCATAATGTTGCCGCAACGTTATCGATTTGGTCCCTTGAAATTTGCTGGGCGCATGCTATTGCGAGCACACAAAAGTCCATTGGTTTCAGAGAGACGTTGTTCACTGGGATCCGAAGATGCGCCTTCCAGGAAATCCCCCAATGAATTGGAAAACCCTTGCTGTGCGGCGAACACGTACCTTCCCGCACGGTTTCGGACTGTCTTTGGACTGGACACAGGAACAAAGAACGTTTTTATGAGTTCAATGTTGATGGGCTTAGTCGAAGAGGCAATTAAGTTCTATCTCATGGAGCTCGATGCATCGTTTCGAGAGGACATGTTGGAGCTGTCTCCCCGGACCTTGTCTATAGCGCTGAAGGCGGTTCTCGACGAATGTGTCATCAGTAATCATACAAGGGCTCACACAATCAGGATGCTGATCTTGAGCCTTCGATATTTCATCGAAAACTGCATAGAACTCGTGAGCATGGAAGAGTTTCAACCTTTGAGGAGCACAGGCAAAAGGTCTACGGATTTCAGGATGAGTGATCATATTATGGAACCTGTTATACTCCAGTTGCTGGCTGGCGAATTGCATGAATCTGAAGATCATCTGAAGCCTATATTGGCCGCGATGAGTCTGGACGAACCATGACAATAGGGCTCGAGGAAGTTCAAACATGTACAGGGGGATGTGAGGACTGTACCCTGTTCCTACTCTATAGAAAGGCATGAATATCAAGCATGGCTTCTTCACATCACTCTTTCGTATTAAATTGGTTGCCTTCTCGACCTGTCCATTGCCCGCGATTTGTTCAGTCAAATAGGTACAAGATCGTGTGTTCGCCCGTGGCGACCTCGGTCTCGAGTCACAGTTGTTTTTCTTACACCAGTCTAGCGATAAGAGACATACCGCCCGATCTTTTACCGAAGTCGCGATAGGCATACCGGTTCTTCCTTCTTCAGCGCCACTGATGTGGGCACTACCTGGCTTCACCTAGGCTTCCTGATCCTGTGTGGCTCAGACTTTTTGATTGAGCGTAGAACGAGGCGTCCTTTAACATGTGCAATAGGCAGATCCTGCCACTTAGTTGTTATACCTCTTAGCTTGGGCTCGAGTCATGTGGGAAGGAGAGGCGGAGGCATGGAATGATATCAGTTGTTGTGGATGTAGGGAAGGAAAGACGAGGGAACCAACCAGAAACACTTCAACTAGTAGGCCTCAAAACCTACATCTACTCGTTTCAAGATGTAAGAATCGAACTTTCATCTCATGCCTCTACCTGTATACCCACCGATGAGATCTCATTAGCTGGATCCAGGTATCACACAAGAAACGCAACCACGCGAGTACCTTTAGATGATCTTATTGTCCTGTACTTTTCGCGCATACCCAGGATACGGTACAACACCGCTAAACATCCGGATACAATCCCCCAGATTCCTACCCTGTCCATCAAGTCCAAAATGCTCCTTGATGATATTTTTCAGGAAACAGATAACCGCATGCGCACCCTCCGCTGGAGCATTTCCACTCAGTCCGCGGGCTTTGATATTCTTCTTTCCTCCTTGCGTCTTGGCCAACTCAACGACAATAGGCAGGTCTGTCATGTCAAAGATGGCGGAATCGTCGAGATCGAATTCTGTGGCTGGGCCCGTGAGGTGTAACCATGTTGTTGGCCAGTGAATGTCGTGTTCACGGCGGAAGTCTGCGCGGCCGAAGAAGAAGAGGGGTGTATTTTTCACATCCGAGGAGAGGAGAGGAGGGGAGCCGGAGAGGTTTATGCTGAACTTCACGGCGGAGGAAGAAGGGGTGGGGAGGCCGAGAGAGTTTGCGACTGTGCCGCCAAGACCGTGGCCGATGATACCGTAGGTAGCTGTGTTCAGCCCGGATGTGAAGCGTGGAGTTGTGAACTGGTGTTGGAGAAGAGCGGCGGTGCTGATTTGAGAGAGTGTGAACCGGATGTCAGAGATGCGCGTGTCTACTGCTTTCTGCACGGTGGAATTCCACGTTGTGATGGGCGACAGGTTGGACAGAGGGACAGTGCCACTATTATACACAGTCTGCAGATCGCGGGTGCGAGAAGAAGAGAACTGTACGATCGAGGCGTCGCCTGGATGGTCAATGACGACGACGGCAGCTCTGTTCGCGGTGAGGAAACGCGCCATGGTCGAGTAAAGCAGTCTACTCGTGTCGACATGCGGTTCCAAGACCACTACTGGAAACTTGCTCGCATCGATATCGCTGGAACTGCCACGACGACATTGTAGATCATTTGTTCGAAAACGCCTGCATCCCGCTGTCCTCCTTCGATGAACTGCTCGTTCGCAATCGCCGCAGTTTGCGGGGGCATGTAGCTGTTCTGACATTCGTTCGAGCATGACTTCTTGGAGACAGGCATGAACAAGCTGACCATGAGTCGGCGATCCTCATCTGGTTTGTATGGATCTTTCGCCGCAGTATTGGTTAGAGGGAAATGACTGACAGCGACCATATACTTGTGATTCTCATCGGCACCCGGGATGCGAATGGCGTGGACATTGCCGTAGAGTGCTGAGAGCAAGATAACGAGCGTGAGGCCGATGAACGGAAGCATGATGAAGGGTCGACTGAGTGAGTGGAGGATGTTGAGGAGTCGAGTCGCGAGGGTGGGTTTTGTGGTTGTGAGTTCGGCCATGGAAGCGAGTGTAGTGCGAGACTGCTATATGATGAAGCAGTAGAAATGCGACAGGTTGCCGTGGTGACGTGGATGAGAGAGAAATAGACAGGGGAAAAGTGAGAGACCCGATGCAGACGTTGGTGACCGAATGTAGCAGAATCGCCGAGTGAACGGTTTTTGACAGCGGGTAGATTTGTTGATGCGCGCCGTTTGTCTCGTTGTGCCCACATGCTGTGAATTTGATAGAATATCTATGCGGATGGCATGTGGTCGTACTGGTAGGATGTGTCTTCCTCATGACAAGCGGCCATGTAATACCCGTACGGCACTCTAGTCGACTTTTGTGTGCGACGCATTGCCATAGGCTGAATCCAAACCAGGAAGCTTCTATGAATTGAACGTCTTGATCCAGATGCGTTCTGATGGTCGTGCCTACTTTACCATCGTAATTCCATCCCTACTTTTCTGCTAGAAAACGGAGTGATATCGTAAGAGGACTGGGTAGAGACACTGAGAACGAGAACATCAGAACCGATGAAGGTGGATAGAATGTAACTTCAATACTAGTCTAATACAGAACATCGCTACGCCATCTATCTCTTGCGCCTCCACCCCCTCTCATCTATAAGCGAAAAAAACATGTCTTATGGGAATTCGGTCATCTCGTCGTAATCGTGTAGTGTGGGGTATCAGCAATGTTGAATCGTTGTGTTCGTAATATGAGGGTGGGAATCCTCATAAGATCCAGGGTCTGGTTGCGATGATAGATCCTGGGTGTTTCATCGAGTGGAAGCTTGAGACATGGGTGTAAGCAAAAGCCCATGAAAGTAGTTCAGGAGGACTCGAGGGAGGATAGAGATAACCTCTTTCGCTTTTCTACAGGGAGCCTCTTCCACATGCCGACGTGCTCGATGCCTTCCTCGATCCAGTGGGGCTCTGCTAGTATTTCGACTTCGCCGTCGTCGTTTTTCAGTTCCTCATGGAAGCCGTGCTTCTCCCACATGCTCTGCAAGTTGGCTTGGGCGTGGATCATAACAAGGCCTTGCCAGGTGATCTCGCGCTCTTTGTTGTTGCCCAGGATCTGCGCCATCTCCAAAGCGGTAGGAGATAGAGGTCGGTAGATTTGGTCGGGGTTCATCATGGCGTAGTCGAGCGCAGCGTTGACGAGGAGTTTAGCGAGGCCGAGACTGCGGTATGGTGCTAATACTGCAAGTCTGCCAAGCTTGATGTAGGGCTCAGCTGGGTGCTTACTCTCCTGCTCCTCGCCCGGTGGGTCTGCATCGGCATGTTTGTCCGTCTTGCCCTCGTCGACGTACTTGTTGGGGCCGTGGGGCGGGGGAATGAGGCGAATCGTCGCAACGGGAACGCGGGTGGCGGTGGCAGAGGCGCGGCGAGCGTCGTCAGCCGGTGTGTTGCCAGAGTCGGAGCGGCGCATCATCTTCGGTGGGTGGGTTGCGTGTGTGGCAACGGAAGCATAGGCGACCCAGTGCCAGCTGCGGGCATCGTCTTCGTCGAACTCGGCCTCGAGAGGTACACCTTGCTCACCGTAAACCTCTTCGCGGACGGCCATGGCATCACAGAAGTTCTGTGGGATGTGTATCTTCTGCTTGCTGCATGGTATCGTGTTGTCGTAGCCATCCAGGGCGCCTTTGAGCGGGCAGACGGTATTGACGAACTCGGTGCCGGAGTTGGTCGCGAGTAATGGCGTACCATTTGGCGAGCCGAAGCCGCCTTTCAGTACGCTGGTCATGGGGACGATTGCAAGCGCGTCGCTGTCGAGGTTTGTAGATGTTGTCTACGTTCCAGGCGGGGTCGGTGTGATGGAGAGAACGTCGTTGACGCGGGGAGAGAGTACTGCAATGGCGTGCTCAGTGGCAGTGTCAGGAATCTGCGTCGCAGTCGTCGTCTTCAATTCGCGCAATTCAGGCAAACCCTGCCTGAGCGAAGGCGCGATGCGCCCTATAAAAGGCACACCGACAAGCTCTACGGCAGCATGCAACAAGTTGTTTTGGGTCCCGTAGTTTCAGACGTTCAGGGTCCTAGGACATAATCTATACTCATAGCGGTAGGAAGCCTGGAGATCACTCATGGAGAAGTTGAGCGGGCGAGTGAGGTTTCGAGGCCATCCCGCCGACGTTGCGACAGTGATGTCACGAGCTTGGACCCTTGCCCGGGCCGCACGGAGCACTACGGTACATCCACTGACGGCGAATCAGATGGGACTCTAGACTTTGGGCCTATCTGAGTCTGTCACATATTGGGACGAGCTGTTCGCCATACGAGCGCACTTAGCGTAATTCGTGTTCGCTCCATTATGACAGGCGATATCTCATCACCTGGGGGTTGTTTGTAAGTTCGTTATCGCCGTGTACGAGCACAACCGGGTAACTTGAGGGAACATGTACTGCATTGCTGTTACGAGAAGGAGCCGATGGAAGCCGCCATGTGGCTTAATCCTACAGGGAAGCTCGTTCCTTCGCAGCCGCCACTGGATGTTGCCTTGATATATAGGTGACGTCGCCTCTTCATCTGTTTTTGAATGTGTCGCTTCGGATTTTGGAGGTATACCTTGACCTCACAGACGTTGTTTGAGCATATATCAAGTTCTTCCCCCTGTCTCCTCTGCCTTTCCTTCTCTTGTAACCAGAGGTATCCTGTGATTGGTACAAACCAACAACAGGAGTTCAACACTATAGTACGCACTCCAGCGTGCCGCCTTTACATCTGCATCTTGATCGCGAGACCGGCTGTTTTCGCTTTATGGTTCTTAGACCCCTTCCAGTTATGCGCGGGCAGAGGTTCATGACCACGAGCTGATCCTGGAGCATATATGCTTCAACAGCACTTGCGAGTTAAACGTACGGTGCCAATATCTTCGCTGAAAGTAGTACCTGAAGGGGTTTGCAATGGTATTTCTTCGGGGCTAGGAGCTTGAAATTCTGTGGAGGCATCCACAGCATTGTTTAGTTGAACGTATGACAAGAATGTGGCCGAAGACCACCGACAGTAATCTTGATGATGTTGACCACTAGTGTAGAGGTCGAGAGGGCATAGCCCAAGCCCATGAGCTAGGATTGAGTTAGTGAATGCTTCTGGTGTAGGCCGATGTGATTTAAAAGGTGTTGGAAATAGATAGTAGTGTGGAATCATAATTAAGCTGGACGGTGCACAATTGGGGTCAAAGGAAGAAAACAAAATTGATGATGAGGGCTGGGGTTATTCAATGGAAGTGAAGGTTGACTTACGGCAGCATTGGAGTCGTTGAAATCCCGAAAGACCCACAACCCACCGATCCCTCCCATGATGATGGCCGGGAGGGCGTATGCAATCACTCCCATGACCGCGGTGTTGATAAACTCCTTGCGGGTAGGCAAACTGGAGGCCGGCCGAGCTTGTCATGACGCCATCGTAGGCGGCGAAGAGAGGAGGAGTGAGAGGAGTGGCGAGGGAATAGATGGCCATCGCAAGGCCTAAACACGCGAGTTGGGTGATGATGTTCAGCCAATTGCCGCGCACGAATTGGCGGAACGGGAGGGGGTTCGTGAACCCAGGGATCGTGGCGGCGGGGACGGCGGCGGGGATTGCAACCATGGTGGTTGCTGGCAACTGGCGGAAAAGGCTCGTGTGATGGTATGAAGTCCTAAGCTGTCTGGAGAAACTGAAGAGAAATGGCCAGGATACCTTCTTTATATACACTTCCCTCAGGTTCGAGTTACAGGATATGCTGCCCAAGCTACCTAATACCATCCATCGGTGTACATACCATTTCAGACAATGTAGCAGGTACAATGCGAAGAAACATTGTAATTGTGTTTGTTGGAACAACATGCTGGAGCAACCCGCTGCCTATCGCGAACGCCCAGCCGAGCAACATCACTCCACGAAGGTTCCGGGCCTCATTATCGGCCTGACTACCCCAACTCCAGGATACCGCGAAGGGTAAGTGGCACCACTATCAGCTTGATATTCGTTATCGTCAGATATTACCAAGTGTTGTACACCGCCTTTTCGGGCTAGTGCTCTCGGTGTTCGAAAGTCGCGAGGGTAACTGCGCTGCATCGACACTGCAACAACCTACGGAGATAGCACTTAAGAGTGCCATCGTATGCAACCGCCCCGGAGACGAACCTTTAGGGATGCTTTGGTCAAGCAATTTGACATATGAATGTCATCAGGAAGGATGGTAGTCCTTCCACTGGAACCGCAGTCTAAAGACCTTCGCGTGAGCAATTTCGCGGCTGTAGGTCCTTATATACCCACGATATACTCTTAAGGAGATTTGCATATGAAGCTCCCATCATGTACTTGCATCTACACTAAAACCCAAACACGTTTTCTCCCTCCTTGAACCCCCAATCCTTCAGTGCTGGCAACGCGGCCTTCTGAATCATACCCGGCGGTCCACAAAGGAAAACACCCGTCCCTTCTTCCGGCGCAAAAAGCGCTTCTTGGATCAACCCTGCATCAACGTGTCCCTTCTTCCCCTTCCAATCATCGCTTGGATGACTGAGAATATGTGTGGTCTTCAGCCTACCTCCACTCTTCTTCTCAAACTCATCGAGCTTTTCGTGGAGTAAGATATCCTTCTCAGACTTATTCGCATCCACGATGCGAATCTGCGTAACATCATCGTCAGAGAGCATCGCGCGTGCGACAAGGGAGTAACCGGGCGTAATACCACTTCCACCGAGAACGAGGTTGATCTTCTTGAACGTGTATTCCTTACCCGAGATACTGAAGGAACCGTTGCCGTTGTATATAATCTCGCCGGTAGGGCCACGTATCTCAATCTCCTCGCCGAGGGGCACGCAGTCGAGGATATTGGACATTGCACCACCAGGCTGAGAGTCAGAGGGGAAGTAGGTTTTGACGGTGAGTTCGAAGGTGCCGCTGCCGTCTGCAACGCTATCGTTGTCGGTTTTGTTGTTGTTGTTGTTGTGCTGCTTCGGTACATCAGGAAGAATTGGCTTAGTAGGCGTGTATGATCGGATGAGCATTTTATCTTGGAGGTGGTAGCCTAGTTGTACATGCTGACATGTTGCGAGACCCAAATCGGGCGTGTTTTCTGGAAGTTGGAAAATGTATGTGCGTGTATCTTCCGAGATGGGTTTACGGTCGACGAGTTTCACTGGTACCCATCGGTGTCTTTGTAAGACGATCTTGCCTTGTTGACCTTGAGAGGATGTTTGCGATTGCTCTTTTGCGGCTGCTTCGGCGTTCTTCTTGATGAAAGCGGCAGCCTTGTCCGTCACCACACCAATCGCACATTCTGTGCCGGAACATCAGCGGATACGTAATAATAACAATCTTGTGAACTTACCATTGAGTTTTTTGTATGCATACCCGTCGTGTACGCTTTCGAATTCACTGCTAGTTTCTGCATGCACCTTACCAGCATGGCCTAGTACTGCCGCTTTGCCTCCCGGATGCCAGCCCAGCACGCTTGTCGCATCGTACACTTTCCCATCGATCACAATCCAGCAATCGTCCTCTTTATCATGCTTCTCGATCTCCTGCCGCGTAAATTGCTTCTGTGGTGTACCGGCCGACTGCTTGATAGCCGCCATCTGGTTTTCAACACTCGGCTTCATCCATCCGCCATCTGCCGTGCTTGGCTCGACCGGGTGACAGAAGAGGATCGAGGGAGTATCGGTGTCGTCTCCTTGTACGATTTCAGGTCGAACAACGTACCAGCAGTTGTTCATCATGCCCATGACATTCCAATTCGGATCCTTCGGTTGTGTGTTCTTGAAGACATTGAAACACCGCACTGTAATGCTCTTGGCTCGGAGTAAGTGCGTGATCTCGATATCGACCTGCCAGTGCAGCCACGTCCAGAACTTGTTGCCGTGGCGAATAGGCGCGTCCGGGAACTTTCGAATGCAATAAAGCCATGTTTTTCCATCGTCAAGAGACACTTCGACTCTCTGGACTTCATGACCCCCACCGTCGTACGCGTAGCCTTCAATACGGTATGTATTTCCCTTCTTAGCCTCTGAAAGCAATATCTTCTCACCTTGCGCAGGCTTCACAATGACAGAGTTCAAATTTTGTTCATTACACGCCGTATCGGGATGACGAAACAACGTCTCTGCAAACTCGCCATCCTTCTCCGTAACGAAAGATGGTAGGACACGGTTGTCCCAGATATGGTAATGCGAGTCATTCTCCTTCTCTGATATCCAAATACGCTTCAGCCACTTGACGCAGCGGCCACCAACGTATCCCGGTATCATTAGTCGCACCGGGTATCCGTGATCAGGTGGGAGTGGGACGTCATTCATTTCGTATGCGAGGATAACGTCGTTCGTTGCATCCATCACATAGTCGAATGGTATGCATGTAGCATACTTTCCCTCACTCAGCTCATCCGCGCCCTCGAAGTTGACCCAGTAGCGTTTGCCTTCTGGCATTCTTGCCGGTAAGCCAGCCTTCAGCAACACGTCTTTCACCAGTGGTCCTTTCCAGTATGCGCAACTGACTGCCGCGCTACCCCAATTGAATCCTTTAGACTTCTTAATCATGTTGAGCTCTTTCCGACGGTTACCGTCGCACGCCAAAGCTACCGGAATGTTGATGGAATCGAAATTGTTCTTGAGGTTGTCCATAGACAGTACGAGCTTACCGCGTTCGACATCCAACTCGTGAAACTCCCAAAGCAGCCTTGGAACAGCGCCATGATTGCGTACATAGTGCAGCTCGTTAGGCGTAATCAGGCCTGCATCGTAGAGATGCGACAGGTTGGCCTCTGCATTCATCGGATGCTTACCCGTCAAACGAATCAAATCCGAAGAACGTGGTAGCCAATTGTCGGGGGAGAACTGGTCAGCTTCATCGATAGAGATGGTGCTGCGGTTCCTTGTCTGGGGGCTTTTGCGCTTTCCATCGTTTTGCTCGAGGTTCTGTATGTAATCTTTCTCGTGTTGTAGGCTTCGAAGCAAGGCAATCTCTTGCACGGAGTATCGTTCTCGAAGCTTCTCGTATCCACTCTTCTGGTCCTTATTGGCTTCATCGCTGGAGTAACCGGAGCCCTCTGCACCTCTGGCGTATGCATCGTGATGCTTGTCGCCGTCACCTTGGCCTCGCTTCCATTGCTCTTCATCCAAGGTGCCGTCACCTCCGTCTTGGTCCTTTACGCCGTCACGCTGCTGCTCATCCTTTTTCTTCTGCTCTTTCTTCTGGCGCTTCTCGATGTTTGCCGGCCATTCCTGTTGGTTCTTGACCCAATCTTCCGTACACGGGAGCACGAATCTCCAGCCCAAGCTTTTTGTTCTCCGGATGCCGGAGGTGTAGATCCTTTTCTTCCAACACAATATCTCGGAAGTTGACCAAATCACCTCTCTTCGTTTTACCAACTAGATCCTCGTGTCCAGCACGCGCTTCCCCAATATCGGCCTCAGCACTCTCGTGGGTGATGCCAGCCCGACGGTTATCGCGATTCTTGTAGCCAACGCGATGTTCGTGGCTGTGTTCGGTCGATCAATCAGGCTCCCGCTCGATCTCTGCTCGCGTTGAGCCAGGGTGATCAGTGATACTAACTCGCCAGGGTACTGGAGGCATCTCTAAGCGTTTCTCGACAAACAGTGGGGCCAAGAATTTGCTACACACCTACGAGTGTGACAAGCACACGCCAGGATATGTAGCAGACCGAACATAATCAACGATGCTGTTGTTGTGTCGTCATGGTGAGTTTGCTTTTCCTATGCGCGACACGCTCCGGACGACCTCGTTGGTTCACAGATAGCAACTAATCGGTACTATTTGTAACTGCAATGGTATTTCCGCGGGTAGGTCGGAATTCCAAGATTCCGCTAGATGAGGAAATCTCAGCCTATACATTGGTTTCAAATGCGACAGAACCATGATGAATGGGTTGGAATGGTTAAGATGTGGTGCTGGGCTCATAGTCCGAGGTGAGGAGTAGCATCCGACGAAGTCGTGACTCAGCTTCGCGCTTTCATGAATATACCTCGAACCGACCTAACGTCAGGAAATACATCTGCCCAAAAACGAGATGGGATCCCATGCTGCATTTGCGCAACTAATATCTTGCTATGTTATAATACTATACAATGTCCTACACGTCAATCTTGCCAACTGCCCCAACCCTCCTCCCTCCACACCCCACTCTTCCCCCCTTCCTTCAACACAACTCTAACATCCTGCACTCTCTGAAACTTATCCACTGCCTTACACATATCCACCACACTAAGTGCCGCACCCATGACCGCCGTCAAGGCCTCCATCTCGACGCCTGTAGGACCCGTGCATTGGACCTTTGCTTCGATCTGGATACCGCCGTAGCCAGGGTCGATAGAATGTTGAGAGGCAGGTGTAGATGGTAAGCATTCCGGTGAGGGATCAACGTGTTTAGGCCCGAAAGCACGTAATTCGACGCCGACGTGCGTCAGGGCGATCGGGTGGCATAAGGGGATTATCTCGGGACATTTTTTGGCCGCCATGATTCCTGCTATGCGTGACGTACCCAGTACATCGCCCTTTTTTAGGCTGTTGGAGCGGACTAACTGGAGGGGAGTGGGGTTGGTGAAGTACACGGTTCCTACAGCGATGGCGGTGCGGGTCGTGTGTTGCTTGTCTGAGACACTGACCATGTGTGCGGAGCCGGAGGAGGTGAGGTGGGGGAGGTGCGGTTGGGGATTCGCGGGTTGCGGTTTGGAGGATGAAGGGGGTTGTAAGGGTTGTGGTTGTGGTTGGTGTGGTTTGTCCTTCTCGTCTACCTTATCGACTGAGCGTGCTTTGGATTCGGACGAGGGCGAGAATAGGGAAGTGCGACGGGAGGAGGTCGAGTACATTCTGCGAGACCCAAATTCAGACATCGTCGAGCCAATCGACTCTCCTCTCATCGTCTCGGGCTTCCCATGCTGCAGCGGCTCGGAACCAGCTTCATCAGCCAAAAACCCCATCCCCTGAGCTTCCATCTCCTCCCAATCCAACTTTCCTTCCGCATCACCATCCAAAGCATACCTCTTCTCGAACACTTCATGCCATCTCATCGCCATCCTCTCTGCCGCATCATTAGTAAGGTCGTGATCCTTCACCATCTGATCCAGTACCGCCTTCAACTTCTCGTCCACGACCCCTTTCTCTAATTGGCCCGTATAATCGACATCATCAAACCTCGCTTGCCATCTACTGACCAAGATCTTCAACCATGTTTGCAACGTACGTTCATTGTTGGAGGTACAGACATCGTAGGGTAGGGTATCGATGCGTGGATAGGAGGACTTGAGTCGGTCCCGTAGGGCGGAGAGTTGTTGCTGGAGTTGGGGGACGGGAGCATGGAAAGTGACAACGAGGTCTTCATCAATAGGTATAAAGCCGGATGGGGGAACATTGAGGCCAAGCTTTTTGCTTGGTATGCCCAACGTCTCCTGTTTCTGAACAGGAGCCATAGCGACTCGGCCCTCATCCATGATCGGATCTGCAAGTGCTTCTCCATCAGAGCTTCGTTCTGACCTGTGCAGACCCAGAACTGAAACAGCGCCTAATCCAGCCTGTCTCATGACTTTGGTCGAGGCAGGTACGTCTTTCTGCCTCACTTCGTTAGGAGATGGTCTAGGTTCCTTCTTGATTTTCCCAACTCTGCGCAGAGCATCATCTAATATATCGCCGAGGTCATAGCCATCCCTCCCCTTTTCTTTTTCTGTGGTTCTTCCAATCATCTTAGCCCTCCGTTCAGTTTCTTCATACTCGTTCAACTGTTTCAATAACACCCTTTTCTTAGCCAAAGCCTCCTCTTTCCGCTCCCTCAGCTCAGCTTGTTTCTGCGCTTGTTCTTTAACAGCAGCGACTTGGGTTTTATACTCTGTCAACAGCTTTCCTAGCTCATTCAGCTGATCGGTTCTATTCGCCGCAAAGGTTTCCTCTTCGATCCGTTGAGCTTGTTTTCGCTTGCGCCATTCCCCTCGTCTGGTAGTCACTGTGTGGTTGGAAGCATTAAGAGCATCCGAAACATGTTTAGGGGGCTGCGCTGTTGGAGCTTTAGGGATCTGGTCGACGACTTTGGCAATGCGCCCTTGTAACTCATGAATCTTTGCCTCAATGCGTCCCAGCACTCGGTCACTTTCTTGTGGTATTCTAACTTCTTCTAAGAAGTCTTGCATGTTGTTGGGGTCTGACGCCGTTCCTTCGGTTTCTGTAGTCTGAGCGGCTTTCAAAATCTTCCTAGCCTCCTGCAGTTGTTTCAACTGATATAGCTTCTTAGCAGCGGACACAGGCGAGGTAGAGAAGGCCCTAATAGGGGCTCCAATTGTATGAGACATGGTGTGCAGGTAGGGCAGTGGTGAGTTGTGTGTGTAAGATCGAGCCAGGAGGGAATTGGAATTGTTGAAAGGCCTTCTTCGCAACGCAGGCCACTGCGAATCCAGGCTCGATAGAGGCTTGTCATCTAAACAGGGTCAGCACGATACATCACAGACTAAAGTGCCGCAACTGATAGTAGAATCTGATATATGATTGGTATATGTAGCCATATCCATCTCAAAGCGATAGTGTAGACTCACAATCAAGGAGAACGCTCAAAACGCCAACTATGCAGTGACCGCCGTGGTATCGTAAGACATCCAACCATAACTATCATGAAGGAAAAGAGAAAAAGTCCGAATTCACCCACCAATTAAGATCATGGGCCGATTCTCCATGTTGGCGAGGTCATTCAAGTCGGCGTGCTTTTCCGCTTTGCGTTTAACGGCTGCACCGACAACGTCAAGGAGTTCGCGCTCACGTTGACCCCAGCCAAGAATGGTTTCGTCGCTCAAGCGGCCTTCGTGTCGGTCCATCTCGATCTGCTTGATGCGCTCGAATGCTTCCTGGTCGATAGGCTCGCCATTGTTACCCTGTCGCAGTACGTCACGCAAAGATACCTCCGCGTTGCCGTGTAAACAGACTTTCAGGTTACCGTCGCTCGTTATCCGCAGCCGGTTGCACGTCCCGCAAAAGTCGTTTGTCATGCTCGTGATGAAGCCGACTTTGCCAACGAAGCCTGGCACTTCGTACGTCTTGCTCGTGTCATTTTTGTGTCCTGGTACCGGCCTGAGTCCTGGGTATTTTGTCCTGATGATATCCAGCATTTCCTGGAAGCTGATCATCTTGTTCTCGCTCCACTTGTTCCCACCAAAAGGCATGTACTCGATGAAGCGTACTTCGATGTCCTTCTCGCGGCCCATCTCGACAAAGGGTATGATTTCGCGCTCGTTCAATCCCCGCATGACTACGCAGTTGACCTTGAGCTTGACGTTCGCGCCTAGCTTGTTCATCTCCAGTATGCGATCAATCGACTTTATGACAGCATCGAAGCCTTTCCGCCGGGTCATGATCTGGAATTGGAATGGGTCTAGCGTGTCCAGACTGAGGTTGACGCCAGTCAGCCCAGCCTCCACCATTGCGTCGAGTTTTCGATGTAGTGATATGCCGTTGGTTGTGAGGGCGAGTTCGCGTAGGCCTTTCGGGCGCAGACTGCCGATCTGCTGCATGAGCGGAACAATATCGCGACGGACGGTGGGTTCGCCGCCAGTAAGGCGTATCTTGGTGACGCCCTGCGATACGAATAGTGAGGAGAGGTAGAAGATCTCGGGTGTAGTGAGCATGTTGGCCGACGGAGATAGTGGTATGCCCTCTGTTCTTTGTTAGTAGGATCCCTTGCTATGCGAGAGTTCCAAGCGCACCTTCTGGCATGCAGTACAGACACCGCAGATTGCATCGCTCCGTGATACTGATCCGGAGATAGTCATGTTGCCTATTGAATGTGTCGGTCAAGAAGTCGGAGAAGGGCTTCGCATTCTTGATCGCTTTCCTCCTGTCATCAACCTCCGATCTTAACGGTACCGCAACCGGTGGGATACCCGCTGGGAACTCGACATTCGGCTCCTGGGTCGCAGCATTCGTCGCAATGCTTCTTGTCCGTAATGCGCTTATTGACGGTTGTCGCAGATAGTCGCCACAGCCAGCAACTCGTCGCAGCACGGCCGGGCCCGCCCGTATCCTAGCAATCTGCGCCATTAAGGGGAGTCAAGTTTGAAAAGGCCTCGTCCAACATTGGGAGGAGCGCACATGAGGAGCTATATACGCCGGAGAAGGATAGGGCGGAGATGACTGAGTTGTGACATGCGGCAGATGCTTTAGGTGGGCTGTCTAAGCCGATTACAGGGATCTGTTGCCAGGTGCGGCGACTTACTAAGCTACCAAAGAAAGGGTGGGGTATGGGAATCTGGATCAAATCGTTCTAGACTTGAGTGTAAGCCTGACTGATCTCTATACTGATACTTTGTTTTCCCTTCTTCTCCTCAAGACGCTTTATGTTAAAACTAAATACTAAATCTTTTCGGATCTTCGCGGAACAGTTCCGATCGTTCCGACAGTGGTGAAAACGGCGTATGCATGTGACGGCATTTTTCGCCGAAGATGAGAGTTTTGAGTATTTTCCATGTTCTTCGAGACCCACGCGTTTTGCGGGTCTATACAACGTGCCTGGCTTACAAAGAACTATATGTATCTTGACATGACCGCGGGCTGCTCAGTACGACTATTACCCTTTTTGACGCTCTCCTACTACCGTAACCTTTCCTCGCCCTAGTCTTCTTTGTACACTCATACATCTTCTTCCTTGCCTGACTCTCTCTTCCTGATAAGGTTCCTAAAGTTACTCTTACCCTTCTGTGTAGAAAGGGTCATACACGCTGGGGTGTCGGAGAGGTGTTCCTTGTCTCGAGAGTTAGGTGGGTCGATATCAAACCTTGTTCTGAGAGGGATGTCGTGACTTGCACGGGGTAGAGGGTTGTTAGATGGCGAGCTGTTATCAACAACCTTGACCACCGCTGATCTTACCAGCCCGCGGACCAGATGCGGATGCCACTTCGCGCAGTTCTGACATGTCTTTCGTAGACAAGGCTGTTCGTATGTAATCTCATTTTGCCATCGCCCCTTACGTTGGCGATACGGGCCGCCGTAGTGGAAATGGAATAGCCTTGCTTTGCATGATTTGGGGTGATTCCGTGAGCTGTCGCGTTCCCGTCGTTTGACTATGCCGTTATGGAGGAAAGGAGGAGCCGGTGGGAGTCGTAGTTTGAGGCTTAGCTTTGGAACCAATTTCGTTGCATTGTGAATGTGGATATCAGGCTGGTAGTCGTTCCATATGTGCTTCGGTATTCTGATTTTTAGACCCATTGCGTCTGTGATATTTGGAGGCTACCGTGATTACTAGTTAGAACATCGATTCGTTGCGCAAGTTATTGAACCGTGACGTGATTTCCTGTTCTTTACAGGATTATGATGCGACAATTAGTTGTCATCCACACGTTTGTTAAGAGATTTGCTGGCGCGCTGACGGCCTGTATATGTGCGACAAGCAAGACATTGTAAAGAGAGCATGACTGCTAAAACAAAGATGCTCCAGGTTGGTAGGGTCAAGGTCATTGTCTTGAATGCCGGGAGCGGTATGTCTTCGTCTAATGCTATGCCTGGGGGAATGGTAGAAGTGTGATATGATGCTGCGGATATGCTCTTGATGTGATGCTGAATGCTGGAAGACAGTATGAAATACGCAACGAATGACCACATCTACTCGTAACACTGATCCCAAAGGCCACCGCTCCTCGCGAAGCTCTGGCTCTCCACAAACTTACTCAATGTACATCTGCCGTGCTTGTCACCACCGCAGAAATCTAATGGGTGTACGCGATCATTGACTATGACACGAACTGACTCTTCCTTCTCATGCTTGCACTGCAGCTTCTCCACGTAGAGACGCGCCGCAAATGGCACACTCCATGCCGCCGAATAACCATATGTCTTCTTTGTATCCTCGATAGTAGTGTTCGAAAGCGGTTTCGTCTTGTTATACAGGCCGAGCGCAGCTAGGACTCCACTGATATCGTTGTCGTGGCTGAAGTCGGCGTATACCTTGCGGTCTAGAGGGAACGTCTTAGGGTCGGAGTCGAGCGTGCGGTTCGTGTTGGTGTTATCGACGACAGGCTCTTTGGTCAGTCGCGCCAGAAGCTCGTTGACGTATCCAACACCCTGCGTCGGACCGAGCGGGTTGCCAACGCTGTAGCCGTAGTACTTCCCCAGCGTCTGGAAGTAGTCGTATTCGCGCCATTCCTTCTCGGTGAAGATTCTGCAGAAGTCGGACATCTTCGCAGATGGATGCGCCAGCGTGTCGAATGGGCACATGTCCATTAGGTACACAATGGACGTCGCGCTCAGATTCGTTCCGAGGGCTGAGTTAACGCGCTCTTGGATCGGCGGCACAAACTTGTTAGCCCAAACATGCTGCGCCCTATCTCCTAGACCATGGTGTGGACCGCCCTCGAAGGCGGGACAGACGTCGTGGGAGAGAGTGTTATTCCAACTCGGCCCTTCCGGTATCACCACGTCAATCTTTCGGGGCTCCTCCTTGAGCGATTGCGCGACGCCCATGAGCCACCTCTGGGCTGACTCGACTACGCGGTGCTGTCCACCCGAGCGTACAAATGGTACGTTATCATCGATGAGCTTCTGGTAACGGCGGTAGAAGTGAGCCCCGGAGTTGACCATCTCCTGCCTTCCAGCATCTGTCAACTCATCCGCACCCAATGTGTAATCGTAGTCCTTCAAGAACTTGAACTTCTGCGGGTATGACGTGCTTGTATTCTGGATCTCGGCGATCAGGATATGGTAGGCGATTGATTTGCCCAGCGTGGGATCGCGTCCGCCGTGGCGGGAGAGAACGTTCGCGAAGGTAACTTCGCAGCCTTTGGGAGGTGCCACATCGATTTCGGACGGGACTGAATACCATAGCGAGTATTGGCCCCAGAAGTGACTTGTCTTGGGGCTACAGTGGTAGCCATGGTTGATGTTGTCGCAGGATTTGTTGGCAGAGACATTGAAGAGGCTTTATAAAATCAGCTTCGAACTATTGAGTTGATATATCATACTTGGAAACTCCATATAGGACTACGCATGCGCCGACCGCCCGTAGAGCCCAAATGCCTAGGCCTCTCGGTTGTTGATCGCGTCGCGGCTTGTAGGAAAGTGGCTCTTTCTCACTCAATGGAAGAGGAGCATAGTCTTGAGAACGAGGGCCACGCATCCTATTCCAAGCCTTTGTCATTTGAGAAAACGCGACCGAAGAGGTATTCGTTGGGCTGCGAATTGATAGGCTGAAGAGGCAGAAGTCTACGTGTACCTAGAGTACGTGTTGGTGGAGGAATATCGCGTGGATGCAGTGACGTAGGCGGCCATCAGGGTGTTTGTCGGCATAATCCGAGGACGCCAAGGCGAAGCGCGAAAGTCTCCACCAACATCAACCGCCATCAGCACTCTGTCTTTTTCACTCCCATCGCGTTGTCATCTGATCGCATCACCTATCGACAAATGCATTGTGAAAGCGCCCTTGACGCGCAGTCAGGGGCAAGATACCCTCATGTCCATAGCCGGTTACCGATCTCGGTCCCGCATGCGATTACGCGATGTAACGCCATTTCGTCAGCTAGAGATAGACGCAAGCATAGCCTCTGATTGGCTTTTACCCCATGTTTTCGGCCAATGTGGAGGCCCTCATCAGAGCGTCTTATCTGTGGATGAACCACAAGTAAGCTTTGACAAGCTTCAACTACTGGGGTGGACTTGCCCCTTCCGTGTCAGCCGACGTCAATGGGCTAACAACACGACATCTGCGCGCCCCTCTTGGTCGCATCTCTAGGCCAATGTTATATAGAGTCCATCTGCTCGTTTCATCATCTCGTAGTCATTAAGTTCTCGTCTCGTTGACCCGATCGCCGCCTGGATCCGCCACCATGAAGCCCCAGGAGCGACATACCCTCGATGACGAGGCCCAATTGCAGGCTCTCGGGCACAAAGGCGAGCTGAAGCGCAACTTCAGTCTGCTGTCTATGCTTGGGCTCGCTTTTGCCATCTTGAACTCATGGACAGCACTTTCGTCGTCAATCGGACTGGCTCTGCCCTCTGGTGGATCTACCAGCGTCATATGGGGACTTGTCACAGCCGGTATATGCAATCTGTGCCTGGCCGCATCGCTGGCTGAGTTTCTATCAGCATATCCCACTGCTGGCGGACAGTAAGTTTATTCGTCCTGCTCGTGTATCGTCAACTCACAGTGTTGCAGGTATCACTGGGTCGCCGTGATTACGCCGCGGAAATGGGTTCCCCTCGCCTCTTTCATCACTGGTTGGATCAACGTATCCGGATGGCTAGCGTTGACTACGTCTGGAGGCCTACTAGCTTCGCAGCTTATTTCTGGCCTCATCGCGTTATACCATCCCGAGTTCACACTGCACCCATGGCAGGTCTGGTTGATCTATGTCGCTTGGACAATCATCGCCTTCGTCATCAACGCCTTTATGAACAACCTCCTACCCTACGTCAATCGTGGCGCGTTCATCTGGTCTATCGGCGGTTTTGCGATCGTCTGTATTACAGTCCTGGCATGCGCATCTCCGGACTACGCCTCGGCGGAATTTGTCTTCACCGAGTTCATCAACGAGACTGGCTGGCCCGATGGTGTCGCCTGGCTTTTGGGCTTGCTTCAGGGTGGTTTCGGTCTCACTGGCTACGATGCCGTCGCTCACATGATCGAAGAGATCCCGAACGCTTCGGTTGAGGGGCCAAAGATCATGATATACTGCGTCTGTATCGGAACCGCTACTGGCTTCATCTTCCTGATGGTGTTGCTATTCGTTTCCGGCGGCGATGCAGAGGCTATCATCTCTGCGGCTCCCGGTCCGCTGCTACAAATACTGTATAACGCTACGAACAGCCGAGCTGGAGCAGCGTGTCTATTGATGTTCCCATTGATCTGCATCCTCTTCGCGGAGACTGCCATCATGACCACATCCAGTCGCATGACATACGCATTCGCTCGGGATGGTGGTCTTCCGTTCTCCAGATTTTTCGCAAAGGTACATCCACGACTCGGCCAACCGCTTAATGCTCTAATTCTGGCTGCAACTTTGACTATTCTGTTCGGGTTGATCTTGATCGGATCGAGCAGCGCTTTCAACGCCCTTATCTCAGCATCAGTCGTTGCCTTGGGTGTGAGTTACGCGATACCTGTTGCGATCAACGTCTGCCGCGGTAGGAAGATGCTTGGACCTAGAGCCTTCGTTTTGCCTGGACCTTTCGGCTGGATTGCGAACCTGATCGGTATCGCATACACCATTGTTACAACCGTCCTCTTCCTGTTCCCGCCCGAGTTACCTGTCTCCGCTTCGAGCATGAGTACGTTCACTTTCGAAACTATGGTGCGTTTGCTAACTGTTACAGACTACTGCGTCGTCGCTTTTGGCATTATTCTGTTCATTAGCACCTTCCAATGGTTCGTAGATGGACGCAAGAACTTCACTGGACCTCGAGCCGATGTGGGCCTCGAAGTCTTAGAAGCCATGAAGAGCCACGAGCCAAATGACGCCGCAGCTCAGCCTTCCAAGATTGCCGACGAAGGAAAGGATTTACATTAAGACAGAAAAGTCGGCGCTACCACAAACAACAACATAGTTCATGTTTCTATGCCCATCGACGATGCTCACCTATGCCCCACATCACGGCCTAGACGCGATCGTGGTCCTCGGCAACACCATCAGTGAAAGTATGCGTTGAACCTAGCACTTGTCGGTGACATTACCTCTCCCACCATTATCTTAACACCACCTTTCACACTGCTTGGCACTGTTTGTGACAACGCTAACCCTTCTGTACCCCGTTGACTATATCTACAATCTCCCGTTCACAGCACTGTTCCACTTACGCCATCGTTTCGAACAAGCTAGCCACCGATTGCAACGTGTTTTCCACACATCTGAATAATCGAAAGCCAACAGCAAACATGTTCAACACCTTCCGCAAACTCATGAGCTTCTGGAGTGGTGCTAATACGAGAGTCTCCGACAGCTCCAATGACACATCGACCAAGGCCGCGCCATCGCCGACCGGTGGCTCGTCGCAAACATCAGATAGCAGCACAACGTCCGGTCCAGCATACCGCGCAGCCTTTAGCTCTGGCGCTCCTCCTACGCAGTACATGAAGAAGGTGGCACGGACGCCGTCACCTACCATCACTCCTCATTCCGCGTTGTCTGGATATTTCTTCTCGCGTGTCCAAGCTGGCGCTTCTGGGTCTCACATCAATAATATTCCGCCACCACAGGTCCACCTGTTTGGCATCCCAAATGTCAGCAATAATCGCCCCAGCTCCGGCAATGCTTTTGTCAAGTCTGGAGACATTGATATGTCGGAAGCGAGCAACACGCCCGTGACACCTCCAACGACACCTCTAGGTGAGAACGATAATCAGCGCGCATCAAACAAATCAGCGCAACACGATGAGCAAGGTGCACCCGCAGAAGACAGTACCATAGAAGTGACACCGAAAGATGCCGTTCGGTCTGCATTCCTCGACCGTGACGACCGTTCTCAGTTACAGCCAAGGCGCCAACGAGACCGTCAACAGAAGAGCGCTACACCTCAGCCAAAAGCCAACTGGGTGGATGAGATTGTAATTGAAGAAGATACGCCTGAGAACCATCTACCGGTCGGCTACCTTGGCACTTTCCGCGGCTCGCGCCACTTTGTGCCGGAATATCCTGATATGCTACCATGTAGCTATAGATACGACTATAAGCATCGTCTCCTATGTGGTCACTGGGTCGACAGCTCCGAGCCATGTGGTAGTAACTGTAGGAAGCAAAACCACAGTCAGAAACCATTCACTTGTCCAACATGTCGCGACATTGTTCACGGGATCCTTACCGGTTCCTTCTCAGTAGTCGAAGCCACTAGGCTCAAGAAGCTAAGGGAGAAGAAGAACGATATAGCTTTTGTCGCTTGTTGTGTTGAGCAGGTCACTCGGGCCGCACCTCAGCTTCAGACCGGTGTCACCGAAGCTGTAGTCAGCTTTTTCCTGACAAACTATGGTCACACATGCGAGCGAACGGACAACCCGGACCCTGAGGGAAGCGATTCTATCGAGGGCATAGTGCGCGATATGCAGGAGCGTTATGAGCGCAAGCAGCACGAGAGGCTCGCCCGGGAAAACACATTGAATACACATGAGAAGCGCAAGAGCTACGAGGATGCAACGAACAGGTCTGAGAGTGCGAGCATGTTCGCGAGCGATGACACCAGTATTCGGAATGAGCAGTCACAGGGCGTTGACGATGAGATGCAAGATATGTCGTCCGCCAGCAACAAAAAGCAGAAAACCAAGCTAGACACTCATCGCGACCCCATCGCACCCAAGACTCGTGGCACAAAGCGCTCATCTCCATGTTTCTCCTCTGACGATAACGCATCACCCTTCGCCTTCACGCCCGGCAACAAACCCCTGCACGTTCCCACAACGAAAGTCTACACCCCGCCTTCCCCCCAGTTTGGTGAGGCTAGCTTTCTCTCGCCTCCTGCGAGTGTTGTCGGCGCTATCATGCGGAAGCGTGGGAACGATATGGATGTGGATGATGAGGGCGATGTTCAGATGGAGGGTGGGTTTAAAAAGCGTAGGGTTGAGATTTGGCGGGCTTCCTAGGGGAGGTGAAGACGAAGATGCCAGGGTTTGTTGGATTTGCGACGATGTGGGATGAGGTTAAGAATGACTTGTAGGGGTACACACTGTACTAAAAAGTTGGAGGATGGGAAAGGGCTTGGATAAGTATGCTATTGACGGGTTTGCACTGTCTTGGTTTCAATCCAATCATTGTGTGTACTTGTATGCGCCATGCGAGTGGTCCTCCTGTTCTGTGTCCATGGCAAGATTAAAGTTGTGGTGCAGATGTGAGCAAGTAGGTCAACGAAGATTTGCCATTGACCCACAACACTTGCAGTGTATATGATCGTGATTTACCCTAGTACTGTCGTTCCTTGGATAAAGCTCTAAAGGCTCCACTATGTTGTGGCACACGATCAATATTCATGGGCTTGCTGTGTGCCAAAGTATGGAACGGATGCGCGTGCAGTCCTGTTGCACATGTATTCGAAGCCATTACATGCGACTAGAGTCTTATCTGTAAGATTGTATACCAAGGAAAGGCTTGTTGCCTTCTAAGCATTGCCAGGCTGAAGAAGAAGGCCGACGCCCGCGACAGGGAAGAGCTGACGTCACGACGCTGACCCGCGGTACGTGTGTTCTCCTGCCTCAACCTCCCCCTGACCATTCCACCACTGTTACATCCGTGAGCTGTTCGCAACGCTTTGGCGTCGTTCTCTTGCGTTCATGCACGATAATCGGGATTGCACGTACAACTCACGGCACGGGAGTAACGTGACGCAATGTCCGGCACGCCTCCTCGGACCCTAACTGCGTTTGACCGAAATGGAGATTGATGGAGTTCTGACGCAGCATAGGGAAGAAGGTAGCACGACAAGGCCTTCAACGGTATTGTCTCTTGTCTTGAGTCCAATACTGCTAGCCCAGTTTTCAGAAGCCTAAACGAAGATTGCAGCCTTCTCTGGCACAGTCGCTCTTCGCGTGCTCAAACACCGATGGACCTCCACTTCCCCAAACCCCGACCGCCGTTCGCGCCTTCAGACCTCCGCTCGTTCACACCAACATGGCGACGGAAGCCACGCCGCAATATTAGATCTCAACAACGGCAATCTTGGTCACTACCTCAACATGTAGTGGCTGCATCCACTCGGTATGCCCATCTTGCTCCAAGCATAAGCAGGCCCGGTGAATACCAGGGTCTGAAAAGCGCCATCTCTCATATCATTTAGTGGACCGAAAAAATACACACTCGGTACAAATTTAGGTATGAATTAGGGCCGGGTCTGGGGTGGGGTCGGATATTTGGTAGAGAGATGCCGCAAGTATACGGCGATCGTTGCGGTGATGTGCTTTTAGCGCTTTAGCTAACCCACATTTAACTGCCTCACCGCACATCTTCGACCCCCGCCCTACGGAAGCTGGGGTAGTAAGCCAGAGATCGTGAAGCCACGGATTCCGTAAACCATCAAGCTTGTACTGCGTTCACTGACTTCGGCTTGCTGGATTTGTGGCTTCCTACCCGCATCAAGCATACATACGGCTCAGTCTCGCATTGATGTTGGCCATCTAGACTCTCGTCATCAGTAGCCTAGAAAAATCTTTGTCGGCGGCCTCGATCCGCTTGTCGTTTGCCATTCTCGTCGGACGACATGGCAGTGTGAGGATATGATTAGAAGGGGCTTCATCTTGCAAGAGCGACTCCTACCCGTCTTGCCCCACTTTAGATGAACTTGATGTAGGTTTCGGCGCCGTCGACCAACTTTAAACTCGCTTCGGTAAAGACTCCAGTGATTGTGTTGGTGTGGATGGGCGACCGATGTTGCTCATTGGCTTGCCTCGCTCTGACAACTGCTCGAGTGCAGTATCCCGATGCCACGACAGAGGTGCGCGACAATACCCGGAGATCTACAGGTACGACAAACTATCGTTACCGGGTCCCCAGTTCACCGTCGGCCGGTGAAGGCAAAAGAAACAGCGGTACACCATGACCGCTGATCATATTTGGACTAGCGAAAGAAGAAAACAAACGGATAAGAGAGCCTTCACATGCGCACAAACATTTATATGTAGCACAGAATACGTACTGTCTCAGCATCGATAAATTCTTGCATCTTCCATATAGCGGAAGAGTTCCAAACCCTGACTCCTCTGGTTGTCGGTAGCTCGACGTCAGAGTCTGTGACCTCAAAGACTACACCGCGACAATGTTCTCGTTCGCTTACGCATTTCTGGTGGCAGTTGGCCTACTAGTAGCAAAGGTAATTCCTGCAAAGTCATCAATACTATGAGCAGCGACTGACAACGATAGTTTCTCTATGTTGGTCTTACATGTCCAACAAAGCATCTACCTGGCCCTTGGTATACCCGCTTCACGCATTACCGTTTGAAGCGTGCAGTAATAACGGGACAACGAATTTTCTACATTGACTCCCTTCATGAACAATATGGACCCATCGTGCGACTCTCGCCAAACGAAGTCGCCGTTGCGGACCTCGATGCCTTCAAAGAGATCCACAAGATCGGTACCAAGTACATGAAGAGCGAATGGTACCTTCGACTTGCGAACTTCCCTAAAGCTGGTGTATTTACTATGCTTGACCCGCGTGAACATGGACCACGAAGGAAGCTATTGTCAAGGTCGTTCAGCAGGACCTATCTTGTTGAACATTGGGAGTCGGTCGTCAGAGACAAAGCGCTTATGGCCGTGACAAAGATTAAAGCGGATGCCATGCAAAGCACTGCCGATGTTTACAACTGGTGGATGCTTCTTGCTTCGGACGTCAGTGCCCACCTCGCTTTCGGAGATTCATTCGGCATGCTGGAATCTGGACATGTAAGGAACTGTAGCGACGGGTGCTAAACACCAAAGCTGACAACTCGTAGCAAAACCAATTTATGCGTGTGCTGAAGAAACTGACAATGGGAGCGGGTATCATGGTCGAGATGCCTTTCCTCCGCCTTCTACGCTTCGTTCCAGTCCCTGCAGTACAAGAGATGTTCAACGCCAACGAGTTCATCCTCGCTGGCGCAGGCAAAGCCGTAGAAACAGCACGATCGCGCACCGGCGAGAACAACATCTTCGCCAAGGTCATCGAAGACTGTGAGAAAGAAGGCGAAGGCCACATCGACGACATGGACGTCAGAATCGAAGCCATGAACGTCATCATCGCAGGTACCGATACGACAGGTGTCACATTGACTTACCTCACATGGGCGGTGCTCCAACGACCAGAGCTGCAAGCGGCACTCGAAGCTGAGACTGCGGCTCTGGAAGAAGGTTTCACTGAGAACGATCTTATCAAACTCCCGCTTCTTAATGCAGTCATTGAAGAAACTCTACGACTCTACGGTGCCGCACCAAGTAGCTTGCCACGAGTTGTACCCCAAGGCGGCACAAAATTTGCAGGACATTACATCCCACAAGGCGTGACGGTTGATACGCAGGCATATACTTTTCACCGCGACCCTAAGATCTGGAGTGATCCTTTGACGTAAGTCCATCTCATCCATGCTACACAACATCAGCTGATACGGGAATAGTTTCAACCCACAACGCTGGATCGCCGACAAAGAAGGTATGGTCGCAGAAGCTCAATCTCCTGCCGCTAAACTCGCTTTCCATCCTTTCGGCGCTGGTGCGCGATCATGCATTGGTATTCATCTAGCACGTATGGAGCTGAGATATGCTGTTGCATATTTCTTCCGCGACTGCCGCGGCATAAAGTTGGCGGGTAGTACGACGCCTGAGAGTATGGAATTTGAGGTAAGTCCGGTGTGAGAGCAGTGTCTATGGGATGTGTGCTGACGTTGATCACAGAACTTCTTTTTGATCGCACCGAAAGCGCATCGCTGTGAGATCACATTCAAGCAGGGAAGATAGGGTGGAGATAGAAGTGAAGGCATAATAGCGAAAGAAGGTTGCAATGATGATACATATTCATTCATGAAAGACGTTCCAAACTTGTACTAGTCCGATATCCGTGCGCCGTGAACCCCATACTCCGATGTGCGCTTATAGCGCCATGCCTTCGTAGTCCATTCTATCGCCACCTCATCGTGATCGAACTTCATAGTAGATTAGCAATGGCACTTATAAGTCAAACTCCAATAGACGTACTTGCAAAGACCTACAAGACGGTGCAGACAACGCCATGCTTCCTCGCACCATCTCTCTTGTCAGCCGGCCTGTTCCACTCTGCGTCCTCCATCATGTCCCAATACTCTCTCCACGCTCTAGTCTCTTCATCCTCCCCATCGTCCTTGTCGGTAGTACCCTCGCTGTAGTAAGGACCGAGGTCTTCAGCCTCCTGCTGCTTCCTCTCAGCCACCTTTGGGTGTCTGTGTCAGTTGATGAAATTGAAGAGGAAAAGAGAGATGGAAACGCACCTCTTTGGCCACGCTGCTAATGATGACGGCGGTGGCGACTTTGTTGATCGCGGTGGTGTTTACCTGAAAGGTTTTGGATTAATTCAATCATGGAAACTGAGGTATGGCTGCAGTCAGGGCTGGGGATGATAATTTACCTTTTCTTCTTCGGGGACGGAGATGGTGAAACCATCAGGGAAGACGGCAGGGGTGGTGGTGACGGAGGTGTGGGTGGTAGCCGTGGGGATGACGATGGGGGATGCGACAGTGGCGGCAGCCGCGGCGACTACCATGAGGACGACGGAGTTGCGCATCTTGATATATATAAGAACCAAGAGAATACGTGGGTTGGTTAACTGATATGTTGGTTAACTGTACTAATGACCAAATTGTAGATGGGAGTAGTACTGGTGAGTGATGGGGAAAATAACAAGGCGAAATGGGCCTGGTCTTATACCTTCGTAGCCGCTTTAAGATCGGGGCTGTGTGCGGTGGATTTTTTCCCTATTTTCGGAGTGGAAATAGCGTCTACGAGATATGACGGTGCTTTGTGGATCGGTGTGCGCAGTGGGCCACTTACGACGAATACTTTGGAAATGTATTCGCACGCACTCCACACATACACTTCGCAAAACCATGGTATTCTCCAAGGGTATATTTCATTTGCAAATATGCGACGACTGACATGATTGTAGTTTTCAGGCTTGGAAATGTGGTAATTTGGTGAGGATCGAGATCCTATGGTTGCTGTCCTTAGGACTTATTCATCCTGCTCGCAATCGAGATAGTATCTGGTCATGCGCACTGTGTTTATTGTATCCATATTTCTGAACCAAGACCAGGTATTTCATTTGGACTACTGTAGGTATGAGTAGCTCGCACTGCCACTATGTGGAGGTGCCTCGTGGGAAACCCGTAATCCTCATCCATGGGAACAGTGATGCAATTTTTCCCACCACCACAGAATAATAATCGAAAATTCCCATATCTTACCTTCATCTACCTCTTCTCCACTTGCAACATCTGACCTCTAATCCACAACTCTAGAACCAGTATTTGCAAAATCAGAGTCGAAGCACAATGCCTTACACATTTAATTTCTCCACTTCGGGTGGTCTTACCGCTGATGCAGCTCCTCAAGCAGTTCCTGTAGGCAAAATCTCTTCATCAAAACTCACATAAGATGCATGCTAAGCTCTGAAATCATTTGACAGACTACTCTCGCTACTAGCACCATGGTAGCAACCCCGATGGCGACATATTATCCTTTGCTTGACATCACCGGACGCGACGTTGTCGACATGGCGGCGCCAATCGTCGTTGAAGAGGCTTCAAAGCCTGCTTCGACTGATGCCAAAACTATCATGGTGGCTAAGGATGAGGCGTGGGAGGCTGAGTACCTCAAGGCTATGGAGGAGATGGTAAGTCTTCTTTGGGGTGAACTTAGCTTGGTATGTGCTAACGAAGGTATAGGAGTACACGAACAAAGAACGCACGTCGGGCAAGACGAAGAGGTGCAGCTCCGGGAATGCGAAGACGGTAAAGAGGTGTTTCGGCTATTGTAGTGGATTATGAAACTCGAGAATTTATGGGACATCGTTAAGGTTTACTGGTGTCGAGGTATCTCAAACAAGTCATTGTTGACTGTCTACTCCTCACTTTCATATGATCACCTTTCAGATTTACGGTGAGCTGATCTATGAACCAATATCTATGGTTGGCATATGTCGATCCTGCGTATTAACCCGCCTCGTAATAAACGCTTGTCATATGGATTTCCTCAGAGGTCATCGTCGGCCCCATCACGTATAACCAAGTTCCTTCTTGAGGGAATCGATCTGTATCTGATACCCCACCTTCTTGAATGAGAGACGCCGTCCATCCGTGGTTACGTGAAACGGCAAGCCCAAGGATGTCATGTGTTCCCTAATTCTGGCGATACCTTCGTTAGTCAACTCGTAACCGATTATGTCCACACGTTCAATGATCGGACACCATATCTCCTTTAGCTGGGCCAGATTTTGAAGATACGTCGCATCTAGATCTGCAAACTGGCAGTATTGTAGCTTCAACGATGTAAGTGACGCTGGCAGATCATCGAACTTGGCGAGTTTCTCGAACTCAATTGTCATGTGCGACAAACGCTCGAAGTCGCGCAAGGAGGGGTAAATGTAATCATCTGGGCCTTCACCAGTCTCTTGCAGGTCTAGCTGAAATTCTAGATCGCCGAGGTGGTAGTAGTAGCAGAAGTCCAGATGCAGCACTTCCAAAGTCGGTCTATATTTTTCCAGTAGCGCCTTTATCAAATCTCGTGGGCAAACCAGTGGTTGATGAGCTACGTCCCACATCATCCCATTATGGCGCCTTCCGTCTGGACAGACGAGTTTGAAAACGGTCAAGCGAGGACATGCGTGTAGCAGGGTCTTCATGGTAAATAGTGGCCCCAAGCTCCAGAACAGTTCAGCTACTGAATGCGTCACCGTATTTGTAGCGGGACACTCGCCCGCGATGTTTAACACATCACTCTCAGTTGAGAATGCTTCGAAAGCAGGATAATGCATGAGAGGTATGTAGTCTTCGAGATTGATTGGTCCCTTTCCATACTGCTTGTGTCTAAAAATCATGGACTCAGCAAAATCTTACAACGGGTGTGAATGCAGGTGCCGAACCACCTTGTGGCTTCATAATCTCAAAGGAGTACCTACAAGTGGAATGTCTTCAACTCAGCCAGGAACGAAGTATCGGCTGCTCTCATCTCATGCATCTGTTTCAGCAGCGCGTGCGGATGTTCGATCTGCGCTTTCAAGTGGACATGTTGGAGGTTTGGCAGTCGAGCAAGGACGTATAATGCGAGCGGCTTGTAACAGAGCTCCGGCTCGATCTCACCATCATGACCACCTATTAACGCCGACAACCTCATGAACGTGCCATCGCGTCCAAGATCAGGCCATTTGTAACGAATCCCTCGATCGTTGAACAAACTCAGCTCTCGCGTCTTCTTCGCTAGCTCGGGACGTTCGATCGAGGTTGTGAGGAAGAGCTTGAGAGCTCTCAGAGGGTCTGTTTTTGGCTCTGCTATTTGCACACAAGTGTAAAGCGCCGGTTGCGCAACGGCTGCTAGCGCGCGGGACGTTCGGCATAAGCGCAGTAAGGCTTGAACATCGGATGCACCGCCCGTTGTGAGGTATGCGACGATGCAAAGTAGGAGTTCATTGGAAAGGTCGGTGAGTTTGGCCATCCTTCGACGCGGAGTCGCGACGAGAGGCAAGCTCGTGGCAAAGGTGTTTTAGGCGGCGAACGGCGACGTCATCAGGCGGGGCTCGCTTTCAGGCCCCTGTGAACTTGGCTTTCGAGGGTTGCATCCACCCCGAGCGTATTGTCGTCGTTGATACTGTTGGGGTTATCGACGAGATGGTCTAAGTCTACTGGTATGTCAAATATGGAAACTCAAGGATAAATTCCATAACATACGCGCCAACACAAGAAGTGATCGCGCCATAACGCATGATCATGAGCCACAAAAACAAGTAATAGAGATCTTGCGGGTTCAATTGGCTGATGTACTTAAAGCGCGAATGAGAAGTGAACTGCCGAAGATGTTGATCATTGTTCCGATCCTAGATTAGGGTACTTCATTGACTTTGCACACTGAATTCCTATGTTCCTCGAACTATTGTCTATTCCATTTTCGCATGCGTAAAATTAGACTCCAGCGAAGCTTAGTCTCCTCGTGGATTCTCTTACGCGCCAATTGCATCGCCCGCGCCTTTTCCTGTGGCGTTCGTTCAACAGCATGTTCTGGCTCTCCATCAATGATACGCATGTGTTCCATTATAGCGGCGTGTCGTCTTGCATCCCTCGCTACCTTCTCGATGTTCAAGTCTACGATCGCCATATACTTCTCGGATGGCAGGAAGCTGATCGTGTGATCGGACCATCTGCCTTCTAGATCTATCACAGAATTGGGCGACTTATTTTTCTGTATTTGCTAGTGGCCAAGCTGTCGCGTTTTAGTGAGCACATCGATGCACTGGTTGCGGTTCCAAGGATCGAAACTGCCGACGTATCTGAGGTATAACTGGCGTAGTGTGTAGCCCTGATGGTGCAGGATCATCGGTAGACAGTTGGGGATGAATTCCCATGTTAACCACAACTTCTTGAGTGCCGAGATACTGCGCAGTAACTCTTCCAAGATGGGTATCGTGCGTTCTGGATCATGCATATTGTGTCGCTTCTCACTAGAGATCGAACCAGTCAGGCAGTCGAGCTACGAAACATGGCCTGCCAGTGATTCCAACGGCAACATAGAGGCGATATATCCGAAATCGAGGACGCGTAGTTGCGTCCAGTCCATACATCTATGCCACATTCATCTTGCCAATGGAAGTTTAATGAACCATCCTACTAGTGGTCGAGACCGACGAGCTGTTCGGGTGTGCTCCAATAAAGGTTTCGCTCGACATCCTCGAGAGCAAGACGTAAGATTTTAATGCTATTACCCTGTATCAAGCAGTTTTTGAGAATCTGAAGCTCACTGCGGCCACTGATCAAAGGGCAGACGTCAACAGGGTCAAAACAAATATTCATCTGAAGGGGATGCAGTTGAGGTGATGAAAGCAGAAGTTGATCCATGTGCTTCCTTTCTCGCGTGCAGTTTTTTACGTGTAGGCGAGCGGTAGGATGAGTGGTGTGAAGAACATCAAGGACACTTTTGGGAACAGGGGTGTTTGTGTTCCAGCTAGGACATGTAAGTGAGAAGAAGAACCAATCAAGGGCTCAGTCGTACCTCAGAGACTGCAAGTTGGTCAAGTAAGCCAGTATTCTTCCCAAAATAAGTGCAATTATCGAGTCAAAATACTCTTGTCGAAATGTGCCAACATGGACATGTCGAACATGCCCCGCAATCGGGCTATTCTCTATCAGTGTGCATGCCAGCAAGCCCTTGGTCGCTCTCTGCAACCTGAGCTCTTCCAGACGTATCGCATCCGGAACACCATACCTCTCCCCCCAGCGGAGATCACTTTCATGCCTCCATATATGATCCGGTAATTTGATGGTACGAAATAGCAACGCATCGGATTCGTAGCGACATGCTCTAGACACAAGTCTGAGCGCGCAAAGGGCTCTTGAATCATCATCGTGGAGCTGTCTCAATGTTAGTCGCTCGGATCTTTGTGGAAATCTGAGGCGTTTCTTACAAACTCTATAATTATGCGGAAGACGACTAGTGGCAACCCAAGCAGGCCGTACTCTGATTTGGCCGGCATTGCACTTTGAAGGCTGACGTCCCAATACGCTGGTACTAACGCTATGGAGGGGTAGTAAATCGTGCGAAACTTTCTAGGATGGTCGTTCGTATAGGCTTCTTCACTGGCACCTAGGGTAGGCTTTCTCGAATTCCGAGCAGCTACGGATGCTATGTTTCATAATGACTAATCGTCGAAAAGTACCCATTTCACTTTATGGCTGCAGTTGCTGAAAGCTATGTATCATGCGTCACAAAGAAAGCGAACACATCTGCACTGTGGTGGAAACGGAACATCGCAGCAACATGGATGAATTGGTGGAGATGCATTGTCTTAGGCTGAAGTGCGCGATGTGTTAAGGGGGCGAGCCTTGGCTGGCCGGTACTGCGCTAGTCTCAAGTTGGTAAGTGCACAGCTCCGCGAGCCAGCCAGACCGCCTGGGCGTGTCCGCACCGTTCTCATAGCTCTCACCAAAAGTCGCTTCATCCCAGTGGGATCCAACAAGTCCTCTCAGCAGCTAGATAGCTCTATAGTCTTATTGTTGCTACAGTACTCCAGTCATGTTGATCGGGTTACTGAACAAGCGCGTCGGCTCATCATCTGTCCGACCCTGGTAGCTCGAGTAATGATGTTTGTTTTCCAATCAGTAATCGCAGTCTACAGCACCGCCACGAAATACGTTATCAACGTTCCGATTATATAATATCGTCAGATCTTGCAATCTTACTCAGATGTCTCCGGACAAGCAATAGGCACTTTAAGATTAGTTATTAAGCAATAAATCAAAGGCTAAGGTCGATTGGGATTAATCAAATGACCTTGGAAACCCTCTTGTAGTATATAAATCAGAGAGCGGAAGTCTAGATATTGATCAGCTCGCCTCTTACAATCAGAATATTTCCCCAGACACTCACTTAACCAGCAAATAACAGCATCTTCTATAAACAGAATGAAGTGGTTTACTACTTTCACTGCCGTGATCGGCGCGTCGGCCGTGGCCGCTATTTCCGCCGTATCAACTATCAAGTAAGCGTATTTCAGGAACTTCAAGAGAACATCCGAACAGAAGATAACAAGTCTGCATAGTGGCTGCCGAGCTGTTGCTCTGATCGACCCCCCACCTAAACTAACTCAATTCGCGCCGACCAGATATGTCAACGTCAATGGCGACCAAATTGCGTATCGGGTCCTTGGTTCCAAGAAGGGAAATCCTGTTATCTTCCTCGCCAACTTCCGTGCGACCATGGACATTGCGGACCCTTTGCTTTTCAACTACATTGCCCAGTTCCGGCCCGTCATTTTGTTCGACAATGCCGGCGTCGGTCACAGCACGGGCGAAGTTGCCGACTCTATAGCGACCCAGGGCGATACGGCAGTTGCATTTCTTAAAGCTATTAGAGTGACGAAGGTCAACCTGCTAGGCTTCTCCATGGGCGGTGGGGTTGCTCAGCACATTGCCATCAACTACCCTGAGTTGGTCGAGAAGGCGGTGATTGCTGGTTCAATTGTTGGCAACGGGCCTGGGATTGAATTGGCGACGGACGCGACGTTTGATATTGCTCGTCAGCCTACCGTCCCCCAAGAGCAGGGTCTAGGCTTATTCTTCTACCCATCAAACACTAGTACGGCTGCAGCTACCGATTATGCCAGCCGCATCACTGAGCGCAACGTACCCGGCGAAAATAGAACGAACCAAGTGCAGGAGCCCGGCACCTCCAGGCACCTCAAAGCTATCCTTGACTTTACCCGTAACTCCACGTACCTGGAACAGGCAAAGAGGATCAAGGCGCCTCTCTTCATTACCTCTGGGACACTCGATGTCTTAGCGCCTTCCTCCGGCGACTTCGTCCTACAGCAGAGAGTTCCTGGCTCCTACCTGCAGATATTCCCAGACTCCGGACACGGTCACCTTTTCCAGTTCCCAAAGACCTTCTCAGAACTTATGCAAAAGTTCTTAGGCGCCTGAACGGCAAGACTAGTAGTTACGCATATAAGAACGTTAAATGTATAACACGGTCACAGTCTGCCCTACAGTCTGCCCTACAGTCTGCTCTCCGCCTGTTTTCTCCTTGAACGAGTGCCTCTTTTTCTGAATTCTTAGCTGTCCTCCCTATCATTCCTGCCGCTTCTGATCTCTTTCCCTGTTCCCTACTCAACATCTTCTATCTTTACTACATGCTGACCGCGACTAATAAAAACCATTGAGGACTGTCAGAGAACGTTCTTTGAGACCGTAGTTCGACTCTGCTGTAGCACCTCGTGAGACCTATATAACAAGCTATACATTTCCGGATACCACAAGTTCGCCCTTATGCTTATGACCAGTTGCACACAGCCTCAGTTTCCGCGGACATTGTGCGGGCGTTGCGCGGGCCAAGTGTGGCGACCCACTTCCCGCGCGCCAGGCACAAATCTCCCAGTGGTCCGCTTTAGTGATTAGCTACATATCCGTTATTCAACTACTCTTTGGGAGCTATTTAAACCTCACTTGAGCCAGCGCTACGAATCATTTGGATACAGACTTTGCAGTGTTCAGAGATCCCTTCGAACTTCCCCGCTGTAGGATTCCAATAATGGAATCTTCTCGTGTGATTCCGCCGTGGAGAGAAGTATGGCCGGTCAGGCTACCAACATTTTTATACAATATGCGGACACCCGTATGACGTGTTGCTATCGACAGCGTGCCACCTTTGGAGTCGTGCAGTCTTCTCTCTTAACTCCCTGCATGTCTTTAGAGAGCACGTTCAACGTCCTCACTGTTTGTGCTCGCGAACTTCATCTGCATAACGCTGATCAACCTCCCACAATGGTCATGCCTATCGAAAATAACTTGCAAGCCTGGATTTTGGCTTTGTCTGGCGTTTCCATTGTCCTATCTTGGGTAGCGGTCATACTACGTCTTATCGCGAAACACATCCGCAAAAGATTCGACTACAGCGATTATTGCATCGTCGCAGCCTTGGTACTTCATCATTCTTCTCCCCCACAACGCTCTTTTCCGCTCGAGGCATCTATCGCATATGCTTAGTGACTAATTTGTGTGAGGGAAGCACATCCACTGATTTGACATAGATCTCCCACACAGCACTATGCGGGAATTGCATATATCTCGTGTTCTACGGCGGATTCGGTTTTGACATGATAACCACAATAGAGCGATTCAGCATCGAAGTGCTCTACGTCCTCTTCAAAGGCGTCGTGGTCATGTCCATCGTATGGAACATCACTGTTTATCTCTCCAAGCTATCCGTCCTGCTCATGTACACTTCAATCATACCCAACAGATCCATGCTCGTCATTTATCGCTACTTCGGGGCAACGATTGTTGTCTGGATAGTAGTTGCTATCGTAGCAGCGCTGACCATCTGTAAACCACTCGATCAAGCGTGGAAGCATGCGAACAAGTGCGTCAATCATAACACATTCAATTTCTGCCTGGGTATGATGAACCCCATCATCGATGCAGCCATCATCGCACTGCCGATGCCGTATCTATTTCGCCTACGTATGCCGTGACGTCCGAAGCTAGTTGTGATTATTCTGCTAGGGCTGGGAGTCGGGTAAGCACATGCGGCAGACATTGAGCAACCGCAATGAACTGACTTGAAGCGCAGGACGTTGGCTATCACGGTCTATCGCCAGAAACTTCTCTGGAGATTGGACTGGGCAGATATACCGAACACGACCAACGTTGTTTTCGCCATGATTTTGTCTATGCTCGAAACCGCGGTCATGATCATCGTAGCTTGCATACCACTCATGCGTCCTCTATGCTCGAGAAATGCGACCGCAAGCCCACCCAACGGACGTCACAATGGCAACAACCATAGGAAGGGGGTGTACTCGGAGAAAGGAAATAAGCGCACGGCTATGAGGAGTTTGCAACTGCTCTATCCGCCGTCTTGGTTCGACAACAAGGACAATTCAGAGCTTGAGCTCCAGTCACTAAAGCTTGTGCATGTCGCAGGAGCGACGTCTGCTTCCGCAACTGACACATCCCCGAATGTAAGCTCATCGGAAGAGTCTATCGTGGATAAAAAGAGATGGGAAGCACCAAAAACATGGCATGCATCTACGTAGTCACGAAGCTGGGTCCGAAGTGCTGGCATATCGCGAAGGGGCTGATTGTGAACATAGCCAACTGAATAATAGTCGCAGAATTCATCCTTCTAATACCTTTCTTACTCGAGGATATTGCCTTCCTTGTTCACAAGCTTTAGGCCCCCAAGTTTACCGTACGTCTTCACTGTCTCAACTACTCCATTCTCATTCCAACCAAAGTCGACGATTCCACCACCTCTCAGTCTCAATCCTTTTACATTCCCGCCGCCCCAACTCGTCGGAATCGCGGGGCCTAAGATCACAGTCCTTTCATTGTCGCTACCGCCCGCGGCAGTCGGCATGTTTGTGACGAGCATGCTCAGCACCGCGCCTCCAAACCCAAAATTCGCGTCGATTTGGAATGGAGTTTGAGTACCAGAGTACATACTGAAGCCGTTTCCAGCAAAGTTCTGCTCGATAGCATATCGAAGCTCATAGTAGGCTTGCTCCGTATCGTTAAGTCGGGCCCAACAAGCCGAGCGCCAGACCTTTGCCCAGCCGGCATTCGCATCTAGGCCGTTACCATTACCGCGGCTGTACAATTTCTGCCGAACGGCATCTTGAATGGTGCTGTTGGCGTAGCCATCGAGGAAAGAGGAGATCGAGTAGCCAGGGTACCAACCAACCAATTCAGAGAGATGGCGATGAGTGTCGTTGATGAACTCGTAACCATATGGCTCTTCCGGAAGCTTCCACTCTCTGATCTGGCCCCACGTACCGATGTGGAAGCCTTTGTCAAGCCGCTCGAGCGAATCTGTAAGCTTGCTTCTGAAAGAAGTGTCTGGCTCGTCGACTATGCTCATCGTGGAGAGTACCGCTTCGAAGACCTGGTGTACGAGTTGCTGGTAGTGCGCGCATCCGAATGTTGTAGGACCGTGCTCAGGACTGTTACACGGATTGACAACCAGTGTACCATCGCCATTGAAGGCGTCTTCTTGGAGCTGGCTAAGCCAAAACTCGGCAACACCCTTCATAAGCGGGTATCCCTGATCCCGCAGCCACGCATCGTCGCGCGAATAATCCCAATGATCGAACACATGCTGCATCATCCACGCCGCAGAAGCCTGGTAGTTCGCCCACTCAGCACCACTCTTCATTCCCGTGTGACCAAAGACGTTCATCTCGTTGTGCACCACCCATCCTGGTGCGCCATATAGCAGGTCGGCAGTCTCGCTGCCGCGTGGAACCCAATTATCGGCCATATAGCCCCATAACGGTGATTGGAGGTCTGTTAATCCGGTTTGGTCAGCTGTCCAATGGTTCATTTGGAGATTGATGTTCGCATGGTAGTCTGCCGACCAGGCAGCGTAGAGCCCTTCGCTCCATCGCCCTTGGAGGTTTGGTGGAAGAGAGCCAGGCCGTGAACTGGAGATGAAGAGGTACTGCGCGTAGTCGAAGAGCATGTTCTCAATATATGGGTCGCCGACTGTGTTGTTTGCGTTGTAGCGTGCAATGAGTTCGGATGTCGGTGTTTGGGAAGAATTCAGAAGATCGGGAAGGGATAGTGTAAAGCGGCCTGTAAGAGAAGTGAAGTCGTCGATGTGGCGGTTTTGTAACTCAGTTAGGGTTTTCGCGGCCGCGGCAGATGTTGTTGCTTCGACGGCTGGGCCTGGGTCTTCGCCGCGGAAGGAGTAGTTGAACTCTGCTGTCCCTCTCTTTGCATCATAATTTGTTTCGGCGCCTAGTACTATCGTAGCGCTTTTTGTACCGTTTCCAGGTGCGATGTTCAATATATTCGTGCCACTATTGCATTTCGTCGTGACGTCGCTGCCAGATGCCACTCGTACAATTGTATCGTATCGCATACCCTCAGGTGGACCCAGCTGTGTCACACCCTTTAGTCTTAGATGCCCCGACTCCGTGCCATTACCACTAACGCAAGTAACATTCCGCAGCTCCGGATCAACAAGGTCGTTGTCCAATCTCACCCCGAGAGCTGGCAACTCACCGGAAGAACGAACCGTATACACGCAAACCTGATCTGGGAAGGAGCAGAAAGCTTCAGTTTCGATATGGCTACCGTTCACGCTAAATGCCGTCGTATGAACGCCATTGCTCATGTCCAACGTGCGTGTATAGTTAACAGCATCGGCACCCGCCAGCGAAGGGATGATCACACTCAAGTTCCCGAGAACTTGGTAAGAACCATAGGCGTCATCTAAACCCAGCAGTTCTGTCACATTACCCGTTCCGTTAGTGAAGATCCAATCCCGGATACCCGGTAGAGCTTCGGCAACAGAAGAGTTTGGATTTCCACCGCTGTAGTTCTATATCTCTCATCAGTACATGACTTGAGTATTTAGCAGAGATAGTCGGGCTTACGAATGCTGAGAACGGGCCACCTGACCATAGAGTATCTAGGTTCATAGTGAGTATCTCAGCACCTGGTGGGCCGATTGGCATTGCACCTAGACGGCCATTTCCGAGCGGGTATGTAGTGCGGATGATGTCGCTGATATCTGCTGGTGTGGTGGACCATAGTAATTTTGCGGTTGAAAGTGGAATGAGTGTCCAGAGAACAGGTACGAGACGAGATGTTCGCGACATTGTGGGCTTGATACCTTTGCTTGGACGTGTGCCGGACCACCCTCTTAACATGTGTGAGATTGTGGTTCTACATGTATGTTGGGGATGGCTGCGACTATGCTGCTCTTCTAGGCTTAGCCTGCGGGGAAGTATAGTACCTACATGCCGATCGCTGTAGAGATTCTCCGCGAACGACGTCTTGAAACAATTACTCCGTTGTAATTACCGCGGGCTACAAAGGGCTGTAAAGCAATTATGTCGTGACGGAAGCGGAGTGATACTAATATTCCGGGTTGTGGACGTAAGCACGAACATATCGACTAGAGTATAGACACGACGTGCTTTCGGCGCGTCTATCTTGGCTTCCCATTCGTTTGTTAAAAATTCATTGACCAGGGAATTGGATGCAGGAGCGTTCTGGTATCTCCGAAGCATTGGGTATGTAGGGTGTTGAATTCGAAACTGAGGCCAATAGGGTCAATAATAATGCTGGAGACGCGAACTGATAGAAACCACACCCACCATACTACGTGCAGCATACCATTCGAGACACTGCGTATAGCTCCTCAACGCATGAGCGTAATATGCGTCGGGCTTGCCGAAGAATACAGTATAAGTATTGTACATATATCTACATATACCGAGCTTACGCACGCAAATCATGCTGTGCGATCGCTGTGTACCTCCTCATCTTCCTCCTTCTTCGTAGTCTCATATCTCTTACCACGGAAGGCGTACACACCCCAATTGCTGCACGTAACGTCATGCGGGTCCAGATCGTTGAGGTCCCATCTCAAACTCCTGAATAAGTTCTCGCCCGGCTCGAGCAACATATCCATCTCGTTTCCGAACCTCTTGTTCAGGAAATCGACATCCTGCTGCATATCCCATGGGCTGTATCCAGTTGCGATGATTGGAACCTTCGTCTCGAGGAGGAGGGGTAGTGTCTCTTCCCATTCGTGTGCGGAAGCAGGATTACCGAAGCCAGGGTGGAATACGACGAAGCAGTCGAAATATGGGTCGTACGGATAGAAGTACCCCGTCTTGTGGATATTGTGGTAGTATTCTACGAAGGTGCTTATCTTCAGTGAGTTGCTGATACGATCCTCGATGACGGCACCGAAGGGATTGAGGGGCGTGCGTTCGGGAATGGGCAGCTCTTTCTCGCGGTTTGCCATGCTCTCGGGCCCGATGAAGTTGATGGAGAATTGTACGCGGTGGAAGAGATATGATAGTTGCATCCATGTTTCGCGGGGCAGGGAGGATTCTGCGCGTGCGCCGAGAATGAAGAGGCGGACGGACGGTGGCGCGAGGCGAGCATTCTTCCAGGTGTCTCCACCACCTGTTCGCGGGGGGTGAAGGGTGTGTCGGAGGGCTGTCGTTGTATTAGTATCATCCTAACTATCCAATTGAAGCCTACGTACCACTGAAGCTCTTCAACCCCTCGGGTGTCATGCGCCCGTTCTTCCTGATGTTGTAGGGACTGAGCTCGTTCAGAACACTCGCAATCGTTATAGGGTAGGTCAACAGCTTCGTCGCCTGGCGCATCTCCCGATCCTCGTTCAGCGCATCAAAGTCTCGGGTGTACATGTACGTGTCCCAGCTCGTCATGTTGACTAGAATCTCCTCCATCTGGGGTTCCGCGAACTGGAACTCCTTGAAGAAACGCCCGCTTCTCAGATCGTGATCGTCTTCGTTGATCTGCTTCAGGACGTCGCAGACCTCGAGGTGTGCCTCGTAGTCGTCTGCCCAGTGCTCTTCGCAGCAGTATACTGGTACACCACAGTCTGGACACTCAAAATCGACATGGGCGGGCGGGGCACCCATCTCGGAAGACTTGCGAGCCTCTAGGTCCATCGGGTTGTTCGCCGGACGCGTCGGCTGGTGCGAGGGATGCGGGCAGTAAGCATGCTGGCGCATGAACGCAGCACGCTTTCGTATCTCAGGTATGGGCGAGTTCGAAAAGGAATTGAAAAGGTTGTCCTCAGTCAAAACCAGCTTCCGCCGATGTCCCTCCGGATCGATGTATTCAAATGGTTCGAATGGCTTCTCAAAAGCCCGAGTCGACGTCGTAGAGAGGCTACGCTTGGGTAGAGAAAGCTTTGGCGGTGCTGGACTTTTGGAGGAATGATTTCGTTGCGAAGATACCCTAGGTACGAGCTGGCGAAGACCTTGTGGTGGCCGTAGTTGGGACCTTGGCGTCTTCAGTACGGACAGACATTGTCTGCACGTGTATGGCGTCCTCATCGTGTGCTGTTGACTCGCAATTCGTGTTTACGGTAGTTGCGATATCGTGACATGATCGTCCGCGAATGTTAGCGCCGTCTCGGTCATTCCAATCGCCGATTGGCTGGTCTTGCTCTGCGAAAACATCATCACCCCTCGCCAACACCAACTGCAACACCAACACTATGGTCTGAGTCGAAAGTATACACGACAAAGTTCAGATCGCAGGTTACTAGCTGCTACAGCGTAATTGTGGGCGACTAGCGTCTCTGGACGCAACATCGCTTCCAACTTGAAGTTAGGATGTTGAATTGCGGCTGAGGCGAATGTGCCGACGATAATGGTTTGTACTATTATAGTGTTACCAATACGGCACCACCATCTCATAAAGCTGCATAAATACAAGCAATGGTAATGACACGGTACTGTGGAATAATGGAGATAACTAGGAGTGCTGTAGGACACGACTTACTTGGATACACGCCGCATTAGCGACTGCTATCACTTCGCAGCTCTAGCATCCATCGCCGACGCGATCGGTCTTGTTTATGAATTCAACACTTCGCATCGTGGGATTACCTGTAGTCTCTTGTTCGCATGCTGCATGTACTACGATGTCTGTGATTACACAATAACTAATCACTTGGATCTTGAGGCCGGGCCCCTTCTTGGCGACCTCGCAAGCAGGCAGCAGCATTGGTATCGTTGTGTCATTGGTTATGTGATAGTTTTGAGCAGGTCATTTCGTATATGGGTCATTGTTAACCGGAAGAAGAGGATTACAAGATGTTAGTATCAACGACAATGTCAGCATGTTCTCTGAGGCTCTCTAGACCGCTAACAAACACGCACGTGGAGAGATAAAACAGCGCGCTCCATTGCAGCTGTGAGTGCGCAATTCATACCTGCCGCTATTTGGGCAGCTTCTCCGACCCCAATTCCGATTCCCAAGAAGAAATCATGCATTGCCACGAAGGCGCGCGGCGGGAGCGAGGGCAGGGCTTTGGGTGTGGACTGCGGCAGACGAAGATGGGAATGGGGAGAAACCTGCAAATGCAGGCTCGAGAGCAATAACGCTACACTAGCGAGAAATTTGCTCTAGCGATGCCTCCACAAAGTGGTAGCTTGACTATGTATGATTCAGGACTTATAAAAAATCGTCCAGCTCCAACCCAAGAAGGTGGGACGAAGATCGAACGTACGACAGACCACTCTTTACTACGTAAGACGTTGTTTCCAGCATCCACCGCTCTTGTGTGTAGCTATAGCAAGATTGCTATGAGGAGCAAGGTAAGTAGGGGAGACAAGAAGACAAGAAGGGATGACACGTATTGCAGTTGACTTCAATTTTTTTCGTCGACTTCCGACACTGAAAGAAAGTAATATAGTACTCCACTCGCTTATCTACTTATGGCACGTTGCGTTTACCCAAAGTGGACGCTGATTCTAAAGTGCCCAGAAGCATTTTACATTTTTTGTCGATCCAATTCCTACGGCTCTCCATCCATATCTCGGGATTGGAATGCCATAGCAGTTTGCATGCGATCAATCTCATCTCATGTAAATCCAAACTAAGTTTTCCGCAAATTTAGTCGTCGGTTGAGGAGAGGCCAAACTGTGTTGGACGCTTAGACCAATACGGACTTTTTGCCAATATATCGTAGGCCCGGTGGAGAAAGGCTGAAATGCATATTCCTGGTCATTCTTGGACCTAGTAATATATTCTAAGAGACCTGGGAGCCACTGATCAGGATTGAACTCGAGCGGATCTCTGAAATTGATTGGACTGTGGTTTGTTGTAAAGTTTGCGACAGAAGCTTCGTCTGCCTTGCAATTAGTCTACGTATATTCCTATTGTAATTCGGGCATATAGCAGTACTTGCACAGACAGCAAAGTACGCATCGCGAACAGGTCTAACACTGACTACCACCAGCGGAGGCCCGACTGGTGTTGATCAGTAGACTAGATCCTGTGAGCATGCAGTAGCGGAGAGCAGCATGATAAAGGAAGAGGACTTATCTCTCATACTTTCCTCCAAGCAGGTATTAAGACATCTTAGTACCTGGATACGCTCTATCGCAAGATCGTTTTCGCTTTGGAACGAAGACCCAACCTCTTCTATAGCCCTCTCCAAAGTCTTGGGGTCATAAGCCATTTGTACATTAGCCTACTCAACATGGTTGCTGTGGTCTCAGATCCAGCCGCTATGAGGAGGTCTGTGTTTGATCCCATCTGTTCGAAGGTCAATGCCCCGTTCTGGTGCGGACCCAAGACAAGTGTCCAGAAATCTGGCGTGTCAGTGGTTTTGCCTTTGGCCATTCGATTGCGTACGTGTTCCTCGCTGTATGCAGCGGTTTGAGCACTCACATTCTTCTGTTCTCTAGGCATGAACAGCTCATGAGCATAACCGAGGAAGAGCTACTCAAGAGCGAGTGCGTAAACTGCGGCGCTTTCCATACCGTACAAAACAGATTCGACCCAAGCATATATTTCCGAATTCTATAGAAACCCTAGACTTTCACCAAACGCAAGTTTGCCGATGATCGTAGAGGACCGTGCGCAGCCCCTCTTTTAGTGCCCTCATCATAACGGTGCTGCCATGGCGTACCCACTGTGCACAAATACCGAGACGAAAAGCAAGACCTGTATGTACGGGTGGTTTCTTCTTGCTGATAAGTTCTTTGGATCAATCGCATAGGGATACAGCGCCCTAACGATAGCCGCACGTGCAAGTGCAGTTTGTGCCGCTAGTAGGTGTAGCGTCCAAAGTGCGTTAGCTGTTGCAAGGACCATGAAGGCAATTTTGATTGCGGCTAGAACACGTTACAGCACTCAATCTATCTGAGCAAAACACAACTATACCACGCCACTGGTACAGACCTCATCGCACGATCTGTATCATCTCGTTCTATACCGACAGCACCATGGACCATCAACCTGTACACATGGCATGTCGTCGCCGGCGGCAAACACCAGCTTGCGTTCATTGCCGCAGAAAGAAACTTCGATGTGACCGCACTTTTCCATGTAACAATTGTACACGTTCTAGGAACGACACATGCACATATGTAGCGAACGACGATGTCAGAAAAACCATGGATTCAGAGGCTTCGCAAGGAAGTTCTGAGCTCGCATCGAATGGTGTCAATGCAACGTCTCATTGGATTCGCGCTCTCTCAGTAAAACCTAAATACACAAGACCGTGCCATCGAGTATACGCCTTGGCTCTGGTATGTTCACTTACACTTTCAAGCCTACGTTCCATCATTCACTAAGTGTTCAGGCTCCAAATGTGCTGAAGTGGTACTATCAAGAGACGAACGACCAAGGGGAATCTTGGGAAGTCTTCCAAGCATGTCATTCGCTGTCTCGACAACTCAAAGCCCAAAAGACTCTGACATGGGTACCCGATGATTATGGAAGTTATTTTCCTAGCAAGAGCACATTTGATGCCCTAGTCGATGGATACATACGAACTTTCGAGATTGTCTATCGCATTCTCCATATACCCACATTCAAACGTGACTATGAGTCGCTATGGGAACATCATAGCTCTATGGCTGGTGCCCTGGTCATAAAGACGCAATTGTGTTTGGCAATCGGAGCCTGTCTTTACGACGACACCTTTTCGTTTCGTTCCCACGCGATACAATGGATCCGAGAAGCTGAATCCTGGCTTGAATCCTCACAGGGGTCACAAACCACAATATCTAGTGTGCAGATCATGTGCTTATTAGTGCTGGCTTTACAGAGTGTTCAGACTTCCAGTAGCGAACGAACATCGAGCCGCTGCGGAGCGTTACTTCGGTCGGCTATGGTGATCGATCTGCATCGTGATCCAGCGAAACTTCCACCAATGTCTGTAGCCGAAGCTGAGATAAGGCGGAGATTGTGGATAATAATCCTTGAGCTGGTGTTGGATTGTAGCCTCGATACCGGATTGCCTCCGCTGATATCTCTCAACGACTTCGATTGTGCACTGTAAGGGTGCGATGGGTTGACCATAAGTGCAAGGTATAACAGTAATGAATTCGATAGAGAAGCTACACTACGCTTGCGCTGAGTCTATGTATCACGTAGTGCTAGGTTCGAGAAACTTCTAAGGGTCCGTGGAGCGCCGATGAAGCCCCGACAACGCTCTGAGGGTTGCAGCCTATCCCAACCAGCTATAACGAAGGCCACAGGCTAAGTACTACTAACCAAGGCTTCAGCCTCTTACATGCACTATCACGTAACTTCAACGATACGGATCTCGACTTCAATACCGAGAACAACCCAAACCCTTGCAGTGAGGATGAGTTCACGGACACCACTCTGCAAAGAATTCTGGGAGATTCAGCTGCAACACGCTTGTCAATCGCACATCATGCAAACGGCATCAAGGACATTGACTACGAGGAAGTCTTGAGATTGCATGCAGAGTTCATGACAGCGTACCGCAGTCTAGCAGCTTCTTTGCAGCGCTTAGGCCCAGGAGTCTCGCAATTTCAGCGCCAATATTGCGAAATGCTAATGAGTCGTTATGTCTTCAGTCTACATATACCCTACATCCCTAGCGCCCGGGAGAATCTGATGCTTCATTTTTCCAGAGCGGTCTGTGTTGAAGCTGCCGTGCGGCTCCTACACTCTACGACTACTTTATTGCCAACTCGAGAACCGTCTCTAGTGGCAATCCAGGACATGCTGGTCCTCATGCCTAGATGCGACAACCATGCTCGCCTTGCACTTTGCGGCAATGGTCCGTTCAGAACGACTCATTTCCAAGCCATGATGGTCGTTGCAGAAGAGTTATGTTCATTGCTAGGGGGTCTTACAACGCAGGTCTTCCTTCCACCACAGGATCCACTGTCACAGGTCACCAAATGAGCGACCTTCGTTGTGTTGAGATGTTATCCATACTCAGATCATCTGTCGAATGGGTTAAACATCGCGTCAAAGCCTGTCAAGACAATTTCAGGGAGTTTGTGTTTGTGATGGCCTTGCTTGCCAACGTTGAAGCCCTACGAGACGGTACCTCTCCTGAAGTGGCGGTTGCACGAGGTGGAAAACGTGCCTGGCTTGAAGGAAAACAGATACTGACCCAATTGAGGGACGAGTCGTCAAGTCCGCCGGACCTCGATATATCTCGAGATCATGGGTTGGGTATGTCTACCGACTTCTTGACATTTTCCATGTCCGATTCAGAGTGGGAGGGATTAGTGCCGTTTTATTGAGTAAAGATCTCGATCTGTAGAGAAAAAGTGAATAAATGCTAGAGCATTTCAAGGTCATGAATGGTTTGTTAGTAGTTAGGGATTGCAGAAAGAGAGGGTGGTTCCACTTCGGCGTCTTAAGGTTAGGATTATGGAGCTGCTTATCAGCTTTCTATCCTGACACGAAGCTAGCAGACATTAAATTTCCGCCTACGGAGGCAGATTTATGATCGTGTTGAGACCCAATCTTCGAGTTAATCTTCTTGCAAATGGTGTCCCAGCCTTGTCGTCATGTTTGCATCTAGCAAAACTAACCAATGCTTACAGTGAACGTCTTTCGCAAGATTAAGCTACATTAGATTTTTTATCTCGTTGTATGACTTACGGCTTCATGCGGGGGCGATCTAGCAACCAAGCCAAGATCGGAATCGGAAGCGGGATCGGGGTCGGACGCGAAATAGAACGTGCAAGTCTGCCATGTGATTCAAAGAAAAATGATACTCTTTCTCTGATTCGTAATCTCGTTATTTCCAATCGTCCGTATTGACCGTCATTTGGTCCGGACGGAGTAGTGAGCTCGCGCTTAGCATGTTCCTTTGTTTGTACATAAATATGAGAAGGATACACTACCGGGTTTCAAATACCCATCAGCACATTTTGAATTGGCTTGCCAACAATTCCTTTGAGCATCATCAATCCAAATTTCGACCATGACAACCCACACCGAGTACAATGAGAGGACGGCAGCGACAGAGGTCGCAAAAGCTTTCTCCGAGGAGATCAAGGACAAACACTGTAAGCACGACACTCCACAAGCGGCAATGTTGTTCCCTGAAGCATGCTCCAATCTGTTCTTCAATTCTAAATTCCTACAGTCGTTGTAACCGGTATTTCCAAGAAGTCTATCGGAGAAGCTGTTGTCAAAGCATTAAGCTCTCATGCGCCAGCTTCATTGATCCTAGCATCCCGCACGCGAGAGAACCTGAAAGCTGTGGCTTCAGATATCCGTGCTGCACATCCCGATACCCATGTTGCTACTGTCGTCGTAGATCTCCTCTCTCAGAGCTCTGTCCGTCAAGCTGCTGAAGAGATCAAAAAGCTGGTTCCACGCGTCGACGTGCTAATCAACAATGCTGCGATGAATACAAGCAAGCGTATCGTCAGCCCCGAGGGTATCGAGGGCCAATTCGCAGCCAATCATCTTGACGGCTTCCTCTTGACAAACCTGCTAGCCGAGCACTTTCCAACGGCCCGCAAGGCCAGGATTGTGAATGTATCTTCCGAGGCTCATCGATGCAGCCCGATTCGATTCAGCGATTGGAACCTTATGAAAGACGATACGGAGATTCCTATGTCGGAACGTGGGCCGGATGTTACTGGTTGGGTGCCAGCAGAGATGCTGAAAAAGGTCGACGGGTACAGCGGGAGCAGAGCGTATGCTCAGAGCAAAACTGCCAACATCCTCACGAGCGTTCAGGAGAACATTAAATGGCCAGAGAAAGTGGTCGCCTACAGCTTGGATCCTGGAGGTAACGTATATGCAATACCGTCGAAAGTCCCTTTGGAACAAAAGCAATCGATGGCTTAGTCAAACAGTACTAACATTAACCAGGCGTTATCACCAACGGCAATCGAGATTTTGGCGGTGAGGCTGTCGTCAAAGAGGCTATCGCGATGCATAATGTTTTCTTGAAAAACCTCGATCAAGGCGCAGCAACAACTTTGGTTGCCGCTCTGGATCCGGCACTAAACCGTACGTAACATCGAAACAACATTTCAGACTTGCGATCTAACATTCGAGAACGCAGAATATCCGGGCAACCCATACTTATCCCATTGCCAATTTGGACAAGCTGCTGACTGGGCTACTGATAAAGAAGCCGCAGAGAAGCTGTGGAAATTGAGTGAAGAGCTCGTTGGACAAGTATTTCCTTAGTTACTGCTACTGCTTTGACTTGAATTCCACCTTTCCGGCTTTAGAGGACTGCCCGTAGTTCCACTGCTATTGTATGATGGTGCGAGTTCGGCTTCCAATGTTTCGCGTTAGCACGGGTTTAATACCTCTGTTACCACATCTCTTGCCTCTCTCCAGTCATATCAGTCGCCGTCGTTGTAGCCACAGGCATATTCATAGCCCTCGTTATCTTTGAAGTAGTCTTCCAGGATAGATGTATAGTTCAGTCTATCCAGCACCTTATTTTTTCCATTACTTCATGAAGGCAACGCCCTCTGTGCACCATGGAGTTGTTGACTAGGCGCGTGAGTGAATGCGACCCGTAATCTCAGTTCGTTTGGCGTAAGGTTGCGCCATTCCCAGGTTCACGTACCCCATAGTTTGATCCGGATGTCTGGAAAGCATCGGAAATCGCCTATGCAGTATGTAACTATGGCGCATGGAATGGTTTGCTTGCTGGAGGCGCCGTACTATTCGCCTGGTTCAGCTCTAAAGAGGTTCTCGGCTGCTGCTCTGGCTTTGGGTAAGTTGGTGTAATCCTGATAATCGTATTCTCGGTAACTGTTATTGGATCCCGCGATCGTGTTATTCTCGGTAAATTTAGCCAGTCTGCTGTAATATTTCCTCGATCATGTATTAGAATTACTTGGTGTGTTGGCATTTGCTAAGCTACTCTATGTCTTTGCTATGTGCATCATTTCAGATTGATGTTGCAACAGAGCTATGCGTTCGGTACAACTGCCGATCGTCGGTGCATCGTACGCCGTCCGGGGGCGTAATTTAAGCTGGTCTTATTCTATAAGGGACGTCAGAAGAGCGCACGGTACTAATATCGTATACTGTAAAGCGAGCCAAGGTAATATTCACTCCGTAGTGTTGAGTTGCTACAAGGAGATTGTTGCTAAGTCTAAAGAACCAAGCTAGAGGTTCTAGAGTATGGACAAGACAACTACCTAGATGCTAAAAGGACCACTTGCAAGAGCCATATGCTAAGGCCACAGTTCAGATTGAACAGATATAGCAGAGTATGCTTGGTGTAACGTACACCACCGAGCGTTCGATCATACATGGCGACTACTACTACTACTACTGCGTGTATTCCAGTCAAAAATGACCTCAAGATCTGAATATGTAGGCTAAACTGTTCTTCTAAGGAAATGTCTGACGTGATGACTGGGATGGCTGTATCACGCGTCAGGCGGACAATTACCAACACAATCGCATCCCGTGCCGAATTGAACATGATGGAGGATGAGGCTGAGAACACCTTGATGCCGAAAAGCCGATGTGAGATTTGCGGCTCTAGTTGATCTTGGTATCCGTCGTGAGTGATAGTGTCTGTGCTGTAATCGTACCCTTGTAATCGCCTGCTAGCAGAGTGCTTTACTGTTTCCCTCTGCATCAGAACCCAGTACCTATCCATCCCTTCCGAACCCAGTTCAACTCAATCCATTGTGCGGGAATATGCCATATTCGATGAGATAGGCTGATCATAGCGATTAGAGCCAAGTAGCAAGGCGACGAGTAGACACTGGGATAGACTAGCAGCTTTCGATGCATCACTAGGCAAGCAAGCAATACATCCGGCAGAGCTTCCTTCTAGAAACACGCATGTCTGCTTCTATCTCGGCCAGTAAGAAAAGACTGACAAGACACATAGGCTGGCAGCATGGGACGCACCCTGTTGTTTATATCGTGGTCGAACAAGCGTGCTGCTTAGTCATCAGCATTTACCTTCTGGTGTATTGCGACACGAGACATGCGTGATCGAGGTCTGCCACTAGACCCAATGCAAATGCCAATCCTCTGAGTGAGGACTTGTATTAACCTAACAAGGCCAACGAAGAAGCTCGCATTCGTTCAACCAATGCTCCACATTTCCAGATAGCGATCAGCAAGCCCTTCGATGGGATACTAACTACGAGCAAATTACCGTAAGAATCTGCTAGTTCCGCCAAACGCGGGACACCGTGTACGTACGTGCAACGGCAACGCCCGCTTCACCCAACCGCCTCATACCGTGTTCTTGCGCGTAATGATGACGTTCGAGTACCGAACATCCCAACAACATGGAGGAGGCTGTACAAAAGCAAAGCTGTGCAGCCATCTATAATCTCTAGTATTACGAGATATAGAGTTATATTAATTAGTTCCCTTCCTCATCGAGCTAGTAGTTCTGTTCAAGTAAGGGTGACTACCCTCTCTTCAGCAATGCCATGCGCGGTGAGGATTTGACTAACTGCGCGAAACCGGTAGAAGCTGACAAGGCCAACTCTTTCAAATGTGATGTCGTCACGAGCTCGTAAAAACAGAGCTTCAGTACTGTCCTGACCCCAGAAATCTATGTCGTCTCCTTCTGCCTTACTCTTAGAACCTTCAGTGTCATCATGCGTTTCGCATTCCTGGCTATGGACGCATCTCTGCAAGACGACTACGTAGCCGTGTTGTGGTGTCGTAATCTCTGGCGCTCTTCCCTCCATGCTTAATTCCACGTCGCAGTTTGTGGGTCCTACTGCAAATCTCTGTGGTGGTCGGTAATTCTCTCCATCCCGATCCACCAGTTCGAGTGTCCCGCTACACTGAAGAGGTTGGCGATCCGGCAACCAATCCCAGCCATCAGACGTAAAAGTGACTCGCAAAGGTCTACATTTGATTGATATCGAAGCATGTTTCAGTTCTCCAGAGAGTTCGGCTCCCACGTTGATCTCAACAAGTCTGGCCTCCATCTGTCGACTTGCATGCTTGCGGTGAAACTTTGTCAGCAAACTGTGAAATATCTCGCCATCGATGCAAGCCCAGCTCCATGTAGGAGCTCTCCAAGCACTAGGCTTAGACGAAGAAGCTTCCGTGCGCCAGCATAGCTCCTCGATGATACGACTAAGCCAAAGGCCAGCGACTAACTCGTCACCTGTTGCTTGCCCGACCCATTTTGCTATGCCTTGAATAGCTACAAGTTTATCTGTCTCATGGGTGAGCGCACACCTCGAATACTGATCTCGAAATGTGAGCCAGGCGAAATGGGTATCCTCGTCCAGACCTCGAGCAAGAGAAGTGGAGGTCAGAAAATTCGATGGATTATCCTTCCCCTCGTGCATGATGTCGCGAACTCGCTTTTTCAATGAAGTGGCATCCCAGCGCCAGAAAGCTCGCGCCCAGGGTGGAAGCTTTTCAGGATATATTTCACAAGCTAGGCGCTCGTTACATTCCCAGAAGAGCTGGGTGCTAGTGAAGTGCAAGGTTCGATTTGAAAGCTGTCTCTCTTGACTGACCCATGCTCTCTTGTTCAATGGTGCAGATTCTATGCACACTTGAGCTAAGTGTTGAATCTCACACAAATAGGTTCCTACCAAAGGGAATTCCTTATCCTTTTCCTTGAGCCAGGGAGCTTCTAAGTTGAAAGCAAAGTCGATACGCTTCGGGCCTAGTGATTCCGGACATCTGGCGTGAAAAAGGCCATCATTGCTATCATTTGCGGCGGTAGCTGCGATAGTGCAAGCTGCATTTGCAAATACATCCCCCATTCGACGGGACTCTGCCGCCCAATCGTCTTTGTTGTCTTGGAGGATACATCTGTAGTGGTGAGCATAAGCTTTTCAGAGCCATACACTAGCTACATACAGCGAGTCGATCCAAAGGTACTGGATGCGAAGGCGTCGAGTAACAAGTATAGCGTCCTGGTATGTTTTTGGTAACGCTGCCACGTCAATTCCTTGGACCAGTGCAGACAGAGTCTCTGCGTTGAGCGAGAAAGATCTGGTGTCCCCCCAGCAGTGCGAGAGACAAGCGTATACTTCATCATGAAACGACGTAGTACTACGCAGTACGACCGAGCTGTGCTGCTCAGTTCCGATGTATAAAAGTCTTGATGGGTGGGCGGCTGCGATCAGCTGCTTTGGCAGATTGCATTGTATGTGATTCACACGACAATCTTCATACTTTTCAAGAAGAAATCCTATGGTGGACTCCGACTCGCTGCTTAACGAGAGAGTTTGTGAGATGGTATGATCGCTCGCGACAGCATATAATGTTAGCATACAAATACTAGTGTTGAACGTTATGCTCACCAGGCCATGGTATGAGGGCCAATCGCGCGCTTTCGTTAGCACTTGGCCACTGTTCTGTATAAAACCGTATGAATCTCTCATCGTTTTTATATTGATTGTAGTGCCCTATGACTTTATCCCAATTGAGCGCAGTCGGCCTGCTCAGAGGGTTTTGCCACGCCAGTCTACATATCGTACATGGCAAGCGCATTGCGCGGTCAAAGGAGTCGAAATCATAGTGGTGTTCGAATGATACGTGCGAACTACTGCCTTCGATTACGGACACTTCTCCGCGGAGAAATTGACGGCAAGGATTGCAATACAAGTTATCTGGCATGGTCTAAGCCGCTCATAAAAAAGGTTTTTGGGATGGAGAAGACAACTTTGACCGCGGAGCATGCTGTTGCCTGGCAAGCTCTCCTCATATGACGTCATAAACTCGCGCAAGTTAGCGAGCTCAGCCACCCAAATGTGACATAAGCATGGTACTATAGCGCCGTGCTGCGTTTGTCTTTATTTGCTCGCCTGTTTTTCTATTTGCAAAAGCAGAGTGGACAATGTGAACTGAAATATCTCCGTCGCAAGCAGCAGCTACCACGTCAGTCTCGTCTTACTTCCCATCTCCTCTCGACTGTGATAGCGTTGTTTGAACCGGCTGGTAACTGCTGTTTGTGTTGCTCATCAACCGACGAGACACGGACTATCTGCGAAGTCTTGATAGGCTGCAGCTCGATTTGCGAAGAAGCGTCGTTGTTGTCAATCAATTCCGAGAACGTTGCAGTGGGGTCGTAGCTATGTGATCTGCTTCCTTTCTTCGAAAAAAGACTAGTATGCGTGCTACTGCCGTTCTGGAAGCTGGAGTGGGTGGCATTTCTTGATCTACCGTACAAAGGACGCATGAGCGGAACGCATGCCAGAACGATCGCGACAGCAGGCTCAAGTCCGGAAAGTATTGTAGCAAGTACACCTTCGTACGTCATGTCCGCAAAGTCTAGATTGGGTAGCAGTGTTTGTCGGTATATGGTGATGGCCCAGGTTCTACCTTAAGTGTTAGAATTTCAAGGTTGACAGAAGACAAGCTGCCTAGCAATGCGCACTTACCCTACTCCAATGCTAAGTAAAGCCATCGCGGCTAACTTCTTGCGCCAAGCCATCCGTAACTCGAACAAGTATGGCATTGGCAATATGATAATCACGGCATCGGCAATGAGGTTGACGATCCCCATGGCGAAGTAAAACGATGGTTGACTACCGCAAGTTCCTGGTAATGTAAAGTTCCAATTCTTCGCGAGCGGTCGGCATATCAAGAGAGCAGCGAAGATGTCGGCAATGTTCCACGTTATGATCAGAGCACCCAGTATACGGGCCCACTGGGACATAGATGACATCGGTATCAGTGCAGCGTACATTAATAGAACCGACAGTTTGCTGAAACACACGGTAGCGTTCCACAGTATCGAAAAGGACATTATTCCCTACAGCAGGAATACAATTAGAACGCGAACGGAAATGCCAACTCGCTGGCCTCACCTTGAAGAAAAACGTCGCCGTCTCAGGCCCAAAACGTTGGTAGATTTCTATTGTATGGAATCCAAAGCCGCCATGAGTGACCAATGAGATGCAACAGGCGTGCAGTGCAGTGTTAAATAGCTAGTACATACGTTAGGACAATCATAACCTTCTTATACAATATTCAACCTACTGCGGCCGCGAGAATACAATAGTCACTGTAATCAATTCTATCTGCGATCTTTTTGGCGACAAGTCGCAGGCCCACAGCGACAATGACTATCAGGATAGAAATAGAAGAAGTCACTAGAATGCCGACTTGCTGGCCGTTCTCGATGGGGATCGTTGCAACTGCCATCAGATGAGGTTGTTCCCTGAATCTGCTGCGCAAGAGTGTCCACAGAGCGAAAGGGTTAAAACGGGTGGACCTGGGTTCATACATATAAGTCATGAGCATAAAGAGTAGCTATGGGGCTGGACACCCGGTCATGCATGCACAGACTCAAGCTTACAGCATCCTGAAGGATGTGCTCCCTGTTCATGGCCTGGAACTTGGAGAGGCAACTTATCAACGCGATGGGTAGGAGCTGAGAATCAACGGCGAAATACGGTACTACTGCTGAGTAGAAGGACCGCGGGGAGCGCACTAGCAGACTCCGCCTTTGCAAATGCCCCATGTCGCGGGTTGGTCGGGCTCCCGCGCTATCCACGGTCCACGAGCGCAGGCTGTGGAATCCGATGCCGAGCGCATCCGCGTGTCTCAGCTTACGACCCTCTCGTCTGCATTACCAATGTCAGATTGCAATACATTCTCAAGGTCTTGAGCTTGCCTGTCCTAGTCACCGGATGACTTTTTGTTCTTGCAGTCACTGTGAGAGCTTGCCTCACCAAGAGAGACTTAATAGGAGAAACGTCTGCAGCGCAATCACTTCTCTAGCGTAGGATTGTTTTCCCTGTACATCTGTATCAGTTCAGCCGCCGTCGCTGACAAGACACATTGGAGTCTCCCCACACGTAGCACGGTCCCACCTGCTCAGGGCAGGCTGTTTGTGGACCGCGCCGCAATGCCAAGTTGATGCGGACGCGGGCGATCCACGTATCCGGATCTTGCTCAGAACTTTGCAGCCGCCTGCCATCAATCCTCGCTTCAGTCTAACAGACGAGATCTGATCAACTTGAACCGTGTCAGAGATTTCCGTATGCAAAACGAGTTAAAACTGCGGCAGAACAGCTCTAACATCCCGAATCTCTAGATAGTGCTCATACGCCAATTCTTGCAAATATTTAGGCCAACCGCTTGGCACGGCAATGAAGAGGCGCTAGCCGCACCAATCCTGCAGCTACCGACCCCCCCGTGCAACGGCTCGGGATGCAGGCAGAAACAAGCAATTACTCCTTTCCTGAATCATGAGGACCAGCTTCTCTAGATGCAATGTGGGAAGTACTATGCCCCAGTACTGAACAGATATTGGCATTTTTGGATATGCGTACCGCGAATAACGTGGCCAGATGTGACGTTTCCGCTCCCTTTTAAATATAATGGATCATCCTTCGAAAAATGTACCACACATATCTACCCGATACCGAGACTTGAAGAGATGGGTTCCATTTCGCAAAACGAGCAAAAGGTTGCGATCGTTACCGGTGCCACGGTATGTTACATCGCATTACTACAGTTAGTGTGAGCTTGCTAACAGACTCCGACAGAGCGGCATTGGTTCTTGGCTAGCAGCTCATCTGCATGCGAAGGGATACTGCGTCGCGATTTGCGGTCGGCGAGGGAGCGAAGGACACAATGTTGCCTTATCCATTGACCCAAAAGGAGAGACATCCATCTTCGTCCAGTGCGACGTAAGCTCATACGCCTCGCAAGTCGACCTCTTCAAGACTGTCTGGGAGAAGTGGGGTCGCCTTGATGTTTTTATCGCGAACGCTGGCTTTGTTGATCGTGGTTCCGTGTTCAACTTCAAGAACCGTGATGCAGGCATCAATGACCTGCCTGCGGAACCAGACACCAGTTGTACCGATGTCGTGGTGAAGGGACGAATATATGGCACAACGCTGGCGATGCACTACATGCGCAACAACCCAGGACAAAAGGGTGGTAAGATCATAACCACAGGAAGCATGCTGGGTATCTACCCATGCCAGACATTCCCAGAGTATTGCGCGGCCGAAGCGGCGTCGGCCATGTGGGCGAAGACGACTGGACCCGTTCTGGTGGTCAAGGATAACATCTCTGTCAACTCTGTGATGTTGGGCCCGATCGAGACTGAAGCTATGCCTGGCTTCAGCAAAGCCTTCCACCCTGAGCACATGATGCTGAAGTCAACACTATTCGCTGGTTACGACCTCTTTCTTGACGACAAGGACAACCATAGAACGGGTCAAACCATTGAAGTGGCGCACGACAAACTCGTGGACTGGGGTCATCCAGGGTACAAAAGCGGAGCATTCTCAAAGCGTTCGGAGGCTGTGTTCGAGCCATGGTTCACTCTGGTGCATGGAGAAAAGAGCGGGTTGCCTGGCACGCTCAATGACTGGCCTGACCAAAGCAAGAAGATCATCGCTGTGACGGGTGCGACAGGAAGCCAAGGTGGTGGAGTGGTCAACATCATGAAGAAGACACCTGGATGGAAGGTCAGGGCGATCACCAGGAATCCCGACAGCGATGCGGCGAAGAAGCTCACCGCGGAGGGCATCGAGGTTGTAAAGGCCGACTTTGAGGACGAGGCGTCGCTGCGGGCTGCCTTTGACGGTACGCATGCCGTATTTGCTGTCACTAATTGGTGGGAATCGCTCTTTCAGGGAAAAAGCCAGCATGAGTCCGGCGAGATCGAAGAGCGACATGGCATGAACCTCGCTCGAGCTGCTGCCGCCACTCGTACTGTAGAACACTACATCTGGTCAACAACCCCAAGTGCCAAGCGCCGGTTCTGGGGTAAGATTGAAGCACCACACATGGACTACAAAGCCAATGTCGACGCACGCATCAAAGCGGAGTTGCCTGAGCTTGCTGCTATTACTACTTACTTGTACTTCGGATACTATCCCCAGAACATGGCTTTCTTCCCATTATGCAAGCCAATCGAATATGTATGTCAAGCTTGACCCTCGTTGTATAGCGCAACCCACTGACATCACACACAGCCCGGCACTGGTCAGTACATCCAGACGTTGCCCACCAAAGCGGACGCCAAAGTGCTCATAGCCGGCGACATGACTGTCAACCCCGGTATCTGGGTCCGTCAAGTCCTTGCCACTGGCGACAAGGCCTACGGCAGATATGCCAACGTCGCGCTGGAAAAGTTGACCTTCCAAGAGATGGTCGATGTATGGTCGGAAGTGACTGGTAAGAGCTGTGTCTTTGCCGAAGTCAGTATGGAGACCGTAACGAAGCTTTACGGTGACATGGGCAACGAATTAGCGAAGCAGTTCAAGTATGGAGAGGCGTGCGACCCGTGGGCGGTCACCGAAGAGTTCATCAGTCCGGAAGACCTGGGTATCGATCCTGGGGAAGTTGTCGGATTCAAGGGGACGATCGAAGGCCTCAACGCAGCCGGGTTCTGGGCTTAATTCCAAGTATGTCTAATCGAATACTTGCATTATGTTAATGTCGTAATGGGAGCACTCTGCACCTAACATGTGATGTTATGCACCAGGAGTCTGAGGAAATGGAATAGCGGATGCGACAAAGGTTAAGGTCATCCTTTCGCGTGCAGATGGGCTGTTAGCTATGAGTCGATGCCGCTTCGATCGTGGCGTCAGCGTGGTAGCAAACCGTACAAGAAGACGCGACAGACAATAGTGCCAGTATGGATAGCAATAGGTAGCCAATTATGTGATTCCGTATCCATCGTAGGAGTAGCGGAGCGGGGTTGTGAGGCTTGGAGCAGCAGCGGCGGCCCCAGTCGGTGCCACCCCGGCCCCGCATGCAAGCACGCAAGCACTGCAGCTGGCCTGTGCGACCCGGCCAATAAAGGATGCCTACAACCCTTGATACACCTAGGCATACAACAACCCACTCGCATCGTCCTGATCATGGCTGGTTCCCTCCCTATGGGCAATGCCCTCGATGCGATTGGCAACACACCATGCGTACAGCTACGACGAGTTGTACCAGATGGATGTGCGCGGGTTTTCGTAAAGCTCGAATCACTCAATCCAACGGGGTCTTACAAAGATCGCATGGCGAAATCCTTGATCGAAGAGGCGGAGCAGAGAGGAGATTTGCGACCCGGTATGACCGTTGTAGAAGCTACTGGGGGCAGCACCGGCTCATCGCTTGCTTTCGTTTGTGCTGTCAAGGGCTACAAGTTTCACGTCGTGTCGTCTAATGCCTACGCGGTCGACAAGCTACGAGCGATGGCAGCATTCGGCGCTGAGGTAGATTTGGTCAACAGCCCCTCTGGTCGCATCACAGCAGACCTGATTCCATCGATGATAGAGCGTGCAAAAGCGATCGCACAGGACGATACCTACTATCCTACCGACCAATTCAACAACGTTGACGCTTATGTTGGCTACAAGGCACTCGGGCTCGAACTGGTTGATCAGTTTCCGAACGGTATTGACGGGTTTTGCGCGGCTGTCGGTACAGCGGGTATGGTCATGGGCGTATCGAAGGTTTTGAAGGAACGATGGCCTAAGACGTACGTTCAAATTCTTGAACCGGCGTCTGCTCCTACTATCACCCAAGGTCGGAGTGGCGTGCATGGTGTCGAGGGCATAGGAATTGGGTATATGCCACCTCTTCTTGACAAGGACCTTTATGACGATGCGCGCGCAATTTCGGAGGATGAAGGTCGTGTGATGTGTCGACGTCTCGCCAAAGAGGAGGGACTTCTTGCTGGTACATCCACCGGTCTCAACGTGACCGCCGCTATTGCGCTAGCAAAACAACTGGGACCCGACAAGACGGTAGTAACGGTCGCGTGCGATACAGGACTGAAGTACATGCACAGAGATCTGTACGGCTAATTTAGTCTCTGTACCTACAAGGCGACGTCCCTCCACCCATCATCATCATCACCCCATGATCCACAATAGCTAGACCATCGATTACTTCTCCACTGATCGTTGGCCTGGCTGCCTAAAACATGAATTTCATATTACGACGGGGCCGCCGTGCCTACGGACGCCAGCGTGGATCGCCTGTTCCCCAGCATCTCCCTCCGTCATTACGCCTGTCCGTTGAATGTGATATTCAAAGACGCACGAGGTCGTACTAACTCGTCCCTTCCGGGGGGTCGTACAACATTCAGGCTCAGATGCCATTACAACTAAGGCAACTTAATCACACAGTACCTTTCCTCCGATCAAGCGCTCGAGACCAGAGGAAAGCACAATTCTAAGAACAGGGAAGCCGAGGAATAGCTTGGTAGAACGTCTTTATCTCTGGCCCAAGATACGCTAGTTCACTAGCAAAAGGGCTCTCAGTCATGGCTTTGATTCCATTTCGCGACATGTCGCTTATCCACCCACTTCCTGATGGTTCGGCCCCGCCGCTGACCGACCAAACCGTGAGCACGGTCCGGTATGGCCAAACGATCCACATGATGCGGATAACAGGCTTCCACTGCTGGAGCTTTGTGGTTGTGAGGACTGCGCCTTACAACGATGCCAATAACGAGCTGTAGACTGCCTTCCTCGAGCGCATCCGTGCTGATACTGAGAGTCTTATGAATCGCAAACTGCCCGGCCGGCCCAGGCATGTGGATACCCCCGCGCTTCTGCTACCCCTGGTGCGACGGGGCGTGCTGGAAGATCCGGAGCACGGACTGGTGGGGCCAGACGTAGATGGGGCGAGGCGTCTATTCTCGACATGGTGGGACACTGCGTCCGCCGCAAGGGATGGCGAGGGCGGAACATCTGTTCGTGGAGCTTGCCGAGTCTCCCAACCGTTCCAAAAGGCTCCCACCGGTCAAATTCGAGTAGTGAATGCTGGGCCGTCTGGGTACTTCCTGGAAAAGTTCCTCCCGCCTCGAAGTGAGGATAACGAGGACGATGAGAATGGAGAGGATGATGAAGAAGCGTGTGACGATGGTTGGATGTGAGTCGAGGTCACATTCCTTCTGAGTTTCTACAATACGGTACAGGTAGCCCAAGGCTGGGATTTCTTTTACGAGCGCACGACCAAGATGTATGGGCGTGACTGACAAGCGTATCTGATGTTTGCGCTAAAGATATAGTCACCCTCTCACTCAAACTTCCTTCAGTGCTCAAGCAACGCTGCTGTTACGACTCCTATATACTAGACATCATTACAGTTTCCACCCCACAGCAAGTCCTCTCCATTCGGTCCCTGCGGCCCTGTGCTCCTACAGCAAGGCGCCCAAACATTAATCATCTGATTCAGCGTAAAGCCTAGTCCATCTGTTTGCAACCGGCACTCGCCGTTCCTCGCATCCCAGCTACCGGGCCGGTCTCTTCCGTCGGGAAAGGTCACGCCCGAGCTGTCAGTGCAGCAAGTATTGGCGAATCTGTCTGGGTTGAGTTCGGCTGGACCAGTGCAGTAGCAAGCGACATTGGCCTAAATAGATTGTCAGCTACATTCTTGACTTGAAAGACGCAGGGGGGCTTGGAGTCGGAACGTACTTGGGCGATACCTGCGAGGCCGAGGACAATGGTGGAAAGGGTGAACTTCATGGTTTGATAAGAGTCTTTTCTCAAGACGCTGGGTGTATGGATGATGAGATCAAGAGGAGCTTACTGGCCAGACGTTCAACTAGAGGAAATGAAAGCTTTATAGACCTTCTCTGCAACCCCAGAACTAACATCATACTTAGTACGAGCTACTTTATCCGCGAGCTGCCGAAGACTGACATGAGAAATAGTCTGTGGAGCTGTAGTTCTCAGTATACAGCGGTGTGTGATATATCTAAGCTCTAAAAGTGCTTAGTTTTCGGACGTTACTCCGGTATGCTGCTGTCCAGAGTCATCTACCAATCCGCGTCCCGCTACATTACACTGTGTTCGATAGCTGTAGCCTTTTCGACTCCCCTGGCCTCGGGCTCTCAATGCTATTCTTGCATCTGTCCTTCAACCACTGTATAAATTCTACGCTCTCTGTCTGTAGCAATCAATTAAAATTGTCCTTTTCCGGCGCATGGCTGTTTCTTTGTAGTAGTGCTTATAAAACAAGAGAAAATACCACCGAGAGAGCTTGGCTGCATCCTAGCAAAATACCCGCAGCGTTCCACCAATTGGCAGTTGGATAGGTAAATACTTGATAGATGTTCGGGTGTAGAGTAAAGAAAGACAGGTTAGTTGCGGCCAGTGGTCCTAGTTCCGTAGTAAACGCAGGCGCGGGGCGCTAGGGCGCCCACGAACTACTAACTCGTGTGAAATAAGGACGCGTCTTCATTGACCACCCAGTAACCGTCCCATCTCGAACACAATCTTGACGCGGCAGCTACTGCGACAAAGCATCGCGTATCGAAATCATTCACCAATATCTGGTTGTGATGGCAGCTGGGAGCTTCTCACACAAGGCACTGCTCCAAGGGGGCATAAGGACGACTTGCTAGACTACTGGCATCTGGGATAGTGCCTGTCAAGAGCATTGGTGAAGGAATAATCGAAGTGAAAGAGTTATGAGAGAGTTTTTTTAGTGCGCGAGGCATGTAGAAGGTCCGGAGCCAGATGTATACATTCAACAAAGGCGCCAACCTCCTGGGTCGGAGGACATCAACCAGCACGCGCAGAGGCAGCATCAAAGCTGAAGAGGCGCATGCGTATCATTTCCTTCCCGCAATCTTTACGACACGCCGCATATGGTTTTGGCAATACCGGTAGCCGGATCGAATAGACACCACCACAGTCATTCCATCGATCGGTCTTGCGGCTGTGCATCTCGGCAGGGAATCTCGTTTGGGCTAGTTTATCGAGTATCGTTCCCACAGAGTCTACCGATACAGCTGGTTTCATGAAAGGCCTGCAAGCGACCTATACAACGTCGAAATATTGCGATCTCGGTCACAAAGCAGGAGATCGGTTACAAGAGCTCGTGACTAGTCCTTCGTATCTCGGTATAGCGCAGACCGGCTCTTTACCCGCTCCCGTGCTGGTATCCGGTGGCACTGCTTACACATCGTGTGCATGGTGTATTGATTGGCCAAGCAACCGTACGAGGCTTTTGGAAACCTTCCTCTTGGACCAAATGTTTTGATCGCGTCCCCGCTGGCCGCAACGCGCACTTTAACGGTGCTTGCCGTCCATGTCTGTTCTGCTAGCGACAGCTTTGTTTTTTCTCGCACCAAGATGAAGGCATATGGAAGACTGTACGTCGCATTCGCGTTGGTGACCGCGTTCGCAGCCCGTGCAAGCGGATGGCCCACGAGAGACGAGATCGTTCAGACTATCTATCAACGCGCCTTGACCGGTATTCGCTTCGTACCTAGAAAGATTATTGCAGCACTACTGATCATCCCCATCCAGACTCCATCGATCTTGAAACCATTCCAGCCTCCGCTGCGACATCTGCTCTTGAGAGTATAGCCGCTACGTATCTCAATATCGAAGCACCCAAACTCGCGCAGCGGAGTGTTTCCAATCTTACCAACATGATCGACGTTCACGGTACGCCTTTGCATCCAAGTCTTGAACGCAAATTTGACGACTATCCATAGCACATTGTGTACCTGACTGGTTTCGCGCAATCGCTCCCACGGCCGGCGGGAATCCAACACCATCATGGAATGTCACTGGGCATCTTGACTTTATGGCAAGCCAAGGTATCTCACATTCAATATTGGCCTTCTCATCACCCGGCGCAAACGTGTATCCAGGCAAGCAGGCTGCTACTGTTGCCCTCGCTCGGTTAATCAACGAGCAGTCTGCAGCGTATGCACGAGCCTACCCAAGCCGCTTTTCTTTCTACGCTGTCGTTCCGCTTCCGTACACACAGGACGCTATCGCGGAAGCGGTGTATGCGCTCGACGCGCTTGGAGCTGCTGGCATTGCTCTTTATTCTAACTTTGAGGGCCGCTATCTTGGTGATCCGTCCTTTACGCCCTTCTTCAAGGCGATGAATGCACGTGGTGCAGGCCAGATCATCTATATACACCCTACAACGCCGTACATGCTCGTGAATGGCTCGCTGATCGAAGCAAACCCGACTACATACCCGACCGGCAACATAGAGTTCTACTTTGAAACGGCACGCGTTCTTCAAGATCTCGCAGTCACGCAGACGATCCTCAACTTCACGAACATCAACTACATCATCCCCCACGTCGGTGGTGCATTTCCTTCTGTTGCAGACAGATTGTTGAAGTCGTTCCCAGCGATCTACAACCGCACCATGTCTGCATTACAGGCACGCTTCTTCTGGGATTCCGCGGGTCCGACCTACTTCCACCAGGTTGCTGGCCTTCTCGCGTACGACATACCAAGGACGAATCTCTTGTTTGGCACCGATTTCCCGTATGCGCCAATCTTCACGTATGCGCCGTCTTTGCTAGGTATCGAGACGTCTCCGTTCGTTACTCAGTCTGAACGTTTGGGGATCTTCTTTCGCAACGCGCAACGGCTCTTTCGCAATCGCTTCTCTTTTTAGAATTACCCTACACTGCGCAAGAGAGGGGCAAATCTTACAAGCGAATAGTACCCAGATAGCAAATGCAAGGTGTAGCTGTACCGAGCGGTATTACTGGGGGGGTTTGGTACTACTAAGTACTCGAGTAATATGCCCGTAACTGTTGTTGAGCGTTCTTTTCTTTTTCTTTTTCATTTTCATAGAGCTCTTCTTCTTTGCAGCGCACATCTTCTTCGTGGCGCAGCAGAAAGCTGCTATCTTCGGCAAGAACACTTGCCAGGCTTCTATTTAAGCCGCTCTTGACGGCGCTCTTGTTATCGGCTACATGCCTCGCTTCTGCTCGGTCGCGTACTAGTGCGGCTAGTTCTCTTCGCAGCATGAGGCATGCCATTTTTCCCTCTTTCTAGCCCTTGCGCGTGACAACCATGAACATGGTCGCGAAGGTAAGGGAATGCTCGAAGCAGCAGCACTTCAACTGTGTTGGACAGGTCAGGTCTGCGATGATAGGAGCACGCTCCTCCGTAAGAAGACATACTGGATGACCAGCCTGAGCAAGTTTGTTCATCCGGCGTCCATCTTGACCGTCACGTAAAGATGCGGAGCCTTCGATCTCTTGTTGTCCTGTATATATTCCACTGCCGTCTCCCAAAGCTCCTCCAGTTCACCTTCCTCCAGACAAAGGTCGAAGGCTTCTTTTTCAGACGTGCTCTTGCTCGCTTTGATGAAGAGTGTCATTCTCTGTCGCTCCAAATCACCGTCTCGTTCGCGTCGTACGGCCCATTGATGAAAGGCTTGGTAGAAGGCTTCTCCCGAGGCATCTGGATCGAACGTCATCTTGATTGGTGTGTTGTCCCACAGGCCAGTCACTTGTATTTGGCTGCTCGAAGGCGCTTGAGGCACTTGAAAGGTAGTCGTGTCAGTTGGCTGAGGATGGTCCCTGTGCCTTGAATGAGCAGCCGGGGCAGATGATCCAGCTACAGGCTCACGTTGCGAGTCCCTTGTAGCATGCGTAGAGTCGTATGCCCGCTGGATGTTGGGCGAGGGACGGAATTGTTGGCTCGGGTACGTTTGCGCCGTCGGCATGTGCGGAGGCATTGTTGGGTCAATCTCTTCTACTCTCCCGAAGCCTTGCGCGTAGCGTCCTTGTGGTGGGTGTGCTTCCCGGGCGTCTTTTATCGTGACAGACGTGTCAGCCTTGTTGGGCGCAGACTCGACGGACCGTATTAGACTGACCTGAAGGTGATTCGTGTTCCACGTATTCATCCGATGCCAGTAGCACATCGCTATCGAGCATGTCTGCTGGCACAACGTAGAAAGTGTTCAGACGCGACCTTAACTCATTGCGACGGCGCCACGTTATATTCACGGCTCTCTTTACAGTCACCAACCTCTGCTTACCGGATTGGTGCTGGACCGGTATCAACTCCTCTACTCCCACTTGACTAGCACCAAAACCACGGTCGAACACGACTTGATCTCCAATAAGGTTGTATTTCCCTGGCCCACGTATCGATGTAACTGGCTGGTCTTCGCTTTCGTCATCGCTCATCAGGTAGATTCTTTCCATGCCTGCCGCAGCGGCTAGACTGGATGCGTGCGACTTGACCGACCCTGCGCTGTTCGAAGGGGTGTGCAGAGCATGTCTGCCGTCTGGCATATTCTGTCGGGTCATTCTTTGAGGTAGCGAAGAGCTAGGTCGGCGGATATGTGCTGATGAGGATCCCGGCCGCTGTTCCAATGCGGCATCGTGCCTCGCTGGGGTTGGCTCAGTTTGCCCTATGTACCGCTCGGTCGCTGCCCGGATTCCATCGTCTCGGAGATGGTCCATCAACAGCTCCACCGCCTTGGAAGGGTATTGATCGAGAAGCTTGTGCGCTAAAGTATAGCGATCGCCCATTGCGCGCACTTTGAGGGAACCTCGTCGCAACCAGCCTTGTGTACCCGCGCGGCTTCAGCATGCGCCGGGTAGCGCTAGAGTGAGCGCCTAGCCAATGCAGCGCTCTATCTGGAAGTCATGGTCCTCGAAAGCGTTGGCGAGGGAGAGAATTTGGTAAGGGTCCGTTTCCGTGTAACTGCGATGTACGTTGTGCGCCCGAGTGTTCGCATGAGCCCTGCTGCACGGCAGAAGGATTGAGTGGGGCACATCTCGAGATCGAGCATCATCGGCGCGACAAGACCTGGCAGGGGGTGTCGCGCCTTCCTGTCAGACGCTATGCCCCTCTCAATTCACCGGTAACGACGCGACGAATCGTTTGGAAGGAGCGACAGCCCACGTGACAGCGCGACCCCGCGATGATGCTGATTAACGGCGAATACACTGTCAGAGCCGTCAAAAGCAAGCGTCCAACGTCCAATCCGACTTGAGCCGGGTGGCTTGCGCGGGCTTCATATACAGCGCCATCACCAGCACGCTGGTGCCTGGACCCATTAAGCACCGTAGCTCAATGCTTCCCCCCACTTATCCTTTACATGTTTGACTCCCGCGCTTCGAATTATGAGTAGCTTCTACAGAAGTGATGCAAGCCAATCCAGTCGCTACTTTAAGAGTGAAGCTGTATCGTCGGCATCTGCCATTGGCCGGCTGACAGACACCAAACAAGTGACGCAGCAATCAGCTGTTGTTGGGAATAGAGCTCGCGGCAGTGCACTGCAAATCAATGGGCATGTCGCCGACAGCATCACCAACCTCAACTTGTTAGTATCACTCTACTGCGTTGGAAGCATCTCCTGACCTCTTCTCAGTGAATATATCATCGTCTCCTGTCACTGCGACGTGGTGAAGGCGGTGGTAAGCGCAGGATTGGCTCCTCAACTACCTGCGGCTTTGCGTGTACAGCCTCGTCTCACAGCTCCGGTAGAGCGTTCCACTCATTCCAATACTGTTGAGCCAGCGGAAATTTCGCCTCTACGCAAAGCGAAACGGAACATACCAGTTGTTTCCAAAGCCACTGGTCAGAAGGATACTATCTGCGCCATATTTCCTCGGGGAGTACAAGACAATTTCATATCTCTTGAGGTTGTCGATCGTTTGGGTCTCAGCTCGCATCTTCATCCTACTGCAGTAAGCTCAATCACTTGGGACTCGAAGCGTTTTTCTTCTACTGGCAGCTTCGTGGATCTTCTAATCCCTATGCCAGGCAGCGATAAGAGCGTTGCACGACGTTTCCACATCGTCAGGGATTGCCCTTTCGATATGCTTCTCGGGACGCTTGCACCGAAACCTTCCATTTGTTGATACCTATACTACGTGATTAAAGTCTTTAGGCGTGGAGCATGCCAGCGCTGGCGCAGCGGATGTCGTGTACTTGTTTGTTGAATTTCGATAATCACCTGTAGCGTGCAGGATATACTCGATTAGTACTACATATTCTGATCTTTAGTCAGTAAGCAGGAAAATACACCTTTGACGTTTCGTAATGACCTTACTATAAACTCTACGCATGAAGAATGCCACCCACATACTCCGCAACAGCAAGCATCTTCTCCTCCTGCAGTCTCCGTCCAACAAACTGCAGACTCACATGCGCCCCTTCGTACACCTCCGGGTCATCTGTTTTGGCGTTAGCGCGTCACTTTCTTACAATATTTGTTTCTTTCTCGCGCAACTTACAGTCGTCTTGGATAGTCTTATCCTGCTCGTCAAGCGCTTTGTACCCTTCTTCCTTCGCATCGATCTTCTTGTCCGCATTCGTGACCGGAACAACAACACTCGTGTAGTCCAGAGCATTTACCCACGTCGAGTAGCCATAGTACTTGTACTTCTCCCTCCTTGCAGCAGGGAAGGGCGCAAGAGGGGAAATCACCGCATCCACCGGCCTCCCTGTACCCGTCTTTTCGGCCGTACTGTTCCAATACTCCAGGTACTCCTTCTTCAAGCGGCGCAATTCAACATTGGTAGCAGCAATCTCCGTGGCTGCAAACTCCTTCTCAAGGGATGAATAAAACGAGACTTGCGGGGCCATGGGTTCACCGGACAGGGCAAAAGCGGAACACACGTCTTTTCCGCCGTCATAGATCCAGGAATTGAAGCCAGTGTCGTTGATGATGCGGTGGGATGGTGGTTGCCAATCGATGACTTCGTGACCCGCGCTGCGCAGGGCTTTGACAACCAATTCGATTGCGCGGCGGACGGGTGGCGTGGGGTTTACCACGCCGTCTGTTCTCAGTACGCCAAAGCAGAGTTTCTTTGCGGACTTGATCTCGGTTTCTTGGTCGCCGCGCCAGGGGATCTCGTGGACGAGGGGGTCGTGAAGCCATGGGTTTTGCTGGAGAAGGGCTTGAGTTACAAGGCGTAGAGAGGCTGCGTTGGTTGCAATGGGTCCGACTACGGAAAGAACAGTATTTTGGCCTTCCATTGAGTTCGCCATGCCTTCATATGGGAGGCGACCTGTGGATGGGCGAAGGCCGTAGAGCCCGTTGAAGGCGGCGGGAATGCGGATGGAGCCACCGATGTCAGTACCAAAACCTACTGGTGCTGTGCGAGGTCAGCTTACCCATCCTTGGAACAAAGAAGTATACGCTAGGGGTCGTCTACGCTATCCTGGACGATAGTGAACTTACATCCTCTGATTCCAATCAACGCGCCCTCACCACCCGAGCTACCACCGGCCGTCAAGTTTCTATTCTTCGGGTTGAGCGTATACCCAATGATATTGTTGACTGTTTCGCCACTCATCAACGTATGCGGCACACTGGTCTTGCAATACAAGACAGCACCTGCATTCCGCAACATCTTCACCATTTCACTCTCGAAAACCTTCTCTTTGCCGGTACCTTTCTTACCTTCAAATGTACCGATCCATCCTACGTAGCCCATGCTAGTCTCCACATCCTTGACGTGGAACTGATCTTTGAGGGAGACTGGTACACCATGAAGGGGTCCTATCGTCTTCTTGTGTTTCGCATAGTATTCGTCAAGTGCCTTTGCATCTTGGATGGCGGCATCGAAGAAGATTTCATGTAGACAGTGTAGCTTTACTCGTCAGCAAATGTTGCTCAACTTACGTGGTACCGTAACATACCAGCTGATGCGCCACTGCAGCTCGATGACAGAATGCTCTCGTGACCTCCTCGGCAGTCCACTTCCCCTCGGCCACCGTCTTCGCAATCACATCCGCACTGCTTTCGGTGATTTTGAGCTCCTTTTCATTGAAGTACTGCTTCACATAATCGGTGACATCAGTTTGTTCCTCTACAGACGGCAACTTCTCCAGTCGCCATTTTGATGGTATAGCAGCTAGGATGGCTTCGCGCTTCTGAGTAGCCGTGTCTTCCCACGATGATGTCGTCATGATACCTTGTATCGAATTCGTGGGACGAAAGACTAATTGTTGATTTGCTTGCGAAGAGAAATATATATTCAAAGAGGAGTTTGGCTGCACGCTCGGCGCAAGAGCGGTTCCGGAATGGATATAGACAGCCTCGGGGATAACGTGAGCATTGGCAGGCCTGTGATAGCTTTGGAGCTACACAATGACTGAGTGGGGTAGCTCTCAGACATTTGATCTAAGCACCTTCCATATTAGCATAGCTCCACACTAAGTGACACGACTTCAGGCAAGGCGGATGCAGGGCACTTTTTTGCCGATGTGCATGCCGCAGTACCATGAACAGGAGGGGCAGCTATATCCGGGTGGAGGTTGGAGCGACCATTAGGTCATAGATACGATGTTCCGCCGACTAATCTCCACTTCGGCAATTGGGGTAACTCCAACATGGATGCATACCGCACTTGTGGATGTCTTTTACTCACTGTATCTTGAAACGGTAACTTGTCTTCGCTACGTAGGTATCTGCAAGCAATAGCAACAAGGAGAATTGATAAACGAACTTCAAGCGTGCAAACGTTCAAGAAGAAGACGCCATTCCATGCGTGAAAGCAAGCGAGCTGCTGAATGCTGACCGCTCAAATAGGACTTGGACATGTTCGCTAGAATAAAAATAAGCAAGGTATACCAGTCTATGCGGTCAGAATTTGTGGTATCTTTCGATGGAACTGTATCGGCCAAGAGAATTCGTTATGGATATCGTATACACGCTGAGGGTGAAAGACCCTAGACAGTCTCGACGTAGTTGCTATGATAAGTCAGTAGCGTTCCTTCATCTCAGCACAAATGCCACGTACCTTGGGAAGATGCCTTCTCTGCCTCCGACTCTGCCTGTCCACCAGTCTGTCTCATTGTCCGTCCTCTTCAGAATGGTGATGATCTCGCCCTTCTTGAAGCCCAGATCGCCCGGTTGATCCGCATCAAAGGTGAACTTGGCTATTGCCTGGTCGGATTGTAGCCCCGCTTTCTTCTGGCCTGTTGTCTGTCCAAACACTGGCTTTGGCGCTGTTGGTCGGCCGGGCTTGCGGTCGCTGTACGAGTAGTCATCGCCAAAAGTGGAAGCGCGGTTCCGGTTGTCCATTCGGTCGAATGTCTCATTGGGGTTCGCGCGCGTAGAGAATGATCGGCCGAGGGGTGCTGAGGATGGCTGACGGTCGTATACGTCGTCTTCCCAAGCAGATGAGCGCTGAGGTTGGTCTCTGTATTCGTAGTCATTGCCCCCCTGACCCATGGAGCCTGTGCGGTCTCTGCGCACACCCTCACCCATTGCAGAGCCCTGGCGTCCCTGCCATACCACGTTGTCGCGCGAGTCGTCGTAGACGGGGATGTCGTTGTACATCGCATCGTTGGTCACATTCTGGGCTCCTCCCACACCAGCAAAAACTCTCGAGTTTAGTACCGACAGGAGCGGTGCGGCGGCTGGTGGTGGGGGAACTTGTCCGCTGAGGATCTCGCGAGCAGTCCATCGGCGGCCGTACAGCTTCTCGTTGGCATCTCTCCGCTCGATGATACCGCTTCCCTCCAAACTGACACCCGCAAAAAGTCCCTTCGTCTTGCTGTAGCTGAAAATACCGGCTACACCCTTCAAACTCGCCGCGCCGGCAGCCTCGGCATTGCGACCGACTGGCCCCGCTGCAATGGAGACATTGCCGCCCAGTGTCAACGATCCGGCCTGGGCAAATGTACGCACTGCCGATGCATCGTTCAGGATGAAAACGAAGTCGGTGAGCTCGAAGCCAATCTGTCCGCCGAAGCCGCCGCCGATGGTTCCGATGGCTGTTGGTGCCGACCACGATCCGTCCGCGAGACGAGCGACGACGACACCTGAGCCGAATCGCGCTGTGCCGAGGAAGCCAGCTTTGAATACTGTGAGAATCGCTAGACCCTAAGAGTTGTGTCAGCATCCTGTACAGTGAGCTTTCTTGGGCAGCTCCAACAAGCGCCGCCGGATGCACAGGAACTCTCTTACCTTTGCATTGGCGAGAATATTCGGAGGAATAATCTTGTCAGGTCCAAAAGACTGTCTGGGGTCTACGAAGGATGCTAGAATCTTTCCTGTCTTGCGACATTCGCCTATGGCGACCAGCTGTCAGCGACGTCACCGGACCGCAAGCGGCGCATGAACAAAGTGGGCTGTTTGCAACTTACTGCTCATGGAAGATGGCAGGGGGTTGTTGAGACTGAAACCCATCTTGGCGCGTGTGTGGAGAGAGAGTATCAGATGGTTGGAGTATATAGGAACGGGTTGCGGAGAAAAAGAGCGCGGCTGCGTTGCTTATGCTACCGATGGAAGGAAGCATGGCGGGCGGGCTCCAGCGGGAACTATGTCATTTGCTGTGGCTGTGCCTCGCACACGACGCGTCCGCGCTTGGCTTGCCATGGCCTTGAACCTTCCACAACATTCACACATGTCGTTGCATCGCCACAGGTTGCGAGGGTGCGTCCGACTGCGCAGCGAGTCATCAAGTCGTCTTGTCTCATGCCGCAACTGTAGAGATCGGTTTGCTATCTTCGCGAGATGCATTCACTCCTAGTCCAACTCCGAGCGCTCGATTGCGATTCCTTGGGCGTTGCCACCTCTCAGGTCATATTAACAGCCCAACTCATAGATCATCCGCGTACACGTATACAATGTGGCACGCTGAGCGTACTGCGCCACACGCCCTCTCAGATCGCATCCATGGAAGGTTTGTCGCCTTCAATCAGATATCCCGCGTCCACCAAACTTGTCATCACAGTCGCATTGGCCCTGTTTGGTATCATGTGGAGAAGGGGGTGGGCCTGCGATGTGTTCATGTTCACACGCGAGCTATCGCGTAAGCTAAGTGGGTACCATACATGAGATGTGGGGATGAAGCAGAACACATAGAGTCGAATTCCATGGGCAGGCAACACTGTCCTTGAATTCTTCCCAATAGTGGTTTGTTACAAACGACTCAAGATTCCAAGAGAATGGTGAGGACAATCGCCAAAAGTAGACACAGAACGAACGAAGATAACTTCAGAGCATTCGCACGCGAGCGAAAGGTACTAATTTCTTCACAGAAGCACTGCAGCGCATTAAATCACATGCCTCGTTCTTATACAAAACCTGATGTTGCTAACCTGCTCACCTCCGGTTCGCCCAAAAGAGCCACTTGGCAGATATCGCATTACAAATGAGGAGCTCGAAGCGCATGTCAGCACTGCATACTTACGCCCTGGCGTTTCTCTCCGCGCCCTTCATCTCTACCATATGACATATGTGGTTAATCGCGATGTTGTCGCCCTCATATATAAACAGAGACTCTCTGCACGGCACAGGAGGGCCAGCGCAAAATGTCGACAACACAGACCATCGTCCCTCTTCGCGACCTTTCTTCCCATGCGAATTTTCAAACACATCTCAACACGGATGGAACACCGTCCACCAACCCACAATCAGACGACTCCACTGGTCTTGAACCCCCACCCGATGCAGTAGAGGCTATACCCGATGGAGGCTACGGCTGGACAGTTGTAGCCTCATGCTCCTTCCTCCTCTTCTGGATCAACGGCTATACAACAGCTTGGGGTGTCCTCCAAACCGCTATCTTAAAATCGCCTTCCCTGAACACCAATGTGCGTACCGTCACCTTCGTTGGCAGCCTGTACATGGCTTGCATGGTCGCATTTGGCATCGCGTCGATAAGAATTATGAGATCTTTTGGCGTGCGGTATACGGGTCTTGCTGCCACGACAGTGTTTGGGATGGGGTTGATTGCTACAAGTTTTACACTGGATCATCTGGGTGGATTATTCTGTATTGCGGGGTTGTTGGTGGGCGTTGGAACGAGTCTGTTGTATACTGCAACGAATAGTCTGCCGTTGCAGTGGTTCAGCTCGAAACTGGGTACGGCGAATGGTGTCGTCAAGGCTGGTGGTGGTGTAGGCGCAACGGTGCTACCACTTGCTGCACAGGCGCTCATCGACAAGTTTGGACTGGAATGGACGTTCCGTATCCTGGGCATCCTGATCATGGTCACTGGCATACCATGCACTCTGGCGTTGAAGGAACGCGCGACCACGGGCACGCTCTCACGATTCGACTGGTCACTGTTAAAGAACGTTCCCTTCCTCACGCTGACCATGGCCGGTGCCGTTGGTGTCTTTGCTCTCTTCGTACCACCCTTCTTCCTGCCACTGTTTGCGAGTTCGATTGGTCTTTCAGCGTCAACTGGTGCAGGCTTGGTGGGTGGGTTCGGTGCTGCAACAGCTGTAGGTCGTATCCTGGGCGGATGGACATGCGACAAGATCGGCACATTCAACACCTTGATGATCACTTGCTTGGTCAACTCGGTGAGCATGCTAGCCATCTGGCCAGTAAGCACATCATTGCCACCTCTCTTCGTCTTCTCTCTCGTCAATGGATGCGCGAACGGAAGCTTCTTTGTCAGTCTGCCAACTGCTGTGGCTACAGTTGCTCCACACTCTGCAGCGGCGTCAATTGCTCTGATGGTCTTCTTCTGGACTCCAGGCTATTTGCTAGGGGCTCCTCTTGCTGGGCTGTTGATCGAAGCGACAGGTGCGGCAGACGCTTCGTCGATTGAACCATATCGGGCTGCTATCTTTTACGCTGCCGGAACGGGTGTATTGGCTACGCTTCTTATCGTTGTCGCACGACTGCGATTGGACACCAAGATGCTGAAGAGGTTGTAATGGCGAGCGTTCACATTGTGCAAATATAACTGCAGGTAGCATGATATTAATGTCCAACTCCAAGGCAAATGCCGAAAAAGCTATTTTCCTGGATCGATACTGTACAGCTCCTGCAACATTTGCCCTTTTGCATCTTCAGAAGTCCAGCACATCTTTATGGCATTCTCTGTCAACCTTTGAATCTCCACGTTCGTGAAGCTGCAGTATCTCTTTACCACGAGCAAGTTTTCCAGCACCCATGTATCCTCCATAAACGCTGGGTCGTCGCTCGCGATAGAGATCATGATACCAGCGTCGAAGAGAGCTCGAATGCGTTCGAACACCTCATCCAATGGTTGGTGACGAATATACGACCAAGGGCATATTGTCATGCCGAGGTTCTTTTCTTTGATAAGACCCATGAGAATTGCATCTCCAGCAGCATTTAGTCCATGGTCAATTCTGTCGGCACCTGTACCTGCGATGCTCGACGCCACCTGATGGATATGTTCGAGAGGATAAGGCTTGCCAACGTCGCAGTGCGCCGTAAGACGAAAACCATCATTCCTTGCTCGAACGAAGACTTCATCAAATAGTGATGGTGGTCTATCGACTTCGTTCGAGTCGAGGCCAATCCCCACTATCATATCGCGGTATTTCAGTGCCGCGTCATAGTGTTCCATTGCGGACTCTGGTGATTCGTCCCGGAGGAAGCACATGATCCAAGCAGATTTCACCTACAGTGCGTTGTGAGCAAAGACGTTGGCGGAGGAAGATAATGGGCTCACGTTGAGGTCCTGTTCAGCTTTCCGCTGCGCTTCTCGAAAGCCCTCCATCATCATCTCCCAACTCGTCCCAACGCGCGTATGTCCCTGAGGATCAAAGAAAATCTCGGCATATCGCACCTTCGTCGCCGCGGCATGTTCATAGTAATCCATAGCAAGATCGTAGTAATCCTGCTGTGTTTTGAGAACCTCAAAGCCACCGTAATAGGCCTCGAAAAAGGACAGAGTCTCTTCATTGTTGTCCATGCGGTTCCCCGTACGCGGCTTCAACGTGTCGTGAGAGTCTCGTAACTCAGCAAGTGAACGGAATGGTTGATTGGTTCGAGGATTCATGATTGTTTGGCCATTTCGTTGTGAGAACTTCCATTTTAAGTCTGCACTTATGATTCCTTCTATGTGGACATGGAGTTCGACTTTCGGAATTGCTTCAATGTATGCATTTTTTGTAGCTGCAATGAAGCGCCTAAGCTCTCCTCGTCCTGCTACGGATAGCGCATTCTCTACGTCTGTCATGGTAGTCGCGGAGTGGTATCTGTGGAAGTGAATTCGCGAGTGCAGCTAACAAATCAGAGTCAAATAGGACAATGGTACTGGTTTAAGCTTTCAAAGCCTACAATAGTGCTAGCAATATATACCTAGGTATGAAGGGTGGCCTGATGACTGTGTAAATATCTGGTGACTCAGCGCCAGACCCTGCGGCTGATCATTATGCCGATCGACCGAGGGGGTAGGTTAAGAACACAACAACAAAAACCACGTTGACTTTTAAGTTTCATGCAGAATGGCAGATATAGGACTCGACTTGAGACATCTAACGCCCAGTTAGCACTTCAGCAGGAGCAGATAAGGTGCATATAGAGTGAAGTGTCAGGAGGCCAAACAACAGCAGGAAGATATGGTAGTCACTACGGTGTATGCGAGAAAGGCTTGAGATACTTTTGATGGGTCGTATTAATTAATTAACTATGAACAGTGGCAGAGTCTAAAATACCGCAAGTTCAAAAGCCCACAAACTTCATGGCCTACAAAGCCCAAGCAACAGCTCCGAACACAATCGCCATAACACCACCGGCGACGTTGTCAATAGACGCAGCACCAGTGAACTCCACTGAACCAGTGGAAGTGGTAGTCGCGTTACCAGTAGGCCTAGCAGCGCCAGTTCCAGTCGGCTGCATCGACAAAGTGGAGTTGGAGTGCATCATGCTGGATGGCTGAACGGGCATGGCGCTGGATGGCTGAACAGGCATGGCGCTGGATGGCAAGAAACCTCTGCAAAGTCCGCCGTTGCACACGTTGTAAGCGCACTGCGCATCACTCGAGCACTCCGCGTTGAAATTACCGCAGCGAGCAATCAACATGGCATTGCTGGCCCAGCACTGCACACCATTGGCACATTGATCCGGGTTAACGTACGGGTTGCACTCGGCGCCGAGGGGCAGAGATCCAGCAGGGGCGACGATGGTTGATGAGGGAGCAGGCATTGGGCCGGGCGCAGTGGGTGTGGTGGTGATCGTTGCTGACGCCGAGGACGACGCGGCCGAGGAGGGAGCGATGAAGCCGTTGCAGAGACCTTGCTCGAGGTTACAGGTGTTGAACGCGCACTGTTGGTCGTTTCTGCATGAGGCCTGGAAGTTACCGCAGACGGTCTGGAGCATTGAGTTTGTTGCGTAGCAGTTGGCACCAAGGGCGCATGGTGTGCCGTTTGGATCGCAGTTCTCGCCAACAGGAATGAGAGCGCCTGTGGGAGATGCGCTGGCAGGAGAGGAAGTGGATTGCGCTGAAGCGAGTGAGGCAGCTGCGGCCAGAGTAAAGATGGTGTAACGCATTGTTGCTGATGTGGTATTGCTTTGCGATCGAGGGTATATTGAGATGCTGGAATATGCAGAAGCGAGTGCAGAAGCGAGTGTTGTGATAATTTGGTAGTGAATTGGAGATAAAAACAATGTGAACGTGGGCGAGCTGGCTATATACCTGCGATTCTCGTGTTGCTATGAAGTTTAAGCTGTGGTACCTCAAGCTGATAGTTCAGCTAGTCCTAGCAGTTCAGCTAGCACCTAGCGCTCGTATCCAGCCTCCCGATTCGCCACATGATGCCGGTTACACGGACGCTTCGCGAATGACGATGTTCAAGTGGCCGAAGCCACCTCCGCATACAGGATCCACGTCTGTGCGGCAAGACTGGACATGGATATTTTTAGGATTTTAGTATAGCGTCTCGGAGTGGCGCCGATATAAGCCGCGTGGCACCGATCGAATATTGCATCGCAGATCCGTCACCTTTGCTTGGAAGCATTCAATATCCTCTTGTTCTCGACGTCGCAATACTGGTATATCTTACGCATGGGTAATCTTGTGTTCTGGTAATTCTTGAGCGTCACGTTCCGTCTTGTAAGGCGCAATGGGGTGGAAGAGATAAGACTCGGAGAGCTCGTTACTTACACGGACCACGAATTCGCGGAGTTTATTTTCTTGGTCGATCATCCCAAGTCTTGGGTGCTTTTTCCCAGCCTTCTTCCCTGAACACTAAGCATCTTGGGCTTCCATCATCGTCAGTCCATGCCCTGAACATGCCTCCGCAATTGAAATCTTGTACAACGTTTACCTTGCTGTCGACAAGCTCTATACCGATGATACCGCCGGTGCCTTCATGGGTTGCGCCCCAACGGTTCCCGGCAGATCGCTGAAGCTCACCATTAGGTCCCGCCATCCACGTCGTTGCGTCTGAAAGTGATGATGCAGAGAATCGCGACCTGGCAGCTGTGGTGCGAGCTGCACACATGCGAAGAAACGAGTCGCCATTGCCGGTTCCTGAGAGACCTACAACGTGACGCGTTGACACGGACTTCGCGTATGGTTGGATGGACAATGATGCAGTTTCTCGTACCGTACGCGATCCGAGCGATAGTATACAGTCGCCTACTACACCGCGTATATCGCCTCTTGATAGTTTGTCGATCGGCGCGGCAGCAGAAGTAGACGGCTGGTACAACATCTGCGGTCTAACGGCCTTCTCGTCGTACCACTCTTCAGCCCAAAATCCTGCTCCGATCGTCGGCGTATCTCCAATACGCCCCGGAACTTTATTCGTCAACCCACCCGTCGATGTTGCCGTGCAGATGGTGCCAAAGCTGTCCACAACCACTGCCCCACAAGTTCCAAGCGGGATGTAGTTGTCTCTCTCCCAATCAGTCAGCACATCTATGCTTATATCTAAGTCTGCTTTTTTCTTTTCCTCGTCAAGGCCGCGCTGATGCTCGTCCCACCTTTTTTGAGTGAAGTAGTAGCTTGGGTCCACGATATCGAGTCCCCATCCCTTCGCGAGTCCCTCGACAAACTCTCCGCTGTATTGGCAATGGTCGGCTGCCCCACCACCATCTGCTTCCTCGCCTTTGATAAGCAATTCTCTTGCTAGCTTGATAGGATTTTTGACATGTCTGAGCAGCATACATCCAACACCCCGTTTCTTGTACCCGTTCGAAACCATAATACTGGATTCGAGTTCGTTCTTGCCCTCGCGAGTGAAGACTGCTCCTTTCCCGGAGTTGTACAGTGGGTCATCTTCCAAAAGGGTCACGGCGTAGGTCGCTACGTCCAATGCTGTTGAGCCCGGTTTGCAGAGAAGTTCATTCGCCTTGTCCAGCATGCTGAGAAGCGAGGTGCGATATTCGTCGTAGCGGTCACGAGGGATGGATGTACGCGTTATGTTGCCTGCGCCGCCGTGGATGATGATGCGAGGTCTGACATACGGACTGGCGCATGTGGATACGACGGGCGTTTCGGGCATCGTGGGTAGATTGTTCGTCTTGTATCTGTCTAACTTTGCTTCCTATGTAACGTTGACGGTAAGGGTGGCGCATTTCGACGCTTCGAGATTGCGCCATATTAAAGGCGGTTAGGCAACCATTTCCCCACCTTCCTCTTCCCGCGGTCTATGGGCCTCACTCTCTTTACTTACTTCTGATTATAATCGCGATACCCCTCGTCCTAGAGATTTTTGAAAACCATGCAATGATTCCTTCACATTCACGAGTGGTATAGATACCGTCAGTCGTGCCTGCTCTCAACGGCCGTCGAGAATACGCGGGCTGGAACGTTGGTCAAGTTTCCCGCATACACAGCGCTGAACAAGATTCGCCCGCAACGATGCGACTGCTCAATACCACCACTCTGGAAGTGGAGGAATTTCTGCAAAGTCAAGTGCCGGAGTATGTTATCCTCTCGCATACTTGGAGGGAAGAAGAGGTGACTACAAGACTTGCTGTTGGGAGTAATGCCATCGAAGAAAGGGTTCGCAAAGCTCACGGGCTGTTATGAGAAAGCAAAAAACGATGGTTTCCGCTACTGCTGGATCTACACGTGTTGCATCGACAAAACGTCAAGTGCTGAGCTATCGGAAGCGATTAACTCGATGTACCAATGGTACAAGGATGCACACATCTGTTATGCTTACCTAGAGGACTTGCATGGAGATCCAAAGCTAGACAACTATGAAGCCTTCAGCAAGTCTCGGTGGTTCACACGGGGATGGACCCTGCAGGAGCTTATTGCGCCGCAAGTTGTGGAGTTCTATGATGCATTTTGGGTGAACATTGGGACACGTAGTAGCCTCCAAGAACGATTAACGCACATCACGGGAATCAACGAACGAATACTCGCTGGCGGAGACCCTCTCGAGTCATCTGTGGCTGTGAGAATGTCCTGGGCTGCACGCCGGGAGACTAGCCGCTTGGAGGACGAGGCCTACTGCCTTCTGGGTATCTTTGGTGTAAACATGCCACTTCTTTACGGCGAAGGCAAACGCGCATTTCTGCGACTCCAGGAGGAGATATTGCATGTTGATGAGGACTACACTTTGTTCGCATGGACCCAAGAATCCCAAAACAAGAGCCTTCTAGCCAGTTCGCTGCGGGATTTCCAAACATTTACGCCCTAGCTTGATCCGGCATGCAATGATCCAGCAGATATCACAAAGATCGATCTACGTGAAGACCTGTCAAAAAATTGTTTCTCATTATATCCTCCTCCAAGCGATCGCATGCCTCCACAGCTGACTAGTCGAGGCCTCTATCTTACTTTGCCGCTCCGCAATCATGAGGATGGACTATGGCATGCTCTTCTTTCAATCATGTGCTTCTCACGAGGCGACACATCCCTCCTCTTGTGTGCTACGCTTAATCACATAAGTAGTGATCAGAATAAGTACGTGAAGGAGTCTTCCTTCCCCGACGCACTAGTATTTCTTCCTAGGAGTATCGAAGACGATTTCCACTACACGTCTTTCTATGTCGACAGGCCGACGCATAATGGCCTGGATCTGCTCACCCCCAAACCCGAAGATCTCTCTCCTCCAACACTGGAACTTAAGCTAGACCCAGCTTTGATACCCGAACTCACATGCATTGCTTCCAATATGGTTCACATGCGATCTTTTGGCCAACAGTATCTCGGAGACAAATTCCCCTTCACTGAACAGTCTTTTCCAAACGTCACTGTGACGAGCATAGGTGACCTGCCACCTTGGAAAGCTATGCCATCGTCAGGTGTTCAAGCAATAACGCATTGCTTGCGTTTGGAAGATAGAGACCCCACGCGGGTGTTGGTCGATCACCCAGAACTGTGTTATACTCCAGCTTTTCGGAATCGTGACAACAAGTTTCAATTCAAATTTGGTCGTAGCGGTGGTGTAGACCTCATGCTCGATGTTGGCATACGGGACAAGCTTTGGGTCTCACCTAAGCTTATCTCCGTGATAGATACCGATTCCAGGGACCCATACTTATGTGTGACAAATCAATACAACCAGGTGGATCGGGCGATCATATATACGAAATTTCTGACAGAAGGCGAACATCACGTATGGAATATCAAGATAAGCATACCGTCCGCAGGTGCAATAACCACCACGCCCAATTCACAGCACTTCGTGCTTACTTTTACTAGAGTGCCCAAGTCCGAATGAGCGGCTATGTATCAGCTGGTGCAGTAAAATCACTGTGCGATTGAAAAGAGTTGCGCATGTAGCTGGCCAGATACTCTCAATTGGATGAGATAGCGTCTAGCCAAATGCAGTTCGGCGTGCATCTACTTGACTTCCTCTTCACACAACCTATGGGCTCTTCTCACTTTTCTAAACACACTGAAGATAATCAACCGCAGATATGTGGCTACCCCATACCTCCATGATAGAGGTACATGAGTTTCTCCAAAGTCAAGTGCCGGAGTGGATCATCCTATCGCATAAGCAGCTCGCCTAGAACCTATGGTACCTCTTGTAAACATTGAATAAAACGATCTTGTACCTGTGCGAAAGCTCTCTAAGCGTGCACTTTTACGTAGAATTGAGGCGTTCTCTAGCTACTAAGACACTCGCTAATTAGACTTTGGCCTATCACAGATGAACTAACTCGTACAGTGTTTTACGTGATAATAAGCGCAGAATGAATACGAAATATCGCCGAGCTTTTCTAAGTAAGTTCTCCAAAGCACCAACGTAGTAAAGCTCGGCGATCGAACCTGGCAAGCCCCGTTCAATTCCCATCTTCTTTATAGCGTCGAGGTACTTCAATAATGGTCCTCCTCGTCCCATTCCACCGCTTCCCGAGCTACCACATCTGCTTTGGCATGTGCTTGAAGCTGTATGTTGAATGGTGTAACTGTTGGCCCGAATCCCTTCTCACTCGTTTACACTTTGTCTGTTACAGTCCAAAGTGCCTATTCCTGGGGATGGGTAGGGCGACAACACCAGTTCGAGCAAACGTGTCAGGCGACTATGTATAACGTCTGCACCTTCACTTATTTCTGGTAGCAACAAACTTCATCAAACCTACCCACTATCCAAGTCTTCTCGCACATGCATCGTGTATACCATAAAGCTATCCTCGTCGTCCTAGGTAACACTGGTAACCAAGGAGGGTCATTCATTACGCACTTTCTGTCGCTGAGGGCACCTCCATACGCACTTCGTGATGTCATTCAGGACGTAACGTCTTCGAAAGCTGCATCCCTGTCAGGACGCGGAGTTGAGTTGGGCACATGGAACTACAATGAGCCCGCCTCACTCGACGCTGTATTCAAAGGTGCATCTGCCATCTTCAGCGTGACGAAGTACTGGCTTCTCTACGGAACCCTCATGTCGCAACAGCAATCTTCTACAAACGTTCAAAGCAAGATGCTTCTTGTTAGGGATAAGGAAATCCAGCAGAACAAGAATATCGTCGATGCCGCTGCCAAAATTGAGACTCTGAAAAGATTTATCTTTTCTAGCTTGCCTGACACCGAAAAGCTTGGTGGAAGAAAGGACTCATACGTCCACCAATTCGACGGAAATGCTATTGCTGAGGAGTATGGCAAAGCGACTTATCCGGAGCTTTGAAAGTAGACGAGTGCATTTCATGTGAACTGGCCTCATTAGTGGGTATTAACCTTTTCACTCCTATTTTTAGAGAATACATGGGTAATGTCCCTACAAAGTAACTGTTTCTACCTCCCGTAGAAGGCACATTAGCAATCACATGAGCAGTTCATCAACACTACTAATATTCGCAGTTGTTGCATGCAACTGCAACTGTCTCATATCAGAGCACAATAATGCCTGAGTAGATACAAGTGATCTTGCCCAACACTACTGTGTCAATGTATTCCCATCAACATGACCAAGCCCTGCATCCGCTCCCAATCTCTTCACCTCCACTTCCTCCTTCTGCTCTCTCGCCTTCTGCACCTCACCCGCCGGTCCGTCGTACCCAATAGCCTTCAGCCATTCCGGATCAATGTTCTCCAGTTGCAGGTATGGGCTGACATCAGCCTCTGGAAACTGCTTGTTACGCTTCGCATATCCCATACCCAGATGCGCCCAAGGGTTCTTATGCAGGTACTCAATATCAAAGTCCTCGTATCGCGGAGTCTCGATAACTTCGGCATATTGATTTGATGAGCCTGGCCAGACAGCATTAACGCGTCCGGTGTCATTGTTCTTATACCAGGATCTACAATCATCTTTCCAGACGGTGTGCTTGATCCACTCTTGCGCATGTTCGTTGAACTGATCTGTGATGTCTTGTCGCGGAACCCAGGATTTGATATGGTCGCGTTGCATCTTCTTGATGATTTGAATTGTATATTCGGCGACTGCCAGCAGTGGACCGGTGACTGAACCGTTTTCTACAGGCCAGGTTGGTCCGATGAACATCAGCCAATTCGGCATATCAGGACATGCGAGACCAAGGTAGCCTTCAGGTTCGTTCTTCCACTTTTCGTAGAGGTCTACGCCATTTTTACCGATGATGGGGAAGCGGGGGCGATACGTTACGTCGAATCCGGTCGCGCAAACGATGGTGTCAACTTCGCGCTCGATGCCGTCTGCACCAACAACGCCCTTTTCAGTGATCTCGTTGACGGCTGTGAAGTGAACGTTGACGTTTGGCTCCTGGACAGCCTTCATGTACGGGTCGCCTGGGGTTATACGACGGCCTGTAGCCGATTAGTGAGCGGTTTTATTGAAAACGGATGCGACTCACAGCCAACTTCAAACTTCGGGGTGAAGCCTTTCAAGAGTCGCTCATCCTTGAGGAACTCCTTCATTCTTTCTCTAAACAGGGCTTGTGCACCCTTTTGCGATTCACTTCCAGCATAGAACGCTCCCCAAAGTCCGTTGACCTGGTTCTCAATATCTTTAGCATGTGCGACTAGCTTCCTCGGGTCCTTCCGGAACTCATCGCGTTCTTCTTGCGAGTACTCCTTGTTCTGGCCAAAGTTGTTCGCAATCTGGACGAACCACACCCCGGTTCGAACAAAGATATCCATGTGCTTTACGTGCGGCTGCATGTTGGGCACGGTTTGAATGGAAGAAGCGCCAGATCCGATAACAGCTACACGGTCGTTCTTCCATTGCTCGCTTTGGTAATCCTTCGGCCATGTTGCTGTGTGAACGATGCGACCTTTGAAACTGTTCATACCTTTGATGCCAGGCCATTTGTAGTTATTCAGAATACCTGAAGCGTAGAGAAGAAGATCGCATTCCTCTTGGAACTCTCTTTCTTCACCAGATGAGGTCTTTTGGCAGAGGGTGACCTTCCACTTACCCACGTCGTCTTGCCACTCGGCTCTGATAGCTTCGGTATTGAATGTCATATACTTGCGCAAATCGAACACATCGCAGACCTTTTCGAGATACTTTTGTATGTCGGGAGCATACGAAAAGAAACGAGGCCAGTCTGGGTTGAGAGCAAAGTTGAGAGTGTAGGCATGCGACGGGATGTCGCAAGCACATCCTGTAGCCTTTTAGCACAATGCCTGCCATTTTTGCTGCACATTCCTACCTGGGTATCTGTTTTCGAGCCATGTGCCTCCTAGGTTGGCATTCTTCTCATAGATAACATGCTCGACGTTCTGTGTGTTCTTCTGAATCTGGTATGCCATCTGAATACCCGACAAGCCAGCCCCGATGGTCAAGATCTTGAGTTTTCGAGATGAAGGATCCTTGAAGATCATTAGTCTAGACACTAAGCGTTGAATACATTTTGACGTACATCGTAGACGATGTCTGGGATGTCATAGCCGCCAGATCCTGGGGTAGAATAGTCCCACCGCTTGCCGCTTTCTAGTGTATTGAGATCCGGTGCCATGGGAGGAGTTGTCGTAGGAAGAAGTCTTGATCAGGTGCGGTGAAGCTGTGAATGCCCTTTGCAATACGACACAGCCTGACTTATATGAAAAGTCAATAGATTGATAAGAAGATGTATTCCTAGTCCATGTGACCAGCTTCGCTAGACTTGCTTACCCGTATTAGCTAAGAGATTTTCCTATATCATTGGATGTCGCGCGTCGGGTATCGGGTGTAAGGGTGTATGAGTCGCCGATGATGACAACCCCGTGAGACTTCAAATAGGCTACACGGAGCACCAATAAGCAGGATGTCATATAATTGGGTGTACAATGACAGCTGTAGCATTGGAGTCCCACTAATACTTGGTCAGATACTGTGCGGGGTTGTTGCGGGGTACACCCACTCAAGCGGTTGTGAGGTTGTCGCTAAACGAAACCGTTCGTCTAGTCCACATCTAGAGTGACCGCCGTTCTATTGTTACTCTACCATCTTCGCATGCGTATAACTCTTGGAGACATGACCAGGAAGGACATAGAGTTGTGCTGCGATCTGGATAGTGGATCAGCGAAATCCAAAAAAAATATATCCGAACTGGATGCGTCCATATAAACTGTCAATGCGCGTTGGCACGACGCTATACATCATATTTCATATCACTGTTCGATCTGTGAAGCTATGATGAACAGACATGGGATCAATCCTAGAGCGGCTCGAATATTGGTCGCTTCCTGGCGCATCGCCAAGTCAATTCTTTTGCGTACAGCACGACGTCTATCAGCACGGCATAGTCAGACGATGGTGTAAAACCCGAATAGTGATAGCACAGTTGCTATGCCAAGGAAACCTTCAATTGTTTTTGAAAGTTGCGGCGCGATGATAAAGCGCGAACGCTGTGTATCGACGGGAATAGGGGAGGACGGCTGTTGTCTTTTGGCAAAGGTGGTTGCCTGACCGTGTGAGACGGCTATGCACTTGTCAGCGTGTTACGCCCTATGTGACATCATCGCAGACACGACACCTCAATCCTCCGTAAATCCGATAGTGACATAGAACCGGGAGAGACAAAGCTGTTCAGGACGTTGCCTATCAGAAAATACCTTGCCAACATCAATAGATACTTCCCAGACTTAACAGGTGATGTTCCTACAACCCAGGCGATACAACATACGCGAGGAGAGTTGCTACTGTAAGCGACAGCGTAAGGTTCAAGTACGCTAGACTAACAGTGTACCAGTGCCATCCAGAAAAGACAAGACATAGTTGCGTGGATACGCGTGAACAGAAAAATGATCAAAGAAGCGGTCGATAAAGCCGATCAAGATGTCAGCTACGACGAATGCTACAGACCAGTGCGCAAAGTTCTGCGCTAGAGCTCCGCCTTGTCCCGGGCTTACAATATAGCGACGAAGTATGAATCATGTGCTTCCTTGTTTCGCATATCGATAACGAATGCGATAGAGATTTGAGTTCTGTAGTCCACGACTACGGCGCGATACCTTGCCGGAAGCTTGTTTCTAATATCATGCATTATTTACCCACCGAAATGAGAATATTTAGCATGGAATATCTGACTTTGGAAAGCAAACCGATAGAACCAGGAAAACGCCCTAGTCGCTATCATCTCAATAGAGACATCATTCGCGATGCTTTACAGAACACGTTCACAGGGAGCGAAAACAAACACCATTTCGACTGGAAATACACGGGATATATGACGCCTGATATAGCTGCGACCTGGTTCCAGACTACTATATTACACTTTGACGACTCCTTGGCCTTGGATCTTTACTTTCGGGATATCTGGCTTGGCTGTCAAAGCTTGCCTAGTACAGTACCAGCGGACCACTTGCGACACATGACAGTGGAATTGCGGGGTGATATGAGAGACTACAACCGCAAGAAACAATAATGTACAGGTTATCCGGTACCTTCACTTTCAAAGTCAGTTCGTCCGACTGCAGTATTTCGTGAACACCTTGAGTTCATTCTCAAGATGAAGCGACTTTACGGATTTTCAATACATATTATGATCGCGACTCAGCACTAGCGACAGGACTCGCCACAGCTTGCGGAGATCCTGGATGCGGTGAGGCCCACTCGGGGTCGTCTGATAGCGGCTGGAGTGAGGGTTCGGTTCACTTGCAGGGATGCTCGTACTCTATGTCGCCCAGGAAACTTATATGGATATTTTGAAGTAAATGAACGGGACTGGGCTATGACGGCTGCGGCTTCGCAAGTTCCATAGCAGCAACTCGTCTGACACGAGCTCATTCTCGTCTGTGAATCACTATCGTCCTAGTCCAATGAGACCCTCCACTTTCTGTGCAATCTTTCCAAACGCCATCGCTCGCTCCCCATCTGGCTCTGCTACTACGGTGGGTTTCCCACGATCAGCGTCATCACTAATACTAGCATGTAACGGAATCTCGCCCAGCATGTTCAAGTCGTATTTCCCACACATGGCTCTGATCTTCTTCATATTGCCAAACACTTCATGCACATCTCCACAACCCGGACATTTGAAGCCAGCCATGTTGCACACGAGGCCCAGGAGCTTCACATCGACCTTACGGAAAAGCTCGACGCCCTTCACAGCGTCTTTGAGTGACAGATCCTGGGGTGTAGATACGATGATGGCGCCGTCTAGGATGAGCTGTTGGGTGATAGTGAGCTGGACATCGCCTGTGCCCGGCGGCATATCGAGGACTAGGACGTCCAGGCCTCCCCACTCCACTTCGTGCAGTAGTTGCTGCAGGGCTTTCATTACCATGAGGCCTCTCCATGCTACGGGTGACGACTCTGGGATAAGATAGCCCATGGACATGGATTTCAGGCCGTAGTTGGATAAGGGTAATAACTGATTGTCTGGACTAATGGTTAGAGGTGGCTTGCAGGATGGACTGTTTCACGGACTAACTGGCTGAAAGTCGAGGTTCACCAGATAGATTGAGTAAGGTTGGTATCGATGGGCCAAAGATATCGGTGTCAAGAATGCCAGCTTTATAACCACGGCGTGCGAAGCTCAACGCGAGATTCACTGCGTCATAGTCTTAGTGTTTTGTTGGCTGAGTCTTCAACGGCGGAGCATACCAGCAATGGTACTTTTTCCAACGCCACCCTTTGCTGATGATACAGCAATGACTTTCTTTACGTCTTTGATATTCCTCTTCTGTGGCAATCCTCGCTGCATCCGAGGCATCTGCGGAGGCGCACCAGAGCGCGGAAGACCCTGCGCACGACATCAGCCATTGCACCATACAGCATGATAGCAGTAATCATACGAGAGGGTTCTCATGCTGCAGACACCGCAATGTCGAAAACAACCTTGGCTTCAGCATGTTGTCGTGATTAAGATGGGGTTGCGGAGTTGATCGCGGAGGTGACGCGCATCGGTGAAATGAAAAGCCGATGTCATTGAACTTTTTTGTGGGGCAAAGTGAACTTTCTCTTCAGACACGGTTTGCCAGCAACACGCACTCCAAACAATCCATACATGATGGGAAAGTCTAAGATCAAAGGTATGAGATTTAGGTGGATGAGCGACAGGCTCTTGCTTACACAACAATCAGATTTCGACCCCGAGTCGCTTCTCGACCCTGCGCCGAGCTCCAGCGAAGACGAGCGCTCCGATGCAGACCTCTCAGAAGTCGAAGATGACAACGCTGGGCGCGAGCATTACACTTCCGTTGGAAAGAGCAAGCTAAGGAAGCCGGTTGAGGTACCACTCGGCCCGGAATACACTGGGCGCAAGGTGGATCGCAAAGCGCTCGAAGACAGCGATAGCGACGATCCATTTGCCAGAGGCTTCGACGAAGAGGACAGTGAAGCAAGCGACGATGAAGTGGAGGATGGCCTCAATGGGTTAGAACTCGACGACCAGGACGAAAGCGACGAGGAAGACATGAACGGCGATTTCAATGAAGACATGAGCGACGAAGATGAGGAGATGGGAAGCGAAGGTGAAAGTGGAAGCGATGACGATGCCAACGACGCCGAAGACTCAGAGGGTGATAAATCTGGCGACGAAGCGAAGCCCGACGCGTCTACTATCCGCGACCTCATGTCTGCGAACAAGTCGTTTACGTCGACAATTGCTGCCGGTACGCAATCCGATGTAGCGAAGGGAAAAGCCGTAAAGACTCAGCGGAAGACGTTCGATACGTTACTCAACTCGCGCATTCGATTACAAAAGGCGCTCATCTCCACAAACTCCATGGCCGCAGAGCCTTACAAGACTGAGACCGCTCAAGATGCGCCCATTGAAGCTGCGGAGGCAGCCGCTCTAACTCTACTGAACAACCTCACAAGCCTCCGACTTTCCTTGGAAGAGTCGCGAACGGGTCAGAAGCGGAAGCGCACCACATTCGACTCGACAACATCTTCATCAGAGATTTGGGCCAACATTCAAGACAGCGAGAAGAACACACTCCCACACCGCAAGGCCATCCTCGAACGTTGGTCAAACAAGACGAAAGCGACAACCGTCACGAATAACAAAGCCCGCCTCAACGCATCCGCGCAACAGACCCTGACAGAAGTCCTCGACTCCCAGCTAACATCATCCCACCTGGTGACCCGCACACAAACCCCACGGTCCTGCGCGCCCCTTCAATCGTCCGGCAAAGCTGCTCAGCCCGACCCTGCTATTTACGACGACGCCGACTTCTACGGCCTCATGCTCAAGGAGCTCCTTGAACAACGCTCAGCCGACCTCAACGCAAACGGAACCGCTGAATTCGTCGTGCAAGCGCCCTGGCAGGTTGCTCGCGAAGCCAAGACGAAGAAAGTTGTCGATACAAAGGCTAGCAAGGGCAGAAGGCTACGGTACACTGTGCAAGAGAAACTTCAGAACTTTATGGCACCTGAAGAGAGGGGTGAATGGGGTGATAGGCAGAGAGATGAGCTGTTTAGCAGTCTGTTTGGGCAGAGATTAGGGCTTGGAGAGAATGATGACGTGGAGAGTGAGGAAGAAGGTGGTGTGGATGCTGAGGAGGCTGGACTGATGCTGTTTAGAAGTTGATAGGGCTCTGATGCGTCGAGGCTGAGGGAACACAAGGCAGATGTAAATAAGGCGCGTTGTCCTCACAGTCTTCACATTAAGGCTACCGTTTGAGACCTGTGGCTTGATCACGCAAACGTGAGTCGTGTTGTTGGGTAGGTTCACGCTTTCGGTGGCGTATGTTAGCAAGCTCAACCCCCGGATCACTTGCACGTCTTTATTTGCTCAGCCAATCTTATCTTTACTTCTCAGTCACTCGCTCAGCAATCATTTTCCAGCTTTGTGCTACCAAATTATATTTATAGGATAGTCTTCCCTCGTTCTTGGATCGCGTTCACGGGTTAGATACTCAGCTTTAGAAGTCTCACCCAAAGTTTTTCTATTATCAAGCTGTCAACATTGGACACGGCACAGCACAAGAGAAATGACAGGTTGATCCGACATCAGATCATCATGGCGCCTCTTATCGAGTCGAATCTTTAAGTCGCGCAAAATGCAACATCTAATGGGGGTATTCCCATCAATGCGGCATATCGTGAGTCGTATCCTTTCCAGAATTATTATGATACAGTTGACTAAGGCGTTGGCAGCTGACGATGCTTCGATGCATCGAGTATCCTGGCAAAGCGCTTATTGGCCAGTCATGGCTTGCATGTTAGCTGTACTTTTACAAGAGATGGGACGAGTCGTCGCTGTGCCTTATCGCATTAGCTATGCTACGCGCGCATGTCCAATGATGTGCGCTGTGGACACATTCGTCATGTTGTTAAAGTTTCTTGTGCTGCTAGCTGTTGGCTGTTCACCCTTGACTGCGGTGAGACATGTCTGGTACGACCGATTCGACAAATATGAGGACGAGTATGCCAAGTTAGTGTTTATGAGTACATGGCAACCGAGACCTCAGATCAGCATATCCGCTAGTGGTACGGTAGACCCGACTCCTATAGCGACTTCACAGGGCGATTCGACCTCTGATGGGGACGACTTCACGTGTACGAATGCTCTTCTCGTTACTGTTGGCGAATAGATTGCCTTGGCCGACTTGCCATGCACGAATGTGCAGCCGCATGACGCCACGCTTATCAATCCATCTCCACGTTTTTTCTCTGCACCTAGCTTGGTAATTCACGAAACAGAGATCGGCGGCCATGTAGAGCTCAATGAGGGCGATGGGGATGTTTCGATAACGAAGCTCAGTGTCATTCGAGATGTTGACGACGAACAGCATCAAAACGACGCTAGTCGCGTCGCAATTGTCACGACGTCACAACATGCTCCGGATCCATTTGAAACACCCCAAAACTATATGGTTGGCCTACCTGGAACTATTGTGGATCGTACGTGGAAACTCAGCATGATCAGCTTCGTCTTCGGTGCACTACCACAGGCGGTCAAGGTTTTTGGCATGCAAGGCATTCCTTTCACTCAGGGTCTAGTCGGCATCTTCCTCGTGTCATTTATCGTCCCAGAAGTCTTTCGTTGGTTCGCTGGACCGGTCGGCCAGGTCAATCTCCGCCCCTTACCAATCGTTGTACACACTAAGAATACCTTTTCTTCACAGGTAGCACTCGGTCTTTATGCCCCCCTGAGCCTTGTATACGTGGTGACTGGACCTATGTGGTGTACTTTCATCGTACTTCCACTACCGTCGTCAGCAGGTAATCTCTGGTTTGCTATTGCTACCCCTCCGTATATCGTTTTTGCATACTTAATGACTAAGTCAGTGCTTGGGTTCGTCAGATTCATCGCCTCATGGGCACTCTGCGCAACACGGTTAGGCAGCGTCAAGTTAAATCCTATTCGCTCCCGGTCACTCGATCGAGTGCGTGGTAAATTCGTACCAGTCGCCTCGGAATTGTTTGCAATGAGCTCTTCTACATTGGAGTCGAACTCCCTCTTCGCATGTTTGTATGCATGTTGTCTGGCAGGAGTAATGGGTGAATTTCGGAAGCTTTGGTCCTCATACCCGACACCGCCTGATAATGGGTTCCTTGAAGGGACACTTGAATGTATGTCGATAGTGGGTCTCTTTTTCATACTACCCTTAACGTTTGCGATCTCTTATGTGTTGTACCGCGTTATGTTTGTTGGCTTTCTTCCTAGTACGTTTCGACGTTTTTGCGACATACACGGTACCCTACCCGAATTCTTCACAGGTGTGTTTATCACGATTCACTTCGGAATCATATTTTCTGGTTATGTAGGCACATGGTACAACGACGAGGAGGGTATATCGGCGACTTTCAAGCCAGGATGGGCGGAATTACTAGGATAAACATGTTCAACTATGTTCGAGCTTCTCCATCATTAGCTGAGTGCGTCACAAGTGAATGGTTAACGCAATTAAATTTCTTAATGTTAATGTACACCACGATCGCATCTAAATTGGAGGCTTCTCCTCTCCCTCCGCATACTCAACCGCAATCTTCTTCGCCCCCGGACTCGGCTTAGGATAGCTTGTCCTTCTCTTCGCTCTCACGTAGAAGTTCATAGGTCTGATAAGCTGGAACTCCGGGTCGTAACTCACCGCCTCCTCACCCTCTTTGAAGAACTCGTATCTGTACACCAACTCCGGTAACAGCACCTTGACTTCTCCGAGGGCAAAGTTGAAACCGATACAGCTACGTGGGCCCGTTGCGAAAGGCATGTAAGAGTTCTTCGGTCGGTTGGAAACTTCCTCTGTGCCCCAGCGATCGGGGTCGAAACGGTCGGGGTTCGACCAGATCTGTGGGTTGTTGTGGATAGCGTGTAGGGCGCAAATCACCACTGATCCGGCGGGGAGTTTGTAGCCGCCTGGAACGATACAATCAACCTTCGCAGTACGTCCAGGTTGGAAAGAAGGGTTGTGCAAGCGTTGAGTTTCCTTGACAAATTTGTCGAGGAAGGTGAGGCCATCGGAGAGCTCGGGGGTCCATTTGGTGTTCTCGTTAACGCCAGCGTCGACGAGTTCCTGCAGGAGGCGGTCTTGGTTGCCTTCGTATACGCACAGGGAGTAGAGGAGCCATGATAGAAGGGATGAGGTGGTGGTGAAGCCGGCACCGGCGATGGGCAGCATATTGGGGATGACCAGTTCACGGGGGAGCTTGTTGCCATTATCATCGGTGGCGCGTTTGAGGTAGTCGACTACACAGCTGGCTCCTAGAGCTGCTGTTTGTAGGGGTAGGTCGTCTTCGCTGCTTCCTTTTGGTGCTTGGTCGATTGCTTGGTTCAGGATGGTCCATAACCTGTATCGGATCTTGTCCAGGTCATACGCAGCTGTGAAAGGAATCGCGCTCAGCTTTGCGTACCAGGCGCCTCGGGACGCAACCTTCTTGTTTAAGGAGAGCGATTGAGCGATCAAGATGACCAATTCACTCAACGGCGCGTCTGGGTGATCAAAATGATGAGCGTCGTATCCTAGGGCAAACTTGAAGACAGTCTGAGACGCGAGCTTCAACATATACTGATACACATTCCAGGCTTCACCCTCCTCATCAAGCTTGTCGAAAACTTTGAATGAGTCTTTCACCGAGGCCTCCATAAGAGGTGTGTAATGTCTGATAGCCTTCGGTGCCATGGAAGGCGGGATGAACTTGTGCGCTTGCCTCCATGCATCGGTATCAGTATCGCAGATGAACAACGCTCTGTTGTCCTTGATACCGGCCAAGGGATGCTCAGGAGTGATAAGCTTGCTAAAGAACGCCGATTCTTGGAAAGCCACGGTAGAGATAGCTGGGTCGTTTGTCAAGTAATTTTGCTTGCCCATCGTTTCGTACTTGATTAATGATCCATACTTCTGGAAAAGACGTGCATGGTTCCCCTGACAGATATTAGTGATCGTTCGTAGTCATATCGGAATCAACTTACGAGATGATCTGGAAAGACCTCGTAGTAACTTCCAACGAAAGGAAGACCTTCAGGGCCTGCGGGATCCCGAATGGCTTGACCGTCAACAGTGATGCCAATTTCCTCCTCGCAATCTAATACAGCGTCCAAGTCTGGCAGGTCATCTCCCTTGGAATCTTGCAGCGCGATGCCTGGTGAGATGTGAGTTCACGTTCGTGTCAATTCTATAAGTTTGCTTACCAGTAGATTGGATAATGTTGTACTGCTCGGCTACAGCAACTTGTAGCGCCTCGAAGTCGTGATACTGATCGATGTGAATGTCCTGGCGAAAGACATTCTTGTCCTGCCCAACGAGGTAAAAGCTTTTGATAGTCATAATGCTGTGTTGTGAAGTTTGAAGATGTCGCAGTCTCGACAGGACTACAACGCGACTAAATGAAAACACACCAAACTACGTATACCCTTTTCGCAACAACCCAGCACCTGCAGGCGCTGTGCCTAGGGTGTAAATATGACGCATCGCCACTGACCAGCATATGGCGCTGGCGTGGTCGTACGAAAACCGCCGAGGGGCCCAATGCGCGCGAAAGCAAAGCAAAAATGCAGGTCGTGCGAATAGCCCGGCCGAGCGTTGATCGAAATTTTGTTGTGGTACCGTTTCAGCAAGATCATTGCGCGTAAGAAGCCAGTCGCTATGTCGCAGCTCCGATTGTCAGCGGAGGCTTGATTGGTTTAAGCTCACAAAGTGCCGAGGTAAGTGGGGGCTTGGCTCCACTAACACCGGACACCTCATGGTAGTCGCTGTAATAGCGCTGTCATTTGTCATGGCGCATCAACAGACCTTGATACTGCTCATGTCCGACACCTCGGTCGCGCATACGTAGTGGATCAGTATGGCCGTTGCACGTTTGCTGCATGAAGCTATGGCGATGATGAAGGGTCTTGGCCAAAGGCTTTCACCGTCGCCATTATTCTCCTTAACGCCCCCTTAGCGACTGAACGTATCCATCTCATTCAATCTTTCCAACACTATGGCCGACGGTGTATATACTCTCCAAGAGGTGGCGAAGCATACCAGCAGGACAGACCTTTGGGTTACCCTGTGGAATCACGTCTACAATGTAACAGACTACCAAGAAGACCACCCTGGTGGCAAGGAGTTTCTGCTCGAGAATGCTGGCACAGATGCGACCACTGCATACGAAGATATTGGCCATTCAACCGACGCCAGAGAAATTCTCGAAAACTTCCGCATTGGACGAATTGCAGACGAAGACTGGACCGACCATGAAGCCGCGAAGATGCCCACGATCAAGCCAAGTAGAGTTCATGTGGTGAACAACCTGCCTGCGCCGACGTCGTATCGCTTCCATCTTTCAGCTCTCGGCTTTGGTCTAGCATCTGTTGTGCTTTCCATTGTAGCTGGTCGAAGATTCTCACCGCTCTTGCACCGTTTCCAAAGCGCTGGGTTCTGGAAGGGTTTCGCCGTCTCTTCCCTCGCCAGTATGGCTTTGGCAGGATATGCCAGTCTGTGGGCAACGAAAAGTTTCGATGTTGCACACAAGGACTTCCAATCTTATCCAGCGCATTTCAAAGCCAAATCTACTTCATCGAAACCATCAAAGAAGAAGGACATCAATCTCGGTGTTCTCAACGCCCGTGTCTACCAGCCTTTCCCATTGATCGACAAGTTCAACATTTCCCACGACACCATCCGCTTCGTCTTTGGACTCCCCCATGAAAACTCCGTGCTTGGTTTACCAACTGGCCAGCACATCGCAATCAGGCACGAAGTAGATGGAAAGCAACTTGCACGATCCTACACGCCAACATCCAGCAACAAGGACACAGGCCGCCTGGAATTGACCGTCAAGATCTACGAGGGCGGCAAGCTGACACCCTGGTTGAGCAAATTGAACATTGGCGACACCGTTGAGATCCGAGGACCAAAGGGCGAGATGAAGTACCACAAGAACCTAGTCAAAGAGCTTGGAATGATCGCAGGTGGCACTGGTATCACACCTATGTTCCAACTCATCCGCCGTATCTGTGAAGACCCTCGCGACGACACTAAGACGACTTTGCTATATGCCAACAAGACTGAAGAGGACATCCTGCTGAAGGACGAACTGGACAAGTTTGCTGAGAAGTACGACCAGTTCCACGTTCACTACGTCTTGAGCAACCCATCGCAGAGCTGGAAAGGCGAGAAGGGTCGTATCAGCAAGAAGATGATTGAGGAGCGTCTCCCTGCACCAGCTGGTAGGGATACCAAGGTTCTTGTTTGCGGGCCGGACCCTATGATGGATTCTATGGTGAACTACCTACAGGAACGTGGCTTCAAGCCACCTGGTATGTTACGACTACGTGATAAGTATCCATGTTTCATTGCTAACCCGAGTTCACAGGCAAAATCTCGAAGCCTCAGGATGAGATCTTCACTTTCCAGTGATTCTTCGTTTTCTCGACCACGAATTCTAGGGACTTATGGTGATGATGTAGTTGTGTGGCGGTGGTGTTATCGGAAGAGGTATTTTAGACTGGGTGTTGTTCAAAACTGGCTTTACATACATTCCTATAATCTTGCGCAGCCCCAGAAGCTATCAGAATGAAATTTCTTATCAATCTCATCTCCGGCTGACGTTCTGCTTCCGTGTCCATGATGTTTACTATACTCGCTATGTTCGTGGTGTTTGTACGTGTAGGACACCAAATCGTCGTTCAAAGTCCAAACTTAGTTCGGCCGACGCAGCACTACCAACAAACCGCGCGTACGATCAAGCGCTACGTCTCGCACGATAAAAAAGTACCGTACGAATGACGTAGAAATCTAGATCGGCACTGCACGGATGTCTACAGTTGTTAACCCGTGACGTAATGCCTACATGAAGCATTAGCAGCTACCAAGTACATACATCATGCATCTAGATGCGCTTCTTCGCCTACAGAACCAGCGATATCCCAACATCGAGATTCGTCACCTAGACTAAGGAAATCACGTTTCACAAAAATGTCTCTATGCGCCAGGCGACTACCAAGGGGCATTCGGAGAATCTCGGCCGAGCCTCCTGTGAGCTATGCGATATCGCGATGTTTACGGAGGGCTATAAACACGCAGACATCGAGTTTGAGTACGAACAAGACATCTTTTCATACTCGTTCAACGCCTTTGTCATACCCTATCATGTCGAATACACAAATACGAGCTGCATCTAGCAGTACCCAACCACAATGGTCGGCACCAGATACATCATCGAGACCAATCGCCGTTTTGGGTGGAGGAGTCTTGGGTCGACGAATTGCTGCTTCCTGGGTAGCTGCTGGCTACGAAGTTGTTTTATGCGATCTTAGCGACGAGCAGAGAAACGCTGCAACACACTACATCGAACACCACATGGATGAATTTTCGAAACTTACCGGAAATGCTCGAAAACGAAGCGAATTTACCACGGTCAAAGATATTGAAGAGGCGGTCAAGAATGCATGGTTGGTGGTTGAAGCGCTGCCGGAGAAGCTTCCATTGAAGATCGAAATCATGGCCCAGCTACAACAACAAACACCAAAGGATTGCATTTTGGCTTCCAACTCATCATCGTACAAGTCGCGGCTTATGCTCGATAAGGTGGATGCGGGTAACCGACATCGAGTGTGCAACATGCATTATTACATGCCACCGGGCAATAACGTTGTCGAACTCATGACCTGCGGAGAGACGCATGGAGATATCTTGCCTTTCCTGCAAAGCAAGCTACAGGATGCGGGTATGCAGCCGGCTATTGCGCGCAAGGAATCGACAGGCTTCATCTTCAATCGATTGTGGGCTGCCATCAAGAGGGAGAGTTTGCTCATCATGGCGGAGGGCGTATCGGAGCCGGAAGAGATTGACAGACTGTTCCTTACAATGTTCAAGGATAACCCGGTTGGACCTTGCGGTATGATGGACGCGGTAGGCTTGGACACAGTTGCGTTCATCGAGAACAACTATGTTCAGGAGCGCGGTGGCGATCCCACAGCGCGCGACTGGGTTCAAAAGAATTTTGTCGAGAAGGGGAAGCTAGGTGCAAAATCTGGAAAGGGTGGTTTATATCCCGCCGGCGAGACTACTCGAAGCTCCAAGGATGAGAGCGGTCATCACGACAACCTTGCGGCGCCCAGACTGTACTTCTTGGACATTGGCATTGGAGGAAACGTCACCGATTTGCAGAAGGTTGTCACATCTGGAAAGATTATGACAGCTTCGGCGGACGGAAGTAATGTGCGTGAGATTGTCGGCGGACAAGCCATGCCAGATGGTATCGACGTATCCATCTCTGCTGGTCGAATTTTCTGGACCAACATGGGTGCCTCTCCGGCTAAGAATAACGGCAGTGTCATGTCTGCAAACCTTGACGGCTCTGATGTTCGACCTGTCATTCCGGAAGGTCAGATTCACACACCCAAGCAGCTCAAGATCGACCACGACAACAAGAAGTTATACATCTGTGACCGGGAAGGCCTACGAGTTCACCGATGTGATTTTGACGGCGGCAACCACGAGATCATCGTACAGACGGGCGTTGCCGGCTCAGCAGACGGAGAAGACCAAACGAAGTGGTGCGTTGGTATCGCTGTTGACCCCCAGGCAGGAAAGTTCTACTGGTCTCAGAAGGGTCCTTCCAAAGGTGGCAAAGGTCGCATCTTCCGCGCAAATATGGAGATTCCAGCCAACGAGACAGCATCTTCCCGCTCCGATATCGAATTGCTATTCGAAAACCTTCCCGAGCCAATCGATCTTGAGTTCGAACCTGATAGCGAAACACTGTATTGGACAGACCGCGGCGAATACCCGCTGGGCAACACGCTGAACAAAGCGTATGTAGGTGTCGACGCCGAGACGAAGGAGAAGAGGGGTGTCATAACCTTAGCCAGACATTTCCACGAGCCGATTGGACTGAAGATCGATGCCGTGAATCGACATGTTTACTTGACGGATCTGGGAGGTACAGTGTATAGGTTTGATATGGACGGAGGTAAAAAGAAGAAGATCTATGAGACGGATAGCGCGTACTCTGGTATCGCACTTGCGCATTTGCACTGAGTAGGGCTGTTTCATAGTGTAATAGATTCTTAATCAGGAGTGAATGTGTTTTTTGAATTGACAGAGTGTCGACATCGGGGGATTTTGTTATCGGTGTTTGAGAGACGGAGCATTTGCCGACAAGCCTTCGGCATCCCAAATCAATGCATGCCGCGAACCGAGGGTCCAAGCTCTTCACCACCAAATCCTCCGACCTCGACACATCCCACGCGACACTCCTCGTCGCCCGAGCTGTTCCTTTTTTCTTCCACCCTACACAGGGCCCTGACCACCAATTCCCCTCTCACGGCCTGGTCTACCCCCCACCGCCACAATGAACACAATCTCGGCACCCCCACAAATAAAACGTCTCTCAGGCCCAAAACGCTTCTTCGGCATCCTCGTAGGCATAACCGGTGGCCTAGGCGCCAATGCCCTCTTGGCTTACAGCGTATCCTCTTTCTACACGCGCAACACGAAATTCGTCCCTTACGATACCTCATCCCCCGATCTCACCGCCACCGTCTTCCGCGCGCATAATCCCCACGGAAACCCACCAGGCTGCATAGATCATGCGATAAAGCAGATTCCATATGGCAAGCTTCCGGAGAAGTACTGGGTCAAAGGTAGTGGCGGAAGGATATCTGTGGATCAATCGGCTTTGACGACAGATTTCTGTAGGGGAATATGGAGTGGTGTTGCGTTTAGAGTGCAGAGGAGGTTTTTAGAGAGGAAATATCGGGCGTTGGAGGGGAGAGAGAAGCAGCTTTGGGATGTCAAGGAGTTGGAAAAGAGTGACTATAAGGTTGGGACTGCTATTGTGGATCATTTCGAGGTTATGGAGCATACCGATGATAAGGTAAGTGTATCCAGTTCTCTTCTTGTGAGGATTGGCTGACTTTATGTGTTCCTCTAGGTCATCGTGCGATGCGGCGATTCACCACTCGTTTCCGATCGCCGACCCTCCGACGGTCTTTTCTCGATGGAGGTCTCGAAAGACGACGAAGCGCAGTTGGCTACCTTCCACCTCAAGTCAGTTTTCGTAGACACAACGCCAGAGGGCAAGAACGGACAACCGCAACCCGCTTCCATCCAGTGGTTACATAGGCTATACACGAAGCTCTGGATGGAGAGTGCGACGCGGAAGTTGATCAAGGAGGCATAGAGAACTCCAGGAAGGATGCTGCAGGTTAGTATACACAAAAGGTCGTAATGGTGTTGAAGTCTCTGTAATGAAGACATGAGGTAGGGGTTCATGATGAGATCTATCAAACATCTCCACTCTTCTCCCACAATTCACTTCTCACAGTCCTTCTGCTGCACATAAACATGTTACCTCACAACCTTTTCTTCCTCCCACCGCACCAACGTGCATCCCGCCAACTTCTTTTTCTCGGCATTGATCCTATGAATCTTCTCTCCGTTCTCATGAATCAAAGCCAGTTTACATGTCATCTCCCACTCCCACGTCGTGGAGTCTCTGTGGCCAGGTCCCGAGTTTGTCAGAGGTTAGCAGATTTGACATGATGCTCTTTCAAGAAGGTTCTTAGGCCACCGAGGCGTCGTTGATGCTCGATTGGACAGCGCCAGGCTTCAATCCGGCAACATCCTCGAGATCGAGCTCGCCTCTTGAGCGGGTCATCAGGGCTTATCATCACAGACTCGTTGGAAACCTCATTCGCAACTACCGCTGTCATCGCTAGACATGTGATCTCGCTTCAACTATGGCGTATGGAGGTCCCATAATCCCTGAGCGTATTGATTGGAGGGTCATCGAAATGAAGAGAAGCTCGCGGCGAAGCCTCACAGCGATGAGTTGTTCGGCATTTCTAGCTGTACGCAAGGCCAAGGTAAAGGCCGCGTCTGGTTCGTTGACGCACAAGGATTTAGGCTGGGGGTATTCGCTGCTATTTACAGAGCAAGTGGCTATGTGCAATGCAGTGTATGCCACTTAGGTGTGCTCGCGGTGAGCTTGGAGAAGCTCTTCCTTTCTATCGTGGCTAACGTCCAAATGCGTCCTGGAGGAATTCGGTGGGCTTTTGTGGTATGTCTGGAAAACATAACAGTATGTATACCATTCGGGTACACTGTGGGGAGGAACAGATCTCCTGCTTGATATTTAATGTCAAAGCTGAGCAGACCAAGCCGAAACCTACTTCTCAGGAATTACGTAGCCAGTTACAAATCCAGTTCATCTCGTTGTCGCATACTTGGTTTCCATTAGCTTTCTCTTCTTCTACCAGACTAATAAGGTCTGGTATAGAGTCTGCATTCCACATATCATCACTTATCGGAGCAGAGAACTGCAAGTGGTGTGATGAAAGCAGATCCGGAAACCCGGTCTCGCTTGACATGTATGTTTCACAATACATCGTCCATATGTGATACATAGTCAATGCGAATCGTTTCGCTTCCTCGATACCAATCCAGATATGGGGTGCAGTTTGAGGAGTGAGAGCCGTTTGCTGGTAGTGTTTAAGCATGCTTGGATACCTGAACATGCCTCTCTTCAAGCTGCTCTTCACGAGAGCGACTAAAATCTCATGATCAGGCGACGGAAACTCAGATACCGCGCTCGAGTCCTGTTTCCAGGCTATCAAGGGAAGTATAATGTTCAGAAGAATCGCTTGATACGTCGCGATGGGCCAGGCCGCTGCCTCGATGGTTGTCCGTGAGTGTGGCACATCCCATGTACACTAAGAACGTTTGTGAGTAACAAGCGATAGACCAGGAGTGACGTTATACATACGCGCTGACGCCGAATAGACGCCATCAACGTCTGGTGCATCTCAATCGCTGCTTCGTTCGTACCTTTTTCTTTGCTAAGCCATAGGCCTACCATTACCACCGAATGAACAAGCACTTGTGATTCTCGTATCGGATGGAAACTCGACTTGTGAAGGAACGACCATTTTGGGTGGAACTGGGTGAAATAAATATCGGTATACCTTTTGAGCTCGACCGTTTCTTGATTCAGGTTTAAGGACGTTATTTGACCGAGTTCAGAAGGTGTCTGTGTCTGATGCGGTGAGTCACCAGTTGCGCCAGCAGTGGTGTTCTTGTAAGAACAGGACAATCCTCGTTCCAAACACGATAAACATGGAATTACCATGCTACACTGGGTTTTTCGAGCCTTGCAGTGAGCACAAGCCCGAAGCGCCCGGGATCGAAATGACTCCTTCCCCTCATGGTGTCGCGAGATATGGCGGCGCAGAGTGTCGCTGTAATCTCTACACGTTAGTGCTAGATAGGAGACGCACAAAGCGATACACGCACCTTCGACCAACCACAGTAGTACAGTACGGGCATGTAAACTCCTTTGGCTCGAGATGCTTCATCATGTGGCGATTGAGATGTTCTCGCCGCTGGTAACTCAACGTGCATTCAGGCCACGAACACTGGAATGGGGGTGATTGATCAGTCGAGGCCATCTTGCTGATCGGAATTCGATGTCTCGGGGTGGAATGACACAGAATGATGTGCAAGATCCCTTGGTTGCGGAAAGACATAGGCGGAGTCCACAGGGTGGTTGGATGACAAACCATAGTCTAGCTGGCTAAAGCCTAGTTGCGGACCGAGGTATTGTTCGATCTTATACGCCGAACACTACAAACAGCTGGAATTCGAACCTCGCATCAAATCACTTGATCGCACGTAATTGGTTGCTCATGATGTCAATTGTTCAGCCAGCATGGTAATACAGCGAGGCCAAGACGAAGTGACTCATCAAAATATCAAAGAAGAAGAGGAAAAACTGGTTGCTATGACGATGCGAGCGATATTGAGAGTGGCGTAGTGGCCCGCGAGGAAATAGAGACCGGCAGAGTACTACACACTGGAGCTGTTCCTGCTGTGACTGGAGGAATGATCGCGACATCTCAGCCTCGGCGTCTCGCGCAGCCAGCCCTATTCTGTCCGCACGCTACACGCCTCAACATCTGTCTCCGAAACGCGCTGAACTCTATCGAGAATATCGATCAACAGATCTCAAGAACTTATCATTTATAATTTGTTAACATCCACACGTGAGGTGCGATAAAATCCTGACCTCACTACCGTACGCGACACCCATCGCGACCTCCGAATCGAAGCAAAGACAGACCTCGGCAAACACCGCGGATACGCAACATACAAGCCGGAAAATAATGCGAGAGTTGATGCATTCCTATAATTTACGAGAACTCGTTGTTGAGAACCGTACTGCGTAGCAATTCATTTGGGTTGTCGCTGGTCAGTACAGTCTAAATGAGCTAAACCCTTGCGTTGAGAACATGTAAAGGAGGCTTGATAGTTCCTTGTCTCAATCATTTCATAGTTATTACTTTGGCTCCAGCGCTTCCACGATCCGCCTAACACATTCAGCTACTAGTTCCTCGCGTTGAGTGAAGACCATTCGAAACCAGCCTGGCTCTTCTGCACCTACGGCATCCCCGGGAACCAAATACACCTTCTTGGCCAACAAACGGTCTTGGATAAGTCTTGTGCTCTCTGACCCGGAGTATTCCTGCATCCCCTTTTCTCTTAAGGATGTCTTCTCGCGCACAAACTTGCCCAAGTTGATCCATAGAAAGAAAGCAGCGTTCGCACCAGGCATGTGTTCAATGCCGTGCTTTCGAAGAGCGCCAACAGTCTGTGTATGTGCAGCCGAGAGACGTGCTTGGTTTGTCGCGATGTAACTTTCGACAAAAGACGTGTCGGATAAGATGTGCACAACAGCGTTCTCAGTGAGTGATGATGGCGAGGAGTAAATGCTGCATGTTCGCAATGCAGCAAGAAAAGCTGGGTTCGACTGCGAGACGATGGCACCCAGTCTTATCCCATTTGCACCAAAGTCTTTTGAAACACCCCAGAGAACGTGAACCAGTGAAGGGTCAATTGTGTCCTTGCAGTTGATTGACAAGATAGATTCAAAACCGGTATATCCGTGAGCGAGATCATCAACGGTATTCTTCCATGTAGAAAGCGCGTAGATTTCATCGCTGATCAGGTGGATCTGGTACTTCTGACACAACTTCATCAGCCCAATAAGCGTATCCCTAGGATAGCATCTTCCAAGAGGGTTATGCGGGTGGCAGAGCATAAGTGCGCGAACCGGCACACCCTGCTCATTTGATCTCAGCAGCGCTTCTTCGTACTTCTGCACACAGTCTAGATGGCAAGGATCCACTTGTCCAAATGATACCGGAACAATCTGGACTCCTGTCCTCGTACCGATGTCTGGTAGAAAAGCGCGATAGTATGGTCGTCCAAGCAGGATACCCTCCCCCGGATTAGCGAGAGTCCAGGCACAATGCTCAATAGCCGACGAAACTCCATTGGTGATGAAGACGTGTTCAGGCTTCAGCTCAATTGCCGATCGCAGATGAGTGCTCAAGAATGAAGCAATCACAGCTTTGACCCGCTTTGATCCAAACGGGCCATCGCCATAGGTCAGCCCGTGAGCTGTGTCATCAACAAGTCGTTTTGCATCGAGGAATTCCAGTAACCGGTCGTGCATGAGATTGTTTTCCGCAAGACCGAGAGACACGTAGCCATCAGGATTAGTATCTGGGTCCCACAGGTTCGTAATTATGTCCCACACTTCCTGCACGGTGTCAATCAAAGATGATCAGGTATTGAAAGACATGGCACGTACAAAGTCTTTGGCTCCCGCTGTACTTGCATAGCTACCGCGGTTGGATAGCTTTGACTCCTTTAAGGTCGTCATAGCGACTGGTGATCGTCACGGAACGGCTAGTGTCGTAAATTGCTGCGTCAACAATGAGGTTCAAGTAGTAGCACACCAAAAGAAAAGAATTCAAAGTTGTCGCAATCAAGAACTATAGGTTGCAGAATACCAAGTCTGCAAACCTGTCCATGGGTATAAGTCATTGGTTGATCACGTGACAGCGACTAAGCAAGCCACGCCCTTCGAGGACTCTTGACATGACCGGATTTATATCCATATTCTCTAGCTAATCTCGAATTGGACTCGACATTCACTAAGTCCTAACATGGTGCAGTGAGCTTCGTCATTCGTGCATCTTAGCAGCGTTGACGATGCCAAGCGTTCTTAGCTAGCGTCGGCATCCCACCCCGCACGACCCATGGCTCAAACGCGGTCTTGTTTTCTAGCTTCGGCATCCCACCCAGCGTGTTCCTTGACCTATGACTGGTTCTGGTCTCAGTTTCGGCATCCCACCTCGCCTGTGTTATGACTCGAAGAGTGAATCTATTGTCCAGCTACTGCATTCTACTGGGGACAAGAAATCCCTTACACCTGCAGCTTCTTGACTTTGAGCCTCCCAAGGGATACTTGCAGTTGATATTCCTAGCAAACACCAGCTTTATATACCGACGTATACACCCTGCACATAGACAGCATGAGTATCTAGAGGTTCAGTACGCTTTTTAGACGCCTACCAGCTTTCACTTGTCATAGCAAGATGGCGGTGCTATGTTAGATCACAGGCTAAAGAGCTCATACTTAACTCTAGAGAACTTAGCAACCAACGGTGGTTTGCTTGGTCGATGCATGCTTGAATAAGTCGGATTAAGGTCGATAACGTACGAAAACCTAAGTGATCCAGTGACAGTACGTTTGCCTCGAATCAGTACTACATAATGCAGTCAACTTAAGCGGTATGAGTCTCATAATACGCTCAATATTGATAAAGTGCTAGCTCTCGACCGCCATACTCGAGGGGTTCGAGACCGGTGGGATGCCGGTGGCAATCGCGGGCTTTTAGTCATCGTCTGTTCAAGATGCGACGAGGTTGTCACTCTAGAGATGCTTTCCTTGGCTGTTCACTGATCCGGGTTTACCGGTATCCACTATAGTGCTTCGAAAATGCCTGTTTGTCGGGCAGAAGACGCGTAGACGTCGATCTCACCAGATCTTCACAGTATTTATTCTCCGTGTGATCCTCTACATGCACACATAGTTATCAATTACTTCTTTAATTATTCCACTACCTTAAGAGTTCTTTCTAGTCATCAGTCTCGCCAAACGTCGCAATATGGGCCTGGTAATACATCACCTCCAGCGTTCGCAGTCTGAACGGATAGTCTGGCTCTGCGAGGAACTTGGAATCGACTATGAGCTAAAGATCTATCAACGGGAGTGTGGTAGCCTGGGAGCGCCATCAAACTTGAAAGCAATGTAATTTCTCATTTCTCTCTTTGAACAACAAAGTCTGATTTGGAACTAACTCAATATCTAGTCACCCCACTGGCACAACACCCGTGATTCATGACGGTGAGATTACTATCTCGGAGAGTGGTGCCATAATGGATTACATCCTGGGCAGATACGGAAATGGTGCGCTCACAGCTCCGAGTAATGCCTCGAACTTCTCCGATTATGTCTTCTGGTATCACTGGGGTATTGCGACATTTCAGAGCACTACGATGACTCTCATCTACGTCCGCAAGGCTGGTGTTGAGGAAACTCATCCTGTTCTGCAAGCACTGAACCAAAAGATAACGGACGCACTAGAGATGATGGACCGACGCCTGATACAGTGTCCGTGGCTTGCAGGTGACGAATTTACAGCCGCAGACGTTTACGCTGTATTTATCGTCACGACCATGCGGCTGTTCACTCCGTTCCCACTATCAGGCTATAGCGGTATCAAGAGGTGGTTGAAAAGTATCGGACAGAGGCCAGCTTATGAAAGAATGATTGAGAAGGCTGAGCAGGGTGAGAACAGAGGTCAAGTTCCAGTGTTCTGCGACGAAGCGCCGCGGCCGATGATAAGCTACTGAGTGTTTACGGAGCACTTACAGAGATGGCTTTTGTGTTCATGCCTGGTGTACCGTATTTTATTACCACCCGATATCACGAAGGAATTACTGATAAGGAACTTTGTATATCGATCGGTTTTCTTCAGATGGATAGATACTAGACAAGAATGAGTTCGGTCTCTGTCGTGTGATCTAACTTCAGTCCTCCCGAAAAATGTCCAATCCTCTCCCAACAACCAGTTTGCCTCGTTGACTGAACTAGTACAAGCCCCTCAGCCCATTGCGCATTAGATATAGGAGCAGACTCAAACTCTACAAGTAAGATAATTGCATCTAAAGTGCTTTCTATCAACTCAATATCGCTCGTCATAGTGGCTCCCTTCAATTCATTCCGTACCTTAGAAACTGATGTGTTCACAAGAACATCGTAGCGTGTACTCTGCGATACACGATTTGTGCGCTGCAGGGTCACTGCTTTGGTCGGTCCCGAAATTTTTATTCGCCCATCTTGCACGTGTCCATAAAGGTCGGTAGTCGTTGTTGTGCATGTTATTTCGATCATTAGACAAACGGGCGCTGATGGTTTTTTTGCCTTCAGGACGAAAGCCGAGATAACAGAGGCCCAGGACCACGTGGGCGCTTGGTACCGAGGTGGTCTTAGATGCACATCTGATCGATCGGTAACTCCACCAGTAGTGCTCCATAGGAGTGCCTGGGGAAGTTGATATTCCCATAACCCGGCTAGATATCTGCCCAATTTTGGCAGTGCGATCTCTTTAGCAATCCCAGATATACCAGGAAGTCGATCTGTCCCAAACGTTAGCGCCCGTTGTGAGTATTCCCTAACAACGCCTTGCCATGCCGCCGCACGTATATCGGGATCCGCTGATGCCACTGCTGCAACATAAGAAAGTTTGAAGGTTTTCAATTTTGGCGCCCATGGGTTATCGAATTTGATCTTTTGACATTCACACCAAAGTTCTTCTTGACACTCCCACATCATCTCGTCTTCAGTGTAGTGAAGTATTCGAGAAGCAAGCACACGCTCTTGGAAACACCATGCCCGGTCCAGAAGAGGCATCGTGATGCTCGTTGCTTGCCATTCGATGATGGCGCGGTGACATATTTGTCGCTGAACGTGAAAGTTAATAGTACTGGAAACCTCTAGACATGCTGCCAAGTTGTAACTCGGGTGCCTGGGCCGAAGGCAGCCATCGTCACCATTCTTCGAGCTTGTTGCAGCAATGACTAGGTATGCGTTTTTGTACACGTCTGCCATCCTAGCGGCCTCTTGGGCCCAGTCCTCATCATCGTCTTGGATGATGCACAAGGCATCGATCCAGATGTAGGGTATGCCAAGCTTCCTCGCAATCTCGATAGCATCTACGAATGTTTGAGTCAGCTCATCCAAGGGTATCCTAAGCATACGAGCAGATATGTTGCCGCTCAAGAGCAAAGGCATGGTCTTTAAGCGTTCTTCTTTCGGACCCCATGTATGGCTCAAGGCGATATAGCGGGCGTCTGTTGATATTTCCTTCGATTGACACAACTTGATGTCTTCTGAGAACGAATCAACGGAGAGGAGTCTTGTTGGCGTCGTTGGTGAATTTCTGGACGAGCAATTCGGGTGTAGAGAGTCGCATTGCCTGATCCACTCCTTAACAGTAGTAATGCAAGCTTGGGAAGCAGGGTCAGCACGGATGTCGCCCGCTGGTTGAATATCGGAAAAGTATTGTGGCCGATCTGAGTATAGTGAGCGGATGATATAAGAGTCAACTCCTTTGCGATAGCAGACGAACCGGGCTGAGAGTAGAAGAGGAGCTCCATTGGTAGGCTGCCAGTTTTACTTGACATACCAGCGTAATGGATTGTCACCTGTAAACCCATTTCCAGATTGTTGACGACGTAGATATCTAGACCAGGATCGGGCTCATACTCGCTAACGGGGGCCTCGGTAGTCCGATAAGGACGATAAGGAGGGAAATTGTACTTCTTGATTCCTCCAAAGAGTAGCTTGCATCGAATGCAGCCATCGCGAGCGGCCTTGTGCAAATTTGACAGCCTGGTACCTCCCCGATGATATCCGTCCGTCCAATTGCAGGCTTGAGATTCAATCTGCTCTGACCACGAGGGTAAATGGGGTAGGAACAGAGCCATCTTGATGTACGAAAAGCGTGCACATGTATAGGTGTTGCTAAAAGCGCTTGACGCGAAGGGATAAGGCATGGTGGGGTCTATGCAACTGCACTCTTCTGGACGCGGCAGACTCGACCAGGGTCCGGCGCCACGCGAGGTAATAAGACACAGCTGATGTGTGTGCAATGAAGAAAAGTCGGATAACCTATAATAAGCTGTAGCGCAAGCGTGATATATCGACACATCGTGAAAAATTGTCTAAGATAACATTGACCCTTGCACATCAACGTTCGAAACGTAAAGGAAAACAACAAACGCATCGCCATGTGGAAGACCTCTCCAATCATTGCTTCCCCACCAACTTCCGCACAATCCCCTCAACCAACGTCCCGATACTCACACTCTGCAAAATCTCAAACACACTAACCTTAACCTTTGTCTCTCTTTGAACCCAATTTTTGATCTCGACCGCAACCAGCGAATCCGTTCCGTAGCTGCTCATCGATTTCCCAGCATCAAGCTCACTCACATCCATCATTAAGCTACGCGACAGCTTGTTCAGTAACGCCGAAAGAATGAAGTCTCTAGCTGCTTCGGGAGAGGGGTTGGAGGAGAGCTGTACGGAGAGTGAAACAGATGTGGATGTACTACCGTCGTTTGACGTTTGTGTAGGCGTATCGGTTTTGAGATGTGGTCGTAAGTACGGCAAGTGACTCAGTACGGGATCACGGGCGAAGAACGGTAGCTCGCTATCTCCTAGGCCATTGATTTCGAGGTCAGAGTCCAGGCCTGTGACTATATGTCCCATCATCGGTTCACGAACACCCAGTTCGATGAGCGCCAACATCTCTTTCTCATCAATGTGTTTAAACTCTTGGACATGCACTTTCCGCCCCTCAACTTTCTTTTCAACAACGTAGCCTACATCGCCGACGATACCGAGGTCGATAGCTGTAGCTGGTAGACCCTGCGCGTTGCGGTATTTGGCTAGGGCGACTTGGTAGGCGCAGCCTGCGGCGTAGTTGGCCTGACCAGGGTTGCCGATGAAAGAGTGGAGGGACGAGAGGAGGATAAAGAAGTCGAGCGGCTGGGACATTGTAGTCTCGTGGAGGTTCTTTGAGCCGTGAACTTTGGGAAGGATAGTAGAAGCCCATTGATGCGATGCCATGGTGGTGAAGAGGGAGTCGTTGAGGGTCATGGCGCCTTGGATTACTCCCTTGACGGGCGGGAAGGATCGCAGGGTATCTGAGAGGAGGTTGGATAGTTCGAGGAAGTCGGATACGTCGCATCTCAGGATGGCGGTTCGAACGTTCGAGGCATGGAGGGATGCGATGAAAGCTTGTGCTTCTTGTGATACTGCACCGTAGCGAGAGATGAAAATCAGATTCTTCGCGCCGTGTGTCACAAGCCACTGCGAGATACTTCGACCCAGACCGCCGAGACCTCCAGCAAGGATATAGGACGCAGACTGGTCGAAAGAAATGTCTGCGGGTGGCTTTTGGGTGACCTGAGTTATGTTAGTCGCGTCCCCGACATCGCTATGTTCATTTGTGACTTACCAGAACTTGATCATCAGCCTGCGGCATCATCACCACCCGCCTGTTCCAATTCTCCTCCTGCACCATCTTAACAGCTTCATCTAGCTTCGACCACGGCATAGCTCTGACAGCTTGGTGGTGCGCTGTCGCGATAGCGCCCATCGCTTCCTGGAACACTTGACTAGCGAGCTCCGGCTTTTGCTTGTACATCAACGCCATATCAACCGACGAAAATGATACATTGCGGCCGAAAGGTGCCATCTCCAGTCGACAAGTCCTCTGCGTATTGAGATTGACAAATCTCCCAAAAGGTGCGATGCAGCTGAACGTCGCTTGTAGCGCCTCGCCACTCATGGTGTTCAAAATGACATCAACGCCGCGGCCCTTTGTCGCTCGGCGAAGCGCTGTGACGAATTTGAGACCCTGGCTGGAGAAGACACGAGTTTTGTGGATACCGTAGTTCTCAATAAGGTGGCTCTTCTCTTCCTCTGATCTTGCGGTAACGAAGATCTTCGCACCCGCATTTGAGGCTATCTGGATGCCTGCCTGACCCACAGCATCTGCGGCTTCGTGAATGAGAACGGTCTCACTAGACTGCAGGCGCGCGATATGTTCGAGCGCGTAGTGAGCAGTTGTATAGGCTTTCGGTAATGTAGCTGCCGCTCCAAACGCTATGACATCGGATATCCTGTGCGCAAACCCTGCTGGAACACGCAAATGGGTAGCAACCGACCCTGGACACCATACTGCAACTCGATCACCCAAAGACAGATGTTTGACATCAGAACCAGCCTTTATGACAACACCCGCACATTCTTGACCGAGCTTGCCATCAAGATGTTCTCCGCCTAGAATCTTCATATCTCCAGGGCTGAGGCTCGTAGCACGGACTTCAATCTCTACTTCGCCAGCTTGGATAGATTGCGCAAATCTCATGTCTTCTTCGAAGACGACTAGATCTGGCCCACCTCTATTGACACTATTGAGCTTTAGTGGACGACCATCTTGTATCGCGTTCTCTAGTTGCGGTTGCAAAGCCATTGTATTTGCCCGACCAACCAAGAACTGATTCGATTTCTCATCCTCAATAGCACGCTTGATGTGAAGTACACTATTTTGCTCGACAAACTCGCTGTCAACCAGGCTGGCACTTCTTCCCGGACCAAGCTGTTTCTCATAGATGCCAAGAAGCAGCTCAGCGACATCGTGAGCAGGTAAAGTCTTCTTAGCATCCAAGTCGACAGTGATACATGTGAAGTTTTCATTTTCAACTCTCAGCGTACGGGCTAGACCTTGGAAGACGGCAAGTTCAGGACGCTCAACGTCCGAAGATGCAGCGCCGCGTGTGACCCATACTAAACCTGCAGAAGCATCGGCGATGTTTTGGAGAGTCTTTATATCGTCTGAGGAAGGGCTGGCGAGGAGGGGTTCTTCAAGCTCGACAAAGCTGAAGCAAATCGTGCGAGCAAGATCCTGTTGGTCCAGCTTGGAAAGAGACATGAGTTGTGCTTGGAAGCCTGATTTCTCCAGTCTTGCTTTGAGTGCCAATGGCATATCCATTCTGCTCAGTCTGATACGAGAGTCGGCGCAAAGGATGATAAAGCGGGGTGTTTCCGGAGGTGTGATCATTCCGCTCGATAGCGTCGGCTTTGACTCAACGGCAGTGGCGATCATCAATCTTGTGCCCTCCTCGAGCGGATCCAGGACATCTGGGCTACTTGCTTGGAGAGTGCCGAATCCCGTTGAGCGGAGCAAATCCTCCCATTGACTCTCTGTAAGTAGAGGACCACCGGTTCGCCACTCTTCGGATGCGTTCCACCACCCTGGCAAGGTACCGAAGATGACTGAAGCAGCAAGCAATCGATTGGTCATCTCAAGAAGGATGAGCCTTCCTCCTGGTCGAAGCAACTTTCGAGCGTGCATCATAGTACGATGCATGTCTGATGTAGCATGGAGTACATTGGCCGCAACGATCACATCGTAAGAAGCAGGCTTAAAGTCTTGTGTCTCGGGATCATGCTCAACATCCAGCTTTTTGAAGTTCATAAACTGTGCAAAACCTCCGAACTTCTCTGCAGCGCGCTGGAAGAAGTAGGATGAGATGTCGGTGTAGGTGTACGACCTCAGCCGAGAGTACATGTGGAGGTCTTCACAACCACTCAAGCCTTTCAGCGTTGGAACCGTCGCACCACCAGTTCCAGCCCCGATTTCAAGGTAATCAAGATTTGGGTACTTATGCGAAAGCATTGTGGTATAACGCGAGATCTGGGCGTATGTGTTCGGCATGCCGACAGCGGTAGTGTAGTAGTCTTCCAATAAGTTCTCATGCGTCATAAGAGCGAGTGGCTCAACCTCTTGCCTGAACACGGCCGGTAGAGCCTCGCCTACACGAACGAGGAGTTTTCCATCGTATGCTGTCTCATGGTTGCGGTAGTGCTCTACTATGGCCTCGAGCTTTGACACAACTTCTGAACTTTGTAACTGTTGCCATTCATCTGTTTGCTGGGGATGTGTTTTCGTTAGCACAGCATCCCGAAGCTCGCACAAGTTTTGGTAGAACTTTTGGTGATGTGGCAACATGGTAGATGCTTCGCTCTGAGGGACTTCTTGCAATACCTTGTCGATGAAGTAGTATGAGAGTAGCTCTAGTTCCCTTACAGTCTTGGGGCGGTCATCAGGTCGTGGTGCCGCCTGGAGTTCGCGGTTCAGATGTTGACGATCGATGAGTTCCACATCTGGCTCCCACACTGGCTTATAGCAGTGTTTGGGTAGTGCAGACAACTCACTAGAGCCGATGACTGTGTTTATAGCAACGAATTCGAAGCCATCGATGAGGATGACTGGCCTTGAAGTGATCGGATCTAATGCGAAGATGTCACCGGCAGCCTCCCGTATGCTACGTTGTTGGGCATTGACTACAACGTTGAGGGAATCACCAATCTGGGCCGCTACGTTGGCAGATACGGACATCTCCTCGATGAAAGTTGGGACCATGGCACCCTTAAGCTGGTTGAGATTAGCACCGCCTAGCGCAGCCAAGCCGAGTTGCAGGAATGTGTCCAGGGTAGCTGGGTGTAATAATCGGTCATACTCGAAACCTCCTGGATTGCTAGCCTTCGTGTCAGTGACTTCAACGACTCCAGTAGCTTGGCCAGGCATTTGAGGGTCGATGCTGATGTTCTTGAGACCCTGGAAAGTTGGACCATACGTGAGGCCAATGGCATCGACGCCATGGTAAAAAGTTTCAACGTCCACCTTGTGTACACCGTTTGAGCGCGCTCTGTCCCAATCGCTGAGACACTCCTGAGCGAGCTGTTCGTCCAACATGGACCTGCCCGCCACAGAAACCATCCCGCGGCAATTTTCCACCCATCCTCCGTCTGCGGTGTATGAAAAAACACAAAAGTCGTGCCATATCTCTGAACATGAGCTATCGTGGTTGAGATTGCATCTCATGGAGAAGCAAGTCTCTACGCCTGCATCGGCCTCCGACACAACGAGTGCACGTGAAATGCTGACTTCGCGAAGTCGGTACTCACCCGCACTACTAACGCCCTGCGGGAGGAATGTGGATGGCGAAATGGTACACATTTGCCGACAAGCTTCAATGGCCATGCACAAGTAGCCACATGCTGGGAATAGCACGTCACCTTGAACCACATGGTCTCGGAGCCAAGGTTGCTCGCGCAGTCGTATAAAGTTTCGGAATCTGGGCTCTATTGGGTTCCAGTCGTTGACAGGTGCGCCCAAGATATCGGTCCTACCAAACTTTCGGAAACGATAGTCACGGCTAAGGCGCGACTCCCACCAGTAGCGCCGGGTGTGGTTCCAAGGGTATTGGGGAAGATCAGTCAGCACAGACAGTGACTGTTTAGGCTCGGTCGGGAAATTGATGGCATGCAGATCCACCGGGTACCGGTGCGCGAACAATTGACCGGCAGCCTCGAGTGCGGTAGTATCCGCAGGCTTGTTGCGAATGAGGGTTGACAGATACTGAATGTTCGACTTCTGCGCGAATGTATCATCGAGGATCTCTTTGACGGGAAGTTTGAACAAGGCATGAGGTCCGACCTCAAGCAGGATGTCAACAGCGTTCTGACCTCCCGAACCTGATGCGCATAGCTTTGAAAGCGCTCCGGAGAAGCGAACGCTACCGACGAGATTCGATACCCAGTAATCAGCACCCAGGCGGTCTAATTCAACAATGTCTTCCGTCACGGAAGAGTACATGGATATCTGTGCATCAGTCCTGATTGGCGCAACATTTGCTTCTTTCAGGCGAGCCAGATACTCTTTCGCGATTGCTTGCATGTGATGGGAATGGTAGGCAGTATCGACCTGGAGCAAACGCGCAAAGATACCTTTGGCCTCCAAAGTCCTCTGCAAGGTTTCAATAGCTGTGACATCACCAGAAATGGTAACACCGCGTGGACTATTCACACAAGCCACGACAGCCTTGCCGGAACCATCGCCTAGCTCTCTAATGTCGTTATTTGCATCATCTTCGGACAGACCGACTGCCATCATGCGTCCTTCCAGACCAATGCCCTTGACCTTTGGCGATAGAAGACCTCGAAAGAATGCGATAGTCATCGCCGACTCAGTACTCAGCGCGCCTGTGCAATATGCAGCAGCAATCTCACCACTGGAGTGTCCGACTACACTTTGTGGTTGGATATTCCACGATGCAAGTAAATCCACGAGCGCAATCTGCAGAGCAGTGCAAAGTGGCTGGCTGAAGGTTGCTTCGTTAACTCTTGAGGTAGCTTTGTCTTTGAGCAGCTCTTCCATCAATGACCACTCGGCACCCAAGCCGGTGACGACAGATTCACAACGTTGTAGAGTCTTCCTAAAGACGGCATAATGCAATAGTTCTCTACCCATGCCCCACCACTGAGCTCCTTGTCCGGTGAAGATGAAGCCTATTCGCGGTGGTATTGTGCCGCTAGTAGAGCTTGGGCGTATATGTTGCAGTTTGGTTTCCAGAGTGGACTTGTTCGAGGCGACGATCGCGGAGCTATAGGAAAATTGTGATCGGCGTTCACACAGTGTGTACGCTAGATCATCTAGTAATTGCTCTTCATTGAGGCCAATCTGGCCTTGAAGATGTTTCGAAAGATCTTGTGCCATCTGGGAAAGACTCCGCTCATCATTGGCAGATTGGAAGAAAAGGCGCGATCTTGGTGCGTTGCTAAAGGAGTCGTCTCTCACAGGGCTGACAAAACCAGAGTCATTCCTCTTGCGACCGATCGAGCGGCGATGGTGTTGTAGATAGTGATATGCATCGTCAAGAATAACATGCGCATTCGTTCCTCCGTAGCCGAAGGAGTTCACGCTTGCGCGTCGTAGTCCGTCAAGTGGCCACTCTTTAGGCTCTGTAGGCACTTCGACCCGCCATCCTTCAAAATCAATGGCTGGGTTGCCCCGCTCAAACCAAAGATTTGGTGCGATGGTACCCTTCTCCACACTGAGCATGGCTTTGATGATTCCAGCGATACCGCTAGCCCCCTCCAGATGGCCCATATTTGTTTTTACGGACCCAATGGAGAGGGGAACGACTTCCTCAGTTGTCTCCATGATGCGGCGTGGGCGATTGGCGGCGAACACTTCGCCAATTGCTCCACTTTCTATGGGATCTCCTGCGGCCGTCCCTGTGCCATGCGCTTCGAAATATCCCGTCTCGCTTACGTCGATCCCTGCCGCGCGATATGCTGAGCGTATAAGGTCAACTTGGGCGTCTTTCGAAGGCATCGTGATGCCGGGCGTTCGTCCGTCCGAACTGGCAGCTGTGCCACGGATGATGGCTCGGACGGGGTCATTGTCGCGTAGAGCTAGATCTAATGGTTTCAGTATGATTGCGCCAACGCCTTCCCCCCGTGCGTAGCCATTGGCTCGGTCATCGAATGCGTGCGATATTGAGTCCGGACTCAAGAAGTGCATGTCACTCATCTCGATCTGAATGTCTGGACTCAGGATGAGGTTGCTTCCTCCAGCGATCGCCATGGAGCTTTCGCCCATTCGCAGGCTTTGGCAAGCTAAGTGCACGGCGACAAGCCCGCTGCTGCAAGCTGTGTCTACGCTTACACTTGGCCCCTTCAAGTTGAAGAAATAGCTCAGTCGATTCGACAGCATCGTCTGCGAAGCGCCAGTAGACTGGTACTTCGGTGCTAGCTCCATATCTCGCCGTTGCATCTCCTCATAGTCTTTTGTGAAGCAACCGACATAACATGAGGTCTTAGATCCCGAAACCCTGGCTAACGGCGTCCCTGAGTTTTCCAGCGCTTCGTACGTCACCTCAAGCAGTAACCGCTGCATGGGATCCATGGCCATGGCCTCAGCCGGTGATATCGAGAAAAACGGCGCATCGAACAGTGAGACATCCTCGGTGAGATAGTGTCCACCACGATTGTTACACTGGGAGTTGGTTAGCGGGAACAGTCCGTACGGAAAATGGTTTAAGCTTACCGTCCCGAAACGGTCCCCGTCGGGATTGTGGAATGCATTAATATTAAAGCGGTCTAGAGGTACTTCGGTGCGAGCCGACCTCTTCTCAACCAACATCTCCCATAGCTTCTCGCCGTTTGTGACATCGCCTGGAAATCGGCAACCAAAGCCTACAATGGCAACGGGCATCGGCTTGGTGTCTTCACACGCCATCGTTACCAAATATAATGAATCGTGCTGAACGTTGTCAAAGACTTAGTACACGAAGGTGATAAAGCCAGCTGCGAGGGGTCGATGAGGCCATCTGCAAGAAGACACTGTAGAGCAATCTAGAGGTAGGATCCGGGCAGCCCTGGTCAATTGAAGGAACCGCGTCCAGATGAGGGTCGGCCGCGAGGAGCCACACTGATCATTGGACTTCTGCGTGTGCGCGGAAACAGACCCTCCATGACGCGTTTAGCTGCACGATTCCATTCGCAACTTTTGCCACGGACCACATGTTGCATAGACTAACTGTCTGGCAGTCACAGACAGTGATTAGAATGCGCCTGTATAGTATATGGAGCCCGGGCATAACAGTAGCGCATCCTTCGCGCTGTAGGTTACTGTGAATTGCATGGCGAAGACTGCGCGTTAGCCTCCTTGGAAAATACAAAGAGACATCAGTACATTTATTCCAAGTGTCGTCTGTCCAATAACCTCCGTTCTTCTGGAAGTTGCTGATAATATTGACAAATGCTGATCAGATCGGGGAAAGTTGTAGGCGCTATCACTGTTCGACAACTAGAGCAGGCGATTATGCTAAAGCTCATGCATGTGTAGACGCTTCCTTAGGGCCTTTTCCACTCGAACAAAGCAAGCAATCGGACTACTGCGATCTATCTTGTTACGTGGCCCTTGACTGTTGGTCCCCCAGAAGGTAGTGGCGGGAGAGCTTCGGCCTGAGTTAGACCTGTGGTGGAGCAGTAGCTTCGTGCTTGACCTAGTAATTACTGATGATGGGAACAACCTATCACGGGGTTGTGCCTTGGCATTGCGAAGCCACCCGAACGCTGCAAGCGTGCCACCCCGAAGGATCAGAAAGCAGCGGTGTGGCCTGCAGGAGTGCAGAGTGCACGGCGTTCAGGAGAAAGCGCGAAGGAATCTCCCCATGAACACGATTCTGCAGCTTTCTGCAACTGCAAGGGAGGGGTACGGTGGTATTTCGAATTGACAATGAGCCGAGATGGTGTGAGGCTGCCGCGTTAAGGACGAGCCGCGCGGTGGAGCACGTGGACACCCGTCATCGAATGGCAAGGTTATCGCCGCTTGTAGCGCGCTTCGTTCCTGTTTGTGTAACAAATTTTGCGTACATCGGGTGACATGGCTGCGGTGCCATGTCGGCGAACGTGTGGGGTTGAGCAATACGGGAGGATTGAGGTTCCTAGTGGTGACCAGGGGCTATTGGAGGCTAACCGCTTAGCAGCAAGCGGAACAGCAGGTGCGTCTAGAAATGGACGAATGCAGGCTCCAGAATGCAGTTCGTTCTTCGAATGGAAAGGGAACCAGACAAAGACAAGTTGGTCTTCCGAATTAAGTATCTGTAAGTACAGCTTTTGACTCGACTTTTCCCGACTTCATAGTGATTGGCTATCGCCTGTGGATGGTACATCGGGAACAGCTCCATTGGAATTTCCTTTACATACGAGACCCGGTGCGCTTGCTGCTTGCCAAAGCTGGGTCTTCTTGCAGTTGGTCCGTGGAAGACGCAGTAGCCGAGCCCCCAGCAACAGCCGATCTAGGCGCTTCTCCAGCGCCCTCAGTATCAAGATATGCCTCGATCAGGCTCATGTTGCCTTTGCCGTGAATGGCCTTGATCTGCAGGCAGAGTCAGTATCGCGGAATGGATCGTCAGCATTGATAAGCTCACCTTGAGTCGCGGGTCGGCGTCGGAGAGAAGCCGACGGAATTGTTCCTCTGATCGCTGTTTGGCTCCGAGGACCAACATCATCATAATGTCGACCTGGCGCATGCGGTTGTCTTGGTATCTGGAGGCTTCGCCAAGTGCTGGCATGACGACGTCGTTGATCAGTATTGGAGTCCCAGCGGGACTCTTCTCCAAGGCAGGCACCAGTGCTCTGAAAATGCGAATGCAGTCTTCGTCACTCCAATTATGGGTGATATATCGTAGCAGATACGCTGCTGCACCTGATACTGGCTGTCTAGTGAAGAAGTCATAAGGCATGAATGTGACGCGTCCGTTGAGATCCGAGAAGTCGTTCTGCGAGGCGGACGACAGCATAGTCAGCGAGTCCTGCACGATGAGCTCAAGGTTGGGGAAAGTCTTCGAGAAGTCAGTGAAGGCCACGAGGCATTATCCAACATGCATTTGCATACCCGAGCAAGATTGACGCTCATGTGGCCACTTCCGCCTCCAACGTCAATGACCTTTCGGCCACTGATTTTGTCCCATGGAAAGCTCTCCTTGAGGTTGTCAAAGTGCCTCTCAACTACGTTGATTAATACAATAGCTTTGTTCTCGATCGCATGTCACTTACGCCTGGATACGCCGGCCATTGCGCTTGCAAAGCGAGCTGCTCGCTTGGGATCTTGCTTGTAGTACCCGAAGAGATCGACACCGTGTCGTGTCACAAAGGCGTTTCTTTTCCCATCAGTGACCGTTGGCGACTCTTTGATACTCTCGGAGGTCTCAGAAGCTGCCCTAAAGAATTCATCTAGTCTGTAGATGATTCAGCATAACGGCAGTCATGGAGTAGTTGAATACCCACTGGTAATGCATCACATCGCGCCACTGCTTGTCCTTCAAGTAGAGTACGCTTCTCGATGTGTGCTTGAACACATCCGGCTCAACCTCTTGGAACACGCGATCGGAAGAGAGCATTCGGAGAAAGCGACCGACGCGGTCTTCGTCCATACCGGCCTTCTCAGCAATCTCTTTGATGGTCGCTGATCCATCTTCTGGGATAGCCTCGAAGAAGTTGAACTCGCATGCTACCTGCCAGGCAGCCAAGTCATACAGATAGCATACGAACGTGCGTGCATCGTTTCTGGGACCGTTGACGAGACGTAGCAGGTCACGGGCAGCATCATTAAGACAAGCGCGCAAGTTGATCTGTTCCGGAGTTTCGGGGATAGTGTCAGAATCGATGGCGAACGAAGGCTCCGGCACTTTCTTGTCGGTCAAATCACCGACGATCTTAATTGTCAACTGCTGGACCTCTCTTGCTAGCTCGAGCAGGGTGGATTGGTGTTCGGCAATCATGGTATCGGATAGCTGGGTGCACCTGGAGAACTTGTCAAGAGCAAGAAGAATGCTTGTGAAAGACATCTTCCGGCGTCCAAACTGCGCACTTTACCTCCCGTCGACATGGCTCACGTTGGCTACACGACGGACGTATGCAGGCCGATACGTTTGGAGTAGCGCCTGGTGTCTCGGCCATCACGAGCTTATCACTAGTGTCATCCCACGCCCTTTGCGATGCTCGGCTACACGCTGGAGAAACTCGAATCGTATAGTGGGGCCCAATGGGCAAAATCCTTCTTGTACCGAGAGACCAGATAGGATTCGTAGTACGCATCTTACATACGTGTGTAGTGCACAAGTCAGCTTCTAGCTGCATAATTCCCCGTGTTTTTACACGCCAGTAACTTTCTGGCGAAGATCACACGAAGATCTTCTGTGAGTTACAATTGCTTTTTATCGATGTGTATTCATTGCCATATATTTGCCTTTTGACATAAGGCGTCTACGCGTCGGGCCGGCGGAAAGCTAGTGAAATAAATTTTGACAGCGGGAGGCCTCGGTGACTCCCGCTGTTACATACGACAGTTCAAGTACGTGCCTGAGTCAAGCCGCTGTAGGATGAATAGACGCGACTGCAAACCCTGGTCGAGGACGTGGCAGACGCCCCGTTTCAGTAAATCCGCCGCCATGCTATAGGTGCCGGGGCGGCTCTCGGCTCTTCTATCGCGCTAACGAGAACTCCGGTATCTTAGCTGATATGATGGGACCTTGTGTGACTGTTGGCGGTTGAACAGATTGTTGATCTCGGTGAAATGGGTGGAATGGGTGCAAAGTAACTAGCTAGAAGGGACGGATGACCTTGGATGGGACGAGGCTGACTCAGCGGCGCGTTAGAGCTAGTCAGGGTCCATGCAGCATGTATCAAGCTTGACAAATGCTCTCAATACCCTCCTCACGACTTGGCTTCATCTTCTTTTCCAACGTCAATTCCTAAGAAGCCTCATGTAGGATGTGATGCGCAGTCAAGGTACGGAGTTATGATCTCACTCTTGTTGTACGATCACCCTTAGTACTAGCCCGCGATTGTGCTGCAGTAGTGCTACACCTCGGACGTGCACCAGTTGGTCTCCCAACAATCCCAGCCGAATTTTGGCAGGCTGGGCTCAACAGAACACTGCGGAGTGTGACTTATTTGGGAGGTACGGCCACAAGCTAGCTCATCACACTACTATGGCCGTTCCGCCATCACTGATACCACGGCGTAGGCTAATCGAGGATAGGCTCGCGACCTCATAGCTTAATAAAGAGAACAGAGGGACTCGGTTCCTAGCCAACAAGGCCCCCAGCTTGGCATCGTATTATAGTCAAGCTATATGCTTGCCTTTCGAATGATCGACTTGTTACAATTACGACGAGCTGCTAGGTATCAGGCTGATTCTGTGTGCCTGGCGTGGTAATGATCCACTGTCGTCTCGTGGTTCACACGTTCGGATAATGTAGAAAGGGTCTCAATGACGTAGTGCAGGTGGGTCGTGCAGGGGTTGGGAAGAGCAACGAAGATCCGGGGACCATCTCCACTCTCATACCCCTAAGCTTCACGAAGCTTCCCATACAACTCCCTTTGCTCGTACATTTTCCTTTGTTAGAACGCGTGTCGTCATATCCGGTGGCGCGAGAACTTCACCATATTGTACAGGCTTCTACGCGATAAAAAGTTGGGCGCGTCGAAAGCCATCTCCGATAAATCCGCACCCCTGAACTCGAGTCGCGATGCCTGTTAACACCATCTCTGTGGGCGCTGCAGTGACGCCTACGGTTATCCAAATCTATCTCTCACATTATCTCAATCGTCGCCCGCTCGCGCAGAAGCCAACAGCGCATATTTCGTACCACGAAGGTCTTGAGCTAATCCGCCGCTTTCTCCACTATGCTTCTTTCCACACAGTCGACGAACTACAAGCATTCACGTCGCAATGGGTCCCAGTACCGCGTTGGGTGCACGTAAACGTGGTGGAAATTTCAAACAACCTACTGCAACGTTCAGCACAACTACTCAATGCGCAATTGGGACCTGAAGGTATCAAAGCCGTTGGAGGAAAGAATTGGTGGCAGGTCAGGCAGATCCAACGCTTGTATATGAGTCAAGCTAATATTTCAACAGTGGAGACGTGAGGGTACAACACTCAAGGCTGAGTGGATTGAAATGCGCAAAGACTACGATGCGAGGAAACAATTAGCAATCACCAAAGGTGATCGCATCATGCTTTATGTTCATGGCGGCGCCTACTTCTTTGGTAGTGTCGACGAGCATCGCTATCAGATGCAACGTCATGCACGCAAGCTCAAGGCTAGAGTATTGGCGCCTAAGTACAGACTTGCGCCCCAATTCCCGTTCCCATGCGGTCTGCATGATTGTAGGTACTCCTGTCGACAGCTAAGAACGAAATACTGACTACGCTAGGTTTGGCCGCCTACCTCTATCTCCTCGAAGAAAAACACGATCCTACGACAATTATACTCGCTGGCGACTCGGCAGGTGGGGGCATGGTTCTTAGCATGCTTGTGACATTGCGCGACCAAGGCATACCACTACCCGCAGGTGCGATCTTGATTAGCCCCTGGGTGGATCTGACACATAGCTTCCCTAGCCTGGGTGGCGATGACAAGATGGACTACATTCCCTCGCACGGTTTTATCCACAAGCCGAGTATGAGCTGGCGTGAGGTTTTTCTCCCTAGGTTTCTAATACATCACTGACGATGATATAGCACCTCCAAACTCCGACGATATGCTCGAGATCGAAATCTTGTCCAAGAACGCCACGGGGAAAGAGAACAAGTCAGACAAGAAGGAAGACCATGCAGCGAAGAAGGAAGCCAAGGTTGAGCGCGTACGGGGTTACTCGGTCCAATCAGAAGACCGTCCTCCTCTAGGAGACATTGTCAACCCTTCAGCCACGGGACAAGATGCGGATGTCTGGATATCCTCAAATGGCAAATATAGCGTTGGACCAAAGAGTCAGTTGTCCGTCCAGCTCGAGGATGTACGCGTTGAAATCAAGGACCAGATCCAGATGTATGCTCCGAATCACCTTTTGACACATCCTCTGGTATCGCCCGTTCTACAGCCAACACTCGGAGGACTGCCGCCTCTACTCATTCAAACGGGTGGCGGTGAGTTGCTCAGAGACGAGCAAATTTACCTAGCGCATAAGGCCGCCCAACCACTGGCATACATACCACCGCCTTCCAACAACCAGACCACCGAATCCATACAAGCTCAAGCTGCCACTTACAGGCCAACTAATGTTCAGCTTCAAGTCTGGGACGATCTGTGCCACGTCGCTCCTACGCTCAGCTTCACCCGACCTGCAAAACACATGTACCGCAGTATAGCACAATTCGGCGCCTGGGCACTTGCACGAGCTCAGAAGAAGTCCATCGACATCCTTGATGATGATGACATCTCCTTCATGAGCAAGGACTCCGGTACCTCATCAGATTCGGACAAGGCTGGCGCCAATTCTTCGTCAGACGACCCCGAGGCTTTGAACACGCAAGCCAAGCGTACGAAGGCAGAGAGAAAGGCTAGCCAAGACGCGCATGTTGGCAGAGCTGGTGATCCCATTCCGTCATTCGAGCGCCACATGATCCGTCAACGCATCGATCGACATGGTCGCATCTATGCGCTTGCCCCGAAAGAAGACCTTGTGGCTCTGAACGTCCCCAGCATCGATGTCGGTGTGCCAAAGACGGGACCTGTCAGCAAATGGATGAAAGCGCAAGCTCAATGGAACAACAAATTTTCCAAGCAGAAGATCAAGATCCAAAAGCAGCGTATCAAGGACATGCAGAGAGGGTTCGAAGGTTTTGAGGGCGAGACACCACCACCTACAGCCTTGGCTGGTAGAAGAATAAAGGGTATGAAGGCTGAGAAAGCCGCGAAGAGAAGTTGGGGTATGTCGATGTGGTCTGGTTGGGGTAGTAAACATGATCAAGCCACGGTAAGCGCATTCTGCCCAAGTCAAGATGCGAAATGACCCATAGCTAACACATCACAGATCGTACGCGAGAAGAAAGCAGACAAAAACCCCGACACCGAAGCCTCTACCTCCGTTCAAGACCCAGCCCATACCTCCACCGACAGCACAACAGACAGCAAACCCGAACGCAGTCGCGCCACCGGCCTTGCTACTCCAAATGTGAAACGCTCGCGCTCCCAATCCCGCCACTCCGCCGTGACCGACCAAGGCCAAACCGGACTGCCCATGGACGACCTCTCCAAGATCGATCTCCCCAACCCCGGTCTCGCCAATGCAACGACCCTCGCTCCAGAACGCTTTGCATCGTCTCTCCCTTCCCCTATGAGCGAGATCAGCAATACAGATATGCCCCCTAACATCATCGTTTCAGACAACCCTACCGTAAATTCCAGTACCGTCATCCCAGCGACCGATACACTGACTACGCGGCCAACGGCGGGTGGCATCGCGTATCCGTTTAGTTTGAAGGTTAATGGAACGGATGGAAAGGATGTGAATGCCAGTACGCTTACACTTGCGAGTGTAAATATCAGCACGCCTCCTGTTGAGGATGCGCAGAGTGAAGAGAAACAACTTGAGAGTATGGGAACAGTGGCTGAGAGCGTTAATGAGCAGGTGTTGAAGGAGGAGAGGCCGGGTGTTGAGCGGTATTTTGCTGCCGGACAGGGCGCGGGGCTTTTCAGCAGTGGTGTGCCTGAGGAGAGGGTCGGAGATGGGGAGACAGTGGAGAGGCCGGGTGTTGAGAGGTTTGAGACTGCGCAGGACGGATTGGAAACGCTTGCTGCTGGAGGTCAGAAGCTTTGATATCGGCAAGTGAGTCAGGGATGACGAGAGTAGATATGTAATACCGTTGTAGATACCCATTTCCTTATCTCCGTAATCTTAATACAGACATCCATATGTATATTCCATTATTCTTGTCTTCCCTCGTCTCATCTAGACCTTTTGCTCCTTCATCCACTTCTCAGCCTCCTCCTTGTACTCGTCCCTCCACCTCGTCAATGGCGGTCTTTCATTGACAATGTCCCCCACACTCCACAACATCCGCTTCTTGTCAGTTTCCTCCGTGACTTGATCGTCTGGGCACATGATGTAGAACTTTTTGTCCTGCATCTTCGCGTACATGTAGTCTGCGACTTGGTCGGCTGACCATGCACCTTCTGGCTTGGGTTTGACTGAGCCGGGCGCGTTTCCACCCTGGTATGCGTCAGTAATGGTGGAACGTGGATGGAGTGGGTTAGTATGGTGATAAAGGGTGAAGAGTAAGAGAAATTAGGGGTAGGTACAAGCCCTGTAAACGTCCACCCTGGCACCAACAAATGAACCCCAATACTAGTATCCTTGAGATCATAGCTCAGATGCTCAGCGAGTGTCTTCACAGCTGCCTTACTAGCGTTATACGCGGGGTTGCCAGGTGGGTTTGTGATACCCTGTTTACTCCCTGTTATCACAATCGCCGATGGCTCTTTCCCGCCTCTTTCTTTGAAGGAAGGAACATATGCATTCAACCCATTAATTACACCACCCAGATTCGTAGCTAGAATTTTGTCGAAGTAATCCTCGTCACCCCATGTTCCTTTTCCACTAATGCCAGCGTTCAGCATAAGGAAGTCTACATCTTTGCCGACTTGTTCGCGGATCGAGGTCCAGTCCTTGCGGGAGGAAACGTCTGCTTGGATACATGTTACGTTACCAGAAAGGTTCTTGCGCGCCATTTCCAACGAAGACTGGTTGAAGTCCACAATGGAGACACGCATTGAGTGCTTCAGACAGAGTTGGGCGACGGCGTAGCCGACGCCGGACGCGCCGCCTGTTATGAGGGCGTGGGCTGAGGGGCGGAAGACAGACATGCTGGGTTTTTTTCGGGATGAACGTTATCGGGAGGGAATACTGGAGGGGAAGGTTCAATCGTATTGAGGGTAAAGGCACAAGGTTGCGGCATCCTCTTTTGGAGGTATCTAAGGTGATGTCATGCGGGGTTACGTTATCTCCGAAGTGGAGCGACGGTCAGTCTCTCTAAACTACACCTTAATGTGACTGGCAAATGAACCGATACTCATGCGGTCTCTCTCCATCGAACCTTCACACTTTGCTAACCAGGACTACTTCTCCGGTCACCCAGCAACCACACGCCACGGATCATCGTGGCCTTTTTGGGTTTCAACTTTGCAAGAATACCGAGTTTGTAAGTACGGTAGTAAGAACGGAACAGGGTGTAGAGGAAGTCAAGGCTTCGTAAGAAGAGTCAAAGTAAAGAAGAAATCGTGTGAGTAATAGTATAGGTAACTCTAGCGTCCTACCCAGATCACAGTGCCTATTAGAGCTAGTCGCTTGTGGGAGAACTTTCTACATAGGTTGTTGCTAGCTACTGATAACTAGATGGGGTATCATATGCACCTTCCAAACGCCGATAAATGTCAAAGTGCCATCGTCCAGAAGTCGTTCGTGAATCGTCAATCCGCGCATGAGTATGAGATTAGTCCGAGTCATACCCGACCAACGCCTCAAGCAAAGCAGGTTTCTTCATAGGCGACTCAGCGTTCGCCTTCTCCTTTGACGGTGCTGACGAATCCATAACTGCCACCTCCGCTTCAGCATCTCTTTTTCTCTTCAAAATCCCCAGATTGATCCTCGACTCAGGCAAAGCCTTTTTGTTCAGGAACGGATCAACCACCGCCCTCGTATTGCCTACAAGTGTCTGCTGCAGCCCCAGTCGGCTCTTCTCTTTCGCTATCTCCGCTTTGAGTTTCTTCGTATGCGATATAGGTTGCACAGCCTTTTCAACCTTCGTATCCGCAAACAGAGGCTTCCACTCCATATCCCCCAACCTGCGGTCGTCTGTCTCCGTGGCACCAAACTCGATCAACCTAGCGCGTGTACGATCGACCTCTGTTTCATCCACGATATCAAGTCCCAGACTGAACTTGTCTTGCATACCCTCCTTATGTTTGTCTTCCTTCTGCCAAACCTTCCTCTTCCCCCGAAACTCCTTTCTTAGTTTTGCATTGACCTCATAAGGATCCCTCCAAACCTCCGCTTTATCATATAACTCCTCCACTCTCTCCCTATTCTTCTTTTCAGCTCCCTTGTCCTCTATTTTCCCCTCCAAATCTGCAAAAGCATCTTCCCTCCTCTTCTGCTTCTCTTCCTCGGTCAGAAACTTAAGGTCTCCCTCCGCTAACGCTTCATCTCCTTTTCCAGCAGGTCCATAGTCTCGTCTTCGCGCCCCTTCTACAACAATGTATTCCGAATTCTGCGGATCCGTCCGTATCTCCCACCACCCGCCACAAGCACTGTGTTTCATGCGAAAACTCCATATCGGCGTACTATGATAGTTTCCGACTTTCTTTTTTTCGGCGTTGAAGCGTACGCCCTGACCGATGATTGCGGGCGGACTACAATGGTTACACCATACGGCGAAGGGAAGTTCGAAGCGGACGGTGAGGATGCCCTGGGAGATCTTATTTGCGCGTTTTCCGAGAGGGTGTGAAGAGTTGTTGAAGCTTGGTGCGTTCGAGGCGTCGGGCGGGTAATACCGCCCCATGTTGAAGCCCTGCATCGTGGGCGGGCGCGTATAAGGAGAATGCGGGGCGTGCGCTTAGTTAGGGTGACGGCTTGGTTCGGTGTTGGAGTGATGGAATCGCGAAGTTTGGCCGCGGGAGTGGATGACATAAGCAACGATGGGCTGCAAAGGCGTCGCGAATATCACGTGAAGACGTCGAGAGGGTCCTTCACTGTGGGATGCAGCGTGACGTCATGGATGTTGAGGTGTGCATCTAGCTAACCCTTCATGCATACCTGCAGGAAGTTTCCCGGGTTGGAGGGTTAATTAAGGTTACTGTTGATTGCGGCACTAAAAGGCTTGTCTCACTGTAGTTTTGCCACGGTCATTTCCGACGCCTCAAGAATAATGCACGCAAAGACTGGAATTAACACAGAACGCAAGAGATCTTGTATGTAGGATCGGAAGAATAGTCACAATCAAATTGCTTGGGTGTCTGGTCTATGCTGGCCTTGCGTCCAAACGTCGTCGGTCCACAGGCTACGTGGTCATAATAGCGAAAAGCTTCGCCTATACCCATCGTCCTCCAGCTAACCATGCATCATTTTACTCTACAACTTAAGCCTCAGTGTCCGTGATGAGCTTAGTGATCTTTCCAATCGCGATCGTCTGACCTTGATCACGGAGCGTGAATCTACCAAGCTGCGGGTAGTCTTCAAATCGCTCGACACAAATGCTTCCGGCTGTACCAGTGATCTGTAGACGTGCGATGATGCTCATACCCTTAGTAGCGAATCCTGGTGCCTTCTTCGATTTTCGTCCAGTGCCCTTCTCCAGCTTATGCAACAAGGCCGTGATGGTGACTTCTTCTTGCGCGGCGTGGACGTGAAGCACGCAGTTGAATCCGGCTGTGAGGATAGACTTGATGTCAAGGAGTACGACCTGGGCCTCGAACTGGGAGACGCAGTGGACGGGTCGCTTCGGTGAGCATAGAACGTATCCCTATAATGCTAAGTCAGCAAGCGATCATAAGAGAAGCATCAATGAAAGTGCTTACAGGCAGAATGTCTTCTTCTTCAATACCCCTGAGTCGGACGCGAATTTGGTCGCCGCAAGTTGCGCCAGGAATTTCGTCTTCCTGTTCACCATACAAAGCCGAGATGTGAATTGTTTGTCGGTTGGGCATCATAAGGTACCTTTATATTGTTAGTACACTGCACACGCTGGTTTGTAAAGATGTGACCCACTTTTGTTCCTTCTTAATAATACCAGACTCGATCTTGCCTTCAATCATAGTACCCATGTCCTTGTACTTGGCAGCGATGGGCATCATGAAGGGCGCGTTGAGCTTGCGCTCAAGTGCTTGCATGTTGTCGAGGTACTCAAGTAGGGATGGACCGTCGTACCATGGTGCCAGCTCCTATTGGCAAAGTCAGTTCGTCCCTCATGTGCAGATAACCAGGGTGCTTACCTTTGGTACACGGGTCTTGATACCTGTGAATGTTTGCGCGCTGACCGGCATCATACTGATATCGGTCTTTGGGTTGTATCCGAGACCTTTCAAGAACATTACCACCTTGGTAGTACACTCCTTGAATCGGTCCTCGGACCACTCAACAGTAGGATCGTCCATCTTGTTGACAACGATGAGGATTTTGTTAACACCTTGTGTCTTGGCCAGCATAGCGTGCTCTCGGGTTTGCCCACCCTTCTCGAATCCTGTCTCATACTCTCCCTTACGCCCAGAGATGACGAGAATACCGACATCTGCTTGTGAGGCACCACTGATCATGTTGGGCACATATGTCTTGTGACCAGGCGCATCCAGAATGGAGTATCGTCGCTTCTCTGTCTCGAAGAAACCTCGACCAACTTCGATAGTCTTACCCTGCTGTCGTTCTTCCTTGTTCAAATCGAGCGCCCACGAAATGTACCAGGTTTCACGGCCAGCGTCCTTTGCTTCCTTCTTGTACTTGTCGAGGGTTCGCTCGTCGACCATGCCAGTGGAGATCAGGATACTGCCACCAAGAGTGGACTTTCCTGCGTCAACGTGACCCAAGAAGATGATGTTGACGTGCTCCTTGCCGTAGATCTCGGCAAGGGTGGCCTCGTCTACAACCTCCTCCATTTCTTTCTCAATATCTTGTGCCTTGGCAGCAGCCTTCTCAGCAGCCTTGGGTGTTGGGCTGTTACGGCCAGAAGAAGGCGTTGGCGAGGTCCTGCCAGAGCCTGCAGAGGCCGGGGTAGGCTCTCCAGTCTTCTCAATGGCTTTCGCGGCGGTGACCTTGGTTCCAGCATCGGCGGAGCCCTTCTCCTTCTCTGCCTTTTCCTTCGCAGCTGATGGGGCGGCGGGTGTGCCTAGACTGAGGACCTTTGTACCACCTGTCTTCTCGACCTTTGGCGCTGTGGTGTCGCCTCCAATGGACAAAACCTTTGCCTTGGGCGCGCTGTCGCCACCGATTGACAGAACCTTTGCCTTGGGGGCCTCCTTCTTAGCCTCAGCAGGCGCAGCACTCTCTGAGCCAGCCATGTCGGTATCCCCCCGCTTTGCTATCCGTACGGGGGCCTGGCCTTGTTGCGGCTGCTGGGTCTGGAAGTTCTGTTGCTGTTGGTACCCCTGTCCGTAGTTGGGGTATCCTCCTTGTTGACCACCGTACTGTTGTCCATATTGGGGGTAGCCTTGCTGCTGCTGCTGCTGCTGGTAGCCACCGTATTGTTGGCCGCCGTACTGGTTGTATCCACCGTACTGCTGCTGGCCATACTGGTTGTAGCCACCGTAGCCACCGTAGGCCTGGCCAGGGACGAATGAGTTCGCGCCCGGCTGGAACGACTGCGCTCCTGGTGTGAAAGTCGGCGTGTTATTGAGGTTCATGCCCTGCGCCTGCTGCGCGAGGCGCTCCTCCTCTTGTTCCCAGTTGTCGGCCATTGTGACGTCGGTCGTCGCAGGGATAGGTCGTGTGGTTGGGATTGGTAGGGTAGCGACGGCGGGCGTGTGCTGCTCTTCGGGGACAATTATGTCGCTCTTGTCAGCGAGTAGGCGAGAACGTGCGTAAATCCGTCCCGCAACCAAAGAGCGACTACTGAGGTATATAAGTGGACGGGCGTCGAGTGTCGTCGGCGAAAAGTGAAAATGTGCCGCGTCGTTGCTGCCCACGCAAGATTTGGCGGGGTCGCTTTCGGTGGCTGAGTGGGGCTGACTCAACGCCTCGCTGCCTAACATTGGCTAGGGCTCCCAGTAACAAAGACAATCACCGCACTCAAACACTCGCAGTCATTGTCACTTGCCACAGATATTCCTGGTTGCCTTCTTCAGCAACCCAATAATCTGACCTCATGGTTTCTCTTTCCCAAATACCTCACCGCCCAACTCTTCTCATACAAGGGTGAAACCCAATCGAAAGGTCAAGATGGAGTCACTTCTAGCAAATGTATGACTATACTTTGACTCCCAACACGTCATAGGCAGACATAATGTCATCTTTCTCGTACTTGGTATCAGTGCTGACACGTGATAGGTCACCAAGCAGGCTATGAGCTATGCTATCAGAAGCGGCATAGCAATTACAAGCCACTATGCGCTCAAGCAATGCGGCCGACTAATGAAGACGGTCGATGGCAAGGAAAAGCAAGAACTCGCCAATTTGCAGTTAAGGTTAGACTCCAAAATCAAGATCATTTCACCAGCAATCGACATGATCGAGTTGATTGCGGCACGCGGAAATACCTCGCTTGAGTCTGCTGTAGGACTGACAAAGTCACTTCGGTGGGACATCCAGACGCTAGGTAGCCGTGTGGAAAAGGCGGTGGCTGAAGAGCAGCTTGCGAGAAGAGGCAGTTCTAAAGCGAAGTCGCGAGACCAAAATGATGTTGAGCTCAAGATCATCATAGAAGAAATGAAGAGGCTGCTGGAGCGTATCGAAGACGCCGTACCACTAATAAATTTAGCGATTACCACGTCTGGTACCAGTCTTTCGACGACCCTACCCGCTACTGTATCGCCATCGCGGCTCCTACAGGCTAGCACCTTTCTCACTTCTGGAGACATGCAATACTGCGCAACAAAGCCGAGAGTCCAGCAGATCGGACCAACCTTCATTCTCTCCATGTATATGTTGTTCTCTGGATATGCTCATCGGACTCACGAGGAGGATATGCGAGAGACAACATGGAAGGAGGTCATGCACAAGGCACGTGTCACACTTATGAGGGTTCCTCTCGACAATGTCTACGACTTCCCTGCACCCTTTGGGCAAGACAGCAGAAGAGCTGATGAGGCTAACCACCGCCACATCCCATCCGATAGCATGTTGCAGGAGTTTGCCTACCAGCTTCTTATTGTTGAGGACTTAGATGATGGTCGTATGCACGAGTTCGAAGATGGCGAACCTCAGCCGGGGCCATACGATGGTGTGGACCAAGCAGGCGTCCGCGAAATCATTCCTATTCATGAAGTGTCTAAGATTTTCTATGCCGATACGGGTAAGATACTCAATATCGGGTCTGATAACGAGACCAACAACCCTATCTTGTTATTGAAGCGAGATGTCAACGCAGCACCGCCACGCCGGATGATGGAACGCGACACAGAGGAACCTGAGTACGAGTCAGATGACTCACACACCATCGATGACGACGAAGAGGATGCCGAACAAACAGAGCTAGAGGAACAACTCCGACGCGAATCGACACCGCACCTCGAAGAGCCGCCCCCGCAAGAGCCTGAACAACCCACTTATCCCTGGCGACTACCTCCCACGTTGGATCTTGAATGGATAGCCTTTGAGGTATACACCGAAGACCCCACGTCCGATTCCGAGATCGACGAAACAGAAGGCCTGACCGAAGAGACCTCTTCGCCATCCCCAGCAGCCACACCCACACCACACGACTTCCTCGGTCGCTTTTCTGCCCTCAACCTGCGTCCTAGTACACCCACCTCACCCAAACCAACGTCCCAGAACCAAATTATCCCCTCTCCCCAGAAAGCCTCGGCACCAACACCAAAGTACCAGCAACAGGCTCCAACATCCTTGCCCGCCATCAAAACCTCTTTATCCCTCCTCGAGATGCTCATCCGCTTAACTGCACTTCAGCAATTCCAGCAATCCTCTCACCTAGCCATCCCAGACGAATTTCTCAACTTCTTCCTCTCGGATAGCAGTACAGTGGGTGCAGGTGGCGATGCTGAGCTAAGGCGGAGGGTAAGGAGAGAAGCGAGGATGCGGGTGGGATTTGATCCGTATGATGAGAGCCCGATTAAGAGGAGAGGGGAGGAGTATCTGGAGCATGAGTTGCATGAGCATGACCATGTACGAGACGGTAGAGATGTAGAGAGGTCTGTGTATGGAGATAAAGATACGCCAACTGGAGATGGTGGTGGTGGGAGGTTTGACTACGATGGTTATCCTATCGGCCATCGCGCTTCTTCTCCATATTCGCGCTCACGGGGTGGCACACCTGGTTCGCCGGGTACGCCTGGTACTCCCACCATCCCACACTCTAGTCGCTCGAGATCTTCTATCGACATCTCACACACAGGAAGACATGGTTTGGGTCACGCCTCCTCACCAAGTCCGCTATTGAGACGAGCAACCACACAACCAGGTCAAGCTCAACGTCAACCGCCTCACCTTCGGACATTGAAGCAACCTGGCTTTTCGCGGAAGTCAGCCGGTACCACAGCTCCTCGCACGGGTAGTGCACCGCCTGATACGCCGCCTAGCAGTGTGGCTAGGCCGGCCTGAAAACCACTCGCTGATTCGGCCTGGGATACCAAGTATTTATCATGCAAGGAGTACTGTGAAATTTTTTGCGGGGCTGTTAGCAACTTATTGTGGTTTATTTCCCTGTTCAAGTTCGAAAGCGGTATGCAGCATCTCAAAGGCGTTCAAGATACCATTTGCTTTATTCACAGCACGTACCTTTGTGTGAAATTGATTAGTACAGCATAGTATAGCATAGCATAGCATAGCGAGCGAGCGAGCGAACAACCATCACCAGATTTTGCCATAGAAACGAGACAAAGTAAGGATATTTCTCATGATCAGCACTTTCCTATCAACATAGTCGCCCAGTCACATGGGGTTCTTACTTGCCACTCACTCAAAACAAACACAATCAAACAAACGTACAACCCGTCCCGTGCGCCAAGAACACCTAAAGTCGTATTCACATATCCATCACATGACTTTCTCATATCCATTTCCATTTCATACCCTCATTCTACTCCCAATCTTCCTCCTCATCACTCTCCTCAGCCACGGCCTTCTTCTTACCCTCCTGTGGACTCCCCGGCGCCCTGGTGGTTGTTCCAGACACTAGATCATAACTCGCGTCACTATCCGCCACGCTCTTCTCGTCGTTTGATCGACGGGGCTGTGCTGATGCAGGTGTTGTGGCAGGTTTGCTTGTTTCATCGGTAGGCTTGAGGGTCTTGACAGATGCGGCGAGGTCTTGTTTTGGTGTACTGGTAGCGGGAGTTGGTTTCGTAGTCGTGGAAGGAGCGGCGGCTGTTGTAGTAGTAGGTTTGGGCGGTGCTGGCTTGGTGACAGTAGCGTTATCGTCGTCCGAGTCATCATCAGAGTCTTCTTCCTCGTCGGAAGATTCCTCTTCGTCTTCCTCGTCGTCGTCGTCTGATTCTTCTTCCTCTTCTTCTTCCGAGTCCTCGTCCCAGGCTACTTCTTCGTCGGCGGCGGGTGTGGATGCTGTGAAGAATGAAGTTAGCGCTACATCCCTTCTTGGAACCCATGGGATAAGCTTACCCTTGAGCATTTCCCTCCTCCTCTGCTCCTCACTCTCAATAACATGGCGGAGGAAGTAGTATCTGCACCAGAAGACCTTATATTCGACCTTCTCCGGAACACACTTCTCCATTGCACTCCTCAGTTCCTCATGCTTCTCCAGATCCTTAGCAATGGCCTCGGTCTTCTTGTCTACATCAAACGCCGCCTTCCACTTCTCCCATTCAGGACTTGCAGGATCTTTGAGGAAGGAATCGAGTGTAGAGTGGATAACGTGGAGTTGGGCATCGAAGCGCGTGGCATGCACAACCTTCTTGCCGCTGCTATCTTTTGATTCGAAAAGTACCTCGCCGTTCTTGTCAGCTTCGGAGCCGGCTTCGGGAGGCGCGATGGTGACGGCGTCGCGGAGGAAGTTACGGATATTGCTGCCGAATTTGAGGAGTGCTTCGTCAGCTGCGTCTTCTGCCTTTTCGACGTCCTTGAGCCTTTTTGCGGCCTCGGAGCGGAAGCGCGATAGTATGCCTTCTGCTTCCTTCACAATGTCTGCGGCAAGGGACTCAGGACGGTCGGGGTGGGCTTCCGTGTCTTCCTTTGCTTTCTCGGCAGAAGCGTCTCTCTCGGTGGGTGCGGACTTGGAGGATGAAGCGTCGGCGGGTTGGAGGGAGATCTTTCGCGCGTGGCTGATGATGTTGGAAACACTAGCTGAGGCGTTCTTGGTCAATGGCGCATACTGCTTGCTCGCGTTATCATAGTATTGCTCGCCCTATACCACACGCAATTAGAAGATGAAGCCACAATTACACACCGCTACCTTACCTGCTTCCTCACGTTGCCCAAAAAGCCTCCCAAGCGCGCCGCCCACGGACTGCTCGATATAGCTTTGTAAGCATCCTGGAACTCGGCGTTGAAGTTGTTGGTCGTCTCCTGGTGGGTGTTATCTCCGCTGGCCGACGACTGCTTGGTGGGGTCCTGCGGGTAGCTCTCCTCCTGGATATGATCGTAGGCGGAGTCCATAGCTACGATAGTCCAGAAGGGAGTCAAGTTTTAGAAGGTTTGTGTATAGGGTGGGGGTTAAGGATGCTGTTGTGGTCGTGAGACAAGTCGGTTGGGTCAATCAAGGGTTCAGTCAAACGCGGGCGGGGCCATGCATGATGCTCCGCAACTCACGCTAGTAGTTTGGCGACTATGAGCACGCTCGCGTTACACAAACACATGTCTATACACTCGACATGGCAACAATGTATTCGTTCGAGTGCGAAAGCTCCTCCTCTATCATAGCGCATAGATCGTTCTATCGCAGCTCCAGTGCCTTGGCCATCCGCTGCTAATGTACGCACTTTCTGCGTGGTGCTTGCTGTCTTGCGCACCCATCCCAAGTGCACGCAGGAGTCACCACATGATTGCTAGCATGCATCACTGCCTCGTCTGGTTTTTCCGTCGCTCCTCATCTTACATCCGCTCTACGCTTCACCTCTTCTTCTTGCCAACGACCTTGGTGAAGCCCTCGTCGTCCACCTCAGGCTCTGGCTTTGGTTTCGCGGGCACAAGAGCAGGCGCTTCACCCATCTCGACATCGTCATCTTCGTCGCTCTCCTCATCCACACTATCCCATTCGCCCTCTTGATTTGTCTCCTTAACGTTAACACTGCCAGTTGAAACTTCCTTCCCCTTGCGCTCTTCCCACTTCTTCTGTAACGCATCCACCGTCGCCGTGTTGCCCTCGCCAATCTCCTTCCGTATCGTCATAATCTCGCGCGCAACAGCGACCTCAGTCTCGTCTTCTACTCGCACGCCGAATTCGTCCTCGAGGACTTGTAGCAGGACGACTTCGACATCTTCGGCGTCTGTAAGGGGTTCCGCTGCAAAGAGTTCTGAAATTTGGCCTGCGAGCCAGTCGCGCTTATCTGAGGAGTCGGGGCCGCCCCATTGGTTTTGGACGGCGACGGTCAGGTTTGGCCAGTTGAAGAGTGCATGCCAGATTCCGAGGTCGAATTTGGTCTGGTGTTCCTCTGGAGACGTCGTTAGAAAATGAGACACAAATTTGCGCGCCTACTCACCTGATATTGGGCCGAAAGCTGAAGACATGTTGCTGTGTTGCTGTGAAGAATGGCTGAGCGTTGGTTTGCGTCACGAAACGTCGATAATTTTGCCCTTTATCGATAGCGGATTTGGGCCCCGCCATCATTTCATCACAGTGACACGTGAAGACGCGCTTTCGCGTTACGCCACAGCCAGTGCACAATCCCTTAGCGTTGTGATTTGCTTCTTGTCGGCTATATGGTTGTTTCTTCCGTCCAGAAATTTGCCGTTACATCGAATACCTCAATCTTTCCTCACTAACCACTCCATCTCCTTCGCCTGTTCCTCCGTGACAAGCTGTTTAAACCTCTCCATCGTCAAAAAATCATGATCCGAGAACTCAAAACCTGGTATCACCGTCTAGAAATTCTGTTAGCTTCTCTCCTCACCTTTTCTACATCAAGAATAGATATAGTAGCAGCATACCTCACTAATCAACAGCCTCTCCCCCTCTGCCCCCTCAAGCAGAAAACTCGCTTTGTACTTGCCCCCTTCAACAATCCACACACTCTTCTCTCCCTTCGTAACGTCGTTTCCAACGACAAAGGTTTCGATGCGTTTCTTCGCGCCGGGTTCATCGGCGTGGATGAGGACGTAGCGGCCTCGGCCGGAGATCAGCGTGTGTATCTATGCAATCAAATCAACATCCAATATCTGTACTCCACCTATACTTCACTCTGTCACTTGCGCACATGCTAGACGAGTTTGAAAATAGGAGGATGAAGGAGCATACATACCGTCCTCCCCTTATTCCTATGAAAATGGCCCTGCGGATTCACTGCACTCAACATGTAGTATATACTTGTACTCGCATTCCTGATTGCATTGTCGCCCGACATGGGTTTCTCAGCCGTATTCTTCACATCCTCTTCTTCATCTCCGCCATTCTGCGACAGGAAGGGATTGGGGATGGTAAGTGGGTTACGATCGATTTCTGCATAGTAGCCGCCTTCGACGTGTTTTTGTAGCTTGAGCGTGGAGATGATGTCTTGGGTGTTGACGGGCTCAGTGGCATTCGGGTTGGGGGCATATATCTGTGTTATCTTTTCTGGTGCGGACATTTTGGGCTGTTCGGGTTGCTGGTTGGCTGGTTTGGCTGAGCTGGGATGGGATGTGTGGAGTCAGGCTGTTGGTGGTGTTGGCGACTGATGACGTCATCACTGCTAGTCGCTGATGAGGTCTCGGACGAAGTCGCTCCAGCCTTCAAACAACACGACGCGTCGCACACCAACGCATCTATCCATACCTCTATGGATACCCAACGTCGCCCCACATTAGGTAACAGTTAAATCCGTGGTCAAGACGGATCTATGTATGAGCGTGACTACTCAATTGACAACGCGACTAATGTGCTTTACTCTTGAGTTGCTTCAGAGAGATCTATCCGTCGCATTACTCCACACGTCAATTCCCTAGCTAGCGTTTAATCTTACCACTATTCGGTCATTTCTGTCGCGTCATCCCCTTCTCCGCGGCCTTGGTTTCGCTCTAGCAAACCCTTATCTCCTTCTTCACCCTCTTCCTATCCATCTTCGGCCCCCACGTCTTCATTCACATTTTCATGCTCTTTGTCTCCGTCTTGAGCTGCCTCCCTTCCCGGTTTATCCTGGCCGTGTGCCTCGTGGCGGTGTGACGCCGCGACTGCTACTGCTCCTTGAGCAGCAGTAGATGACTCTCCTCCACCTTTCCCCTGTCTCCGAAGGATCTCAATTTCGAAGTACTCAATCGCATACTTCACATCCCCAGCTGTAATTGCCTTGTTACCATTCTTTCCTGCTGCTCCCATCTCCCATCTCTCCTCGATTCTCGTCCACACCGCCTTTTTTCGCGATTTTCCGCTCATTCGAGCCAACTCGTAAAGCAACTCTAAGAGCCTACCTTTCGGCATGCCTTGGTAGTTTTCTAATAGGCGGCCGCGCATGACCGTACCACCTGTAGCTCTTTGGAACATTTTTTTGGGGATGAGGTCTCTGCAGTCATTTATATCCCAATAGTGTTGGATCCAGAGTTTCCACTTGTTGATTTTGGAGTCTAAGGTGTCGGTCGAGAGGATCGGTGATGGGAGCGAATCTGTTTCGTCCCCTCGCTCCGATGCATTATCATCATTCCACTGTTGCACGTTGTTACTAGTGAGTGTGTCGGAAAACTCGCTGGGCTGATTGGCGGGATGGTCGTTCTCTTGATCAGCCGCTGCTTCGAGCGCGCGGATATCCGCTCCACGAGTAGCAGATCCTGTGTTTGCCATGTCAATCACTCCCCAATGCACAAAAGAGGACCTGCCAAAGAATGAACTTACCATCCACCTCTTCTTCATTATCAACCATCTTCCCCTTTCCTTTCCCTTCTGCCATTCCAGCCGGTTCATCCAGGCCAACTTTTCGTCGGACATACGCTAGATCGCTTAGCTGTAACTGTTCAGGTAGAGTATTTGACTTATCCTGCATCCTCTTCATTTGTCCCTCTTCGAGTAGATCGTAAATTCTGTACCATGCGTCATCACCCGGCATATCACTGGCAAGTTCGCTGATAGCTCGCAGAATTGACAAGGGCCAAGTACTGATATGTCCTTTGTACCGTGTACGTTGAGGGATACTTCTAGTTTCGTCTGTCGGAGTATTCCATTGAGTTGCGATGTTTCCAAGAAACTCCAGTCTGTCCGCGTAGTCGGGATCGTTTTTCGGTGGGAGCATAGCGTGGTCGACAGAAGATGATGCTTATGATGCTGAGCAAGAAAAGTGTACATTGATATATACGATCCAGCTCGATGCCTGTTTGTTGTTTGCCTTGGCTTAAACAGTCAGGAGACAGATGTTGATGAATGTCACAAGAACCTGTGGTAAGTGTCCTTGTACGAACTGTACGTAAGACATGTACTGACTTTGTATACAAAGCTTAGTTAGACTCCTGCCAGGCAGTTCTTTCTTCCCAGTTTGGAGTTCTTTCGCACTCTGGAAAGTACGGTGTTCAGAGAACATTGACAATGGCAAAGAGATTGGACTTGAAGAATCGTCGCTGTTTCAACTCTCACGCTAGCACTGCAGACTAAAGTCCCAAAGCAGAGCGCTATCGACATCTATAGGAGTCTCTAAATTCACCACGTCACACTCATTCAGCTTGCTATCCGGCTGACAACTGCCCATCAAGTCGTCAACCGACCACTGCGGAAAAGCACCAATCGAATCAAACGGCTGTTGATACCCAGTGTTCGCCGCATCAGTCCCTGGACTAGGATTTGTGTCAAACTGCGACGATACCGTTGGGATACTATCACTGCCTTCTTCTTCGAAGGCCGTCCATGTACTCGTATCGTGTATCGCTTCCTCCAACATGTCCGATAGATAGCGTGCGGCGAGAAACGCCATATCGGATTTTCGCCCCAGATACCAGAGACCCTCGATACAATCGCCACATCTTTGTCTCGCTTGGTTGCGCTCCTCTTCACTCGGATCTGAAGCTGCGATTTGGACTAGAATGTAACCTGCTCGGGACAGTGAGCGCACAAAGACCACTGTCCACGGTTCCGTCAATAGTGCGGCTTGGCTTAGTGCGAAATGGAAGTCTTCCGATGCTTCATTGCTTTTTACGCTGTGTATGCTAGCTAGACTCAGGTCGGCGACTGCTAGAGCGTTCTGCCGGCGCAGTGTGGCGACAAGATTCGAAGCTTGCCGGCAAGTGCGTTCATTGGGGAGGGAGAGGTTGGTCTCGTCAATTGTAGACAGAAGGTCAGATAGCAGGAAGGTTCCGAGGTGCCAGTGGCCTGCTAGAAGTATATACCATGATTGTACGCGTGTGGGGAGGGTGGCGTGATACTTTACACAGTCTGAAAAGAAGGGAGCGTAGGTGCGGTGCCAATGATTGTAGACTTGAAATGCGGCGTTTATTCCCAACTGTGCGGGTGACATGGTCAGTCGGATGGCCACAGAGGGGAGTCATGGTACCTTCAGACTTACCTCGATCCTATCCGGGGATACTTTCCGCGACACCAATGCTTGGAGATGTGCGACCCGCCGGAACAAGAGTACCTTCACCGGCGCAGCCGAGCTTAGTGTTGACGCGGCGAGCTTGTAGCTACATGGCCACCGCGCCGCTCCAGGGTCCACTTCCAAAGTTCCATCGCGCGTGAAAAGATCACCCCAAACCTCGTTACTCTCCGAGATTTGAGTTGGTTGAGTGCTAGTAAAAGTGTTAGGGGAATTTTTTGGCATTGCGAATTGGCCGTTGTACATATTGGCAAGATTAGTCCATGAGAGGGATTCGGCGTACTCGTGCCCGTTTGACCGTGGCAATTCGCTGTCTTCGTCGTCGACTACGACTGGACGCTGAGAAATCGCAGCCGATAGGGTATCGAACATGACTCCGAGCCAATACAGCAAGTTGAAAGTGTCTCGGTCTTCCTGCTGAAGAGGGTCGCGTTTGCCGTTTCCTTGACTCGCCATGTCTTGTTCCACACGCTCCAGTCTCCGCCTTTGAGCGAGGAGCTGTCGCAGAGCAATCTCCAGAAATATGGGGGCATCGTCATCCTGCACTAAAGCTTGGAACTCCTCGTAATGCGTTTTCAACTTGGAATTTGTGCGTAAAAACGGTCGTGTGGTATCCAAGGGCCGTTGGGTTAGCGAGAAGATGATCAAGGCAAAGACTACGCGGAAAGAATCGATGCCAGCAGCCCGATATAGCAGTTGAGATGTCTGGTGCCAGAGCGTCTCTTGCATGGACCGTTCAAACTTGTTTGACTGAGGAAATCCATCTGCTGTAAAACGGAATTCTGCCGGCTGACCTCTGGCCCCTCTTTCACCAGCCTGGGCCCACTGTGATGCGAAAGACATGATAGTCATGTTTAATGCTTTTGAGACCGTACGTTCTTCTTCGACTGTCAGATCTCGGATGCGAAGGGATGCGTAAGCTCGATCAAGTTGGATAACGCGGTTATACATCCTATTGGACCAGGACCCACCCCATTCTTGTGTAGCTTTTCTCGCTGAGAGAATAGAGGGCTTGTAGCGTGTCATCGTATACGGGCAGTTGTGCTCTGTCAGCCAGCACGAAAGAGAGTTTTCCATGCTATCGTTGTAAATGCGCAGAAAGCCATTAGTTACAAATCCTTGTGAGGTTTTTTGTCCTAGTAATATGTCCATGAATGGGGACAAAGCATCATTTATTCGGTTACGACCATAAGGACGTACATCGAACGAATCTCGCCGGGAGCGGGGAGAAATGAATGATCCTTGCTCAGCATTCTTGCCTGACTGAACTGAATTTGTGTTGCCACTAGTGATCGGTCCGTTCGATCTGTTCTCCGTATCGTCGCTTTGCATGATATTCAAGCAATCGTCTTGTTCGTCGTCTTCATCTAGAGAAGACATCGATCGTGTCCCTCGATTTGGCATCTCGTAGTAAGTCCCGTTTATGGTCGATGTGGCCGGGGCTCGAAAACGGTAGCTGAGAGAGCGAATAGATGTAGGATCTTCGATATGATCGTTACCACCCTGCACAGATGAACGCCTCCGCTTTCGCTCCCGCTCTGTAAGGCTCTCTGAAGCTTTCTTCAACCAATTGAAAGTGCAGGCTTGGTTCTTCCGAAGGCAGTTCGAGCACGTTTGGTTTGTAAAGTCTGTACGTTTGTCCGCATCGCAAGCTCTTTTTCCGCGCCTGCACGAGTCGCAGCTACGCCATTGTTGACGACGAGGGGGCTGTGGTAGTTGCGTAGGCTGAGGGACCGCGTAGGATGGATTAGATGGTGCCATTGAGTCGTCAGATATCTCAGTATGAGGCTTGCTGGGTACTTCGGTCATAGTACTGCTGTCGAAAGTCTTCAACATCTTTGCTCATCAAATCCGTGAGCAGCGAGGTGAAAAGATGGAGTGGGTTAGGTTGGAGATTGACCTCAACGAGGAACTACAGCCCATACAAGGTAGCTGCCACGCGAACGTTGCTAAGCGTGGCCGCGTACAGGTTCTCGCAGCGACCCCGCTTTTTCACATTCACCCTCCCCCATGCGGGGGATCAGCTGCGAGGATGAGATGCCTCGAAACTCTGCGAGACGTCATAGTTAAGTTCCGGTGTGATTGAATGGTGGAAAAGGTCTTTCAGTTCCGCTACATGCCGAAAGGTGCATGAAAATGTTGAATTCGATGGTCACGATCGAAAGAGCTCTTTGCTGGAGAGTTGAAAAGGGGTGTCAGAGGATCGGACCGCTCACAGAAGCTGGGCCATTGACATAACATCACTTTGATTGATATGGATGCTCGGCCATTCTTCCTTCGGACTAGCGTCTTTTCGGCTTCTCTCTACCGATCGATCTACAATATTGAGCGCACCACTCCGATGCCGCATCACGACATCCATCACCCCCCGCTACAGTCGCTGCCACAGCGAACATAACGTCAATTCTCAAGTCCATTTCTATAGACCCTGGTAGACCGCCGACTCGATTGTACCCCATAGATTCAATACTTGTCCGTCAGCGAAAGGCAATAGTTGCGTAGCAACAATGCCTGCAACGCCCTTCTCTCGATCGCACCACCACCAAAGATTAGGTAGGCCCGCCCAAAATGCAGTACTCGCCGATCTTCCTGTTGCGCCTGCACCACTCAACATAAATGTCAATCCCCATCCCTGTGGGCCGTTGCCAGGTACAGGATATATCTCCGGAATAGCGTTTGTCAGATCCGGCTTTGCGGCCGGGATGCCTTGACGTGCGAAATCTGGGAATTGGGTGATTTGATTCTGGAACATGACTTCCACGGTAGATGGAGAGAGGATCTGTGCGCCGGTCGTGAGCGATGTGCCATCGTTGAGGAGCATTGCCAGAATTTCTGATGTATGTCAGACGCTGACCATTGACCAAACGGTGGGTAAAAGTGTCGCACTTACGGGCATATTCTCGAGGCTTCGCAAAGCAGCCGGCTCCTCCGCTGTAGAAGAAGCTTGGTGAATGACCTTCGTCTGGTAGCAGAGGACGTCTCAGCAGGTGATCCTACCGCGAACAAATATGTTAGTATGTCAAATCTGTGGCTGAATGTCATTTGTAGTGCTCACCCTCCTTGAGAGCCTTCCGTTTCCATCCCGGCTGTTCATATACGCCAGATTCCGCAACATCTCGGCATGCGGCTTCATGGATATATTCTTCAACCCAAGCGGGGCGTAAATATTCTCTTGGCAGTATGCTTCGAGTGTACGACCTGTTGCTCTCTCCAGTACTTTCCCAGCCCTAGAATTATCATATCAGTACTTGTATCACGTATACCTCGTCCATTGCCACATACCAGTCAATCCCCAGTCCGTACTCCCAGCCCTCGCCGGGTTGATGCACAAGCGGTTGCTTGATGTCGAATTCCAACCCGGAGAACTCGTCCCAACCTGCGGGTCGACTGAAGTCTCTCAGCTTCTCATTGAAGAAGGTGTACCCAAATCCGGCCGTATGAGACAGCAGCATGCGAAGGGTGATGCCTCGCTTCTTCGGCACGAGGGTCCCATCGGCCTCCAACACCTGAATTGCTTTCAGTTCTGGACAAAGCGACTCAACCTGCGCCGAGTCATCCAAGCTTAAGATTCCCCTCTCCACAAGCTGCATCACGGCGACACCCACTATCATCTTAGTACATGATGCGATCCAGAAGACGCTGTCGAGGGTCATAGGCTCATGACTGCCTGTTCCGCGCCTCCCGGCTGCATGAGAGAAGAGCTCTCTACCGTCCTTACCGACGACCACAATTACTGCACCAGGTATACCAGCTATCTGGTCTTCGCATGCAGCATCGGTGGCTTGCAAAAGCTGGGAGAGTGTTTGAGCGGAGAGCTTGCTCATGCTGAAGCCTGTCTTCTTCGAGAGGTGGGACGAACAATTGCCAAGTATTGGTATGCGCAACAAATGTGGCATCCGATATTCCGCATGCTCTTCATGGTAAATACATGTTGAAATCACCCATGGCCTCGATCATAGCGTTTGAGACAGTTCGTTAATCTGTCCTCACCGGTACCGCAATCTCCTCCAAGAAGGGCAAAGTGAGCTGATGTAGAACAGTCACACTATCTCCCCGCACCCCGCTAAACGCTTGTTAGACCAATGTTGTTATCCTCTAATGTAAAGTGTCGATGATCCGCACCCCCGCCCGTGCCAAGCCGTTGGTATCGACTATTGCGGAAGCGTGTGCGGAAGCGCAGCTCAATACGATGCATACGGCAAAAGGTAAGGAGCTTAGTAACAATGGTCTTGCAACAAGCCAAGCCTATCAAAATGCGAAAAATAAAGGACATCGCTTTCGCCAAAGCCTGAAGAGGTCATCTGAGCCGTGTAACGGACTTGCGGATGCCTACGGGTCCGCCGGGTTGGAGCAGCAATCGCTGTTTTGAGATGGAAAGCGGAAACGCAAGCGGAAGAACGGAGCCGGCGGCGACGATGTCTCTATTGGTAGAGCACACTATGTATGGGTACACAGAATCTGAGATATGAGAACAGACATGAGGATATAAGGACGTTGGGATTCGCAGGACAGGCAATTCATACGGTCAAGCCAAATTATCATCTAGACATCTCCTTGGTCGACTTCCAACCCCCAACATGAAGATCAAAACTGAACTCCACGAGTACGCTCAACGCCGTGGTACTACAGGGCCATACGCCGACAATCTCGATGTCGATGCTCTTGTTGTAGGCGGCGGATTCGGGGGCATCTACTGCTGGTATGAGTTGAAGAAGGCCGGTTTCGACACCGTCATCTATGAAGCAGGCAATGTACCTTCACTGTCTTTGTAAATCAAGCTTCACACCTGTACTGACATGTTTAGGACCTTGGTGGCACTTGGAGATGGAACTGCTACCCAGGAGCTGGTGTGGACTCTGAAATCCCAGAGTATCAGCTCTCCATCCCAGAGACTTACAGGGACTGGGTGTGGCCCAACAACTATCCTGACTACAAAGACTTGCGTGCATACTTTGATCACTGCGACAAGGTCCTCGGCATCAAGAAGGAGACCGCCTTCAATAGCGTCGTGGTTGATGCACAGTTCAACACCCAGGAAGGCAAGTGGACTATCAAAACCGCTGATGGTCGTACGGCTAAGGCCAAGTACTTCGTGGTCGCAGCTGGCTTCGCTGCCAAGCGCTACATTCCAGACGAGTTCGTGGGAATTGATGACTTCCAAGGCATCGTGCACCACTCTTCTTTCTGGCCTGACATGAACATCGATGTTCATGGCAAGAAGTGTGCCGTTATTGGTACGGGTGCATCAGGTGTACAAATCACGCAGGCATGGGGTCCCATTGCAGGCGAGCTCAAGGTTTTCCAACGCACACCCAACCTAGCTGTTCCTATGCAAAAGAGAAACCTTACTGCCAAAGAACAGAATGACACCAAGCCCTTCTACCCCGAGCTCTTCCGTTATCGGGAGAGGAACTTTGGTGGATTCTTGTACGGCCTCTCCGAGAAGGGCACGTTTGAAGACACTGAAGAAGAGCGGGAGCAGTTTTACCAGAAACTCTGGAACGATGGTGGTTTCCGCTTCTGGCTAGCTAACTACAAGGACTACCTCTTCGACATGAAAGCTAACAGAAAGGGTAAGCAGAGTTCACTCGCATGGAGATAACAGCTGCTGACACACTTATAGCTTACGACTTCTGGGCTAAGAACGTACGCACCCGCATTGGCGACCCCAGACTTCGGGACCTCCTCGCCCCACTCGAGCCACCCCACCCCTTCGGCGTCAAGCGCCCCTGCCTCGAGCAAACCTACTACGAGCAATTTAATCGACCCAACGTAGACGTTGTTGACATCAAGAACAACCCAATTATCGGCTTCACTCCCAAAGGCATCAAGCTGCAAGACGGCACAGTTCACGAATTCGACGTCGTCGTCATCGCCACTGGTTTCGACATCACCACTGGCGGCATGACTTCCATGGGCCTCAAGGACATCAACGGCGTCACGTTGCAATCCCAATGGAAGAAGGCGGCATATACGTACCTCGGTACTACTATCGCAGGATACCCGAACATGTTTCATCTCTATGGTCCGCATGGGCCTACGCTTCTTTCAAACGGTCCAACGAGCGTCGAAGTACAAGGCCGCTGGATCGTGGATGCTATCAAGCAGATTGAACGGCAAGGACTCAAATATATCAATCCGACGGATGATGCGAGTAAGAAGTGGAAGGTGCGCATCAATGAGCTGAGCGACAAGAGTCTGTTTCCTACGACCAAGAGCACGTATATGGGTGGAAGTATGCCGGGCAAGGCTTTTGAGCAGGTCAACTATGCTGGGGGGTTGCCGGCGTATGCGGATGAGATTAGGGCCAAGTTGCCGAACTTTGAGGGGTTCGAGAAGGTGAAGAAGTGATTGGGTGGACTGTAGTGCTGCATTGCGAGGGACCGGCTGCGAAAGCTAAATCTTTCATGCTTTTGATCGCGCCATGTATTTACTTGTGTATGACATGATAGTCTGATTTAGCCACTATTCTTGTCCTTCAGTTCTCTCAATCCCTGTCTCTCACTCTCCTCAATGTCCGTCGCTATCATGAACATGCACCTCGCCACCCTCATCACTCCCCATATCCAACCTTTAAAAGTCTCCTATTGGATTCCACCCTCGCATGCGTAAAATTGACCTCCTGCTCCGCCGCCGTAACATTCCTATTATGGTTCAGCAGATTGACGCCGGTTTCGTCCTGCTCAAAGTAGGCGTAGCACGGTCGTCACGAGCTAGGTTATATGCTGTTTCGGCTGTACGTAATGCGTGGATGGCATTATACAGTGCGAGTGACACTTGATTGTCTGCTTTGATGGGTTGGAAGAGTGTCGGATTGCGACCGGTGGCAGCATGGACTTGCCTACGAGGCAGGCGTACAATCGATTGTTCGCGCGCCGGTAGTTGTTGGTGAGTGTGCTGTCGTTGGCGATGTCGAGGTGCACTTCCGTGCGCTTTCCTTGGGAGATTTTAGTACTGGAACAGGCGACAAATTATGTTATTTCACTCCGTGCACAAGCATAGTGGAAGTGGATCTAATATCCTCCCTGCTTAAGGTCCTGCCACCTCTGTTCATTGAAGCTTCTTCCAACGCCACGACGACATGCTTGTATTGTCCTCGAGTGGCTCTTCGGGGGAGATAGGTTCGGGATGATTGTCTTGGTCGGGTCTGTTCATGTGTACTAATTCTGAATCGCACGAGCACGCGTTGGTACCACCATAGACTTACAACGGCAGGAAATATGGTTGCCCTCAAAGTGCGCCATATTCAAATCAGTAAGAGTTTCTTCGGCTCGAGATTCCCCCGGTTTACTCTTCTGGTTTGGGCATTTGGGCATGGTTGAGACCTCTCAAGAGCAATGGCAGTTTGCGTACAAGTCAATAGCTTATATTGCGACGTAGTTTGCTGTTACTTCCTCCTGTCATATTCTATCGTGAACCAGAACAACCTGAGCGATCGTGGTCAGCAGTAGAACCGACTCGAAGGGCGCATGCAGTAACATAGTTCAGAAGAAGTCTGTAGATTCAACCTTTTCTATTCTCATTCTGGCCATGACGCCACATCGTTAAATCTCCTCCCCTATTCGTATTCGATCAAATGAACAAGAAACCCAAGTGTGGCTGACGCATGCGCCTGAAAAGAACTAGTACCACAGGCCCAAACCGATGATAAACAATTAACAAGAAACGAAGGGTATATGCCGCCAAAGCGAGCGAGACTATGAAGATATATGTGAACACCGAGAACTCCAAAAGCAGAGATTCGTAGATCTGGCTTTATGCTGCGCTTATTTTTGATGAAGATGATTTGGTGTTGTCGTGGTCCGTAAAGTTGGTGTTGGATGAGACGACGGGTGATGTAGGAATGTACATCGGAGCATGCCGGTGATCGCATGACGTGACCAGTAGTTGACTGCTGACGTTCGAACGACCTCGCTCGCTAGTAAAAGCCAGTCTCAGTCCCCAGAGCGAGAAACACCCGGCACGGCAACCTCCATGATGAGAAGACTCTTCAACATCATAGAAGGGGGGTTAAAGTTCGGCGGTAGCCGGAGCCTCACACATACTCTGGCCAATAGTTGTATGGCATAAGACTAGGACCAGTCCACTTCTCGCCGTAAGGATTCGTGCGCTTACCAGCGATGAACCCGTCATGAGCGTGTTCGAGGACTGAGATCCATGATGAAGGTTCAGGATGTTTCATCCACTGTGATAAATTGTTAGCGTGCGTTCTTTCCTTTTTCTTTTGGCAGAGTACTATCTTGCAGTCCCCAGACACGAGCCGTTGCCGAGCTAACTGCTGCAGGGACAGACGAGCTAAAAGCGCCAAAGCGGGGTTGAGGTGGCAACTAGATGTGCAAGAGAACGCAGAAGGGAGGAATTTTGGGGGAAAACTTACCTGGTTGTGGATGTGGTACGTCCAGGCACCCCGGAAGAAGTTCTCCAACGTGCGGTTGTTGGGTGGGAACTTGTCTTCGGCCAGAACGTAATCAGTAATCACGCCGGCCTTGCGGAGCTCAGCCTCCTCGTCAAGCGTGGCTTGGAATGAATCGGGGTGCTCTTTGTCGCCGTGGTTGGGCGTTGGTAGAGCGGCCGAAGCGGGCGCATTCTCCTCCCCGCGCCTGGTCAATGTGTCGCTGGCGGACATCCTGAGCTCTTTGCGTTGCGCATCTTTGAGGTCGATGCGATCGAGCTGTGGCCCATCGTAGCTCTCCCATTCATCCTTGACGCCGCCAATCTTGCCCTTGAAGACTGCGCTGTAGTCGCGGATGCAGGGGACTGTGCATCGTCCCTCACGGTCCCAGTTGAACTCCGTCCAGATAGGGTCAAAAGCAGCAGTCTCGAACATCTTGAACTCCTGATCGCGTCCGTCCTTCCAGGCCATGCGACCAAGTACACGGGGGTGAAAGTTGACACCCATTCTGATACCGCCGTAGAGCAAGTACGATGAAAGGGAGGAGTTTGCAGATAGTGACATTATGGCGGTGTTGTAGTCGCCGGGGTGAGGGTGTGCCGCCCATCGTTCTGCCCAGGCGTGTTCCTTTGGCAAGAGAAGTGGTCGCATGTCTCGGAGCATCAGGACATCCATGTCGAAGTAGGCGCCTCCATAGATGTGCAGCACGATGAAGCGAACAGCATCGGAAACGGCGACCGGAAGGAATGTCATTTGCTTCTGCGTCAGAACGAGCCACTGCTGACCAGTCTTGTCCTCGATGATGTTCTCGGCTACGTCCTTCTCGCCCTTTGCGTTCACCGCTCCGGGCTTGCTGTAGTAGTCGAAACCATTCTTGTCTTCCTTGTCGGTGGCTAGCGGAATGCGGCTGGGGAACTTCCAGGGCATGACAACGATGTCGCCTCTTTCGACCAGAGGGAGGAAGCGAGCGAACAAAGCATCCTTGTTCAGCATGTTGTACACGGCGTTCGGATTGTGGTCAGTGTCGAGCCATAGCCAGAGACGAGAGCAAGCCAGGTTCTGGGTGTAAAGGTAACTCTTGATGAAGACCTCGACTCTCCAAGTCGCAGGACCGGTCCAGTAGGTGTGGTACGGGATGATAGGGCCTGGGCAAGTGCCGATGTTGGTTCCATTGGCAGCAATTGCGTCCTTTACAGGAGTATAGCTCTCGAGAGTCTTGCCATGTCCGTCTGCGTCGATGAAGTCGGCCTTGCGGGGGTCCTGGGCGCTGGCTCGGTCGGCGGGCTCTGGGAGGCTGTAGTAGCGGTCCTCGCCCTCTGCGAAGAACTTCAGACAATCAAACGGCTTCCTCATCTTCTCGATCCCAGCATAGGTGCCCCGGCACTCTTCAATCAGCATATCAATGTCGGCCTCAGTATCGACATGGGGCCTGGGACCCAGGTAGTCGTCCTTGTTCTTGACAGCAGTAATAGGACGGTTAAAGACGTTGGCGTGAGGGTTGATAGTAACGGTCTTGGTGGTGCCCGCAAACTTGACTTTGACTCCCGCCTTGGTCGTCTCGATCAACTCGGTGGGCCCAGCCTTGTCCAGGAAGGCAGGGATGCCAATCTTTCCCTTCGCGGCGACAGAAGGGTCATTTATGAAAGTGATGACACCGTAGATAACTGCATAGAGCAGTGCTGCCAATACCAAGTTCTTGCACAGTGTGAAGACTGCACGGAGCTTGGATACTTCCGCCATATCGATAAGCTAACGGGCAACGACCCGAAGCACAGTTCCCGAGTATTATTCGACAATAGCCAGTTTCTCGTATGCGTATCAGTCCTGTGGAGGTCTGAGGTCTGCCGTGAATTCTTGTTTGAAAGCGCACGTGTCGGACTGGCGGTCGGGGGGGTCTTCGCGACAATGGCGTTTCGGGGGTTGCTATGTTGGAACCACGAACGTGTTGTCGCACAACCCAATATTCGCAAAAGGATATATTAGGAAGAATTATCGGGCGAAACGTGTAGGTGTATGCATTAGGTGGTACCGAGTTTGGTCCTGCGCGGCTGTGTGAGGCTGTGAAGCGGATCGTAGGCGCGAATAGGCGTGATAGGTCGAGGGAGGGCCTGTCGAGAATGGAGCACCACAAGGAGAATCGCACACAGCACGACGGTCAAGGACACACAGGAATGAAAGACAAGTCGGCACCAAGGAGCGGAGGCGGCGTAGAAATGAAATCAGGCTTGCGGGTTGTGGACTGCACCAGACCAGCTCCAGTTCGGGGTTGCAAGCAGCTAAACTAATTTCCCTGCAACCCGCGCCACATGCTGACCCGCGCACCACTTCCCCCTGAGCACTACCGGACAATCGTTGATGGTTGACAGATTTACTAATGTCTTTTGTTATTTTCGCATTCGCTGGCACGTACTCGTATATCGCGCACGCAAATTTCTAATTGCAAGAGGTCGGAGCTTCTTGTTGATGCGCTTTGCTTGCGGCGGTCGCGACTTCCCCTAGGGCGCCTACCGCCTACCGCGTCCGTATGCGCAAGCGACAGCCCCCAAGCGAACTGAGGTCTATTCTCCATCTTGCTCGCCTTGCTCGCCTTGTGCCTTGTGACTACATTGTGCCCACCATCGCTTGCATGCTCCCCGTTGATGCTGCCAAACTCCTGTCTGAAGGCTTTCACTGCCCTATCATCGCCGCGACTACCGCATCTCGCCTTTCGCACCAGTTCGAGCGCTCTTTCCAGACGCCCTTACTCGGCGGTCACCGCTCCACCACGATGTGAACGGATCGACATCCCGTGTCGGTCGAATGGCTCCATCACGGTTGAGTAAGTATGCCTCCCGTCTTGTCTCTTCATATGACGTTGCTGTCGCTCCATCTTGCACTCTCGTTGCATTTGCCCGGATAAACCTCCGTCTACTGTGCGATGACCTCACAGCACTTGACTCCTCCACAATCCAACACCATGCCCCGCCCTAAGCGAGCATCTTGAGATCGCAGCTTCTGGGCATGATCTTGGCTTGTTATGTACTTACTAACAGAATCCATACAGCGTTTTCCAGGCGCCAAAATCTTCAGCTCCAATCTTACTCTACATACCTCCAGGACCAGTAGTGCCGAAGAGCTCAGATGAAGAGGAACGCGTAATAGCAACACTGCAAGAGTCAAGCGCTGCGACCATCGTTCGCATCAACTACCGCGCATCGTCTGTGCACCAGTATCCCACGCCTTGTCATGATGTGTTGCTTGGTTATGACTGGGTCCGCGAGCATTTGCTTATCGATGAATTCAAACGGCCCTATCTAGCACGTCTTGGTGTATGCGGAGAACTCGTCGGCGGCTCCTTGGCAACCATGCTGGCCCTGACAGAGTGCCGTGCTGGAGAGAGCCGAGTCGCTGCTGCTGCCATTAACAACCCAATCGTAGACTGGGTGTTTCCAGACGACCTTCCAGTTGTCCAACTCGAAGATCTCCCGGAGCCTCAGTATGGCGACGAAACGCAACTTCCTGCAGATGAGGACATGGCTGGTTCATTAGCCATTCGCGAAGCTGTAGAGAAATTGCAAAATGAACGTAAGCGCCCCAAGAAACGTTCAGCAAAGACACCGCCTCCGACGTCTTGGCAGGCTTACAGAGACAACACAATCATACCTGCCTGGACACTATCGGAAAAGCGTGACATCCTATTCAAGAAGCCACAAGACTACTTCGACCGATTCGCTTCTCCCATCCACTTCTTCCGTTCTCCTCACGCACAACTAATCTTTCCACAACAAGACGACATCTTCGCGTCGCAACAGCCTGATGAACTCCTTGACATCGAGACTCAAATGGCCCTTAACCACTACGCCACATTTGAAGACAATATCAAAGCCCCACCAGCAGTACCAACATTATCCAGATGCCGTGCCTACGCCCGTAACTATCCTCCAGCTGGCACCAGACTGAGTTTGCCAATCTGGAACATCACGACTGGTTTGGAGAGTCCATTGTCCGATACCGCACATGAATTGGCCAAGATGTTACGACGCAGCATCGCGCGTCAAATCCTGAAATCGCATTCTGGCCGGTCGAGATGGCACGACGTTGCAGAGAAGAAGCAATACGAGGCAATCGCCCAGGAGCGTGTAGAAGTAGATTCGTACGAAGGTGTAGGTCTTTGGACTCAACCAGATACTAATGTAGAAACAAACCCACCACTACAAGAAATTGGAGCATGGATGAGACAGCGCTTGGAACCAGACTTCGTCTAGATTGTAAAAAATCTCAAAATTCGTCAGACTCCACACCAGATCATGTCTCAGTCTCCAGTGCGTGAAAACCTTCCAATGGCAGAAAACCCCACTTTGCGTGTACATTGTCTTCCTTGGAAGAAGTAAACAATACGAGCTTGTCCGCTCTCTCCAGCAAGCGAACAAAGCGATGCGGTATGCCGGATCCGGTCAAGAAAACCCATGCTTCATTGATGAACAAGTCAAACTGGTATACAAAGGCTACGCAATCGACATGGAAACTTCAACGCAGTGTTGGCACTTACTGGGAAGCTTAACCTACTGGATGATACATACACGTTCTGTACGGCGGGTGGCATATCAATGATACAGCAATGATGACTACGACCCCGACTATCACCGCTATCGTAACAAGAGCAACAACCTCCGTCATGAGATCGCCGGACCAAGCGCCCATCTATCAATCCACCACCTCTCTCTACCGACTCAGTCTACCTAGCATAATTAAATTCCTCGTCATCCTTTCTTCCATCCTAATAGTAGATCACTTTGCCCATCGCCGCCGCGTTTCCATCTCAACAAAGGCAGATCAAGAACAAGAACTAGCGGAAGCATGGCAGGAACCCTGGTTAACAAAAGACTGGTCTACACTATATGGGCTTATCGCTTTGGCACATGAGAACAAGATCCAGCCTCGACATACACTTTTCCACACCGAGCATATATCCACGATACAGGCGAGATTCAAGAGGCCGCATCAATGGGCACTGAGGCGGCTGCTCGAGCGAGGTGTGATACCATTACGCATCAACGACGGTGGTGTGTCGACTACCCAAACAGCGACGTGGGATATATCCCTAACAATTCCCTTCATCCAGCTACCGCACTACCAGCAAACAAAGAGTAGGGCATTTTTCGAATTCCTCATCCCACATCCCGAACATGCGGAAGTAACGCATCTTATCAGCATCCTGGGCAGGAACAGAATGGGCTATGGTATCTCAACACGCACCCACAACTCCGTATCCCCAGAAACCGACTGTTATACCGCCAGCAGCCTGCGGAATCGTCAGAAATCAGGCTCTGGTTTCCCCCTCTCTTTAGGAGCACGGTCCATTTGCGAGGTTTTGCTTCCCTTCCTACCCGACACTGAGATACTGCAAGCGCAGAGTACGTTGCTTGGTCGGCTACACAGTTATTTTAGATCAGGACCAGACACAGCGGACGGGCAAGATGATCGTTCGCAATCAAACTTACGCACGGAAAGGGTGCCGCTAGTACCGTTATTACAATATAGTAGCTGCGCCATTGTTAGGCTTGAAGCGCCGCATTGGGGGTATGTGGAATTGGACAACTTTGTATTGGGGGCTGTGGAAGAGAGTGGAATGAAGGATAGGTGGGTGTGGAGCGTGTGTAAGAGTCGCGCAGTAGACGAGTTGGAAAGGTATGAGCCGGAGATTTGATGGGCAATATTAATGTGAGATTTGAGGAATGAAAGAGAAGTCTGCTGGCATATATTTCTGAATCGTTGAAGCCGGTCCCGAGCTGGTGTGACACCAGTGAAATTCATGATTATGTTAAGGTGTAAATGCCTACAAACGATGACTAGGCCTACGAAACACACCAAAGCCCAAACGAACAATCCTGTTCCTGGCCTTTTGAAGATGGTCAATTTGCGCCGTTCCATTGCGGAGCACACAATCCAGAATTAACTGATTATCTGCCCAGGCCAACCATCGGCCTCAAAAAAGAGCACAGGCTACTCATCTACAAATCAATCAAGGGCTCATCAACAACCTTCTGCTGCTGAGCCGGCAATTGATTCTGCGGCGCTGATGGGAAACTCTCAGGTCCATACCCACCTGTCGCATAAGGCGCTGATTGCCAGGCTGAAGACTGCTGCTGCTGGGGCGCTTGTTGCTGCTGTTGCCAGTACTGTTGTGGTGGCGGCGCTGCCTGCTGCGGAGCTTGCTGTTGCTGCTGTGGAGGTGCTTGTTGGGGGGCCTGTGGCTGATCTTGCCTGGGATATGGCGGGTTCTGCCACGCAGTCGCAGGTTGCGCGGGCGGTGAAATGGGTGTCTGCTGTGGTGGGACACGAGTATATGCTTGTGGAGAAAGTGGTTGCTGTTGTTGTTGCTGCGAAGGCTGAGAGCCGTAGCTTTGAGTTCGTTGCATGGGCGGTTGAGATGGTTGTGCTGCGGCGTTCTCACCGTAGTAAAAGCTAGCACTTTCCGCGTCGGAGGGAGGTGCTTGTGGTGGATATGCAGAGGACGGTTGTGGGGGATATTGCTGATTCGATACTTGGCGCTGCAGTTGTGGCGAGGCAGGATTCGGATACGACGTGTTAGGTGGCGGTTGCGCAAAGTTGGGGTATGGCTGTGATGGTTGCTGGTACTGATCTTGAGGCGGAGCATAGGACTGTGGACGCTTGTCGAAGTTGGGATAGGGTGCTTGATAGCCGCCACCGTATTGCGATTGCGGTTGTCCGTATGCGCCTGAAGGGGCTGCGTTTCCTGTGTAATAGTTCTCGCCTGATCCATCTGGTGCTCCCGACTGCTGTATGCTGGGGTAAAGGTTGGATGGAGCCCGTTGGGTGGAGACAGGGAGACCATACATGGCGTTGGCCTGGTTGTAGGTGCTCGATAGTCTTTCCTCGAGCATGCGGTCGTAGTATCGGACAACAGTTGACAGCTTGGCGTGTAGGTCAAGCAGTGTGTCTATTCTTCTTAGTGACATTCTAGCGACAAAGGAAAAGACAACGTACCGTGCTTGCTCATAGTCTCGCCATAGGTACGCGCAAGCTTCGGTCTAAGCTTTCCGATGCTCTCGTACAGCTCCTGTATCTGTGGTTCCCGTAGGATAGTGCCAGGTGCCTGGTGTTGTAACCGGTCAACCAGTGTGGAGAATAAGTTGATGTTCTCCGCCTCAACCGGAGTCAGCTCATAGTCGTTCTTGGGTGCAACGAAAGGTGCTGAACCACTCGCATTGGAGGCTTGTTCTCGGAAGGTCGTGGCATATTTCTTCTTCTGCTCCTCCATGTCTGCCAAAGAAGCTGCAATGGCGGCAGCTAGGTCGGCATCTTCCTCCTCCTCGGGTTGCCTCTTAGCCGTCCCATTGGTCGGTTTGGATTGCGACTGCAACTGAGACTGAGGTACGAATCCGGACGAACTGTTGCCCTTGGCTTCGTCCAAACTCATCTCCAGCGCTCGCTTCAAGTCTGCATCGAAGCTGTCCTCGACGCGCGCATTTCGCGGCTCCATTGATCCCTGATATAGCGTTCTTTGTGGTTTAGGCGTATCGAATACCCTAAGAAGCGGTGTTCCTCGCGATCTCTCGGTAAGCTTCGCATGGCAGCCATCGTCGACGCGCACAGGGTCCATGATACCGAGATGGGGTAGCGGGATGCTCTTGCTCGAACATGCGCCACAAAAGACGTTTCCGCAGTTGCGACAATGGTGCTTTCGGTTCGTGAAGGTAAAGGGCGTACGGCATCGCATGCAAACGTCGGAGTCGGTCCACTCTGGGGGCTACCGCAAATGTTAGTTCCTGAACGATTCCTAGAACGCATATAAACTGCTCACCGCACTGCTGTCGAGCATACTACTAGAGATGTTCTCCTTTGGAGGGAAGTGGTAGCCTTCTCGTTGCAGACTGTGGTAGACCTCGTTGATGTAGCTCAGGTTGATGCGCCCTTCAGCAGCAGTCGCCCACGATTGTATAAGCTCGAGCATCTTGTTCTTCACATCGTTGTTGGGTGCGACGGTCGGAGGTGCTTTAAGTAGGGAGGTCATGTTGTCGAGGAACTCTCGTGAAGCTATCTCTTGGATGAAGTGAGCGCCACCGTTCTTGACGCACGTGTCGGTAAGCTATAGCGTATTAGCAGAAACTCATGTCATTTCGGGAAGCTTGCGGTACATTCAAAGTGGCAAGTTGGACGTTGGGGTTCTTATTCCCTATCCTCTTCTTCAATGCGCGCATGGCATCTCTAGGCTGCACTGTCTTGGAGCGAATAACGTCGGAAATCTCGAGGTTGAGGGGCATGTCCTCTCTAGTATATATATTAGCATGTATATTGAAGCTGTGCATATCTTGGAAAAGCCCATACAAGCTCGAAGATGTCGCGCGCTCGATCTGCTCGTCGAGCGCGCTGGTGGTCGAGGACCCGAACCAGCCCGCCATGATGTTGAGGCGCTCCCAGCTGGTGGATAGTTTCTAGGGTTTCAAAGATGTAGAGGTGTATTTGGGTGCTGGCTTTGGCCTCGGATTAGTGGAGCGGATTAGGTCGACTCTGGCGCGCAGTGATAGTGGTAGTGGGTGGTTAGGTAGCAAGCTGTCCGAGGTGAGGGTCTTGGCGATGACGCCGGCCGGCCATGAGCCTCATCGACCGACACATGCCTCAACCCTGCCCACGACGGGAAAGCTATACACGCCCAACACTTGCACCGAGGGCACCCAAATCCCCCTGGAAATTGCTGCTGTAGTCACTGCACAATCACCGCCCAACTACTCGACGCTCTACCCAATCACGCGCTACCCGACTCGCCCCGCATCCCCGATCAACACTGCCTCTCTACGCACACGTATTCGATTACGGCTACGACTATATCCAGGTGCGCCTTACTTGGGACCTCTCGAACATGCACGCCTGCCCGCCGTCTAAAGTGTGTTTGTGAGTGCGGCTGCTCCACGGCCGCCCTCAGGACCTCTGCCCGCCAACAACACTATGAACGGCTACACCAATGGCGCTCACGGCGTCGGCGCAGATGGATGGAGAAGCAGCGATGGCGCTGGTGACTCCAGAGGTTCTGTAGGCCCATTTCCGCCCATCGCCGAAATCATAGCCTCTGCGACAGACACGGCCGAGTCGCTGAGACACCATTCGGTACACATCCAAGACACGCCCAGTATGCGACAGTCGCTGACAAGACATAGATCAAACTTCTCCTGGATAGGGCCAGAGGACATTTCAACTCGGCTAAGACGATGCTCAATAACCGCTCACCTGCCGGCGCTTACTGGGAATACATCGTCGCATATCAAATCGTCGCCGAGCTGATACCAACGCACCGTGATTACTACGACAAGATCAATGGTAGCCGGAGCCAGATCCACCGCGACTTCAACGATCTCATGAAGGAAATCAAGTCGAGCGAAGAGCGATTCGTGCGCATCAAGGACATTATTAAAAATGATAACAAGAGGAACGGCGCCCACCACAGGACTACCTCTGTGCCGCCCGCTACAACACCTAGCAACCGCAACGGCATGATCGCACTAAGGAAGGACGACGAGCTGATGCTTCCTGAAGTTCCTACCGAGATTCCAAATGGTCCAGCTTCACCTGCGGCTCCTTTGGATTCTCCTCGGAGAAAACCGCCCGTGCAACCGAAGCCGCAATCACTGCATGGCCGGGCTGTACACCAAAGTTTGTCATCGGTGAACGGAGTAAATGATCTCGCACAACGGTTTGCGAATCTGAGAGGTTCTGGTCCACCCGTTGATACATTGTCCGCCCGCTCCAGCCAGGACTTGTCTGTCAAGATGCCGTCTCCTGCAGACTACCATTCCACAAGTCGGGTCATGGGTCCCCGGGGTATGCCCCCACCACCTCTTTCGATGCCCCCACCGCCGCCAAAACTACCTCTAGATACACAATTCGCAGCTTCACTACCAAAGGAGCCCAGTCCTACCTATAGTCCAGCACGGAACATATCAGGCCCTTCAAGCATCAACGCACCTCGCAGTACGCCTAGGAGTTTGAACGGGACTGGAGGACGTACAAATTCACTTGCTTCGTCCAGCGCATCAAGCTATGCGCCCAATGCAAACAGCGCACCGAACTCGTATTTTCCTGCTCAGCAAAGTCTTCGCGATGTCAATGGGAGAACAAGATCTGTCAGTAAGACGGTGGAACTTGAGATTGACGCTAGCATGCTCTATGACTACTACCGTATGTACAATGTACTCACGATCGACGTACGGGATAGGACAGATTATGATGCGGGGCACGTTTTCGTGCGCAATATCATGTGCATAGAGCCACTGACGTTACGCGATGGCGACTCTGCCGAACAACTTCAAGATCGTCTGATCATATCGCCGGACGATGAACAGGACATGTTCGATAGGCGGGCCGACTTTGATGTAGTCGTGTATTACGACGAGTCGACCAAGAACATTGATTTCATACATAGGCACAATCGATCTGACAGCGAAGTTGCCTTGAAGCGGTTGTTTGACACCTTACACGAATTCAACGCCGACAAGCCACTCAAGCGTCCTCCAGTCCTTCTCAAAGGTGGGCTTGATGCTTGGGTCGATCTCGTGGGCCCACAGGCTTTGAAGATGTCATCTACCGCTGCAGCGGTGGCTGCTGGTCCGACCCGAACTCGGGCTATCCGACGATCACCGGCCGCAAGCCACATTGCGAGAAACAATACGCAGAGGAGATCAAGACGCGAGTACGTTCCCATGGATCAAGAGGAACAGCAACAGTGGTTGGAAGAAGCTCGAAAGGGGCGTGCTGCTGTTGCAGTGCCTCCAGCGGACGGCGAGGAAGAGGAGGAACCTACCTCGCCATTCTATCGCTCAACCGAAGAGTTCTTGCGTCGATATCCCGATGTTGAAGCCGAACAGTCGTCCATGATGTACCCGTCCAAATTCCAGTCGACCAATCAATACGTCGCACCTGCCATACCTGTTGCGCCTTCCCGACCGCCACCGTCTGTGCCTCGAGTCAGCTATAGTGGCGTGCACGAACGACAAGTGAACCAGAATCGCGATGTCGTCTACAATGGCCAACCTCAATTTAGTAACTTGAGGCTGCACCGGACTGGACTGCTAAACTTTGGCGTGACATGCTACATGAACTCTGTAGTGCAATGTCTTAGTGGACACCTGTTGCTTTCAGACCTGTTTCTCACCGGACGATACCAGCGGGACCTCCAACGAGATAATTGGAAAGGCACCAAGGGTATCCTGCCGGAGGCGTACGCGACGCTGCTGTCCAATCTGTATAAAGGTGATGTCGGGTCCGTGCGCCCTAGCACATTCAGGGTAAGTTCGAAGAGTAGGAGTGGGACATGGACATATCTAACTTTGAACAGCGTATTTGTGGCCATTTCAACTCACAATGGGGCATCGACGAACAACAAGACGCCAAGGAATTCCTAGAATTCGTTCTGGACTACATGCACGAAGACTTGAATCTAACATGGAACAAACCACCACTCAAGCCACTCTCAGACGCGGAAGAGTTGACACGTGAGAGATTTCCTCGTCAATACTCGGCGATGATTGAGTGGCGACGATACCAACATCGAGACATGTCTGTCATTGGTGGTTTATTTGCTGGTCAACACGCTTCACAGCTTACATGCCAGACATGCGGTGTGACGAGTACGACGTACGAAGCCTTCTGGAGCATCAGCGTGGAAATCCCACGAGAGGGCGAATGCGATTTACGCCAATGCCTAAACTCGTATTGCGCGCCAGAGCGCCTGGCAGGTGATGAACTATGGCGTTGCCCTCGCTGTAAGAAAGATCGCGAGGCCGTGAAGAAGATCACCATCACCCGAGCACCCGACACCCTCGTCATCCACTTCAAACGCTTCAGCGCATCTCGAACCGAGAGCGCTCGTAAGGTCCGAACACCTGTTAATTTCCCGCTCCAACGTCTCGACATAGGTCCCTTTGTCGAACCACCTATGACACCTGAACAAGAAAGATACGTCTCGGAAAAGGCCCGAGATGGACCTGTACAGCTTGCTGGCGTCAAGAGCGACCCTACTATGAACGGACCCTACGTGTACAATGCTTACGCTGTCATCTGGCATATTGGCGCTACGCTTGGAAGTGGACATTACATTGCGTTTGTCAAGGACAAGTCGAGAGGGTGTTGGCGATCATTTAACGATGATAAGATCACGGATTTCGACCCTGGAAACCTTCCGCCGCATAATCGTTTGCAGAATGAGAAGGCGTATATTGTTTTCTATGAGCGGGAAAGGGTTGCAGGGGGTGCGTTTTAGGAGGACAGAAGTCCTTGATGTTGTCAGCGCATATGCGTATCCGGCTTTTGTTGAATCTTCATCTCCGTGTTTGGGTAGCCAAAGCTTCTTTGGGTTGGTGAATGTCGTTTACTCCTCTGTTCGTACGTTGCTTACGACATATTATGCCCTGGGACGGAGCATTGCATACTCGGCGTTGGGATTTATACCACTTGAATATTATTCTCTGGGCATACGCCACCCGCAAAATGTATGTGATTATGGGCAAAGCATGAGGTGAAGCTCAAGACTCAGAGTCAAAGTGATTGCAATTGGATCATCACAAGACGAGCGGGTACAGAAAAAGATTCAGGTACCTGACTGTTGAGTTTGACTCAGACCGATGATCGGCCCGCAGGAATGCTGAGCACCGAACTTTTTTTGACCGATAAGATAAGCAAGTGACTCTCCGCACGTTGTTCCCCAGACGCCGCAACCCCTCTTAAATCGACTCTTCATACTCACTTCCTCACACTTCCTCTTCCTTTCTATACCTCAAAATTTGCAATCATGTCAAAGGGACGCGTTTGTCTTGCATACTCTGGTGAGTACCCTTTGCAATTACCAATTGCGCGACAGATTGCTTTCGTCACGCCTGAGCAAACAAGACTAACCTGAGTCATTAGGCGGCCTCGACACCTCTACGATCCTGAAATGGCTCATCGGTACGTGACAACACCATTCAGAAACGCAGCACAAGCTGACATGTAAATAAAGAGGAGGGTTATGAGGTCGTGTGCTTCCTCGCCAATGTTGGCCAAGAAGAGCCCTGGGATGAGGTAGAAAAGAAGGCGCTCAAGATTGGTGCGAAGAAGATGGTCATCCTGGACCTGCAAAAGGAGTTTGTTGAAGAGCTCTGCTTCCGCGCCGTCCAGTGCAATGCCTCATACGAAGGCCGCTACCTCCTCGGCACCTCGCTGGCCCGCCCAGTCATCGCCCGCGCACAAATCCGCGTTGCGCAACAAGAAGGCTGTGGGTTCGTCTCGCACGGCTGCACAGGCAAGGGCAACGACCAAGTCCGCTTCGAGCTGGCTTTCTACACACTCCAACCTACCATCAAGGTCATTGCGCCATGGAGGTTGCCTGAGTTCTGCGAACGCTTCAAGGGCAGGCAGGATCTTCTCGACTATGCTGAGAAGCATGATATTCCTGTCACGTCTACCAAGGCGAAGCCCTGGTCTATGGATGCCAACTTGGCTCACTGCAGCTATGAAGCTGGTATGACAATACTTCCAGGGATTGCGATAGCGTGACTAACAGTTCAGGTATCCTCGAGGACCCCGATGTGTCTCCTCCAGACGACATGTGGACCATGACCGACTCCCCCCTCAACGCCCCGAACGAACCCACCGACATCACCGTCTACTTCGAGAAGGGTATCCCCGTCAAGGTCGTCACCCCAGAGAAGACCTACACCGACTCCGTCGAGCTCTTCGTCGCGCTTAACAAACTCGGTTTCACCCACGGCATCGGCCGCATCGACATTGTCGAGAACCGTTTCATCGGCCTAAAGTCCCGCGGTTGCTACGACTCCCCCGCCATGACCATCCTTCGCCTCGCCCATCTCGATCTCGAGGGTCTCGTCATGGACGCCCAGGTGCGCAACCTGCGCGACCAGTTCGTATCACATAACTGGAGCTACCAGTTGTACAACGGCATGTACTTCTCTCCTGAACGCGAGTTCATCGAGAACAGTTTGTTGTTCTCCCAGCGCAGGGTCAACGGCGAGGTTAGGATGAAGTTGTACAAGGGTAACGCGTATGTGCTGGGTAGGTCTAGCCAGACCGAGAAGCTGTACTCGGAGGAGGAGGCGTCCATGGACACTTTGGACAACTTCAGCCCGATGGACACTACAGGATTCATTGCCATCCAGAGCATTCGGTGAGTTTTATTAACCCAAAATGTTATATTCAGTCACTAACGATAATATAGTCTCAAGAAGTACGGTCTCCAGAAGGCTGAGGAGGGCGAGAACATGTCGAGGGCTTAGAAGGCGACCGATGATATGCGTACCACGTTGACGTACTGGAGGAGGTGGCTTCACCGGGAGACGGTTCATGACCGGACTACTTGGGCGTCTCCTGAGGCTAGATAGTGATGAGATCACGTTTAGGAAAAGCCTAGTGCTATGGAACGATGATGAGATGACATGATACCAATAATAAAATCATACTAAAGTATGGACGAGTGCACTTGGTTGCGAGTGATGGGATGAGGGGTGAGATTTTCAGCAAAGTTCATTGGCAGACTGGCATTCACTATACTTGCGGGTCGACGCTAACTACGGGTAGCGGTTATTCCCATCCCGAACGTCAGCGCGATCCGTTCCGAAGTCGGCATCGGTACCACGCAACATGTGCTACCTCCCGTTTTTCCACACACTCTCTCTTTCTTTACTTCATCGCATAATCGTCAATTACATCTCATTAGGTCTTAGACATTGTGATAGTTGGGATGGGTAGGTCGTTCGTTCGTTCGTAAGTGGTAAGTGGTAAGTGGTAAGTACATATATTGACAGTACGAAATGTTCCCCTGTTGGATACAAAGGAAAGAGGAAATGCAGCAGTGGCGCTCGTGTACTCGTTCACATCTTCTTACTCATCTCTTCTTGTATGGCTGCGCGCGAAATATTCCTTTCTTCTCTTCTGCCTCTCTCCTCCATCTCCTCTCTACTTCTAAGCGGAGTCGTCTAGCATTTTGTTGGCCGACATTGAAGGGGTGGGTGGGATCTTGCGACGACGGGGCGTGGATGACCATGATGTTGTTGCCCACGACGTTGTTAAACTGAGTGGACGGTGCATACGTCATAGGGTACCCTGGAGACATTTGCGGAGCTGGTTGCTGCTGTTGCGGAGGGCTATTCGCGTAGGGTGGCATATACGACGGTATTGTCTGCTGTTCCGAAGGATAGTTGGTGGTGTACCGCGGCGTATACGACGATTGCTGCTGCTGTGGAGGATATCCATTGCTGTAGGCTAGAGACTGCGGTTGCGTGTATGTAAGGGGCTGTTGGGGGTAACTTCCTCCCTGGTGGAGGTAAGTGCCCTGAGCCTGATACGCAGGTTGTGGCTGTTGTTGCTGCGTTTGTGTCAAGTGCGGTGCACCAAAGCCGAAGTCTAGATCATCATAACCAGTGGTTCTGAATTCTTGAACTGTACGCGCTGGGATGGCGCTGTTGTTGCCCTGTGCAACTTCAGGTACCGACGGCAGAAGGGCTGGGTCGATAGCCCCATTGTAAGGACCTAGATGGGGATCAGGAGCAGCGCCCGGGGAGAGAAATGTTTCTGGTCCTTGTACAGCTCTATCGTAACTATCATCTGACGGACCGGGATTCGGGAATAGAGACTGATCCAGCATGGCCATCCAGGCAGGATCCAAATCATCCATAGTTAGCGTCGAATCGTCGGCCATGACACCAGGGGGCGTAACCTGAAGGTGCCCTTGATCCGGCCTCAATTCCTGGCACGCTCGCTCAAGCTCGGCATCCTGAAAAATACGAACTTCAGAGCTCCTGTCATGTCGGAATGGCTGTGTTGGTGGACCCATCATACCTGGTGACGGAACAGCAGGCCGCACGTTTTTTGTCCGATTTACACAAGCGACACCATCTCCAACCTTCTGCGTTTGTTGACATTTGTGATCGCCGACCAAAGCAGTGGCTGGTGGAGGACCAAAAGGTTCTTGTTTTATCGCTGGATCGGGACCAGCAGCAGGAGCTCGAGGCTTTAGATACGGAAGCACAGTAGTCATAAAAGCAGGTCCATATCCAGCAGGTCTTGGGATGGGTTTCGTGAAGTCAATGGGGCCATCATACCCATGTTTACTATACTCTTGAACCTGAGCAATAGTACCGTTAGAATCGATACTTGTCTTGGGAGGGCCAGGTAGGATCCGCCTTGGCTTCTGCTGTGCTTGCGGATTAAGAGTGTTGTCTGCTTCGTCGCATTTTCGTGTGCGCGAAACGTTGGATTTGCTAGGCTTGCACTTCTTTGGAGGCATCGTAACTTGGTGGCACGGTGAGCAAAGGATTCGAGATCATAATTCTATATCAACGACGGATTGATATATACCAACAGAAACGTTATTGCAGGAATGGGTATGGACATCCAACCTTGGTTGTTCTTGTGGCTTTGGGCTGTGTTACTGGCTACCAGGCTCTGGACCCAATTCTATCCGTGGATTGACGCCGTTCGTACCATAGGTGTCTATACATCGCGCACTTGATATCTTTTCTGGAACGAATAGCTGTGAGCTTCCACAGCCGCTCATGTATGCGAACTTATCTCAGTCATAGTCATAGTCAAATCCAATGATCGCATGCGTAGACGAAACATAACGCGGCCTGTACCTCCTTCCGGCCTTGGGAATCCAATCCTCATCATCAATATCTGCAATCACGTCTTCCACCCGGGTATTTAAGCTCGGGCGCTGAACCCAATGTGACTCTCTCACAGCCCTCACTCGCATAGGCCTGTCCAATTCAGCATCATCCCGCGGTCGCACCCTTTCCCCGTCCGCGTTGAACCCAGTCAATTCCTTTCCTTTAGTGACATCGGCAGCACCTTGAGTACCGCCGCTCAATTCTTTTGCTAGTCTTGAATCACGCGCCTGCTTCAGTTTGCTCACGTTAATCTCTCGTACCCTAACTCTCTCATATGCTGTTCTAATCAAATCATTCGCTCCGCCGTCCTCTCCATCGCTAGCCTAGGAAGGGACTTGTGGATATAGCGCTGGGGAAATGGTGGTTTCCAAGTGTTTGACTCATGTAGCGAGGGCTGGGTGGGCTGGAAATGCTGGATGGAAGCTCGCCGTACAATCTCCGCGCACATGAATTGCGACAGTTCCTCCACATAGGCAAGGGGTAGATTCCAGCCAAATGGTACCAAATCCCTGTGCTCTAGTCCAACCGGCATATTTTAGTGCGAGGGTTCAAGGTGATGTGGTAGCGATGAGACTTGTTTCGAGAGCGTGTTGGCCCTTCCGCCATGTTTCTTCATCGTCGTTGAGCCGTTTGCGTTTCTTCGCTTCGAGCGGCCGTATTGGTGGTGAGTGTAGGCTGACTGCTTGGTTCGACGTCGACGTCCATAAGCTGGTTGGCCAGGTCGATCATGTTCATGGCTGCCATGACGACTGATGGGTCTGGGGATGCGGGAAGGTTGAGTGATGGTAGAACCTGTGGGTCGATAGGGCAGTGAAGGAAGAGTACATCATTGCCATTGAGAGTATGGAAGTGATGATGGTTGATTTGCAGTGTAATCAGATCTATTGACGTTGTGAATGTTTTAGCTGCTCGTAGGGCTGTCTCTCTCTCACTTTCGCTTCCGCTTCTACGGGTATGCATGCGTGAGTCGAGCTATCGTATATTGCCTACCATAGCACTGCTGTTTAGTGCTGGTAGCATATAATTGTGGAACACAACATCACGAGTACGAACCAGATTCATGACATAACCACAAATTCGTTAAGAGTTTGTATGCACTCTGCTGATGTTCTCTACACGCCTAAATATACAAATAAGAAACTCTAGTTAATGAATGCGCTAGGTCAATCTTCACGACGACTTAACTACGCAAGCAAGCGTCTCGCTCACGCGTAACTTCCTCCAAACAGGCTAACACTTCGTCCCATCCTCCAAGCGCCCCATAGTACCATCCCCAGAATGGCCAAGTTAGCAAACTGCCTGCAGATGACAAGCAAAAACGTCGTAGCCAAAACAGCATTCTCCGACCACCCTGAGGTGTCAACGTAAAGTAGAATGATATCGTAGACAATGAAAATATCGCGGAGCCAAATAAGGGGTACGACGACGAAAGCGAAACGAGCGAGGTCGTTGCGTTCGGGTGACTGCAGGATGTTAGTACCAATGCCATATAATCCGCTGCGAAGCAGGAAAAAGACTTACACCATGAGCATTCTTATTCGTAGTCCCGTACTCTCTCAACACTTCGATCGACACACTCAAACTAGCCGCAACGACAATAGCCTCGTGTACGATATACGTGATCCTCGTCGCACGGTCATGATTCATAACATTCGACCAAGACAAGAGTGCATCCGGGCCCGAGCTGCCAGTGCTGATATTGCGTGCCTCCATACCCAAACCCCAAGCTGCAAGACCAGTACCCAACATAGCCAGCATAATGAAGGTGTTCCAGATACGTGACATGGTCTTCGGCGTCGAGATACCAGTGCCGTTTTCTTGGACATGACTGGAATGAATCCAGACTCCGCCGTTGAGTAGCACAGTGAAGAAGATGGTGGCAAGTGTTGTTGTGAAGGTAAGTGCTGAGATGCTGGAGGCATAGTCGCTACCTGTAAGAGTATAGGCGCGCCGGCCGTTCCAACCTAAATCGTTATCATAGTCGATCGTTCCACTCGTCTTGAGGAGGTCGGATGTGAAGCGACAGACGTAGGCGACGAAGAGGCAGAGCAGTGCCGGCCAGAGGAAGAGGTATGTTCCTAACGTTGTCTTGAGTGGGCCATCGCGCGCGCTGGTATCTTTGCCGGGTGCGGTAAAGCGTCGTTGTTTGATGCGCTTGAATGTGGGTCTGGATGCTAGACCGAGGAGAATTAAGGCGCCCGCTGCCGTAATGACATCGAGGGCGAAGACGGCTTGGTAAGAGTCTCGTTCGTTTGTGATATTGATGCCGGACATGGCACGCTGAGTAGGATGGAGTGTATGGCTGAAGTAGGATGGGATTCGCATCAAACTCTGAGGGTGAACCCTATCATTTAACTACATGGAAGTTTGACAAAAAAGCATCCCTGACGCATATGACGTTGACCAGTGTCACCAGCTTAGCGAGGCGATGATAGTGGATCTGTTCGGATATGGGTGCCGATGATAGTGATAGTCGGAACAGACGGCAGGTATGACGAGGGCTTGATCTGACGAAGCCTTCAGTTATCTCACGGCCGCTGCTTCTACCACATCACTAAGACAAAACGAAAGTCGTTGGCACGAGTTGGGATCACAGACAAGTGAGCATGAGTAATGATGGTGCGGATGCAGCAAGTGAACTTGTGGAGGTTGGGGAGAAGTAGTCTAGCAAGCAATGGGTTAGCCTGCGGGAGGAGTGCGGGCGCTAAAAGGCCACCCCCGGATCTGTCAGTCCGGTGGCGATTTCCTTTCCATCTAATCGTCTACTTGACGATACCTTTTCCTTGCGTGCCCAAACGTGGCGCACACGTATCACCTGCGACAAGAAGCTGAAAGGCTGTGGACTTCAGGGTTCTATATGACAGCTTCGCCGGCATGGAACGCATAAACCACACTGAGTCATCGACGGGCGCGACGCGTCGAAACACGTATCACTAGCTGCAGAGCTATCGTTCGCGTTGCTGCTGAGGCTGTGCGGATGACATTAAAACAAATATTCTGACACTGTACTTTGCAAAGCAGATCTGAGTCGATGCCAGGCGATATGGGCATCGGTAAAATTAGGTATAAGGAAGTTGACGAAATGACGCTGATCTGTCGTAAACAAATCTACGATATTTGAGGGTTTTTTTCAATATAACCACACTCTTAGGATCCATGCGACAAAAGAAGGTTTTAAACATTGGTACGTTCGCGATTACAGGATGAAATATGGTTAGATTTAACTAGCAATCACTACATACGTGCAGTTGTAAAGAGCGTTGGTCAAAAGAAGGGAAACAAAAACAAAAACAAAAACAAAGGAAGAAACTAACAGGCTGTAAGGAACGTAGATAGGCAACACCTCCATCAACCGAGACATTAACAGTGCGTTCACCCGTGCAAACAAGTTCTTGTCCAATCTTAACCGCAGATCTTCTTATCAGTCGTGCAACCAACAAAGCCGTTGCAGACGACATAGGTTCCATGATCCGGAGGACAGGTGCCCCAGAATCGTTTTGGGCCTTCACAGTACTTGTTTTCACCAGTACATCCTACGAAACCGCTGGGACACTCATTAGGTCCGGCATACCAAGTGTTTGGAGGGCAAGTCTTAGAAGTAGGAGGAGGGTTTGACGGCGGAGTCACCGAAGGAGTCGAGGGAGAGGACTTGGTGTCGCAAATACGAGGATTAGTGCTGCAACCTCGAAATCCATTGGCGCAGTTGTAGAACGAACCCAGACCTGGGCCGCCAGAGCAGTCATTGAAGAAGCGTTTGGTTCCGCCACAGGTTTTATCTCCATCCGCATTTGCAACACAGCCAAGGAAGCCGCTGGGGCATTGGGCATCACTAGGCTTGTAATACAACATGCCGGGACAGAATTCGTCGGATCGCTCGTTCAGTGTTGGAGAGGCGCTGCTCAGAGCGAAGAAAGCGGAGACCAAGGAGACGGATGTGAAGAAATGCATGGCTGGAAAGTGTCTGGCAGTCCGTCTAAAGTTTTGGAAACTGAATGGAGAAGTCGGGCGAATATAAACTTGATGAAAGTTGTGAAGAGGACTGAGGGCTAATGGACAAGATGCAACGAGAAGTTGATAGTTCGAAGAGAAAGATGATGGAGTTGCAGTGAAAATGTTGATGTTAATGAGAATGTTGATGATGCATCTTGTAGGAGGTTCTAATGTCACAATTATATAGTCGACATTGCAGGCTGTGCAGCACTTCAACCCAGTGTTGCTGTATGCTCACTTCCCTCACAGACCGCAGCGCGTGGAATGCGAGACATCCGCTCCGACTGTGCCTTAGCGTGCTCCAAGATGTTTGTGGCGATGATCACTAAGGAGAGGGCTAGACAGTGTCAACAGTGAGATCATTCCTATTCAATTGGTCGCCATATCTTGGTCGACTAGGAACCAAAGTCTGAAGCGTACAGCTGCGGCTGGACAATTTGCTCAAGCAGCGGAAATAGCTCCACACAGATTGAACGTGAGCTGAACGTGAGCTGAACCGGTCCTGGTAGAAATCCATAATTGACAACATCGTCTCAATGAGTGAGCTGGGCAGGATGCGAAACCAAGTTGGTATTGGAACCATACCTAGGTAGACAGTACTGTGGGGAAGCTGTTGGAAAAAGTGATTACCATAGTCGCATAGCCTTAGTCTTATTGATCTCACGTGCTACCAAATTGTTCTTGCACCAATTATAGGCCAGAAACCGGCTAAGTCTCGATCCATTGGACCTGTGGAACATACATTAGGCGACTTCAATGTAGTTTTGAGGCGATCCTAGACAAGCTGCCTTCCGTCAGCGGAGCCAAGCAGTGATGATGACGCCTGGCAACACCGCAACTTAGATTTGTCATAGAAGAGATGTAGATGTTGAACTAACAGTAAGTGAGACACCAGAGTAAACGTGCAATCAGCAACATCACGCGAGCGTAATCGCGCTGCTAAGCAACTTGATCGAGGTTATTAGATCTTTCCATTAACTAGGTAACTGGCAATGCTAGTTTCCTCCTTAACCATAAAAGGTTCCCAATCTAGCGCACTACAGCCGGCTTGCAATATCTTCGTGCTAACACCTCTGGCTGCGCATGTGACAATACTGTAATCGTAAGCCGGACTGCTTTCTTCAGCCGCACACGTGACCATAGTACAATCATAACCATCCATACGTAATAGTACCAAACCACGGCTTGCGAACTCGCATTTCTTTCTATTGCAGTATATGGCTGTGCCACTTCAGCTCAGTGGCTATGTTACCGCCAAGCAACGTGAAGGCCAAGCCCTGTCTATTCACGAAACTGCCAGAAGAGAGACAAGCTGACAGAAAAGACTAACCAGAACGACCATGGTTCGAGCATGAAGTCTCACTCCTCCAACAGCATGACCAACTACTATTGCTTCTATACTACTCCTAAAACAGATCCAATTTCGGCTTTTGCATGCTACCTTATACAATATGCATTTATCCGCCTCTATCATCACCATTACTACAGGAATCTTCAACTCCCAGTGTAGAACAGGTACCAACCACTGCGAATTGATGGTACGTCGGTCTCCGCATGCATGACAGCCAGGTTGTGTATATATCATCGATGCACGTACCTGGACCCCATCCACCCAAGCACGTCTCGAAATTCCGCAATGCTACTCGTGGAGAGATGCGACAACTGTACTTAGTTGATAACGTGTGTAATTGTACAAGATACACTAATCAAAAGAGTCGAGATTGGTGCTTTCGCAAACCCGCGATTGCGTCATTCCTTCCACTAGCTTCGCACTAGTTGGTAAGCTCAGGAGTACGAAACTCAGGACTTGTTGTCCCATCTACACGACAACAAGACCATCTTGATTATAACACTCAACAACCAATTACGCGCTACTGCCCTGCGAATAGACTACCGATTGACCAATTAGCGATTCGGCCTTACTCTGTCGTTGACCCCTTAACAACCGACCTAGCACGCTCGAGCTACAAGGTTCGCCTACTGCGCACAACGGCAACCCCGAACGTCTAGATTGTGGACTATGTTTTCCTTTATCTCCACATTCGCGCGACAATACCCGATGCGGTTTAGTGTGGCTCTGTTGACTCTTCGCAAGACTATACGATACCAATTGAGGCTGCGATCTCGAATAAAATACTCTGCTTCTGGTCGGAGGCTTGGGGTTCTAGAGCTGATTCAATCATTTTCAGTATAGCGTCTCTCTGGCATAGATGTATGCAGTCTCAATACCGCAGGCATGCACCGTTCGTTCATCTGTGCATCAAGCAATAAAATCCTATAAGACCGTCAGACGCGCCATTCATTGTTCATCAACAGCGTGAGTGTCTTAATTGAGTCAGGATGAAGGTTTCTTCAGCAATTGCCATTGTACTCGCCAGTGTTGGGTTTGCAGATGCAGGCGATTTCTGCGCTCTCCAGCCCAAATCTTGTATAAATCTTCCTAAAGCCTCAGCCAAAGCCTGCTCGTCGCTCATCTGTATGACTGTCCAGGAAAATATTAGGAGGCAGATGCTTACACTTCTACAGCTAAAGCTGGTCTAAGGTTGACAACATGTTCTAAGCCCAAGTCTACAATCACCAAGACATTGACTGTTCAACCATCAGCAACTCAGACTGTCACGGTAACGCAAACAGCCTCTTCGACTGTCACAACGTACGTAACTGGCAAAACTTGCGCTGGACTTTTCACTGACTTTCCCAGCAACGTACAGAGAACGGTCCAGAAAACTGTCACCAGCACCACGACCTCTCACACCACCTTGGTCCAGACGACCACGAGCACCGCGCAGACAACGTTGGTTGTTCCTGTAACAACAACAGCGACCCAGGCCGTGACTGCGTACGTCCCACTTACCTGTTGATTGACCCAATGAGTGGCGACTGATCAACATAGAACAACTACGATCATCACCTCATTACCTTATCAGCAGGAGACATGCGCTGCTGCCACGCCCGTGGGCCGCAAACGTCGAAACAATTATAAAGCTTTGGACACAATTCCCCGTGACTGCTGTATGTCGAGGACTGCTCGGAGATCAACAGGAAGCTAATGAAGTCATAGCATGCTACCTCACAACAACGACTACGTGCGGTCAAACCACGACGACAACTACGGTTACCAGACCCACCTCGATTGTACGTGTGACGCAGGTCAGGCTTACCACGGTACTCAAGCACGACTCAAAAACCTCCGATGTCCTGCAAACAGTAACAGCTGTCGTTTCTGCGGTCCCGACTGATTCTTCAACAACGATCGTTGCAATCACTGAGACACACTCTGTGACTTCTGTAGTCGCAACTACTACTACCAGTAAGAGATATGATACCGATCATCTGGCAGCTTTGCTAACATTCTATAGCGACTACTTCCACAGCCACCGCTACCCAAACTGTTCAGGCCGACCCCTGCGCCGACCCTGTCCTCTACACATCCACCCGACCCGACTATCCCGGTTCCGCTTGGGGTGTGATGTCGGATTCTGGCAGCGCGAGGGACTGCTGCTATCGCTGCTTCGGTAGTAACGCAGGATGTCTATTCTGGAAATTCTCCAACCTTATTTGCACGCAGTACGTTATACCAAACAAGAATGATGCCGTTTCATGCATCACAAAAAGTTGCCGCAAGGGCAGACCATCACTCATATCTGCCGCTGGCGATGGGGCGACGTATGGCGTTGGAATCTGCGCTGCGGCCGGATTCAGTGGATGAGCTCGATTTTCGACTAGCCTTGTTGAACAGGAAAAGGCTATTAATATTCGTTCTGTATATTTGCTCAACTCTTCTTAGCGAGAAGGTCAGCTTTCTTCGCCCTCATGCTTTCGAAAAACCCCTGCATCATAGCTTGATCAATGCGATTAAACTCCCACCAACCTTCTTGCGAAGCGTCCGTAGTCCCCACATATACCTCCCTTGGGTGCAATCGTGCGCACGGCCATAAGCCAGACGGGCGGACAGAAAGAGTCGCTAGGAGTGGGTATAACTGTAAAAATGAAGGTACGAAGTCAGTATATGTCTCACATGCATTTCGTACAGTCATAACTTACCTCCTCCAGAAGCAGACTCGACAACACCTTCATCTCCCCTTTGTACCCAGGAGACAGGGCATCAATCATAGTTTGCGAAAGCTGGTCATACGTCGTATCCACAAGACGAACATGCCCACCATTGCAGCCAAAGCCAGGGCCATATGGAGGTGGAGGCCGAACTTCTTCCGCCGTAGGATCGAATCGATCGATATGCGACGCGTATGCCTGCTTATCGACAACGAGGAAATCTAGAGTCCACACACGCCCGAGTGCCGGCAGCATGGTGAACGTCTTCTTGAAATGACGTTTTGCAGCCCCCACGTCGCCTTCCGCAATTCCAAAGTCTCGGCCGTCGATGAACTTGATTCCATGCTTACTGATAATGTTGTCGAATCCCTGGATCCAGTTACCAGATCGCAAGAAATCCTTACTGAATTTTTCCTGGAAGGTTGCCCATTGCTCGTCGGTTTGGTCGTATGTTAGGCGGTAGCACACGAACCCCCACGCGTCGGGGTTGATCTCTACGTTTCGTGGGTTTTTTGCGTAGAAATCCATGCGCTCCCGTAGGATTGTGATCCACTGTTCTTCAGTTGGTGGTTTCGGTGGACCACAGAGGACTAGTCGAGTCTCGTCGCGGTTCCTCTTTCCCTCTTCGTAGTGACCAATCAGGTTTTCGGTGTTACGGAATCTTGGATGTGCTGGCTTCGTGAGTTGCTTCATGATGTTGATACTGTCCACCAGGGACGGTCGGTTGGACGCTTCCTCAGCCTCAGCCTTGTCCTGCGCATCAAGAATAGCCATTTGATGCTTGAATGACTTTGCTCCCATCATCTTGGTCCAGACATCTCGTCTCTGCGCTACCGGAAGGTCCTTGATGGCGTCGGAGACCGCGTATCCCTTGAAGCCGGTCATTGGAATGCCAACGGTGTAGTCAAGTCTGGTGAGCATGCCTCTGAGGTCTTGGACACACTCGTAATACTTCTTGCCTGCTTCACCTATAGCTGCTTCGTCGGTTCCAGCAATCTTAAGCGCGTCCTGGTACCGCGCGAAAGCACGCGCTTGGACGTCGTCGACGCGATCAATAACCCATTGATGCGTCCGTTCCGACATATTTGTCATCATATCGTTCCAGTATTCCGCCCACATGCCTGCAAGGTCAAGTTTCTCTTTAATGTCGTTATTTTCGCGCCGAAGGTTAGCTGCCTGCTCGAATTCGACATACTTATCCACCATCCAGTTGAAAGCGTCGCGTGTCCGGTTTTGAACCTCGTCATGGTTGTACCAGTCGAATATGTAGTTGATGTCTTTGATCGATTCGAAGAGATTCCGGTAATTGGCAGGGTCATCCATCTTACGCTCCAACCAGCGGTCTCCGCTGATCGGCACCATACCAAGCAAAAGCTTTGCTTTGAGGGGACGTAGACGTGCAAGGAAACCAACGTGTGGCGAGTCTTTGAGTTCTTTGATCTCTTGCCTCATTATTAGCGGTGCGATGCGGTCCATACAACTCTGGTTCAGCCTGTTATACGGTGCAGGAGCCCATTGGCTGTATGGACTATTCAGAAGGCCCCATTCTTCTTGCGTCAAGAGTGGGAAAGACGGGCGGCCACCACCAGGTCGAAGGCCACCCATAGCATAGAAGCCCCATGACTGCACATGTCGCACCGTTATAAGATCCTCCTCTTATTTCTGTCAGCATATGCTTATGAGGTTTTTGAAGGTGTAGTACCATAGACGAGATTTAGCAGCTGTTCGTGACTCCATGATGCATGGTCACCGAACCAGTCCTTCGCGTGCTTCTCCGCCGCATCTATATCCATGTTGAGTAGACTTTCGTTCATTGTCTCCTGTTTTGTAGCGGCAGTAATCTTTAATGATGAGATGAATTGTTGACAACGTATCGTTGGACTGTGTCTTTGTATATGTAGTATCGAAGACAGGAATGGTGCACCACGAGCTAGGCTGCAATTGGGCTTGTGCCAGGCTGCGATACGCAAGGCATGCCGGTTCAATCTTACCCTAGCCATTGATACATGACTGTTCAAGCCGCTAGGCGTTGATGAGCCGAACGGAGAGAGTTGCAGCCTCAGGGCGAATGTAAGGCGTGCCGCCCTAGGACCGAAAGGGGAAGGCGTAACCACCCCTGATATCCGCCACTAGGCAGCGATATGGACCGAGCGCAACTACAAACCTTCCGATTGCTTGCCCATTTGTTGATTTAGTCGTTCCTTTCTGATAGGTCGTACTTTGAGGAAACATCATTCTACCCTCAACCATGCAATGCGGAGCAGGCACGATATGCGATCGCCAAAGTGCCCAGCTTGCCTTCTCGTATGAGTATTTATTTGTTCCCGGAACATATGAGTGGCTCATAGTCTTCAATGCAACGGTAAGTATTTCGAGACAAGGAAGCTACTTCAATAGCGTAATTCTGAACTTAACGATTTTTGGGTTCCAGGAATCTGAGCGAATGGTCTTTTTGTAGCTTTCTCAATGCTCAGGACTAAGCTATCCAGCTTCGATTGATAACGCGAATTTCCCAAACTCGCTATCGATTCGACGTGGATATAGCAATAGTCGCTCTCATCTTGCTTTCAGGCCGCATGACGGCCTCTTCGCTCTCATTTCCGATCTCTGTGAGTCCCTCAATCCCGTACTTCCTATTACTGATGGACTTGTTCGATACCCCGCCGAAAGGCCTCATCTCGAACTGTCCGCTATGCGATTCATTGTACCGTGCATGAGGTTTACTGGGACCCTTCTCGTGACCCCCGGCGCTGCTCCACATTTTTGGAAGGTGTGTCTTGAGGAGAACTTTGAAAGTGGACGTGGTACTACATATGATGGCTACAATCATTTTGTATCAGCATTAGAACAAGGGTAATGAAGAGAGAAGGAAGACATACCCGCGTAGATCTCGATGCTGCACCACGACAGCGAATCACTCATATAGTACCAAATATCCGCTTCGTTCGAAAGGAAGAGCACGTAGTAGAAACGCACGCAGCCAGCTGCAACTGCGATGAGTCCAACACAGAGAAGGGCGCATAGCGCGATCTTTTGTCCCTGTGGCATTTGTAGCTTCCAGACAATGGACATTGGCAACACGTATATAGCGAAGTCTTGAATGACGCTGCGAGTCCCTAAAGTCAGCATACTGGCATGAAGTCAACGTGCTAGGTCGCCCAATACTTACTTCATGATCCCGTTGATGTTGAAAAACATCTGCTGCGTAGGCTGCTTCAAGCACTTCTCCGGATGCTCAGCCTGGCCCGCAGGATCCCAAAACAAAGATGGTGGCGTGCAAACAAACAGTAGCACGAAGAATGTAACGATAGAGAGAGCAGCCACCCATGCCATCAGGAAGTATACAATCACCCTTGTGCGCCGCCGAGGGTCTAGTCTTCGGTAAAACACCAGGATGCTGAACTTGACTAGGCAAATCGCAACAACATATAACAGACGTGTGGCAAGGTTTGCTTTCAGCATCGGTGCAAGGTCTTCTTTGGGGATTTCGAGAGCTATCTGATCGTTAGTTGCTGTCTGGGTGGGCAGATCCGTTCTGATTACTTACTGTGCTTGCCAACACCGTACCAGCCGCCTACCAACGGATATATCAGTTAATCTAAGGCTCGATCACCAGAGTGTCCCATTCTCAACGGGAAGACTTATAAACCATGTTGGCAATAGACAGCGAGATCGTGAAGAATGCACCAGAGAGCATCAGATCTGGATTCGATCATGTCAGTAACAACATTGCGAGATTTTCTTGTGAAGGTGGACTTACAGTCGTCGATGGCTAAACACAATTGCTTCAAGCGTAAACGGACATAGATGCGTAAAACGACTATTACAGTCGTGATTGCATTGAAAGGGATGGCGACCGCAAACAATGAGGCTTGCTTAGTGCCGCTCTCTAGCCCACGAGGCTGTATTTGATGCGATACTCCTCGTAGCGGAGACATATTCAACATATTCATGCGCGTAAAGAATGGATGCTTGGAAGTGGTTTGTTCATCTCAAGACCAGATGCGAGTGCAAAAAGAGTTGGAACGCGAGCTACTTTGGTAGGTCGCTCGGGGGTACCGACTGTGCCTCAAAAGCTTGGGGAAAAAACAGTCGATCATAACGTTTTCTGTAAATTTTCTTACCGTGCCGACTTAATGCAACGATTCTGGTCGTCAATGCTCTCGCTTTCCTCTTCGTATAAGTCAACTACGTGCATCCGTCAGAACTGCGGGTATATCTTTATCACTGCTACATCCTAGTTTGTTCCATCGTACTTAACCAACTGTTTATAATTTGTAAGGTTAGGTAAAGAAACTGACGCAAAAGTCAGCATATACTCGGTAACGCCGCATAAGTCTCCACAAAGCACTAACTCGATAGCGAAGTTCCCCCGTGCCCCACGCCATAGCTAAATCCTTCGCAGGGGACCTACAGTTTCGGAACGCACCTGACACCAATGGGATGCCGTGCCGGTGTGACAGAGAAGAGGAGTGCACACACACCGTCGCAGCCAGGACCAGCAGTTATACTATACCGGTAATCATGTATCACTCTTCCAATGGCAGATGAGCCCGGGTAGGGGTTTTAGCTAATAGCTTCTCTTCTTCAAAGAATGATGTGATGCGGGTCTCGATTACCTCGCTATATTGCGGCATATAAGGGATCTCACTAATGGGATAGCTTCATCTAATACTTCTTCTGACCTATTGAGAGAGCAATGTCCGATTCTCCATTTGGTATATGCTACACTCGTGTGGGTTCCAGGATGTTGAAGAGTTGAGGACAACGATACGTTTGACAGAGATGAATGCGAATAAAACAAGAGTTGAAATCTGGCGACCATATCTCCGTTCGTGGGTTCGGACGTTAGGGTAACGCCCCAATAGAGTGCCGCATCAGGCTTAGTGTTGGTGGTCTCTGGGGGCAAACACCAAAGGCTCATTTCTTGGCTCCAATGCAGCTCTCCATTGTCACCATCCGCCTGTTTTCCTTCAGAGCGACCAACTCAGCCCAGAAGTCCTTCTTCCAAGCATTTTGCAGTCTCTTTGGCTCCCAGCCCAACAGCTTGCGGGCTCGCACCGCTTTTGTAGCCTTATGCCCGCCCCAGCCACGCTCCGCAATATCGCGATGGCCTGCAGTGAGCTTGTCGGCGATCTCCTGCAGCGGCACGAGTCTAATTTCCTTTTCTTTCGGGGTATCGTCGCGTGGCAGGATCCTGTCTGCGAAAGCTGCATCCAAACACCCCTGGTTGATCTCCTTGATGAGGGTGCGGCCGACTGCTGCGAACATGATGCCGTTCTTGCCAGAAGGAAGGTAACCGACACCGTGATCATCGCGTTCAAGAATGGTGCGTACGAGAAGGACATAGATATCGGCAAGATCGATGACGTGGACCCAATCGAAGTTCGCCGTTTCGTTGAGCTTCCAACCGTAGCCATGTTGTACGACGTACATCATGATCAAGGGAATAACTAGACCTTGGCGGTTGAATAGGCCAGTGCCTTCGCCAAAGATGCAAGGTGTATTGACACTGATGGCCTGTACACCGGTGGCAGCGGCAGTCTCCAAGACCCCAACTTCAGTTGTGCGCTGCGCGTATGGTTCTATCTCATCGAGCGCTCTCATAAAGTCGAGGATCTTGTCACTGTCCGCTTCATCGTTCCACTCTCGTATTGGTCGAGGGGGCTGCGATAACGGACGATCAGACAAGTTCGTACAACCGGAGATGTGCAGCATCCACGGTGCGGGTTTGCTGGCTTTGATTCGGCGTGCAAGACCATTCACAAAGGCTATGGCGCCTTCAGGAATGAAACCAGAGCCAGTATTGATCACAATGTCATACTTCGAGGCGGTGTCTTCGATGAATGCTGTGTCTTCGAGGCCAGACCATCTGATGGTATTGATGCGAGATCCGTATGCGTTCTTGAGTTCCAGAGCCTGTGTTTCATTGCGAATAAGGAGGTCGAAAGTAAGATCTTTGATACTTGGTGCTGTACTAGCTATGAGCTGAGAAAGTACGGTGCCGCCAACGTACCCAGTGGCACCAGTGATGAGAATTCTACTCATGATTTAATCCTGAAGAACGTTCAGGTCTGGTGTCCGAAATGAATCTTGATCATACAGAATGCTAGATAAATGTCGCTTCGTCGCTCCTGTTGAGATGGACTCTCAGCCGGGTCTGACTCGTGTGCTTGTTTTATAGTGGGTATCGAACTGTGGGATACAAGCTTGGCCATGCAAGGACTATACAGATCAGGAAAGAACTGCGTGGTCGTTGAACAAGTGTGGGGTTGGGGAGGTGGTATCAACGCGCTCATCCAGTCAACTGTGTAGTATCGGTTCGATGAGAAATGTACTATCCATCGCTGCTTTCTCCTTCATGCATCCTCCCAGCATGAGGATCACTACCTTGCTCAACCTCAGTCAGAGCCTGTCCAATTTTCAATAAAATGTCGGCTCATATTACCACCTGGCCGATATTCGGAGAGAGGATCAACCTGACTGGCAGTAGCAATCAACGCGAAAGCAGCTGCAACAAGGAATAGCAAATTTCCCGTCGTTTGCATGAGTTGCAATCCTTCACTTGCTCCTTCGAAATGGAAGATCAAGCTGTACCGTATCTGGCAAGTTCTCCACAATCATCAGGAAGGACGCATGCATGCGGCGCAGTAAAACTGCCCAATATCGGTATCGAAGGGACATGACAGGGTAAGCACACCACGCCCGCTAGGATGAGATGGAAGCGAAGTCGTGAACAAAAGGGTATCGAAGAGTGGGTCGATGGCCCGAGATGGGAGAACGGGCACCGCTGCGACCGGAGAACCGTTATATCACGACCGATCAAGAGCTTCGTTTGACTGAGATTGTTGCGTTTTCAGAGCTGCATGACGGGATGAAGTGGAGTTACCGCAAAACTGCTATGTGCGCGTATGCATCGAGTGATTTACCATATGGTCAGAGAGTGAACCGAACGCCGCAGGCCCGTGCACAGCTCGTGCATGTTAGTCACATGGAACGAATATAGCGGATTTATTGGCTATATCTCCAATTAAGCATGACGGTGCAGTATGAACGGCGAATGATGTTGTTCAGAGGGTTTTGGTAGCCTGTAAACTGATTGAGTCTTGCTTAGTACGATGTGTTTTGCCCAGTTTCGCGCTCCTGAGCCTGCAGACTAGCGTGAGACTAAGGATGACGCGACGTAATCCTTACAAGCGAGGCTTGCGAACCTATTAACTTTAACTCCTCACGTTGATGCTTCCCCTGCAATTGCACACATCACCAACAAGAGGTAGTCGCCGCACCCTTTCAAAAGGAATTTACCTCAGCATCTGAAACCCATCGATTTTTCGTCTCATTCGCAATGGATTGTTTACTACATAGATCAAGATGGGTTCAGGCTGTCACTGCTTGTTCGTTATTGATTGGAACTAACACAACTCAGCCTCGAACGACCATACAATTAGCGACGGAGGAACGTCTGCACGGATGTTTCTGCGTCAAAGATCTCCAATTCTGGAGTCATTCAAGTAAAGCAACTCCTCCATGTTGAAAATGCTCATAGCTGGTATCACAATGAGTGTCTACGCACCTCTCCTTTGCGTTCTTTTCTCTGACTATCTTACCCGAGCGTGCGCGCCGGGAGATGGCGGAGGAGGCCTGAGCAAATGGAGAAGTATATAGTACACCGTACTTCAACGATCTAGACGCTGAATTCGCGACGGTAAAAGCGCTGAGTCTGTATAGAACTGCAAAGGAGGAGACAGAATGGATGTGGAAACTTGCGGGATTGAGAAAAGAGGCTGAGCGGGGTGAGGGGCGGGACGGGCTACCGTTTCCGCTAAATGTGCCTGCGCATGAGGACTTGGATGATCGGCAGTTGGAAAGGTTGCAAGAGGATATCGAGCTTTTGGATCGGTGGTTGCTGAGTTTGGGGTGTACTCCCGATAGTCTCCTACTTACGGCAAGTTGCCAGAGCAGAAATAGTAATAGTATGATGGATGCAGCTTCAGAACGACTAGCTGCCAGAACTGAGCGACTCAAAGCCGTGATACAGCGAGAAGTCGACCGATGATGGCTGGACTAGACTGCGGAGGTAGAAAGAGAAGCCCTTTCCCAAGGATACAAGTTTCCCGAAGGCGCGCCAGGCTGAGAGACCGTTAGCCCAAACGAACAAGAACTAATAAGACGGGCAGTCGATGTTAATCGAGCGAACAGCGTGGCAGAGAATGCAAGAGGCAGAATATAAGTCGGGCCTGGTCAGTCTACCATACCTGCGCTTTCCCAGCAGAACAGTGTGACCAGTCTCCATGGAGAAGCTGACCCAGCCTTGGCTACTAATAGAGACTTTGAGGAGAATGAGCGTCGCCCTTCTCGTCAGATCTACGGTCTCTCGCCAGCTAACTCGGACTCACAAACTACGGCTAGTCGCACCGAGCAGACAAAAGAGGATTACTACGCGCTCAAGGAGAAGTTCGAGGCTCCAAAGTGGGCAGATAAAGTACATCAGATTGCCGTACTGAGGTATGGAGTCTTGTATCTTGGAAGGAAGTGGCTAGATGATCTGGCGAATTGGGAGACTATTCTCCTTGCGGTCAAAGAGCGGATTTTAAAGGTGAACAAATATCTGGAGTTGCAAGAGGAGTTTGAGGGGTCGGACACGGAAAGCGAGTAGAATAGGGGCAGCGCCACTTAGCGACAGGGGTGAATTTGAACCCTACGAAGCGTGTTGCCGAATATGTTGTTCTACAACTCCTGAGAAGCAGGACGCGACAGTTCTAAGGAAAGAGATTGTGGGGTGATGAGATGTAGATGCGCAGTTTACGAACGTGCCTTCCCTCCATGCATTAGTCATGCTCCGCTCAGCCAATCAAAAGCCGCGGTGTCGACTCATCCTGAGTTGCCGGAGAATTGCGCTAGCCCTGCTTCGCCGTATCCTCTTGTGTGTATATGAGCACGAAGGTCGCTGAAGTTCGAATAATCATTTCTCAAGAGGTTTATCGGAACAGACGTCCTTTCCAAGAATCATCGCTCAATCACCAACAATCGACAATTTCTCGAAAGATGGTACGCAAACTCAAAGAGGCAGCCCCACTTGCAGAAGTGCATCACGGTGGTGGCCACATAACAGTAACAGCGCAGCAATCGCGCTACGCACTCGATGCTGTCGATGCACCTGCATCGAAAGAGGTAATATATATCTCCTCCCTTCCACATCGCGCCATCCATACTCACATCCACAGATACTCATCAAAGATCTCTCCATCACAGTCGCCAACCGCGAACTCCTCTCACGCACAACACTCCACTTAGTAGAGGCACGCCACTATGTGATGGTGGGTCGGAACGGTACCGGCAAGTCGACACTCCTTAAAGCTATTGCCGATGGTCTGGTTCCGGGGATACCGTGGAGTACGAGGATTTTGCTTCTGGGTCAGACGAGGGAAGATGACTTGGGAGATGATTTGAATGCGCTGAGTCTAAGGGGTGAAACTGTTCTGCAGCATGTTGTCCGGAGTGATCGGGTTCGAGAGCGATATATGCGAGAGGCGAAGATGCTGAGTGAAGCAGTTGAGAACTCGATTGATTCCATGGCACCGGTCCGGGTGTACAGGCGCATTGGTCACGAGAGGCTGGCGCTGCAACTAAGAGAAGGTCACCGCATCGCTGAGAGGAGAAGTGGTGCGCGGGGTAAGCTAGCGAGGAAAGAGCTGATCAAGCTTGAAGAGCGATTCCAAGAATCCGAGCAACGGCTTCAGGAGACTGAAATCGAGCCTATGAAGCTCAGCGAAGAGACACAAGCAGCCGCAGATTTGCTCGCTGGCGTGCAGGCTTCCCTCGAACTCATGGATGCAGATGAGGCAGAAGCAAAAGCACGCGTCGTCTTGCTCGGCCTGGGCTTCAAAGAGGACCGTATCGACAAGCCTGTGTCGGAGCTCTCAGGAGGATGGAAGACCAGGTGCGATCTAGCTTGTGCTCTCACACAGTATTCCGACGTATTGCTGCTAGATGAGCCCACCAACTTCTTGGACCTGCCATCGATCATCTGGCTACAGGAGTATATCCGCAATCTGAAAGGCACGACTGTCTTGATAACGACTCATGATCGCGACTTCGGAGACGCGGTAGCTGAGGAGCTTATTGTCTTGCGTAACCAGGTTTTGGAAACTTTTCGCGGCAACCTCAGTTTGTACGAGCGCGAGAGATGGAAGAAGGCCAGGTATATGACGAAGATGAAGGAAGCGCAGGACAAGCAGAAGAAACACATTGAAAAGACGATTGCGGGCAACATCAAGGCAGCGAAAGACAAGGGAGACGACAAGAAATTGAAGCAGGCTGCATCCAGGAAGAAGAAGCTCGACGATAGAATGGGATTGCAAGTCGGTCTGAAAGGTGGTCGCTTCAAACTGAACCGGGATCTCGCAGGCTACCATACGTCGCGTCGAGCGGAGATTGAGATACCAGATTTTGATCCACCAGTGAATCTCTCGTTCCCGCACCAGCCACCCGAATTGAAGTTTCCTGGCGCATTAGTAAGCCTAGAGAAGGTGTCATTTGCGTACCCTGGAAGAAAGAAATTGCCCATCTTGACAGACGTCAGTCTGACCATACACCCGGGGGCAAGAATAGGGTTGGCGGGCCTCAATGGCTCAGGCAAGACAACGCTGGTTTCCCTGATAATGGGGGGTGATGAAGAAGGCGGCCTTGCACCCACTTCTGGCACGATCGCGCGACATGCGAGAGTGAAGATCGGTCGCTTCTCGCAGCAATCTGTCGAAGAGATCACTGCCCTGGCGTCTTCCAGCCCTCGGATGACGGCGCTTCGGCACATAATGGACTGCATTGGAGATGGCGCACAGGAGAAGGATGCGCGGGCAGTTTTAGGCGGGCTGGGACTTCATGGTCCGACTGTGTCGGATGTCCCGCTCGTGCTCTTGTCGGGAGGGCAAAAAGTCAGGGTCGCGCTTGCCAAGCTTCTATGGCCACCGCCGCAGCTGCTCATTCTGGACGAGGTGACAACCCATCTAGACGCAGACACCATCCTCGGTCTTGTGATGGCCTTGAAGGAGTATGATGGTGCGCTGCTCGTGGTAACACACGACAGATTCTTCATGAGGTATGTCAGTCATTGTCGATCGCGGAGAAGCGCATCGAGAATAAGCATAATAGAGTTCAGCTATTAACACCCCGCAGGACCGTAGTGGAAGGGCAGTCGCCGTACAAGCTAGCGCCAGGGGTTCACGCGGTGTCCGAGGACGAGGCTGACGAAAGCAGCGAGTCGGAAGATGAGGAGGCAGGGCTAGCTCCGGGGAGCGTTTTTCGGCTGACTAGAGGGCAGCTTAAGAAGCTTGACCTGGGCATGGACGAGTACGAGGACATTGCGGCGCGGACTGCGGCGAAGCTGGCTCGAGCGAAGCGGTAAGCAGCTGAGAATAGATATCTAGCAATTTATGTCTCGCCAGTGTCGAGTTGTGAGAGCCTGTCCAGACCTTCGAGGCGACGTCTGACAGCTGTCGGGGCCATTTGGTTCGGGCGGGCTTGCTTCCCGCTGCACGCACAGATGGCAACGCGACACCTGCGCGCGGATCACTGCGTACGGCAGAGGCCTTTAGGGGCAGCTTTTCGCGCCAAGCTCGAGCGAGATAATATTGCTCCAACGCGTCGCTCCTTTTGTCTGCAGCGTCCAATTGGTCTCCTCTCATTAGCCATTGGCGTGCACTATGCCCATCTTTCCTTGTACACCCCTTCTGACCGTAATAGTAATGTCATAGCTGTAGCTATAATCCTTCCACAGGCGCGCATGAACGACTCTGCGTATCGAGATAAGCTCGAGCTTGGGAACCCTGAGTAATAACTGGCGGGCATCATGGGCGAAACCGAATCATCCACACCTCGCTCTACCGCTGAACCACAGCTCAAGGCTGCCAAAGACAAGAACTGTCCCTTTTGCGGCCAGGCCTTCACCTCGTCCAGTCTGGGACGCCACCTGGACTTGTACATCAGACCCAAAAACCCAAAGGCGCCAGATGGCGTCCATAATGTCGACGAGATACGGAAGCTGCGAGGCGGCATCACCAGGCGACAGGCCAAGGGCAGCGTATCAACGCCGCGGAGAGATGACAGCGGCACGAGTACGCCTGCAAACAAGAAGCGCATAGCGAGCGAAGATTCTGTCCTTATGGGCAGCCCCGAAGACGACGATGAGCCACTGGAAGTTGGCAAGACGAGGGGGCAGTTCAAGGATGTCAGCTGGGGAAGCAGCAGCCGTCCTTCACGGTTGAACACCAAAACGCCAGACCCTCGCCGTGATGCATCGCGGCAGTTGCGAAAGGTCGACCTCGACCAGAGGCAGAAGACGAACGAGGAAAATGAGATTGCGAGCGCCACCGAGATGGCGCTGCGGGAGCTGTTGAAGAGCGTACGAGACGCCAAGTATGTCTCTCACCCACCACCTACCCTTATGACGCTAACAATACGTAGTGCAAAAGCATCCGGCTCCGGCCTCTTCGACTTCGATCCCTACACGCAAAACTTCCCCGCGCTGTGCCTCCAGATCCTCCCTGCGCCCTCTACCCTCTTCTCCCCCACACCCTTCCCTACGTCCGAGTCATGGTCCATCACCCCGCCGGGACAGAAGCAGTTTGAAGCGCTGAATAAGCAGGTCCGCGAGCGCCTGCTTGCCTACCAACGGCAGCGACAGATCAATCAGGTCTACCCATCAGGTTCGCACTCGAGCGCCCCTTCCACCAACACCTCACCCCTACCCACACCGCCACTCTTCGATCATGACCCCCAACGCATCTTTGGGCACATTGCAGACGCCTATCATCACTGGACACAACAGTCAGATAAGACGAGACAGGAGTATTGGCAGATTGAGATACTGCGCTGCTACGCCCGTGCCGATGACAGGCGACGGGAAGCTGAAGTGCAACTAGGAAACGCACGCAGGGAGATTGAGTACCTGAAAGCAAACCGCTGGACCTCAGGAGCCCCCGATGTATCGCCCATCAGTATCAACCTCGGCACCGACACTGCCAGAGAGCTTGCAAAGCACGGCATGGACTACCGCAACTGGGACTACGACCGCCTCATCGACAAGTGGCGGACCGCTATCCGTGAGAATAGGACCTCAGTCTCCGGCATGGGTGCCCAGAAGCCACTACCTGGCGATGCTAGCACGAGGAGCTGCTCTATGGCTAGTCTCCCACAACAGACATTCGCTACTGTCAACCAGCCTAGGCAAGGCAGCCCAATCAAGGTCGAAACCAACATGCCCTTTAGCGCACCACCCACCGTATGTGGTGACGGGGACAACGATCAAGTCGATGCAGAAGGCGATGATGACGACGACGACATTGACCTGACTCCCCAAACCATTGAGGAGGAAGACTCGATGCATCAGATGCAGCACCAGGCCCAACAACAACAGGCCTTGCATCAACCGCAGCCCCAACATCACCACGGAGCACCCCTCCAACCCACACCGCCGCATCCCTCACAACAGTTCCAGCCACACATGCAGACTACCCAGCACATCACCCAGGCTCAGATCGCTCAGGCACAGGCTCAAGCCCAAGCATGGGCAGCCGCGCGTCAGCACATGAACCAGTCACGCAACCAAGACTTCCGCCCACATCAGCAGCACCAGCTCTCGCCTCATATGCAGCACGTCGGCTCGGCTGATAGCAGTCGACGGGAGTCGCTTGCCATGATGGACCCACACGCCATGAACCAGAATAATATGAACGCCATGGGCAGCTCCATGATGTCAGGCGGTATGGATGGTCTCGACAGTCGTCAAGATCAATTCCTCCACATGGACATGGGCATGTCAACGGGCTTTGTCGGCTCAAACGATCCCAGTGTCTCAATGGGTTAATCGACATTCTACATCATCTGATGCTGTACAGCACAACAGCAAGATTGTCAATAATGGACGGAAAGGACTCTTCGGGCAAGGCGTAACGTGATACACGGAACGCGATACACGGACTGTCCTACTCTACAGCGGTTTTCACACATCTCGTTATTTCGTTTGTTCAACACTCTCGTCTCTTTTTCATTCTTTCTATCTTTCTATCTTTCTCATACTCAGCTCGGCTTTTCGCTATACCCATATACCCAGCCTTGCAGCTTGATACCCAGTTTTCTTATCAACCTTGGAAATCCCTACACAATCTTTCATATACCATTACTTAATAGCTCTTTCTTTTTTACTTGCGTTATACTGAGATTGTCTGTTTCCTATGTAGAGTCTACAGAAGCCTTCGTTGGCAATTACACTTGGGAGGTCATTGTGCTTGCAGTTGTATATACCCAACACTAAACTTCTCTATTGTTAGACATTAGAAACAACGGCGGATGGTGGAGGAGTAGGAGTAGGTGGAAGAATCGATTATACTATTTTGAACTGGGGGACTAGTCATTTTCTTCGACTGCTGATTTCTTTCTGGCACCAGAATGAAGCCACGCAGAACGTCCCACCAGCGTCTTGAAGATCCTTGGAAGATTATTAGGTCAGGTACTATAAACCGCACCTAATAAATGTAATCATATCCACCACAAATACCACAATCACAACTCCGACGCGACCGAAAACTCTCGCTGGCGAAGTCCAACCCCATGACAAATCCCTTAAATGCGCGATGGATTTTCGTCAACATCAAAGTCGTGACCGTCGTCCTGACCACGAAATCCAGACGAAAAGGACATGCCACTTCTCAGTGTTGCCAGTGGACTATCTGATGCTGAGGAGTTTGCGCGGATAGCCGAGGAAGAAGAGTCGTCTTCTTCGGCATCTTCGTTTTCCATCTGCACACATAGCAAGACGCAGTGCCGATCTCGCGTACAGAATTCGCCTTCGGAAAAGTAACATAGGAGGGTCCAAATGAATGGAGGGATGAAAGGAGGTAGGGGTATAGAGATGGGTGGGTAGAGGGAGTGTATAGAGGAGTATATGTAGATGCAAGTCATGTCCGGTGATCTCTCCACGGGGGCGTATAGAAGCGTCTGGTGGTAAAGTGTAATGTGAGACAGACGTGTGATAATGAAGCAGAAGGTGGTGAACAGCATGTTCAACCACAATACACAAACATCAACGGCATCGTGGAGAAGAACGATAAGAACGCAACATCCCATCTGCGAGGTACCATAAACCGGAAAAAAATCATAGAAAAGCCCTTGTACTCAGTCGTCGCGCGAGCCAACATACCCCGAGGTAACATTACCAATAAGGGTACAAAGATCGCAACGCGTCAATTCAACTTTGTCGGGAAAAGCCTGCCACCATGCGAAGGAAAGGGAATCAAAAAGACTGTCGTCCCGCCATCGAAGCCTTACAACTCTCCTACAGCAAGTGAGAGCAACTTTGGTGGCAAACCACCACCATGGCATGCGAAGGGGATCGGACGCACTGTTGTTCCGCCGCCAAAACCGCATAAGAAGTCTATGATAGAAGGAGGAAGCAATGTCGAGATCCTCGAAAGCATCATACAAGATGCTAAAGATATGCCTCGCGAGGCCCCATCACCTCCAATACTGCGATCTCCAATTCTTCGGCCTGTCAAACAGCGAACCGTTGCTACTGCCTCTCAACAAAAGTCTTCCCAATGTTCTGGGGAAACGGCTACATCGGACGGTTCAAGAGAGGGCAGTGCCTCCCAGAGTACTGCGGATGGTTCCCGGACTCCAGACCACCTGTACCAATGCTGCAATCCAACTCTGGAACCGACGAGTTGGTGGAGAGTACGCCAAATCAAGACGCCGAGAGATTCTAGTGTACGCTTACGCATACCTAATGGCGAGTCAGATGGTCAGAGGTATTATCAGACGATACTAGATGTTAAGACAAGGCGAAGGCTGAGTAGAAATAGTTTTGCTCTTACATGCGCGCAGTGCAACGCCAACCTAAAGTGCATCATCTATTGTGATGTTCGTGGGTGAAGACAGCGAACCGGCAAGTGAAAGTCGCCGAAACGTGCCTTGCTTATGACTTGTAGCAAGAAGACAAGATCACGGATGCCGACACAAAATGCCTTTACATCACTTACGTTGTTCGCGGGATAGATATGCGGGGATTTTTAACCCGACTGCATGCATGCGCCCCACGTGCGCTAATCAATTGGCGCAATCCCTCCGACGTACCGATACCGAACGGCATCCGCCTATCACGCCCACGTGTATCTTATCTTCCGCCATGACGACAATGTCAGAGGGATTATGAGGGAACGGGTCAAGCCTTCGACACCAAGCCGCGGTCGCTGCGTAAGCTCGCGCAAGCTTCTGCAAGCTTTGGCGACAAAAGTACCCCGTTCTATGCCGCGCACATGGGATTATTGCTTGGCTAGTATGCTTTGTTCCTGCAGCTTACCACTAGGTCGCTTCGTTGACGTAGGTGAAGGATGCTTAGCTTACCTTGACAGGGCTGGGTATAAAAGATGGAATTTCTTGGATGTAGTTGCGATGTAGTGTGTCGGTATCTAAGGTCTTTCTCATTTAAATTCCTCTCGTTCAAAGGGTATATCTATCTCAACCAACATGGCTGCACTTCTGGCATTAGGTCTCGCTGCTACAGCACTGGGTTATCCCACCGTGAGCAAGCATCACCACACCTCTCTCGAAAATGCTACGGATTACCTGGTTTCCGTCGGTCCTCGACCATACTACATCATCAACAACATGACCGACAGCCCGTTGAAACGGAAATTGCAGTCATGTGAAAACACACCAGTTTCCATCTCTGGATTTTCAATTGGACACCGCGGTGGAGGAACACTACAGTTTCCGGAAGAAACGATACGCTCAGAAGATGCCGGGGCGCGTATGGGCGCTGGTATTTTGGAATGCGATGTAGCTTTCACGAGCGACAGGGGACTGGTGTGTAGGCACGATCTGTGTGATCTACACAGGACAACAGATATTCTGCTCAAGCCGGAGTTGGCAGCGAAATGTACGACGCCGTTCACACCAGCGAATGCGACAAGTGATGCGAATGCACTATGTTGTACATCAGACATCACAATCGACGAGTGTATGTTCCACTCCTACCCCAAACATCCATATAACATTTCTGACTGACGAACTCACAGTCAGCACCCTCTGCAGTAAGCAAGATGGCATAAATGCCTCCGCCACGAATCCACAGGACTTCCAAGCCGGCACACCCCTCTGGCGCACAGAACTCTACGACACATGCGGCGAAGTACTAACCCTCGACCAATACATCGACCTCGTAGACTCCTACCCCGGCTACCGTAACTTCACTCCCGAGCTAAAAACACCACCCGCCGCTGTCCCCATGCCCTTCCAAGGAAACTACACACAGCAGCAATACGCCAGCGACATGATTTCCGCTTTCCGAAACAAGGGCATTGACGCCTCCCGCGTGTGGCCACAGTCTTTTCTCTATGATGACATCGTATACTGGCTACAAAACGACCACGACTTCGGCCGCCAGGCCGCTTATCTGCAAGAATTCGACACACCCACTGATCTCGCAGCAGGTATGGCCAACCTAACTGTTGCGCGAGCCGCAGGTGTAAACATCATCGCGCCAGCCCTAACCATGCTCCTATCCATTGGCGGCACCGACAACAAGACTATTGTGGAGTCTGAATACTCGAAAGCAATCAAAGCGAATGGCATGGATATCATTGCGTGGACGTTTGAACGATCAGGACCATTGGCTAATGTAAAGAAAGACGAGGAGTACTATTTCTCCACTATCGCGGATGTCATAACGCATGATGGACAACTCTATGAGGTACTTGATGTGCTTGTTAGGGAGGTGGGCATCAAGGGCTTGTTCACGGATTGGGCGGCGACGGTGACTTATTTTGCAAACTGTTTCGGGTTGGAGGGACCTGTAGGCGGGAGTTATAGTTGAGCAGTAGTAATAGTGGGAAAGGAAATATTTTGGGTCGCAATAAGAAGACCATACAAGGCTTTGATGAATTACCCGCTTCGTGTTGTGTAAAAGAGAAGACGATAGTTCGTCATGTGAAATACACAGTAATTGCGTCTACTTGCAGCCTGTCTGAATACCGTGGGACGACGTCTAAAAAGAGTACCAAACAAGATTTGTGTAAAAGCCGAGTGATGTCGTATGTAGAGCCAAACTACTGTTTTATCAATAAAAGCAGGGAAATAGGAAAGTGCACTCAAACATATTCCTTCTCAGTTATACATCACTCGAGGCTCAGAATTGAGACCTCACTTCATGATCCACACTACCTCTCCCTACCTATTCTTCATATAAACGCTGCAACTCCTTTCCAAACTGTCCGTCCACCTAGCTAAACTCTACCAATTCTTTAGTCCACCAGAGTCATGGAAATTCATCTCGGTAACTTGAACCACTCCACTGACTAGAACAGTATCCAGAAACACCGAGTGATGACCGGCCAATATGCACGTCACTTGACTAGGCACGTCAAGGCGCAATGTTTGCCGCATAGTTCGCGGTGGTCGAAGAGAACAGCCGAACATGTCGATCGTCATCACGGCAGCGACCGAAAACGATAAAAAGGCAATGAGGTGCACGGAGATCTAGACAGCGTTGTGGAGACGACCGGCAAGAATTGCCGGGTTGGATGGTCGGAGCTCGTATGGGAGTCAGTGAGCGGGTAGGTGGATGATTGCGACGGAAATGGGCGGTGAATGCAGCAGTATTGAAGCCGCAGATCTTCACGATTCATGCTAGGTACTCGTTCATTGAATCAAAAAGCAACATCACAACATTCGCTTAGGAATTTAAAGTTGATAGAACGAGTAATTGGTTGTTCATCTCTTGCTGTATATGTATATTTTTCTCCAACACATGTTTCAACGCAAATGTCGCAAAACACACAAAATGGTATTGGGGTATCTCCAAACTCCAGCTCCACCAGAGAAGTAGGCCGATCGCAAGTGCAGAAGAGTAAGCAATCATGGCAAGAGGGCGCATGCCACAGGCATCTTGGAACCAGGCCTCGAGTTGCACAATGAATCGCTTTTCGCATTCGCTGAAGCGCCTAAAGGGGGTATAAAAGAGTCGACTACCGAACCAAAAAAACAGTAGTGACCAAAACAGGGGGGTATTGCAGAAAGGATAGTAAGTATAGGAAATCCCAAAGCTCAAGTATTACCCAAGTATAGTGTGATCTCCACAGTTCGTCAATCGTCGCAGACAAGAGAAAGTGTGATTACAAAGGAGTGTGAGGGGGTAACAAACGGGGTTTAGGAGTTCCCAAGTTGGGAGCAGATAGAATGTAGAACGAGACCCGAGGACAAGTCCAAGGGGTTCAAAAAAGGGGGGATATGATGCGAAAAGCGCAAGAACAAGACGTAAACGGACATACATCCTCGTGATATGGGTTACAAGCAAAGGACATGAAGAAAGGCTTTGAGCGCGAGCGCTCGTTTGAATCAAAGACAGCGCACCAGTCGATGATGCAGGGGAAAGCAGTTCCCAATCTCTTACAAGACGAGGTAGCCAACACCAGCAGCGAGCGCAACAACCATGGCGTTAACCTTGACACTTGCGGCAGCACCCTCGAACTCAGCAGGCTTGCTGGAAGCTGGTGCACCAACAGTGGGAGCAGAAGCGGTAGGCAGAACAACACCGGAAGTAGCGTTACCAGCGTTGTAGCTGGGGATGATGGTAGGGTGGGTGGCAGAGATGGTGCTGGTGCTGTTGGCGGGGGTGTAACCAGCAGGGGCGGCAGAGCTGGACATGGTGACGGTGTTGACGCGGTAGACGGTTGAGGTGATGTAGACAGTGGCGTCGTACTGGCCTTCTTGAGCGAAAGCAACGGCGCAGAAGAGCGCGAAGATGGCGCTGAAGATCTGGGTGAAGGAACGCATTTTGGTGGTGGTATTGGTGGTTGTTGGTGGAGTTTGTTGGTTGGTGGTGAAGGAGGGTGTCGGTAGTGGTTATGCGACGAGGAATGCGCAAAAGCTTCGATTTCGAATCGGAAGATGATGGTGGTTGCAAGTGTGTATGCGACAGGTTATGCGACAAGTTGCGCAAGGTGTGAGACAAAGTCGTTTGTTTTTGTTGGAGATGATATGCGAGAGCAGTGTGGGATAGTCTGAGACCAAGAGAGAGTGATGTCAAAGATAGTGGTGGTAATGAGTGTGGAAGCAAGAAGCTTTAAAAGAGAGAGAGTGAGATATATCTCGAGAGAGTTTCTGGATCGTACGTTGTGAGGGTGAAGGGAAACAACGGCGAGTGGGGACCGCCCCCGGGGGTTGTATCGTGTCTTGAATCCTTGCCGCCTGCGCAATTTCCCTGAGAAAAGCGTAATTTCGGTCCCCTTTAAGCACTAAGGCAGGTTCGGCCACGCTAGCGGGTGTGCCTGGACAAGGAAGCTGCCGATCTAGCTGTTGGGGTGGGGACGTGCTGGCTTGGCACGACGGCAAATCTCTGCAAGCAACCCAGTCGTGACAGTCCCGTGCCTGCCTGAGTTGTGACTGACTACCGAGGTATCCACTTTAGTAAACGTGCTTGCACCTTCCCACCTGCACCCTCGTGACTGACGGGTAGTGACCTCACTGTTCTCTGCAATCGCTAGGGCAACCTGGATGACGATGCTGTCATCGTATTCGCGAATACACAAGGTCAACCCCCCAAAGCCCCAGCGCTCGAGTACCAAGTTTCAACCTTGTCCTCACGGGCTTCACCCCAGAGCACCCTCACACCCCATGCGTTCCACAATACACCAGCCTGAGTGTGGTGTCGCGCCGCACAGACGCTGAAACAAGTGCAGCGAATCGTGCCGTCGGCCTTCAGCTCTTGCCTCAAGGCGGAAACGTGACTGGAGCCAGCACGACAGATGCTGTACTATGTACACCGCACTTAGGCTCTTCGCTCCAGGCACTGGTTTGACAGCAATCGTGGCACGCTACCCACTGCGACAAGTGTACAGTCCATCCCGTCTGACATGACAAGATTAGCCAACGAGCGCCTTGTGCTGTCTCAGCCCCATCTAAAATAGCTGTTCACTATGGTTGAAAGGTCGACAACGTGGTCGGCGGCAAGACAAGGCAGCCAGCAACCTTGGCGCTCTGGATGCAGACAGTCACAACGAAGGAATGTCCCGATGGTGGTGTGGAACTCGCCAAAGAGAATTTCTTGCAAAGAGTTTGCATCAACAATGCAGCTTATGTTGTGACTACAAATCTTTGCGCAGTAGTAGCACGCGAGTGTATGGTTGCCCAGGCATGGCATCCTGCAGGAACAACAAATCGCAAAGACTTTCGCCCATATTCGCATCCAACCAGCCGTAGCATCGTGAGAATTTGACACACAGGAATAAGTCATAGCCTCGACTCGAGAAAAAGAATCTGAAATTACAATTAAGGGACCTAGCCAAGCGAGTATCGCTCTGATTGGCTGTATAGGCCGCACCACCCCTGCTATTAGTACAGCTTCCAAATGCTCATTTCCTGCCTTTGCACTGTCGCGACCATTGGCATTGTAGCCATTGGCAACGACGCCATTGCAAATCCAGGTCCTAACTTCCGCTCTCTCAAATGACAAGCCGCTCCCCGATGACAAGCCAAGCCAGACCATGGCTTGCCTTCGACCTTGGAGCTCTTTGTGCGCGCAATTCGACGTGACACGCATATTAAAAATTCGAGCAAAGACGCGCGCGCAAATTGGACAAGTAATTCATCTTTCGCACTCGCTTTCTGCCAGACCAATCGTCGTGTTATGCCGTGCCAAATGTTCTTGACGGCCCCAGTCGCAAGAACGGTCAAGACCGAGAGGGAACCACGACTCTGTACCACTGCCACGCGAAAAGTTAGTTTAGAGCACGGAAATGCAAACGCAGCAACCACCACAAGTTCTCCTTGGCTTCGTTGCCGGCACTTGAACATTTGGTCGTGTGCGTGCTAGCCATGAAACCAAGCTCTTTTCAGCAACGACTAGATCATAGCCCTTTTGCGCACATGTCAACTCCGTGCGTACTGAGGCATTCCACGATAGAACAAAGACTCTCATTCCATCCCCCCCCGAAAAGACTACGGCAAAATCCAGGGAGAAGGGAAGCAAGCGAACGCACGTACCTAGGAGCAAGAAGGTCTTGGTAATGTCTTCACACAATAGTTGCAAACGGCCTCGAGTCGTGAATGTTTGATCAGCGCGTCGCCAAACAAACAGACTTCAGTCTTCTTTCAATCGGCTTCGACCACTTCAGCGCTCTCCCACAAGCGACGACAGATCTCCTCAGCTTCGTTTCGGCTACGCGCTTGGTCGCTCTCAAAACTGTGTCCTCCGCCTTCAAAGTCATTCTCGTCGCGACTAGTCCTGCCGCGCCCTGCATCGTTGTTTTCGAAACTGACTCGCGATCTCCGCGAGCTTGCCCCATCTGTTTCAACGCCGCTTTCATTGAAACTTGTGCTTAGGCTGCTGGCGCTTGTTGTGAGGCCGTTTGCGCCGTGCGATGACTTGGGTATGCGCGTTTTTCGCGACATGCCAGGAGTTTGGTAAATTCGTGCAAGTGCGTCTGCGATAGGGTTGCGGTATCTTCGCACTACGTTGTACTCGACCGCGACGTGGTTGAACTGCTGCTGCAGACGGGGATCGAGGCGTCCCTCGCCATTGCCGTTGTAGTGGATGCTGGACTGAAGGTATGTGGGACCGCCCGTGCGGGGCAGCGTTACGGGAACGAGCTTCTGCGGCTCAATGTTGGACGACGCACGTTGGAGCATGAGTTTCTGCTGTGTCCGTGAGGGGGGCAGATTAGTGGGTGTGGTTGTGCCAGAGCGCTGAGGTGTCTTTAATGGCGTGTCTGCGCCGCCGTTGAAGTTTGGCATCGACTTGTTGCGCTTGCTCTTGTCAAGTTCACCTCCCTCGGTATCGTCCTTGAGGCCATGCCCGGCCATGTATGCACCATCGTGAGGTGTCCCAGCGGAACCGTCTCCGTCCATGAAGCGTGATACCAGATTATGTCCCGGTGTGTCTACCAGCGTAGACCCAACGGATCCAGCTGTATGACTGAGCAGGTTGTGACGGTCGGAGGATGATACGACGGTCGCGGCGACTGACGATGTCTGAGGAGGAAGGTGATGCGAGGAGCTACGCTGTAATAGTCGCGAAGTGATCATGTCGGCATCTGGAGGGCGGGAATGTTGGTAAGAACTCCCGCCATTCGTTTGCGTGTTGCTGCGCGTGCGATCGGTAAGCGTCTGAGCCGCCTGGCTGGGCGCCTCTCGAGTTGTGCCTGCCTGCTGTGTTGGCTCTCCTCTATTCTTCTCCATGTTGATCTCCGCCGCTCTATGTTGTGCTTCGAGTATGACCGAGTTGGAGCGTGTGTTCGACCGGGTAGTAGTAGGTGACTGCGATGCGCTCTCTTCGGTCCACCCGCCTTCCTCCTCATCGTCGTTGGGCATATCAAAGTGAACCGCAGCGTGCGGCTCCGGCGAACTTTGCCGAGATCGAGTGGGAGTTGCGAGCGCACGCTTGGAAGCAGCGCTTTCGTTCTTTGAGGACTTCGGCGCGTGTTTCGCATGCCCTTGCCGCGGCGGCAAATGTCCACTAGAGTGGTTTCTGCGCAAGTTCGCTTGCTGATTGTTTGCTCTCACAATGGCACCAGATGACGCATGACGTTTGAAACCTGGACGCGCGTGCGGGCTGCTGGGCGCCGAAACCGAACTGCCCGACTGAGAGCGACGGTGGTGTCGCCCCGTGTTTTCTGCGCCCTGTAGCGCCTGCTTCTCGGCTTTGTTCATCTTGTTGAGATTCTTGCCGAAAGACGTATTCCTCTGCACGCGTTGGCCGACAACATGATGGCGCTGGCTCTTGTGATGAGCTGAGCGATGAGGGCCCTCAGACGGCGACTGCGAGATGTGCGACTGCGACGATGACTGTCTGGTCATTGCGGTTGGCCTCTTGGGCCGCGAATTAGATTCATCCGCTGAAGCCATGCTTACGTTTGCCTATACAGGCGCGCTGCGTCGTTGAGCTGAGGTTGGGGAGCCGTTTGGCTGTCGGCGCTGCACGCAATGATGCGAGTCTGCGGTTCGTAGAAATGAAGTGGAGCAACCAGCCTGGGGTTTAGTTGTGCTGGCAGCCAAGAAATCAACGGACGGCCATGGAGATTCAATTGCGTACGTTGGAAGCGTTAGGACGTTGTACAGCGTGCCACGTTGGGCCCAATGATTCTCGATGGAGATGGTGGAGTGCATGGGCTGCCGTCAAATGAGTAGGCGGTCAAGACGCCCCAACCGCTTTCGGTGACCGCGGCCCGTCCCAACGTCATATGATCGTGGCCCCAACCCGCATTACTATCAATACAGCTGTCCGCTCTCACCTCACTCACCACACTTGCACGTCCACCAGCATTTCACTATTAAGTTGTATTCTCATGCCCAGTGTATGTGCACTATGTATTGTATAACCTTGGCCTTTGTTTCATACCTCGAATAGTTCTTGTTCCTCTTGATATATAACCACGCGCGCCTTTGCGCAATTCCTCAGTGTGTCAGCTGTAAGATTATATGCTCGAGGGTCTCTCTGTTATGCGTACGAAGATGCCAGCTCTCCAAACTACAACAGTCGTATAATCATGCACTCGATATGCGAGCGTATTTCCTTTTGTCATCTCGTTCGTCAATCGTAATCGTGATCTCGTGTCGCGCTCTGTATATGTCGTTTGCTGTTGCCCTCACTTCGAACTCGCTCCTCAATAATCGCTTCTTATATCGCAAACGTTTGAGCGAATCTCTTCAGCTTGCACTTCATCCCTCGTTGTAGCGCCGCACGCTGCTGACTGATCTGTCGTTGCGTAGGGTTCATGCCATCGATGCAGCCGAAAGAAGAGGTGGTGAGGATGGACTCGGGACGCGAACGGTAGGACGGCGGTGGTGGTCCTGAAAAGTATGTCGGTGCATCGGACAGATCGCCCATAGAGTCTTCGCGAGTGAGACCGGCAGCTGCCGTCGATGGTCGAGTGTCTTCTGCGCTTCGTGCCGTACGCATGAATATGGGGTTGACGCGTCGCTCAAAGACGCTCTCGGTGTCGCCAAGCCGCACACTTGCTGGTGTGCCCATGCGGGAGGGTAGATGCTTTCGCGACTGTTGGTCCACCGATAGAAGAGCACTTGCTCGCGTCGATGGTCGTGTGGTCGGACGAAGGAAGGACCTAGACCGAGACAGGAGCATAGGATCGGCGGCTTCCTGAGCACCCTCGTAGGACACAGCTAAGAGTGGCATCGACGCCGAATGTCTGTTGTGCTTCCGACCTGACTGGCGTTGAGACTTGGTGCGCAGAAGTGTAGGCATCTGGACCTGCATCTTCTTAGCGCACCAATGGAACGACCTTCCTTGCTGGCTTGTGACTGTCGATGGGCTGGCAATTCCAGATACCTCAGTCAGCGGAACGGCGTGCTGCGCTGCGGCCGAATCTCTGAGACCAAGGCTGGTCGCCGCCCTCCAGTAGGAGAGACCTCCCATCAGCGGAGGCGAAGGCGTGTTTATGCTGGCATCCAGCCACGCATCGACGTCCCGTATGACGCCTGAATTGGGTCTCGCTGGACGAAGTGGAGGTAGAATTGGCGGACGATGCGAGACCCGCGAGACCTTTATCGGAACCTGTGGTACTGCTGATGCATCCCCTAAGCTTGGTGCAGCTCCTGTTGAAGGTGCTGTGCGTGGTCGTCTGGGGGATATCTTTCGGTGCATCTCATCGGGTTTCTCGCCATTCTTCAGCGTCTGGCGCGATGCCACTTTGCGCAGATGTTGTTGCAGCCACTCCTTCGCTGTTCTATGCTTGCTATTCGCTGTGGTAATAGTCTGTTCTGTAGTTGTTGCCGTCATCCTGTGCGACTATGGAGAAACTGTTGCGAGAATGTCGTACGGTGAGTTATACACAGCGGTAACAGTAATGCAGAAGAGGTGGAGGTGCCGATGTAGCAGTGGCTTTGTGTGGGTTGAAGTGACCTCTTCGCTGGCGGCAGGTGTGAACCAGCTGCCATTGTGTATAATACGAACGCCATGGGGTTGATGAGGAAGGTGCATTCGTTGAGCGGCTCAACTGGCAATCACTTTCGATGATGAGGAAGGCACACTTTGGCAAGCTTCACCTAACGGTAGGCTATCATCATCTACAGGCCTTATGAGGTCTCAGACACTCTCAATTGATACCCGAGAGTTCTGTGTTCAGTCTACTCTCCACTATCTCACAAAGAATGGTTTACTGTTGAAGTCGTAGATTGACATAACGATGCAATTACCCCATCGTGTCTATACCCTTAATAATCAAAGTCTTCGAACACGATTTTCTGCCCTTCCAGCCACCCCGTAATTTCCTTCCTCATTCCCTTCCCAGCACACACATACCACGTATCAGCCTGCATACCTTGTACATCGCTCTTCACCATCCTCCTCTCGATAACCTTAGCTTCAGCCTTCACCTCATCTCTCATATTAGCCAACTTCCCATCCACACCATCACTCTCACCACCTGTCAAGAATACCGTCGTACAGCCTCCTAGCCCAGGGTACCGCCGAAAGGTATCCCTCACCAACCCCACATCCTCCTTGCGGATCGCCCAGAGCAACTTGAATCCTCCAGCCTCCAGATCCAGTCCACCAGCCTGTCCAAACAACGGTGTGACACCCACTCCACCAGCCACAAACACGGCTTTGCCCTCCCCAGCTCTCTCCACTTTGAACTCGCCTCCTACACCCAGAACACCTATTTCCAGCCCCGCCCGCTCATTCTGCTGGAAGAGGAACCTTGTCACAGTGCCAACCTTGCGTATTGTGATCGCGAACTCCTTCTCCTTCCCACCATCCTTGTTAGGGGTGGAGGAGATGGTGAACGTCCTGACAAAATCATCGTTCAAACTCTCCGGATCGTCGTCGCGCATATGTTCGTATCCAATGTCTAGTTCAGCGCTGAAATCTAGAGCGATCCATTGCCCTGGACGATATGTTATCCCATCCTTGACGGAGAAGGTGAAACGAGCGATACTAGGTGTGAGAACCTCTTTCTTGGTCAGAGATGCGATGGTTCGGGAGACGGACAGTGCGCTGCGTATATTTCCTTCGGAAGCGAGGGTGCGGACGAGTGGATTGTAGGGGCTGGGTGTTTTCTTCACACCACGGAATGGTAGACCGTTGGTCACAAATCGGCATTCAGAGATCGTGATTTTTACGGCTAGATTGCTACCCGGCAACAGGGCAGCTGCGTCTGCACCAGCGAGGATGTCAGTCGTGCCGGTCAGGTAAAGTACGTCCCCAGTATCGTAGCCTGGAAACGTGATACCAACTCTTGGGTTGAGTTGCAGATTACCGAGGGACTGGTAAAGCCGGTTTCCAGAGTATTCTGGGTAGACGAGTGAGTTTGAGTCTATCATCCGAACAAATCCCGCCGGGCCGCCGCGGTGGTTGACGTCCATATCGTCTTCTGTTGTAGTGGATAGGAAGAACATGTCGGCTTTTGCTATAAGTGTTTTTCCTTCCTCTGACAACGCTGAAGATTGCGATACTAGTTTTGCGGTGACGAGCGCTGGGTATATCTCATATTGGTTGAGATACTTGGGACAGTTTCCCAAACTTTGTTCGATCTTTGTGACGAGTTGGATCTGTTGTTGTGTCCTGTCTTCCTCCCCTTCGACCTCAACGTTGACATTCGTTGATGTTCCTGCGATCATACGACCAGCAACCTTGACTCTTTTTCTTGTCATAAGATCGATGGCTAAACCTGCTACTAACTTGCCACCGTCTTTTGCTTGGGTCATTTCGCCCTTCTCACCATCGCCCACGAGCGCTTGTACAACAGGGTCATTCTTGTCGTCAACGAGAGTGCGCGTGCCGATGAAGCCTCCACCAAGCGGTTCGGAGAAACCGGGCGTGCCGCCCCATAGAGTCGTCCATGGTCGAGATTGTGCATCTAGGGTCCCGAAGGCAAGCAGAGGAGCGCGTTGGAACATGAAAGTGGCTTGTGGTGTGAGCATAGCAGATGTTGGGTTGTCTTGAGGAGGAACGCGGAGGAGGCGGTGCATCTTCTCTTCGCCCTCGTTCCAGGGCATTCCCATTGAGAAAGCCATACCACTGGGTTGTAGGTTTGATGTAACGGGGACTGCTACGTTCTGGCTATCCAGCTGCTGGGAGTCTTCCGTTGCAGCTCCGTCATATAGATAGCTTCTGATGCTGCACAAGGTTCCTACATGACATGCTCTGGAAGCGAGGCTTATTCATCTGAGTGTTGCCATCAGCGTCCGTTTGAGTAAGCAAGTCGTGTAAAGCGCGGCCGGCTTGTTGAAGTGTCATCCGCAGGGCTCATTGGTGGCGGGTGCCGCTGTACAAATCATGTGTCGGCATCGGCATCATTTCAAATGTCTCCATTTGGCCCCGCCTTACATTGCGGGGGAGGGGAAACTAGTCCAGATAAACCAAGAAGCTGTACAGTAGGAAATCCCACATTTTTTGTGTGTTTACGCATTATCGAGTTTCAGGTTGCACACAAACATGAATATAAATTGTGAAGGTGTTGACTGGCCACGCGAGACACGGCTCTCAAACTCGCGTCGCATCGCATCGATTCTCCAACACTACACCATCTATTTATGCTCAGTGATAATCATCTCCGCCGCCTTCTCAGCGATCCCGTAAACCAGCGTCTGAAGATGCGCACTCGGCAAAAGAGGGATAATACTCGCATCCACCACCCTCAGTCCTTTGACACCATAGACCTTCAACTCTGAATTCACGACACCACCATCCTTCTCCGGAAGCAATGCAGCAGTACCAACGGGATGGTAGATACTCAATGTGTTCCCCAGGGCGTACTTCCGCCAATCCTCATCAGTCTGTATAGCATTACCCGGTTCATATTCTTCTGTCCAGACTTCGCTCATGGGTTTCGTAGAAGCGATCCTACGCAGAAATTTGGCGAGATTTGTAGCAGCTGCGAGATCGTAGGGATGGGACAGGTAGTTCGGGTTGATAATCGGTTTCTCGCTGATGTTCCGGGAGTTGATATGCACATTACCTTTGCTGAGAGGGTGTTGCACGACGCCAATGAGTGCAAAAGTGCCGATGCCGAATTGAGACGAGTTGGCTGCAGGATAACCTTTCAGACCGGTGTAACCGTCTGAGAAGATGACTTCTAGTTGGGGTACCTTGGTGCTGAGAGAGGGAGAGAAGTACGTCTTCTTTAGTTTATCGGTGACCGAAGTCAAGCTCGAGTCATTGTCAACGAGGGTCCGCAACTGAGAGGCGGTTTCATTGCCGACGATGCCCCAGGGGAAGTATGCGTAGCCGCTGGCGGTGTAGTCATAGAGTGACTCGCGATCCGCGTTGTACAAGGCTAGCTCAGCAGCCGCACGGGTGGCGTTCTTGAGAACGTCAAACGAAGGGTATTCAGGCTTCAGTTGGTAGGACACTTGAATGCGGATGTGATCCTGGAGGTTTTCACCCACCGATGGTAAGTTTTTAACAACGGAGATACCAAGTTTCTTGAGGAGCGATGCGTTCCCAACGCCCGAAAGTTCAAGAAGACCGGGAGTTTGGAAGGATCCAGCTGAGAGAATGACTTCCTGTCGCGCGATAATTTTAGTACCGTCTTCTAGGGTGACTCCTGTCGCAGTCTTGCCTTTGAAGTCAATTTTGGCCACACGTGTGTCCAGCTTCAAGACCAGATTGTTTTTGGCGAGTTTGAGATACTCTGGGGCGTAGGAACGAGTGTAGTTTGGGCTGACGTTGCTGGGTTGAGTTGAGACGCCAATGGGATTGCCGTTTAAACTCTCTCGGTTTGTCGCTAAGCCGAGATTGTTCATGGTAGGATACCATGTGGATTGGTGCCGTGGGAAGATCCTGTTAATGAGCGTGCGAATAGGTCCCGTTGTGCCGGCTCCCTCTGTGCCATACGCGGGCGACGGCATGAAAGTCTCACACTTCAACATAGCCGCATAAAGACTCTTCCAGTTCCATCCTTTGTTACCGAGCTGCTTTTCCCAGGCATTCAATTCGAACTCGGAAGTCCTGTCCCATGTCATGAGATTGAGCGCAGAGCTACCTCCAAGGACCTTGCCGCGGTTTTGCGCAAACACGCGGTTGTTAGCATTAGGTTGTGTGATTGTGGTCAGGTTCCAATCGTATCTGCCTCCGAGTGTTGATCCTTTTCTTCCCGGAACGAAAATGCCAGGTTCCTGACGTCCATCAGGCCCAGCTTCTATGACGAGGACGCTGAGGTTCGGGAGGCCGAGACTGATGCGCGAAGCAACGGCGAGACCTGCAGTTCCGCCTCCGATCACTATCTATGCTGCTCATTAGACAATCGCTAGAGCTGGGGTGTGATATCCTAGTTTCTAAAGGCGACGTACAAAATCGTAGGAGCTGGAGTTGACAGGTCGACCTTCTCCTCTCTCAACAACTGTTGCGCTACCATACTCCAACAGGGCGAACGCAAGCAATGTTGAAGTATAAAACTTCATGATACCGCTATATCGAGAAGCTGTGTGCTCTCTAAAAATCTGTATAGTTGGCGAAGGACGTAGAGTCTCGTAAAAGCTCGTCCGTGAGCATACCAGCTTGATATAAATTACATATCAGCGCTACTGAGCTAGGAAACGCATGCTAGCGATATGCAGAGCCGATTCCGAGATCTTAAGATTCCATATGCAGGAGCGGGCCTGGATTCGTTCATTGCTATTATCCGCTGCGAGACGGGACCATGTACCCGGCAAAACACCCACTTATTGGCTCCGCATTGACGCCCATCTACCGGGGATGGTAGATAACTAACTCTGAAGTTAGATCGTGGACTTCCAGTTGAAACTCCCTGATGCTCTCGTGATTGTGCTTTCGTGATAGGTCAAAGATGGAGTGCGCCATGTTAGTAGCTATCGGATCGTGAGATCTGAATCCGCTCACTGTGTTAACGTGAAGACTTGTTCGAATGCTCTGCCGCGGTGTGGGTCCGGGAGTCAGTGAGCGGGAACTAGAGGCTCCTCGCATGACAGCACATAACACATAAGTCGTATTCCATTTCGTCGGTCATCTGTAGAGGTAGCTAAGGTTCATGGCCATGTGGTATGCGATATCTCCCCGAATGCAAACATCAGGCGTGCCGCCAAGGCTACCTCTTCAACGATCTCGATGCGTACACAAGGTGGAGCTACGGATGGACGAAAAATAGAGATGAAGAAATTAGACATTGTTGAATCGTGATCAACAGCTCTAGAAGAGTAAAGGTGAACACTCGCGCTAGGCTGTGCCCCATCTCTACCTAAGTCTCAGCAGGAACGACGTCGCGATCAGCAAAATCATGTCATCGCCTTTCTGACTGCAAATCAGTTTCCAATCATGGTGAGCACACACAACTTGACTGCATGACTTCTATTCGCAAGGTGCCATGTCGGCGCAACAACTGCAATACGAGAGAGCTGGCCCGGGTGCCAGCCCAGCTGGACCCCTACCTTAGTCTCCCTTCTCCGCGTCTCAAGCTTCGAAAAAGCGGTTGTTTATCTACCACTAACACCACCACTGTCGTCTTTTGACATACCTAACGCCCGTTCCTACGACGTTTGAAATCTCATCGTCGCACATTCGGATCGACCATGGTATTGCACAAGAACCGGGTGAAGCCAACAGCCTACCCATTCCTGCCTTTCCACATCATACGATGCGCGCAATTACTTTCTTCACTCGTTGTAGCGAGTATCATGTTTTACTTCCTGCGTGAGCTATCGCATGATGGTTATAGGCTACCTTGGACGTTTATCTTGGTATGTATCTATTCCTACCTACTACCTTGCCACATACTGCAAAGCAATACTAATATCCACCAAGCTCATGACAATCTCCCTCCTAACTCTTGCCGCGCTCACATGCACAATCTTCCTCCAAATCCGTCACGGTCTCTCCGCGTCTCTCAACCTGACCCTGAACGCCGTCCTCGCACTTCTTTGGACCGTATCCTTCGCTCTACTAGCATGGTGGTGTTCAGGCACATTAGCACATGTATGCGATGCGAAGAACTGGGAGTCTGAGGCAGGGATTAGCGTGTGTAGAATGTACAAGGCGCTGTTTAGCTTTGCGTTGTTGGGCTTTGTGGCGACAGGGCTGGCGCTGGGGTTAGATGTTAAGGTTATGAAGGGCGCGAGAAGGAGGGGTATGTTTCAGCAGTTGGATGTGCTCGATGGTGGGGATGGGAAGAGGGATGGTGAAGTGGGAGATGGAGATTACAATCCGAACCCTGTCGCGGCGCGAGAGCAACGGGGACGGGGTGGACAAGGGTATGCGCTGCCGGAGGAGCAGTTCGAATATAACGATATTGGATACCAAGGGGCAGCAGGCCAGGTTGGGCGAAGTAGGATATGAATCGTAGAAAAATGTTGTTATATAAGAACTATTGACACACTATCTTGAACGCCGCCCAATGCTGGCATGATGCCGGGTATCATAGTGCAAGAAATCTAGAATAAATCGTCCATGATCGCGTCCCTCCCGTTCATGGCTGCTGCCGCGGCGTGCTCTGTGCCAATGTCCGCGTCCATGGACATTGAAGGAGCCTCCCGCGCGGCAATCTCATCCTCGACGAAGACGGCCAAGCCACCAAAAGCTTCGCGTAATGTCCGACTGCAGTAGTCTTGCAAGCTGTGTCCTCCCACCAGATGTGCCGGATCCCTCTTCATGCGTGCGTACCAGTCAACATCGTAGTTGTCCTGAAGTGCGTAGTATTGTGGTGCGATGTCGTAGCCGCCGAACGGATCGAAGGGTGCTTCTACTGGTGGCGCGACGCGCTTCTTGAGTCCACGGATCACGAAACCCGAGTCAATATCATCTTTGAGTGCAGGACCTTTGCGAGCAGCGGCGTCTTGTTCGGCTTTTTGAAGTGCCTCGAACTTCTTCAGTTTCGCCCAGGTCGCGTCCACATCGGTGTTGAGAATAAGGTTCCAGTTGATCTCTTCGACCTGCTCGAGGTAATCGTTATAGTCTCTCAGCGTCTCGAAGTCGTCTTCTGTCTTGTTCATGCTACCTGACTGTTAGCTATATCTCGCTCTGGCCGTTTGATCGCACTTACATCTTCATGACCTTTTTCCTGAGATCCACCTCTCGCTCCACCTTCAGATCCTCAAAAGTTGCCCTCCGGAAATTCCTATAGGCAAGTGTCTTCGCGCATCCTGCCACAGGACATATACTATTGCCCTTACCAAACAGTCGTTCTACGCAGGTATCACACATCTTGTGGTAGCATATCGGGTTGATCTTGAACTGCATGTTGGAGTTGAGGAAGCGCGACGACCTGCATACGGGGCAAGAGTCTGATGCATCGTCAGCGAGGGAAGCAGAACGTGGTAATGGCTGCAAAGATAAACTGTAAAGGGTTTTGGAGAGAGACGCACCGCCATCTTGCTGCTTGGGCGCGTCGGCGCCGCGCGATTTCGACATGGCGGAGGTTGTGGCGGAGGTATGCTTCGAAGCTTGACGGGTATGGGACCTCGGGAACTTGAGTATTGATGCTGACTCAGCGTATAGAAGTCGCTGGTCGTTCTACAAGATTGAAAGCATGGCCGGTCTGGGTAGGAAAGCAGATGAGGGGAAGATATTCGTAATTGTAAGGTTCAGGAACTGCTCCTGTCTGACAAACGACAGTCTGACGATCTGTATGCAGGCGTAGCATGGTTTCCCTTGTGGGGCCAGCCGCCAAGACCGGCGCTTTTTCTCGTACACAAAATTCCTTCACCTTTCCGTCTTCCTCCCATTCACACAACCACCTCATCAACAAAAATGGCAGCTTCAACACAGCGCGCTCTAGAGGAACTCGAGCGCAGCCGTGTGCAGCTGCAGCAAAATGTCGATAAGCTGCGCAAAGCCCTCTCCCACTGGACGACCTGGGAGGCTGAGTATGAGACGCTGAAAGAAGAGATACAAGCCGCCGGCGATCCTTCGCCCTCACAAATACGTGGGATGGCACGCGATCTCGAACTTACCCTGCTGGACCAGAAGGAAGTCGAGGAGCTACTCTGCAAGAACTCGCCGTCGGAACGCACTGCTAACCAAGTTATTGACATGATCTCTAGACGCATTGACTATGTTCGGACGAGTAGTGCTACTATCGAGAAGAACCTCGACACCGCCGAGAAGAAACTTGCTGGCGTCGACGTTCTGTTGGAGCCAGGCTTGGACAACGAAGAAGGCGAGCCTATGATGGACATCGAGGAAGAACTTGATGATGAGGGCAACGAAGTATCGAGCTCGGTCAACCAGACAGGGAAGGCTGCAGCTGAGCTTGTTGAGGTTCTGCGCAAGGCTGGGATCCAGAAAGCAGAGCTGGACAAGAAGAACGCCCAAGAAAAATCTGCAGACACGCCGTCTACATCCGCACCAGCTTCAAAGACTACATCGGATTCGAAATTTATTTCACCGTCTTCCGAATCCGCGCCTGACACGGCTGACGCCCGACTTTCAGAACCAGCGTCTTCAAAGAAGTCTGTGTCCTTCGCCGAACAAGTCGACGTGGAACCGTCACCGCAAGCGACACAAGACACTGACGAAGATGCAAAGATCGCCGCGCTTCTGTTTCCAGAGGGCACGCGTGCTGTCGAGCTCGATCAGGACGACGCCGACTTGTCCAATGCCATCATACCAAACGATGAGACCCCAGAAGAAGCCGAGTTGAGAAGGCAGATGCTGCAATATGGAATGTCTGAAGTCGGACAGATCGTCGCTGAACTTGATCTGGATCAGCCTACTGCGTCATTTTCAGACGAGGAAGATGACGACGATTACGGCGACTACGACACTGAGGATGAAGAAGACGAGGACGAATATGGCCGCAGTACTAAGCCTGTCGTCACCGAAGAATATCGGAAGCAGATGATGGAGCTTGAGAAGAAGCTGGGTGCTCGCATGCTTGAGAATGTAGGGCCTGAGTCGGGCAAGCACTCTCTCGAAGAACATATTGGAGACATTCGCACAATGCGTGTGAAGAGCGACGATCAGTTTGACGAATCTTTGGGATCTTCCGCGGCGGCGCCTGCGCCTGCGCCTGCTGATACAAAGAAGGAGCAGAAGAAAGGAGTACGCTTTGCTGAAGATCTGGACATCTCTGAGGCGCCAAAGCCACTACAGAAACCAGTTGGAGCCGCCCAGCCAACTGTCAAATTCACTCCGACTATCTCCGATACCATCGTCGAACGGTCTGCAGTTCCTGTAGCACCAGTGGAACCACCCAAGCCTGCCAAAGTATCCAAGTTTAAGAGTGCTCGCGCTGCGACAAACACTCTCCCCCAGATGCTGCCGACCCCTGCTGTCCCAGAAGCACCACCTGTACCAAGTGGCCCTGCTGGACGAACGCTCGCCAACACTATAACCGAACATGCTCCCTTACCTTCAGAACCCCAGGCGCCTGACGAGTTTGATGCAGTTCTTCTGAACCGCGAGATTCAAGCAGAATATCACAAAGCGCGGAATCGGTTCATACAGCGGCAAGGTGGATTCAAGGCTACTGAAGAAGATGAAGAGAGCCCGATCGTGGAAGAGCGAGATGGCAAGACGAAAAAGGTGAGCCGTTTCATGGCGGCCAGACTCAAGGCCGAGGGTATGTAATATCTCCGCATAACGTCGCCACCACATTCCTTGTCATTCTCGTTCCCTTTCATTTGTCCACCTTTCCATCGCGTACCCTTTTGAGGGTCACATCTGCACGCTTCAATTGCGTAGCGCGAATCTGAGATATGATTTGCCAACGGAACAATCCATGTCCGTGAGAGATACCATCACCATGTATCATGACTCACATTACATTCGTTCCAAGATTGAAAATAAGCGGTACCACTAGACTCGCCGGGCCAAATACTATGCCTACTCGAGGTTCATATGCTCCGTACATATAACTCATATACGCCATTTTTGGTATAATTGAATATAAACTGATTGCAAGTAATTCTTTGTTGTTTTGACATGAGTGACTGTGTGAGGGAACATACAGTGAACAAAACCAGAATCGAGTGTTACGTTTGTCAACAGTCCAAGTGAAGCTGAGGACGACCATCTCACACTCTGTACGTCAGATGTCATATGGCGGGGCTCGGATAGTGGGGTAACGTCGTGGCGGCCGACATGTAAATTTTTGGTCAACGCCGCCTGCAAACATGACTTCCGACTCCAGCTCCTCCACGCACTCCGATTCGCTGCCTACTACTCTTGATCTTCCGTCGCCTTTTGTAGACACGACCAAAGACTCTGCCCATCTCGCCTTTGCACCGATAGCGCTGGCGCAATACCACAACATTGTCGAAAAACTGGCCTCCAACAACCTCTACCGCATCCTACGCGCACCAGGACCCATTCGTGTATGGGTCTACCGATCGCTACTCGCCGAGCAACAACTGTGGAATGATTGGGACCGCCGCGCGCTATCACACCCTGACTTGAAGACTGAAACGGGAGAAGGCATGGCTGAAGGCAGCATCAACGACACGGAGAGCACGGGCGAGTCAGAGCGGCCCGAGAGTTCGACGGGCATAAATGCACGACCATATCTCACCCGACTTCGCCTTGCGCTCGCGCCCTATACCGTACATTTCCACAATCCAGGCTATGTCCGGGACGATACATTGCGCATGCTGGAACGAGATGTGGTCAAGAAAACATTGGAAGAGTCGCGGAAAAGTCTGGAACTGCGCGAAGAACTCGGCCTCTCGTGGGAGTTCTGGGACGATCTTGCGGGCGTGCTGAAAGCCGCTATACCCTCCCTCGAACGTCGCTGTTTCGCTGCTCCAGATCCTGCTGCGCCAGAATACGAGGGTCTGTCGGGCCCGTTGATCGCAAGCTATTCGCCGAGCCTGCTTAGGGACCTAGAACGACTAAACCAGCTCGTGTGCATAGCCCGGAATGTGCAGGTACATGGAGAGAAGGTGCAGAACCTAAGCGCCGACAGGTTGTTCGACAAGGACATTTTCGCATTAATCAATGTCTGTGTACGTGTCACTGCACGAGGCTACGACGGCGAGGCTGGGACTCAAGACGAGGACAAATGGCAGGGTGTCATCAACGCATACAAGAAGCTTCTCATCACTTGTTTGCAATTCCTCAACAATCTGATCGCACGGAACGAACAGCGGAAACTCATGCTCTGGATCGAACTGTTCGACAGTCACCTTGATAATGAACTACCCAACTTTGCCGACATGAAGTACAAGATGGACGAATTTCCACAAGACCAAGGTCCGCCACCCGAAGAGCAACCATTACCAACACATGCAGCACGTAGTTTAGACACCTTCAAGATCCCACAGCAACCTGCTTCTTCGCCGTTTCTGCTCTACATTGGCGAGACGGGTAACGACGTCAAGAAGGCCTTGATACATCATGGCGTCAAGGCAGGCGCCAACGAGATTGCTGCTGAGTGCAGGCGGAGGTGGCAGACCATGAGCGAAGAAGAGAAGAACGTAAGTCACATCTAATCCATGACGTAGGTCTTCACTAATTCTCCCAGAAATGGAACATGCTGTATGCAGATGTGGTCGCTAGGTATCGAGACCAGATCACCCAGTCTAGCACATACCGCAAAGTTGTAGACCAGCATGCCAAGAACGAAGAGAGTGTGCAAGCACTCGCAAAGAGCATCAACCAACTTCAAGTCGAGGTCGACAGGATGCGTTCATCCATCACCGCTCTCCCTGGCGACGAATCTAGCCGCGAGCAACAAGCGTCCCAAACCGCAGCGGAGAAGCAGTCTCCAAAACCAGCAATAGATGACTCGTTACTAGATCCAAGCATCAAACGGTCTCCCCCGGCAGGTGAGATCGATTTCCGTGTGACATACCCGCCATCCTTCGGTGCGGAGATCCTCCAGAATGGCAAAGAAGATCTGCTAAAGCGTCTGGAGCCAGACCCCGACCGTCCATCAGGGCTAATCAGTGACGTAGCGTCTCCCACTTCTCCTCCGCCAGAGGATGACGATGACAATGATGACGACTACGATGACATACCTGGTGATGAAGGCCGAGGGTTGCTCACAGACGTCCCACTTATCCTGGGTCCTACCGAGATTGAGGTTTTGCCTATGATCATCATGGCCGGGATTGTTGAGCCAGCAGAGGGGCAGCCTGGCTACCACTCGGATCCAACCGTCTTCAGCAGTGTGAGGAGCATGCACGGCGTTCGATGTCATTTGCTTCTCGCACAAGACAATGGCCGAAACCTACTACGCGAGTTGTTGATCTTCGTTGCAGCTTGGGATCTGCGCGAGGAAGAATTATACTTCAAGTTTATGGTCAAGATCATGGAAGCTATTCTCGCAAATCAGCTACTGCCGTTTGCTTACCACGCCTTCAGAGAGTCTGAGTAAGTACATCTATCGAACCAATAAAACTTAGCTTACACGACTATAGATCGAAAGACATCATTTCTCCGGCCCAAGCAGTCATCATGAAGCTTCTTACCAATATCTTCCGCGCTAGACAAGCCCGTGCTCAACCCACGAAGGGCCATCTCAAGGTAAACCACCCACAAGTGGATCAAGGCGACGTACACATGGTCAACTTTCTACTTACCGAGTTTCGCCGCCATATTATTCCTCAAACATGCGCCCTCATCTTCCTGCAAGGCCAGATTCGCGCAGGACATGCGCAACCCGAAGACTTTCCTCTGAATCTCTGGGATATGGAGCGCATGTACGAGGGCGTGTATCAATACCTAGAGTTCTTCGCTATTCTTACAGAACACGAGACGTGGAAGAGGATGTTGAGCAATTGGGAGATCTCTCACGAACTGGTGACCCTACTGAAAGAGCTAGACGCAGCGATACCCAAGGGTCAGCTATCACCGCCTCCCCTGAGAAATGTTCAACATGCGCCGCCACCTCCAGCACCAGTAGAGGTGGATATCCCTTCGCCGCAACAGCACCAGCAACAACAGCAACAGCAACAGCAACCACCACAGCCGCAACCGGTCGCTGTTGAGCGGCCATACGATACTACAGCTGCGGCCGCTGAGCCATACATTCCTCCGCCTACCTCACCGTCACCTCGACCATACATGGACGAAGCAGCCGACGAACCCTCAGACTTCGAATGGCGCAATCTCAAGAAGCTCGCCGTCCTTGTCCTCAGCTCCCTAGTCTGGAAGAACAAGCACGTTCAAGATCAGATCCGCCCACTTGGCGGTATCGAGGCAGTACTAAACTGCTGCTCCTACGACGAGCACAACCCATATATTCGTGAACATGCCATAATGTGTCTCCGTTTCCTCATGGAAGGCAACAAAGAAAACCAAGACCGCATCCACGCTCTAGAAAAGTACAATCAAGATGCCAACGCAAAGGCTAAAGCAGCAGCGAATCCAAACTCGAATCCAGACACAGCAGTCCCGTCACCAGCAGGCGAGAATAGTGGGAGTGGCAGTGGTGGTAGTAGCAATAGATCATCAGTCAACATCCGCGTACCCGACGAAGTGCTCGACCAACAAGGGTACGAAACCTACATGGATAAACAAGGCCAGGTTATGTTGCGCAAACGTCAACAACAACAACCTCAGTCTTCGCCTGCGCATCAGAATCAGAACCAGCCACTAACGTCTCGCTCAGATATCGGGGGCAGTAATAGCAACAGTAATGGCAAGGGTAAAGGCAAGATTGATGCTACTGCTGCTGCGTTGAGTGGAATGGCAGGCATGAGTGGTGGTCTGAGAGACCCCAAGGCGCTGGAGGATATGGTGCAGCAGGTTATGCGGGGTTTACCCAGAGTACAAGGCTTGAGGGGTGACGAGGAGAGGGCGGTGGAGGTTGAGGAAGCGCTGAAGAAGTTGGATAAGGGTTTTGATGGGGGGTCATAGGGTTAAACATTTCAGAGGCGAATGGAGTTTGGGCTGAGTGGGAAGAGTCGCTTACGAGTGTATGGCTATGAATCAAATCTTCTATGACGACCTTCACAAGGGTTTGCTAAGAATGAATCCACAAAGATTATGTCGTTCTATTCAGGTCATCTTGATCATTGTCCCCAGACGTCGCAAACCCGTTGTCATGATTGAGCCTCGCTTCGGCAGATCATCGGTAGCACAACTATGTCCGAACATTGGCACTTTTCTCAAAGACAAGCATTGTACGAAGTAGTTGCGTTCATACCAGGTTCAGCGTCATAGCTCGGCTTCCGGGGTATCCTTAGCCGGCTCGGGAAACCTCCGTTCGCTCGCGAAACTTGCATCTTCCCACTGCACACTTATCAACATCCGTCGCGTCGGGTGTTATCCGATGATACCGATTTGCTCTCGAGAAGAAAAGTACCGGCATTTTCCCGATGAAAGATAACAGCCGACGCAGTGCGTATCTCCGCGTCACTCGTTCACCGCCGCATGTAGCAGGTACCAAGGCCTGATTACTACTTAGACTGTGGGGTAGTGGAGACAGTAGTGGAGTCGACATCGATACGAATACAATGCAGCTATCACGTTGTATGACCGATCTCGGAACTGTACGCATGCATCCAATGTCGTTATATACACTTCTATGATGGCTCCGCTCGACGTAGCTTCGGTCTTGTGTGAGCACGTCCTGTCAATCTTACGTTCCCACATTGACTCCATCATGGGACAAACCACCGTGGCCCAGCGCCTCCTCACCACCTTCACGCTTCTCACCAGCTTATCTAGCGTGACAGCAACATCTAACAGCTCAGTCACGCTTCCTGGTTATGGTACTTTTCTCGGCACGACGGTCTCCCAGACTCTAACCAATAAACCTTTACCACGCACGGTAGACGCATGGTTGGGTATCGATTACGCCTCTCAGCCTGTTGGAGAAGGGAGGTTCGCGCCTGTTGGTGCACCAGCACCTTTTTCCGGGGTCAAGAATGCGACGAGTTATGGATACTCGTGTTTCCAGGATCCGTTGGATATTAATTTTGAGATGGATGAGGCGTGTCTGAGCATGAACGTTTTTCGACCGCAGGGCATTGGGTCGCACGAGAAGCTGCCCGTGCTGATCTGGATTCATGGGGTGAGTCTGTGAGAAGGGTTGGATGCATGTTGTGCATTTGCTAACTTGACTGTGAAAGGGTGGTTTCGTTGCCGGCAGTGCTAGGAGTTTTGATGGTCCGAGTTTTGTGGCTAATTCGAAGGAGCCGTTGATTGTTGTCAATTTCAACTACAGGGTAAGCATAGCCATCATTGTCATATGAGCAAGCCTGATACCGTCTAGGTAAACTCTTGGGGCTTCCTTCCTTCCCCAGTTTTTGAGCGCGAAGGACTTCTCAACCTTGGCCTTCGGGATCAGGAAACACTGTTTAAGTTCGTTCAAAAGTACATTACGGCTTTTGGAGGCGATCCTTCCCGAGTCACTATTGGAGGTCGTTCAGCTGGTGCGCACTCAGTCGGTATCCACCTTTTCCACAACTACAACACCACCGAGGGCGCTGCACCGCTCTTCTCCCAGGCTCTTCTTCAGTCCGGGAGTGTAACCGCTCGAGCATTCCCCAACGCATCTTATCCGTTGTACCAAGAGCAATTCTCACGCTACCTGGGTCTTACAGGGTGTGGTGCAGTGGCCAACAGCACTGACACCGAGATCCTCAGCTGTCTACGTTCTGTTCCCGCTGCTGCCATTCAGAATGCTAGCGCTCTGCTGTGGCGTGATTCTGAATATGCCATCAAATGGCCATTCCAGCCCACACGAGGGGGTCCCCTTCTCGAGCAAGCCGGCTCAATTTCTGGATTTAACAGCCAATTCTACCGCATTCCTACCATCACAACCAATGTGCCCGACGAAGCAAAATACTACTCCCCAGGCGACATTGAAACCAACGAAGAATTCCTCGCCTTTTTGAAAAACCTGATCCCCGGTCTGACCACCGAAGATCTATCTGATATCGAGAAACTATACCCCGACCCTACTGGGTTGGACAGTGGACCATATGTTCACAGCCCGAACACTACTCAATACAACCGTCTTTCCGCTGCTCTCACAGACTACATGTACGCTTGCGCCGGCCAAGAAACCGCTCTCCGCATGTCTGCCGCCGAAGTACCGGTTTACAAAATGGTCTTTGCTGTGAACAACACTTTCCCTACCTGGAAAGGCATACCGCACACTGCCGACACCAAGTACACATGGGTTGAGCCAGCCGGTAGCGGTGGTGTGCAATATCCGGATGTAGGCAAGGAACTGTTGAATGCGTATTTCTCGGACTTTGTTGCGTTGGGCGATCCAAATGCGGGTAATAGGACTGGTGTGCCACACTGGCCGCAATACGCGGATGAGGGTAGGGGTAAGCCGGGGCTACAGTTAAGGCTGGAGGCCTTCGGCAATACTAGGGTTGAGGGAGATGGGATTAGGAGGAAGCAGTGCGAGTGGTGGAGGGATGAAAGCAGGGCTGGGAGACTTGAGAAGTAGGTGGAACATTAATCAGTTTTTGTCAATCGACGGAAAGTGAGAAAGACAGCACGATGAACTATACGAACTTACTCCTCAATACCGATCTCATCAACCACTAACTCCCTACACTCTCTTCCGTATCCTCGCTGCAATCCTCTCTCTCGGCCTCATCGTCCCAAAGGCCTTCTCCTTGTTCCCCGGATCCAAACTTTTCGCCGCCTCCAGATCGCACACTTTAACCTCAAACTCGCCCATCAACACCGCCAACGTAACTATACCAATGTTACGCGCAAAATGCCGGCCTGGACACTTGTGTTCCCCGCCACCGAAAGAAGTCCAGTTACCACTCAAGCCCGCGTCGCTGAACTTTTCTCTCTTCCCATCGTTTCCGCCGCCGTCGACCAGGTATCGCTCGGCCCAGAAAGTATCGAGAGGTTTCGCAACAGTCCGAGGACGCGTAGCCTTCCACCCAGGAGTGAATTGCCCATTGAACTTGTGAGAAATATAAACCTCCGTACCTTTTGGTATACTGTACTTTTCATCGAGCGCATATGTCGGAGCTGTGACTTCCCTCACAGCGAGATTAGAACTATACATCCGCGCGGTTTCCGCGTGGAGAGATTGCAACAATGGCCGCGCGCTTAGTTGCATAAAGTTATAACCCTGCGTCTCCTCGTTCACTCCGTGCTTTATCTCGTTGAGGACACGAGCGTGTAAGGAAGGGTCGCGCAATGTTTCGAAAAGATACCAAAATGTTACTGGGACCGTTAGACTGGTTCCGCCGTAGAGGAGACCAAGGGTTTGTGCGGAGCGGCCATCAACACCATGACCAGCCATTTTGCTGTATAGTGCCTCTCTTTCTTGCAGGAGGCCAGAGCCAGCGATGGGGTCCCAGGTAGTGTTTACGGCGTTTTGGGCGCGGAGCGCTTCGGATTCCTTGGTCCACGCTCTGATGGCATTGAGTAGGCGGTCGCGGGCGGCATAGGCTTTGGGGATCATGAAGCGGGGGAGACCCATGAAGAATTGGTCTGTGGCTTCGATGTGGATCCAGAGGTCAGTAATTATTCCTGGGTAGATGATGGACGTGCCGAGGAGGGTCTCAGCGATGCCGTAGGATACGTGGTATTCGATGAAGTCATAGAGATCAGGGATTTCTTTCCAGGATCCTGATGGGGTCGAGGACAAGCTTTCGGTGATAGTTCGCTTCATGACGTCGAAAAGGCGTTTGGCAAGTAAACCAAGGTTTGATCCTGTTGTATGCTGTCGGATATGTGTCGTTTGTATGTAATCCGTGTTACCGTTCTCAGACTTGTAGTGATCAATGGCCTCTTGTGGGCTCCCCATCAGTGCGCCCAGAATCTTGTCGTGGATAAATGGGTTTGGGTCGAGTTCGGATGATGTGTTGAGAACGCCTTTAACATGTTCTGGATCTAGAACGACAAGCAACTTCTGGCCTGCGGCATCTAGAAAGAAAGGCGATCCATCGCCATATTCGTTCCTATTGTAACGTTAATCTTGCTGTGATGCGACAATTGTACGCAGATCGTCAATGGGGTAGCTTTCATGGTATTGTGAGGATGAATACTTACAAACATTTGGCAAGAAAGCCATGCGAGTCATAAGCAAAAGACAAGGCATGTTTGATTCCAGGTATCCAATACGGGAGTGTTGGTGGTAAGACATTATGACCCTTGCCGTACTTGATGGACCTGAAGGTATGCGATGAAAGGATCCTAGTACAGACACACACTACAGCAATGGCCACGATGCATTGCGCGACGAGGCTGTGCTGCAACGCTGCAAACGGTGACGAAAGCTGCCCGCCCACAGTCGTCGCGTTTCTGGCATCCATGTTGCGTGCAATGATGGTATACTTGACCTGTGGGGAACAAACATCAGATTTATGTGATCTTCACAATTTCTCCCCGATGCAGGGGGATAAGCGCTAGCCCAAAGTAGCGTCTAATTTCTGAAGTGTGGGGGGCCTCTTTGGCAGTAGTCTGGGTTTGCTGTGCATGATGACCAGTGCGAAGATGTCTTGCATAGCTGTCACGTACTCGATAGAAGCTGAAACACAACGGGCGCTGATTGCGTGCAGACAGCGGTGCAGAAGGCGGCTATTTTTGGTCGCATGGTGCATAACGGCGTGCATGACCGTGTGGAGGTGGAGACGATTGGCTTAGCGTCTCAGGGTCCCGGCTAGAACAACAGAGCTCCGTCAACTTGACATCCTTCGCGCTCTTCGCTATTATCGTCACGTTCCTTCCGCTACCTAGGCATCCACCGGCTTTAGCTACACATTGATTGCACCACTTTTTCTTTTCTTCCTTTCTTCGTTCCCGCACGCTCGTGCTGACACCTACCCCTCAAAAGCTTATCTAGCAGCTAGCTAGGCCTCGTCGTCACCATGCCGGGAGTTCGTAAGTGCAGTCCTTATTCAGCTTCACCTTCAGCTTCACCTTCACCATCCAAATGGCGTCCATCTCAGGACTAGTCGCGCTTGTAGATTCGCAAACATCTACATCATGGTTGCCTACTCATGTGTCCCGTGTCGACGCAAACATCTACGTACCCACAAGCTATCGTCCTTAGAAATACCCCGTGTGATCACCAGCACGCACAAAATCATTATTGACTCACTCTTCCCACAGCACTCGACGCGATGGATCAGATGAAGAAGGCCCTCAGGGGTATCTTCAGGGGCAAGAAGTCCAAGAAGGAAGAGCCAAAGCCCACGGCCACTTCTGAGGCTTCTACCACGCCTGCGCAAACCAAGCCCAACGAGACTACGCCAGCTGCCCCCGCTCCCGCAACTGCGCCCGAGCCCGTAAAGACTGAGACGACACCTGCAGCCACAAGCGGTGCGTCTGCGCCCGCGCCTGCTGAGCCCGCTGCAGTTCCAGCTTCGGATCCCGCGCAGAGCGAGACCAAGAAGGATGAAGTTGCTGCATTGGCTGAGGTCAAGCAAGCCACGTCGAGTAGGTTATCATCTCGTTCATACTCCAGTCTTCTACCGTATCGCGAAGATGATGCCTGGCATGGGTCCAGGCGACGACAGAAGGTCGGCTTGGACGACAGTCAGTGGAACGATCCCGTCTAGGCGTGGGAAAACACCTGCGACAAGATGGTTGGTCGAACGTATCGCCCTTTCATCAGCACGGTTTACGACTTTACGGCCAGACACGACGTTTCCTTCCCGCTCAACTTTCACGAATTTCCTTTGTCACTTAAGATACCCTAGACTAACACATCATGTTTCAGCCCCCGAACCCGTTGGCGCCGTCGCGCCCGCTCCCCCAACTGCTGCTGAGGCTCAGCTCACAGCCACCGATGCCCCAAAGGACACTGAAGCCAAGGCGACAGATACACCTGCACCAGCCGCCTCATTAGATCTTCCTGCGATCCCCAGCAGCAAACCCGCTGCTGGAATGAGCGCCACAAGTGGGCCAATGTTTGATGAGCCCAACTTTGGCGAGGAGAAGCCCGCTGCGCCAGCTGCACCAGCTGCGGCACCAGCTCCCGCCGCGCAGGCTGAGGAGCCTGTTGCCACCACCGCTGCTCCTGCGCCTAGCACCGAGCCCACGGCGACTCCTGCTGTCCCAGCAGCCGCTGAGGACAAGGCGGAGAAATAGCAAGCCTTCCCATGGGGCGGAGGTGACGACCGGTAAGGTCGAGACTGTCCCGATTACAGAAAACAGTGAAAAAAAAAAAATGTTTTGGATACCGGTGGGCGAAGTGCGCGGGTGTTGGCCCTCGTTTTCAGCATTGTGTCTTTCTTCTAATACTATACCCCACTACTGTATCTTTCGATAGGCGTGTCGAGCTGTAGGCGAACTTGACTTTGAAATCGAACAATTTCCATAATCGTCACTTTGATGCTGGTGAATATCAGACGAATCATCGTCATCGTATTGCTCAATGCTACCAGCTAGCGCGGGGCAATGGCAGCCACGCTACACGTCAAGGAAAGCCCCACCACCGACGTCAACCAAGGGACGCGATAATTCACACTAAGTAGAGAAACCACAGAACTGTTTGTTCCGAACAAATCCACACGCCTGCACACCAATTCGATACCACAAAAGCGCAACCAACACGCCCAACCTGCCCATATTCCATACACGTACCAACGCATCACAAAACAGCTACAATGCCCGCAGGCGGCTTCTCGCGCACGCGCAACGTCGATTACGATGACGACGACATCTACGGCGACGACGATTACTATGAAGAAGGCGCTGGGGACGTGGATGCTGGAGATGGCATGACAGAAGATGACAAAGAGCAGATGCGTGTGGGCACAATCAAAGTGCGGGAGGCGCTGGGAGACATGAGCGATTTCACGAGCGACGAGCAGATACAAGAAGCGTTATGGCACTACTACTACGACATTGGAAAGAGTGTGAGTTATCTGAAGAATAAACTTGGCGTGGCAGAGCCCAAGCAAGAGGCACCCAAGCAGGAAAAGGCAAAACCAGTGTCGCGCTTCGACCAAGCTGCAAGCGTAGCAGATCAGAACGCGCCCGCAACCACAGGTAAGCACACTCACTTGCACTCCACTTTAGCTTTGTAGAAGAGTCTGCTGCCCCGTCGTCCTGTTGCTCATCCTCTACCGTTGCCCCAATCTCGATGCCTACCAACGCTGCTGTCACAGACTTCTTCTGGGATGTGCCCTGGGGCAACGTACCACCCGAACGATTAGGCGTCATCACCGTCGATGCTCCCCACTACAAAGGTGGTTTGCTTGGGGGGTCCTCGAAGTTAGCTGCGCTTGCAGCTAAGCGTAGGAAGGAGCGAGAGGATGCGGAAGCTGCTGCCTCTAAATCCAACAACAACGCGGATTCGGCCATCGCCATGCTCGATAAGCTCTCGATGAAGAACCAAGAGAATGCCAATCTTGGTGGTGATGGCGGGGAGTCAGAGCGCCCAGCTCGGCCTTCCAGATATCCTATCCGCAGACGGTCGCCATCCCCAGCCCCAGAAGCACCGAAGGAACCTGAGATAGAAGAACCCCAAGCTCCCCAGCCTGCCGTCGTTGTCGAATCGCCAGCTCAACGCGCCACCGCCTCCATGTTCGCCTCCACCCTGTGCGGGTCTGACGAAACGTCAAAGCACACACAAACACCGCTACAAGAGGTTCCGGTACCCTTTGCTGCGTATAAATCGTATGATGGCACGGGGGCTTTTGCTGGACCAAGCCCGGACGACATTGTGCGGGCAGCACAGGCAAAGGGCGCAGGCGGCGGACGACACTAGACTCTTACAAATTCATTTGAATATTTCTAAGGCATACAGGAATTACACCAAAGAAGAAGAAAAAGCAAACAAACGGTGACCTAGCCGAATCGGTCGAGAAGCTTGCCGTGGTCGATGAGCCGAGGGTCAAGAGTAGGAACTTAAACGTTGTAGACGAGTTTGAGAAGAGCGCCCCGAAGCGAATGGCGAACTTTGTAGTGCTCGGTGAGTGAATTCTTGCATATCCTCCCCATCCATCATCATTTTCGGTACTAACTACTCAAGGACATGTCGACCATGGTAAGAGTACGCTTATGGGACGTTTGCTCTACGACCTCAAAGTCGTCGACCAGCGATCAATAGACAAATTAAGAAAAGAAGCAGAGACCATCGGCAAATCTTCGTTCGCGCTCGCCTGGGTTATGGACGAAACTAGCGAAGAGCGAAGTCGTGGTGTTACCGTCGATATTGCGACCAATTACTTCGAGACAGACAAGAGTATATTTACGATATTGGATGCGCCTGGGCATAAGGACTTCATACCAAGAATGATCTCAGGTGCATCACAAGCCGACTTTCCGGTCCTGGTCATCGACGCAAGCACCAACAGCTTCGAGTCTGGTCTCAAGGGTCAAACGAAGGAACACATCTTGATCGCACGAAGCATGGGTATGCAACACATCATCGTGGCTGTGAACAAGATGGACACAGTCGGATGGTCGAAATCACGCTTCGACAATATTTCAAAACTCATGACAACCTTCCTGACCGAAGCAAGCTTCCTTGAGAAGCGAATAACGTTCATACCCCTAGCCGGCCTGACCGGAGAAAACGTTGTCAAGAAGATCGAAAACTCAGCCGCACACTGGTATACCGGCGAGACCCTGCTAGAAGCTCTGGAACGCGTCGAGCTACCACCCCGAAATCTCACAAAGCCACTTCGCCTTTCTGTCGCTGACGTTTTCCGCGGCGACATGCGCTCACCACTTAGTATATCAGGTCGTATCGACGCTGGAACCTTACAAGTCGGCGACGTTGTACTCGCCCTCCCCGCCAACGAAACTGCAACCATAAAATCCATCGAAGTGCAGGACGCACCCGTAGACTGGGCCGTCTGCGGCCAGATCCCCACTCTCCATCTCACAGACATTGACCCGGTTCATCTCCGCCAAGGCGACATTCTCTGTCCTCCCAAAGACCCCGTTAAACTCGTCAAGGCTTTTACGTCCAAGCTCCTCGCTTTCGAACACGTATTACCTATGCCGGTGGAGGTTTTCAGGAGTACGCTCAACTCGCCGGCAGGAATTAGGACGCTGAGCGCCAAGCTGAATAAGTTTACGGGAGAGGTTGTGAAGAGGAAGCCAAGAATTGTTAAGCCGGGCGAGGTGGCGAGGGTCGTTGTACAGTTGGAGAGGGAGTTACCGGTTGAGGAGGGGATGAGGGTTGTGCTTAGGGAAAGAGGAAGGACGGTGGGGGCAGGTTTGATGGAGAATGTTGCTTGATGGGCTGAGAAGTGGGGTTGTTGGGAACGATGGGGAGAAACGAAGGGTCGTTTGATGAAAGCTCTAGATTAGACAACCCATGTCTATAGATTTTTGGTACATGGTGTAACTCAGTCGTCAAGTGTAAATACTTGATCTTACCGGTCTTACTATCCTCAGTCGACAGCTAGAATATACGTGCACACGCTATGACTGCTGATCTCATCTCTTGTCCGCCCAAGGTGCCCTCGTATTCTGCTGTGCATTCTGCACATCACCAGCATTCCCTCTTGCCCACGGCGCCGTAGTGCTACCCCCCGCCGGCGGTGGAGCAGGCGTTCTACTCGCCCAAGGCGCTTTTGTAGGTTGGTTTGGACCACTAGGTACACCCGCCCCCGCACCACCAGCCCACGGTACCGCAGTTGCAGCAGGCATGCCACTGCCTGCCCCCCTAGCACCAGCAACAGCCCAGGGCGCAGCAGTTCCAACCATTCCACCAGGCATACCTCCCCTCGCCGCACCACCCGCTGGCTCAGCCATCGGATCCCGCAACGCAGGCTGTGGACCCGGTCGAGCAGTCGGTGCCGTAGTAGACGGAGTATTTGATTTAGGTTGGTTGGCAGTGTGAACGCTTGCTTGAATTGTTTTTGCGTTTGGATCGGCGGAGAAGGAGAACAAAGAGCCGAAGGGGAAGTGTTGCACAACGGGGAACTTGGAGAGGACTTCTGCGTTGTACATTTTTATCATTCCCTATGGGGTTTATGTTAGTCTAATAGATTGAGGGGGGAGGGAAAGATAGGGAGTGGAGGATATGTGAAGGGAGAATGTATGATGTAAACCCACCTTATTGATCTTGGCCCATCCTGCTTTCACGCCAGAGACATCGTAGAGAATATTGCTGTGTTCCCAGAACGGACCTTTCTTCACATCATAGATGAAGCCGATAGCGCTGAAATACATGTTCCGTGTGCGCTCGCGGGCTACGGCGGGGGCTTTGGCCACGTCGCCTGGGCTCGGAGCAGTCGACAACGAACCTTCTGCCGCAACATCTGCAGGCGTGACGATAGCAGGAGAAAACTGCGCGCTACCGAATATGTACGGTACGAAAGAATGGTCATCTAGTCCCCATACGCCATGCGAGCCTGCAGGCTCTAGTGTGTACGTCAAGATGAGTCGACGTATCAAAGCGAGATACGGTTCAATAACTCCAAGAACTATACCGCGTTCTTGCTCGCCATCTTCCGAGTGAGGAAAAGCACCAAGTTTCCAGAGACAGCCAAGGAAAGCAAGGAAACTGAGCTCATGACCTGTGCCATAATCTAGGCGTTGAGAACTACCGAAACTGCCGATGAGATAGGCTTCTAGTTCGCTTTTCGCCGAGACATCGGATGACGACTTGAAGCCTAGGACTTCGTCTGGTAGATACTGATCTAAGAGTCCCGAAACACGTTCCCGGACAATGTCATACCAGGTTCTGAAGCTTACGTTTCCGAAGCGACGAGGTCCAGGGTCTGGTGGTGCTTCATCGATGATGGCAGTTAAGGTGTTGAGGAGCTTGGCCAGGTTTGCAACAACGGGGGGATGGGGGACATCTGGGTCGTTCAGCCTCCATTCCTTGACCGAATCCGTGCCATTTCCCTGCTCTTTAGATTCTTTAATCCTCCGGGGTATCATCGCTGTGTTGAGTTGGAAGATGAAAGTCATGATATCGGCATAGGCTCTGCTTGCCAGGAAGAATGTGACGTCGTCGCCATCGTGGATACGTTTCGCAGGTATTTGGAAACTGTGCGATGCATCTTTGCTAAGCACTTCTAGCACGGGTGCTTTGGATGGATTCGATGACATGGCGGGATGAGGTGTGGTGATAGTTTGTGGTTTATCGATAGTGGGCAGGGACGATCTCATGTGATAACGTGTTTTGGACCCACTTTCGCGCCCGGCGTTCCAGCCTTCTCTTGCTTTTGAGGGTGGGGATGACTTCACTCCCCCACATCACCGACATTCACTAGGACGAACGCGCTAGCATTCTTAAACGCTCATTCATGGCGCGGCTGAAAAATGCGCCAAAGCATGAAGGCAAGTTGTATCGCGGCTTCGAACGCATGGTGTGGTAGAGCTGGCGTGTATACACAGAATGCGCGAAGCTTTCCAATATTCCCACCAGCTATACAGTCAAATCTGAAGTTACCATCCGACTTCTCATGAGCTAACATTGATAACGTAGTTCGCAAGCCCTCCTCACCCTCCTCTGACGACGAAGCCGCGACCCAACAGCTCCTCACCGAATCCCACTCTCCACTCGCAGACCTACCCCCACCGTCCGCAGTGCTTGGCGCAAACCTCCTCAATGCAGCGCGCATGAATCCTCCGAGTGGTATTCCAGAATGGATGGTGCGCAAACATGGGCCGGGCAAGCTCAAGCGGGTTAGCATGAAGAGGGATGATAGCTCAAAACAGAATCTCGCGATAAGAGGAGACCCGTACGAGATTGAACTGAGCCCTGAGAAAGGCAGATATGCTTTGCCCGAGAAGGTCAATCACAAGCCATTGAAGATTCTTAACAAGAAGAAAGGGAGGAAACGGATAGTGGAGGGGGCAAGTAAGGTTCCTGTGGCTTCGTCGGAGCTTCCAGTGCACGATAAAGGTGGGCAGGATGTGAATCCTGAAGAACTGGTGGGGAATTTAGCTTTGACAGAGGATCTAGACTCAGCAGAACCTGACATACGTTCCCCGCCGCCTGAACTCGCCGCGCCAGGAAACGATGCGGTTGCCGTCGATGATACTCGCCAGGAGACACCCCTCAGTATAGGCGACATACCTACTGATGCACCAGAGGATCGTGCCGATACACAAGTAACATCGAAACGGAAGTCGGAGTCGGACCACAGTGAAGACGGGCCTACCAAGTTTCAGAGAGAACAGAGGACGACGGTCGGCGACTCAATCTCATCGAGGAAGAACCATCCGCAGGTACAGGTCACAGTACGGCGGAAGTCGCAAGAGAAGAAAGCGACCAAACCGACAGGACACGACAATGGCATTCGAGGGACACAGGAAGAGGATTCATGTCTAGAACTTGCGACACAAAAAGCAAAGTCTCGAAGAAAACGTATTAATGATACTACCGGGATCAGTCAGCAGCTACCAGCCAAAAAGCGGGGGTCCCAGGGCCGCGCAGAATCTTCCAGGAAAGCCCCGGAAACAGCTGAAGCCGTGGCCACCGAGACTGCGCCTGTCATCAGCGAGTCCGAGCACGGGTCAGACGAAGAGGGGTCCGGAAGCGTTGCCGACGACGATGATAAGATTGTGCGTCCTACAGGACAGCCTGGGAGTATCGAAACTGTGTTCGAGTTCCTCAACCTCGAGGCGCGATCACAAAAGTGCCGAACCAAAGTAGCTACCTCCATCAGGCGTATGTGCAACATGTACAGCGCCCATCTTCAGGATAGGCATCTGTCAATAGACACAGTCCTTGAAGAGACCAACGGACTACAAGAGACGCTCAGGCAGATCAGTACCAGTGTCCAAGAGAAGGACCGGCGCGCCTTCAAAGGTGACGCGTATGGCCATGTTTTCCGGGCCCTTACAGTATACCTTGAAGGATTGTACAATTGGCTACACGAATATGGCGGTACGGTGACTGTGTCTTTGAAAGCTATGCGAATACTTTCCACCCTGATACACCAAATATTGGCGTTCAAAGACACGATCACGGGTTGGGATGTTTCAGTGCCTCAACACTTCAAGGGCGATAGGATCATCAAGGACGTTGATATCGGTCTTATTGCCCATCTTCGACACGTATACAAGACGTATCGCAAACGCTTGAGTAGGCTTGAAGCCGCGGAGCAATATCGCGAGCAGCAAGCGGACTTCGAACGCAAAATGAAAGAAAAGGAGGAAGATGAAGACCGTAAAGCCAAATCTGTTGAGGCTCGAGCGGAGCGGTGGAAACGTTGGCAAGATCTACATATCAAGCGCATGCTTTGTGAGCCTGACGCACGAAGAAGACGAAGGCTGGCCATCACAAGACTTGAAGTCTTGGAAGAGAGAGATGCCAATGGTATCGTCTTTGAGCGGCTGCCGGTCTTCAAGTCTCGGTCTGCTCCTCCGCATCGTCAAGCTTCGACGTTGGACGACGATCCAGAGTGGACTGAACAGGAAGAGACTGCTCTGCTCGACGGCTTAAAACATTATGCTGGTATGTCTCGTTTTCTCTGTTTTATTCTCTGATTCTAATACTGATCGTCGTTATAGGTTCCCAAGTCTTCGAGAAGATCTTCACAACGTATTGTCGGCCTAATTCGTCTTACCCACTCGGCGGCCATCTGCGTGAACGCAGCGTCGCAGAAATTGTCACAAGAGCAGCGCAGTTTCGCTCAGACTTGCAGAAGTTGTATCGAGAGAACGGTTGGGAATTTGAGGACTGGATTACTAAGATTCCTGTATTGCCCTAGGTATGGACCTCTCAATCGTCGGTTCATATTTATTCGTCGTGATGGCTGCATTTCTTTGGCCATGACGAAGACACAGCCTGTCCTGAAACTATCTTTCTTGTTGTCTGATTTTTCATGATACCCTTTGTATGCGTTCGCTTATGATGGTAACGCAAATTATCTTATTGGAGCGCATGTCTTCGTACGCACAGTCTGGGGACTACGTAGGTCTCCACCCGCCCAAGTTCCGACATTTCGTTCGCACATTCTGCTGTATTCTATATGTATGATCACTCTAAGTTGTCTCGCCCGATAGGGGTTTTTTTTTGCTCCGATTACTTCCCTTGTATACTTATTGAAAGGGCTGTTTCATTTTTCTGCCGATGGGATAGATGGCCTGCAATCCCGAAGCGTGAATGTCTAATGAGCGAAAGCTCAATCGCCGACCAGCAGGTATAAATCACGGAACAGGTAACTCGCCTCCACAAAAGATGATCTCGTTCCAACTACAACCCAACCAATGTTCCAGTCACGAAACCAGTTCCGAAGCACGTTCACCACTGAATCAGCGCACACGCCCCTCTACCGATACAAACCCACTCCCTCACTATCAAAATCCTTGAAATTTTCACACCCGCTCCTCTCTCTCCTGACTTCACCAACTTACCTCCCGTTCCTCACACACCACAACCAGCCATCTTGAACTAAAATAAATCGTACACATCCGCACACTCGCATTCACGATGTCAGCTACTACAACGTTTGCCGCCGCAGCTAAGACGCCCTACTCAGAGGCGGCTAGTCTTGAACACTACAACAGCAAGATGTTGAAGGAACTCAAGGTCCTGGCAAAATTGCATGGTATTTCTGATGCTGGTGAACCGCGGGATGTCGTCGCGCATTTGATGGAGAAAGATAGGGAGAACAGTACTTGGCCTGGTATGTACGACGAACCCAACAAGAAGGATGGCGAAAGCTCGGGTATCACGCCGGCTAAGAAGGTCTCGAAGAAGACTGAGACGCCTTCTGAGACCAAGATCATCGTTGGGAAAAAATCGAATAATGCTTCCACTGCGACCGTCTCCAACAAAAACACTGCCACAACTTCAATAGGCAGTATAACCTCGACGGGCTCCAATAACAATACAGCTACTTCCATGCCCCAGTTGGCAAAGGAGTGGGATGAACTATGGGGTCCGCCTTACGCTCTCGCCAAGCCCGCTACCAGCGATTCGAGGTCCCAAGGCACATCTGTGACTACTGCTGAATCCACACCCACTCGTTCCAAGCCGCTTGTCTCTCCCATAACTTCGGTTTCTTCCACTTCGTCGGATTCAAATCGGTATAATGTTCTCGTTACTGATGAGACGGAGGTTCGTGAGCCAGAGGGAAAGGAGGGCGAGGAGGTGAATGAGGAGGAGATCCCTCCTATGGAGGAGGTTACGAAGAAGGCACTGTCTGTGCACCAGAAGTGGGTGGACTCTTACACAATCATAGAGGAGGAAAAGGAAGAGGAAAGGGCAGCTCTGGCCAACTTGGCCACCAACAATAACGTCGATGCTGGGGAAAAGACAAAGAAGAATAAGAAGCGTGGCAAGGAGGGCGGAAAGAAGGTCAACAGGGACAAGAAGGATGCTCCCCAGTCCGCTGAAATTGAAGCTAACACGACCGAGGCATTGACGTCAGGAGCTGCTTCTACTTTGGAGCAGGCCGAGGGTATCCCATTGCCAGTCTCGCCGGCCAGACCTGAGCCGACTGAGGCCACTACGGAGCATGCGATTGATGTCTCTGGTCCGGTATCCATTTTTGAAGAGAACAATGGTGCCATCGTTGAACCCTCGCCGTCGGTCGCACCTACAGAGGTGGATGAGTGGGTTAATGAACAAATCGATCTTCATGAGTCTATGCCCACTGTCACCAAGGACATGCAAGACTCTCCTCCGTCTATCGGGATCCCAGCTCCAGAGCAACCTCCCGCCTCCCCAATCGCCATAACAGCATCTGAGCCGGCAGCAAAGCCGCCCAAGAAAGCCACTGCCCAGAACTTTCACGTCGCCCCTCCCCTATCGCCACCGTCTACCCAGACCGCCTCAGCCCCCACGCCCATTAAGACTAACACCCAAAGGCGCAATGAGAAGCGTAAGGGAAACAAGCAGGTGGCATCGTCAAACATGTACAACGTCCTTATTCCGGATGAACTCGCGGGTGATTCCACGCCAAATTCATCTAACACAAAGGAGAATAACAACGGCAACAGCGGCGAGGGTGCTGCTCCAGCAGCCAAGAAGGATAAGCGTGGCGCAAAAGGCGGCAAGAAGGCGCAAGCGCAGAAGAAGAACCAATTTGTGCCTGTCGTTGAGACTACTGCTTCTCCTGTCGTTCTGGCTGCCGTTGCAGCCAAGGTTGAGCTGGTGCATGTGGTTTTGGTGGTCGCTTTGGCAATTCTTGCTGGGGCTTTTGGGGCTTGGGTCAAAGGCTAATGGGGTTGTGCAAGGATTATGAGAATGCGATTTGTCTCTTAGCGGCATCGATAGGAGTGTTTGAGGATGTTGTGTAGAAGACCACGATCTGATGTCACACCGAGCATTCAGGTGTTTGGGAGATTATACCTATAAGGACGTAGTAATTACATTGACGTTTCTGATGATTCACACGTGCATCGCATATCTATGCTCAAGATTACTGGCAATGAACGGTTGCAAGAAGAAGGAAGTCGAATCAAGCATGTGTGAAATTTTAGCGAGGCTTGCGCGAATAATCCGAAAGGGTAGTTGAGTTTTCTTGACGTAAAGTCTTCCATTCTTGGACCCGGGCTGGATGAGATGGCTACGGCTGAATAGAAGGCACTAGCACGTCGTGGGCCTTTTGCGGTCATTTGGGGTACCGTAGACACTACACCGTATAATCAAGGTTGTCGACGCAGGGTCATCTCGCAAGTCGAGCAACCTGAATAGCGACGGGACTTACGTACAACGACGTCTGCGACACCACAAGCGAAGCCCACGAGTTAACCATGTGAAATGAATATCCCCACAGCGCAAGGAAGTGCGCACCTGCATACACGTAGGCCCACCGACCAATAATAAGCCGCCGTGCAACGGGAGGGTCCGCGCTAGTCTGTAGCCAGAAGGCTTGTAGGAAGGCTCGCACTCCGTGACTACGACATCATCACAATGCGCGAATTATCCCCCCTTGGCGCACACAGGCAAAGCAAGTAAATTGTAACCAACGCAACTTTCACGTGCGGTATATCTGCCGCAATAGGGCAAAAGTAGGCCCATAATGACTGCCCAGATGTGGCTGAGCAGCACGCTGATCGTATGGGAGATAAATGCCTCATACAAACATTATCCTTTGTGACCAGCCCGCATTACATTACACTGCGTTTTTACCCTGAGCTTCTACCCCTCCTGAGACATTTTCCCATTCTTTGGTAAACGAACTTTGTGCTTGAGTTCCTTTCCCTCCTCTCCTGTCACACCGTTTGTTCGCTTATTCGCTCTGCGTATCGTTGCTGTGCATATACGGAAATCCCTCAGTTTCATTATTGCAAGTTGACTGGGTAGGGAGAAGTGACAATTATGTGGAAGCCACCCATCAATTTCATTACGCTGCACTGTAAGTTTTACATGCAGATGCGAACCTGGTTCGGAGGAAGGGGCACAGCTAACGGCATGTAGATGCGTACATTCTCAGTTTTGGGATTCTGGCTTTGATCATCATATATCCTTATGGCAACCTTTCGGTTATAGATGCGTATTACTTTGGTGTCAGCGCGTCGACTGAATCTGGTTTGAACCCGTGAGTCTGCTGGCATGTAGTAGATTGGCTGACGTGCTGACTATACATTAGTGTTGATCTCAAGGCTCTCAAGACGTATCAACAGATTTTCGTTTACATCACACCTATTGTTACAAATCTGGGCTTCATCAATGTTCTTGTCGTTGTTGTGCGACTACGTTGGTTCAGTCAGAAGCTGAAGGGGATTAGTATGTTGAACGTCGTCGTAGCTTTGCATGCAAAGCTAAATGGTGAACAGCAGCGGCACACACGAGGCCAAGGAGCTCCCGCCAGTCTGTCAACCAGGGCCAGACAACCACCCATACTTCCGATACACGAGAACTTGAGGCAGGCCTCACTGGCGAGACTGTCTCTGAGAAGAAGCCCGTTCCCACTATAGAGACTTCAAACAGTGAAGCTCCCGCTGCTCGCATCACGTTTGCGCCAGATCCTAGGCACACCAATAATGAGAAGGGCGCTTTATATATCCCTGGCCCGCGAGAATGTGAGAATGGCCAACCCATTACTTCGGTGTCCGATGATGAGGATGAAGACCGTATCAAACCCGTCGCGGAGTCAAGCTATACACGACGACGCAACAGGTCAGAGACTAGAAGCATGAACACTAGAACCCTGAGCAAGGCTACCTCCGTGGACCGCGCTGTGTCATCTATATTCGTGCTCGGAAGTACCGCAAGCGCTCATCGTCGTAGTGAAGATAAGCCGAGAAGGGAACCTACCATTGATTTGGCTTCCATGAGCCGAGAAGAGCTGGGTGGTATTGAGTACCGTGCGTTACAAGTTTTGCTCAAGGTCGCGATTGGATACTTCGTCGGCCTACATACACTGGGGGTCGTTTGTTTACTCCCATGGATTCATACTGCACCTGCGAAGTATCAAGACTACCTTGCCTCACAAGGCCAAGATAAGACCTGGTGGGCGTTCTATTCCGCGCAAACCATGGTCGACAACCTCGGTCTGACGCTCACGCCCGACAGTATGATAACTTTCCGAGACGCAACCTGGCCCATGCTAGTAATGTCCTTCCTCGCCTTCGCTGGTAACACCTTCTATCCCGTCTTTCTCCGCCTCCTCATCTGGATCATCTACAAAGTCGCTCCCGTCACCTCCTCCCTCAAAGAGTCCCTCCAGTTCCTGCTCGACCATCCACGAAGATGCTACACACTGCTGTTCCCCAGCACCGCAACCTGGATCCTTGCCTCTATCCTCTTCGCCCTAAACTTCATCGACACCCTTCTCATCATTGTCCTCGATCTCGACAACCCAGAAGTGAACGTATTACCTGTTGGCGCTCGTATCCTCGCCGCTCTCTTCCAATCTGCATCGTCTCGCCACACGGGTACGTCGACGTTCAACCTCGCAGCTGTGAACCCAGCGGTGCAGTTCAGTCTCCTCGTTATGATGTACATTTCCATCTACCCGATTGCAATCAGTATCCGCATGAGCGAGAGCTACGAGGAGAAATCTGTGGGTATCTATGGTGTAGACGAGAATTTGGATGAGCAGAAGGGAAGCAAAACATATCTGATTAGTCATCTGAGGAACCAGCTGAGTTTCGATCTGTGGTATATTTTCTTGGGTGTATTTTGTATTTGTATTGCGGAGAGTGATCGGATCATGAGTCGGGAGGATTGGGTAAGTTTGATATCCCTTATGTCCAGTAAAGGTGATATGCTAACGCATCAACAGGCTTTCTCCGTTTTCGCTATCTTCTTCGAAGTCGTCTCTGCTTACGGCAATGTTGGTTTGTCGCTCGGTCACCCTTCCAATCTCACGTCACTATCCGGTCACTTCAGTACCTTTGGCAAACTAGTCATCTGCGCCATGATGCTGCGTGGTAGGCACAGGGGCCTGCCTTATGCGCTTGATCGGGCGATCAATTTGCCTCACGATCTTATTACCGATGATAGTGAGGGCGAGAAGTACAAAGATGAGGATGCGGCGACATCGCAGGGCGTGGATGAGAGTCGAGGGAGAAAGATGATTAAGAGCTTTACACAGTAAGATACATGAGTTGGGACTGAGCATTTTGATTGTACATATTAGGCTAGAAGGCGTTGCATCTAGAGAGACATGTTTCAAACGTATACGCACGTATGCATTACACTATGAAATAACTAGTATTACATCAAAATCACATTAAGTATGGCTAGCCTTTTTACGAGCTCAGTGTACTCTTGGTCTATCTACTGAAGAAGAGAAAGGAAAAGAACATTATACAGCAAACAACGGCGCACCAAAGACTTCCAAGCTCACACAAGTTCAAAAGTCGCTCCAGTTGAACCCACCGTCGCGAAAGTTCGAACCGATGTTAGGACGACGCTCACGACCCAGCATCGAACCATATTCACCGTCATTTCCCATACGACGCGGTGTAGTACCACCGCGAGTCGCGCTGCTACGGAAGAGACCGCCACCCGAGGTTGATGGACGTTCATATCCATCGCCACCACGGTCAATCTCAAATGAGGTAGACCGCGAAGTGTCACGCAAGCTTGTCGCATAAGACGGATGTGGCGCACGATTGGATATAGAACCGCCCACCCTGAACAAACCAGATGACGTGGATGGCTGTTCGAAACGAGACGTACCCAGTGGGCTCACTGAACGATGGTCGTCGTACGCGTGCTTGTGGGTAAAAGCACGAGGACGCTTGGAAGAGCGGATCCGGCTTACATCGCGATAATTGTACTGGAAATCACGGGATTGGCGCTGTGTATCGGCACGACCAAGGTATGAGCTACCAGACTCTGAACGACGTGGCTCTGTGATGTAGTCACCGTACGGCATGTCGAACGGTCCAGTTAGCCTACTAGAGCTGGATCCGCTATAGCTGTTGCGGCTTGAGGGCTCATATCCGTAGGCGCTATGGGTAGATCTACGCGAAGACCGGCTTGAGTCGAAGGTATCCCTGAAGAGGTTGCTGAAGGGTGCAGGCATATCGTTAAGTCGTGAAGTCGTTATGATAGAACAGGTTGTGGTATGCACTATTGCAGTCTACGAGTTGTTATGGTGGTATGAAACTATTAAGCGACAGTGAGAAATCTCTTGTAGTGGCACCCAAACCGAGCGCTGTAGCAAGACAGTGCCAGTGAGAGCATGGTGTTGATGAACTATATCATGAGTAACTGTGTCGTGAAGATGAACGCGCAGAGTAGTTTCCAGTAAATTTGTGTTGTGAATATATATCTGTAATGTGTAAAGATGTATATAGTGAATTCATGATGCCATCTAAGAAGTAGAAGTGGGAAGATGCGGTTTTAGTCATGAGGGAAGAGACGCTGTTTCATATAGGTTCGAGACAACAAACTATCTATCAGGTGAGTCAATATGTATTTCCTAAACATTGGAGAGTCTCTGATATAGCTATGGGTGTTAGCAAAAACCGCGATGGCGCTAGGTGAGGAACAGACGAGGGTTCGAATGGATGGGCGGGTTGACACGCTAGTCTCGAGGCGGTATGGTCTTTTCACCCCTCTACCCTTTCCACCTTCCATGCATCCCCCTTACACTGCATCATCGAAACAGACATTGAGCGTTCTTGCAAAGGTTCATAAATGTTTTCCTAAGCTATAAACGCCACGCAGTTTCGACATGTCCGGTATGGGGATCGCTGCCACCTTTATACAATCGCAAAGAAGCTCACATTGATGACGCGCTAAAGCCCCAGCAGCATGACAAGTATCAAATCTCATTTCAGACGCACCAAACTTCTACGTACATCATGACCAAAATCTGTGACCATACAAATAATACCTACGATCCATCCCGCTGTTCTTTGCCGCCTCCCGTCCTTAACGCCGCCTTCTTGTTTCCATATTCAAATTGCAACCTCGTCCAATGCAACATAAGCTCTGAAATTTTCTTTCTCTGCGCATATATGGCGATCCTAAGATCGAAGAGCGCGAGTTTCTGTTCTTCTGTGTATTCACCCGGCTCAATATCAAGGCTTTCATGAAGATCGGGTAGTGGATCTACGTACTCGAACCGTGACCAGGGTTTAACGATCGTCTGGAGTTGCTCTGGAGTTTTCGACCTCTCCCTACTTCGTGACCCGGCTAGCCGCCCTATCAGCTCCTCATGAGCCGCATTCGCACGGTACCGCGTTCCCTGATGTCTGGGAGGTAGTGTTGAATCTCGTGGTGGCTGCGACTTCCTTGGACAGTATCGTGAGCCCGGGTAATTGTTGTCTTGCTGGTGATCGGTTAGAGCTTCATTGCGTCGCCGCGGTGGATGCTGCTGTGGATTGGACGCATGGCCGCTCTCATATCTATCCTCACCCTGTTTTCATGAAAGAGATCTACCGTCCCTCCCTGTGTGCTGGGACACCCTGCGTAATAGGACGCGAACATCATTTTCGCATCCTAACCCTCCTTCTCCTCTGTACTTAGAGTTGCAGTTAGCGTCTTCTTATTCTTCAGAGATTTAAGCTTAGAACTGGAGCCAACAGCAGCAACATTATAACGATGCTAATCATGTTGTTAATCGTTCCGTTTACCGCGTATAACCCCGCTCTACCTTCACACCCCTACACAGCCGCAGTTGTGGACGAATCTTCAAATGTCGGTGCATTGAGATAATAGCCTTGCCAAGTTAGATTATTATCCTCAATTCAGAAGTTACTTATCTATCTGAGTGTAGTTGCAATGTAAGTTTCTCAGCGCTGAGAGGCAGATTTAGTGTCTTGGCAGAACGCTTAGTGCGCTTATGTAACTCTGTATTAAACTCTCTGCACTATGCTAGAAACGATCGAGCTGTGGCGTTCTTCTACAATTGTCTAGCTTGTATCACGTGCTATTTATTTTGGGCACATCCTCCGGGGTTTCTGCGGTATGTCACGTGCGGCGGGCTATCCTCGCGTGGGGCTCCAGGCGCCCCAGTTGGGATCGATTCCTTGTGATGCCGAATCCCACATCGGCATGTACCCTAGTGCCGAAAGTTGCCGGTCATTTGCTTCTTAAGCACGTTGTGATGATATCTGCGTATTGCGCTGTGGTTCAAGATTGTTAATTAAGGCAACACATTTTCGGCGCACCCCAAACGCTATTCGGCGCGCCCCTACTCTAACTTCTTTGTTTCAAGAGATAAAGACTAACTTTATATCGCGATATTATAGAGAATAGCTAGACAAATAAGTCTCTAATAGAGGTCTAAGCTTTATCTGTCAAGAACGCAGCCCTGCACCACTACGCCATGCAACCAAAAAGGTACGTATGATCAGTGAACTACTGATCAGGGTGCAGGATAGTATATATCGTCAGCCAGGCCTGACATTATCTCTTATTCTTAAGAAGATAGAGGGGAGAAAACTAAGGATTTTGCTAGTAAAACGTACCTCTATCTTCTTCTACAAGAAAATTTCTTAAAGTTAAGTATTTTACTTAGCTTTGCTCGACAAAGTTACTTAGTATCTCTAAGGAATAAAAGGTTATGTTTGGTGTACTATGTATGGAGGGATGCGCCGAATAGTGTTTGGGGTGCGCCGAAAATGTTTTGCCTTAATTAATGCTTGTACTGTGCTGTTATCAGACAAAGCCGCGCCTTGCTAACTAGTTTGGATGTAGTGTTCATTCGTATCGGTAGAGACTTGACGTTGACTCATCACCGCTGATATCTGGTTATCGTTGGACAAGGATATGCAATTCATGCTTGAGTCAGAGCTGTGTTGTTCTGCAGAGCCTTTCCCTTGTTTATAAAGATCAGTTCGTGATAGGTATGTTTGCACACACACACACACACACACACACACACACACACACACACACACACACACACACACACACACACACAAGTCGAGCTACGAACCAAATTTGAGCACGTCTACGATTATGGGAAACATGTACGACACCATCCGACTGCCCAAGGATACTGATGGTACGATTCTCAACGCCCTCGCTACTAAGTTCCGCGCATTCAAGCTCCATGCACTCAAAGTCGCCCCGGAAGCTTTTCCAGCAGAATTTGACAGCGAATCTCGGCTTCCACAATCGACATGGGTTAGCAGGATTACCGAACCAAGCACGACGATCTTGATCTGCGTCGCGACTGCAAAAGACAAGGACAAGGAACCATCAATGTCTGGCGACAGGCAGTTAAGAATCTTGCTAGACGGCGAGTGGACAGGAACGTTTACCATGATTGGCCCAGTCTCGCGCGACGACTACATCTGGCCTAAGTCCGGTCAACCAGAACCAGGTCCCGAAGGATCAGAGACCCGTTGGCAACTTACAAGTCTTTTCACGCTGCCTGCGTATCGAGGCCATGGTATCGCGAAACGGCTTACCGAAGCAGCAATCAAATTTGGAAAACTTGCATCAGATGAGATGGGCAGAGCATCCGAGAGAGATCTTCGGACGCGTATTAGGCTTGTCGTACACCCTGAGAATACAGGCGTTGTCAAGATGTATGAGAAATTTGGATTCGTAGATAGCGCAAGGATGACAGTAGCAGAAGCTTGTATTGCTAATGGAGCTGCGGACATAGTACCTAGGTATGCTGATCCGAAGAAGTGGCATACTAGGTTTGGTGTTGCTATGGAGATCCTAGTTTAGTCAAGAATTAGGTGTACATACAGGGAATTTGTTGAAGTTCGCACGTGGGCTAGCAAAAATTGGTTTCCGAAGCTTAAAGACGTCTTCAAAACAAGAGGCTTTATGTAGATTAACATGCCGTATAGCAGAGCACGATAACTCCATTTACACGACTATCTTACACTATAGTCTTATAGCCTATGAAAGATAAGCAGGTCTTACAGTGCTAGCGAGTTTGAGTAGTACGAGTAGAGCGCTGGCGTAGATATTCACGGATGGAGGAGATTGGCAAATTGCTTTGCGTACCGGATCGTAATATGTTCCGTAGGTCTCTGGAGAAGAGGCCTCGCACAGCCACAAGTCTATCAGCCACTCCAAGTAAATTACCCCACGACGACTACGTGGGCTGTGCCGGGGTATTTAGCATTAGCCGAGGTCTTAATCAGTGGTGGCGACCTTGCATAATTTGGGCGCCACAACGGACAGAAGGCTGATTATAACTAACTAGATGAACAGCAGGTGCTCAAGATAGTGTACAACTGCTTGATAATTTCGGTGAGCAACAAAATGTCTATAGTGGTGCTACAACGAAGAGTTATTGTCATAAGCGAAACAAAGGCTCACTGTAACAAACGCATAAAGGCACTAATACGAATGTAATTTTTAGGTAGGAGGAGTCTGAAATGTTTATTAAAAGCAACAGCACCTATCTCAAACATAAAAAAGACAAGTATGAAAGTGTGCGCAGATACTGAATTGCTCAAAGCGAAAGTACCCCGCATTTGTCCTATTACGGCGGGTGTCCTAGCACGCAGGGAGGGACGTTATTTCGGCTCCTCGATAGTGCAAAACAACTATTCGCACGGTCACAATATCTCATCATGCGTTCACGATATCTCATCGCGGGTTCATGCGACCTATCCCTAGAAAGTCTGTCTACTTCGGCTTCATCATCACCCCCGTGTTGTGGCTGGTTGCACAGAGAAGCCTTCCCGTGCTCGTCATCCTCATGCCGCCCCTTCTCACGCATCCTTTTTCCAAGGGGCCTCTCTTCAGACGCCGAGGGACGACGTCGGTTCCGAGATTTCGGCAGAGGGCCATTCCTTCCCCAATCAAATCTGCCCGTATGTCTTGGATGCACACTCCGAGAAGAGAACGATAAAGCCTCATCGTCCATGAAGCCTCCCGCGACCGAGCATGGCGCATCGCGCCTGTGATCACGCATGTTATGTCCCGATCCCTTACAAAGCCCGCGATCAAGCTCTTCCAGCCCAGAGTCAAAGACAACGGGGTTCGTCTTACTTACAGCCGGGTCTTGACGCGGTCTGAGAGCTTTGTCAGAGGGAAGTGGAGGTACGTCTCTCAACGATTTTGATGCAGTAGACTGTGTCGTTGCCGCTGGCTTCACGGGCTCTTTGTGTCGTAAAGAGTGAGGCTTATTGTACCGCCCAGTAGGGTTCGATGGAGTTGCTGATGCTATTCATGCTCTGACCTCCTCAAGTGTTCCCTCGTTAGCTTTCTGGAAGTTTTCGATTATTGCCGCTGCGTCTATAGTCCTCGGTTTCCGTACCCGAGGACGACTTTCGTCGCCGTTCTGGTCTTTGCGAGAACGTTTTACGAGGGGTCGTGCGGTTGTCTCGCCGCCTCCAAAAGGTCTTTTTATAGTTCTAGTTGGGGTCGCTGAGTCAAATGGCTGCGGTTTACCTGGCGTGGGAGTAACGCGTAAAAAGCCATTCTTCTCCTGGCGCGACGGCCCTGCAGTTGGCTGTTGTTTACCTGTCATGGCAAGCCGGTGGTAGGGATTATGGAGCTTGGTATTGAAGAGAGATGAGCAAAAACTATTATAATTCTCTATCGGAACGGAATCTGATACTCTCTCACTTACTATGTATGTATAAATCTTTGTTCACTACACGCTTTACGCAGATAAATGCTCACTCTCTTTGAGCCCCTGTCTCGGCGACTTCAACACTAAGAGCAACAAAGACTCCATTAAACTTACCGCGCATGATTATTTCATATTCGAGATGAAGCCCTCAACTTAACCAAGCAAGAGTCGTGAATGTAGTAGCATGATGGGCTTGTCAACACTAAAGGTGATCACCACACTACAACATGGCGTCGCTAAACCCTTCTTTGTCTTCCATATGTCCTATTATCATGGTCGTCCCTCAGCCTCGATTTTGGAAACAAGTTATGGACGCTGTCCACAAGATGCCGACGGGCAGACTACTTTCAAGAGAGCCTTACCTACTAACACCGGGCAACAAGCATGCGTGCCGTATGCAGTGATGACCAACAAGGATCACCACCCCATATATCCACTGTGAACACGTCGAGCCTTCTACGCTATGAAGATCTCTCGCCGCATACATACGGTTTATATGCGAGATTTATATGTTGTGATAGGTGTGACAGCAGCTGAGGCCGCCACGACGAGAAGCGCAAGTCGGTTAGTAAACTACTAGCTCGCATACTACTGTCAGAACAAAGCCCTGCACCCCTACGCTATGCAACCAAAAAGGTACGTATGATCCGTGAACTACTGATCATGGTGCAGGATAGTATATATCGTCAGCTAGGCCTGACACTTTTAACTTGCATTTTGTGCCATGAATATAGTTTGTCTTTGGATTCGGTGTCCGGAATATGCAGTTAAGGAGGGTCCTTTATTGCGAATTGTGCATCTGCTTCATAAGCATCTAGAAACAGACAAGACCACAGCGATGGTTTATTTAGTGAGAATTCGTGTTTTGAGACCATGGCGAAAATCCGATACGCTCTTTTCCGTTGCGATTTCGGTATAGAGTAACGAACCTGCCTATATCAACAACTGTTTGCACGTTTCTGAATGTTTGAACAAAAGTTTCATGGGCGTGGATTTGCCGGAACCTAGCTTTCCCGCAACGTGGAATATTCCATAGCCACTATGTAGCCAAGAAAGGTACAGTTTGCGCGCGTTGGTTGCTAAAGTAGATTCATCGACGTCTGCATCGTGTTCCATAATCCATCCGAAAGTTTCGTTGTGCTTTTTTTGTATAGTGCCATCTCTATCGTGCGTTCCCTCACATGCGAGCTTTTCGAGCAAGCCGCGGGCTATGACTGCGTCTTTGGCTAGATCCGTCAAGCCGAGAAGTCCCTTGATCTGATCCTGGGCCTCAACGCTGGAGAATCAGCACATGTGCCTCGGCGGATCTGCTCGATTTGTCGCGGCAGCGCTTGCAAAATGGCTTGATTCGATTGCGCAAGATCCCCCAGAGCCTAGAGCTGCGCTTGTACTTTCGAACTATACACGTATCAGAGTACCCAAACATATTGTTCTGATTTTGACTAATCTGGTCAGTCTGTTGAAGTGCAAATGCAGCTGACCACGACAATTCGCCAGCTTCTGTTCAAGTTCCCTCTTCTCCTCCTTGTGCTTGAAATTCTTGAACGCGGATATCGTAATTCGACGCGTAGAGTTTGACTTAGTTGGCACAATCTTGTTCAGAAGGCGAAGTATCTGTTCTGATAGTTGGCAACACTCTTGAGCCAATCGACGGAGGCCTCGTTCGTCGTCGCTCTTCGCTTCTGTTGTAGGTGGATCCAGCCGCATAGTCAGATCGCGTATCTCGGTGGCGATCCCCTCCAGGCTCTTGTTCTCCTTCGTCACAACATTGGCCGAGGTTTGCGTCTCTCTTACAGAGCTGATGAGCTTTCCGCCGAGGTCGACGAACTGTACAATGTTGGCAATCAACCCCATCGTTGTCAAGACTTCCATGATGGATGCTGAGTGGCGTTCGAACTTCCATGTGGTGTTTGGTATTGGTATACTTGAGATGGGGCACGGAAATCTCGCCAGGCAACCCCTCATTACCACCTAAGACGAGACTCTGCCACACTCATGCAGTCGTCCAATGTATGCGCGGTAATAGACGCTGTGTACGGAACCCTGTACCCGTATGGGGACGCATCGGAAAAGTGTGAGGGGTGTAGATAGGGAGTTCAGACTGCAAATAGAACGGAAAGGTACGAAGAAGCTCCAAACACCAATCCCAGAGATATTCGCTACCTTCTCTTGCTTGTAGTGACTTACGCATATCGGCAATGTATCCTTTACAGGGCATTTTGGTTTTGCGTACAACTTATCAAAAGCGAGCGTCTTTGTCCCACCTTTGACCCTGTGTGTGGTCGCGACATCATTTTCGCTGCTCTGCCTGTAACGTGACGTGAAGCATCACAAGAGTTCTCAGTATTACCGGGTGCTGGGTGAAGTACGTGATGAAAAAGCCCTCTGTGCGCACTAAAAATCTGCTCGTTGGGAAGCCTTCTGGTCCGTTATGGCCGTTCCTCGCGCATGTGCATAGTCTATACATGTCTCCAGATTTCTCACCTATGGTATCCTCCTAAGCATGGTCATCTTGCCGGCGGCGTTACCAGCCCACCGCACTCCTTCGCCTGGGTATCTTCCTCCTGCCTTTCAATCCTTCGTGCCTTGGCTCCAATCGCACCGCCAGGGTGATTCGTCCTAAACACAGCCTTCGTCTCATCTTGATGTAGTGCTTCCGCGACAGTCAATGCCAGCATATCGCCCACAGCAATTGTGACAGTTGTGCTTGTGGTTGGCGCGCACACACCAAACGAGACCTCCTCCAACTCGTGTATGGGTGCGGGCAGCAGTATGGAGTTTGGCCGATCGTCGAGGAGAGGGCAGTCTGAGGGTTTGGTATGTGATGTGATGGCGAGTATGGGCGTGTGGGAGGGTATGTGCTCGAGGAGGGCCATGAGCTCTGCCGTCTTGCCAGAGTAGGATATGAACATGATTGCGTCGTTCTACTCCACGTCAGTATAGTCCTCATACCATGGGCCTTGGGATGATAACTCACCTTCCTGATGTCACCGAGATCCCCATGCAGTGCCTCAGCAGCGTGCATGAAGGAGCTCGCTATGCCCAGACTCTTCATCGTGGCAACCATCTTGCGCCCCACTAACCCGCTCTTGCCCACTCCGCATATTATAAGCTTGCCGCCTGTCTGGTTGACCTTTGTTATGACTTCGACGGCGTGTAGGAGACCATCGCGCGCCACATGATCTGATTCGTATAAGAAGGTGACTTGCGACAAGGCAGTAGCAGCGGTGGAAAGGACGTTGACGGCGCGCGAGAGAAGATGTGATCCTTCTGGATCGTTTGCGGCTAGCGGCGGGGTAAGTGGTTGTGTATCTGAGCCCGCTCGTTTTCTCTTCAGTGAGGCTGGCGGGGAAGATGTGCGTGATAGTGGAGTGGTATCAAATGTCGCGGTCATGTTGCTGTGAATTGTGAGAGATCGGCGAACGTGAACGCAGGGTCGACTACTATATCAACAAGTCCCTGGCGATCTATGCGACAGGTCTACACATGCGCGATCTAGATTAGCCTTCCTCGGGCAGCATCGGAGGCGGATCCCAGTTTAGTAGGCGTAATACACTTATCGATGCAGCATCTCGATGCGACACCAGAACCAGATGGAGTTCCAGCAGAAGACCGACCGCTCCTCCGTCATGGTAATTCGTCACATGCCGGCATCCAACAGGATCCAGCCCTCGTCTGCATACTAGGAAGATACCAGAAGGCCGAGGGCGCGAACCAGACCCTTGTTGTAGTAGTCTGTGTTGATAAAGAAAAATGGATGGCGATATTGGCGCTAAGGAGATGACATGCATGCAGCATGGACCGGACACTAGTCCGGAAGCAAAGAGAGCCGTTGTCATCAATCGAGACCAACCATTAAACCACGTTTCTCGCACTGTAGCGTCTGATCGTGGGAAATAGTCGTCCATGTTAAGGCAGGGAACTACATACGCACGTAGGCGGCAGCCGGTAGGTCCCGCTATGCTGAGGGCGGAGCGGCCTCGGCGAGTTTTGCTCTGCGGGACCCCATACAAACCAACCCCTCCTCCACCCCATCGAGCTTTGCCATGCCCAATTCCTTCCTGTACAGCGCTTGCGCTTGCTCACTACCGGTTAAGAGGACCATAAACCGGAGGTTTTCCATGCCGATGCAGATCTCGCGACAACATGCGATAAGCCATTTGCCGATTCCATGGCCTTGTTGTTCGGGGACGATGTAGACGTCGGTGAGGTAAGCGAGCGTGGTGTAGTCGGTAATCATGCGCGCCATCCCGATAGGCGTTTTGACCTCATTCGAGACGGTATATAGGCCGAGTGTGAGACTGTTGTCTAGCATGGTGGACATGGCTGTCGAAGAGAGCGGTTTCGCCCAGAACATTGCCTCTGTTGCGAAGGCTGTTTGAACAAATCCATGTGGAAGAAGCGACCGATCGGAAGATATAAGGTAGGTAGCCGAGCCGATAGTGCGCTGCCATTGGAAGATTTTTTGGTCCATTTTTTACTTCACTTCACGATACGGTGAGTGTGGTTGCAGGCAAAGGTGAGTAGCTTCCTTATATATCTTTGAGTCACCAAGTTCTCCGTCGGAGATATTGGCGATCACGCGCCGTAGACGCCGATACCATCAAACTACCGACAGCATGACGACTTTACCTCGACCTTCGAAGTTGGATCTAGAACAATACATGACTACCAAAACATCGAACACGCGACCGCATGATATCAAAACGATGAGCACGAGAAAGAGAAGAAGACGGATCATATGGAGTACACCAGCTCATACACATCATTTACCAATGCTTAGCGAGTGCAATGTACCACTTACATGTTTAGAGACACGAGCTTGGTGCTCTCCAGAGCAACCGTTTACTTTACGCCAGATAAACGCTCAGCTCTACCACTGCTCGACCAATCCTCAATCGACCCTGCAATCCTGTTATTCAACATTTGCAACGAGCAAGACAACATGACTCAAGTATTCCAATTAGTTCGTGACGCTGTTCACGTGTAAGTCTTTCAAATAGCATAGGATAATGAAGACTAACATAAAAGCAGCGTGCTCAAGAAAATCGACCTCACCCATCATGTTCTGCAACAGGATGGCACAGTGCTCACGGTATCTAACGTCTTTCTTCTGGAGGATGCGTAGTCAGCGGCTAAAGACCTCGTCGAAGACCAAATCGATATCTATGCACAGCAGTCGTGTCGGGCATTATATGCTGCGATGCAAAGTACACTTCCCAGAGAGCTTCAGGATATGATCTACGATCACGTCTCATCGTCCATATCTATGACGATGCACTTAACGTCGATGACGGATCATACAGAGATGAAATCGCGCAGATGGTCGAGGACAGTGGATATGCGCACATGTGCAGCGAGGACTTTGTCGAAATGGCTACCATGGGCGAGTTCGCCCGACGTTGGTATACCAAAGTCAAACTTGATCTGTATCTGACCCCCACGTAGGTCTATATAGGGTTCAGTTTCGATCTCCGGGGTCTCAGTCTCTCCATCGAAAGTCTACTGAGCTACATTGAGGTTGAGGTGTTCGAAGATTCCTGCGAAGATAACATTACTCCGCTCCAACGATCCCTCTTCAATCTCACGCCCCGCGCGACGATTATCTTCCACCTGCGAACAGATATGGAAGACGTCGATGAATCCTACGACTGGACCGACCGCATGGACATTCTCGCAGATCGAGTGAGCACGCTGTTTCCCCTGATGCTGAACCTGATCGAAGCTGACTATATTTTGTGGGGGTCACCGGATCACTATGCATACTATCGCATTACTCCGGCCACCCTTAAGAAAAAGAACGTGAAGAGAAGGTTCCACGAACATGCCCTCTGGTGGGAATGTAAGTTTGCTTTGGCCAGTATTCATGAGCCATGTTGACGAATACCAGGAGAGTAGTGCGATAAATCTGATGACTACGTTGTACGAGTTTCCATTCTGATGCATTTGCGCGTTCTCTGCTGCACCAATACGGTGACGGGGAACAGGCGAAGAAACCGGATGAATGCCGTCGTCAGATATAGTTTGTCACCAAGCAGTTATGACCTGCCTTTGTTGCTCGTGCTTCTCAGAGCTAATAGATCCTAAAAGTGCCCTGTATATGTACCTTGGTTTCGCAGTTATGTTGCATTCCAGACGATGTTGCCAAGACACTAAATCCATGTCAGACCTCGTTCCTTACCTCAACCCGTCCCACATGACAAACATCTGCGTCACAATGAGTTCAACCAGCAGCGAATCAACCGATCCAACATCGTATACGCCTGATGTAGACGGTGGCTACATCCGCCAGTAAGTGCTAGACCAACCAACTTGCAGAAGCCTACATACTCAGAAACTGAGGCCAGTCTGTGCTGGAATTGACGCAGTATCAGCCAAACTACAGGTATTAGCTAATAGGATGACGGAACTCTTAGGAAGCTGAAGCTCATCAAGCATGTGATGGATCGAGGAATGCCTGGTCTTCCTGAAATCGAGGACATATGGTTGCTAAGACCTGAACTCCACGCACTGAACAACATCCCGACACACGTGGCCCACTGGAATATGGTGAAGGCTAGCCTTCAAGCTTCCAAGGAGCACTTCCCTCAGGAATTTCGCACCTATATCACAAGCATCTTCGCTACTCTTTGCTGTCGAATATGTAGAGACATGCAAGAGAAATTACCCCGCGAGCTTCAAGACAAGATACATGCGTTCATATTGGATGGCCCTTACGCATAGATTGATGGAGAAATTTTCATGCCCATTGGAAAGACCAATTGGTCAGGTCCTCCAACACTAGACAAAGCGGATCATCTAAGAAACGAGCAATTTGCCGACCCTATCACGCTTCACGAGCTATTCCGCGTCTGGTACATCTCGCGTGACTTCTATTTGAACGGCGACGTCAATGTGCTCGTAAAGCTGATGGGCTGCGAAGTCTGGGGTCATTGCCTTCCCATTCACGACCTCGTGAAAAAAATATTATTACTATTTTACGGTCGGAAGACGAGCTCTTCGTTGAAGAGCATATGAAGATGGATCTGGAGACGCATTTGAAGACGGATCGGAGGACGAATCGGAAGACGGGCTCGCGGAAGACAAAGCTAGGGATTCGAATCTACATTTCTGTTACAACCAAGCGCTCATATCCACATGGTACTCAAAACCAGGAATTAACCGACCGACCACGAAAGTGCGCAGAGCACTGTCACAATATGGAGCATGATCTTTCTGTTGCTTGGTAGATTGGTTGATGCTGGATATCCAGCGACTACCAATGTGATGTACGATGTCGAGTTTGCTGTTGTCAAGGATGAGATTGACGAAGCGGCGTGGATGGGGAAGAATCTTGAAATCGCTGCTGTGAGTGGATACGTGCTATCCCGTCAGGCAAAACCAGTTGACAATGTGATGCAGGAACACAAGAAGAGAGGAGCCCTTCTCCAAAGAGACGCTGATAGTAGACGTCTTGAAGCACAGCGATGGCAAGGTCAGGCCATGATGTCTCGTCGTGCTGTGTGTGCCTAAGACAACCAGCGACAGATTAGTACTGGAGACGGCAAGATGAAGTTAGGGTGAAGAGATGGAAAGTAAAAGCTTGTCAGACACTTTGGGCACGGGGTTCAGGCATTTCGGTACGGGCAACAAACTCAGCGACAAATTCGTGCAACGTCTTTTAGAGGATCTGCTAATACACCAGTAACTACTCCGCCCACACATCATAATTGAGATCTTCCCCCTCGTTGACAACAATTTCTAACATAGAATTTACTCTAATATCCAACAAAAGCCCACTGACATGTAACCTTTTGAAGATGTCAAACAGCTCGGAGTCAGGCCTTTCCACATATATTAGCCTCAGATTGCAGAGTAACTCGACGTGCGATCATGTCAGGATGCCGTAACCCAAATATACCCATACTGACGCAGCCAACTAACAAGCCAAATGAGTCAGGAAGTTTCGCCAAGTGACCTATAGTGTTGGTTACACGATCCATCTTCGGTTACAACACCGTTGGTCCGTCGTGCGGAGTCTCATCGCGCCCGATTACATGTCCTACAGCCATGGATAAATTCTTGATTGCTTCAAGTAATGCTGATGAGTCTCATGCGCAGATCTCGAAAATCTAGCCACTTACACATGAGCAATCATGTCCCGGATCTCGCACCATCTGCCACTGCTTGCCTGAACGCCCAAAGCAGTAGCCAGCGGGGCCATTGCGTCCTCCAACATATTGAGACGTCGTTTCGTACGAGACCCGGGTCACCTTATCGAGATAAGGTCCTTGTAAGCTACCTGAAGGAGTGTAGCGATAGGTTGACGACATTCAACGATGCGATTTGCGTGCTCGGTACGCACATTGCGTGATCTGACCCCACCTCGAGTGAAATGCATACATGACATGGGTCGGATGGATATATGAGTCTTCGTTCACCGTGACAAACTTGCAATCGGAGAAGTTCAGACCATCCATTTAGTGAGACAAGAATGACGGCTCCGACAAAGCAAGAGTACCCTGCGCCGCAGACTAAGACCGGTGCGCTTGACGCCGGCTTCAAGTTTGAAGAAACAACCCCCGTCATCGGCCGAGAATACCCTGATGTTAATATCGTTGAAGACATCTTGAACGCTTCTAATGCCGACGAACTCATTCGAGATCTGGCAATAACAAGTAAGTCATACCTACGCGTCGATCTCACTTGGGGGATAGCGATCTGATCAGGAACCAGTCTCTGAACGCGGAGTTGTCTTCTTTCGAGCTCAAGATAACCTCACAAATGATCTACAGAAGACCCTCGTCCATCGTTTGGGTCAACTGACCGGAAAGCCTGTCGACTCCACCCTGCACATTCATCCAGTCCTCAACAACACCTCTGAATTTGGCGTGGATGATGCGCAAATAAGCACTATCAGCTCGGTCGGTCGTAAAAACATTTATAAACACGAGAACGATGGCCGACCGAGTGGTACGCGTCGCTACGACGCTGCGCAGTGGCATTCGGACATCCAATTCGAGCCGGTCCCGGCAGACTACACCTCACTGCGCTTGACACAGCTTCCGGAAACAGGGGGTGACACTCTCTGGGCTTCTGGATATGAGATTTACGATCGCTTTTCGAAAGCTTACCAGACTTTCTTTGAGAGTCTGACTGCAACCTTTGACGGCAGCGGCTTCATCCGTGCTGCTGACGCGAACCCGGAAAAAATCAAAATTTATGAGAAAGAACGAGGTAATCCGAAGAACGTCGGCAGATCGCTAAGTGCTGTACACCCAGTGGTGCGCACAAACCCCGTAACTGGATGGAAGAGCATCTTTGCTCTTGGTCCATTCCCCAAGTACATCAACGAGCTTCATGAGGAAGAATCGGTAGAGTTGTTAAAGAAGTTCCGGTCTGTGATAACAGAGAATCACGACCTGCAAGTCCGCTTGAAGTGGAAGAACAAGAACGATATCGGTAAGCGCTTGTAACAAATCTTGTCTTTCTATGAAGCTATTACTCACCAGCTGCAGCTATATGGGACAACCGCAGCGCCTTCCATAGCGCCACCTTTGATTATGATGGCCTTGGCGAACGCTTTGGCAATCGAGCAGTGGGTATCGGAGAGGCACCCTACCTTGATCCAAACAGCCGGTCTAGGACGGAAGCTTTGACGGAGAGAAACGTGATTGCAAATGGGTACACAAATAACGGCATCGCGAAATCGGAGATGGTGTCGGCATAGCAAGCGCCTGTATGTCGAGCAGTAGTAGATGAGTGGGGAGAGTACGAGCAGGCGTCGCTAGGCCTGGTCGTCCCTCGACGCGCTCAAGGGAAGAATTTCAGGTGGCTATCTAGGTAGTACGTGGAACATGTCGTCTTCCTTACTACCCACACACACATGAAAGTTCATTACCGTCTACAAACAACAACATATGACCTTGTTAGCTCTGGAAATTGTCTGTGACAAAATTGCGTAATGAGATGGCTAGAGGCAGGCTTGCATTTGCGAACCTCCGTTTCAAGACATTGGGGGGCCTAAGCTATGACGCCATTACAGGGGAGTCGCACTTCATCGCTTCTGCACTACACGCGTTTCCTACGAATATTAGCTCACCAATACTGCAATTTATTGTCGCATTGATCAAACAATATCCATTGCTGTGCTGTTTATGTAGCTTTTGCTTCTTTTTCGTCTTTGTTTCTTCTAGATGGAGATCCACCTCCCCATCCAGGTATCCACGATCTGCTTCGCCTCATCGACCAGACCCATGTCCAGCAGCAATTGGGAAGTGCCGCGCACAGCTGAGTCAAGCGCTGAGAAGATCCACGCGTGTGTATAACTCGTGTGCTCTCCGATAAAGATGGACTGATGCTCTGTCTTGTAGTAGGCAGGCAGGAACAGATCTTGTTGGCCAACGAAGGGGGACGCCCAGGCACCAGCTTGGTGTTCGTCGAATTCCCAGCACTGGCGTTCATATGCGCCAGTGAACTGCTCATCAGCAACCTCACCATGAACCTCTACCATCGCCCGCTGGACCATGGCCACGTGGTCGGTCGTGCTGAGCGCACCGACTGAGCGAGCCAGAGTACCGGAAACATACGATCCCAGAATGACGCCGGGTCCAGTTGAGTTGATCTTGTATGCAGGATAGCAGACGCTGCCGATACCTGCGATATCGACTGAGCCGCAGCCACCGATGATAGGTGGTGAAAGCTTCTCCCAGAAACGTGTCTTGTAGTGCAGAGAGACCTTGCACGACGGCTGGTAATTCATCTCTTCTATGGCACGCGACAATAGTGAAGAATATTCGGGAAGATCCCAGAGTCTGACCTTGGAGAAGGGCACGGCGATGACTGCATAGTCGTACTCCTCGCTCTCCGGCTCCATTGCGAAAGGATCCTGGCGCCATTGGACCGCGATCTTGCCGGTGCTCTCGTCGTGCTTCAAGCCAGTCACCTTGCGACCCAATGTCAGACGGTCCTGAACATGGGGGTAGAAAGCACGGGGAAGTGACTCCAAACCCTTATCGATCGTCCGCCACGTCGTGGCACTGAAGTAAGCCGTCTCGTACTCCCAGATTGGAGCGTTTTGAAGGCCAGTAACATAGTCGACGACATCATCGCTTGCATTAAGCGCATACTTGATGTACGCTGCCTCGGACCAATGGAATAGGCCCTTTTCTACGGCGTTCTTGTGAGCTTTGTACACATTGGAGTACAACTCGCGTACAACCTCCGGTGTGTATCCAATGAAGTCATCAAGCGCCTCCTCAACGTGCTCGATAGCCTTCTCGTCCGGACCCTCAACCGCAGACAGCGTATAAGCCGTCGCATTGTTCTTGATTTGCGTTGCGCTAGGGATGCGTCCGTTCGGCAGACGGAAACCGTTCGAGTTACCAGGCACATTTGGGCTTGATTGGATCCAGGGAATGAAGTTGACAGCGAGGCTGCTGGTATTACCTCCGTTCATCTGGTTGAGGACATCACCGAGCTGGAAAACCATCTTATGGTCCTGGATCTCCAATGTCTCGTTCGTATCTGGGTAGGTGGTTGAGACGGGGAATCGCATAGGACCCATCTCCTGGTACTGATATTGCTCAGGTGTGCTACCAGCAAGGTACTTTGTTCGAATACGTCCACCAATACGTTGTGAAGATTCGGTGATGTGCCAGTCGTGGATGCCTACCGAATCCAGGAGAAGACTAGTCATCAAGCCAGACATACCTCCTCCAATGATGGCGATTTTCTTGCTCTTCTCAACTGCGACGTATGAGGCGTTGTTCTGCTTCGCCTGCATGTAGGCTACACCGTCAAACCAAGGACCCATTGCATCGGCAACGTCTGAGATCTCCTCCCGTTTCTTTGGTTGATGATGGATTCTGACAGGCGCTGAGCGACCGATCAGTGTGGACCCCGAGTAAGCATGTAGACATCCGCCGTGAACGGCATCGTCCGGTATGATCCAAACGAATCGCTCGGGACGACCTGATCGCTTGATGTAATGCGATGCCACATCATGATGACCATCTGCATGGCTTTTCATGCCGCAATCGCCATATACCAGACGGACTTCACCCTCGAAGTCATCGTCTCCATAGCCGACATGGACGTTGTGTACCGAGTTTGACGTGACGGTTAGGGGCTTGAAGAAGAGGAGGTCTGACCGAGGGGAGACTGGGCTGGCAATAGCACCACCAGCTAGAGAAAGGGCAGCCGAAGAGGCTGGGAGAAGACCCTTCATCGTGGCGTGGATAAGAGGTGAATGTGCTGAGGATAGGAACTTGAATAGAAGGGAAACATCGTTTACTCAAATACCAACCTCGCTCAACACCGCGGCGAGCAGTACCTTCCAGACTTACAACTTTTTTTCCATTCTTGTTGGTCACCGAATCTTATCGTCCACGTCTTCGTAGGGCGTGGCTGTGGTCTTCCGAAGATGTCGTTGCGACGGCCCGTCCGCCGCTGACAGGACAGAAAATCTATGCATTCGGCCGCGATAAGAACAATACTGTAGGGCGTAGCTGTACGCGACTTCGACAAGTCTCCTCGTAGGATGGGGTCGCGTCGCGCCCAAACCGCCATTACAGTTGACCCGCAGTATGCCCTCGAAGCGAGATGCAGTAGTGCAACGTATTACGGACGATAGTGTGGAGATTCAGCTTGCGGAAGCGATCTGCGTTGTGGAGTGAGGTTTCTTTACCAGCTGAAAGATAACAAACATCGGATAAGACAGCATCCCTGCTCGCCTACGACTGTCAGTCCGAGTTATGTCGGCAACGACACCAGTAGTCCTGTATGCGACTTCGCGATGGTACTGTACCTCCAACTATCTACTATGGTCCCTGTCGGTGTCGAAGGCAACATTTACTCTGATATCTCTGTAATGCGAAGGATACGACTACGCATTGAAGAAACGTCCTAGGATGAAAGCACACATGCTCTACTAGCTATGTTTCCACGAAGCTGCTGCAAAAGAAAGAAGCGTATTCGGAATATCGCATGTTCTCTTACATGCAACCCTGCAATACGACGAAGTTCTCAAGTGGGGCTATTCCAGAAGCACGAGTCGGACATGCGATACGACAGAATGTGGCATAGATCTTTATCCGGGAACAGTGGCTATAACTCGATGGGTGAGGCTTGTTTCTTTACCGTAAAAAGATTCGGACAGGGACCTGAATCCTGTCGGCAAATGAGGAAGCGAGCGGCAAGCCATGGATACCCCAGGTGGAGCTCTGCGATTGCGATAACGCACAACAGCTGGTCTAAATCCCGATTCTTATCTCAACTCCATGCAGCCTTTATCTTGCGTTACGTCAGGATGAATGCGTGCTTCGCAACGCACGCGTTAAACGCACAGTACAAATGCAGAGATATCTCGGCGCCCAGGCTGACTACATCTTCTACGGCCTTTCTTGCGATAGCATAACTTACCCTACTCCACAACGCTTCGCATGCTATCCTCCTTCCTTTTCTAGTGCATTTTGGATATCTACGGGTTTTTGAACCCCACGACCACGGCCGAGACGGTTGGGCAAAATCCTGCCCACTTGGGTTTAGTCCAGGTAATACAGTTCCTGGTGGACATTCCGGTACCTTGGGGCCGGCGGCAGACTGGAAACGATTACAAACGAGTCTGACTGTAACGTGGATCATCAGCCGTGGCTGTGAGCCATCAATATCTACTGCATTTTGGAGCAGCATTGGCAGCGAGCCTTACTTGGTGCATGGACACTCGCAGCTCTTGGAAGTCATGGCGGTCGGTACAATGCGGATAGTGAACTTGACCGAACACGAAAGAGTTGGGAAGTGATAATCCGACACTATGGGCAACGCCTATAAGACCATGGGTGAGCCGAAGCTGATGGGAGTAGTCAGACCAGGATCACCATAGTATTCAAGGTTTCGACGTCTACATTGTCCTAGAGTTCAACACCATCATGGTATCCTTCACGTCTGTCGTCACCGCCTTCCTCGCTGTTTCTGCTGTTGCAATCGCCAAACCAACACCAAAGCTTGCTGAACAACCCGTGGTGACCTACCTTGGTACCCAAGGTCCCATCCTTTGTATGCTACCCGTTCTATCGTATGTGATCAATGTACTGACTTTCGTCAAGCAAGCGGTGCATGGACTTCGAAGGGCATAGTCTATACCTCAGGGACCGTTCCTTCGGTCAATGGAACGATCGTGGTAGGCGGTATCGAAGCTCAAACGGTACATGAATCCAACTCGTGCCGTTCCTCACGTCATGCTCACTCAAAGCAGGCTCAAGTGATCAAGAACATTGCTGTAATTCTCGAAGAAGCCGGAACATCGTGGGACTACGTCATGAAGACTACGGTGTTCCTTGCCAACATGTCAGACTACACTGCGATGAATGAAGTCTATGCTGCTATGCTACCTAGCCTGAAGCCTGCCCGTACTGCTGTGGAGGTTGGCAAACTGCCGGGTAACTTTTTGATCGAGGTTGAGGCTATCGCTGCCATTCCGGATTCATGACGTTAAATAGTATCTAGGAAACGGAGATAGAACCCGGGATAGTTATCCAGGCTATACGAAACAAGAGCGACGATCTTCGCAATTGATATAATGAGGCCATCAACCAAGATGTCTGAGAATTTCAGTGCTAATGCTCGAGTTCACTGCTTTGTATCTTTGCAATATTTCAATCTCTTACCTAGCATTACGCAAGACAAGAGAAAAAGCAACGCCGTAGATGCGTTAAGTGCGGAAATGTCTCCGCCCACTCATCGGTCAACAATGACGTCGAGATGTGGGGTAGCACTACCTGACTGGATGCTACCATAATGCAGGAACACTTCAGCGTGTTACGATACTTACCAGTAATCAAAAGAATCTGCCGGGGGAAACACGGATTAATCAAGATGCCTGAAATGCACGATCACGATGGCAAGCCCGTACACCACCATATGGCGCGGGTAAACGGTATCCGCCTACACTATATCACATCCGGATCAGGCCCACCTCTACTCCTACTACACGGTACACCTAAAACACATTACTACTGGTATCGCATCGCACCTCTACTAACGAAAAAGTTCACCATCATCGCCCCAGATCTCCGGGGTTTCGGCGCAACAGACAAACCACCCGCTAGCGAAGGTTACGATGGCCGCACAAACGCAAAAGACATGGCCGAACTGATGCACCAACTTGGATACGAAAAGTTTGCCGTTCATGGCGAAGACCGCGGCGCAACATATGCTTTTTGCCTTGCAGGACTATATCCGGATCGCATAACCCATCTTTCCTTTTGCGAGATGCTACTTTCCTACGCCCTTACTAAGCAAACATTCTTCACACGCAAGAACATTGCTGCTCAGTACAATCAAAATGGCGTTTGGAACTGGCATATCCCCTTCTTTTGGCTGCCGCATATACCGGAGATGCTGATTCAGGGGAAAGAAGAAGAGTTTTGGACGCACTTCATGAAGGCGGAGTGCTATAATCCTAGTGCGTTAGACCAGGTGGCCATAAATGAATGGGTGAGGTGTTTGAAGGCGCCGGGTGGGTTGAGAGCTGTTTTGGAGAGTTATCGTGCGCATTGGGTCAATGTGGATGTTGAGGAGGAAATTTTGAGCAAGGAAAAGTTGAAGTGTGATGTTATGACGGTAGGGGCGCCAGAGTAAGTTTGCAAAGGCGGATGATCTGCTGAGATTGCTAACGGCGTGCAGATTCTTTGGGCCGCTTGTCAAAGAGCAGATGCAGTCTGCTGTGGAGAAGGTGCATATTGCTGAGGTCTTTGAGGAGTGTGGGCATAGTCTGGCACTTGAACAGCCTGAGAAACTTGCGAATCTCTTGAAGAAGTTCATTCTTTGAGTCTGGGTTGTTGTCCGTCGATGAGAAGCGCCGCATCACTCTGTAATTGGCAGCGCTTTGCAACTCGAATTTTTTACCGATGTTTCGAAGTAGCTATCACTAGCTATGCATTACACGATATCACACAGTGATCACACTAAGGCAGTCCACTCTCGAGTATCCATCTGAATTGATATTCTCAATGTGTTCGATTCGTTTCTACCATACAGTCGATCCCCGGGTCTCGCACTAGTCACACTTTTCTCCATCCTGAACCTTTAGCACTCACTATAGCCACAAGCCGACCGAAAAATCCCGCTTGACTGAGGAGATGTCAAACACCGGCAGATTTCGCTGCTAGCTTGTGTCTAATATATTGATTAGCACGTAAACATGATGGTCGAGCTTGCCTGCCACTTACAGACCGGCACTTGAGGAAGTACATTAGGCACGGGAGGCACCCCAGAATCCTCAACGGTTCGGAATTGATGGCGATATTGGAAGTCGAGGTGGCGGCGACAGATGTAGAGACTGCAAGGGCAGTTGTGACGACGGGGGCGACAAGCGCAGAAGAACGTTGCATGACTGGAAAATGGCGCTAGAGAGCGTTCTGGTGGACATGTGCTTATTGGAGAAATGATTCGTGGGATCGATTATGTACCTTGATAACTGGGTGATATATGGAGATAGTAAAGGATATTATATAATGCAAGATTCCTAACGACGAGCGGTATTGCCTACCTTGCGTCATCATCGCTGCTATGGCGTGTGGCCCGGGCTTGATGGGTGAACGATTTCATCTACCATGAGTGATGTTCTTGTGGGAAGATAGCATCGAGATATGGAGCGTTGTACAGATTGGCTAGTCGATATAGCCCATCGTGTCAAGCAGATTGAGCGTCAGTGGGATATGCGGTGTCGTATTTGCACTCGGTATCTTGACTTGTTTGCTGCCCCAACACTCTGTACTGTGTATCTTCGCTTGACCCAGCTTCACCGTTTGGAACATGCATGTCGTGATTGCTTCTGCGACCGCCTGGTTTCTTTGCAAACCAATATATGTTAGATTATATCGCGACGTTAGGCGAGTATGATCAGCTTCTGTCTCGACATTTAATGTCTTGTCAACTTTAATGAGCGCCATGGCGATAACGTAGCTCGCCGACTCCTTATGTTCATTTGAAGCTTGCTGGTTGTGAAGAGTAGGCCCATGCCCAACTTAAGAGTTGCTCTTGCAAGGCCTAAGGAGCTGGGTAAAAGCATTCTACCCATCGAATCAAATTATCAGGTTGCTCAACATGTGAAACCTCATCTAACTGTAATGTAGCAGGGACGACGGTGTCCTGATGACGTTGAGCCTCTGAACACGCCTGGCGACGTGAGTCACATTTGAGGTAGTGTACAGAGTGCTTGGCAAGCTCGGATGATGTGATGTGTTAAGTCATAGGATATGATTCACACGTTGAAGACTCATGCATGGCCGGGTGCGTAATGGAGCACACGTGAAACCATCGGTGGACAGAAAGGACACTGTCACGTGGAATCTTACCGACTGCCTAGCGCCGGAACAACACAACTCCATGCCCGGTAAACATCACCCCACGACGCGTACCATAGTTGCATTCTTTCTTCTGCTCCTCCATCGCGATCTGACCAATTGCCGACGCTGCATCTAGCCAAATTCGATCGGGTGACACGCGCGCGTCACGTTCCTGCCTCGATGGCGATTATTCTGATTCCTACGCGTGAACACATGATCTAACCCAACCTTGCTCGCCGCTGACGTACCCGATCTCGTGAGTATAGCCCTCAAGCGCATATTTGGACGGAAAGAATGTTTTCGAATAGGCGCGAGCCGGTACCTGCTCGGTAATGTAGCGAGACCGCCTCGGGAGATCGTGCGACATGAATGATGGTTTTGCACCGGCTCCATCAGGGAAGGTCACCCACGTCTTCGATATACACGCTGCGAAAAAAGGCTGCAATCGTCAAGCTGTAGTAGACACGGTGGAGCGCACCATGTTCGGCGATTCATTTAGGTAGGGGAGAAGAGCGAGGAAGCCTTGGGGCAGGACAACTTGTGTCAAAAGGGCGGCTGTGCTATGACCGTATTCTGCGGTTCGATTGGTGCGCCACACTTTGCTAGAAGAACGTGGAACTTCTGCCCTGAGGTGGTGACGTTTGCTAGTACAAACAGCTTGCTTTGGATAAATTGTAGACAATACTTAAAGTATACCCCAGAGGTATACACGATGTTGTAATCTACAGTATACTAACAAAACATGACCTATATCTTCAGGGTGCGGGATGGCTGAGGTGCAATCCAGGAAAATAATTCCCTGTTCGCAACGCGAAATGTTGATCGAGCTTTGGTAAACTCCAGAGATGTATTTCAGAACGGGATAGGGCACGCGGTACATCCTACCAGGCAGCTGCAATATGAAATTGTACTGGCATGAGGGGGAAAGTGGAGTCATCACCCATGGTTGGGAAGTACATATAAGGGCCTGTTCCATGGTAAAGGTGGCTTAGCGAGTAGTCCTGCCCTTGAATGCTATGTGCGGCCGTCAGACCCCAAGCCATTCATGTTTGCGCGTTAGTGTCGATCATTCTTTGGAAGCCGCATAACAGCTGGACCTTCGCACCATCCTCTCGATTCTCATTCTCATCGCATCGCTACACACGCACATAAAGCCCCCTCAACTCCCATACTGCCACGTCTACTACTACTGCATCTCACGCAAAACAACAATCACGTTACTCTTTCGTCACGGCATTATATCCCGACGGCTTTACTCTTTCGGTACAGCGTTGTACCTCGACGACTTTAGTGTCGTCGATACTAGCGCATGCTTCCACTCCTACTGTGCCCTGATTGACTGGACTCCACACCGCGCCACCTGAAACAGGAAACATTGTCAAAGGACATCACCTCTCACCAGTTCGATCAAGTTCTTCTCACACAATACTTGGTCAACTGCGACACATACACAACCCTTCTTCAGGCACCATGACAACAGTCATCGACCTGCCGGCAGAGTTGCGCAACAAAATCTACGAACAGCTCCTTCACGGGTGCCATCCTCAGCGAACACATGCTGCTTTGTCACTCTTCAACGTCTCGAAGCAAGTTAGTCACGAGTCCACATCATACTTCCACCAACATAATGCCTTCGCCTTCACCGCCTCCTCACCCGCAAACGACAGCGCCACCATCCTTCCTCCCATTGCTGATAAGTGGCTACGGTATCTCCGTCGGCTCGCCGTATATGCTACGACCGCTGGAGCGGACTCGGAAAGGGAAAGGAAACTAGCTAGCACCCTCGCATCCCTAGCTACTATCGGTGCAAAGTTCGAGGATCTCTACATTCACATTGATTCCTCACTGTCAAGGCTCGCCAATTCTCGTGTGGACGACTCTGTTCTGCACGCGCAACATCCAATCACGATAGCTTTACGACAACTGCTCGACGCCAATGTTGTGAAAGCCATTCGCCTCGAACTTCACGGCATTTGGTTTGCACCCGGTGTTGGCCAAGACCTCCACGCTCAATACGGCACCCAGCTTCAGTTCGTTGCTGGGAGGAAGCCTGTCATGGATCCATCTATCTTGGAAAAGTTCCTCACTGGCTCTTTTGTAAGCTCCCATCTGACCACCCTAGGTGTCGAAGATGATGTCATTGTTAGCGCATCCTCCTCCGGCGATGAATCCACTCCTAGTACGCCAAATTCTCTTCCATCCTCTGTCTGTTCGGTATTCCAAGATCTAGACATGTTCTCCGTCACGTCGTTCGAACTCAACTCAGACGCCACTGCTGACGACGAAGAGTCGAGAGATGACGCAAACGAGAGCTCGTTTTTCGCCGAGGTTGATATTGAAGAGTGGGAGACCTCCACACTGGCGATCGAGCAAGAAGAATTGCAGGATCAGGCTGATGTGGAACTTGATGAGGATGAAGACTACGAGATGGAAGAAGTATTGCAGGATGATATGGATGCAATCATGGGCAACATGGAGGATGCTGCTCAACACATTGCGAATGATATCGACATGTCATACATGACTAACTTTGCGCCTGACCTGCTCTTGCGTCAACATAATCTTAGTCACTTGACATGAGTGGTATACCTTTCATTTTTGTTGCACATCAGACACCATACGATACGGTCGTGGTGAGCGAAATCGCATGCAACTTATGATTTCAGATTAGGGTTTCAACTTGGACTCTCAGCACACGACGATCTTCAGCGCCTCTGGTGCTCAACACTCTTGAGTCAGCGAGCAAGAGCCTTTTCGACGGGGGGTTTTTGTTTTCTCATGTAACCAATACCCATGCGCTATCGCCGTTAGCGGTATAGCATGTTATAGATTTCCTTTCGAAATGATAACCTGATTTGTAAATGCTGCCTCTGTACCTACACTACAAGTCAAAAAATACCGATCCGCTGATAACACATCTTAGAGGTTCACGCGATACCAAAACTAGCTCTAAATGGCCATAGAGACCCATATGCAGCCGTTCGTCCTTTTAGCATTACGCTCGCTATGCTGGAGCGGTCGGTGTTAGTCTAGCCTGCCCTATAGGCGACAGATTTTTACCATCCCGTTCCCACCGGTAATCTTAACGTCGTCATAACTGAGAGTCATCGGAGATGACTCTTATGGGCTCGCAACCTCACTACTGATCATCTACTCTCCTTCCTCATTTCACTGCTTACATTCTAGCTTTCAGAGGTCAGCGTCAAAGCGGCGGTTATACCCATCTATGACTGTCGCGTTAAGTGGAACATAACGATAAGTCCTACAACTCGTAACTCATTCGTACCACCAGTCCCACCCAAGGGTAAGCCGCCTAAGACCGCGCCCTCTGGGCCAATGATAGGTGAGGCAAAGAAGACTCTGGATGCCCTGTCATTACCCTTACGTATAGCCAGCAAGCTCGAAACGTCCCCTCGTGGTAGTAGCGTCTCACCAGCGTCCAAATCCGATAAGCTAGATGTTGGTACTCGTCCGTCGCTAAGGGTCACGACGACTTTCACCGATCCTAGAACCGCACCAATACCCCTCGATCTTCGCCGTAGTGATACACAGCATACGAGTCACGCGCACGTTTGCAAGAAACCAACACCACGTACATCGATTGCAGATCGGAAAACAAGCTTTTCCAAAGATAGGCCACAAGTTCAGCAGCGGAGTAACGTATAACATATATCTCCAAAGTCCGATGTAAGAGACAGATCGGACAGAAATTTCCAGGAAGAGGCACAACAGCCGTTCAACAAGCAACGGCGCGCAAACACTTTTCCAGTACACAAAAGCTGCAATGAATTACGGAACATGCGAGATACCCGTCTAGTACTGACTCCGCCCAAGCGCAGGAACACACAACCGATCACCGTAAACCGAATGCGGAACCCAGACGAGACTTTCCACGAACTACTAGCTATCCACAAACGCGCAACCGTCGATTTCAACGAAGATGAAATCCCAAACTCTAGAGGAGAAAACAAGAACTTCGGGAGTTCCATAGGGGGTGAGTGTAGAGGCTTATACGCGACAGCGAAGACCCACGTCGATGATATGATGGAAAACGTAAGGAATAAGACAAAAGGATAGGGAAAGGGAGACGGCGAGAGAAAATGAAGGGTGAGATAAGGAGGAAGTATAAGGAGATGGTTAGTGCGAATGCGAGTGCGAAGAAAGGAGACGAAGTGTGAAGAAGTTTATGTCGAAAGCCTAGTCCTGTAGCTAAGAAGTATTTGTAGTACTCTATTTTGAACTTAAACCTTTGCACAAAGTATTGAATAGCTTCAGGGTAAGCCGACGGCTCTTGACCATAATTCTAGAATACGTTGAGCTCCACCATGATGAACACATGATATCTAGACTCTGCATGTCCTAGATGCACGCTCAAGTGTCATCATGTTTCCAAATCCCACACGAAATTCATCTTCCGGCCTTTCTTTAGCTCTTCGGCTGTAGGTGGTATTGTGGGCTGTCTTACAGGATGTGCTTTCTCTGAGAGGGCTGTTGCGGAAGAGGCGAGCTCAGTGTCATCTTGGACCCTGACGCGCGATACGTAGTTTTCTATCTTGCCTAATAGCAGATCTTCAATTTTGGATGGGATAGCGGCCTGGGTTGTGGGATGTTCGCAGCCTTGCGACTGATGAGTTGGAGAGGGCTTGGTTGGTACATGTGGTGTAAAGGGCGTTGCGCGGGGATTCAAACCGTGGTGATTCTCATTTATGTTCGTGTTGGAACTGGTGTTGCTTTCCTGGCTGGAACCGGACGACTGCTCACATGTTTTTAATTGTGCGGAAGTCGCCATGGTAGTCTGATTTACGATCCGAGCGGAAGACACGACTGGGTGTAGCTGAGTCCCAGAGCTCATTGTGACGAGCGGGAGGAGACAAGAAGCAGGAATACATATATCCGAATTAAAACCAATATTTCTGTTCGGTCATTGCTGTGCGTATCATGTCTTGTGGTATTGACGCATGACTTTGAAGAAAGACAGGCAATTCGCAGGCTCGCCAACAACTCGATGCTCTGAACATTATTACATATGCGACGTGGTAATGTCACCTCATCCGCTCTGGTACTCGCCTCTCACCCTGATTCCACAAGCACTGTACCGTCATGCACACTACTTGCCGACATCGCCAGGCCCTTCAACAGCCTCTTCCTCGTCCTTTCATCGGGCTTCTCTATCTTGGAAACCCCGGTTCGGTCGATAGAGCTGCCGTTTCAGACTGTTGAACCTCCTCAGTGGTGTCTCTCAGATGAATGTGCAGGAAAGTTTGTTTGACCTTACAAAGGGAACGCGCAAGAAGGCGAAGGGAAGAGAAAGAGAGCTGCTAGGCAGACGAAGTTGATACTAGAACCTCTGGAAATGATGATTCCATACTGGAGGAGTGCCTACGTAGTCCATTCAAACGTCGCGATCGGGTTAGAGAGAGACCATGTCGCAGGTTCGATTGAGCCTTAGTTTCGCTTGTGGCTAAAGTGGAGGCACTGTCCAACATACTGCGTATCGTCTGACCTGTACAGCATATTCGCGAAGTCGGTTTTGAGTTGTGAACACCAGTGGAGCTAGTCACCAGGAGTCACCATGTATCGCATACGCGAGGCTTGATGAGTCGACCACGCCACACATGATGATAACAACGACGTAGCAAAATGTACGTTATCTCCTGCAGAGATGACCAGGACTAAGAGCGGAAGACTATGTATCGTAATTTCATCTTGTAATCACCGAGCTTATTTGCTTTAATGCTGACGAGGACCGAATGTTATTTGATACACGGGATCTGCGGAACGATGGGAACGCAGCCGCATATTGTGGCACCGCGTTGGGAACACGACGTTGGTTACGATGAACATGGTTTCTTCACAACCATCGATAGACAACAGCGTCGGGTGCGGGGGTGGTTCTGTGTGTGAAGGAGCCGAAGGCTCATCAGGGGCGGCGTAGATGCAAGGAGGTGGGATGGAGCTGTCGAGTGGGGCTGGAAAGTCAGGCGGGGAGATTGCTATTTCCAAGTAAGCGTCGCCGCAATTTTGGACCCTTTGCCACCATCATCGATCGTTCGACCGTATTAGTACCACGAGAAACTTCAAACTCAATAAGCATGAGTATAACAACAATGGCTGTTCCAGAAAGTCCTGACGACATCAACCTCTGTCTATGCGCTTTCAGCCACAACAGGACATGAACCGCCACCTAAGCAGTGATTGATGCCGTGGCAGCCGTTTTAACAGCTCGGCAGCGACCGTGCATCAACACCCGTCGCAATGATTCACGGCCCAGCACCAGGCTGCCATCTCATTCGTTCTAGGACGGCATCTAGAAGCCACTTTGCACCGCCAGTGGATCGTCGCTCGGGTCCGTCTGGCTGCAGGGACGCCGCAAAAGGCTGAAGGGCCTGCCAAGCGCAATCTCGCCGGCGCCCCATGCTACCTCCTTGCGCGTCTTGGCTCTTGCTGACGGGCTGACGGGTCTGTCGTCTTTTAAAATGTGTTGATCCCCCGAAGCCCTGCCACAGTACGCTGCACCCCCTATCGCCAACAACACATCTTCGTCTGTCTTTCATCGTGCCGCTCGTTTGGACCTCGCTCACGTTCCTGGATCTACGCTGCCCATGATGATGTTGCCGTCGATTGGAGGTCGGAGCCCGTTGCTCGCGCTCTCGGTGAGCGCTGGTTGTGTCCTGGTATTCATCTTCGCCTTCATGGCTTGGCAGAGTCCATCCCGGATGGCTTTCCCCCATACCTCGGGGAATTCGAACTTGTATGTGCTGTCATTTTGTCGTGGTTGGGATGGAAGGGTCATGGCCCAAACTATGCTTTTCTTCTAAGCGCAGCTAACAACAACCCTACAGAGCAGCAGCCGGCGCGCAAACCGATGCAACCATTGGCGAGGTCATCAAGTTACTGTACCAAAACCTGAAGGTTGCGCCTACCGAGCCCTTCATTCGCGAACCAAATGGCAGCCACATCTCTCTGCCACCACACCCTCGCTACAAGAAGACAATGGGCAGCGACGTCTTGATTTTGGATCTGGAGACACGCCCACTGAAATCCTCCGAGGAGTTCAACAGAGGCGAATACGACTGGCGCAACATCAACCACGTTTCTGGCGGCATCTTCAACCATTACACGTACGCACTCGTTCACGGATACGACTACAAGTTTGTCCAAGCACATGAATTCGAAGACCGACACGCTACCTGGATCAAGCCCTCTGCGCTTGCGAACTACATCAACGACTACAAGTTCATCGTCTTCCTTGACGCGGATGCTGCTTTCCGCTTCCTACACGTTCCTGTCGAGTGGATGCTCAACCACTGGGACATCAAGCCGCACCACTCGTTCGTCATGGCGAAAGACCCCTGGAGCGCGAAAGAGCCTCAGTACAACTCCGACCGTTTCAACCGCACCTACACCAACACTGGCTTCATGATTGTACAAAACAACGAGAACACTATGCCTATCCTGAAAGCATGGCACGAGTGCCCCGACGACACCCGATACGCAAACTGCTCGCAATGGAAGCAACCCCGATTTCACGAGCAATCCGCCTTCGGCGAATACATCCGCTATGACTACGAGCAATACATCAAGGAGCTTGAGTGTGGCGAGGCCAATGGCTTCCCCGGTGTCGAAGTCAGCAACTGCCAGGGCAAGCTCATCCGCCATTACTGGTTCGACAAGTCCAATGTCAAGATCGACTTTCGAGAAAACATCATGCAAGCGATTACGCTTCCGATACAAAAGATCTTCGCGGAGAACACCAGTGGTGTTGTATTCCAACAAGAGCAGAATGTCATACTACAATAGCAACAGTTTGCTCTACTAGCAAAAGATAATATATTTACGACGAAAGAGGAAAGCTTATCGCATAGCATAGCGTTGCATTACCAAGGCGTTTCCATTTGGGATGGAGGATCATTATCATGTTTTTCGGATTTGGGTAGGGCTGGTGGTTTGCGCCCAAATACATTTTTCCGTCGCTTTCGATTTCGATCTGGGTCTTCCGACGCGATGATACCCCAATACGAGTCTCCAGTTCAACAATCAATATATTCATAATACGGATATTCATTGTTACGCGAGATTCTCATGCCTTACTTATTTTGAACTGTTGGGCTACTTCCGAACGCCTAACACTCGGACATGTGTCACCTTCCGTTCAAGGCACAGCAACATAACCGACCATACAGTTTACCGCGATCAGTTTATGGAGATCCAGTGCATCACTGACGGGTCTTCTGAAGCATACCAAAACAGGATCTTTGCACAGCCAGCCCGCCTTCGCCACCACCTCCACCAGCTGCTACTACATATCTGCCAAGCCGCTAGAACGGCATTAGCGCCGATGATCGGCGGTCAGCCACGTCCTCGCCTTTGGGTTTGCTGGCAGGGCTTACTAGATGGCCGATGAACTCGCGACGGTGCTGTTCAGGCGAAGTGAGCTGAAGGCATGGACCGTCTAGTATGGACTCGCGTTTTGGATTGCGAGAGCGTCCACAAAGTGCGGCCACTTGTCGATCCATACGCTTCGGATGTGGCCGGTTGGGACTGGAAGTTTGGTTGCGAATCCAGCAGTCCCGGTGCTAGTACGCTCTAACACGACGCTAGTTGGCCTTTAAATGATGCTTCTTTGAAGAGCCCAGGATTTGGGTTTAGGCTAGAGAGCTTGATGGCGATACGATGGCCACCGTATTAATGTCTCGCAGACCTCACAGATCTAATCTTGAATATTAATGGTCACATGCACTACATTGCGCCCCTTCGGAATAACTTGCGCGCCGCTACCAATAATCTATCACATTTTCATCGAGGCCTCTGATTCTCGTCCTCGCGTCATACTATCTTACTTACATTGATCTACTGGCTTTCGCATCAAACTGTTTGGACCAAGCGACAGGAAACAAAATGGCTTTAACAGATGGGCGTTCTGGTTATCTCAATATTTCTGCCCATGCCCTTCAATCTTTCAACGAAATGAGATGGATTGATCTCGCATGGACATCTTCTCGGTTGGTCTTGGTTCTAACGTGCTGCTATACGGTTATGTTCTGCGGCCTAGGTGCCTAGAGTATGTCCTTGGGTGTCCATCTTAACCCTTTCCAGTACCCACAGTGGTGGATGTATTCTACAAAGACCTCGTTTGAGGAGTGATTGGGCAAGTGGTCAGTGCGTCATGTTCCTGGTGGGGTCTGTACATTCGAGTGACGAACGCTAAGGATTGAGCAGAGTTGTCAGTAACTTCGTCCCCTCTCATCCAGGTACCGTTCTGCTATGCACCGTTCTTTTCTTGTTTCTAACTGTTTCGTGTCGTAACAAGTTTGTCATTCCCGCTTCCATTGTCGCTGTCTTCATCACTCTTGCCATTGACTACATCTCACGGCTTTGCCTACCAGAGTCCATTAGAATTGTAGATGATGGGGCTGAGGTTGCGGTGCACTTCTGCATGGATTAGCTTCACATTGAGCCAGTCGATATGACTGGAGAGCTTGACGCTATTCGAATAGCTGCAACCAATGCCAGTTGGAAGCATTGCCTTGCCCGGCTCATTGAGAAATCACTGAACACCATCCAGAACACCGACCGGTATGCATGCTTTACAAGCAGAACTTCCGTCTATATTCTAACATCAATTGAAGAAGAGTTCTTCCGTTGCCGTCTTGAACCCAAGTAGAGAGCCAGTCTCGAGGTATCAAGTTAGCATGCCAGAGTCACAAAATGTCTACGCGTAGGGCTTGAACAATGCGGTGCCATATTAGAAGATTACAAACATTGCCAAGACTCGGCGGACATCACTCATACTGTACCGCATAAGCAGCTCATTGACAGCGAAGCGACAACCCATTAAACAAAATTTGATTTTGGCAAACTTTAAGAGGAGAATAACCATTCCACAGCAGAGTGCGAAGGCCTATCAGCCAGACATAACGGTCTGATAGCCGAGCATGACCGTCTTACAGCTCAGCTTGATCATGTTACAGTGGAGTGCATCGACCTCTCAGCAGACTACTATGATCTTGCAGTCAAGCATCTTGACCTCCAAGCCAAGCGCCGCGACAACCTAGCCGAACACAAAGTTCTTACACTTGAGAATATTAATCTCCTAGCGAAGCACTATGATTTCCGCATACTACAAGCCGAAAAAAAGCTCTACAACACTGCATGCTTTGACGAAAGTTCGCTCCGACAGACAGCCGAAACATTGTATCGCACGAAAAATCTTTTGCCTGATGGACTAGAATCATATGGAGCCATTCTTGGTCTCGAATGTATGGCGACTTGACTTGCTACCCAAAGACTACTTCTGCGCTCTCGTTTTGGAGCAAGGTCAAGATGGTCTTTTCTTAGACTTCTTGAGTTCACCGGTAAGTGGATCTAGGCAGAGGCGATGTCGATTGTCACGCGTCAATCCCACGAAAGACCCACTCGGTTGCTTACAGTCTCTGTCGAGGTTGAAAAGCAGCACCAAAATTTGCTTTGCGATACGGGACCAAGAGCACGGCGTCGGCCCTGACCTTGGACACGCTCTGAAAAAATGAGAAGGCGGGCATCCGATTTCGTTTCTTGCCGACTCACATACTGGAATCTGACCTGGTCCCCTTCAGCCTATGTAGACTGTCACAAATAGACTACTGGGAGGTATTGAATCGAGATCATCATTTTCATAGGACTGAATATCGCCTATTAGCGGATAACGTTTCGTCGCTCAAGTCTTCGGTGGTCGTGGAGAGAGTTATGGACCGAGCAGAGACCAAATAATCGAAGAAGGATAAGATGCCAAACCTGAGTGGAAAGAGCTTGATGTGGACCGAGTTTATGGATTTTGAGCGTGGCATACAATACGCAACTCTGGCAGTATACTAGATCGCCTCAACAAGTCTTTGCAATACCCGTGTCAGAGGTCTGGGTGCGACGTTCATACCCCATTAGTCTAGCAAACAACGCTCGTACAACCCCGATCCTAGCTCTTCTGACACTGGACGGTGAGTAGCAAAGGATAAGCAAATAGTTCATAAAAGTAGATTGAAGATGGGTATTGAAAAGGTAATATGTACAAGGACGAAGCGAAGTATATGAAACGATGTGACGCAAAATGCATATCGTACGAAATACTGATCAGTTATTACCCAGGTCTTGTCCCCTTAGCTCTTCGTCCAGGGAGTAAGACCATTCTAATGACTGCTGATAAAGGACCGGATCAATATGAAAAAGATCAATGCTTGTATCAGATCCAGGTATGACCTGGGAATAGTCTTCTGGCACTGTCTCTTCAACAGGCGGAATGTTCTGAGATGTAGGGTTTGATGAGGCTCCAGACTGTAGCGACGTAGGATGGTAAGGATTAGGCGATGCTGGAGGACTTCGCAACATAGGATCGTCTATACCTTGTACCGAGGTCGACTCAGTATGTATGGAGTGGAAGTATGATGAAGGCGTAGTGTCGAAATCTTGACTGCTTGACTGAGTACTCATGCCCATTGAACTATGATAACCGCTTGCAGCTGCTGGTGGAGACGGATGTCCATAGATCCAGTCAGCGAGAGGAAGATGTAAGTGCTGGGGAGAGGGTCGGTTTTCCTGGTGGCTGATATTGTTCGGTGAATCATTATGTTGGCCAAACTGAAAGAATGAATATGCAGGATGATAAGCTAGGACTGCTGCTCCTACTGTCTGGTTGATGTAATTGATCCGCTGGAAAGTCTGATCTCTAGAACCTGCGGGCTCGGTAGCGTGTGCCATGTGCGTACGCGTTCCAGCAGCACGCGATCCTGAGCGGCGATTAATTCGGACAGGTATGTTATCTGACCGACGCCGGGGAGTTGAATCACCGCCAGCGTTTCGCGGTGAGCTTGCAGCGGTAGCTTGGTTGCCTTGCTTTCTCCTGACGGGTTCGGAGTGTAGACCCGGGTGGTGCTTGCGTGCGTGTTTCAACTTGGCATCTTTACGAGCAAAGGCCTTGTCGCACCCAGCAACTGTGCACCTGTATTTAATCCCTCTGACTAATGCATGTTTCTGCCGGATGTGTCGCCCGAGGTTGCCTCTTCGATACGCCCCAGTGAAGACCACAGGGCATTGTCCACAACGAGCAACATCAGCGGTCGACGATGATGGTATAGGCGACGGAATCGATGGCGCAAGCAGCAAAGAGGTACAACGATTGAGTACGTGTGTATCGGCTTCGCACAGATCGGGCTCCGCATTTGCTAAGTGTGCGTGTAACTCTTGGGGCAATTCTTCGGCTCGTACATCGTATTCGAGCTGGATGGACTTTCAGCATTGAACGTTCAATGAAGCCTACAATGCCTTACACGAGTGTTAACTTGCGACCAAGGGGCAGGTCGGGATGATGTGTTGTGTTGTAACACTACGTCGGTGCTGATGGGTGAAGACCCCACAGAGGAGCGTCTCGCGCTGGCCGGCCGTACGTCATTGTTGGGGAATATCAATGTCGACATGATAGATGTGCCACGTCGCATCTAGTCGTCTAAGAGCTGGAAGCAAGCTTATCGGAATAGCTCAAGGAGTTAGGTAATCCTTTTGGTGTGGAAATGTGTCGCGTCTTAGTCCAAAGAGAGCTCATCAGGGCGCATCGTCGGTAGCTCAATCAGACGTCCTGGGTAAAGTTGGGGCAGTTGACTTTATGTGTGGAAAGGTGTTGCGAAGCGACGAGAGTAGACACGCCCAATGGCGGTGGCCATGATGGTACGCCTCCTGTGAGTAAAGTGTGTAACCGTTCCTCTCTTCGTCCTCCATGTGTGCATGTTCATCTTGAGCAGGCTAGCATATGCTCCGTGCGCGAGCGAGCAGATAGTATGAAGGGCAACCTCGTAGGGCCAGACTAGTGGAAGGATGCTAGCAGCTTTGGGCGAGCTTAGACAGTAACCAGGATGACCTTGCAAGATGAGGCATACCGGACGTCCAATCCAACGTCAAGGGTCCATGTCTCGTGCAGGGAGGAACGAGAAAGGTGCGCGACTGGGCAAGAAAAGCCTAGCAGTTCAGCAACTGTCAAAAAAGCAACTGTCAAAAACGCGACTGCTGCGTCATACGCAATTGTCGTATGAAGAAATCGTACTAAAAGTGTAAGCCACACAGGCTAGTGGACTGCATCATTGAGGCGGTGCACCAGGCACCCACCGCAAGGCATCGAAGCACGCTGCGCTGCAGAGCTCACCTCCCATTGCCGGCTACGGAACAAATTGAGCCCGACGAAAGTGTTGAGAGGGCCCACGATGCGTTTCCCCCCGTGGGCGCGGAGCTGCCTGGCGTCATCGCAAGCGGGGTGTTCGTCTACAAGCAGCGCACAGGCCGCAAAAGAAGGCAACTGTTGTCGAAACTGATAGCTAAGCACAGCGGAGGACAGTGGCAAACTTTTCGGAATTGACGCAACTGTTTGTTGTTATGGTATGCTCTTTCGGCCCAAGATTGGGGTTTCTTACCAATGCTCCTCTGGTGGGGTGGATTGCGTGATTTCCATCATTTGCTGTCTTTCACAATGTGGCTAGCTTCTGGATTTCTGCCTTTGGTGTCATGAGAGTTGTTTCGAGTTTGAAACAATGCGTAGATTTCGAGACGCGTCCTTCGTAAACATAGTGGCAAAGGGCTTGTAATTCAACCTGCTTGATGGATGACGTCGGTGGGGTCACCGAACTCAAGGAGGGCGCTTACAGGTGTTTGGATGATATTTTGGCCTGCGGGCTCCAACATACGTGGCACGCGCAGCGCCATGTCAAAGCGTATCGCATACTGCAGTATGCAGTCTGCAGCGCAAAACAGGTTCTCGTGACGACTCGTATGATGCATGGAGCTACAGCTTCCCCTGAGACGCGCCGTGACCTGTCAGTGCAAGGTACCATCTTACACCACACATGTCGATCCCCCCGTCTCCACAGAGGCCTGCATCACGAGCTCTTTCCAAGATGGCATCGTATTCATCCTTGCCCTTGACACCGATCGTGATGGACGCAAGGCCCTCTGGCTGCCCTTTTCTCCCTGGGATGAAACCCAGTCTTGCGTTCGTGAAAGCTAGCAAGTCGCGGCTCCGTGCGACGCCAAAGATTTCCTCCCACTGTCGTGCGGCCGCTTCGTGGCCAAGATCGCCGGGCTGCAGGCGCAGTACACAGCCCTCCAGCGTAAGGTGTTGAGCCCGCTTCATGCCGGACGTATAACGATCGATGTCTGTACCGCAAGCATGCCAGGGTGAGAAGCGGGATTGTAGAGGCGTAGGGTTCTTGGGACCGGGTGCGTGGGAATCGAGTTCAGGCATGATGCCGCCTGCGAGCCCGTTAGCCAAAGAACCCTGCAACTCAGAAGTAACTAGTAGGTGTCAAACGTACCCTTGATACCCTTTGGATGGTACTGAATACACACAGAGTCCTCTAGATCATGCTCAAAGATAACTCTGGACAATCCCTTCGCCTCGATGTACTCGCGCCGCTTCTTCGCATCCTCAGTTTGCATGATGATCATGTACCCGCCGTCGCCACGCTTCTCGATCAGCCGTCCGGCAGTCGTGCCATCCTGTATCGGCGAGACCACCTCGATAAAGTCACCGCCGATCGGTACTGCAGCTGTGTCAGTCGCTGAAGTCGAGAAGAGAGTGTGTACGCACCCAAGAAGTTCTTCAGACCCCATTGTCCCACGGCCGGATCTTCGAAGACGACTTCTGTTCCCAGAATGTATGTCTAGCATCTCAATCAGTCCTCAGGGTATGTGCCTTCGCATTGATGTCCTACAAGCAGCTGCTTAGCGTGTTCGATGTCCTTCGCTACAAGTGCAATCTGGCGTAGACGCGTTGGGGCAGGCGCAAGACTCATGTTTGTTTGAATGTTCTTGAAGGATACGCCGGATGATCTGAAGCTCAATCGAAAGAATGTAACGGCGCTTATGGGCTGCGTCGCGCTTCATTGACGCTTACTCGAGCTCTGCGGCTCAGCATTAGGAAGTAGCTTGTTCCCCGCATCAGCACCCACGTCGGGTCTTCGTCCTGCATGTAATCACGTCAGCATCCTAGGTTAGTAGTGTATCACTTGGCATCAATAGTACGATGTATACCATTGAAGGTAGATATTGGAATTGCAATTGAAGCAGCGGTGTGATGTCGTCAAAATGTAATGTTGTGGTGTTCAGACGCGACTGCCATCGGGGCCGACGTGCCGATGAGCCGATGCTTTCGTCCGATTTCCTATCAACAACTTCTTTCCCCAACACCTCGCATCTGCAAAAGTTTATTGCGCGTTTGAGAATGTCCAAGTATCACAAGTATCTCCGCCTGCTAACTTCGATCGAGCAATGACGAGAATTACGCTCACGATCTTGTCTGTCCTCGACTTCCATCGCCCACAAGCGTGTCTGTTTACTGGTTGACCGACGTATCTCTTACCTGACAACGATTGACAGGCAGTCATCGGGTTTTCTAACAAAATATTCTTACTTTGGCTGAATTTCCCCAAGTAAAGGATGCCGAAATGACCGTCGTTTATTCCATGTTTGTCGTCAGTTCCTGGCCTGTGACACCTATTATACCACAAAACTGGACACTCGATCATCGCGTCTTACTAACATTTTCATTGCTCTCTATACAAGATATATGATTCTCTGGTTCTGGAGATTGGTTTTAGTCACTAGGTGTGGCGTCTGCCTAGCGAAGACTACTATCGCAGTGAGTTTTTGATCGCTGACTACAGTCAGAATGCAGGTAATAGCAAGAGATGAAGAAAAATCAGGCGGCTAATATGGCCGTGGTTTGCTGAGAGTCTTCCATCTCTCAACCCATTCATGTCATAAGCTTCTCTCCGCCTTTCCGCTCCTCACCTCAGCGATCTATAGACAACTGTCACTCATTCTTTCGGCTTGTACTCACACCTAGCAGGGATATATCATGTCCAGAAAGCTAACGATATGGCAGAGCGACGAGAAACTAACAATTTCCATATTCCGAAAGATACACATACAAAATGTATACACGCAAATGAAAAATATCACATCCATAGCCAAGTCCGTACACTACGAAACAGCCATTCAGTTCACAACGCCTCTCGAAGTCTCCTTGGTCACGACAGCACTACGGTCCACCGACAATATCGGCACGTCATACGCGGCTTCTGTTGGCGCGCTGGAAACTCTTTTATGAACACGCAAACGCATCGAAATGGACCTACACGCACTTTTACGCGTTTTTTGCGTGTCCCTTGATTCTATGCTCCTCTTCTCGGCTTCACCACGGGAGCTCGGTTCACGTGGCTAAGTGCCCACCTACATATTCAAATACTTCGCCGCGGTCACCTTCCATTGTACTGTCTTCTCGCAACTCTCCTTCTATCTCGAACACTCTTTCCAGTTTCTTGCCACTCGTTATAAAGACCGCTGTTCCCACAGTCGTCCTCTCTTTCTTCAGCCATTTTCTCGCTTCTGTTCCGGAGCTGATCAGCCAGTCCGTTTTGTTCTGCGTTTTCCAGGTTAGTAAATCCCGTTTCTTTTCTGTTTTTGCTTTGGTGGGAGCGTATGGGGTTTATAGCTCTACAGTGAGCTTGTTAAGATGGCGGGCTTTTTCGACAAGTATTTCTTCGCGATCGCAGCAACAACACCGCTTCCTCCTATTGAAGATGGAGAAGCCACCGAGAACGACAGACTCGCAACTCCTAGGCCTCGTACTCGCACTCGCACTCAAGCTCCTGCTTCTCTGCAGCCCTTCACGATTCGGCCTACTGTTCTTCCGTCACCTGTTGTCAAGGAGCCGAGCAAAAAGCGCAAGCCCGATTTCAGCATCTTCCTCGATACGGATGCCGCCAACGACACCTTAAGGTCCATTTCCACGCCGAAAAGGTCCAGGATAAGCACCCCACGCACTCCGCTGAGCGACATGACTTTCTCTACTGCTTCTACTCCAGCGCCGTCTCCCCGTCTTCCTGACACCCCATTCCCCTTCTCGACTGCCGATCCCCGCTGGGAGAACACTGAGAACTACAACCCTTACACCATGACTCCTCCAGCGACGCCACTTGGTCCTCGTCCTACACCGACAACTCCCGCTGGCCCACCGTCTCCGCTATCCGCACGCGCCCTTCGTCTTCGCCGCGCCCGCGCTTCTTCATCAGCGAACCTCCTTCCCCCAGTCAACATGCTGGCCTACAACATGCTTGGCCTGCAAACCTGGAGAGTCAGCTCCGTCGGCATCAACCTTGCCTATCGCAAGACCGCCGCCATAAGCCATCCGGACAAGGCCGCTCCCCGGGAGAAGGAGCTCGCAACTCTGGAGATGCAACAGATCAACGCTGTCAAGGAGATGTTGTTGGACAAGGAGAGCCGTACCAAGTACCACAGGGACGGTGTCATACCCTGGGTCATCTGAGATTCCGAGGTGTTGTTGTCATGCTGACGATACGATGATCATGGTACGACTATAATGCTGGGTTTGTGTAAGACATACTGGAAGATTGTTAGCAGACTTTTGCCGCCTGTGGCATCCCAGGGACTTTTCCGGATGGTTGATTCGATGAGCATGAGCATGACGGTCAGAGGCGAGTGGTAGTAATGGGAAGCGGTTCAGCATAACGGTGGGGATTAATGAGCAGTGGTGGTGGTAATGGGTACTGGGGGGCAGAATACTTGCTTTATTGCGTTCACAACATCCGCTTGTAGTTGCTACACTCGGAAGCTCGCTTACGACGGCTACGTATAACGCACAACGCACAAACGATGGCTACGAGCCTTGTGTGATTAGTACATTGCATTCCTTTGGAACTTCGGTCTTGCAATGAGATGTGACGTGCTCTTTCTAAATCGACTCGGCTTATCAGGAAGAATATGTTACACTGACAGGCACACATTCTTCCCACGCATCTTCATATATATGAACCATGACCGTTTTCGCTCTCGTCGCCTTTAATGGATGCCAACACTTCAAAAACGAGTGCGGCTGTTGAATATGTCAACTTTGCGGTTCAGGTTGCGATCGATCTACCCAAGCAGATGCCTAAGTCAATATGTCGGTACGACTGCTCCATTTACCACTTCTGCCCACATCTCACAAATCAAGCGCTCAAAACAAAATATACAACACCAGCCGAATTGAAGAATAGCCTAAAACAAAGAATAGAGTAGATTTCCCTTATCCTCGATTTTTCGTCTAGTATATCTTCTAGATAGTTGTCGAATCGTTGTCCCCAAAATGCTTTTTCGGTCGTTCAACAAAACTTTTGAACTAGAAGCAACTCCGTATAATATGCCTCGCTAGCAACAACAACAAAAAGTTGACCTCCCATGATTCATTCGTGAAAATGCCAAGGAACAGCTACGGTTCCCGTCTCCCCGGAGCTAAGATCGCTGCCCCGCAGCGTGCTTAAGCCACATCTTCCCCTCGCTTCTTGTCAGACCCTTCTTCGCTCGTATTGGCCGTATCGCATGGTCATTCAGTACCCCTCCGTCCTAATTCTAACGTACGAATCCGCGTTACTGACATACCCCCTAAAGCTCGGCCCCACACTCCAACTCCCCAAACCCCTCACAGCATCCTTCGCCGCATCGCACAAATCCACCTGACCTGTCTCTTCCCTCGTACAAAGTGCTTCACCCATTGCAAAAGACCAGTCACACTGGATGTTAAGGCTCATATCCACCATCCATTCCATGCGCTCCTGCATAGCGGGTATCTGAACAGCGAGTTCGCGGAAAGCGGGCCAGACGATGAAATCGACGATGCTGATGTGGGGCATAAAAAGTTGGTTGGGCGTAGGGCGGAACCATTCGGGTATGGCGTTGTAGGTTTCAAGGGATGGCGAGATCATCCAGCGCATTAGATACCAGAAGAGATACATGGAGCCGAAGCATGAGAAGGTATTACCTAGGGATTGTTAGTAAGAGAGTTGGTTAGCGTGATGTCTTGTATCACACGCTTGGCGAACTGTACCTTCCATGTATACTCCATGTGTCATACCAACTGCCCATTTCGAAAGTATACCCGAGTGGCTGTACACTTCCTCGTCCCATAGCGCTGCGATGTTCGGGTGTATCTCGATGATCTGCTCTACTAATACTCCCATGCTCATCAGACTCGTAGCTTGCTGTAATATACTGGGAACCACGCGTTTCAACGAACCAGGGTCTGGCACCGTGTTGATAGGTAACATAGCCCACGTCGGTAAAAACAAGTTACTGATTTGTGTGTCCTGGATGTCGCGTGGGTAGTGATTGCTTCGGATACTACTGGAGAAAGGCATGTTGCCGAAAAGGTTGCGAAGATTAAGGTTTGGGTGTATCCTGATAGTGTTTACTATAGGCTGTCGGCCTGCCAGATGTGTAGGGTATATCGACCGGATCGTATTCTTTCTGTGCGGCGAGGGTCGCTGGCTTCGAGACGGTCTTTCAGATGACGGCGCTGCAGTGTTGAAGTTTGATACTTGCTGCAAAAGCCGCGGGTCGATCCGACTGTCCTGGATATTGTCTTCCTCTTCGCTTTCTTCCCCACCCTCGTCCCTCGCTAGCAGATAGTCATTCCGGTCGAACAGGGGGACTAGGAAGGTTTGGTCCTTCGCTGTATCCCCGGTAGCTGGCTGCTTCCCTTTGCCTAAAGGCGCAAGCGACGATGACGAAATACTTGCTGAACGTGACCAGCCCGCGTTCTGGCTCCTAGGTGACGACAAAGAGATGGAGGAACCCTGCCGAAACTTTGAGGCACTTTTACTCGTATCAAACGCCGTTTCGTGACTCATACCGCTTTCAGAGGTGCCTGCAGACTCCTGGGCCAGTAAGCTGAACCCGGGTTATCAACGTGCTGCAGCCAGAGGATGCTGTGATCGAGTGATGCATACCTAGGGGGTGGGCCGGATACCGCTGGAGATGCTGTCATCGGGAGGGTCTTCGCAACGTCTTCGGGTGTTTCACCGAGTCTCAATCGAGCGAGAACAGCGGCGGCTTGGTCGTCAGTCCCCGAGCGTAGTGATGTGACTATGCGCTTCAGGTCGTCCAGCTCGCCAGTCATGCTGTCTCTTTTCATAATCTTCATGCGCTCAGCTCTCGAGACACCTTCTGCGACGTCGTATTGACATGATAGCTCGTTCTCCTTGCATCGGTTGCATCGGGGTCTTGTGCCGTCACACTACAAATAAACAATCAGCAGAGTCCGAGGGAATAATGAAATCGGCGAAAAGCCTACCTACAGGTAGTGTCACATGGCGTGAGTACCTATAGAAGAGCGCAAATCAGGAATACATAGGGCTTGAATACTTGGAAGTATCCTCCAATACTTCGCAGTGCTGCGAGCATAATAGTATGCTTGGTGGCTATGCGAAAGACCTTCAGATGCTACAGGGCTCTGCTGTCGCGTGCAACTTGGTCCTACGTACCTTGGCCTTTCCATTCCGGCACTGCACGCACGCCACGGCAACAGCCTGTCGCTTCTTCCGCCTGTCTGATGTCGCGCGTCGCTGACCCGGCTCGTCTGAGGCTGGTGCAATACTTTGCCATCGTTCCGAGAGATCCATACCGTGAATGTCGATGTAGTGGGCGAGATGCCCAAGCTCACAGAGATCCCAAAGTCGCTTGTGGAGCCGGTGGAGCCTAGGCGATAGATGGGTGAGCGTGTTCCGTGGACCGTATTGTTGAGCGTGGCACGCGCTCTGCAGTTGCTCTTGCTCTACCTGTCAACATTTGCAGCAGTTTGCCACTTCCTGTCAAATGGTAAGACTGGTCGATGCGCCACGAGTTCCCTGCCTTGGAATATTTGAACAGATCGCATTTGCAACCGAGATCGAATTTGATCGAAAGCTCGGTACAAATGGCCGACAAGAAGCTTCTCCCGGGAATGCTCTCCTGACCAATAAGATGCCATGACGTACCATCTCACGTGCTGTAGAGACCAGTCCAGAACAAGATGCAGGAAACTGTTACTATAGAAAAGAGGCGAAGGAGAAAAGTGAGGAAGTGTGGAAACCGCAACTACGTTCTAGACGAAAGAGAGTTGCTAGCCCCGGCGGCACACGTGCGGCGGTCCGGGTCCGGATGTACTGCGCGCCATCATCTAACGGGCTCCAGGCTCCTTAAACGCCCTAGAGATCCTATAATAGCAGTCCATGGTGTCGGAGTCGAAAGAGAATGATTGGACGGCGTGCAGCGATAGGTGTAGTGGAGTGGAGGTGGCTGTGCGTGTGTCGTGCTAACTGCTAGACTGGTCCATTGCAACCGAGAAACATCTCGCATCGAAGTGTGACGGCGTGCCACCCACAGCGTCTGCCAAACAACCATCTCTTTACCCTAGCAGAAATTCCATGCATATATGCCAGCAAGTGCGGCAGTGGGATCGGTAAAGCATCGTCGCTACTGGGCTTGCCGGTTGGGCTCTTCCTCGTCTCTGTGTGACCACCCGTACATCGAAAAAAAGGCAAAGCGCATTGCGCCTTAGAAGACCTGGCGGACGAGGTTCAAATAAGGCATGCGTGATTGACGTCACTGCCTGCGCTCGGGGGTTACTTGAGGTGCCACGATGGCAAATTTAGAGCCTAGACCACCTCGCTCGTCCAAGAACGACTGGTCGATGCTACTATTGCACGCATCGGAAAGCTGTGCGCAATCGGTGGCTATTGGTTGTGATGATATCGCAGAGAGATCACATCGCCATCAACATGAACATGTGCACACAGGGCTATGGCGTTTGTGCGTTCTCGTCCTCCAGCTCATATGAGGCTGGCATCTGGGCCCGAACTGCCTCATTCATCGAGTGTAAGATCGGCACGTTCGACAAGGGCATTTGACATGCATAAGTCTTCCAATATCTCATTGATAGACTTTCCTATTCCAAATCTCGTCCTGCAGGAAGAGATTGTTGCTAAACCTTGACGTTTCAACACGTGATTGTCGTAACGAGTTCTTTTGTCCAGGCTCCAAGTTGATACATTGTGTGACTATGCCAGCCACTAGAACTTCGCCAATCTTGCCAATTCGCCAATCTAGTGCATGCGCGGAGAAACCTTCAAAATTGGGGAACGGACTAGACCCTCCAAAGACCTTGCGATTTGCAAAGTGCATATTGAAAGTCTTGCCTAGGGTCCACCTCGGTACACCCTACGCCGACAACTCGGCCTTGGAATTCACACGCCAAGCTATTCGGAGCTATGGCCCCGTACAAGATCCAGAAACTCTTCAACCCTTCACAGGCTAGGGAAATAGCTGCGTACTTAGGCTCCGCGGGAATTATCGTACGGGTATAGGGAAGTATCTTCGCCACGACCTTCTCTTTGCGACAACAAAGATTTAAAAATGCGGGTACACCATGATAGAATTTTTAAGGTAAGACGCGTTCGTAGTGAATCGCGGACAGGTCTAAACAACTCCTAGACTCCTCGCTGTAATAAAAGAGAGCCTCTTCGATGTATCCTTTGCGGTACGCATTCGCCTAATGTATCGAAACGAATAACCAAAAGCAGTAACCTCAGTGGTATAAAGAGCCCATAAAACCATTCTTCCAGGTGCCTAGGCGCGACTTGGTACCATTTCAACATCCGAAACAGATGTGTCCATACTCTTACCCCGAGCAGCCCTGTTCTTGCCAATCGTGTTACCTAACGCTGGGAAGCAGTATCCGGGATGGAACACCGTAAGTACCAACACACTTAGAACGATCATGGCACCTTCCAAAACAATAAAGTCCGTCTCGTCGCGCATGAGCTCGCTCCTCCAGCCCCCAGTAAGCTCCGGGATACGGTAAACACATCGAATGTAGATGCCGAAGAAGCCGATGATGACGGCGAATATGAAGCAACGGAACGATGTCTTGTGGAAGAGTGTCATCGCACCAGCGGAGAGTTGGCCGCGGCGATTGTAGGTACGGATGGTGTATTCGGCGAGAAGGATGCCAAAGCAAGACAAAATGACGACTTGGAGGACGACACCTGCAACCATGAGGTTCGTTCCAATATCTAGCAAGTCGGAGCCGGCATCTGCCGTTGCGGCAATGCCACCACCAGCGCCCTGGAGAACAAGCGACAGGATATCACCTGTGATGAAGATGCGGGTATACCAGACCGGTGGCAGACGTGACCACGACTCTCCGAAGTTGATGACAATGTGCTTGAGTGTAAGGTATATTCCGGCGGAGATGAAGGCGGGAGAGATGATCAAGCAGCAGATCTGCATTTGGAAGCCTGTCTCGTCGAAGGGGTTGTTGTACATGATCAGGCGGCCAGCATAACCGACTACTTCACCCAAGCAGCCTAGACCGAGAGCAATCTGTGGGTGTTAGATATGACCTCCTATGTTGGAGAGACGACTTACCATGTAGGTCCACGTCTTGTATCGGATACCTAGACCCAGCTGGATGATGAGACAGAGGGCAAAGAAGGCCGCGAAGAAAGCGTTGGCTCCAAGATTGGGGTAGTAGCCATAAAGGGTACCTTCGACTGGACAATCGGGACTGACTTCGACACACCACCAAGGAGCAGAAGGTGGGACAGTCATCGTGAAAGGAGTTTGCTGCGTTGGAAGTTTGTTGCTGCAAGGTTGCAAAGGTCTCGAGACGGCTGAAGCAGGTGGATATCTGGAAGTGGTCGAGCAGGGTGCGTTGTTGTGTGATGGAGAGCTGCTGACGACGGAAGCCCGATGCCTTATAGCTTACAGTCAGATTCAAAGATGAGATGGTGTTTCGCACCATGCACCGAATTTGAACATGGCGCATGTATAGCCCCAGCCTGAGGTAGTGTGGGCTACGCGTTATCCAGCGACACCTCATACTAGTCCTAGAACAGCCAAGGATGCGAAGTCTATGCGGGATGTCTTCTCTTACAAGCCCCCATCACAGTCATCCATCTTTCGCGAATTGGCCCTGGATAGGCCTAGCGGCATCGCTTCGGTAGCCAAGGCGTCCGAATGTGGGTATGATTGGGTGCGTCATGGAACGTGGGCTGAGCAGTTGTTGACGATGAAAAGTGTTTCACCGGATGTTGTTGCTTACTTCCGAATCGTCTTCTTGTTTGCATTGGTTAATGGAGAGGGTAAGTCGAACCAGTGTCCTGGGCGGGGTTTGTGCGACAAAGTAGCCGCGCAAGGCGATACCGAGTGTAGTACGGCATAAGGCAGATGATGCGCCAGCTGCAGTAAACTCTACCGTCTATCCGCCGTACTTTGTGCACCTTAGAGGCATACGTTTTGCGCCATGCTTACATCTTGACGTGGCCTGCGGAGGAACTATAAGGCCATCCGACGAGATACGGTGAGCTCACCAAGCCACAAAGAGGCTAGGCAAAGAGTTATTCGACAACGAACGGTTTTGAGCGTTATCCTGGTTAATACCGATATTCTACAGGGCTTGGCACCTTATCGTCCCGGTTACTCGGTCGTCGGTCGATGGACGTTTCCTAGTATGCCTCTTTGCAACAGCGAAGGATTTGCACAGCCATTGTTGCTTAGGCATCCTGCTCTACAGCCATCCATGTTTATACCTATTCCTGGGTGCGATGTCATACGCGGTGGACTTTGAGCCCCTTTACTTCTACCTTCTTGCGCGCTCAGTCGCATCAGAACAAAGTGCCCATGGGCTTTCATCGCGAATGAACGCGCCTGATCGTTGTGGCCATCGACTCCAGAGGCTACATTGGGCTATTGACAAGTTCATAGTTCTGACGAGATCAAAACCACGAAACCAGCAGCGAATTATAAAGTCGAATGCATGAGTAACAGTTCGGTACTGTTCGTGTTGTTATGGGCCATGGCGACGGAAGTCGCGAACCCGCTCGGCGCTTCGGCCTCCGTCTTTCCGATCCATTTCAATAAACACCTGTGCGTACGCATTTCGTCTCTTTTTCGCAGCCCTAGCTGTCATGCGAAAGATCAAGGGATTGCATTCACACTGATGACACAAACGAACCAGACTCCCTAAGCAGCTCAACAAAGTATTACGGTGAACAAGCATGGGCTCGAATACAGCATGACATCTACAGTCAGTCGATGTTGGTATCGTGCGGAGCCCAGAATTTTCGCATCCCCATCAAATCTAAAGTCATCGCAATGTCGGCATCAGCTATCGCATCAACTTGGAATCCAGCTACTCGACCAGGCTTTACAGCCTCCATCACGGGATCACATCATACGCCGCTATGCTACCCTTTCCCCACCAAATGTGACTGACCATCTGCGCAATAGCTGGTTAGGGGGTTACGAATGTTGGGAAGATTGAGCCCTCGATAAGCCTTATTCGCTTGTTAGATTACAGGTGCAGGATAAACACATGCTAGGCGGCTTGCCAAATGGTACTGCCGCTCCAAATTGCAGGACTGGTTGAAAATCATCCCATGGTCCTAGCGGCCGTGGCATGAGGCGCAGACAGTTGCTGTGCAGGATCATGTGGCTTTAGTGTCGTTATAAGACTTCTGGGACCACAAAGAAATATACTGGACGAGAGAATGAGCCATGCAGGCAAGAGGCTGCAGTATGCGCATTTGAGAATAGTGCCTGTCAAAATCTCAAAGTCGATACCAAGCTGGCCGCGTTCCCCCTGTCTCACGGTTCCATCGCCGCTGAATTATATCAGATTGCCCAAAAGTACAATGTCTTGACGCGAAGAGCGACCAAGTACACACGCCACACACGAAACAGTGCAATTTCATTTAGGTGTGGCGTCTGCATGGAACATGCTGTACCACATCGGCTCTCCTATAGATGTCCGAATGTCGGTACAGGGTATGCCAAAGTTTCCGAAAGATCATCATCGTTTTTGCCTCAACCGCATTAGCCTAGCCTGTTCGTAGTCTAGGCACGCTATCACAGAAGCCTTGAGACGCACGCCACTTGTGTCTTCCATTCTTTTTCAGCCCACCGCGCGAGAACCAACGTTTCGGATGAGGGTCCAATTGCTACCAGTCGCTCGTCGCATGGGGTGAGAGTTGTCTTGGTTCTGCGAACACCTTGTGTTGACCAATACTATGATCCAATGCCATCAAGCTTTTGGGTCTCCGCAATGATCAAGATGATCTACAATATCCCAGATTACCGCCCACTGGGCACAGATAGATGGTCGGACTCTTGCTGTCCCCGTGCAGTGGAATTCCTTTGCACGTATCGGGCGCTGGTAGACAGGCACATACTGCTCCTTCTGGTAGGGCCGTCTATCTAACTCCGTTGATCCTCGCCCATCATGCAAGGGTCGGGGGCTCTGCAGTATCGAATACGCGTCCATATTCGATCGCATTGATCAGAAAGTAGCTGAACGGGCCAACGACGTCAATCGTTCCAGTCGCAACCGATTGTCGATACTTAAACTCCTGGGACGCTGCTTCTTCAGCCATACAATCCCTTTCCGTATCACATTCGTGACTTTGGAAGCACAATGTTGGGTCTATCTCAGGTACTGCTGCTATCGGTGTACGCCGGAGCGGCCTATGCAAAGACTGTCAACTATGACTTTGACGTTGGATATGTCACTGTAAGCATACCACCCCCTAATCAACATCAACAATGCTAACTCATCGTGGGCTGCGCCTGATGGCTTCTCTAGACAGGTCATAGGGATCAACGGGAAATGGCCCATTCCTACCATCGAGTGCGATGCCGGCGATACAGTACAGGTGACTGTTCACAATAGCCTTCCAGATCAGACAACATCTCTTCATTTCCATGGTATATGGCAGAAGGGTACGCAAGCCTATGACGGTCCCAGTGGAGTCACCCAGTGCCCCATCCAACCCGGAGGGTCTTTCACCTACACCTTCGTCGCAAACCCTCCTGGTACCCATTGGTACCATGCGCATCAGAAGGGCCAGTATCCTGATGGTCTGCGAGGCAAGATGGTTGTGCACGACAGGGCCTGGGAGAAGAGCTTGAAAATTGACAAGCAGTTGTTCCTTTCCGTGTCGGACTGGTAAGTAAATTTAGACTTTCGCATTTGCACGAACTCATATCTTGCAGGTACCATCGCACAATGCCGGAAATGATTGAAGAGTACATGAGCCCTGCCAACACCAACGCCGACTTCGACTCTCCCGATTCTTTCCTCTTCAACGACTCCAACAAGCCGTTTGAGCTCAAGATTGCCAAGGGTAAAAGGTACCTGCTTCGTATTGTCAACACCGCTGCTGTCGCATGTGCGCGATTCCATATCGAAGGCTACAAGCTCAGCGTAGTTGAAATTGACGGTGTACAAACGCAACCCAGGGACGCGGATACGATCATCATCTGCGCAGGCCAGAGCTACGCTGTAGTTGTGCAAGGCAAGAAAAACCCGAAAGGAAAAGCCAACTGGATTGCGCAGATGGATACAGGCATGATGACAAAGTCTCCGCCTCCAAAACAGTCACGAACCATTGTCGGAGACCTTAAATACGACGTCTTCGATGAGCTTGATGATGTCATCGACGAGATAGGAGACGATATAGATGACATTGTCAACGAGGACATACTCGACGACGACTGGAAACCGCCAGCAGCCAGCATCCTCGACGACTTCACCATGAAGCCGCTCGACGGGCAGAAGCTTATGGGACCAGTCGACAACAAAATCGAGTTGACGACCAATCAGACATACTTCGAGGGCATTGGTACCCGAACACCTCTCAACTCGCAGCCATGGGTCCCACCTCAAGTCCCCACGCTCTACACTGCTTTGACGACTGGCAGCATGGACCCCGCGACATACGGCCCCGGTACCAACCCCTGGGTCATCAAATCCGGCCAAATCGTGCAGATTCACTTGCAAAATCCGCACATGTACCCTCACCCCATGCATCTTCACGGTCACATCTTCCAGGTAGTCGCCAAGGGTCTCGGATCTTGGAACGGCGATGAGCGCTCACTTCCCAAGGTACCCCTGAAGCGTGATGGTTTCGTTGTTCCGGCTTTCGGTTACGCGGTCATTCGTTTCAAGGCTGATAACCCGGGTGTCTGGTTCTTTCATTGCCACATCGATTTCCATCTCGTCGGTGGTATGGCTGCGACTATCATCGAATCTCCAAACTTGCTGTCTGGTTCTGTTCCCGCTGCTGGTATCGCGCTTTGCGATGCTGGAAAGATGAAATCAAGCGGTAACTGCGCTGGCGAGAAGGGTGACATTTCCGCGAAGGATGCAAGCACCAAGTGCAATAACGTTTACAACACCAAAGTGCGTGGTGCTTTGATTGAGTAGCTTCTCGTTGTTTTACGCATTCTCTTCTTTGTCAAACTTTAAGCATCGTAGATGGCTACATCCATATTAATTAGACTATGATCTTCAACGTACAACTATTTGCTCTTCGTAAAAAAACATCAATGACCCTTGCCACATCCACATCCACTGCTTTTTACACCAGCCCTCTTCCTCCAACTCCAGCTCATCTCCGGTTCAACAATCATCTTCTTCATCGCCGCAACGTCCTTATCACTCCAACCTTTATCTAACACGCTAATCTCCACGCTCAACCTCGCATACCGCACCGCCTCCCACTTCATTCCAAAACTGCTATATACCTCGGCAGCATGCTGGTACGCCGTCGCTAAACTAGCATCTAGACGCTCTTGCTTGTACAAACTGATGAGAAGTTCTGCTGTCGCTGGGGTTGCAGAAGAAGACTCAGTCCAGTCATTCAAGACATCTTGTTGAAGGGAGGCGATTTGTTCGAGGCGAGCATCGGATTCGGAAGCCAGATGTGGATGCGCTGTGCATGTTGAACAGGAACACTTGAAACCCCAGTTCTTCTCCAAACCACGGACGCGTCTTGCGCGCGGTAGCTCGTTGTTGATGTATGTTATTGTGATTTCCTCGCCGGGGTAGATGGGTCGGATGGCATGGACGTAGTGTGTCAGCGTCTTCTCGTCGAAGAAGTACGCGGCGTTAGGTCTGCAGTCGTGGTTCAGCATTGCGATTTCAGGGAAGAGCGCTGATTGTGATATGCCGTCGATGGCGACTTCGAAGTTGTTGGTTGTGATCCGGTCGTCTAATTCGTCATTATCGGGCGTGTGGCCATGAAGCTCCCAGAACAAGGATTGGGTTGACTTAGGAAGGGTAGCTACACCACGGTGCAACAGAGCAAGGCGCTCGGATTCCGGGAGCTCGTATAGGTCTGGGTCGGTGATGAGAATTGGTGTGGAAGCGAAGATCTGGTCGCCTCGTTGGAGGGTCTTGTTGGCGACTAGACCTCTTCCTTTTCCTGGGAATTCATGCTGGTAGAATGGCGGGTTCTCGTAGCGATTGATGCGCTCGAGCGTTTCCGGGTGTTTGAAAGCGTCGTGTTCTAGCATGGCGTAGGCGAAGGTTTGCGCGGTGACGATGAAGATACCTCTCCCCGATGCGAAACTTTGATCACTGAAGACGCAGTATGGCTGATCTGGAACCTTCTCGTGGGCAAAACATTCCGGCCAGAATGTCCACGGGAAGTTCTCTGTTTGGGAAGCCAAGGTGCGGGCGTCTTCTAGGGAATTTGTGGGCAGGGAGGGTTGGGAGGTGTTGGATTGGAATGCAAATGTTGATGCCGGCGAGTCCCCATATGCCAAAGGCAGGCATTTACCGTTGTCTAGCAAATGATTTGACGGGCAAGCATCTTGTATGAGGGGCTGTTGTGCAACAAAGTCGATCTTCTCATTTGATAGTGCGAAAGCACCTCCAAGCAGGCTGAGGCTAATGGTGGACTTCATGATGGTGGGATATTATTTGTAGGCGGAGACAGTATTAGGGCAATGCAAAAACACAAGATGGAAAGCACAAGTCGGGTTATAGCATCGTTCATATAGAAGGATGTCTGGGCCTTTTGCATGGAGATATGAAACGCAACCTGATCGTGAAGCCAGAGATGAAACGATTCAGCCAAACATGCCGTCCCTGGTCGCATCGGAAGCAACTTCCCAGGTTACAATACTCATACTGTGACAATGCAGGTGTGAGGCTTCAGCTAACGTTCAAGAGTAGTTACGCGTACGTGATGATCATCAGGATGGCTGTGGGCACACTGCCTTGGCTATGAGTGTAGCAAAACTGAAGTAACGTGGCACCTACCTAGATAGATAGTCTTCATGGGAGAAACCTAGGCAGTCGCTGCAAGAGAATGCTTCGGACTCGATAACAGACATTTTTGGCTCTGTTATAGATAGCGACAAGAGTTTCTAGGATACTGGGTTGCGAAAGTGCGGGGGGTGACGGCATCCACGAGAGGGTAAGAACGTGTTTCGAGGGTGAAACCCCAACGCGATCACACCTCGGCAAAACCTGCCCGCCAGCCTCAATCCAAGTTACGCTAACTTCAGCACTTAGACCTAAGTTGGGAAGCACTCAGATTAGCATGGATCCAACACCTCGCGTGGAAAGATTACTTTGGGAACTCGTGCAATCATCTAGTTATGCGAACGGCGGGGGCCGACAAGAAAGAACTTCATTGGTATCAGTACAGAATCATTACGTACAAGGACTCGCTGGAACGCGCAAAAAGCCAAACCAAATTTCCTCATCCAGGTCACGAACCCCAAAAAACACTTCCCCACAATGAACGCAGAGCTTGGTCTAAGCCGGCTTGACTCCCTCATACAGCGTATCCAGTTTCAAATCATCAACATCCGACTTCCACTCGCTCGCACGAGGTAGTACAACACGCCATCCACGATCTTCTGTCTCATTCAACAACATCGCCGCTTTATCCTCTGCGTCTTCCCGACCCGTTGCACAGATAACGAAAGTGGTGAGATAAAACATTACGAAGGGATATTTGGAGTTGATGCAATGTTGAATGTAGTATTGCCATGCATTAGCAGACCAAGGGCGATCGAATGCTATTGTGTTGTTAGCAACATGGCTAACAGGGAGTCAGCGTGATGATGAGACTTACGCATCGCATTCCAGCGGTAGATATGACCTTCCCACGTAGCAAACGTCAACCCAATATTACCGAGACTCTTGATGAAAGGCATAGGCCAAGCGCAATAATGTGTTTGTATCGAGCCTTTAGCCATGATGCCATCAGGGTGTTGTTGTTTGAAAGCTTGAGCAAAGTCTAGCAAGCAAGTGGCAGAGGGCAGAGGAAGCTCTGGTACCATGGAGGTCTGGTCACTATGATCATAGGGGAAGTATAGATCAAGAGCGCCGTCTGAGCCCTGCATGATCACCGGACGGGTTTGAGGCTCCTCGTACTCCTGGACTAGGCTAATGATGCCGCAGCGCTCCATATCGTCAACGACTCTTCGTACGAAGCGATTGGAATCCCGCGAACGGACTTCAGCTGCTGTATTCTTTTGGTAGGTTAGTATGGCGTCTCTGTCTGGAGCGTGGTGTCGGTATCGGTGGCCTTCGTACTGGACCGAGGGTGGTGCAGGGAAGCGCATGTCAGCCGAGCATTCAATGGTCATCTCCTCCAGGAATATCTCCTGTACTGAGGGTGGTATCACTTCAGAGACGACTCGTTTCGCTATCCGCCGAGGCGAAGGGTCACCGGCAAGCCTGAGCAATGTGTCTTGAACAATATCGATCAACTCGAATGGCATACCCGCTTCGCGATCGATGATGATGAATTGCCAGGAGTCAACGACGATGGGGTCGTACATGGAAGTCTTACGTAGCCGTAGGTCGTTCTTGACGTCTTCCAACGTGATCCTGGTAGTCCAGTCCGCTTCAGGATCTTGTGCAGAGGTCTGTACGGAGCGCGTACGTTTTATGAACAGATCGGCTTCGGTGGGGTGAACTGTAGCATCGACGTTCGTGCCTTCGTAGACGACAAGATATAGTCGCTGCGTTCGCCTACGTAGCTCATCCAAGAAGTATTGGGTCTTCGGGTCACCCATGGCCATTTGGCCACACAAATAGTTTCGTGCTTGAGTTTGTACTAATCCATCGTCCTTGTCGGTAGTCTTGATTGTCTTGGTAAAGTCTCCCTTACTCGTGGGGATAAATCCGAAGTAGATGCCTGTCGCGCATTCGCTCAAGATACCTGAATTGTTATACCAGTGCTCGCGGTACAGCCCAAGCATAAGCAACTTGCAAAGCGTAGTGTAGTCCTCGAAGTTGGAGCATATGCTCGCGGCAGTCCAAGGAGTAAGCAACGTCGGAAACCAGCGATATCTAGGTAAAGTTAGCAAGGAACGAAAAGGCTTTTTGTACGGCCTACAATATGTCCCAGCACGGCTTGGTCATCCGGAGGCCTTCACTAGTGCTAGGCACGTCTCCACCGAGTAGTCGGACGGTCTTCATATCGCCACCAGCAAGTGTCTGGGCGCAGATTGCCGCTCGAAGATACTGTACAGCGTGAGGTCTCCAGGCTTTCTCGAAAAAGTCGCAGTACATTTCCAGTTGGCTCGCTTGGCAACCGGACAGGTACTCGCCTATACTCTTCGATCTTGTTGCGCGCTCTAATGCATCAGCTTCGCTGTCGTTCAGTATCATTATCCTGAACCAAGCGCATATGATGTCGGTTCCGGTATCTCCGACGGCGTCCGCTTGTATCGGGGAGTCTGATAGCTGAGACGAAAAGTGTAGATCGGGCAGAATGTGGTATAGGCGGCGGATGGCGTCGGCACACAGGTCGGTAGAGAAGTGTTTGAGCACGAGTATAGTGCCATCGTCTATACCTTGTAGTGATCCGATGGGTATCGCAGGCTTCAGTGGAGACTGTAGTATCATGATCTGTTCCGAACAACGGTTGTCGTGGAGTACACCCGGTGTATCTGGTAGAAGTTTATGGTTCAGATTTGACACTACAAAAGGTCAGCATGACATCCAAGAGTACTCAACTGACACAATACGTACTCAGGATCATGTTCGCCAAAGTCCTGACCTCTTTCTCCAGCCTTGCAATCCATTCTATGAAATCTACGGTGTCAATGCCTCGAGTGTGAAATCTTTCCCTAATGCGACGACGAAGCTCAACCGCTAAGCGAAGTTTGAGAACTTTTTGTTTTGCGGTGTGTGCGTCGAATACAACAATCTTTTCTGCAGCAAGTTGGAGTTTTTCCCATCGAGTGCTCAAGTCGTTCTGTTCTCTGAGATGCCAACTGCACCAACTCTGATCCTCGGTCGATAGTAGGAGATGGCAGCGCCGTCCGTCTGTTTCTATAGCATCGCAACGACTGCCCTGAATCGCCGGTGACTCAGGTGGCTCGCATATGTGGATGAGGTTCCGTGCTTTCTCTCTAGATCTGAACCGGCGTCTTTCAGGCTTGTGAACATACAATAGGAGACTCATCAGAAACAGCGAAATAAGGAGAGCAAGAAACCCTTGGACCCACTAATGCTAGCTTGTATGCATACAAACCGAACGAAATGACGAAATGAAAGAGATGACGAAAGAATGTACAGTAGGGGAATGGTACGATGGGTCAAAAAGAAGTAGCCTTACCAACAGCGCGGATATCAGATATTAATGGCACCTCGCCTCAGGCCCTGAAGGGATGAAAGATACGCTAGGTGGACACGGACGCACGTTGTTGCAACGAGATGGCGCAGGAGTCTGTGCCGACTACGACCAGCCGCCGTTCTCGGGGAGCTGCATTTGCCTTTCTCATTTGTTGGCTCCAGCGCGAAGAGGTTGAACTGGCAACCCCTTCGCAGCCTTCGCCCTGCAGTGTTTTGAAACGGTCGGCCAACAGGCTATCTTAAGCGCTGTGGATGGCCCGCCTTGCGCTACGGGTACAACGAGCAAACCAGAACCCCAGGTCTTCGAAATCTAAAGCCTTGATATTCTGCGCGGATGTGAATTACCTAGGTACTTTGGTGTTGACGCTGGGATGCATGTATCTATACATTAGTCTGTCCAGAGGTACGTCCGGCAGATGCACATTGAGGTATATGCGAAGTCAGAACGACTACTCTCGTGTCGCCTGGTGTAGATTGGTATAGTGAAAATAAGCGAATGTTGTTCAAAGCGGGCGGGTAGATGTCTTGCATCATTGGTTGCTAGCGAGAAGGCTGGAGCTAAGCGCTCAGCTCGTTCGTTCTCAATTACGCCTTGTGAGTGCAACACCAACATCCTTGAGGTTCATAGCAACGCCCGGTCCTTGATATTAGGTACTGTTAGTATCGCACGGCCATGTACGTGCCGTGCGCATCGTATGTATCTGCGCGTGAAAGATGTAGCCACCAGCGCTTGTCCGAGCCGGATGGTCACTCAACCTCCAAAATCTACTGTAAGTCACGATGCGTGCTCACCGCCTCTACGTTTTGCTGGGATAGGCTCTCATGAGAGGTGCGACTAATCGGTGTGCGGGTTGTCGTCATGAAGGAGCGTTGGCAATGGTTTCAGTATGCGCTGGACCAACCAGTCCTCCACCCTGTATACACAATCGTTTCCTCGAAGGCTGGAGAGATGCAATGGGAGTCGTGTTACCATTGTGTTCTTCGTTTCCCTGGATATTTCCGAGGTTGTCGTGAACGCGGTGGAGAGATGAACGCTGGGGAAATACGGGGAAAACTCCGAAGCCTCCGATCCAGATCTGCAGTCGGCATTTAACCATGTCCCCACATTTTCGGTATACCGAAAGTAGGAATGGGGTAGCTCTCATCCGAGGTTGCGCTCTGGTGTGATGCATGGCAGCATCATGGAGCTTCTCCACACGCGATACACGCGGTTTTGCTCCTTGTTACCGTTGCCAGTACTCCCTAAATATCACTCGAGGAATATTTGGTTCTGAGGAGTGATTATCAATATCTCTAGGCACACGCGCAACCCCCGCATTGTTCTACACACCCGTGTAAAGAACGCCACAACCCTCACATCATGGTGATCTCAACAGCAATCCGTGTAGCGCCTTCACGGGCAGCCCGCGCACTGAATCTCCTCCGTACCGTGCAATATACGCATCCGCCGTCATGTCCATGCCATTCGAATCCCAATTACCACCAATCGCCGGCTACCGTCCAGCAAGCACGCCGACACCTCGCAACGCCCCTCGATCAATTCCAGCAGAAAGAATATGCTTTCGAGATGGCAGCGTCGAGCATACGATTCGGACCTGGATGTACAAAGGAAGTGGGCATGGACTTCAAGAACATGGGCAGTAAGCGCGTCATGGTTGTCACAGACCAGAACGTGAGAAAACTAGATGCCATGAAGCAGGTCATTGAAGGCTTGGAAAGGGAGGGTGTGACATATGAGATCTTCGACAAGGTCAGAGTGGAGCCAAAGGATCACAGCATAAAAGAGGCGATCGAGTTCGCGAAGCCGTGGAAACCAGATGCATACTTGGCTGTCGGTGGTGGCAGTGTTATCGACACAGCCAAGTTGATGAACCTATACACTACATTCCCCGAGGCAGACTTCCTGGACTTTGTCAACGCCCCGCTAGGCAAGGGAATGCCTATTCCATCGAAGCTTTTCCCACTTATCGCTGTACCAACAACAGCAGGAACTGGATCTGAGACGACTGGTACCGCCATCTTCGATCTAGTCTCCAAGCGCGCGAAGACTGGTATCGCTCATCGCAACTTGAAGCCTACTCTGGGTATAGTGGATCCACTTAACACGCGCACCATGCCTTCTGCTGTCCACGCCTCCTCGGGTCTCGACGTGCTGTGCCATTCTCTCGAATCTTGGACAGCGATACCATACTACGAGCGCACACCACGTCCTACCAATCCACTCAACCGCCCAGCTTATCAAGGTGCAAACCCAATCTCCGACATCTTCTCCCTCAAGGCTTTGAAAGACACAGTCAAGTACCTACCTCGCGCAGTCAAGGACCCCGATGACCACGAGGCGCAGTCTCAGATGCTGCTAGCTGCAACACTCGCGGGTGTTGGTTTCGGTAACGCAGGTGTGCATCTCTGCCACGGCATGTCCTACCCCATCTCAGGCCAAAACCCCGGATACAAACACGCAGGTTACGACGTCGATCACACCATTATCCCACACGGCGTCAGTGTTGCGGTAACTGCGCCGGCAGTTTTCAGATTCACAGGTGCGTCAAACCCCGAGCGACATTTGGCTGCAGCCGAGGCATTCGGTGTCGATATCTCGAACGTCAAGAAGGAGAGTGCAGGGGAGGTGTTGGGTGAGGCACTGGCAGAGTTCTTGATCAAGCTTGGTGATCAACCACGCGGTTTGAAGGCGCTTGGTTTCGGAAAGGAGCATTTGGATCAACTGGTTGAGGGCACGATTCCTCAGGCAAGAGTACTGATGCTAGCGCCGAGTTTGGAGATGCAGAATATTGATGTTGAGAGGGAGCAATTACGAGGCCTGTTTGAGGATGCGATGGAGTACTGATCGACTAGCGGAGGCAGTCTGAGCTGTTACTCGAGATTACACATGCTTCAACATTTGACTTCGAAAGTACCGTCTTCGTGTTGCTAAACATCTGTGAATAGACGTAAAGGTTGGCAGGTCCGGTCTCATCACTCCAAGCCCCCTGAACTTCAAGACGGCATCCAATCGACATAGCCTCAGGCTTTAGCATCGGCGTCTAGTGAGTTTTATCCTGGGTATAGGTGACAAACTAGGCTGGCTGTTATGAAGGTTGACAGTATGACAAATAACTACCCCTCGTGGGGACCACACCAGATACCCGAGTTCCACCGTCCGATGTGACAGGGGTAACTCACAAGTTTCCTGGTCGATCTAGATCTCAACCTAGCCCAGTGGTGAACAATGTGACAGCGCTTGAGGCTCCTCGGTGTTACTGTGGGGTTACTTATGCGTTGTGCGGAGACTGTGACAATCTTCTCACTTGGGCGCGCCATGCAACGAAGCCACGATACGTCAATGACTCTGAATGTAACCATGTGAAAGGAATACCTCCCGCAATCTCCACTGGGATCGTGGCGCAGCCCGTCAAAGGTGATTTCCTAGTGCAGATCCCGCTCGCAACTGGACGAGACGCTCCCAACGTCGACGTCATGGGTCCAGCCAAACCTCCACGATGCCCTGCTTCTCTAGGATGAGTGCATGTCGATCTAGATTTGTGCTCGGGGCTTAAATCAAACTTAAATCCTTTCCATGGACCCTGATTTTACCTTGCAAAATAGTTTATCTACTAGTTGTCGTTCTCCCCCTCTTGCATCACCAGTAGACGGGCTCATTTCCGAAATAACGCGAACCCCGCCTTCAACCAACCAAATATCGCTAGCCGCGTCGGTCAAGCTTCATAACAACAACGTTACCCTCTACACGTGCGAAGACACGTTCCACGACTGCACCTTGGATTATTGAGTATCACTACACACCTGCAATATGTCAGCGCCTACTTCTGCCACGAGTGAGGTGCCCACGCGCAGTCTCACAAACCGATCTGCCGACGAAGATGCCATCCCAGGCGAGGATACCTCAGAGGTGAGCAGTCCGAAGACCAATGGAAGGAATTGCACCTAACAAATTCCCAGGTTACAAAGCTCTTTGCGGAGCGATTGCAAGCTTGGAAACACGCCGTTGCCTACCTCGAAGACTATATTACCGCGACCGAGAAGACGAACCATGCACACGGCAAGGAGTATGAGCGGGTCTTGAAGGTTGGTTAAATCAGTGCGATAGAGATGCGGTTGCTGACGTAGAATAGACGGTCAAGGATCCCCTGAAGGAGGGCCACCATTTCGATCAGTCGCTCGGTGGTATCGCGGGCATGTTCGAGAACATCAGGTCCAACACCCAGGTACGACATGCTTCCACACAAGAAAACAATGGCTCTTCTAACAATGCTAGGGCATCTCAAACCAACACTACGAGACGGCCAAGCAGCTGAAAGGCACCATCCTCCCCATCTTTGACCGCCTGCACACGGAGATTAAGAACAAGAGCAAGGAGCTCACAAAGGGCGCCGGTAAGGGCAGTAAGGCTGTCGACAAGGCTCGCCAGCACACTCAGAAGCACATTGAGCTCCTCGGCCAGCACACCGCAGTTTTCGACTCGCACAGTGGCTCTATGAAGGCTACCGACGACCCATACATCCTCCAGCGCGGAGTCAACCACCGTCTACACAAGCAAGTGCAGGAGGAGAACAACAACCGCCAGGACTTGATCAGTGTGCAGAACTCTTTCGCACAGTTTGAGGCCCACATCATCCAGACGGTCCAGCACGGCATGGGCCAGTTCTTGCAGGTCGTCAACACCCAGGCCGAGCACACCAAGGCTGCATACACCGACATGGTCGGCACATCCCAGCGCATCCCTCAAGACTTTGAGTGGAACGGCTTCATCCAGCGCAACAACACGGTCCTCATCGATCCCTCCGCCCCACCCCGCACACTCGCCGACATCAGCTTCCCCAACCAAAACCACCGCTCCACCCAGCCGCTCATCTCTGGCTCGCTCGAGAAGAAGGGCAAGATCATGCGCTCCTACGACACAAACTACTACGTCGTCACCCCTTCCAAGTTCCTCCATGAGTTCAAGACAGACGACGACTTCGCTAAGGACCCAGTGCCCGAACTGTCTCTCTACATCCCCGACTGCGTCATCGGTGCCGTCAACGGACAAAAGTTCAACATCAAGGGTAAAGACGTATCCAAGGGAAAGATTGGCGGTGCTTTCTCCATGACACACGAGTTCGCATTCAAGGCACACACCCCACAAGCTGCGGAACAATGGTGGGATGTCATCCGCCAGGCAGCCGGCAAGGTGACCAACGAAGCCCCTTCGAGTGTACCTACCAGTCCTGTCTCCGGAGATAGCAGCCCCCAGAACATGTACCCTGAAGAGAAGACGCAGCCTGCTCCTCTCCAAACCCAGGGACTGGAGAAGACTGGTACCAATGCAACCGACCATGCTAGTGCGCCAGGCTCTGCTGTGCCAGGAAGTGCGACTACGGCGCCCACGAGTGCTGTCCCAGGCGAGCCGGGAAAATACTAGTGGAAAAGTCTCATGATGGCTACTTGTACGTCTGAGGAGGAGGAGGAAGTTGATATGGAGGAAGGTGGAGAGGAAGTTGCTTATTGAACACGGTGGCTCGAATTGCGTATATATACATACCCCTTTACTGTTGAATAGTACTAATACATTCTAATGCCTTTGTAAACTTATGTTGTTTTATTGAAGTGATCAATCCCACATCTGTCGTACATTCAGATTCACCCGTTTGTTCGCCATCCACCCCCTCCACGCTTCATACTCTCCATCTCCCTCCGTCGTCCCAGGCCAATCTCTCAAGTACTCAGGACAGGTCCCTGCTACTATCTGCGGAACGCCATGCCAGGCGAACCTCGACTCCCCACTCATATACACGGCACTTCCCGACCTCAACCTCAACGTCAAAATCTTTTCCTCACCGCCATCCTCCTCTCCGCCCTCTTGCACCTTTCCAGAAGTGCCGAGGACGAAGATGGCATCACACCCCAGACTCACACTAACTAACCCCGTCCCACTCATCTCAGCAACATCCCTATGTACACTCAAAGTATCGCCCGGTGAATAGAGATTCACAATCGCCGCTTCGGCCTTTGTTTCTGTAAACAAAGATTCCAGCAGACGCTTGATATCTAAAGGGAAAGCTGGCGGTGCGGTGCTGGGGTAGCATTTCGCAGTCCAATCGTACTGGCCTCCTAGGGTCGTCCAGCGAAGTTTTTTGTTGAGGAGTTGCGGGGTGGAAAGGGGTTTGTGGATGGTGGGGTCGAGGGGATGGGCGATTGGGGTCGAGGAGGAAAGAGGAGGAAGGGAGAAAAATGAGGATTGGGAAGAGGGGTAAGACAGCTTGTAGTGCGTGTGGATGTTTGTGAGATGAGATGGGTTGGAAAGGTCTCGGTGGAGGAGGCGGGATAGCAGTATGGATTGGATGCATGGGGGGAGAAGGGAGGGGATTATGTAGAGGCCTGTCTTACCTGTTAGGAACAGAGATTATGAAACTACATGAACAAGAGCTATAGTCTATCATGATGATTCCAGACTCAGGAACTTCCTACCTGGCATGTCTTCGTGCTCGTATACTGGTATCGACCTTGGCAAAGCCATGTCTTGGTGTTCTTCCTCCCCATCTTCACCGGCAAAGGTCCGGAAAATGGCGGTCAGGTCTTCTGCGGTGTAGTGTTTGACCACGCGCACTTTGCTGCTTGATGACGCAGAGGCGTCGTTTGATAGATCGATGATGTCTTGATTTAGGTCCAAGTTGTTCAATGTCATCTTTTGGTACTTTTTGTAGACATTGCGTATGCTGTCTGGAGGGCGTTCATGGGGGTCCAGGTGATGCATATTTCTGCTAGATAGACTAGACGCAAGCCTTTGGTGAGATGGCATATGTCAAGATTTAATATCGTCAGGCAGCGCGTGTAGGTAATATGAGACATGTAGAGAAAAGTGAGAACAGGGGTGTTTGACTAAGCTCGCGTTTGTGGCTGACGGCTGCGCGTTGCCTGATGCGTCAAGGGTGTTTACATCTCGAATTTCCTAACATCGACACCCTCGTTCCCTAGTCCCAGCCGCACCTTCCTCCCTACCCGCACTTACTAACCACAGGTACACTGGAGCTTGCTGGAGAGGCATTCAATTACCTTGACCTCTACCCGGTATAATTTGATCTCGCTGCGAAACAGCGCTCCTGCGATCTAGCTAAACACGCTTGACCGCTTGTCTTCCACCTGAAGCATTCGCAGTCCGTAGCCGATCACAATGGAGAACTACCAGAAGTTGGAGAAGGTCGGAGAGGGTACGGCATCATCCTCTTACAACACCCTACTATGCGCGTAGCCTTTACTCACATGTCCTCTCAGGAACTTACGGAGTCGTCTACAAGGCGCGCGATCTCACCACCAAAGACCAACGTATCGTCGCCCTCAAGAAGATCCGCCTCGAAGCGGAAGATGAAGGTGTCCCTTCAACCGCCATCCGCGAAATCTCGCTCCTCAAGGAGATGAACGACCCCAACATTGTCCGCCTCCTCAACATCGTCCACGCCGACGGTCACAAGCTATACCTCGTTTTCGAATTTCTGGATCTGGACTTGAAGAAGTACATGGAGGCGCTACCGGTTAGCCAGGGTGGACGCGGCAAAGCACTGCCAGAGGGTTCTGGTCTAGCGGGTCAGAGTCTGAGCATGGACGACAAGATGGTGAAGAAGTTTATGATGCAGCTGTGTCAGGGTGTGCGCTACTGCCACGCTCATCGTGTGCTGCATCGCGACCTCAAGCCGCAGAACTTGCTCATCGACAAGGACTGCAACCTGAAGCTGGCGGATTTTGGTCTCGCTCGCGCTTTCGGTGTCCCGTTGCGAACATACACCCACGAGGTATGCAAACAAACCTTGGTGGATGATTGGGCATGTTTTCTAACTTGCAATAGGTCGTCACGCTATGGTACCGTTCTCCAGAGATTCTCCTTGGTGGTCGTCAATACTCTACTGGTGTTGACATGTGGTCTGTTGGCTGCATCTTCGCCGAGATGTGCACGCGCAAGCCTCTGTTCCCCGGTGATTCGGAGATTGACGAGATTTTCAAGATCTTCCGGTATGCAAACTCAACTCACATGTCCCATTCCAAACGCTAATCGTGTATAGTATCCTCGGTACACCCAACGAACAGGACTGGCCCGGCGTCACCTCCTTCCCCGATTTCAAGCCCTCGTTCCCCAAGTGGGGCCGGACAGACGTTGCGAATATTGTCACCAATCTCGACGAGGTTGGCCTTGACCTACTTGATGCGCTGCTCGTATACGACCCCGCTGGCCGCATTTCAGCAAAGCAGACGGTTATCCATCCGTACTTTGGTGGTATGAACGGTGACACACGACACGAATACAGCAACGGCTACCACTAGCCTGTCCCAGGAGGATGCTACGACTGTTACGCATTAGGCGGCCTGCATAATTGGTGAGCAATACGAGACGTTAGTGTCTACATGAGATTTCCTGCTTTGTTCTGGATACGAGGATTAGGGCTGTACCTCATCGGACAGCAAGCGGCGTTCCGGTCAGGATATGTTACAGAGTACATGCATGCAATACTACACATAACGACATTCAGTTGCTTCATCTTTTGTATATTGTTTGTGCTGAACACCTGACTCGCCATCGTGTCCTTGGGGTTGCAAAATGACGTAGCGCGACATGCCCCACCTCAGCCCTACGGGACCCGTGTTGAATGCAGGAACGCGTCCACGTACCAGGTCCCCAACTTTGTAGACTACTCACCACACTTGCTTTCTAGTTACTCAGCATCATGGCTTCTTCAACACCGAAATTACTCCCGCCATCCACTGGCCCACGGCTCATCGTCTACCACCAGACTTACCACGACTCAAACGGCAATTACCACTCGTTGCTTCCACTGCTCACGAACAATACGGGCATCACACATGTGATTATCGCAGCCATTCACCTTAATGATGGACCAGGGAACATCACGCTGAACGATCACCGGCCTGACGATAAGAGATACGACCAGTTATGGGGCGAGGTGAATTGGTTACAAGGTAGCGGGGTCAAGGTGTTGGGTATGCTAGGAGGAGCAGCAAAAGGCAGTTTCGAGAAGTTGAGTGGAGACGAGGAGAGTGTACGACACCATATCCCCCACCTTGTATCCTACTGGCAGTATACAAAAGCTAATAGAGACACTAGTTCGAGGCATATTACACCCCCCTCCGCGACCTGATAACCCGTTACTCCCTCTCAGGCCTCGACCTCGACATCGAAGAAGAAATCCCCTTATCCACCGCTACACGCCTCATCTCCCGTCTACGAACAGATTTTGGTCCCCCGTTCCTGATCACCCTCGCTCCCGTCGCCACAGCCTTGATCCCCGATCCTAATATCCCCGCTCACCTGCGTCCACCCAGACCCATGCTAGCTAGCGGACCCAGTCCTAATCCTCTACACCCCACTTTACCTCATCTCAGCGGGTTCAGTTACCCAGAACTGGAATGCAGTGTTTTTGGAAAAGAGATCGGCTGGTATAACACGCAATTCTACTGTGGGTGGGGTGATGCGGGGAGGACGGAGTGGTACGATGCGATTATAGCGGCGGGCTGGAAACCAGAGAAAGTGGTGTTGGGTGTAGTTACGAACCCGGCAAATGGGGCTGGACACGTGGGTATACAGAAACTAGCAGATAACTGCAAGAGGTTACGGCAAAAGTACGGGAATATCGGGAAAGGGTTTGGAGGCCTTATGGGGTGGGAGTATTTTAATGCTGGGGATTGCGAACAAGACCTTGTTCACGTTTCTTCGCTGGAACTGGATAACGATACTGTGCAAGCAGGGTGGGTTAAAGCCCTGGGCAGAGTGCTACGCACAGAAGAAGAAAACAACACAGGGCAGAGACCATTACAAGGTGTCACGGCTGATCAGATCCGCAACATGGTTAGTAACCTCCCTGCTGCACGAGCGGCTTGGCCAGACGAAGAAGTGGACAAGTTGGTTGTGTTGGGGTTTTCGCGTCAAGAGGCCATTGCGGCGTTGAATGCTACGGACGGGAATACGGAGATGGCGGCGGGGTTCTTGTTTGAACATTATCCGAGTTAGATTGTAGTCTAGAAGGGGATAGATTAGGGTTGGGTAAGGGGGTCTGTAGATGTATGGGGATATTATAATGGATAATGGTGTTGAGAGATGCTGAGCCTGTCATGGATCTGGAGTCGGAACTACCAAGTGAACGTGGTGATTGTATCAAGTGAACCCTGCGTCTTTCCCTGCCCGAGCATGAATTTGCCTGTACGATACTCCAGATCCTTTGTGGGCTGTTGTAAGCCAAGGGCGTTGAAGCCAAGACAATATATAATCCACTGTAAGCAAGTCAGACGAGATACCACAATGTAGTACATCAATCCGGAAGGGGTACAACACACGAATCTCTCAGCTCACACTAGACACGCTATGTTTCTAGACTTGAAGGACTGTTGCGTGTAGCGGACGTGCTACCAGACCCAGACTAGCTCGCGAACGGCTGCCCAAGCCCCGAGATCGGCTATCTGCCCGATCACTCCGGTGTTTTGCCGAAGAAATGGAATCGGCAATGTGAGAGGTGGAAGAACTGACTTGACTTTACAGCGTGATCATCGTGTTACTACCTTTTTCCGTGTCATTGAGTCAGGACATACAGGAAGGGAAATGGTAGGTGTAGTCTGGGGGGAAGTCAGTCACACGCTGCGAGGTTTAAGTGGAGTTCACTCATGCAGAAGTAAACAAGAAGGATGCAATGGATGGTGTATGACATGTGTGATTACTACCAATAGTAAGAACGATGCGCGTGGGGTATCCAACTCTAATACCTCCCCTTCCAACTCAACCCAATTCTGAGTGGTGAAGCTAAATGAAATCTATCTCTATACCTATACAATGTCGAAGGAAAGAAGAAAAAAAGTCTTCTAATGCTATCGTGATAACCATAATCGTAACCATGAAACTGAAAAAATAATAGAGTAGAGCAGAAACGACAACGCCCTCAACGCGCTTCGGCCATATCCGTCACGGATAACGTCTCCGTCCTGAGTGGAGATCGCTCCCGTGTTTTCTCTAGCCGCGGGACTTCCAGCAAGCGAGATGGGCTATGGCTGCGATAGGCTGATGTCGGAGACAAGAAGTTCGACGAACCGGCCGCCGATGGTGAGGTACGCAGTGCGTGTAACGAGCCGTTTGACGATGTCGATGACAACGAGCAAGTTGTTGATGTGAGCGGAGTAATGATTTGACTGCTGTGAAGCGAACCGGGTATTAAATCATGTTCTCCAAAATGAAGCATGAAGACGACATAGGAATAGCGGAGAAACCTGCAACAAGACGGAAGAGTATGTTACCTTCCATCATCGCTAGTCCTTGGGCTTCCATCCCTGGGACTCTGTCTCCTGCTGTTCATCTGGGTATTCCGATACGTCTCCTCATTCAACGTATCCAGACTTCGCGCCGGACTAGGAGTCGTACCCCTGCTACCACGACTCCGAGATGGAGAACTAGGTCTCGAAGTAGCAATCTCATAACTCGGCAGAACCATGTCCATGCCGCCAGGCGTCCTGCAGCCCGCGGGAGTTCGCATAGCGGTGTTGTAACTAGGCGTACGTGCCAATGCGTCCATATCGTAGTTCGATGGCGGGAGGTCGAAGTAAGCTTGCTCGCCGTTATGCGCTGGTGTGCTATCACCGGAGGAGTGTTGGCGAGAGGGTTGGAAGCGATTGGGGCGGTCGCTGTGTTCCATGCTGAGGCTTGCGAGGCGGTGTTGAAGGGCTGCTGCTGACGCGCCGCCACCGGGTTGGTGGACAGCTGCGTCGAGGGATGTAAGGTTTTCGGATGAGCCGCGGCGGGATTGCGCATAGAAAGGTGTGTTGGCACCACTGTTCATCATACTGTGAACGCCGCCGGGGGTCATGAAACCGGATGGGTCAATATCGTTGTAGAGGGAGTCCAGTTGATGCAGGCCATATGTAGGAGGCGCGTTCTGGTTGACCTCGTCTTGTATCGCTTGTTGGTTTAGAATGTTCTGGTCAACTACTACACTCTGGTCTTCGTTCGGAGGTAGATTCGGGGAGATGAACAGGTGCACGTGGTTCTTCACCAACAGTTGACTGGTATGACCTTCCGGGTTCTTGAGGTTGACGTATAGCCGCAGTTTGTGCGTTAGCCGTATGTTCTCAGTATCTACTGACTGCCGGCAGTTCTTGAGCGACTTTGGTAAATCGAGAGTCATGGAGAAGCGATGCGACTCGTCAAACAACGCGTCTGTGTCTTCTGTTCCGTCTGGGACCCTGCGCGCCGAGTTTTCTGGCATATCGCCTTCGGTCACCGCAACTTGTATGTCATTTTGGTGGCTTATCCGGCGACCAGCGTAGTCGGCGAATAACTGCCGTGACTCTATCAGTTCCATCTTGATTGTTGAAATCTCCACGCCCTTGCGCAGGGGAATCAAGACGAAATCGGCCGTTATGGACGTTCCGACGATGTAGTTCTTCTGCGGGACTGTGATCTTGTATGCCAGCTTGTTCGCCCAGATGTCCTCGTTGATCTGCTCCATGGGCATGGATTCGAGCATGTCGCGTCCGAGCGTCCGTATGACGCGGATGTGCGCCGTAGCACTGAGCTGCTTGCTCATGTACCCTCTATCCACGTGGGCCTTTAGACTATAAACCACCCAGTTTGTTGGTAGCCCCTCAACGCTCTGGTCGAGGTTGGGAGGCATCTTGAACTTGAAATCCCACTCATGGTACCCAGCATTGAGCTTGTGTGCTTTGGTCTTGCTGCCGACGTCGACGGGAAAGAGGTGGAGTTCTTCGACGAGGAAGTTGGTCTTCTGCGTGATAGGCTGCGGGCTTACCGTGTTGGTCAAGTGCCATCTGTGCGCGGAGAGTTAGCATAATTCATAAGAACGAGCTTCTTCGTGGACAGGGAGGTTACCGTACGAGACTTTCCGTGTGCCCGTGAGTGTGATTCGCAAGCTCCTCACTGACATGGACTCTGGGTTGTTCAGAACCAGCTTTCCCCTCAGCTCCGTCTCATGCGACTCGGACGACTCTCCGTAGAAAACAACAAAAGGCGACTCAGGCCTGGGGATTCGTTAGCCGTCTCCATGTTGATATTTGACAATAGGTGAAAGCGTACTTGATCTCGAGGGTCGGCGCGGCATTTCTGCCGAACACCCCGACACTTGGGCGAGGCATGATGATGTAACGAGGGACAAGTCAAAAATCACAAGAGAGACACAACCACCACTCTTCGAGTCCAAAAGGTGGGGTCCAGCGAATAAGTATCAGCTGGGTCTAGTCGCAGGCTGACGTAAGGATGGGTATCACTCTGGGTGGGCGCAGCTCGTATGGTATGCGAATGTGGGATGGCGATGTGGTGAGCCAGCTGGATTGGGGCTGAGAAGAAGCGTGGGAGGGAAGTAGGGTTTAAAGCTGGTGAAGCAGTGGTGTCATTCGACAGGAAGGAACCCACGTCAAGGATATGTAAAGTAAGGTGAGGGCTTTGTTCAGCGCGGCACGCGTGTTGGAACCGCGTTAGATATACCAGAGAGCGTGGGATATGCGGGCAAGGGCGGCCTGCCCAAGCAGCTGCACCCTGATGAGCTCATGGGCATAAGTGGAGACGGTCGGTAGCTACTCGCAGCTCGCATCATTGCCTCTAGTTTAGCGCGCTTCTTTCACTTGTCTTAGAATTTTCTGGCGGCGATTAGGCGTCACATTGGCATCGCAGGGGGGCATCAAAGAAGGTGTTCCGATAAGCCTCCCGCGAACGGCGGCGATACCAGCGCAAGCCTCTCTTCGATCGATGCAAGCAACGTCGAGAGGGATTACGCGCGTCCTGGATAATGATGGGAATAATCTTCAATAAGTTCTGCATACTCCTCGAGTCCATTCAACCCAACGTCCACTCTTTGTGTCACAAGCGAGGAGTCATGGAGACGTGTTCAGGGTTTTGCTTGCGGCTCTCCCGAGGATATGTGGTACCCGCAGGCCTTCTAGGGTTTCTATGCTAGCGATTACGCCACACATGGAATGGTCGCCGCCATCTTGCATCGGCCAACCTGCAAGAGAAATTCCGAAACGATGGTGAGCTGCGATGCACCTCGCCGGTTGCATATCCAAATGTATATCGTCAACCATTCCAACCTTCTCGAACGACGGTGGCCTGACGCAGAGCTATTAGGGTTGTACATGTGGGAGTATTGCGTGTCGTTGATAGAGGGGTCGTCATCACGATGCGTTAGTAAGACTTTCAGGTGCGAACTATCGTTATGCAGCCTTACACATCACGCTGACTTCATCTCAACGCATCGCCGTCCGGTCACGCCGTCACCGTTTGACCGCCACGATGAAACCAGCACCAGCCTCCTCTACAACAAGCCCGTGATATGCACTCTGCATACCTTAATCTCGGTCCGAGAGGGCACGGTCAGGAAAATCTGCGGCTAGACTTGCATTGCCGCAACTGTGGGTATCAACAGCAGAGCCTCATCAGAGCTACGTACATTATACTGACCCACAGCTGGGAGAAGCGACGCGGCTACCGCTATAAATTCCCGCAGGCGCCGTGAGTATCCACTGCTTAGTAGAGTCGTGATCGTAAGAGACATGTTAGTTACCGGCCGGAAACATGGTCGCACTGTCGTGATTTTCACACCATGTTGCATGGTGGAGATAAGGAAACTTGATTTTGCGACGCTGTGTCGATGGAGTACTGCTCTAACCATATGTTCTAGAACAAGAGGCTCTTTCGCGCACATGCAAGTAAACGTGCATATGCAATAGGGCTGAACGTTTTGCACATGTCAGACATCGGGACATATCGGAGGTCAAACTCTCTCCCAATACCAAGAGCACCTACCAAGACCTCCGATCCATCCATCACCACCATCATCAAACGCGATCGCGCGATAACGTCTAAACGTCTATGCAGATCCGAATGCCTCGTCCTACAAATGGTTTCCGTTTGCACTCGCAGACATACTGCTGTCGTCATTCCCAGCACCTTCTTTCGGTCGGTCCCAAGTCCTGATGTGGCCTGCAATTCAAACAGTCAGCGATCCACTTCCTTATCTCTCGTTTTTGCTCATCGCGAACTCAACAAATGCGTGGGCGGATCCCTGTGTGACACTAGACTAGACGGGTGTTCCTGCGCACGGCCACAGCGGCGCAGTAAAACCCGCCCTTATCGCAGATCACGTCCCTCTAGTGTACAACGTGCGCGTAACGGGTGGATATGAGGTGATTGAGACGAAAACTTTTGCTGATGCCACTCACCGTTTTTGCATGATGTTAGGATACAGTCCTCTTCGAAGCCTAGCCAGCACAGTGGGTGCTCGTGGACGGCTTTTGCCTACGGGTAATGGCGATTAGAAATTTGATGTTGAGGTTTCAGGACAGACTTACCAGCACTGGAGGTAGCATGGCCGTGCGTGCCCGAGGCTCCACGCGATGCACCACTTCTTCTTCATCCAACATGCTACCCGATGTGAGATTAGAATTCGATCTCAGTCGGTTCATCGAACTTCCTGTCTGTGTGCGCTGCATCTTGAGGTTTGACGAGGCAATACTACCGCGCTGTCGCACAGATGCCTAAATCAACGTCAGCCATTATACTTGCCAGATTCAGCGACTTGGACTTACTGCTCGAGGCCTGTGCAGCATGCCGACACTGAAGTCCCACAGCAACAAGCGACAGTCCTCTCCTACGCTACCAATCCGATAGTTGCGCTCGTCGCATCGCCATGGATCGAACTGCACTGCCGTCACCCACGAATTGTGGCCTTGACAGCGTGCAACCAGCATACTCTCCTCCAAAGACCATATAGAGACAAGATCATCCTGTCCTCCGGTGACGACATAGCGGCCGTCGGGCGACCAACAGACGCACATCATCCCGCCGTAATAGCTCATGTAGTGGTGGAGCAGCTTCTCGCGAAGGAAATCCATAATTCTAAAGGACCCATCCTCGGACACGACGGCAAGATGACGTCGGTCGGGCGAGAACTCGAAAGCATTGACCTTGGACCTGGAGACTTGCCAGTAGGACACGGGGTTCGTTCTCTGGTTCTTAGAGTTGACAGACTTTTTGATCGTCAACAGAGCTTTCAGTTTCTTCTCCCCATCGGTTAGCCCGTTTTCGCTCGGTGATGTGATTTCCTCGGGCACGAAGACAGCATCCTCCTTTTCCTTGTCGTACACCACCAGGCTTCCATCCATGTGTGCTGCGAGGAACAGATTCTCGCTATTCGGTAGCCACCGTATGTCAGACACAGCGGTCGCGTTGATGACACCGTTCTTGTTGATGCGCGCGTACTTTTGCGACATTGGCTCGTACCATATTATGTCGCCCGTGGAGAAACCCATGATGATGTCAAGATGATTTGGCCCTTTTGTGATTTGGTTTATGTCGTGACAGAGTGCGTGCGCTTTGGTGAAGAGGATCTTGGTCATGTGTTCTTCCTTTGTAGGCGATGTCAAGTCCAGCCATTGGAATGCGCGGTTGATATTGGCGAAAGCGTAGAGGCCATTAGGGTTATGTTCTTGTAATCGCTTTGTCAGAGCCTCATGGGGGATGACCCTGGACACGAAGGAAGAATTGCTCTTAACAATATTGCTCTTCGGTTTGCGCCTCTTGGACGGATCTTTGGAGTCCTTGCCATTGATTACTGTCAACGCCGTATTGCCCTCTCCGAACACTGGTGTCTTCAGACCATCCAGCGGGGATGAAGCGATGCCATTGGCGCCATATGAACCAACATCACTCGTTTGGCTGTTTGTTTCGTGGGGCGATTCCTGTATGCTCGGGGGAACTTGCGACCGGGTGCTCGTGCGGGTGCCGAATCTATAGAGTTGCGACTGCGAGGGCTGGCGGGGCGCGAGGGCGACCAGCGAAAGCTTTGTGCCAGTTGTCGGGGGAGATACCGTGGTCGCAAGAGGGTTCGGGTTATGGATGGGGGCCTCTGACGGATGCGGTGGGGGCGTAGCTAGATGGAGGTCGTCGCGCAGCACATAGGTACCTTTCATAGCGTCAGTGAAGATGACGAGTATAGGGTCCGAGGCTCATTAATTACCTTCTCCCACGACCAACTGATAGTCGGGCCCGGTGGGATGGGTGATGCTGTTGTTGGTCTCGATAAGCTGGCCCGGCTGCACGCCCGGGTAGCCTCCGACGGGATAGCGTGGTGGAGGAGGTAGGACGCTGTATACTCGTCAGTCAAGCTTCACGTGCGGGTGGAGCATGATAGGGCTGCGATTGGTGGGTGACTGGCGGTCAGCGCAGAGATAGGACAGGTACTCACAACATAGCAGCTGCAGTGTAATCGGTCGCGGACTAACGGCTTAGAATCGGTGAATCGGATCGCGCCGGCCTGGTGGAGAGGTGCCTGGCTAGAGATGACAGGGTAGATTAAGACATTAGTACTGGCTGGGAGAGGCAGGATACGTCAATTTGAGCACGCGGAGAAGGAGGCTTGTGGCCGCGGCAGTAGCTGGGATGGAAGCGCGGGCCCTGGAACCAGCGGGAGGGAACTGGGGAAGTGGAAAGCGGAGACGGACGCCTTACGGCTCCGTGCACAGGACAAGATTATCTCGAGTGGCAGCTTCCATCCCGTTGTTCGTTGGTGGAGATGCTTCGACATGGGTTCGGCCCATCTGCAGGGCCGCATTCAAACGGTCGAGCAGGCATTGCACCCTCCCAGCGACCAATCTTGCGGGGCCCGCTGGCGGGGAAGCTGCGATCGTCTCCCACGCGTGCCAAGCCTTTTGACAGCACTGGAGCCACACTGGTGCATTGCCCTGACCAACAAATCGATTCAGATGCACAACCTTCCACAATTCTAGACGATATTCAACGTCGACTTTAGACAGTTTCCCGTTGACCTGCCTCCACTACACCCACCACCTCTCCCTACGATGCAATAACATGCGGCTGAGAAATGGCGACCGGTATGTGGAGTTCCGTCCCGATAACACGTCTACAACACCCACTAACAGCTACAGTACGGATATGTCTTTGTGGTGACGATGGCGTCGGCAAGAGCTCCATCATCACGTCTCTCGTCAAAGATGTCTTCGTCACAGCCAAAATCCAACCCGTCCTACCACAGGTAACACTACCGCCCACGCTCGGAACACCCGATAATGTCACCACCACCATCGTCGATACCTCTGCGCTTCCCCACGAACGACATACTCTCCGAACAGAGCTCCGCAAGTCGAATGTCATACTTCTCGTATACTCGGACCACTACAGCTATGAGAGGGTGGCCTTGTTTTGGATGCCCTACTTCCGCTCGCTAGGCGTCAACGTGCCAGTAGTCCTCTGTGCAAATAAGTCTGACCTCGCTTCAAATGGCACAACATCGCAAGTGGTGTCAGAGGAGATGCTGCCGGTCATGAATGAGTTCAAGGAGATCGACTCCTGCATACGGACCAGCGCCAAGGATCACCACAACATCAACGAGGTCTTCTTCCTTTGCCAAAAGGCCGTCACCCACCCAATCGCACCCCTATACGATTCGAAAGAAAATTTGCTCAAACCGGCGGCCATCTCTGCATTACAACGCGTCTTCCATCTCTGCGACACAGACAAAGATGGTTATTGGAACGACCAGGAAGTCCACGATTTCCAGATCAAGTGCTTCGAGAAACCACTGGGCGATGATGACCTGGCCAACATAAAGAGGTCAATGGAGCGCTTTGCCCCAGGCCTGACCGGCGAACATGGCATGGACGAGAAGGGCTTTTTGCTTCTGAACAAGATCTTCGCGGAGAAGGGTCGGCATGAGACAATCTGGATTATACTGCGGAAGTTCCACTATACCGATAGTCTCAGTCTCCAGGATACATTCCTCCATCCCAAGTTCGACGTTCCTCAATTCTCGTCGGCTGAGCTGAGCCCCTCTGGCTACCGCTTCTTCGTGGATCTCTTTCTCAAGTTCGACATGGACAACGACGGGGGGCTCAACGACAGAGAGCTTGCCAATCTGTTCGCACCCACGCCCGGCATGCCAACGTCATGGGTAGACTCGGCATTCCCGTCGTGCACAGTGCGTAACGAAGCAGGGTACATCACGCTACAGGGTTGGCTCGCGCAATGGAGTATGACTACTTTTGAAGAGCCCAAAACGACTCTGGCTTACCTAGCATACCTTGGGTTCGAAAGTGGCGATCGTGGGGGAACGACGAGCGCGCTCAAAGTGACCAAAGCGAGGAAGCGAAGGAAGAAGCCTGGACGAGTCGAACGTAACGTCTTCTTATGTTACGTGCTTGGTTCGAGCGGGAGTGGAAAGAGCTCATTGCTATCTGCCTTCCTACAGCGACCGTTCAGCCACACATACCATCCCACGATAAAACCCCGCTCGGCTGTCAATAGTGTCGAACTGAAAGGTGGAAAGCAATGCTACCTGATCTTGGAAGAGCTTGGCGAACTCGAACCCGCGATTCTAGAAAATCAGACCAAGCTGGATGCGTGTGATTTGTTGTGTTACACATACGATTCGAGCGACCCCACTAGTTTTGCGCATATCGTCGAGTTGCGGAAGAAGTATCCTCACCTGGATCAACTACCAGCCGTCTACACAGCCCTGAAGGCAGACCAGGACAAGACGATGCAGCGATGCGAGCAGCAGCCCGACGAATACACCAGCGCTCTGAGAATGGCACCGCCACTACACGTCAGCACGACGTGGAACAGCATCTCGGAGTTGTTCGTTCACGTAAGTACTACGTCTGTTGATTGATTTCACTAAGCTAACATCGTATAGCTGGCCGAAAGCGCTACCCACCCATCGACGGCTTTCCCTAAGCAGGAAGAGGACGGGTACGATTATCTCAATCTTTACCTAGCGCTTGGTGCCGTCACCTGCGCAGTGGCTTCGGCGATGTTCGTCTGGAGACGCAGCAGCGCATCTTCCTGAGACGAGGGGCCTGGCATGAATTTGAATTGTTTGCTTCTTGTATATACCATGGTATCATACCACTTCTACCCCTTAACCAGAACTACTCGCAATTCAACAAAACCCACGCTTCTCGGAGATGATGGCAATACAATATTCACGATAATGGCGGAGGGTCAGCGCTTAAGCGTAACATCGCCTTGGCGTGCAGCTGCGTTGTATAACAGACAAGTCTCGGTGGCACGAGCGAATGAATAGACGCAGGGACATTTACCCCTGGCGCTTCGGCCTGACAGGGTAAGGCGGCAATATGTGGATAGATAATATCGGTGAGTTAGTATAGGATCACGATGGTGGGTAGTGTCGGAAAGGATGGATATAGTGACAGCTCGCTTGACAATGGTGTGGGCTAAGTGCTCTCTGCTACAAGTTACATAGCTGGTAGCCTGATAATACCCCAGGGATCTGCGAGTAGTCTGAGACAGCTATTCTTGTCCCTTTGCCACGCATGACATTGCGGGTAATTGCAACCTGGATACTTGCTTGCTTGCTTGCTTGCTGCGAGAAGCCTAGGAAAGCTTGAATAGCGATTGTTTTTTGTTGGAAACGTTGAAAGGATCTGTTCTTCTTTTTGAACAAGACCCTGAAAAGTGGCATGATGTAGATGTTCTCTAACTCAACAGGATGGCCAAAGCCGCAATAAGGTAGCTGCACTTAGTGAAGGATCGTCAAAGCAGGTTGAGGGCGGCTGCTGGACAGACAGACAGACACACAACGCAGTGCAAGTGGTGATGGCCCCTGTGGCGGAGTGCTTGTCGCGCCGAGTCGTGCGTCCTCATCGGGCACTGGGCTGACTTGAGGCTAGTGACGGTTCCGCGTTAGTCCCTAGACACGGTGCTTGCAGTTGTCAAGCAGCACCTCTACGCATTTTGTCTTCCTGTTGTAATGGTCGCTTTCATTGTTACTCCTACGCTGCATGCAAACGCCCCCTCTTCCGCCTATCGCCCGCCCTTCGATGCTCCACGAGCCTCGGCGCCCTAACCCAGCCGTGGCAATCGTGCCAACCACCTCCACATTCCTCGCAAATGGTGAGTTGACCTCGCACATGTTCTGAAGCCCACGTGCAGGCGCATACTTGGTGGGAAAACGGAGATTGCTCAGAACTACCATTGTTTTGTTTCTCTGCTGCATTCTCCCGGCAAAGGCCCGCGGCGCCAACCCGACTTCCAAGGAGCCCCCAAGCTGACCAAGTCTCGTACCCCACAGGCAACCGACAGAGCACGAGAGCTAGACCGCCTATATCAAATGCGAAATCCACCCCGTCGGGGGCATGCGCCGCAGATATCCATCAGCGATGACAGCCACCACGTCACAGAGGCCATAGGTGACATGTACGGCGGAGATAGCGACACCGAGTCGAACCGACGCAGCCTGCGACCCCTAAGCTTCATTCCCAGCCCCAACGGCGACTCGATACAGTCCTTTGGCGCCTTCGAGGCCTTTGATCCCTTCCCCACCGCTCCGCCCGCAAGATCCCCGCTGCGTCCCCAGATGCCCTACGAGAAGCCCGCAACGCCGACGAGCCCCAATGGCAGCACCAACGTGCCCCAGAAGAGGGCCTCTATCGGCCGACACCCGTCAAACGGCGGCGAGATATCCCCTCCACTGTCTCGCTCCAACTCGAACACGGCGTCGCATCAGTTCCCGCTCAATAATCTCGACTACGAAAACAGTCCTGCGGGTCTTGCCCAGGAGTTGAGCAACCTACAGGCTATACGCAGGATGTCAATGGGTGTTAACAACGCCGATCCCGATCTACCATCGTTCCAATCCGCCAGCTCACCCCCCTCTCCGCCGGCCATGTCTGAAGAAGACGAATCGAAACTCTTCTGGGTACCTGCACGCTTGCACCCCGAACTGGCGCCTATGGAATTCAAGACATTTATCGAGGACAAGATTGACCGGACGAGACGACGCTCCGGCGACTCAGACTCGCTATCGCCGGACGGTGCCATGGGACGTCAGGGTTCAAGTGGAGGTTTACGGCGGAAGAAGTCTATGCTTTCCAGGCAAATCGATACCGGTACAGGCTACAAAGATGGTGCTGAGAGACTGGAAAGGAAACGCTCCGGTGCGCAGCCCAGTGGGGGCCTGTCTAATCTCCAAGAACTTGAGCATATACAGGAGGACCCAGTGGCTTTGATAAGACGGATGAGCATCGACCACAAGGGCATCAGTGGGGAGGGAGAGGAGGGTGCCGATGGCATGCCAATCGTACCAGGCAGTAAAATGCGTGGTCTGGGAACGCTGAAGAGATCAACACACACTACTTACAGACGAGGCAGTCTACGGAAAGGCGGTCCGGCCCTCTCGCGTCGACTTGTCTCTGGCCGACAAGCAGAAACAGATACAGAGGACTCTCCGGGTACCTCCCCCGTACACTCTACTGAGAGCATACCCGAAGTTCCTCCTCTCCCAGGACTTGCGCGAGTTCAGTCGGAACCGGTCAACTCGGCGTTCGAGGGATCGTCCAACAACTTCTCGCGGCCACAAGCAAGCCGGGCATCACCCAGCTATGGCGGAGAAAGGCCCGGTTCAGCTGAGGAACATCCAAGATCAGCTTCCACTGAACCTGTGACACAGGACCGAACTTCGCCTCAGCCCAGGCAATTCCACTCGAGAATCGCCTCGAACGGCCGAACAACAGCGCCTTTGCCAGGCTACACCCCTCCGCCGCAACAAGTACCCCAGATCATCGAGACACCACCGCCACAAGAACTGAATAGGATACCTCAATTTACGTTACCGGAACGTCACTCTTCCCGCCAACCACCGCCTCAATCCCAACAACAGCCTGCTGGTCCCCGCCATTATCCTCAATCTCAGCAGCAGCCCCCGCAGCAGCAGCCCCCGCAACAACAGCGCCAGCCTCAGCCCCAATCAGGCCGCCCGAACCGCCATGCCCAAGCCGCCCAGAATTCCCCGATCAAGCCCGCACAATCATTCGATGATTTAGTAGCACAGCCTTCTGCGATGCCTGGCCAAAACAACAGAGTAGACTCATTGTCCATCATCCCGAACGCACCAGAAGAGAAGAAGCCTGATGGCAAAACTAAAGATAAGAAGGAAGGCTCAGAAGGTGGCCAAAGAAAGACAAGCTGGGGCTGGTTCGGTGGTGACAAAGAGAAGGAAAAAGGCAAGAAGGGTGCAAAGGACGCAGAAAAGGAAAGCGAGAAGAAAGTCAAGAACAAGCTCAGCAAGCCTCAGGAAAAGGGCCACGACGATACGAGACTGGACCTCCTGCAAACGTCCATACAAGGTGGTGGTCGTGGTCGGGAAAGTGTAGTGCTAGATCGTGAAAGCATCAAGCTAGAAGAGGAGCGGAAGAAGGAGAGTGCTAGGAAGACGTCTAGCGAAGGCAAGAAAGAGAAGGAGCCTGGACTACTATCTTCCATCTTCGGAGGAGGAAAGAAGAAGGGCGAGAAAGAATCATCTCACAAGAAAAACGCTTCACGTGGACTATCCCCTGAGCCTCCGCCACGCATCTTGAAGCCCGACATCGATTACAACTGGACCCGATTTTCAATCTTAGAAGAACGTGCGATATACCGTATGGCTCACATCAAGCTCGCGAACCCTCGCCGCGAACTCTACTCGCAAGTCTTGCTAAGCAACTTTATGTACTCGTATCTTGCCAAAGTCCAACAGATGCACCCGCAGATTTCCATCGGTAACTCCAAACAAGCGAAGCAAGCTCAACAGGCTCAGCAACAACAACAAGCCGCGCAGCAGAAAAAAGAGCAGCAACAGCAGCAGTTACAGCAACAAGCCGCTCAGCAATCTCAACAGCAGCAACAACAGCAACAGCAGCCTGAAGAGTTTGCTCAGTATCAGCGGTACCAGCAGGTAGGAAATGTTGAGTAGACAATTGCGGAAAGATGCTAATAGAGATTGCAGCAACAGCAGCAGCAACACGAGCAACAATCAGAGAAATCCAACGAGTGGCCAAGCGTACAACAGCAACAAGCCAATGGGGGTCTCCAACATCAACAACAAACCGGACAACAACAGCAGCAGCAACAGCAGCAACATCAAAGAGGGGCATCGTATAATCAGAACCCACGCGATTCACACCATTCTAACTACAGCGCGAATGGTAGCGGAGGAAGTGGTGGTGGTGGGTACAGCGTTGCGAATACGCAGAATTATCTAGGTCAATCTGGTAAAACCGGCGGAGGAGGGGCAGGTTACTCTAATTATTCGGATTCGGATCAGAGTCAAAGGGCCGATGATGATATGTGGTAGGAGTTTGGTATCTCGTCGTCAACCGTCGTTCTCATGGTCATGTGAGAGGAAATGGAAAAAAAGAGGGCGAGCATGGTTATCTAGCCCTACTTTCTATCTTGAACTACGCTTCGTTCTTCTCTTTTTTCTTTCTTTGCCAATTTCGAATTGTAAAATTAATCTGCTGCTACGATTTATTGTCTAATATCTCACTGGGTCATTGGGGGCGTATGAGAATCTGAGCAGGAATAGATGGATGGACAGGGACGAGATGGGACAACGTCTGACGGTCGTTGGATGCGAAGATGTAGATAGGGAATTACATCCAAGGTAGTTTGTTCGAAACTAATAGCCGCGCCATGCGTACCATGATGCAGCAATCGACACCCCTTGCGCCTGGTTGTCACTTCATTACCTCATCTCTCTCTTTCTGCTCCATTCAATCCTACTGCACCCGACTCCGAGCAACGTGATTCTTCCAGTGCCTTCAAGAATCCCAAGTACAAAGAGTGTTGTTTGTCTGAGTTGCAAACGTTGGAAAGAGATGGAATGGTGGGTGAATGTATTTATGAGAGGGGGGCGATGCGCTGGAGTAGTTCATCTAATCAACCCCTGAGCTTGTTCGAGAGTCAAGTCAAGCTTTGAGGATATCAACTTTAAAATGCCGCCAAAACAACACGTTAAATCCCGGCTACGAAAAGAGGTACGTCAAGACAACAGTACGGAGAACAACAATAGCGAAGAAGTGGTGGTACGGGACACAGTCGCAGACTCAAGTGTAGACATGGATGCATTGTCAGACGAAGACAGGATGGAAGATCAAGATGATGGTGCGGGGGAGAGAGCAAGAGATGCTGCGGGAGATCGGCGAAGTGAAGAAGTGCCTCAGGCATTCCGAGAAGAAGACCATCTAGTGCGCCAAATTCAAGATGCCGAGAACGGGAAAGGAGAACAAGACGATGTTCAAGCCGATGTCGATCGGAGTGATGAAGGGGACGTCGTTGATGACGCCACAAAATCCACGGCATCTGAAGCAGTAGAAGACCTACTAAATGAGATCAAGACAAATTGGGGTATCGACACGCTAAAAAAGCTGATGGTACCAGGGATCAATAAGAACGGGAACCCTGAGGATACGTGGCTTTCTGGGGAAACGGACATCGCGGATGAAGAGTGGGAAATGAACACTTTGCGCCTCTTCCGAAACTTATCCCGTTTGACACAAGGTGAATACAACAAAGCAAAAGATGCATTGGCCAAGAAGCTGAGTTACAGAAAGCATAACGAAAACGGTGGGAGGACTGGAAGTGACAGATCGATAGAAAAAGAGCCTAGGTTGCGCAACGATTTGAGAGAGGTGAACTCGTCTTTTAAGCAAAAGAAATGGGAAGCAGAAGATGAGGGTGACAATACAGATGAAGAGCCGACAGGGCCTAAGAAGAATAAGAGGCAGAAGAGGAAGAGCTCTGCATCTATAGACGATGATGACGATCTATACATTCGCGAAGACGAGATCTGGAAGAAGGGTAGAAAGAGAAAGCACAGCAGTAAAGTGCCAGGTGAAGAAAATATAGGCCATCTCGGACTGCAACAACACGATCCAGTTGAATCTAGTCCAAGCCCGAATCTGGTACCTCCAGTCGATCCACGCGAAGAGAATGGCGAGAAAGGCAAGAACATAAAGGCAAGCACCAAGGAAAAGGCGAAGGCAACGCCAAAGCGAAAGCGAAATGGGAAGAAAGACGACAACATTGATAGCACTCCCAGTGAATCTCCTACAGCAAACACGATACAAAGCGCAGAGGAGCGAGACACCGCACTCGAACGCATCAACGAGAACTTGGGAACCACTTCGCTTCTTGAATACTTGCCAGCAGGCCTACATCCAATTGGTGTAAATAACGATGCAGAACTGGACTTGGGAATCATCGCCCGAATGCTTGATCTCTCCAGCGCTGCTACAACAGAAGCGCAACGCAACGCGTTGAGGCAAGCGTTGGTAGAACAAGTAGCAGGAAGGACAGGCATTAGTACCGAAGCCATCTGTGCCGATATTGCACTAGCTGGTGAGCAGTATCATTTGGAAGAACAAGCGAAGATCAACAACCGAAGTAGTTCGTCATTCCCGCGCTCCGCTCGCCAGTCGCAGGCAGAGTCACTAACTTTACGGAGGCCGGGATTGCGCAGTCAGAGTCGACAAGAAGTTCCTCCGGTCACCAATCAACCAGCTGAAGCAGCCCAGGTTCCTCATACGACACTCGCATCTGAACCAGGTGTATCTCCATCTTCCCGTGATCAACCGAAACTTCCTGTTGTAGCTGTGGACAAGGCCACGGATAGTCAAACTCGACGCGGCGCTAAACTTGGCAGAAAGAATGAAGGTACAACTCAACAGCTGACGAGAAGGACCCAACAACAAGGAGGGCACAATCTCGTCCCACACGATCCTCCGGAGCCACCAACATACCCATCAGGCCAACAATTCTTTCCCCAAGCCTCAGTCCAGTTGCCAAACCCACCGCTTCCACCTGCGCACCTCCATATAGAGAATTCCGATACGGCATCCAGACGACGCGAACTTGATGACACGAGACGAAGATTCCGTGAAGCGGAAGCTGCGGAGGAAAACTTTGATGCAGAAGTTCGACGGACTCAGACAAGAGATGAGAACGCCGTCATCCGGAGAGAGAACGCGCGTCGTGAAACCGAGCGTCGTCGAGTGGAAATGGAATTAGCTGAAAAAGCAATCAGAGGGGATGATGCACAAGTTGGGTTTGAACACCACGCAGAGCCTAGAGGCGCATGACAATAGCGAGACAAACGTCAGGATGGACAACAGAGAAGTGAAGTGGGTAGTAGAAAAAAAGAGTAGAGAAGAAGGAAACGGAGATGAAAACAATGAGACGCTGTAGAGTAGTGCATAGGTGCTGCGAACAACCTCGTACGACTAAAGCAGTGAGGTTCCGATAATTACACACATCATGCTAGCAATTCTAAGATGTCAAAGAAGGACTCTTAGGTATGCGTGTCACTTCTCATATACATTGTAGTAGGCTCAACGGCTAGTCGATGGCGGAAGTCAGTAGCCTCAAAGCTGGCGACAATACCGATGCTATACAACTCCGCTTCGCTTGTGACCTTCCATCTGTGTGAGTGTAGACCAAGGGACCTTCACCACTGATCATATTCATTACCTAACAAATTCGCAAGATTCGCGTTGTGTGTCTGTATCGTACTATCAGCGGTGCGGAAGGTCAGTTCCATCCACGTCATCCATCTCTTCAGGCAGTGGAGTAGTCATGCCGCCTAAAGAAGAGCTTGAGTAGCGAGTGCCGGACCCGACGTTGGAAGCGGAGGAGGATGAGGTTTTATCGTCGCTGTACTTCTTCTGCTGTAGATCGCGTAGTATCTTCTGACCTTGGAGGAGAGAGTCACGTTGTCCGAAGAGCTCTTTCCGGAGTTTGTAGCGGTGGGGAGATTCGGCAAGGAGACGAACTGCGTTATTATAGCCTGTGTGGTATAGTCAGTATAATGCTCAGATGTTCCAGCGAGAAACATTGGATACGTACCTTCACTGCCATCATTAAGGCCTAGGCCATTCTCAAGCTCGTCACGAAGCTGCGTACGCAATAGCTTGAAGAATTTGGACTCAATACGCATGCAGATAGCGTCGTGAAAGCGGCGAGCGGCGAGCATGTAGTATGTGGTGACCTGGGCGATGACTCCGAGCTCTACTACGTAGGGTTCATGGTTGAGTACTTCCATGATCCTTGCGTCCTTCTTCAGCCTCTCTTCTTCCTGCGCAGTAGTTACTTTGCCTGTTCGCTGGGACCTGTCGCGCTTGTACCTGTGAAAGCGAGATTTGAAGCGAGCCTGGCGGTAGTTGTCTAGAACTGCACCTTTCTCGCATTCGAAGATGTCATCGTGGAAGATATATGGTCCTTCCTTCTCGTCGTTCAGACTCTCCTCAGTCATAGTCGTGCGCTGCTGAGTGAAGTTCAGGCTCACCATCTCTTCAACGATCTTCCAGGCGGTTCGGTAGAAGGCCGATCCGTCGTATCTGGAAAAGTGCTTCTGGAATAAGACCTTAACCTGATCGGAGATCTGAGCTTCGAGCGTATTGAAGAAATCGTTGAGCGGTCGTGACCAATGCTCGAGTGTTTCTAGCATCAGATTGTCGACCACACGCGGCTCGATCTGTCCAGGCACCTTGCTTTGTGAGTTTTCTGCCAAGTGTTGGGTGATTTGATCAAGAAAGAACTTCTTCCTGAGGTCACTGAAGTCTGGGCTTGGGACACCTGATTTGGCTTCGGAAGATTTTGGCAGACCGCGGCGGCTGGGTGTCTTCACTGGCGAAGGGTCTGCCGTTCCATCAATCTTTCGCTTCTTGGTGGGCGTTTCGAGGTTGCTATGCGTCGGTGTGTCTCGGTCCTCTTTATCTCCATAGTCCTCGTTATCATCATCATCATCGTCGTCAACAGAGATAGCTTTGCTAGCTGAGTTACCGGGTTGAGCTCCTAATACATCCATGTAGACGGTTGTGTCTCGGTCTCCGCTTACGGACACAGTAGGCTTCATGCTTGCCAAGGCATCGAAAAACGCCTTTTGCTGTGCTTTCCAATTATTGCGCCATGCCTTGCATGGAAACTCAGCGTCTAGTTCCTTGCGTACTTCTTGAGAAAAGTCGAGAATAACATCTGCAATTATTCGAGAAGCGTTATGGGTCGGAGGCTCCGGGAACTGTAGCAAATCTGTTTCTACTTGACAAAGCCGAGTGTTGATCTCGTGATCGATGACAGGCAGTTTCCTGGTGATTTGTTCCGCAAGCTTTCCAGAAAGAAAGCTCTGGAGGTTCAAAGTACCAAAGCGGTGGCTGTAATCTTTGAACTCTGTCGCCCAAGGCTCTCCCTGGCTGAAGAACTGCTGTTCTTGGAATCGAGCCTGTAGGTGAGTGAGACCTTGATTGATCTCGTCCTGACCCAGGTTCTTGACAACAAAGTATCCATGTCCTAGTGCGAAGCGCTGTTGGTCGAAAACTGCCCTAAGCTTTTCATGGCGAGATCCTGCTGGCAGGCGATCTGGTTTAGTGAGCACGCCTGGAGATGTCAGCGATTAATGTACCATTAGAGGGTATCATACGTACCAATGCACCGGTCCGTAGCATTGAGCTTCCGCGCAATTCCACCTGCAGTCGAGTTTGCTATATCATTCTCTAGCGAGCAGGTTACCAGAATAAGGGCTTCTGGATCCCTGACGTAGTCCATGACTAGATCGCGAACAAACTCAACTAGGAACTCCGACTCCTCGGATTCTGCCTGACCAATTATGCCTGGCAAGTCGTAGAAGCTCAGTGCAGGAAGACCCGGATGAGTGATTGCGATAACAACGATGTTCGGGCTGAATTCGCAGCTGCGATAGTCGCCAAGCACGCCGATGGGTGCTCGAAGGAACTCTTGGTAGTCCCTCATAGGATTTATAGTTGCAATCTGAGCGCGGGCGATGATATCTTCGAGTTGACGGGGGTCTTCTGTAGACGCGAAGTGTACAAGGCCAGGTTGCGGTAGTTGTATCCATCCTGGGAAGCGGCGCTCATGTCCTTTACCCTTCTTGCCATCGTAGCCAAAACCACGGCGCAGACTGACGTTTGCGCTCCAACCGGCGCGAGTATCCTCGGAAGGCTCTAGCTTGATAAACAGCGGGCACCTGGTGCAAGTATCGGTGGACCGAGGCGTTTTGATGCCTGATATCGCTTCAATCACCGACGACTTTCCCGTAGACTGCTCCCCTAGGGTTCAGTGTCAGTAAGAGAGTCATCGAGTGCCATGTAACACAACTTACCTAGGACGATACACTTCGGTAAAGGGATCTTAAGCATTTGCAAACCCAGACCCTCTAGGCGGCTGATAGTTGAGATGACCTCTTTCACATGGAGGCCGAGCGGATCGATTTCTGGAGCAACAGGCGCATTAGGCGTCTCTCTTGGATCTGACCTCCTGTTAGTAGCTTAGGCGCCACCATCTGTCAAATTGTAACTTACTATCTTGGCCAACCAAGTGAAGCGGTTCGAGGCCCTCATTCAGGCGTGATACGTCATCGTGTGCAGATAGACTCTCGAATTCCCGTGAAGGTGTGTACGCGTTGCTATGAGCGTTGTAGTCGGCGTTTCCTTCTAAGGGCACGTCTGCAACGGCACCGTCGTCAGTGGGTGAGACCGGCTGCTTGGCTGCACCATTGCGCATATGGCTACGAGTGGCACCTGCCATATCTTCGAGCTTGTATAGATGATTGTGGCAGTACAGGTAGGTGAGAGAGTGGAGGTACGATCAAGGTTGATAGCGACGACGACGCGAGTGCCAAGACTTAGCAGGGTGAGGTGACACAAATATCTAAAGCGGGGATCAAGAGTGGCAAGCAGGAATGATTGGATGAGGGACAAGTCGGCCCAGGTGAAGGCAAGTCTGATACCGCCATTGGGACGGTGAACGCTGATTGTGTGATGCATACCCGCGCAGCTAGTGGTGAGGAGAATGGTGCGAATGTTAAAAAAAAACAGCGCCAACCCGTACACATGCGATACAATGTGAGCAACTGATAACAAAGACATCGTGGGAGTGAGGGTGTTCAGACTTATTGGACAAGCTCAGGGACGTATTGCACAAGAAAGAAGTAGAAAAGAGGAAGGCTCGTCAATTGCATCTTACGCTGCCACCGCCAGCACTACATACTCATAAAATGAATATTCCATATTCCAGAATAGCTTGACCAAGTTTTATGACATCTCTGAACTTGAATCGTTACCCATCCCTCATGTAACGGCGGCATGCAATGCGTATCGCTACGATGGGCGATTTGTAGCTGTATCCTTCGACAGACCTACCAAGACTGATGTATAGCGGAGAGCATAGCATATAGCTACAAGAAGATAGAAAGCGAATCATGCATAGATGATTCGGATGGTGAATGATGAAGCGTGGCAGCAGGTTTGTTGGAAGATGATGGTTGCGGCGGCCCCGAGGTTTCGCCGCTAGCGCCAAAGGAGCAAGGGTCCTCAAGAAATTCCATCGAAGCACATCGTCACCGGTGGCTATCATCCGACCACAAGCTCGCCCACACCCTCTCGTCGACCTCGGAACCGCCCAAAGCAACTCGTTTGTCTTCCTAATAGAAAATGGATCATTCGCGCGATCCTTGTCCCTGGGTCATTCTCAATGACTTTGGTGGTGCCTTTGCCATGGGTGTATGTCCCCTCAGGCGCATCATCTCTGTCAGAACCCATATACTAACACCGCATTAGGCTGTCGGAGGAGCAGTATGGCATGGTGTAAAAGGCGTAAGTGCCTTTCTGGTACTTCGAAAACCTGCGCTTACAAGCCCTATAGTTCCGTAACTCACCCTACGGCGAGCGACGCATCGGTGCCATCACAGCGATCAAAGCCCGCGCACCTGTTCTCGGCGGCAACTTCGGTGTCTGGGGAGGACTTTTCAACACATACGACTGCGCAGTCAAGGGAATACGGAAGAAGGAGGACCCGTGGAATGCTATCATCGCAGGATTCTTTACCGGTGGATCGCTGGCAGTACGAGGAGGCTACAGGTCGATGCGAAACGGTGCGATATCATGTGCTATCTTATTGGCTGTTATTGAAGGCGTGTCAATTGGGTTCAACCGCATGATGGCCGACAACACAAGGCTCGATGCTCCCCCACCACCACCGAGCGATGTCGGTGCATCATCTGGCGGCGGCGGCATGGCTGTGGCCGCGTAAAACACTTTCGATTTACGATTTATACCTGTTCAGAGCGGACCGTTATAACGCCAGGGATGGGCAGCAACATGTCTGGGCAAGCGGTGTTTTTGGGATGTTTGGCATATACCGCAGGCAGGTTTCGGCAGCGGGTGGCGTTCACACTCTCCTCAGCTTTGTGCTATATCTGTATCATATACGCGACACGACTTGTACAACATCTGGAGACGTCTCTAGAAGAAAGCATGAGTGTGCGGAATTCAGAAGTTACGACACATCTCAATGTCCATCAGCTATTGCGCACCTACTCTATTGAATCCGAGCTTACCACAATAGTTCAAACTCAATACCGGACTAAAATAACTGGATGACATCATCAGACCCACTCATCAGTAAACAAAGTCTCAAGCTTCCCCAGGCCGGCCGCATCCTGCGTCGTTTGAGACACTTCCAATGCTTCAAGCGCTAAAACACACGCGTGGGGAAGTCGCTGAAAGTAGTCAGCTACAACCGCAGATTGAGGCTAGCTTCTACTAGTCAGAGTGGCTGACATGAACGCGCATTGACCGCCTTTCTACCTCGAAATATTGCAACTGGCCGTTCTCGTCTGCTATTGTGACACAAGACCACGATGCTGCTTCTACGCGCCCTAAGATTACGAAATCCATCTCATCCATCTCGCCATTCTAGTATTACGTATTCTTCTATTCAATAACACCATCCACATCAACCACACCTATAAAGGCTTTCGCTCTCGAACGCGACGATGGCACCACAAAGAACAAAGAACGTCATCAAGGACATTGGAGAAATCACACGTAACTGGCACATTCAAAACTTGGCATCATGTCTACCAAAAGCGCTATGGCCCAACCACCAGCCATCGGATGAATGGGGCGACGATTTAATCGCACTCATAAGCCAAATTTCATCAACGCCTGCCGCTACCCTTCCGGACTTCAGATTGAGATTAAGAAAAGCTATCAAAGTGCGCCAAGAGAGGAACAGTTCCCGGATCGGCAGACAGTCATGGGCCAAAGACGTCGACCTGAAAGCTGTCTTACAAGAGTATGAACGAGAGGCTGAAGAGACAAGAGCTGAAGAAGCGCATCCTGCACCAAAGTCAAAAGAAAAATCTGACAATCGTACTACCCGCAACACACGCATTCAGGTCCCCAAAACACCCATGAACCATGAAGATGAAGACGAGGATGAAGAAGAAGAAGGCTCCTCCGAACCCCTTGCCGGCGGGAAGTACCAATACCTCAATGGCGTCCGACCGGTCAAGGTGAACTTGAACCCCAACGCATCCGCTGCGAAAAAGCCGATGCGAGCAAAACCACCAACAAGAGGCAAACGACGAAAGGCAGATGAAGAAGAAGTGACAGACCCTCTCGCAAGAGAACTCCCAAGTCTGGTTTACCAAGATCCGGATCCCCGGGTACCGGATGATACTGGTTTTCTTTCGGATCTCGAAGGTGACGGGGTGGAGGGAAAGAGTAAGAAGAGGAAGAAGCGATTATCGAGGCTGCAGCAACAGCGTGTTAGGGAGCCGCATTGGCAGAGGGACTTGGATAACATTGTTGTTGATGTTCCGAGCTTGGAGAATGGTATTGACACTCCAACCGTACGTAAAGAGAGCGAAGTTGCCCCGATCCTTATTGGGGAAGATGTGAAGGATTTGGGTCTCGATAATGAGGAAGATGTGGCCATGGAGAACGCGGAGGATACGCATATACCCAACGCTGAAGACCCACCTATCCATATCTTACGGGACGTCATTATGAACGACGGAGGGGACGTGGAGGTGGAACTGGAAAACTTACCTGAGATACCGGAGAATGCGACGGTGACGGAGAGAAGGGAGATGGAAGAACTGAGATTAAAGATGGAGCAGCGAGTATGGAGAATTAAGGTATTGAGAATCAAGGAGCGGGAGGGCAGCGGTGAGGATGTAGTCGAGCGAGGAGACGATGATATGAATGTAGAGAATGATGTGGGCGGAAAGAGAGTGTTGAGGAAACGCAGGGGCAAGTAGAAAAGTGAACACGGGGATGCTGAGTCAGCAAGAGTGGTCACAAGGGTGTCACGCATCGTACCGGTACGTATGTTATGTGCGTGGTTGACTCAGTAGCGACTACTATTTGCGCTACCTGCCTCCAACTACCACTATAGTGGACTACGGGACGCCAAAGACGAGCCAGAAAATGGTAATGGAAGACCCTCGTCACCTCTACATGAACGAATTGCAATGCCACGTTTCTTTACCGAGAATTTTGTTTTCCTTCAATCCCACAGATACACTATCATGTTGACCTTTTGACCTGCATACATCTTCAAAGTAGCTTGGATTGTTCCTATACCAATAAGAGCCATCATGTATCTGTAAGAGTAACCACTGTATGTCTCAGGACCATGTAAAACGCAGGCCCAAGCTACATGGCTCTACAACTTCGCTGCCTCCCTCTTCAAGATGGATCAACCCACTTCTTCCACCCCTCTCGTACTGCACTATTTTGCCACGCCTTCTTGTTGATGGGTAACTGCTCAATCCAGCGCATAATGTTCTCGTACACGTTGCCATCGTATATGGCCGGAGCGCCGCAGAGACTCGCATCCGAGAAGTCCTATGCGACCGTCAAGGCAATTGCCTCGGGCAGTAACTGATCGAGCAGACCGTAGACAAGTGAGCGGATGAGATCGAGTTGCATTGATGTGAGTTATGGAGAATGCGCATCAGCTGTCTCGACCACGGATAGGGCGTCGACTGTGCGTGAATTGATAATTGTGAAAGGAGCGAAAAGAAAACGTATTCGGTTCAGCACGGTGCGTAGACTGGATAACGCAGTATCACGGAGGGCTGAGATGGTGTCAATTAAGGACTTGAGAATGAAGTATTCGATGTGAGCTTGTGAGGTGGAGATGAGCAGCATCATATGCTCATTCCAGGCGTCCCCTGGCAATCTAGTGGAAGCTCGGATTGCCGAATGCGCTTTGACGAGTTGACGGTGTACGCGGTCGAGATAGATGGCGAATTGTACTTGTGGGTCGAGAAACTGCATTGCGAATGCGCTACATGGGATATTCGGGTCCTCAACATTGGTCAAGTACTGTAGTTGTGGCTCGATCGGCTCACCATCTTGTAAGCGATCGAGTTGCTTGAGTACATGTCGCCCGACTTGCTGCCACAGCACGTAGTTTCCACCTTCGAACGTCGCACCATCAGACAGAGCACCGACGATATCCGTAGACCTGAGATAGCCATATAACCGTGACCACCACACAGCTTGCGCGCGTCTTCGGCACCATCGGTAGCCTCGGATGTGACGCATGCCTTCATGCCAGTAGTCAGTGCGTGAACAGAGAGCAAGAGAGTGATCGTTTTCGTTTTGCATCTCTCGCAATTTGATATACTGCTCGTCGCAAACCCGAGAGCCGAAGAACATGGCGTAAGTCTTAGCAATCATGCTAAGAAGACGGAAGTGCTGATGCTTGCACTGGAAGATACTCGCTTTATCCTTCAGCGCATCAGCAGGACCAAGGCCTTGCTGTTGCACGACTGAGTGTCTTGTCGCGATCTTTAATGCCTGCGATAATTCAACAGTGAAAATACCAGGTATCCTGCCGCGAACAAGCATCATGACAGAGTATGAGAGCCTGGCGCGGAGGAGATCTTTGGTGAAAGTACTGTCGCGTGCGAGCTGACTGTGAGTCATCAGCATCTGAGATCGAGGTATGCGAACTTAATCGAAAGAGACAAAGCAACTATCTGCTTTGTTGTAGTTGATCTCTTGTTAGACGAGCGATATCTAATGTCTCATGTGGTAGGGTTACTTACCCAAGCTTCAAGCCAACATCACCCATCTTAATATCAGGCATTGGCATACCATCCTCTCAGGATTGGAGTTGTACCAGGAAGAAATGCGGATCTTGGTCTTCACCGCTGGCCATAACTGCCTTGTGTGGCGTCCAGAAGCCCAGCCCGGCAGGCCAAAACTTTGTTGATGAGATTGTTCGTGAATGAACAACGAACTCATCGGTATCAGGATCAAAACTTGCAGTAGTTTCGATACCTCGCACGAATGATCCATGACCAAGTTCAGCTTGCGCAGACGTACCGAGTATCTTGCCGGACCGAGCAAGTGGAAGCCATTGTGCCTTTTGTTTTTCAGTACCGTTGTATTCAATCGCAGGCTTAAATAGAAAAGCTTTGTGGCCGAAGGGACTATCGGCGGTTAGTTTATTGACCTTTAAAACCTCTCCTGGTCTGACTTGCCTAGCGTTCAATAGATTGTACCGCGGGTTTATCCAGACGAAGTACTCATGGTTGTGCTCGAGCATGTCGTTGAGGTACACCTTTATCATCTCAAGGCCTTGTTCGAGAGGACCCTCGCGTTAGGTTTTTGAGTAGCATCTTGGAAGTTTTGAGTTACCGTGTGTGCCGAGTGCTTTCCCAACCCGCTTGAAGGCGGCTTGTCGCTTCTTGACAATGCGCTTGCTGTTGAGAAGATTTGTGGAGAAATAACAAGAGGTTTGTGCATCGAACATACTTTCCCCAGAGCAGGCATGTCAGGTCAAACGCATCGATGGAGGTGGATGCCCTTGCTTTCTGCATCAGCGGGGTCTGCGTGCTCTTCACTATGCTGACCATCTTCACTTCAGGTAGGATCTGTAATTGGAAAAGCAGATAGACCGAAATCGAAGGATGAACAGCTCAAGGTAATAGCTCCTATAATCATGTATACACAACAGACTTTTCTCCTTCATGATGGTCTAATTGCCACGATCCTACCGCGGATCCTACGCTGCTCGTTTACCAGCAAGCCAGATGCCATCAAGTTTTCTGTTGTTATTTGGTCAATATGAGCCATACCTGTGCTTCCGTGACACGGTTATTCCAAGTAGAAATTGCGATTGGATAGATATCAAGGATGTTCTTTTCGAAATACGCATGCATGGTCCTTACATTCGCCAGAAGCGGGATACAGAGTTCTGTCTTGAGTTTAGCTGACACAGCTTGTTTGGTGTATTGGATTATCCCTTAAATTCTTGGTCGATAGCTTATACCTGTTGGATCCAGCATGGACAAAACTTATCAGACCAAGTGTACTTCTAGTACCAGCCCAAAACACAATTGGATGAGTGAGTAATGCCACCGCCATCACGATAAGTGTGCTTAGGGTCATGGTCAGGTCGGGCAGTGTCACATAGACACGAAGTCGAAGGACGTGGGTCATCGTTGTAAGGGCAGCCCTTGGTGGCGTTGCCACGCAGTAAACGTCCTCAAATTTCAGCATTGTATCGAATCGTCTCTCTTCGGTGCTCAAACTAGGCTGCTAAGTCAAGATTTCCTCAGATATTGATGTGAAACGTGATGCTACTCGACGAGCTTGCTTCTATCGGACGATGGGGCCGAATCTATCGTTATGCAAGCTGGTTAGTACATCTCGATACTAGAAGCTACACGATCGGAACGGGGCATATTGAATCGGTCTTCCGACATGTCATATCACATGCAGATGTGTGCGATTGACGGACATCCTGGTGCTAGAGTCGTGGTGTTCTACAGCAAGATGAGGAATGCGGCCTACGAGCTCCACCAAGCCAGATCCGGTTAGATTATCTATGCAACTTGCCGACTCACTTGTGCGGAAACAACTGCCGCGCATTTCATCCCAAGTCTGGCCCCTAACGCGCTGCAACACCATCAGTCATCGCGTCGCTTTCCGGTTTTGCGTGTTATATACCTCATTCCTGGTTCGATGATATTTTCTCTCGAAACCCTCCGAGGATCGTCGGCGATTCGCGTAAGCCAGAGCTGTTTGGACGTCTCGTATGTGGCCTGCATGTAATCAGTTACTCATTGTCAGCAACAGCTAGTTCAAGCAACAAGTGCTCAGGCTCAATATGTGCCATCGACTGCTAATGAGGAGTCCCCTCAAGCTTTTTGGCATCCTTAACCATCAATCGTGTGTGGGTCGCGCAGTATTCATGATTCTCTCCGGCTTTTGCCCTTTCTCGGATTTCGGACTTAACGATAATTGGTTCTAGGCGCTTTGCACCCTCCAGGGTTTTCTGACAGCTCTCTACTGCCCATCATCATGACGCAGTGGTGTATCGCTGTTTGTCGCTTCTGCGGAGCTTGCGGCATTCTCATTCGTGGATCCGAGTTGATCGCATGCAGGCAGAACGTCGTGCAGGGGTTCTCGGCAGCACGCATCGTGGTAGGGTAGGATAGCTCATGATTAAGGATCAGTCACCCTGAGGTCATGACATGTTGTACAGGTACTGGCGCCCTAACCCACATTGCGGGACTTACTAGCATTCCTAAGATATTGTATTCCAAGCTTCATGCTAGATCGCAATTCCCCAACTCCATACTTCGATCATGGCGCCCGCTGAACCAAACGCAAAGCCTTTTGAGCTCTTGACTACCGAAGAGCCAGATTTTCCAGAAGAGCGAGAAGGATGGAAAGGGTACATCGAGTGGGAGCGATACCCAGAAAAGAAGAAGAAGGCGGCAGAAATCTTAGCGAAATATGACTTCCCCGTACCTCCTGAATTCCAGATGAAGCCGTTGCCCGATACCAATCCGCTTCTCGAAGGCGTGCGATGGAAATACTACCACTATGCCTTGGGCAAAACACTCAAGGATCTTCCGGCCATTTCATGGGAGTATGTCAAGAAAGAGAAAGCCGATGACATGATTCATGTCCTGCAATTTCCTTACAACGGAGAGCCGAACCGGAAGCGCCTGGTCGAAAATGAAATCACAGCCAACCCAGACCACTTCGTTCGAAACCATGGTGGTGTTCCTGAGATCGATCCGGAGAAGTACTTCTTTGAAGTCGAAGGTCTCGTCAACACGCCAAAGAAGATCACGCTGAAGGAGCTTCAGGATGAGAGTATCTTCCCACGCATGGAGACCTGCGTTACGTTACAATGCAGTGGTACTCGGCGTATCGAACAGATCCATGACTACCCTGGAGATGGAGACGAACTCATCAACGCGCCTTGGGGAGAAGGTGCCATCGGAACCGCCCGGTATGTTGGCGTCAGTCTCAAGAAGGTCCTGAAGTACTGTGGTCTGAAGCCAGAGGGCAAGCATGTAGAGTTCTTTGGCGCCGATACCTACTTCAAGAAGGGCCAAGTGTACAACTACGCTGTCTCAGTGCCAACCCGCAAGGTGAAGATCAACGAGGTCATGCTTGCTTGGGAGATGAACGGAGAACCATTACCTGCCATTCATGGTTTCCCGCTTCGCGCCGTCGTGATGGGGTACATCGGTGCGAGGAGCTGCAAATGGCTCACTCGTATCAATGTCATCGACGCTCCCACCATGGCACCCGTGCAGATGAAGGAATATCTTTACTACACCCCGCAGAATGGTAAGCAGAATGTCACATACAGTAACGGCTTCAGTATCCAGACCATGCCTGTTGCCAGCGCCATTATGACGCCTATCGACAAGGACGTTATCGTCCACGATGGCAAGATCCGCATGACTGGTTGGGCCTATAGTGGAAGTGGTTGGCCGGAGAGAGTCGAGGTCAGCAATGATGGAGGTGGCGTTTGGTACGAAGTGCCATACGAGAACCTGAGTAAGAAGTACTACCACGCTTGGCGCACATGGTGGATCGACATTCCAGTCGATGCGGAAGGATGGCTGTAAGTGTGATCCGCTCGAAGCTTCGCTAGATAAAACTAACGATACTTAGTGAATTCTGCGTGCGTTGCTGGGACGATGCTTTGAACACACAACCGACTTTTGTGCGGAGCGCATGGAACTGGGATCTTCACGTGACCTCCTCTTGCCAGTAAGTATTTCCCGTCTGAATGTTTTGACACATTTCCAGTAATACAATACTAACATCTCTGGTAGCCGTGTCAAGCTTTACAGCGTCAACACGACCAAGCCGGCTACGCAGAAACGCCTTAAGCAACTTGAAGAGCACGGCGCTTCACTATTGCCCATTACCAGGCCTCTACCATTCGACCTCCAGTCAGACGAAGACTACCTGGAGGACATGAAGAAGCGCGGAGGTCGTGATCCGGAAGAGTAGACTGGTGTGAAAGAGGTGCGTGTCCAAGGCGGCTAGGCAGGATGGGCTTTGGGTTAGGCTCGGAATGAAGAACTGGACTACAATAGGTAGTATGACTATCACATTATTCAAGTAAGAAATAATAATGCAATGAAGATATACCTCCGTTCTGAAAAGATAGTCATGGTGTGTGGGGCACCAATTGGGTGGGATATGGGATAAACGGCAGCATTTCGCCATATCGTATTAGGCAGTCTATTCGAGCCATGCGGGTCTCGGGATGCATGCAACTAAGTGTGTAGATGAGGCACAGCAGCCCCGAGGACCAAGTCTAGTCGGCGATGGATTGCGGCGCGGGTGAGACATGGCCCCACCACAGGCACGAACATGATTTTGATGCGACTCTTCTGTCTTGTTGGAGTTCATATCAGTGCGAACTGCACTTGTTAGTATAGTGCTGAAATTGTAAAGTAGCTTTATTTGGTTGTTGTAACAAAGTTAGTGACTTCGCAAAGCTGTGACGGTAAATTACATGGCCATTGTTTAATATGCCTCGCCACATCGACGCACATGCCGCATGAGAACTTCGCACCTGCATTGCAGCGCAGTAGACCTGCATGAACCATCGGAGTACACGAGGAAGAGGCAGGAGCGGGTAGGTTGAGTGAGTTCCAGTGGATACTGTGGAGTATATACGGGAGTAGTATCTGCGTATGTTAGCCAGGCGATACCCGCAAGCGCCCCGGGTCAGGAATCTTGCTGCTGGTGCGATTGTCATTGGATATGTTTGGACGATCTATAACATATCGATACTTACACCGGTAGTAGATTAGATCAAGGTGTTTGATGAGGTCTGGAACGAATCGTGGTTGTCTGGATGGTTATAAATATGGTGAAAGCTCTGCAATAGGGTCAATACTATCTCTACCACCTTCGACTTCTGTGCACCAGGACTTCTTATCTTACTATATACGATGCAGCTGTTCACTCATGTCCTTGCTCTTGCTGTGACTGGAGCTCCTTTCTTTGCTCAGGCAGCACCACTTGCAACTCGCTCTACCGAGGATGTGATTGCGGGACGATACATCGTTCAGCTTATGCCAAACGTTGATATCGCATCAATTACTGCTCACCATGAGAAGATCCGCAGTATCAGGCGTCGGGATGGTCTCGACGTCGCCGCGAGTATCGACCAGGAGTACGATCTTGGAAACTTCAAAGGCTACGCTGGGTCATTTGACCCGACCGTTATCGCTGAATTAGAAGCCATGCCTGAAGTTCTCCTTGTTGAAAAGGACTTCAAGATGTATACCACGGCTCTCGTAACACGTATGTATATCATCGACTGACCCATATACTCTGACAGCCAGCCAGAATTCCTCCATCTTGAGAAGACATCGCTAACAACTACCAGAGACCAGCGCACCGTGGGGTCTTGGAAGCATCTCCTCTAGGACTAGAGGAGCTACCAGTTATGTATATGACTCGACTGCTGGTTCGGGCACTTACTCATATGTGCTGGATAGTGGTATACGCACTACTCACGTTGAGTTCGAAGGCCGCGCCTCATGGGGTTATAACGCAGTTAATACTAACAATGCTGACACCTCTGGCCATGGCACTCACGTAGCTGGCGTTATTGGAGCAAAGACCTACGGCGTTGCCAAGAAGACAAATCTCATCGCTGTCAAAGTCATAAGCGAAGATGGGACCGCAGCGGCCTCCGATGTACTGAGCGGTCTGAACTGGGCACTGAATGACATCGTTACCAAAGATCGACGGGCATCAGCTGTAATCAACTTGTCGCTCGGTGGTCCGGCATCTTCAGCCATGGACAACGCCATTACATCACTATCAAACCAAGGCGTGTTGGCCGTCGTCGCTGCCGGCAACGAAAATCAGTTGGCCGCAAACGTTTCGCCAGCTCGTGCTCCCGCGGCTTTTTGCGTTGGAAGCGTTCAGTCAAATGATGCTCGTTCATCATTTTCGAATTACGGGTCTGCCGTAGACATTTGGGCTCCTGGTAGTGACATTCTGTCTACCTGGCACACCTCCGATACAGCCACGTCAACACAGAGTGGTACTTCGGCGTCTGCACCATTTGTGGCTGGACTAGTGTCTTATATTCGTGGTCTTGAAGGATTGTCTATTGGTCCGGCAGCCAGGGCGAGAGTTCTGGCATTGGCTACACCAGGTCGCCTTACGGACGTAACAGGCGCACCTAACCTACTGGCATACAACGGAAATGGACGCTAGATGTCTAACATGAGAACCAGGTGCACAAGCACTGAGTCGGTGTGTTAAGGCAGTCGCGGTGTGTTCGCGGTTTATAGCGACGTAGGTCTACTTCGGATGTGGCCAGCGTCTATATGACCTCATTCATGAATACCTGTAGTACTCGCAAGGTGTTGTCTGACGATCGTAGCAAATTCTATCTTGATCAAATGTTGCATGCGCCCCAGGATAAGCATTCTCTGCCCATACACGTACAATACTTATCAATGGTGTCAGTTTAGTTAATAAGGCTGATGTGATTAGGAAAAGTAGCCAGCTGCGAAGACGTCGGGTGTTCAACGGCCGCGAAGATTGTTGTGGCAGGAGTGCTCCCAAGCCACGAAAGTAGTGGGATCCGAGCAAGCTAAGACTTATTAGGTCAGCCTTGGCAGTCAAGTGGGGACCGTTGGGGGTTCGCGTTTTCGATGACATGCACCAACCTTGGGTTCTCTCCAACCCACCAACGCGAGTTCGAATGCCATGCTTTCGTTCCACGTTCCTAGTTTATGCCGACGCATTCTGGACCTCGTTTCTCGTTCCTGGGTACGCTGAGGCTGTTCTGTGTCTAGCATGAACTTTCCTGGATAATCATCAATCGCTTCCTTGGGTGGCATGTCTCGACGGATTAACTTCTAGCAGCACACACCTGCGATTCTACGGACCTTTGGATGCCAAACAAGATGACCTCACGACTGGAAACAACGCAGTATCTAACAGTTGTTTTGAAACCACCGTTGTGGGAAAGCTCAAGGCTGCATCAGTGCCTTGACGTACACAGATGAGAGCAGTAATGAGAATTCAGGCAAGGTGATACAGTGAACCATTGAAACCTGCTCAATATACCTGATACGGTAGCTACATATGGTCTGCAGCGCGCCTGCTTATACAGCTCTCTTCGAGGCTTCCTTGCTGGAGTCTCAACAGCAGTTACGACCTAAACGTTGGCTTGGTAGTAGTGACACAATGTGTCCAAGGCCGTGTTCACCATGAGCATCTTGCCATCGTTTCCATCGCTACCGCACTTTACAATCATACGTTATGGCCATGATCATTGACGCGATCGCAAGGCATGGAGCACGAGGAGCCATCCGGTCTATGCTCTCGCTACAGAACGCGACTGACGAAGACGCCGAAAACTCTACCCTACGATACGCATGCGCACGCAAGAGATACGAAAGTGGAAGAAAGGGACCGATGTGTGTTTATCGGATCAGCGACGAACGTAGAAACTGCGACGGGCACAGAGTCAGGCTATACACTAATGTGGAAGGTGCCAATCTCGACGAAGACGAGCCACAAAGTTTCACGGGCATCGAGTACAGTAGGAACTACAACATGGGCCGCAGTATGAGGCAGAAGAAGGGCCGAACCCCGCCAACGCCATACAAAGTGATAAAAAGCAAAGTGGAGTTCGAGAGGCTAGATGTCGAACCTTACCCACTAACCGATGAAGGTTCTGACAGGCGTTCTAAGAGCGATAACACGGCGCCGTCCCAAGCTAAGCGCTTAAGCTTAAGCTCAAGCCCGAACAAAGAGTTCGGCGTGCGTGAACCTGTCAGCAGTCGAAAGCATCTACGTCGCAGGTCGCATAGTGATTCGCACAGAGGAGTGAGCGTTGTGAAGTGCCGTCGATCTCCAAGCCGGGCTTTGAAACGACGAAAGGCTGGTCGATTCAGTGACCGAACGTCGCGAGCAAGACCCATACAAGAAGCTGGAAACGTATTGCTCGGGCGCACTTCCAATTCCGCAACATCAACGAGGTCAGCTGAGCCTGGATTCAGCACTAACAGATCCTTCGAGACAACTTCGGGAAACTGCTGTCGATAGTACCATCGAACTCGTCGATGATACATCGGGGGTAGTCAAAAATGATCAAGTCAATGGAGAGCGGGATGGATCTGTCGTTTCAGAGGCGCCTGGGAGCCCGTTTGTGCAACCAGGGTTGACGCTACAAGAGTCATCCGATCTGGTCTTCGGCACAGGCTCTAAAATTAACATGTGGAGGAAGCTACGAGTGGGTCGCATGGACGATCGCATTGTGCCAGACGTGCATGAGTTCGCATCCCAGCTTGTACGCGATGATCCGCTAGGCGAGACCGAGCAAAAGACAGAAGCATGTAGCGCTTCTCGTAAGCCATATGCATTAGGTCTCGAACATGTTCCATCCGGTGTCAGCGAAACGGAGGACCCTTTGGAATCACGAGCACAGGTTCTCGTAAGCCCTTCACGCACGGTGACGTCGACTTGGATATCGAAGATGAACTCACTCGGAAGCGCGTCGGCTCTACACCATAGTAGTCGAAATCGTCCGCCAATTCTCGATTCTTCGGTTAGTGCACTGCATGACACGACACGACCCAAAGTGACACAATTCCCCCTAAAACAGCCCTTGCGACAGGCCCCTTCCGGTATGTCTGGATTAGTCTATGCTCAGGCTAGTGTACCATCTATCGCTTCTTATCAACGGCCATTCCTCGTACCCCTCCCTATACGCCAGAAAAGGACTAATTGAGCCAAGAGTAAAGCAAGGGCCTGACATGATGTGTGTACCAGCTCAGCAAGCGGCATACATGCTGAAATGGGAACCTTGCATGGAAAACAGAAATGGGGGTATTATTCAAACGCCTTGTACCGATGGCAACATGATAGCCAATCCAATTTATTCCAGGTCCTCGATCCAGCCCGTTATATCCGTTGTTCGTCATGGTGTCGCCTCACTCTCTCCGTCTAATCGTCCGTCTAATCGATGACTTCCGCTATGCTGACTGATGTCGTCGTCCAGATCCTGATATTCCTACGTAGCATCAGCTCAGCTTCAGCGTCGACAGCGTTCATGACTCCTGTGCGACCGGGGTTACAATGATCTTTGCCCCCATGACGGCAGGAGAGTCCGCGTCCTCGATGTCAGGATATATGTTATTTACCAGAAATTGTCCTACTTGCCACTTCTACAGTCTTGTTAGTTCTTCGATTCTTACGCCCTGGAATTCCGCAACATACCAGATGTCCGCCCTCAACGTAGTATCTCCACCTTTCTGAGGACCCTAGGTATATTAAGATCTCCCATGGCAGTTCCTCGCTGCCAAACTCCCAGAACGTCATGTATTGGTGCACTGATGCTTTATCCACTTGTTCGTGCTTCTGGTCTTGGATCTTGGATGCGTGCTCGAGCTTGAAGATGCGTGCGCGAAGTAGTTCAGGACTCTCGACCATGCCGGGGGCAAACTCATCTCTAAACCACTGGACGAATTCGTCGTGAACTTCTGGGGCGGGCTGCCATAGAACTACGATCCACATTTGGATATCGCGGGGATCTGGTACAGGGTGTAAGCTTCCATGGTGTACCCTTGTGTCCCGAGGGAAACATACCGCCACGCCATTCTTCTCCATACCAGTTGGCATACTCTTTGTAAAACCGCGTCTCTATCCGCGCCTCTTTTGGAAGTTTGTCCAATGCTGGGGATATCTGCGTATCCAACTCTGGCGCACTTGGTTGTTTGGGTAGCTCGTAGATGGTCATGAGTCTGCCATCGATCCCAGCGATCTCTTTGAACGCATTGTCTTCCACTTGCTCTGCATGTCGGGCTGTGGATTTGATCTTTGCGAGAGCAGCGGGTATATGCGTACCCTCGTACCACTGATTGGCGTCTGCAGCGTCCTCGCCTAACTCCGCCCAGGCGCAAGCAATCCTTGACATGTTTTCCGTTTGCGATCTTTTGTTATTTCGGTTCCGCGAACGTGGCCAAAAGGGATGAATCCAGAAAGGTAAACAAGACCAAATGAACAGGGTAGGAAGTAGGGTAGCACAGCGGTCAACATAAGGAGTATGTGCGAACAGGAGCACACCTGGACTGTGCCACGAAAGTTTTGTCTTAGGTCCCTGAACCTTGTGCTCGTCAGCAAGGATGCTACTTCGTAGGGGCAAGTTCATACTGTGTTTGCTGTAGGTGTTTCCACAAGCAGTAAGGTGTTAGCGGCCCGTCTAGGCCTGACTTCGGACCACGAGGGTAGCTCCGCAGTAATACCGGGGAAGTTCGCATTGCCGAAAGTTAATTTAACAACTACTGGAGCATGGTCCGATACGGTGTAGTTCGCAAGCAGATCTCAATTATTTCGATGAAGGTTGGGGCCGTGAGATCATGATGCGCTGACATCGGTTGGAGTCGAAAGGTAGCTCGAGTCATAGGTTTGACCGGAAAGCCGGGACCCGGACATGGGTCCATACGCAGGTAGACCGAATGGGCGATTGCATGCCTGGAAAAAGCAGTTGAGCTGGCAGGAACCAGGTAACATGGCCAGCTGATTAGCACGCATTGGTTCACAAATGCCAGAGTAAGTCTTCGATTAGACATGTAAAGGATCGCTTAGACAAAGGAATCCCAACCAGAAAGCCATACAAGACATGATCGCCAACGTCCAAAAAGCCACCAAAGTTCCTCGCGTATAATACCCACGTAGCGCGCCACATCGTGAAATTAGCAGGAATCGTAAAAGGTGAGATCGTAAACGTTATCCTCCCATTAATAGCACTATCCAAGAGTTCTAGATGACTAATCTCTTTAGCATATCCCTTTCATCATCTCCATCACAACAGAATACCATCTCCGATGTCAATGTGCATCTTCTTCTCATGCACATCTCTCTTATCTCTCCTCGGAAAGTCACGAATAGCACGTTCGCAGCCTAGGGCGCGACATTTGAACCGGCGGTCCTCCAGATGATATTCTCGGTGATGGCGCCGAAGGTCCGGCATGCGTAAGTATTTCTTGTTGCAACCGCCGTGTGTGCAGACGTAGACCCTTTTGGTCTCGACGCGGAAGGGAATATTGGCGATTATGTCGGTATCTGCCGAGTAAGAATGCTGCACTGCATGATCGGGAAGATCCGGAAGTTGTCCTCCAAGCACTGGTCCTGGAGGAACGGTATCTGCTGTCGAATAAAACTCCTGTGGCATGTCTAGTGAGCACTGCCCGTGCTCAAAAGCTCTCCGAAAGCAACTCGTCTATCTACGATACCTATATCCTGAATCTGGCTACTCATGAGGTGATTATCATCCTGTGACATACCTTCCATTTCCGGAGGGTCAATGGGCTGGAGGGCTTGCTGAACATTTGCATTACCAGGCATCAACGTACTGTCTGTATGTGGGTGTACGAAGTCAGTATATGTCTTACATGCAATTCGTACAGGGACACTTACTGTCATCAGAATATACATCGCCATCTATTACGGCGGTGCCTGGCCATACTACAGACTCTGCAAGGAGGTCTTCGTCGTGAGCAGCAGTGTGATGCCACGGGATACATGACCTTTATAACCTAATGGGGGCATAATCGTGACTTGTGCTTCTAAGCAATGAATACATGCTAGGCGCAACACAGGTTCGATCACGAATGAGACTGGATGTAAATCTACGAAGTCAGTGTATGTCTCACATGCAGTTCGTGCAGGAACACTTACAGAAAACAGCACTTAGCTTGGGAAACATAAGAAATTCAAACCTGGCTTCGGCTTTACAGCTGCTTATATCAGTACATATTACAACGTTGAAGATCTCACATGGGGGAGCCCTTGAGGCAGGAAACATATGAAAGACGAAGGAAAGTTACAAAAGATATCAGAACAGGAAAGAGTCGTAGAGACATGCCCCCATCCATTTGCGTTGGTCCGTAGTTCATCAAAAACGGCATTCAAAATAACCTACGACGTAGAACTTTGATCATTCCCGAACGCGTTTGGGGGCAGAAGTGACGAAGCCGCAGCTGCGGTTCCTTCGGTCATCGTGTCATGATCGACTGTCCAGTCTTGTCCCTCCCAGGATGCCAGAAAACAGTGGTCGATATTCGCATGTTCGGAATGGAAGTCGAGATGCGATGAACCGTTGACGAAAGTGGCAGCATATAAGCTGGGCGGTTGAGTGTCTCGACTGACTAGATATTCGTCAAAGTATGAGTTCGATGCCATACTGGAGTACGGTTGAGTCTTGGTCTTGAGAGGAAGAAAATTGCAGAGGTGTGGATCCGAGAATGTAGGATTGTGGATAGAAACTGAATATATACTATCTGAGCTGAGGCTACATTTGGCTGCGTTGCCCTTCCATGCACGCGCCCCTCCGGCTGAGGGGCGTTTGCCACGTAGCCCTTGGTGCGTCCTGTTTATGCGGTCATCCTGTCACTCGACGATTGTTTTGCAATGTTCATCGACGCTCTTGAATAATAAGACTGATTTTAACAACTATCCATGGATGTCTTATGCGCTACGGCGCTGTCATGGTGCGGTTGACTGAGCGGTAGTTAATCGAAAGAGTTTCACGATGAGTTGGATATTTCGATCAGGCCGCTAGTATCTCAGCGTAGGCCGTGACCCTCGATTATGAGAAACGGCGACAACGGAGAGGGAACGCATGTTACTAGTGGTGTTGGCGTTGGCTGGCGCGGAAGAGACGCCGCGCCGCAATGGCGGGAAAGTAGGGTCGACGGAGGGAAAGTTGTCCAACTCGCTAGCGGCCAACCAGGGCAGCTTCACCTGCTCTTCAACATCTGTCGATTCTTGTCAACCCTCATTGATAACTCCCTTCGACTCCAAATGCATACACCTGTGTGAAATATCGAGCTCTCTAGCTGGTTTTGAGACCATTCCATTAGCCCTCGCTCATTCGCGGCGCGTCACTAGAGCCTACAACAGGATGCCGGAGACGCGGCACAACTCTACGTGCCACCTGATTGGCAGCATCCAGGGTCTACGTATCCATATATACACTGGCTCTTGGCTGTCTTATATAAGTGTAAAGATCTATCGTTCCTTTGGATAGCGGTCTATGAGTAACAGATCATCCATTCTCTCGACTGGCCAGATCGTAGTCCCGCTACAGACAGGACGACCATGCGTTGGTAAACTCAGTCAACTTTAACATTGGCCACCTGCATGACTTCCCAGGTTCTTTGTCAGTAAGGGAACATTGCTCCGAAGATCGTGGTCAACTACCAATCATTATACCACCGTACCTGTGTGGGATGAAAGATGGATCCCACCATTACCCCATCGAACATAGCCTTTCTTAATATCTAGGCCTAATCCATGCTGTTGGGATGAGAAACCCTAGCGAAGCACATTTCCTTTGTTCCGTTGTGTTGGAGTCGGGAAACACCAAGGGCGGCCCTTCAATTACCACTATAGGCAAGTTGGTTAGGCGTGCAACCTACGAACCTTCACTTGCAATCCGTCGTCAGTTGGAAGGTGATATAAAACCAGAACTTTACGAAATAATTTCCACAACTGTGTCTGCTACCCACTCGAATCACTTCTCGAGATGCTACGCAACGTTATCTGTGCAGTGAGCAGCATAACGACTTGCTTAGTTGCCGCACGGCCTTCCTACAATTCATCCAGTGAGGCTCTTGAGTTGTTTGAGTCTTCACTAAGTGAGCTCGCGGAAGTCTACTATCCAGGCTCGGAGGAATTCGCCAATGCCACTATACGATGGGGCGCCGGGCAGACTCCGCACTACGAGTAAGTGTCCCTGTACGAGCTGCATGTGAGACATGCGCTAACTTCGTACGCCCACATTTAGTATGATCGTAAAGGTTGCGACAGAGGAAGATGTGCAAGAAGCTGTTAGTAAACGTCTACTCAGATACACTGTTGACCTAGCTAACCAGAAGCCAGATCCTATACGCCAATGCCAACAACAAGCCTTTCCACGCAATCTCAGGCGCCCATGCGACGACGACTTACCTTGACAATATCACGAACGCAGTTGGTATCTTCATGAGGGGCATGAGCGATATCTTCATCGTCGATGATGGCGACACAGCTCTACTCCAAGGCGGCATTCTCAATGGCGATGTCACTGACTTCTTATGGGCCCACGACAAGCAAACCATGACAACAGCCTGTGCTTGTGTCGGGTACATCTCCCCTATCCTCGGTGGCGGCCACGGCTGGAACCAAGGTCGTTATGGCCTGGCATCCGATCAACTCGTTTCTGCACGCGTGGTTCTCGCTAACGGCACTGCCATCACTGTGAACGAGAGCAGTACCGATCTGTTCTGGGCGATACGCGGCGCTGGCCACAACTTTGGCATCGTTACTCAGGCCGAGATCAAAATCTATGACAAGAAGCCAGATGTGGATCAGTGGGCCGTCATTGGCTACTTCTACACGCATGATAAGATGGAGGATGTTGTAGCAGTTGCGAACACCTGGATAACGAGTGCTAACAGACCAGTAAGCTTGGAACACTATATTGTGTTCTCCTTCGACCCCAAGGTGGACCCCATAAATGTGAGTCTACATCCCCTGCTCTACTCATCCCTCACAATCACTAACCCGACCAGCCTATCGTGATAATTTGGGTAATCTACCAAGGCGCTGCCACCATCCCAACCCAATACACCGATCCCCTCGTCGCCCTCTCACCCATGGCCACCGACTCGGGCGTAACCGACCTTGCCGGCGTAAGCAAATACACAGGTGCCGACCGCAACGGCCCCTCTTGCACAAAAGGCTACACGCGCTCCCTAGTCCCCGTATCAGCCGACACATACGACAAAACTTCCCTCCGCAAAGTCATCAACATCATGAAGACCTTTCCCTCGGAGTTCCGCAGCTCTGCCGTCCTGCTCGAAAGTTACTCTACCAATCGCGTCGGCCAGATACCTAGCGATAGCACCGCCTACCCCGACCGAGATGGCCAACTACTGTTCTCACCATTTATGACATATGAGAAGAATGTTAGTCTGGATGCGGCAGCATGGGATTTCGCGGGTCAGATACGTGATATGTTGATTGAAGGGACGGGAAAGGCTTATGAGGCTTATATTAACTATGCGAGGGGTGATGAGACGACAGAGGAATTGTATGGGTATGAAGAGTGGAGGTTGGAGAAGTTGAGGGGGTTGAAGAAGGAGTACGATCCCTTTGGCAAGTTCAACTTCTTTGCTCCGATCCTGTGAGCGATTCTGTTGAAGACAGAAAGAAGAGGCCTATGGTGGACAACAGGTGGTACATGTCACGGCTTCCAATCGCTAATGTCTGCGTTAGTTACCGAAGGGGATAGGTTGCTTCAGCAAGATGTTACACGTAGACAGTTAATCGCGCATACCCAACCCGTGGTCTGCGCTTATTCAGGTGCTTACTGAGAACCCGATCCGCCCCACATCCGCGCACTACAGCCCGTCCAGCCCAATCACTTGCTATGCTTCCGCATGATTCCGCATCCACCTATTGCTTAACGGTCAGATTGTGATATGCGCTAGAACCGATAGTGACTGACTCAGATGGCTCGTGGTGGCTGATGCATCCGGAACGCGGGAGGCGCGCGGCTTCCTTGCGAGTAGATATAGATATATTTGTAGTCATGCACTCTGAAAATATACCGTTCTTTCCACTTGACTCATAGGGTTGCTAAAATGTTCAGTCGCCCGCTTGGATTTACACAATCGGTCGAAGACGACCAGATTTCACTTGTCGACCTTTCATTCACATCCAAGAAGTATGCGGAGGAACAAAACCCGTTCGACACCCTCACCAAAGCAAGCGCAACTAGTGAAGAGGCTCCGTCTGAAGGAGCGACATCTCCATCTAGTATGTGGTCGGGATCAAGCCGTCAAAGCAGCAGCCCGTCCTCGACATCAAAGACACAGCACTCAAACGCCAACGTACCGGCTCGCCGCCCACTGATATCAGCGCATACATTCCCGAAGTATGAACATGAGGAGCGTTTGATAGGTCAGGAGTCGCAAGAAACAAAGGGGACAATATTTCAGCTTTGGCCGATGGAAGTTCCAGCACAGACGTTCAGGCTGGAGGCGCCCTTTATATACGCCACCAGGACGCGCAATATCCCACGATACCAGCTGCAGCAAGAGTTGGATCTAAACAGATCTGTATCCAAGTTGGATATTCGTGCAGTCCTTCCACGAGAGACTCGATCCCTTTCAATGCCAGCTATCCACGCACCGCGCGATCGGCAAATACGTTACAACGAGGAGCAAACGGTTTACAGTATAGATCTCTTTGAAATGCGCGGTCAAAAAGCCGGGGCACTTCCTGGTAGCATCCAGATGACTTCTGGAAAGTCACTATGGGGCGGTCAGTGGACGCGTTTCTGGCATGTTACTAGATGTAAGGCTCAACACCACAATTGCGATTACAGAGGAGAGTGTGAGCCGGAGAAACATCTTCTATATGGTGTTAAGAAAGGTGTGTGGGAGGACGCTGGGGGCATGGTTGTTGCGCGGGAAGAGAGGGAGGAAATGGGTGCGTGGAATGCGAATCAATCGTTTGTAGGAAAAGGAGCTGGCATAGATAGAATGGGATATGTTTTGGAGATGACGGATGAAACTGAGAGAGACGGGAAAAAACGCGATTTGGTGATTGCGTGTTGGGTGATGGGGCTGTGGATGGCGGAGAAACTCCGGTGGGAGGGAAATTGAGAGCTGTACCTAGGTAGTGAGAAGCTGAAAACAGCACAAGATTTGTAGGCTCGGATAGAACAACACTTCTTAACCTCCGTAGATTATCTGGGTTGTTCGGTGGAATCTCATAATCGTATCGCGACCCTGAAGTGATCTGATAAAGGCATACCCAATAACTAGTTATCCGTGTTGTGTGGGTAGATATGGAGGGCTACACGATCCCCGACCACGTGTTTGAGCACCTGTCAAATGCCCCTGCATGTCACAATGCACACAACTTGAAATCTCCTTCTCTTGTTTCTTTCAAAAGCAACCACCTGCGACAGCACCGAAGGTCTAAAATGGAGTTGCGCCGGTCAAGCGTCCGGGTAGCGCAGATTGCGGCGCGCCTGCTAGACCGAGCGCCACAGCCAAGGGGCGAAAGAGCCACCGCCTCATCTATCCATCGTTCCTGGGATCATCGCTCAGAGGGGCATTTGCGACTTGGACAATTCCGACCACCATGACCCGATTATTTTTATCTTGATGCTATTGTCTATTTCGATGCCCTGACCAAATCTCGACCAATCTCCAAGTTGCCAGTTTGGCAGTCAAAGCCCCGTCGCCGCGATGCCGCTCATCACCCCCTCACGCCTCGCCATCATCGTCGTCTCCTTTTCGCTCATAACTTTCTTCTGGACTTTTGGCCTACCACACCAGACTCCCCAGCCGTCCATACCCGCTATCGATCACTATGACCACAAGAATGTGCATACCGACCCGATAATACCGCCACCAGTCATCGAGACACCGCACGCGACAACACCAACGCCGATAGCACATGGAGATCGACCCACCGAGTCAGATGATCATAGATGGGACGACAAGGGAGCACAAGGTGGAAAGGGACAAGCGAAACCACCTGCGCCTACCGAGACGGGCATTGCGGATTACGAGAAGGATGACGGAAGATGGGAGGACAAGGAAAAGTTGAAGGGCGGTGATAAGTCTGCGGACAAGGCCAACGCAAGCGCAATTGGGGCGCCTACAACACTAGCCACCGAGACCAAGCCGGACGTTGCGACTACGAAGGCCGCCGAAGCCGCTGTCGAAACGCAAGTAGTCGAGAAGTTCTGCAGCGACGCCGACGGAGCGAAAGACATCATGGTCGTACTCAAGACGTCCAAGGCAGAAATCGACAAGCTCAACGGCCATCTCAGCAACCTTCTCTCCTGCGTCCCCACCTTCGTCATTTTCAGCGACCATGCTGGCGAGTTCCAAGGGCACAAAGTACATGATGCGCTCGACTCTATCAGCCATGAGATCAAATTCAAGAACAAAGAATTCCAGGAATATCAGCTTATGCATGCTGACGCGGAGCATAAGCCGGATGCAAAGAAGACGGAGGACCTGGATAAGTGGAAGTTCTTACCTATGGTGTACAAAGCATACCACATGAACCCCAGCGCCAAGTTCTTCGTCTTCCTCGAAGCTGACACGAGCTTGAGCTGGACGAACGTGTTGCAATGGTTTAATAGGCTGGATTACCGGATACCTTATTACAGCGGAGCTCCTTACTTCATTGCGGGCACACAAGTAGCGCAACGCGGAGCAGGCATCATGTTGTCTCAGGGCGCTCTACGACGATACTCCAAATCTTACGACGAGCTTTACCAGACCAAGTGGGAAAAGAACACCGCCACAGAATGCTGCGGTGACCTGATGCTGGCGAAAGCTCTTGGAGACGCACACGTGGAATTCTACGCTGCTTGGCCACTCCTTCAGAGCGAGCAGCCAAGTACACTTGACTACACCAGGAAGCACTGGTGTGCTCCTGCGGTGTCATGGCATCACATTGCTGGCGACCAGCTTACTAGGCAATGGGATATCGAGAAGAAGTGGACCAGCGCGAACGGCTGGAAGAAGCCATACCTGTACCGCGACGCCTACCACGACTCGGTGGAACCACACATCGAAGCGCAAAAAGTGGGCTGGGACAACTTGAGCCAGGACACGAAGATTGTTGCGCCAGAGGGACAGCAGGAACAGATGAAAGATGATGCCGAGAAGAAGAAAAAGGAGGGAGAAGAGCACGATTTAGGCGAACCAGAGGAAAAGCCCAAGGAACAAGTCAAACCTCAAGAAGAGGCAAAGAAACAACCAGGAGAAAAGCCCAAGCAAGACGGCAAAACTCAGCAAGAAGAGAAGAAGGAACCCGAGAAGATCAAGGTCGACAACACACCACCACCCGACTCTCGAATCTACCAAGAATCCGGTCCCAGTCCCACATCCAGCAAGTCCAAACGTGCAGACAAGAAAGGCGGCGACAAGAAAGAGGACAAGAAACCTGAACCACCCAATTGGGACAAGCTCGCGGAAAAACACCCAGACGCAGCGGATAGCTCTGAGCGCTGCCAGGCAGTCTGCCAACAAGTCGAGGACTGTCTACAATGGCGGTACACGTCGAATGGGGACGGTGAGTGTCATCTAAGTAAGGTGGTTAGGTTAGGTGGCAAAGTTGGGGACGATAAGTGGACGAGTGGATGGTTGGTTGACAGGATTAACGGGGTTACCAAGGAATGGGCGTGTAAGGAGGTCAAGTGGAGGTTTTATCAGTAAGAGGAGGAGTGCGGGTTGAGATGGGTAGATGCGGGTAAAAGGATGGTATTTTGGTGTCTATGTGTTCGTGTTATGGGGTTGAGATGAGAGCTTTTTGTATAGTTTTGAGCTGACAAGAAGGCTGTAAGCGGTGGAAATGGTTGTATATACCCTTTTTGTTGTAATGTATATGTTTATCGCATAAGACATGGAACGTAGATGTGTTGGCTCCGTTTCATCGTACCTTCTTAGAGTGCTCATCGTACTTCTCGTCAAAGCAGAGGTTGTAAATCAGTCGAGAAGAGATGATTGCGTACGTAGGAAGTTGGTTCGATCTTCTAGAACTACGGCTCCCTTCTCTCGCTATCGTATCAGTTCGTTCACTACATATCACTCGCAACGTATACTAGTCCTTTCTTCCTTTCTTACTCTTTGCTTACCTGAACCTAGCCTGATCAAAACTCGTGAAGCGATGTGGCTAGCTCGTCTCTTCAGTCGCTCGCTCACGTGAGGCTTCCAACGACGGTCCCTTCCTCCCAAAGGCTCAATACTCGTTGCTGTGGCACATTGTTGCGGGCAATTAAGACATATATGGCCAGCGTAGAAAAGAAGAAAGGAAAAAATGAGGTTTTGAACAAGAGCATGCAGGTGTAGGTGGAGTGCTAGACTTGAGTCCAGATTGCGTCACATCATCAAACTTTAGCAATGTTAGCACGGTTTCCATCTAGTCATAACTTCGTATGTATGTTCATGGCACGTCTAATCCAGTCCATGCACCCCACTTTTAGGACACTCCCACGCTTGACCTTGAACGGCAGGCGCAATACGCCTTCTTGGCTGCTTTCTATTTGCCGAGATTCTGTACTATACTTACTTCATATATATACGCCTTCCATTATTTTCAATCTTATAAAGAGGCAGGCATCAATAACCATCGACAGCATCTTGAATACTCACCTTCCGCGTAGCATGGAGTCCGATGCCATCTCCCAACTCAAAGCGCTACTAAACGCTGCCCCGGATCTTCGCTCACAACTCAGTAATGCCGAGCGCCTCCAACTAAGCGGATTGGCTGAAGCACTCAGAAATGAGTTGGAAAGACCAGATGAAGCCATTTTCAGGGTAACGTTCAACGAGGTATGTCTTACGTGTCATGCCACTCTTTCCAAGTTCGCAGGGTTGTACTGCACCTGATTCGCGGATATGGCCATTAGCGCTAAGGACGAGTGCGATTAGCCCGGACATTATCTTGCTATTCGGTTAGCCATACAATGGGGAGTTTTTGAAGCCCTAGGCGATGTTGGTGACAAGGGGAAGACGAGCGTTCAGCTTGCTGAGGGTGCTGGGGCGGATGTGCGGTTAGTTGGTACGTACGCCTTTATCGCGAACGTGATGAGAAGACCTCGAAATCAACATCAACGAGAGTTTGAAGGTGGCAGCTACAGTGATACTATGGGCTGATACTAATCGTTCATTTGCAGCTCGCTTCCTACGTCACCTAGCTGCGAATGGCACAATCCGCGAAGTCGATCTCGATACCTACGCAAGCACTCGACTTTCGGCTTCTTTGAGGCAAAAGTCGTTCAAAGATGCTATTCAATTCATGTAAGTCCCTTCAGTCCATTCAAGTAGGTGAGCTCAATGGACACAAGTCCCTCTACTGATACCGTACCCTACCCGGAACAGGTACGACGACTTCTACAACGTAGGCTGGAAAGTCCCCTCATTCCTCGACTCCATCTCCCACCGCAATCCTACTGATATCAACAACGGTCCATTTCAACATGCACATGGCTTCTCTAATAAATCCCTGTACACTTACTTTGACGAAGATGCAGCCATGGGAGCTCGTTTCGGCGGTATGATTCAGATGTACAACGCTGGCAAACCCTTCTTTTGGGAGGAAGGCTACTATCCACTCAAAGAGCGGTTGGTACTTAGAGGGCCTAATTCGGATGAGGATGTCTTGCTTGTAGACATCGGAGGTGGGGATGCTGGAGATCTGGGTCTGTTGAGGAAAGCGCTCGGGAAGGAAGTAAAGGGTCGGCTTGTTTTGCAGGAGTTGAAGCATATCGTCGATAGGTGTAAGGAGGATGGATTTGAAGCGCAGGTGGGAGATTGGAACGAGGTTCAACCGATCAAAGGTACGTTTCTGAATGCATACCACCACACCATGGATACTAACCGACTGTGTTTCACAGGAGCAAGAGCATACATGCTTCAGCACATCCTCCACGACTTCAGCAGCGACGATGAATGCCGTCATATCCTCCGCAATATTGTTCCTGCTATGAAGCCTGGTTACTCCAAGCTACTCATTAAAGAGCTTCTCGTACCAGATCGCAACGCGCCATGGGCATTCACGGCAATGGACGTCAATGTCATGCAATCACTCTCCGGTCAAGAGCGTACCGAATCGCAATTCCGTGAGCTAATTGAGTCAGTTGGACTGAAAATTGAGGGCATATGGGGTCACGAGAATGCGTTGGACGTGGTCATCGAAGCCTATCTGTCCTAGAAGCAGAAACTTACCCTATTTACTGGATCTCCGAATCATGATGAGATGGCTCCTCAGACGGTACAACATACTTCTCCCATTTTTCCTCCGTATTTGCCTCCTTCCAAGTCTCCCACCACTACATTCTCGTCTACCTCCCAATCGCCTCTTTCTACCATACCCAGCTAGCTTTCCAGAACAGCCGCAAGACTTTGCGCCCGGAAACCTTCAAGATACCGTCGCCCAAGTGAATACAATTCCGTAAACTTATCATCCGAGAACTTCAGCCCATCACTCCTCCTCGCACATCCCTTCCTGCCGATAGCGAACGGCAAGATAAGCGAAATCTGATCTTCCAAGCTGCCGTGATCGGTGGGTAAGAGATACAAACCAGAAGGGTATATCTTGATATCATAATACCCAAAGAAATTCAGTGGCCGAGCGTCACGGTTTTGCGAACTCCAAGTTTCATCCTCGAAGAAGTCGAGTTCGGATCGGAAAAGAAGGATAGGTGGGACTCTATTCTCATCTTTGGGCATGTATGATCGGTAAGGTTGGCTGGAGAAAACTGAAGAGGTGATGACGCGAAGATCTGAGGTTACATTCTTAGAGTGTGAGCGGCGTGTGCAGAAGAGGAAGTTGTAGGCGAATCGGTGCGGAGGATCTATGGTATTATATACGTTGTCGTCTAGCAGGCTGTGAATGAGGTCGCTGGCTTTTGTTGGAGCACTGGCTGCAGGCATGCAGATTTCAATCGCGTCGACGAGCTTGTCCCATATATCTAGGTTCTGTCTCAGCATAGTCCCGTTGTATGGAGCGATGGTCCACAGGGCATGGTAATCCCAATTCCCTGGAAATATCTCAGGCCATTTTTCCATAAGCTCCCTCCCCCTCCCCCGTCTTCTGGTACGGCCTGAACAGTCTCATTGCGGATTTGAGAGAGCCAGAAGGTAAGCATCATCTTCAATGGACACCATGTTCCATACCTGATGTCATATTTGTCGTATGTGGTCAGGTTAGGGATGCAGAGATCCATTTCCTGATAGTACCTAATTGCGTAAGGTCGTCGTTCTAGTGCAACAATAGCAGCATCAAGCTTCTTACACCAGTCCACAGATATGCCCTGTGTCGAAATGACCCGCGCCATATAGAACTAAACGCGTTTTCCCGTCGTCGTCGTCTTCCGTCTCGCAGTCCCCCCATAGCGCTTCCGTGAATCCAAACATGTATCCCGGATCAGATAGACCCGAGACCGAGTAAAAGAATGTGAGACAGGATTCACCTTCTTGCCCGTACGGAATCTGAGCTTGCTCGAGAAATTGGATGAGGTCGGGTGAGAGATCAGGTCATGCGGCTTCGGCTTCTTCGCCGTGTATCTCGAACCAGGTTTTGCATTGAGAGTTTAGTACTTGCAGCTCTGCACCCAAGTACCAAGCCAGTATCGCTGCCTTGACTGCCCAGTCCATAGTAACTCTTGGGTCAAGATTGGGCGTCATGCACAGATGCGGAATATGGTCGTTGATGTTCAACTGAAGGACTTGAGCGTGCAATTCAGTGTATTTGTCCGTATACAACCATTGTACGAAGAGCTCAAGTACCTCACCACAGTGCATCTTACCAAGCGACATTTACAGTGCAGGTTTGTCTTTGCCTAAACAGTGAGAATTGGATGCCGTGTAGTTGCGGGTAGAGACTGAACGCAGCAGCTCACAAGGTAGGTAGACATATCGCGAATGGCGACAGAACACAAACCCAAGCCTATCTTGGCGGCTCGAAGATCGCGTGCGCTGTCGTTAGTAGTTAGCGGGTACTCGTAAATAGAGATGCATGTGTTGGCAAAGAAACGCATGAAAGAGCACACGAGTGATCGTGATAGTAGGGCTGGCGAGGGAAGTGGTTTGGTCGGTGATGAGGCATGCAACTCAGGGTTTGGTATCATAGCTTCAACTCTGGTGATACTATCCAGGCTTGACGATGTATCTAGCAACGTGCGCTATATTAGACCTGGGAGACATCTCGGACGATCTCTGGTAGGGAGATGAAGCCGATCTTGAATTATTGCGCGAGTACAAGGGCATCACAGTAGCAACTCGGGATCTTCCCAGATTAGAAAAGACGATGGTAAAGCTGCTCAAGAACGTGCACGGGTGGTTGTAGGATCGTCGCTAGACAGAACCGCCAAATCGCCAACGCGCCCCCAAAACGCGCCAAGACCCCAACACATGACCGCGCGCACCCTCCCACCCCATCTAAACTCATGAACTCACGTCGACACAGGCCTCATTTCCTCATCTCGAAATCAAATCTCCAGAAAACAAGCTTCTTCTCAACAATCACATCACCGTCGTAATCATCCAATTCAGCTATCGTTTCAAGCCCAGCCTCACCGCCAAAACAGTCGGTATCCCAGCCACGCCAGCCTGTCCAGCCCCTCCCACCATGGACGCGACCCAACCACCTTGCTGGTGCACGCACCCCGCCACGTCTGTACAAAAGTTGCTGCATGCCACATGCAGTAGACTCCATTACTTGCCCTGCAAATTTCTTTGCTGATACTATTAACTCGACTTGATCCCTAACAATCTCACACACACTCCACACTCTACCATACTTTTCGTGTTGTTGTTCGGGTTTACCATCACCATCCTTGACATTGGCTTGCTTCTGGGATATTACCTACGACACTACTACTGAAGGTTGCTTGGACGATAGCTAAGCTTGGACCGACACCGATACCACTGCGTTATACAAAAACTACCTGTTGTTTGCGCTCAAGATACAGTGCGCATACAATATTTACACATCTACCAACAACAATTGACTGACTCTCGATACAGACACACCTTGAAGACTATCGCATCGCATCACCAACCACTACTCCAACTTCTACCAACGAGAACCTCTCGTTCCCAACACAACAACCGCAACCATGAAGCGCAACATCGTCATCTTCCTCATCATCCTTATCCTCTTCATCCTCATCGCCGCTATCGCGTATCTGATCTACTACCTACAAACCCGCATGGCCGTCGGCGGCACCGCATCGTCTGTCTCTGACATGACTGAGAACGCATAAACGACACTCACACAACACAACACAATGACACAATAGGCAAGGGAAAAGAAAGACACATTTTTTACGACGATACGAAGATAGTATAACACATGGGACGATCTCAGATTTGAGGATTGAACACTGCATGGCATTGGCGTTTATGGGACTGCATGGCTATGCAACCTACAATGGGTGTTTGGGATTGATTAGACAAGAAAAGTGATGAAACACTTGAAGAGGTTGGAACGAAGATAATGCGATTGAAGCGGCCATGTTGATTCGGACTGGGCTTTTGGATACCCGCAACGTTATTACGTTACTTATTGTTATGTTTATATATATATATGTTTGCGCATGAGTGGAATTGAATGATACAAACATTTGAACAACCATCTTTCATACTTTTTTATCGTGAGACTTAGGCTTTTGTGATCGATTCCAGGACAGTCAGGAGCGATATGGATGTCTCTTGTCAGCTTGTGTCACGGTTCAACTTTTGCATGTACATGACTGCTGTAAACTTTGATTGTAACGGGTATAAAACACAAAGCTAGAATTGCTTTGATGAACCATTGAAACTCCTTGTTTCCGCTGCCAAAAAAAACCCCTGAGCATATTCAAAGAAGCTTCTATAATACATTTGGTGGATATACGCCAAAATCAGCGGGCAAGTATGTCTCCACTGATACCAAGTCAGATTCCTATTCCGACCCCAGTTGCACTGGCGAAGCATTGTGTGGCGGGATGACGGGCGAGGATGCAAGAGGTGAACACAAAATTTGCTCCACGGGTGTCAATGGAGACACGGTAGGTGATTTAAGCAACGGCAAAAGTGTGACTGGTGGGGTCGGAGGCGACGAAGATGAGGACTGCTCTGCAGGCGTCGGCCCAGTCATGTCAGATGATTTGAGACGCAGCGGAGACGATGAGAAGGGTGACATTGTTGGAGAACGTAGTGGTTGGGGGAGCATCTTCTCGATTGGCATGGCGGGCGCGAAGTCAGTTCGAACTTGGCTGGTGAGCAACGTTTTCGATGGCGAATTTGGTTGCATATACTACACGACTTGAAGTGAATTAGTGGCCTGTCATTATCGTGTCTTTGTAGTCATCACCATCGTCGCTATTCAGAGGCTCATCGCCGTTTTCGGTGAAGACTAGGTGGCTTTCGTAGTATCCAAGCATCTGCACCGAGTTAGTAATTGGTAGGACTCAGGCAGACGGGGAGACGCACTTTTTGTGGACACTTTTGGTAGACGTGTTTGAGAGGGTGCTGTGTCTTTCGTCCATTCATCCAGACAAGGTATGCGAACTTCTCGGGTTCACCCGTCTTGGGGTTTTTTGTTTGCTCAACTGTGTCGATGTAGCTGACATCATGTTCCCATGAGCCTGGTGGTGGACTCCATTGTGCCTCCCTTTTCTCCTTCGTCTTCTTCTCCTCTGTATCTGCCTTCACACGCTTAGTGCTGGATGCGGGGATCCCAGACTCGGATTTTGTGCCAGCGGCCGATGGTCGTCCTTTCCGCTTCTGGCCTTTGGGTTCTGGTCGGCCTCCAATTTTCTGGAAGTACTCGTTCAGTACGTCGATGGCTCCCTCCATGTTTTCCTCTGCCTCCCATGTCCGATCCTTGGGATCATCGTAGCCTTCCCATTTGACGTCGAGTTGAAGAACGCCCTACTACGGTCAGTGTCTGCGTGTGAAAGAGTGGATGTTTGCACATACCTTTTGAAACCGGTGGCCGTGGATCGCTTCAACGACGTATCTGTCGCATTGTCAGCGCGATGCGATCCATGGGTATATGATTGTGCGCGTACTCGTCTTCTTCAACCCCACTGTCGTCGTCCTTCCCATCTTGTACGGGATCCTCCTTCGCTAGCTGATTTGCCTTTCCCTTTCCAGTTGGTTGCGCGGGGACGTCTTCGCTGTCCGAGGAGCCGTGGTCGCTAAGAGCAGCTGTACGAGTTAGCTGCCGTACATTGCGTATATTACGCGTAGGGTAGTTACGTGAGCAAGTGGGCGCAACTCACGAGGCATCTTGAATCGCTGTCGCTATTGATGACGGGTGGAAATATTGGATACGAATAGCTCCTTGAAGCCCGAGGCAATTTGGATAAAGCGCAATTGCGTGCGCGCGACAGGTTAACGGTGGGTGTGGTGCGGAGTCAGCTCGGGGCAGCAAGCGTCAGGGCAATTCCGAGGGTTGAAGCTGGCGACGGAAGGCGCGTTCGCGACGACTCGCGGCCGTGCACCCAGATGCCAAGCCCTTCTGGGGAAATTTCGAGACTGACATGGCAGCTGTTTGGATATACCCCACCACCCCTCACTACTAAACATACCCGGGATTCTCTCCTAGTGTGTACCTGTAGTTTCAAGAGTCTCCCAAATCGTGAATTTGTTTCTTCAGCGGGCATTTCTTCACCATGGCGATGCGTAAGTTATGCAGGCTACAACAGCTGCAATCCCCAAAAACACTTACTTGTGAGACATGTATGCTAACTCAACTTGATTATAGAGGTCGATCTTTCCAACGGTATGTCTCCGAACCCACTACGATAGAACTACGAAATTACTACGAATCATTCGCGAATAACGACTGACAAATCGGATTATAGCGCAGGTGATGAAGGATGAAGCGGGCAGGCCGTTTATCATTGTCAGAGAGTATGTGGAATGCTGGAATTAGGCCTCAAGCCCTTATTCAAAAAGGCGGCAGCTAATACTGGGATAGCCAAGGCAAGAAGCAGAGGCAACACGGCAACGATGCGGTCAAGTCCCACATTCTGGCGGCCAAGACGGTCGCGAACCTTGTCAAGAGCTCTCTGGTATGCAGCGTCGTCCAAACTGATGAAGCTAGAACACCGACTCATTAAATCTAGGGACCACGAGGACTGGACAAGATCTTGATTTCGCCCGACGGAGATATCACGGTCACAAACGATGGCGCTACCATTCTCTCCCAGATGGAAATCTCCAACCACGTCGCGAAGCTGCTAGTCGAACTGTCCAAGTCACAAGACGAGGAGATTGGTGACGGAACCACTGGTGTCGTAGTTTTGGCGGGCGCACTCCTCGAGCAGGCAGCGGACCTCATCGACAAGGGCATCCACCCCATCAGGATAGCGGACGGTTACGACCAGGCTTGCGAGGTTGCTGTGGCCAAGCTGGACGAGGTCAGCGACGAGATCAACTTCTCCAAGGACAACACGGAAGAGCTGTTCAGGGTTGCAAAGACGAGTCTGGGCAGCAAGATCGTCTCCAAGGCGCACGACCAGTTCGCCAACATCGCCGTAGATGCTGTGCTTTCGGTCGCAGATCTGGAGCGGAAAGACGTCGATTTCGAGCTCATCAAGGTTGACGGCAAGGTCGGTGGATCGCTCGAGGACACATTACTTGTCAAGGGTGTCATAATAGACAAGGACTTTTCGCATCCCCAGATGCCCTCGGAGGTCAAGGATGCCAAACTCGCCATCCTTACATGTGCGTTCGAGCCACCGAAGCCCAAGACCAAGCACAAGTTGGACATCACCAGCGTGGAGGAGTTCAAGAAGCTACAAAACTACGAGTCGAACAAGTTCACCGAGATGATTGAGCAGATTAAGAACACGGGCGCCAACGTAGTAATATGCCAATGGGGCTTCGACGACGAGGCCAACCACCTTCTTCTCACAAACAAGCTGCCCGCTGTACGGTGGGTAGGAGGCCCAGAGATCGAGTTGATCGCCATCGCCACCAACGGACGCATTGTACCGCGTTTCGAGGACCTAAGCGCAGAGAAACTCGGAAGCGCGGGTATCGTTCGGGAACTAACGTTCGGAACTACACGAGACAAGATGCTGGTCATCGAGGAGTGTGCAAACACAAGAGCTGTCACAGTCTTTGTCCGAGGCAGCAACAAGATGATCATCGACGAGGCCAAGCGGTCGCTACACGATGCTCTCTGTGTCGTCCGAAACCTAGTGCGAGACAACCGTATCGTGTACGGTGGAGGTGCTGCAGAAGTAGCATGCTCGCTCGCAGTTGAGGACGCGGCAGTCAAGGTAAATGTCATGGAACTCAATCCGGTCACAGTAACTAACCCTGAGTAGAGCCCTGGTATTGAGCAATACGCGATGCGCGCTTTCGCAGATGCCCTTGACGCCGTTCCCATGGCGCTGGCTGAGAACTCCGGCCTCAGCCCCATCGAAACCCTCGCCAACATCAAATCCCGACAAGCCAAGGAGAAGAACTCCAGATTAGGTGTCGACTGCATGCAGACGGGAAGTAACGGTATGTGCACATTTCACTCTTTGTTATCCAACGATCTTCCCCACGTCTCTTTGTATTATCCCCGCTTGCCTCACCGCTATCGAACATAGCTGCATTGCGGACTATCTCCGGGAGACCTGAGACCCGTGATGCATACAAGTTCCCGCATCAAACGCCCCCGTGGGGTGGGGTGCATCCCCCCACGCAGCGCCACTTGCTAAGCAGGCTTGAACGCAACTACATGTGGAGATGAGCAGGAGTCATCTGAGACTCTCGCTTTGCTGTCACTATTGTGCACAACGATATGGGCCATATCGGTGGCTGAGCTATCGAAGATCGTGCTAACGTGGCGTTATTTGCAGATATGAAGGAACACTTTGTGATCGATCCCTTGATCTCGAAGAGGCAGCAATTGTTGCTCGCTACACAGTTGTGCCGTATGGTACTCAAGGTACGTATCGTAACTTTTCCCCCTTGTTTCGTAACATATCGTCGCTTGTTGCACTGCACACCCCCTGGTGTTACTCCCTTTCTCGCCATCCCTTCCGTATCTCCCTCCCGTCCCTGCAACCTTGCTTTGCTCGGCCTCCTCCCTTACATTCTTCCTCTGGATCGAAGGCACGGCCGGGGAAGCGGGGAAGCGAGATCAGAGACGCACAGGTGTCTGTATGCAAGTTTGCATTGTTCGTTACACATCATCACTTTGTGTTACACCAATTTTCTCACCGCTGGCGCTTGTTGCAAACAAAACTAACAACACCGCACAGATCAACAACGTGATCATAGCTGGAAATGACGATCAGGACTTCTAAACGCCAACACGCCATACCTGTCACACCGGTTGATCTGTGCCTGAGCGATGGGCGCGTGTAGCGAACGAAGCGCAAGGGCCTGTTGAATGGCAACGTGAAGAATCCATGTCTAAGGCGTTAATACCCATAGACTATTCAAAGTAAAATCAATACAAGCATTTTGATGCCATCACGTACCATTGTGCATAGCATAACAGTTTGTCTAACACATGTGGCACTGCAGTATTGATGCTGGGTGGTCATGATTGGAATTCCATGAGCACAAGAGTCGGCTTAATGCTGCGCATCAACTTTTGCATCAGAGTGTTGCTTAGATCTGATTGCTCTTCCCGACCACTTTCTATGCTATCATCTGACAACCCTCGACGTTTTCATGAGCAATCATCTACGTGTCCCGGATCCATAGGTATTTCATTTATTCCCTAATATCTGAGATGTTGATCTAATGATACTAAAGAAGACCGATGTGCTACCGCCGTGTGTCCGATGCTTGATACCTAGATGCGTGGGTATGCGATGAGTGTGGGAGTAGTGTTTATTGTGTGCTGTGAGTTCAGATATTGGTTACGATTGTGAGTAGGGGAATGTATCCTATTAGCTCAACCGCGTTAATCCGTAGCGACATGCGTTGCGTTTGTCAACGACTTAAGAATTGAATTGTTTCGTGACTCATGTAGACAACGTGCTGGAAAGAAGAAAAACAATGTGCCACCAGCTCCAGCGTAATGATGTCGCTAACAGCAAGTATATCTGGTCTTTACAACACACATTTACATACCGTCACGCTCACGCTTTGTCTTGATCAAGTTACGCCTGAAATGTTTATTGTATCCAGCAACATAAAGGGATGAAATCGTTGTAGGTTCTCCGGAAAAGCTTTGTATGCTTCAGACTCTCTCGTTGTAACCAGACAAACAACTACGACGTCTCTGGAGTTCGCTTACAATCATACTACACTGTACTACACGTATCATCACTCGCCCTCGCTTCGAACTTTAGCGACCGGATGTGTCTCCCGGGAAGCGCTGTACATCGGGCATATTCGTGGTGCACGTAGGATCACGAGGGCAGGAACGAGCTAGCTGGCTGCAGGGGGCGTTGGACTATAGCCTGGTTTGGTGCTATTGAGGCGAAGGTGAAGTCGGGATGTGGAGAGAGGACACATGGGGGCTTACGTGGAGTGTGTGTTTTCGGTTGGAGGAGAGTATCGAGTCTTGTTTGGACGGCGACGTTAGTGGGTCGTGGGGATGGGATGAGATGTAATGAAAGGTAGATGGTGGATGATATAACGTAATGCTTTACTTCCAGGCAGGAACAACGTGCACGTTGTATCCATCGCACGGTATCCCGCCGTAGATTACTGGATATCTTCGCCACTCACCACTTACACCCAAAGCATAATCAACCTTCCATCATTCGAAACGAACTACCTGTTCCAATCTCTGGTACAAAACCTGGCGCTTCCTCTCTCCAAGACCATATTTCTCTCCTTCATTCAGCCAATAGCACACAGTTCTGTAACCACAAACCTCACCTATCGCGCAGGTATGCGAAAGTATACGCACAGCATATTCCAAAAGTAGCTACGTGATCGCCATAACAGTTAGGCACGCGCCAGACCCTACTATACTACGGGTTGGGTCACTTTTCAACTTACCCCTACATGAAGGATCATTTTTGAGGCGTAGCCGCATAACGGAAGCGCGTGACGGAGACATCCTGGACAAAGGAGATCATATCGATATTGATAGTGCGCATGAATGTAACAATAGCAGCATACCTGATATAACATGTGCCGTCAACGTTGGGGGAAACATGGCATGCAAGGGCCGAAAATCCGCAACAATAGCATGGGGCGAGGAAACGTAGTGGTAGAGTTAATGTTCCACGTGAGAAGATATTGAAACGTGGCCACGGACATACGGAGAGTTAATCGTGACAGGTGACGGATTTCAACGTGCTGCGCCCCCGCTGTCAGCCTGTTTGCAGGTTGTGGCGAAACAGAGATCTGGGGGTTGATACGCGGGGGTGAATATGGGGTCTTCAGCTTGGCTGAAGGATTGCAGTGACGATGCTGACCCGACCGAGAGGGTGTTTCGCTCGCCTGATTGTCTCTGTGATGTGCAATGCAACGAAGTCATCTGGGGCAGTAAGCATAGCCTGAGTTCTCTCGCTAAATGCAGGGCGTTACTTTGAATCTTCCGCTCCGTCCCTTCCCTTCCCTCACCGTTAGCCAACCAGCCGATTGCCGTCTACCGTCTGACATCAGCATCATATCTTGCCTCGAGCACTATGTTCCGAAAGCCGTCGCGAGATAAGCGGCTGGAAATGTGTAGCCTACCATGTGACAGGAAAAGGACTAAAACGTTTGATCAACATAACATGACGCATGTCCAGATATAAGACCCCGGTACGAAAGGGAGGCATGCAAGCACCGGTGAAAAGAGCGCATGCAGGACCACGCGACAACGTTTGTCTGGGGTAATTGCGGGACGGGGATACGGAGGTTACGGAACAGAACCGATCGGGAAAGTATCGACCAAGTAAGTGTTCGCTGATGCCGAAAACTACTTGTCTTCCGCTTCTGATAGGCATGATATTGAATGATAGACGATAGGTAGTGGAAGCAAAGCTGACTGCTCCTCCTTCCAGAACGTGGCAACGAGCATTGCGTTTGATTAAGATTCAATAGTTGGTGGCGCTATAACAGGTAGACTGCGTGATCGAGATCGCGTTTTCAGTGCGACAGACCGACAAAGGCACGCACGGGGGAGTCGATCCAAGGCTTGGAACCGAACATCTCGCTTGCGTCTATTACCAAATCGGCGAGTGGGTGGTGGCTGGAATGGTTCGTAAAAAATGCTGGGGGCTTGATAGGCTGGGTAATTGGGATTTATCCAGAAACTATACCAGCAGCAACCACGGGAGACACGTTACTCGGGCCGGAAACGAACCATAGAGACACAGACATAAGCCTGCCGGAAGGTCTTGGTCAGACTCGGGCCGTGTCATGAAGTACCTTGGTGTACATGTGGTTGTGTGATGAATTGTCGGGCGTAATCCCATGGGGTGTGCTGAGATGATACGGTAGTTGTCTTATCAGTCTTGAACTCATTGGTCTTATCTCGTTAAGTTGTACAAAGATAATCCTGTGCGTGATAGTATTGCGATGTTCATAAGCCATGCACCGAACTTTGGTATACAATTTGAAAAGCGCTCCCTTTCTGGCGGTGAAGGGCAGACGAAAATCCCGCCACGACGCTGCAGCACTCCAAAAACGAACCGTACGACCATAAAATGAGACCCTGAAATCAAGATTGAAACCTGGGGTCAGCCTTTAGGTCCCGACAACATGGTAAATGGCTCTCGCTGGCTGGATGAAGTGGTGTTTAATATGGGAGCGGGTACATGAGCGCAAGCTGACTACCACCCGAGTCTAAAGTAGATCCTGCACCGTAAGCGCGGTCGGGTAGGACAAGATAGATGAAGACGTGCAGATGACGGTCAGCACGCAGTGTTACCGCACCAGACGTGGAACTGGGAACCACAAGCCTGGGACGGGTGAAAGAGCCTCGCCAACCGCTTCTTCCTACCGAAGATTGCAACTACCATGTTTGATGAGTTATTTTGGAAACTTTCAAGACGTTTTGTAAGCTGATATCCTAGGTGTAAACCGGTTGTACAAATGTGAGGAAGGGTTACCAGAGAAGGTAAGGTATCGATGAAGGAGCTGTAACCTGGATTGCAATCCTCACGAGGTCTCCAGACTCTGCTCACGGCTCGACCGATACGCTAACTCAGGTGGGAGTCGGAACGAAGATTCATGCAAGGTGTAGCCCGAATGCAGAAGGTCGAACAAGATGGCCGTTAGCGAAGGATTCTGCCACAATCCTACAGGAAAACGCCGTAAATCGACCACCACCCATTCGCCCGTTACAAAAAACATTGCTAAGACATCAGACGTGCAGTTGCTTTTGCAGACTCTCGCCCCCATCTTTGGGTTTCAGGTACGGTCTCATGAGCAATGAGCCGGCCCGTTTGTCGCGCCAGAATCCAGCGGGAGGAGGGCATTCGACTCGGATAAGCTATGATAAGCATGCACACGTGGGAAGTGTATACAACCACGCGGAATTCGCTAAGCAGGGGGCGTGGCCATGTGAACTTGATGTCGACCAGGGTAATGAGCCTGGAAGACTGTCGTTGGCCTCTTCGCACCTTCGCTCCGAAGTGCGGGATACTAGTTCGACATTGCACCGAAGTCCAACAGGTGAATGACTTTGCTTGTGATCTTCGGCAGGAATACCGGCGCCTTGATCCGTTCGAAGTTGCGTTGCCATCGGTGACCGGCGAGACGTCCGGATATCCTCTGGTTGGTTATCAGTGCGGAGGTGGACGATGCGACGTCCTCGTGCGTGCACGCGTGGGATGCCTGCGCGTCAGGCCCCACCGCCAGGCACTGGGGAACGTGTTGCTGCTTTGGGCACCCACGACACCTCGTTCAGGCAATCGACGATACTGAATACGCGCCAGAATGAAGACCCGACTCACTGGAAATGAGGAATAATTTCTCCAATGTTATTTGTTGGGCACAACGTCCGCTTCCCGGGGACGCACGAGACCAATGCGATTCGTGCAAAATCCCTCATATCGATTCGTGCAAGAGAGCGGAAACCAGCATTAAGTTCCCCCCGTACGCTAGAGATGTGATAGAAGGGCTGTAGCGACATATCACTTCTGATGGTGAGGTTTCAGTAAGATTTCGTGGCATCGCACTGGCCGCCGACACCTCGGTTAATCATTGCAACGAGCATCACATGCGAGCGTGAGCACGTTGTTGCGGTTAGTTGGACAAAAGGACCTGAAGAACCGCCGCTCGCCAATGTGGGACGCGAGTATGAGGATGCGCGGTCCAGAATCCAGAAGGTAGTAAGATAGTGAAGAGAGAGTGAATGCGCGACACGGAGCATGATCACCACGTGCGACG